CTTTAACCCGAGGCGCATGTCTGTCTCTCTGTGCTCTCTTGAACCCATCGCTTGTAGGTAGGACACGCGCTACGAGCCGAGCCCGCTCGGACTTCTCCACCTGATCTGGAAGCGATTGAGTGTCCTTGATTCCACCTGCCTCAGTATTCAGGACTAGTTCTGAACAATCTTCGCTTGACTCGAGTGGCAATGGAGGCTACGAGGCAAATTTCACGGCCTTCACCAAAAGGGGAAAGGACATACCTGCCTGTTGCCACTGAAGGAGGTGCATTCACGTACAGTAGTGTAGGTACGGACACTTGCATCAAACAGACAAGAACAGCAATGTGCCGCACCGTCAGACTTTGGTCATCCTCTTGTTTTCCAGGCTTCTCCCGCCACCGACAATCTTAATCTATCCGTGAGCTATCCTTCAGCTACTCTTCTGCCGTCCATTAAGCAACGTCAAGTCAGCTGAGCTCGCACCCTCCGGTCAATCTTGGGACTAAGGGACAACTGTGCCATTTCGAGCGTACAATTTTGAGACGCTCGGATCATCCTTGGAACGCAAGCCCTGTCATTCAACTCACTCTTCCAGACAACAGCCATCCCCCCGGGCTGCTAAACGTCCAAGAGCTATAACCTCTAATCTGGTCTATGGATCCCACCGAAGCCAACCTCTTCCTGCAAGATAGACTAGAGCACGCCGCAGAGACGCTCAAGTCAGCTTGGGGTTACGGCGACAAAGAAGGACGCCATGCATTGTGAGGCGGACTTGGGTTTCCCTTCCATGCGATCTTCGCCTTTCGTGGCTGTTAAGCTGATATTGACGTTCAGGAGACGGATGGTCGGGTGGATGGCAGGTATCTGGGAGGATATGCAGGAATTATGGGTCAGTCAAGAAAATCACTCTTGCCACAGACCACAAGACTGACGACGTCTGTTAATCCCTTAGGACGATGAGGGAATGTGGCAAGAAACCTGCGATATCGCCTTGCAAGGTCAGTGAGCGGCTTCCTACATGCCTGTGAGACCTCTATGTATACACAATCGTGTGCAAAGTGACAATTTTTCTTGTGGATCTGTTGACAGTCGCAGCCGTCGCGGATATCCTCCAACTCAACATCCCTCATGATGGGCATCTTCATCTCTTGAAGAATATCAGGCTCCTGTTGTGTCCCGGGCACGCGTGGTCCGATGTAAGTCTGTATGAGCCACCGGTGAATCTATAATAATAATCATAATCAGTGGCCAGTAGACCCAGAGGTCAGCATAGTCCCTAATGCCTGAGTTTACTCCGTCAATGCTGACCCTCCTTCATAGGACGAAAGCAGTAGCAGCGGTAGTAGTCGGATCTTTCAAATGGACGACGTGTAGACCATTCATCAGCAATGTGACATGAAGGGCAAAAGCGTGATACAGTACATGTATCTTGAGTTTCAAGCAGCAAGCGGAGAATGTTTTGCGGCAGGTATAGCTGTCGTTTCGACTCGGAAACCCTTTTCGTCCTCGATATCAATCAAGTTGCCCTCCTGCGGTACACCAACTACTATATCACCCTCTTTCGTCTCCTCAATCTGTCCCGCTTCCACAACTCGACCATCTTCTCCCTTTTCACCTTCGCCCTGAAGATGAACCTCTTTTCCATTCGCCAATTTCATACCGCCCTTGAAGACGCCTTTGGCTGTACGAGTGACGATAGCTTTGCGTCCAACTCCTCGGGCATCCACAAAGATGACAACGGCATTTCGAACAGACCCGCCGAGCAACGCTGTAGCTTGTCCAGCATCAGGACCGTATTTGTGACTGATAGCGAAAATTGAAAAGTGATCAGCCAAGAAATGTCATTTAGATAGTATCTACTCACTGAGCAGCACTCGCTGCTGCGTTCGTGCCGTTTGTAATGAGATCGCTCGTCGTTGCCTCGACGCTGCTCAAAACAACTTCGGCAGAATTGATGAATCGCTTGAACAGGCTCTTTGCTTTATCTGTGGTCGACGAAGAAGAGGAGGTGGTCCTGTCTCGGAACGACCGTGGTTCCTCCGTTATCTGTTTTGCGAACAATTCACCGTCCTCTGGGATGGGAATCTGTCTTCCGATCACCCTGTTGGGGTCTGACCCTTCTACAGAGACAGACGCCAGACGTTGAGCCAGAGGAATTCTGATTCCGCTGCTACTTGGGCTCGCCGAAATACTGCTCGGTGGGCTGGTCGCACTCCTGCCAGGGGAAAGATGACTAGGTTTGGGAGGGATCGGAGGAGATGCTGCTTGTGGAGAAGAGGCTAATTTGTCGTCCAGTTCGAGAGCCGAAACGCCACTTTCAAGACTGTTGCGGGGCTCTGGCGAATTGTCACCAGTGATCGGTGACGTGGATGGAGAGACTCGTCGGCCGACGGGACTAGCTAGGAGTGACCCGGATCTTGGAGACCCAGACAACATTGGCGAGCCAGTGAGACTATCCCTCGACCCACGGCGTTGCTTAATGGCCTCGACAGCCGGATCAATACCTTTCTCAAAGCCAACGTCGATCACCTTGCCGATGGCCTGTGAGGCGCCGTCAGCAATGACGTACTGAGACATTATGCAGCTCACATCGTCAATCTTCTTCATAGTCTTCTTTGTCACCACCAGGCTCTTCGCGCTCGCATTATGCGCCTTTCGGATGTTGTTCTTGGTGGTCGGCGAGAATTTGACGGGCTCAGCTCGAGGTGTAGTGTTGCGGATGAAAGCTTCTGAGCCTTCATTCATCTTCTTCGATGACCACTGGCCAAACGAAAGGATCTTTGTGCTGAGTGATAAGTCAGCATGCTTGGCTTCTCGGACCAAGGTATGACAGCCGACCTCAGATTGTGTGCACCTCTGAGCATCCAATCGTCCATATCTTCCTCTTTGAACGTCTTGACCTTGACCGAATGAGAGTATCCTTGTATATCACCTCCGAAATCGAGTACGACAGGTCTGGATTTGTCCGTTGCGGCGATATTGGCTCCTTCCTCCGCTGTCATCTCCTGATCCATTTCTCCTATGATTTCTCCATTATCCTCATTGACGAGCAGCAGCTTGCCACGGACTGCTTCGGGTAAAGGCTCGGACGAAGAAGCGTTAATTCCAGAGAATGTCGAGCTTCCCAACGGCTTCGCTTCTACCCCGTCAAGTGCCGTGGCTTTCTCTCCTAGACATTCATATTGCCTCAAAAGGACCTCGAACGACTCAAGGTCTTCCAGATCCGCTGAAGATGATGGCTTGGGCAGCATGAGGTTCAAGTACATGTCTTTGCGTTTCTCCGAAGGAATGTGGTATTGAACGCCTTCTACTGGCTGAGGCAGAGGCTGCAGATGCTGTTTTGGAATCAAGACCTTTTCGAACGATTCGCCAATTTTTAGAATAAGCCAGAAATCATGCGTTGGGACAGGTGGATCCGATGGTGATGGTGCGAATGGGTTGGCCGTCTGATGCCCTACCTCTGGAGGTATTGGTACAGAGACGCATTCGATCCTATAGAGGGGATCAGTTTGACACGCGCCTGGGACACAGTGGAGAGTCGCTTACCTGAGTTCCCCTCGCGCCAAGAGAATGGCCTGACCCTCTATGACCTGAGGGCTTGCTTAAACATATGCATGCCTGCGTGCCACTATCGCGCACTCACCTGCTTCACATTGCTATCTTGAATGGTCAGAAGAAGGTAACCCTCAGCATCACCCAGATCCGGCGAGTTGCTTGATCCTGATATGGTGGAGGTGAGCGAGCTCATGGTTGGTTCCAAGCCAATCAGGGCGGCCAGAAGATCCGTCAGTCTTCTTACAAGTCCAACAACGGGTTGGGCAGGCTCAGGCTAATGATGTTCAGGTCTTGACAGCTCTCCAAGATCCAAGGCAGTTCCACAGCTGTAGATGTGATTGAAGAGAACGATGATGATGATGTAGATCAATGTATGCCCCGCGCAGAGTTTGCCTCCACCTTCCTCTCAAAAAATACGATCGAATCTGACGTCAGATCGACCCAAAAAAGATTTCGGGCGAACAATCCTAAAAATAATGAAAAGACACCCTCTAACTTGCGCTGCGTCTCTGAGCAATGGATAGGCTCACCTCAGCTCAAGCTCAAGCTCTTTTCGAGGCTGGAGGCTTTATCATCATATCTGATCTCCCGCAAGGTAGCGAATTCGGCATTGATGGAACGTGAGTCGAGCTTCTTTGGGAGATCAGAGGAGTAGGCGGCTCGACAAGCGTGTCGGATGGCACGACCGACAATTGAGAGGCATAAGAGCTGACTCTTGCGACTAGATACCATGTCACTCGTCGATTCTCAGGGATAAAATTCTTGCCTCCTGGTCTCCACCTGATCACTTGGTCTCCTCCTCCCTCATCTACACCTGGACCATCTACCATTCCCATTAAATCTGCTCTCCTTCGAATAACAAAACCAAAAGAACGGCTCGTTTTATCCTATGACACCGCTACAGAGTCGATAGCTACGCAGGACACCGATCAGGTATCGATCATATCGGATGATCATGTTCGGACGTTGGACCCAGAGCTGGCACCGTACCCATTTAACAATTCAGAAAAATGGTCCCAGTTGACCAATCTGATCGATGAACGTATCCTGGATGAAGTCGTAGGTCCTGATGGACGCGTTGATGGAATCATGTTGGTAGATGGAGAGGAGGATGAATTGGGAGAGCTGAAGAAAGCATCACTGCGGAACGGGAAACCCTTATTGGATGCCTCGAAGGGAGAAATTAAGCGATTGACATTCCCCAAATTCGACTTGAGGCGGAGCTGGAGATCAGGAGCTGTTGGTGACGAAGTCACAAGATACTCTCAGGACAAGAGCTGGCTCATGGGGGAGCTCATCAAAAAGAAGTTCGACAATAGTGAGTGTGGATTCAGCTCTAGAATGCAGATCCGCCCGCTCATCAATATAGAATATATGAGGATCCTATCCTACCTGCAGCTCTCCTTTGTCCTCCTACTCCACCTCTCATCATATTCATGCCTCATGGTGTACAAGCGGTTCTTCGCCCTTCTCACACGCTCAGCAGATTTACTTCAATCACCATCCTCCTACATAGATACTGGAACGACGAATGATTTGGCATCTCTATACACGGCTTTCCTTCGAAGCCTGACTGCTCAATTCGACGCCTTACCTGAGACGATCTTCGAAAGCGAGCTGCCGGAGATGGACCTCTTTTTCCTAGATGAGTTAGAGTACCTACGTGGTAATCTTGGATCCGGAATGGTGGATTGGATAGCAGACGATCGTGCACGGATACAAGAGGCTTGGAAGCTCTTACAAGGGGTCGTGGTTAAGTGGAGATGGGATCTCAAACCCATCGTTGTTGGAGAAGCCGTCGATGACGACGACGATATTGAGGACGGCGAATACGCCCCAGTAGTCGTCGAGGAATAATCAAGCGGGATAGCTATCCTTTTTTGCCAGATCCAGCATAGGCTTGAGCCGGCTATACTTGATGCATGAATACCATTTTTACAGGATGAACGGTATGATGACCTTTCTCCCCTTTGGAAATCGCACTCCAAAGGTCTTTTCGTACCATCTTTGAGTTCTTATAGCTCGAGGCAGCATTGATGCGATCAAGAAAGCTACAAACATCCAACTAGGATGAAGAAGCTGTTGAGGTTGCCAATAATCACTGACGAACGGTATCTTGTGATCTGGGACTGAGATGAACAAAGAAGGCGCAGAGGCACAGGCAAAGCAGATCCATTCGAACCTGCATTTCGGATTATCCGATCAGCCAAATCAATCGGAGACGAATGTAGACTCACCATTCTGCCAGGTAATTGGGATGCGAGACGAGGCTGTACAGCCCGGCTCTAGGAATAGCATATCGACCTCCCGAGGCTTTCTTGTCCTTCTCTTCTTCTGATAGGTATTGCCCGCCGAATCGTCGAGCATGCTTAGGTCGGCGAAGATCATTGAGTATCTCATCATGCACAACTGGGCGTAGCGTGAGATGAGCATGCTTTTTCTGCCTCTACCTACTGTTGAGGATCAAGCCAATCGCCCAGCCCGACAGCAGGCCGTAGAACGCCTTGCCTGATCGATTCGTAGGATAGTAAGCCAGAGCGGTGTACAGGCAGTATGCGTTACTATATCAAAGTCAGTCACACTGTGAGCATCCTCAACAACGACCATACTGACAGCAAGTTGTAGGACCCGGCTGTAATGGGTACAATGATGTTCGAAGGCGATCTCGAAGGAGACAGAATCAGAGGAGAGATAATTGCACGGTGGATGTAGTGGGTGATGTAGCAGCCCTGACCTAAGTCAGCCAATCTGCTCCCCGATGAAGGTAAGAAAGCCTCCTGACAGCAATAATAAACGATTTTGCCGACAAGGCTCGAGGCGACTTGAGAATGTTGTATAACATTGTCAGGGGCTAGAATCATTCGGTCAGATAGTCGGGTATCACGAAGGGGACAATGACTGACAGCTACGATTTCCATGGCTGCCCAAGCGATGTTACCTGAGACTCAAATCAATGTCTGTTTCCTCATGGCTATTAGATCATCTCTCACCATTCATCCAGAGCAGCTTACTCCCCTGACCATCTTGCCTTGCGAATCTGCCAAACGGCGCATCGATCCCCCATAGAGTGAGAGGGAAATGAATCGGTAAGAGGTGATACAGGCCTAGTAAGGAGAAGAACTTGACAGGCGGAGCAGGAATGCTGGATACGGCGCTGAAGTAAGCGCCCATTTGTTCTATGTATCTCTGTGTATAGCAAAGGAGTTAACGTTGAAGATCGACTACCGAACCGAAATCCGCACGTCATCAATTGACCGTCCGCGAATCCGGAGATCGGCATGACTATGACCGATACGGTGGCCGGAGCAACTCTCAGCTGATTGGAACTCAATGTATCATTGTTCGTCATGAGCTACATCATCGCTCAGGCTTTGCCCAAAGACGCAGTGGAAGATGCCAGAGCGCGAGGTCTTTATTTCAACAACAACGCCGAGCTTCGAAGGTACTCAGCAGCATTGGAAGGCTACGAATTCGATAATTACGGCGGCCTCTGGGCTTTCTGGAATGGCTCCACAGTTGGTGCGCTTGCTACCGGGACATACAATACCGCACTCGATAAGACTGTTCTGACAGGTGAAGGGTGCTCTTACGACGCTTCAGAATCAGCAAACCGGGATGGGCGCGACCTGTCGGAGAAAAGAACAGGCAATGATCAGATTGTGGACGAGAATCCCAAGGGAGTGCGAAAATTCATCCACGGCCTGCTAAGCGTGACTTGCTTTGTGACGGTCACCCCTCGAACGCCCGCTCAGCCTTGGAGACTTGGAGAATCGACCCATGGACAGGATGGAGCCTGTAGCATACACCTTGTTCTGAATGCATCGTTGTATAGTTCCCATGTACAAGTCTACCTCCCACATACTGACTCAATCATTCTACACTCTGACCCAGAGTGAACGGCTCATGACCGGTCTCTGCAGCCTCTTCTCGTAATTCTCTATCGATTGGGACAGCCCCTATACCACTGCCACCGAGAGGCACGTCGTTGCCCTGGGCACGCCGTAAGCTTGAGCATCTAGTTCAGGTAGCGAATAAACTCACCATCAAAGACCTCATAATATCACTGAGGGAGATTATACCGACTAATCTTCCGGGTTGAGAATCCTCAGGTCCAGCAACGACAACCAATCGATGCACCCTCCTCATTCTGATAAGGCTGAATACGGCACTGAGTGAGCTCTTCGGAGAGCAAGTCACCACTCCGGGGAAGTCGGCTGTACGTTGTTTCAGAGCTTGAGCGATGGTGAGGTCCAAGGCTTGGTAAGCGCCATTGCGGACCAGCGTCTGAGCAAGTCATGAGCTGAGATGTGGAAGGAGATAGATGAGCTTACAATGACATCGACTGTCTCGTAGAGGTCCAAGACTTTGCCATTATCATCCACTATCGGGACAGCGGAGATACCTCGTTCCGAAAACATATGAACGACATCGAAGACGGCAGTCTGCATCGTAGCCGTAGCGATGGGGTAGAATTGATTTTCACTGTTAGAGTCGTGCTCGGGCGAAACGTATGTGCCGATTCCGAGATCCTGAAGCGTCGAGGTGAGGTACTGGGTGATATCGCGACACTAGGGGTCGAGGATTTGACATCAGCGAGAGCCATTTGAGTCTCAGAGAAATGACTCACATTCGTGGCGATGAACTTGAGCACTCTGTACTGGGTCAAGACGGAAATGACGACTTCTCCATTGGTCTGTGTGTCCTTGTCTATCAGAGGTAAACGACGAGCATGTGTGCGAATGAGGAATCTACAGGCGTCGTAGAGAGGTCTGAGGGGATGGACGGAAAGGAGTGGCGGTGGAGGGACGCTGAGAGTCTTTTCGACCTCTACATGGATAGATCAGACTTAAAGTCGAAGCCAGTGCTTGGGCGCGTACCTCTGATACGGAACAATCTGATCTGTTCAACGTCTGCGGCCGCGCCTTCCCAACTTGAGGTGTGATAATAATACTGTATCAGGTGGATGACATCTTGGACGGTGAACATCCCTGACAGATATATCAGAAGAGCTCGCTGGACTGCTGGCATTGTGACTCACCGGCAAATTTTGCCTCTGCTGTGTTCCACAACGGGGCAGATACCACATCTGGTTGTGAGTTAGCCCTGCTTTTGCGATACAGGACAGGGTGGTCTGTTTCATGCCCCCTTCCTCCTCCCTCACTCACTGTACAACAACATGACCTCCAGGGCCTTCTTAACTTTCAAAGTCGTATCCAGGACGATCAGCCGAAATGATACTGGAAATACATCATAACTCGAGCGTTCTCTCAGAAAGCTCCGGAGTGCTTCGACAGCCTCGTCATGGGATAAGATCTTCGGCACCATGGGAGGATGTACGACCCGCGACGGTCTTCTGCCAAGACCTCCCGAGCTCGTTCCCGTCGATGTGGACTGGCGTCTAGGTCCTCTGGATGTTGATGTATTGCGGTGGAGTGAAGAGGAGGGAGGTGATGAGATGGGGATAGGAGCAGCAGGAGCATGCGAAGAGGATGACATGGTCCGAGAGACGGGGCAACGGCGGTCGTGAGGAGACAAGTGGTGAGGACGGTGAGGTGATGCGTCCTGCGTCCGAGAGAGCAAACGTCTGGTGGCGGGCGCGAGAGCCGGGTGCGGCAGAGCACGAAAGGGATAGTTCAGATCAAGTGAAGACTGATTCTGGGCCAATGAAGCTGTTGATGGTGCAGGAGGTCGCACGTCAAATTGACTGTCTATCCGCGTTTGCAGAGCGTTATGTACTGCTCAAGGTCCCTGGCGGGATGACTGGCCTCGATCCACTATGCTTCGAGACCAGGCTAATGAATCACGGTCGTGCAGTGTACAGGCTGCTCATATCGCGAGACGAGCTGGGTCGCTTGGCTGATAACGGCAACTTCTCACAGCGTGACTTTATATGCCACATCACGCTTCAAGCCATATCGGGGCCTGATTATTAGGCTGTAGATCTATATACAACCAGGTTGATGAGTGACCCCTTGCTCTCCGGCAGCCAGCCATCGTCAACACTGTCCAGCCAGTGTGCTCTATTCGCCCGGCGTTCTTGAGGTACCATGGCGCTCATTTTAACGCTGGTTGAAAAGCCGATTCCTGGTCTGGAGGAGGTAACTCCTTTCACAGTATTATACTCAGAATGTCCTCTAGGAACGGCACATGAAGCTGCACCGGGTGATCAGCCACGACGACCTCTCTCACGCCTCACTGGAATCTCAGTCCCATTGTGCAAAGTCTTGGGATTCAGCTCGCCAATATGACGACTCCACTCCTCTCTCAAGAGGACACTGTCATTTTGCTGTGTGGCGTTAGTCCACCACCCATAGGGCAGCAAGGGCCGTTATTGCTCACTATGGCAAAGTAGTTGAAACCCAAAACCTCCGCGACGCATTGATAGTCACGGATGAAGGAGTCATAGGGGAAGAGCTGTTGGGAAGAGGTTCAACAAATGATTGCTATCTGCTTCGGACCTCGACTCGCCTCGATCACTGTTGATCCTTCTGGCATCCAGACAAGATGGGTCATTCCATTCCCATGGATCCCAAGAAGTACCTATAGACGATCAGTTCCGGCTCGAAGTCCCTCAGCACTGCTTACTGAGGCATCAGACACGATCTCGATTTGCTGTTCTGGCGTTAAATCCTCCAAGATGACATGTTTCCAACGTATGACGCCACGAGCTTGCATGCTCTCGCCGAGGGCCAACAACGCATATTGCGACTCCTGACTCATCCGTCTTTCGGTGGATTGTCTGTCGATATACACGATGACAGGTATAGGATCGCTTGGCTTGGCTATCCCCAGAGACTTGAAGACCTTTTGTCGAGCTGGGTCGAAGAATCCTTTCGGTTTCGCTTGGGCGTAGACCGGCAATGCCATCTTGTTCCAATCTTGCGCTAATTTGTTGTGATTCTGGGATGCCCATCGGTCAACAATGAGGACTGCAAGGGAGAGTCAGCGAGGATATCAATTTAGTGAGAAACAAAGGTCTGGCAGCCTGGCCTGCGGAAGAAATTGAACCCTACCCTGTGGCAAGAAGACAGTTTTGTTTCCAGCAGTCATGGTCGTCCATTGATCTGAATCGATGACATCTGTAGGATTCAACGGTGAGCACTTGCTCTAGATAGGTATGACGCAGCGTGTATACTCACTCGCACCGAACATAGCCTTGACGACGACATTGTTCATGCCCCATCTATCCCGCCAGCCCGGTTCCCACGGGATCGCCAAACGTGCCGGCAGCGGATCAGATTCGGCGTTTGAAGATATCAGGTTTCTTCGATGGGCTCGCGGAGTGGCTGCAAGAGCTGCAAGACCACCGAGAAGATCCTCCGTTACGAAATGGTAATAATGCCACATGAAATGAAATCCAGCTTCGTTGAACAGTACTGTGAGGGATAAGGCGTCAGTCCGGCCCACAAGGTCGATCCTTGAAGATGATTCACATGTCAGACCATCCAAGCGAATGTCCGCCGTAGAAGGATCACCCATTGATCCAATTTCAACCTTGAATGGATCGCTGGAGATCATGTGGGCAGAGACACCGTCCAGCCGTTCAGGAATATCTGCGAGGAAGCGGGGGCGCGTTAATGGGTTGTCCCAATTGCCCAGTGACTCCTGAGGCTTACAGAATGTCCGATCAACGATCCAGACATTATCCAGTATCATAAATCCGGGGACTTGACCACCCGTCCTCCCAGGCACAGCGCGAACCGGAACCTCTGCGTCTGCAGTCTGCGGGACGATCCCAACAATTGTATCAGCTTATCGGTCACGAGCCACGGGAGGGGATAGATTTTGATTTCACGCCAACTCACCCATGCTGATGGCAGCAGGAATGGCAGAGGGTCCATCCATATATGCAGGACGACCACCAAGAGACAGGTGACAGCCAACGCTACGAAGTTTGGGAATTTTTTAAGCTCCTTTTCAACCCGTGCGAGCGCCGCCCAAATTTCCCCACCGGGCATCATCGAGCTCACCAGTGAGAGTGGTAGTCCTGCGTGGACTCCTACTGCCGACCATCTGTGTGAGTGAGTGAGTGAGTGACTGAAGACTGTATCAGTCTTACAATGTTGGAATCCCCAAAAGCCATTGTCGTCACCTGACCTTAATTCGGGGTTTGTGTACGGTGCTGTGTTGGTGTGACATGTGACCCGCCTTGGCCGAAAGAAAAAAAATTACTGCGACATTTTCCCGGTCAAACTACCGTTCCAACAAAGGAGGAGAACATGAACAACAAAGGAAAACAGCACTACCGTTCCAACAAAGGGAAAACATGAACATTGAACGGTTGTCCTTTGTTGGAACGGTACCGTTCATGTTTAGTTTTCCTTTGTTGGAACGGTAGTGCGTCCTTCGCATCATTTCATGACATTCTCCAACCACCTTGACATGCATCGATGGCGTCTTCTTCACTCTGCAACTACCACACGTTCCATCATGTCGCAACGGTCGTAATGTGACGACCATGAACACAAGTCGAATATCCGGTGTTGCTTTCGTTTGAACCTAAAGACACGATAGACCAAAATAATAGACTTTGACGTGAAGATTGAGTCTGGACCCATGGACACTGCGATAGTCAGGTGGGGATCGGCAAGATACAGCTTGTCGACAGGGTTCTGATTCCCGGCGTGGTACGAGTTCCGGCGTGGTACGAGTTTCGGCTCGTCTGCTACCAATACGCTCATGGGCAATCTCCCGGACTCCTTGATGCTACTCCCGACTGCTGTCAGCCGGTATACTGGACCAACTAACGACACCGCCGCACATCCCATCAGATGCATCATTTTGATCATGCCCTGTATTATGCTCGCCAAGTGCGAGCCGAGCCTAATCAGGCCTAGGTCTAGTCGCAAAGCTGACCAACCGCCTAAAGTCACCAAAAGGCTTGGTAGATTCTGGCCGGTGCCCATCTCTTGATGATCCCTCGACACTCCCTCCCCGACTCAGAAGATCAGGTAAACCTGAGCTTGGGCCCGTGGGCGAGAACGGGTGCCCAACCGTAGGCGACAGGACACCCTTGTCCGCTGATGGATCCATATCGAGAGCAGTGAGAAAGGATGTATCGGACAAATCGTCCTTGTTCGAAGTGACCGACAGAAAGATGTCGAGTAGCCTCTGTTGATCTGTCCGAGGCGTGCCTTTAAGGTCGAGAATCTGCATTTGAGATTAGCGCGGAAGTGGATGGACCGTGCCTACCTTCTGGAAGTTGCTGAATGACCTATCTCCAATGAGCAAACAATAGTTCTGGACAAAGCCCTCCGGAGGATCCTAAATCTGTCAGCTTGGTATCACATGGAAGTCAGATCACTCACATCGGGAGCGAGCACGACCTTGAGCATGGTTTCCAGTTGTCCAGTGTTTTTCGTGACATATTTCGTGTATCTTTACCGGGATCAGCGCCGGGTGCGTGGAGTCCGAATTGACTTACGCGTTCGCGGCCGCTTCTGGCTGTGGATCCGGAAGACTCAACAAGCAAGACTTGACCGCTTGGACATCGAGAAGAATCTGCTTCAGGGTCAGCAAAGTGCTAGTGAGAAATCTTTCTGCACACCTGTTCCGCGCCGATCTTCTTCAAAGGTCTGCTCTTAACTACAGCCTGTGTGAATCGAGCCATGACGACCCTAGGAGCCGAAAGTCAGCTTGAAGAACGTTCATCTGACATCTGTACCTACCCAACAGCACGATCCGCGAAGGTCCTCAGGTATCTCTTTGACTCGATCCTAGCCCGTACAACCTCGGCAACCTGCTTAATACACCCCACGAGATCTACGACGTAGGCCGATCGTCCAGATACGTTCTCCAAGTGAATCCACGGAGTCTTCAGTATTGCTGAGAAAGCAGGTTCGCAAGCGGCTTCTAGTTCCCTGAGAATAGTGGTGATGCACTGGGAGATCGTGCTGGCAAGTGTCAACAGGAACCTTGCGCGCCCAGAGATGGCGATGTAACGTACCTCGTAAAGGTGTCTCGTTCCGCAGCGAAAGAGATCTCCTCCTTGTACTGGTCATCGATCTTATCTTTGACCCGCTCTTCAAGCTGTAAAGAAGTATTTTGGCAGTACTCGGCAGTATTGAGGATGACACAAGCATTTCGAATTTCTTGCAGATTCAGCCTGCCCTCAACAGATTTGCGACTGAGATCGCTACGTTCTCATCAGCATTCCCAATCTTGAAGGGTTTTTTATGGACTAACCGCTTCATGCCGGCAATAAGCACTTCATCTGGAACACTCGTCAACATGACGGGATTGTGGTATGTCATGTACCTACCAGAGTACACCTTGAGCCATTTGCCAAAGACCTTCGCGAGCGCTGTCATGGGCTCCCCAGTGGTGTACTTGCCGCACTGCTCCAACGTCTGAGCGTAGAAGTAGAACAACTCCGTCGAGCTGGGTAAGACTGTTGGACCCGTCGCCTCGGTCTCGTCTGCGACTGCTCCTTCCAACGACGAGCGGGATCGAGCGCCACGATATTGCGAGAGCATATCCGAGATGGCCCGATCTTGTGCGTCGACATACACTGAAAAGTACGGCGTGAAGACGCTTGAGATGATCCATTTGCCTGGAGTCTGAGTAGTTGGGCCACCCACAGTCACATCTTCGAACTGCGTTGACGTTAGAACAGACGAGGCTATTCTGTGGTAGACTCACGGGCATCTCGAATCGCGCGGCAAAGGCGGATTCAAAATCCAATGTGCTCTGAAGGGCATCCAGTAGGACAGCGACATTTGGTTTGCCTTTCCCCAAAACATTCGACATGTCTGCTCGTGTATACTCGGAGAAATTTGCAACCAGTAGCCTTGTAACTTCCCACGAGGATGGGAAGAGTGTCGCAGTCTCCTCATCGTGATATTTGAGGACACGTCGAAACCAAGCATATCGACGTGGAACATTGTCCAGCTGACCAGCCTGACAAAAACAGTCAGTGCTGTCTGCCTGCCGAGAAATCAACCTGACAGCCCACCTCCTCGGTCGATCGAAAGATGCGACGATATTCCGCGAGCTCAATTTGCAGATATCTTTCGACGATGTGGTTTCTGAAGTCCCCTCCGAGAACGTCAATGACAAGGCAGACATTTCGGATGGTCTCGGGGTCAGCAGGTTGATTGGGACTATTGCGAAAGCTGAACGTGCGAGATTCAGCAAGGCTTCTCAAATGAAAGACGCAGGCTTACAAGAGGTCCATCTCAGCGGCCACCTTTTCTTGTATTGATTTCCTGGCTTCCTCTGCAGATTTGAACAGCTCCGCTACTACTGCGATGGTGCTCAATGGCTTGAGTGGTGTCATCAAGTGCATCACTGCCTTCAGAGATCGTCAACCACGCGTTCTACAATAGTGGAAGCCAGCTCACCGAAAGGGCGGTGGACATCTCTCTATAATTCTTTGTCGGCAAAAGGTCTTGCAGCTGCTGGTGTGCATTCCCTGAAGTCCAGTATTTAATGATATAACGTATGTGAAAAGACCAGACTTGGACTGACTCAACATCTCCCATCTCTCCAAGGTCTGAATTGCCCCCGTGAGATTTCGTTTAGCTGTGTCCAACCTCTGGATGTCGGTGGTGATAGCTTTGACAATAGCCTCTGCTTCAGCGGCCTTCTCTCGGATAACATTGATTTGAGACATAAGTTGCTGTCGTCGAAGATCAGTGGGGCCGGTTTCATCAAACATGCGCATCCAACTGGCGCGCTCCGCTCACCCCTATTTGACTCTGTATTCTGCTCATTTTACCCGGATCTTGATCACGCCTCAGTTCGGATTTCAATTGGGCTATCCGGTCTTTACGGTCCAGGATTTCCAGCTGTAGACGAGCTTGTATCTGCTGATGTCGGGACAAAGATCCCTCTGCAATGCACATGAGCACATCATGGAGAGTCTGAAGTTTGACAGGACGTACCACTGGCAAAGTCTTGTGATAGTCGAGCCATGACTCTCTCCGTGAGGCTGGCGCTCGATTTTGAGGGACCCGCAGTGGGCTGATCCTCACGGATCGGGGAGGACATGGTACCTGCCGTTACCATTGGAAGCAGGCAACGGGAAGAAGAGATAGACACAAAGTCAAAGTATGAGTACCGATACGTCTGGTTGTACGTCGGACCCGAACGCGTTACAAAAACGGACCGAAATGCTGGAATCCGTCATACACATTGTCATTAAAACTTGCGCGGTCAAAGCCTTCAGATGGGTCAGTGATACCTTATCGGGCTTCAAAGGCGTGTGACATGGGTGCTTTTGACCCTTTGGTGACGTATGAAAAGGGAACTTACATTGGTGGGAGGGGGCCGATTCGATCCTTGGCGATGGTAACTGACAGCAAGCGCATTCAGAAACGGATACAGGCAGTAGGCTGCAGATGATACCGGGATGATGATGGTCTCTGATTCCCAAACATAGACAAAGTATCGAGAAAGGCTGTCATTACTGGCGCTACAAATATCATCCTTGGTGGAAAGTCTATTATACAATCAGGCGAGTCTATGAGCGGAAAGATCGAAGAGCGTTCCCCTTATCCTGACCATAATCTAGGAGCGGTACTCAGAGGCGATCTCCGGAGGTATACGGCTGGCCAACATGTAGTTATTTCCATGGGAAGATACTGCAACATCTCAGAAGGTGTCGTCATTCGTCCACCAGGAAAGATCTACAAGGGGTGAAGTGATCGGCTTGCCATCTCGTACCGTACTGAACCTCTCCCGCCTGATATATTCACAGATCATTCACATTCTACCCCGTACGGATAGGAGACTGCGTGACCATTGGCCAGAACAGCGTCGTCGAAGCTGCTCAGATAGGTCTAGGCGTAGAAATCGGCAAGGACTGCATCATTGTGCGTGAAATGCTCGTTTTACCTCGTCACCATTGTTCACACTTTCACCACAGGGTAAATTCGTCATCATCAAGGATCTGGCAGTCATCCTTCCTGAGACTGTACTGCCCGAAGCGACTGTCGTCCCTCCAATGACAGTCTGGGGTGGTAATCCAGGTGAGACCCGTGCCCTATCTCGTTCCTATTCCAGCACTGACCCTCCACCAGGCCAATTGCTCGATAGTCTACCCGAGACACACCAAGAGATGGTTGAAGCAAAATGCAAGGGCTTTTACTCGCGGTTCAGAGCAGCGTAAAGGATCGAAGCGAAGTGGATGATACCCCGCATAGGTATACCTGAGCAAATACAAAACATGTGTCATATCGTCATGTCATCAAGGTCATAAGCATTCTAACATCGTGGTCGTCAAAGATCGTCGAACGCGCACATTCCAATCAGGATCTGTCTCTCGATACAACTTCTCCACTCGCCGGTCGGCTCATTGGCACTCCCGCTTTCCTTCATCGCTTGTTCCTGGCTAGCCGATCGCCTCGCTTCGCTAGCTCGCCGGATGGCACTAGGCGTGGGACTGGTATACTCGGTTGTCGCCTTACCCTGTGCAAGTGCTTTTGTCCTCTCTTCTTCCCTCTTGTCAAATGCCTTGAGGGCCGCTGCAACTGAATCTGGCGAAGAATAACGAGTGCCCGGCGAAAGAGGCATCTGCTCCGGTGAACCTAGATGCGACGAGAGCCGGCTCAAAGGCGTCCCATCTCGGAAATTGGCAATGCCACCTGAAGATTGTCGGGACAGAGACGAGGCGCTTGACGAAGATCGTTGTGGATGAGATCTTGATGTCTGTCTGCCTGCCCAGTAGCTCGATCGCGACGCGTAGGGTTCCTCGACGGATGGAGAGGGCTTCTCAATACCCATCAACCGAAGATGTGCTTCCATCCGATGACGCTCCCGACGATCCTCCTCGTCTTCCTCTTCTGGAAAGCTTTTCCGTGGAGGCCTGGCGGTGGTAGGTTCTGATGCTGGAGGAGTCGCCGTGCTGGTCTTGTTCGCAAGCGCAAGCGGTCTTAGTGCAGGATTTGGCTTCGGCTCGGCTGGAGAGCCTAAAGTCGGTAACCCGAAGCCAAGAGATCGGAGATCAAGTGAGAATCCTCTCTTTGCCTGGAATTGCATTAGTCCGAGGTTGGTAAGGCTTCCACTTACCCTTTTGTCCATCTTCGCTTCTTGCTTTGTGTTCTCTTCCATCTTCTCAGGCTCTGCAGTCGTCACGTCACTTGTTGCCCGACCAAAGAAGCTCAATGGCCTAGATTTCTTCTCGACGCTCTTCCTGCTGATCTCCGCCGGCAGAGACTCCTTCTTGACCTCAGTCTGAGCTTGCATGTTATCCGCTAGCTCTTGCAAACTACCGCGTATTGGACCAGAGCTTTTCTTCGCGCCAAATCGGCGCGTCTTGTAATCGACAGAGAGAATCTGCTCAAATCCTTCTTGCGTGATAATGCGGTCGATGATCTAGGATGCCGTGAGCCGAAAGCGTGTTATGTCCTGTAGTGGAACTGACCTTTGAGCAGTATAAAGTCAAGGCTTTGTTGGCTTCCCTCAGATTTTTGATCTCCGTTCGCATGGCTGGGTCCAGCTCAGTCTGGGCCAAACAACGATCACCATACGCACCTTCGCCTTCGTCGCCCTTGCCCCACACCCTCATCTGGCCTGCGTCCACTTCCACCTCTGCCCTTCCAAGTTCTGCCGCGAGATCCAACCCGACCCCAGTTTCTGGTAAATCCCCCAAAGATTCGACCTTGCGTATCTTGCCCTTTTTAGGTGGCGCAAGATGACCACTGGACGAGATGCTCATCGAGCCTGACTCGCCATCCAAAGACTTCACAAAAACATGCTCGTCCTCCAAGATTGGAGATTGCGCATTCAGGTCCGAGTTGAGTTCATCCATCTCCAACTCTTCGTCTAATGCCTCCAAATGCCCTCCTGCACGTCCAGACGGCGTAAGAGAATCGTCATATCTTGAGACCACATCACAGCCAATGTCAGGCATCTTGCCGGAAAGAGTCCGCTCTCTGACAAGATATTCCCAACCGGCATTCTCCTCCAGAAGCTCGACATTGGCTTGACGAAGCTCTCCCACTTCTCTGTTCACAGTGTCGAGCTGAGCTAAGAGTGTAGAATTCGAGACTTTCAGTGAGGCCAACTCGTCTTTCAAGTCGGAGATGTGGCCGTCGTCGAGAGATTCAGAGACAGGGGATACAGGCTTGGAGGATTTCGCAGCGAGCAAGGCTCGGATGCGCTGTTGCAAATGCGTTTCTTGGTCTTTCAGTGCCCTTCGTTCCGCTTCAAATGCCGCCTCCTAGAAACGATCAGCGTGTCCGAGTCTCAAGGCGGCCTCACCTGCTCGGCAATTCTCTTCTGAGCCTCTCGAGTTTGCGATTCCGCCTGGGACAATCGCTCGCGAAGTCTAATCAACACCTCATCTCGCTCCATAAGATCGCTCTCAAGCCGAGTCTGAGTTAGAGTGTCAGATCCTCCCGATGGGCGTGATGGTTCTCCACCCACCTCTTCGAGATATGCATCCTTCGCTTGAGACTGTAACGTCCTTAGGCTCGTTGCGAGTTCCTTCTTCGCCCGCTCGGCAGCCGCGACATCCGCTTCGAGATTCTCGACTTTCTGTAGGAGCTGACAAGATGAGCTTCCAAAGATTCTGGGATTACTCACCCTATCACGGACATCCCATTCTTCTTTCAGAGCCTCCTGTATAGCTTCTCTGCTGGCTCCATTGAGCTCTTCCTCCGTCCTTTCCCTCAAGCCACCCATCGTTCCCGCTCCTCTTGCAGAGGTCATAGGATTTCTGTTCAGCTCTTGAACAAGTTCAGGTCCGGAAGCTGAGGCCGTACCCGGTAACAAAGACCGTCGCTTCGCCCGCGAGGGGGGAAGCGGCCGATGGGAGCTGGGATGATCGTTGGGTAAGATCTCGAAAGACATGATAAAGGTGATGGGGCCTTGGAGATATCTCTATTGTCCCATGATTCGACGAGGAGCTTACTGCATTTAATTGTCCTGCCCTGCCATCATTGCATGAGCCATAGAAGCCTGGGACGAGGAATGTAATCCAGATGTTTCGGCTGCAGAGTTTGGAATCGAGACCCGTCCCCATGCCCCTGGTGTTTCAGCCTCTCCTCATCGGCCAGGAGAAGGAGAAAAAGCGGGAGAAGCCGCCGTTTGAGTCTGCAGTGGCAGTGAGGCGGGACCGTCTTGCGATTGCGGAACGGATATGAACCTCGACTAGAAAGAAGGGTATTCACCGGTTTTGCTTTATCGCCTAGGACTACATCAGGTTCCTCAACCCATGCAGACTTTGATTGGCACAGCTGCCCCATCGGGGCATATATGTAGAATCTGTCTCACACTGATCGAACTTCCGGAGGACCCAGCGCTGACGTTGTCACACCTTACACCAAGTCTTGTCAGTCCCTGTCGGCAACTGGTTGAGCCACCACACGAGCGCTACGTAGGATCAAGTATTACTTCGTCTGGGTTTCGAGTCCGACCAAGAAAATGTTGTTAGGATTAGTTCGACCTGCAGACTCACAGATGATCAAGACAACCCAAGCGAAGAGGAATCAGAGATACCAGTTACTTCACGCCAGCGCTGTAAGTACCGAGCCTCTACTGAGGGAGACGGGTCCCGTTCGCCAGCGGGATGTAGCCCTCACTGCCTCAATCCAAGCTTATCTGACTGTAGACTATACTCACGGAGCGATAGATCCTCGAAATAACTACATTGATCCAACCTCGACTGTTTCGTCCATTGGTGGACAGCTAAAAGATCAAACTCGCTCAGGTGGTTTCAAGTTCACACTTGATAGTGCACGGACCGGATCGCGGTGTATCAGGACTTTTCCAGTTGCTCAACACTGCTCGACTCTTGACAATTATCGTTCACGCTTCACTGCACTACCCATTCGATCTGTCGAGCACCAAATAGATTACTGGTCACCGAGTGTATCCCTCGAGACTAGCCTGTTCGCTGGCCCGAACATCAACACGCAAGAGTATCGGAAGCTCCACTATTCGAATCGTGCTGAACGAAACCCTCGTGAACAGGAAGGCGCAAAAATGCCAATGAGCGACGCACTGGACTCGGTGTTCGAGAGATTGAGGCTTGAGAAGTACCTGGACGAACGGCCGCTCGCAGGCAGCCTCAGAAACCAAAACCCTCCTCTGTTCTCAGGGCGGTCTCTTAAGCCTTCGGTTAGCGCAGAGGCGAACGTAAGTCATGTGGATGTTGACTCTAGGACTGAAGCGAGTTTGACCTACCAGCAGCCAGGTCGAAGTCGTCTGGATCAGCAGAATGACGGACTCGGTCGGCGGGATCGCGAAGAGGTTGCGGACTTGACAGCAGAGCTGCACCACCGCACAAACGCTTTACACGCACAGCTCCGACAAGCAAGCATGGAGCCAGTGAGAGGGCCTCCCTTGACGTCCCTCTGAATCCCTTCTCAGGAGACATGGCGAGCTAAATGTACCCCGCTCGAGAATCAGTCTCGAGCGAAGAATGAGTCTCTCGAAGAGACGAGCAAGCTCCTCGGATTGGCCAGTGTTCGCCTTCTTTCCGATGCAACGACCATCAAGACACTAGAGGATGATCTGTCCAACTTGTCTCTTCAGCTCGATGCTCGGACCAAGGAGCTCGATGCCGAGCGATCACTGCGGGAAGCAGCTGATGCCGCTCGAGTTGATGCCGAAGTGAAGGAAATGAGTGCTTGCAAGCATCAATCGACGCTTGCCAAGCACTTGCGGGAAGCCAATGACAAGTTGGCAGAGGTCCAAAAATCGAAGGATCAAGAAGCTGAAGGGAGAATGAAAGCTGAGAAACGAGCAGTAGATGCTGAGCAAGCGGTGAGTGAGATGGATCAATGGCACCTACGATACTGAGTCTTAAAGGCACGACGTAATGGCAGGTGGGGTCCACCTGTGAATGCTCGGGTCGTGGCGGAGTTGCAAAACCACATCAAGAATCTCAAAGGTTCCCTCGAACGATGCAATGTCCAGTTGGCTGATTCCAAAGCAAGTGCCAATCCCCTCCACTTGGGACGTTGCCCTCTGCTGACCTGATCGGCGCAGTCAGAGACAGCCAGGCTGAAAGACAAGATTGAGCAGATCAGAGCCGACAATACGGGCCTTCGAGCAAGAAACGACGAGTTGACTCAGCATGTGAGTGGATCAGTTTTTCTGGAGAGCTCACATCTTTGTACAGGCTGAAATGCAACGCAAGGCCGAGGACGATCGCAATCAGTCTCGAAAGCATCTGCAAGCCGCTGTGAGCTGCCATATGTGCATCGAGAAGGCGCTGAATGCTCAATAGGAGAGTGCATTGACCGAGCACAAAGCACGTAATCAAGCATTGCAGGAGCGCCTCGACGAGGCAGTCGAGAATGGGCAGCTGCTGGCGGGACAGATTCAGGCGGAATCGACAGGGGTGAGATCAGCTGACTTGTGCATGACACCACACGACAAAACGCTGAGGACTACTGTGCAGAGTCTCAGCAGCCAGTTGGACCCTGCGACAGAACGAGGGGTTCCTCGAGCGACCTCAGAAGTGATAAGCAATGGCTCGAGTGATATCGTCGTGAGTTCAGATCTTAAGATGAATTTGCTCGCTCATGATTTGCTCTGCCACTCACAGCTCAGTGAACCTGAAGCTTCCTCAGCACCTCGTCCTTCCAGTCCACCGGTATCAAAGAGCCAAACACTGCAAGGGCCCAATCGACTGCTTTCAGATTTCCAACTATGGTGGCGCAGATGAAAGACGATCCAATATTTGAAGAGGTCAGCTACAACTTTCCTTTGCTATCAAGCTGATATCGTCCTGTCAGGCGACGACGATTCCCTCCCAGGCCGAGATCTCTGATCACACCAACGCGAAGCAAGAGATGGATCCGATTAACATCGCCCCTACGCATGTCCGCCTGGGACCGACATCCTTGGGAGACCTGTCATCTATCAGCTCAGGCATGACTGAACTAGCTGCCATCGGCCCAGGGACGAACACCGCCCCAAAGGATCACTTTATCCATTTGTCTCAAGCGCGAGCATCTCGCGATCCTTACGTGAGTGGCCTACTTGTTGACGGACCTACTGTATTGAGCGCCTCAGATTGGTCTTGAGAGTGTTTTCGTTCATTCTACTCTTCCTGTGTCACCGCCGATAGCTGCTAGTCCAGTTTCGTCCCGCGGAAGAGAGCCTAAAACGTTCGACCATCTACTCGATCATCTTCAATTATCGTCTCAAACCCTTCAGCCAAGTGTCGGTGGGAATAGCAGACAAGAGACAACCAATTTTCTCCTGTGAACGCCTCGGCGCTGCCAAAGAGGAACCCCGTTCCTGAGCTGAGCAAGCTGCTTGAAAGTCGAGATACATCCATGGTTGATTAGGTAGTGAACGTCAGTAGGGTCGAGCTTCGATCAGCCCAATTTCCGCACACCATAAACCTATTGATCAACCAAATTGAATATTCATACCCCTCAACGAATCTCGACAAGACAGTCCACACGCCGGAGCTTACAATCAGTATCCTGGTTACTAACCATCTTCTATTCTACCTGAGTATAAGTACCAGGGAAGATACCTTGTCTTCCATCGATACGCCCGGTCCACCAATCGTCCGCACTTTCTGTCTGTTCAATAATTTCGATTCTGTCTCCCGCTTTGAATGAAAGATCTCCCTCGGCTTGAGCTTCAAAGTCGAATATAGCCGTAGCGTATCGTTTGGCAGAGTAGCTCGGCTTGGCTTTGAGCGGTGGTGGCGGCGGTGGAGCCTTCTTGATAGATGCAGATGATGGCGTAGACGTGTAGGGAGGAGGAGCAGCTACTGTCCTTGTTGGCGGTGCGGCGACATCAGCCTTGGGACTGTATCCTCCGGCCGCTTTATGGTCGGCACCTTGACGGGACGAGCTGATGGAAGGTGATCGTCCGACTGATCCTCCAGATTGTCGAGCCTGTTGTAGCAGTTTTGCTGTCGGACAAAGTCAGCAAGATTGTCGTCTTCCATAAACCAGGCGGCCTCACCTGTTGACTGGACACGCTTGGTAATGTCCATCGATTCGATCTGCTCCGCAGTGTCTCCTTGCTGCTCCAGATAGATGTTTTCGATGTCCTTCCTGGTAAGATCGTATTTTCCATCCGAGTACGATTGGATCTTCTCCAGCATAATGTAGTAAACATTAAGCCTGGGAAACGTGTGAGCGTGAACGTCCAGTCCAACGACTCTGACACTCACTGCATGTAGTAGAACGAGTGGTATAGCGGATCGATAAATCGAGTGGCCATCTCGATGAATGCTGGAAGCTCAGTTTTCAACATGTTATTGTAGTGCTCGTATTCTCCAGAAGCAAGTTCAAAGTCTTGTTCGACCTGTGGGATGGTGCGTCAGGCCATGGAACTCATGCTAAGCCCCATGACCTACCTTGAAAGTATTCTTCTCATCGGACAAGCTCTTCTCCTTTTTGTTTCTGAGCTTTTCCAAACTGTTATTATGACGATCATAATCGACCAATTTGTGATCCCTCTTGGTACAAGTTTTTCTGATCTTCTTGCAGATGTCCACGAGCTCTTTACAAGGCTGAACGATCTTTGCTTCGATCAATTCGAGCTCCGGTGCCAGCGTCTCTCGAACTTCCTCCATGAGACGTTGATACATGTCAATGTTCTTCAGTGTGATTTCCGACTGAGGATGCTTCTGAGCAAGGTTGTATTCTCCGCCCATGGGGGAAAAGAGGGTTTCAAGGGATCCGGCAAAATTGGACCCAGAGTGGAGCAGGGCTATTGCACAAAGTCAGTAAGGGGAAACGCAAGAGAAGGGTCTTCTGGGTGGTTGGGAAATCTTGCTACCCAAACTTCACGGAACTCACTCGTTACTGAATCTCGGAAAGTCGCCGATTCCTTGTACATCTTCTCGCAAGCAGCTTCAACAGCCGCAAACTTTCGTTCCCTGGGGGAAATACAGACGTCAGATTCCGATATCGCCAGTGCGTCGAGAATGACCAAGCATGAAACAACGGGACCTCTTGGCAAAGTACCACTCACCAATCATTGTATTCTGGATCTGATGATTCTAAGGTCCCGTCAGATTGCGAGCAAAACGTCTCAACATCTAGACTCACTCTTAGCCATCCCAATTTTGGAAGTGAGATTATGCGGCGTCCTAGGTCGTCCGAGTCAATTACCTATCCCTCCGCATACAGACAAGGACGGGGTTACTCTCATGTACCCCCTCCTTGGCATAGACTCACCGCGCCAGAGCTTTCGTGAGGCCTTTCATCCTGCCTTATACGTCTAGCTTTTAGAGCCAAGAGCTTCTGCCAGAATAATCTCGTATTTAACGTCCCTCAAACACAAGACTGAAGGGCCAAAGACTACAATGCCCAGTCCAAGGACGAAGATGGACAGCAATTATTAGGCGGCGCAGTTCCGAAGGTGGTGCCGCTTCGAGCGAAGGTAAACGTCACTACACCATTTCTTACGTAAAATATCGGCTCGTCCCTCTAATCCCTTGGCTTGTAGCTTGAACACCGACCGATCTTCTGTCCATATCTTCCTGGATTTGTGTAGACCAGACCCATTGACGGTCCATATTTCTCGACCATGTCTGAGCTTTGTCCACCATGGGCACCATTCTTCGGGTGAGTGAACGTCGACCTTCTGATCACGTAGTGCCCCAGGGGGAACGCATCCAAATAAAATCCAACCTTTACACCGCGCTGACCTTGATCTCAGATTCGCAGGAGTCACCAGCGCAGTGAGCCATATGTCGAGACTTCTAGAAGACCCAAATACTCATGGGTCCTCTGCAGATGGTGCTATCGACTATCGGAGCCGCTTATGGAACGTCTAAAGCAGGTATAGGTCTCGCTGGATTGGGTCAATTCAGGTGAGGTTTTGACGGCATTTGGTTCCGGACACGCACTGATTCATGGTATAGACCTGAATTGATCATGAAGGTAATCGTCTCCTCCGCCGCGATGGAATAGAATTCACTGACCCTCATGCCCCCCTCTCATTCAAGTCTCTGATCCCCGTCGTCGTAAGTCTGATTGCGAACGATCGACCATGATCATTGCTGACCATCAATCCGCTCAGATGTCCGGTAGTGAGTCCTGCTTCAGGCTCTCAGTCGAAGCGCGATGCTCATCTCGTTCCCAGTCATCGCAGTATATGGATTAGTAGTGTCTGTCCTCATCTCAGGAGGCAGTGAGTCGGACCTGACTCTACAGCTCAGGAAACCTCGATTGCTGATCATTCCTGTAGTAACCCCAAGCGAGCCATACTCTTTGTTTGCTGGTTTCGTTCACTTGGCAGCTGGTCTAGGTCAGCTACACTTCTCTATCAATGATGCAAGCTGATGCTCCGATCAGCCTGTGGCATGACAGGTCTCGCGGCGGGGTACGCCATCGGTATCGTGGGGGATGCTGTGCGTTTCCCTCCTCTAGACATGGACATCGTGCTGATCTTGATGTTCAGTGTGTCAGGGCGTACCTAAACGAATCACGAGTCTTCGTCGTCATGGTCCTGATCCTTATCTTTGCGTGAGCTCATACGCCGTGAAAACCGGATCGTCGCTCATCTACCACCCTATCTACACAGCGAAGTCTTGGTGAGCTGATCAACACGTCACCTGGATGTGGAACCCAGCTGATAGTCCTCAGGGACTGTATGGACTCATTGTCGCTCTCATTCTCAATACTTCAGTCGGTGATGTGGTGTGTGGGGCATAGAACGTCTTCCTCAACTCGCAGCCTCATCACCTTCACGTTACAGCATGCACGCATTGATTCATGTAACAAGGACATCATATCCAATCCTCGAGCCCGTCAGACCTGGATAGAAGGGCCGGGTCTGTATTCGATGATGGCTGACGATTCGAGACGAGGTGTTCCGGAGGCACATTACAAGTTTCGGTCCATCCTCACGTAGTACCAACCCCTCCGCTAATCACGATGATCTTTTCTATCACCTTCGGCGACGCGATGTGGCCAGAAGCGGCGGATACTTGACCCAGAAGTAGCTGACGTGCAGGTCAGCCAACTCATTGCTCACATCGACAATTGTATCTCACTTCGGCTTCGGAGCTGCTCACAGCGTCGATAAACGTCACGACGGGACCCGCAACAATGATACCGGCATCTTGTCCGACGATATTGGCGCTGAGCGGGGTCTCGGAGTTTGTCACGAAGATGTGTACTACCAACCCGATTGGCGATAACTCGAATGCTCAGCATTTCAAAGCTCACCTGGACCGTCAAGACCGTCTGGGACGACGCAGGAAGGAATAGGAAACACGAGAGCCTCTGATGCACCGCCAACAATCATGTTGCAGAACAGTGTCTGGAGCAAAGGGTCAATTGGAGTGTTTCGTTACGTTCGGATCAATTTACGGATTGATCCTGCCCCTCAAGGCCTGCACCTCCAAACGTCAACGATGTTCCTGTTCCAATGGCCTCAGCGTTGGTCAAGCTCAACGCGGGAGTAGCTGCGCGAGATATACTGTCAGCACTTGGACGACGAGTTTCGGGTCGTTTCAACGCACGCTGCAGGCCCAGCGCTGCCATTGGATCACAACCTCCCGAAATGAACGGCGCCGCGACGCTGAGTACCTGTTGAGGCGAGAGCACCATGTCGAAAGCATTTGGAATGGATGATCCTCCTAAAAGACAATCAAGAAGCTGCGGAACCACGAGGGCCTGTCTCACCATTGAACGCGTTGAGTTGCGAACTATGCCTCGCTTCGACGGTCAAAATCTCCGCTGCGCTGACCAAGAGGGATTTATCCGAACTCAACGTGGCGCCACCAATGTATCTGCGCATTACAAGCGATTCAGCACCAACACCATTTACAATTGAGGAACCCAGCTTGGAGGGTCGCAGAGACTCACGCATCGACACCGATAAACTCTAACACCCTAGCAGTCTGTAAGAACGTCTTGACGGATCCTAAAGCCGCGGAAAAATCAAATTGACAAGTATCCACATCGGACGTATCGCTTCCTAGGGACTGGGCGACCGCTTGAAGAGTGGTCAAATGGATCTTTTCGTCCTCCGCTATGATTCTAGACGGGAATGGAATTCAACATTGGCCCGCACCTGGGTACTGATACGGATTTCACCTGCTCTCCCCGACACTCACTTGATCTGGTCGAGGAAGACTTGAGCATTACTGATTCCAGCATTGAGACAATCCGATTCGCCAAATTTGGCCAGACCTTGGGCGTAAAACGTAGATTCGAGCGATTCAGCGAGCGCGGCAAACTGAGTCCGTTCCCTATTGTCAGCCTTTCCTTCCAGCATCGTACATCATGTTCCTCATCGAGCCAACGTTCCACTCACCTTGACGACCGTCAGATCGGTAGATGCTGCGTCTCCTTGACGTTTGAAGTACGATTGACGAAACACAGCCTTGGGTGTCGGGGCGGCGGAAATCGTGAAGGACAATAAGAGACACACAAAGGTGACGATAGCCAGCATGGTGTGAGTGATGTAGCTTGAGAACGCGGTCTGTGAGTACAGTACGTTTACAGAGAGTATTGATTCGCCGGACGTTCGGTGGAAGCGAAGGATATGGCTTTGTTCGAAGTTCTGTCTCCAGGACCGAGAATAGGATCGTAGAACTGAAAGAAGGGTGGTGGTCACCAGGACCTGAGGGATCGAAAGAGCGAGAAAGCAGGTACAGATCAATTTGCTATTGATACCAGAAAAGTGGACGAATTACAACGATGGTCATTCTTATTCGCATGACATCTTATAGTCTAACTTGCAATATGGCCGACTTAGGGCTCCCTCTTGGCATCTGATACGACTGACCATCAAGCTCATAATTCGATGGACTTGGATCCCAAGGAGACGGGCTCCAGTCGCCAGGCACACACAGTACGGTATCCTAGTTTCTGGGTCTTGCCACATGACTCGCCGCCGCGTCAGACGTCGTTGAGGCGTCTCCGCTGTACCTTTGGACGTCATGACAACAACAAATGGCCGATAGTGCCGAGATTGATGCTATACACTCTGGCTACATGCGGAAAGTTGCGTGTTGTACACACAGTGAGAGTTGCGCAGCACTGGACGAGCTCAGGACTGGAATAAGAGGATACCCAAAGGCAATGAACGAATCCATGAATGGCCGACAGGACCAAACTGTCGAAAGGGACTATCCCTGGCCACCCCTCACACCTCACCCAGACCCATGCCCATGTCTATACCCTCTTCTCCGTCTCCTCCGTCAAGCCTGAACACCCTCTTCATATCCTCCACGGCCTGACTATCGTGACCACTCGGCATATTCTCTTCACCTTCCACCGGTTCTTGTTCCTCTTCTTCCTCTTCGGCTCTCCTGGCAGCTTCAGCGGCCGCTGCTGCATCCACGACTTCGAGTAACGATTGACCATGGGGTTCCCAAGCATTGGCAAATATACTCTCGACCCCTCCTTCACCCGAAACGTCCGGTTGGACATCTCCACTCGGTTGACCATCCATTCCGGACGCTGCAAGGTTGAAAGCCTGTCCTTCTAGCGCTCTTCTCACCTCGTCCTCGGCTTGATATCCTTCATCCATAGTTGGAACCACTTCCATGCGGATATCGTCGTCGACTCCGCCGTCGGGATCTTCTGGTGGTTCCTGTCCTTCCGGATGATTCTCTTCATATTCCCGCAACAGTCGAATGTATTCTTCTCGGTTCTTCCTCAACCTCATCTCTCTAACGAGGTATCCTGGAAACTTTCTCGGTCTCCCCTTTCGTTTCGCAATACCCAATTCTTTTCTCGCGCGAGAAGCCTCGTATTCTGCCTGTTCATCTGGGTCTCTGACTTTTGGCGGTCTACCACGAGGTCGTTTAGGCGGAGGCGTCTTTTTCCGTCTGGGTTTACGAGGCTTCGTCACAGCCTTGTACTTGTTCTTAGAACCTTTAGGTCGACCTCGACCCCGTTTCACGCTGACCTCGAAAGGTGGTGCATCGATCGTGGAGGAATCTCCTGCGAGGCCGCTAGAGGGGATAGTATGCGTGATGGAAGAGGATGAGGCGATGGGTTGAGAGGCTTCTCCAGTGGATAGGTCAAAGTGAGCCGGAGGTGATTGACCAAAGTTTCCGGGGAACAGATCGCCTGGAGGGATGGTATCATCAGCGGAATGATTGAACTCGAAAAGAAGACCAACGACTGACTCAGGTTCGCCTCGGTAAAATGTTCCAACGTATTCTGCAGACTCTGCTCTATACGATCCCGCTCCTCATGCTCTGCCAAGTGAGACGCTTCGTGACTGTTAGTTTCTGATGGATGTAGCGCATCGCGATGGTGTATATCGTTCGACTAGATAGAGGGGTGTTAGTTATGACCTTGGAGAGAGAATCTACCTGTGAGGCTTGATTCAAGCTGTTGACGATTTCTCTCCAATCCGGATCAAGATCTTCATCCATTCCTCCCCCTGCACCACCACCACCACCTCCTCCTCCAGCAGCTGTGATGGGCGTACTGTCCGTGATGGCATCCTCGACTGCGCCAGTGGAAACGGGACCATGATGCGCCAAATTTTGCTGTTCATCGACCACCGTATCCTGCTGTGAACGCGATTGACTGATCTTTCCAGATACGTCTTCACCTCCTCCTCCTCTAGCTACCTGTTGAGCTCTATCAACCAGGTCGACGAGGGATGGATCTATAGGGATATGATCATCCAAGGCTGACTGATCCAGATGGGACGAAGTGACGTCCCCTGATTCTCCTGATATCTTGATGCCTTGACGCAGCTTGGCTGGCTGTTTACCTTTGGCCATAATCTCAGCAGGTGGATCACCAAAGTGGAGGGGGTACCGGTGGCCTGTTGGGATTAAATCAAAGGGAAAAAGAGGGCACGAAACAAAACAAAGGAGCCCAGGGTTGGAGTGGCAAATGAAGGGGTGACGTGACGCATATCGCCGAACCACCGAGTTGAATGTGGCAGATGAATCCATTCACTGGGGTCTCGCTTGATCATGCTATTCAGTTGATTCCACCTTGGGGCTGAACTTCGACTCGGCTGCGTCGACGGAGCATGCCTCGTGCAGGTCATTGACAGCCGGATCATTCATTCAATGCCATCATGCAACTGGCCTGTGTCCTGACGACGGAAAGATGGGTCGCACAGCGCTGAGGCATACCTCAAGACCTGGTCAGGAGTGTATCCATTCGCTTGAGACAAGTACTGATAACAGGAGCGGAAGGTCGACAGAAGTAAAGTCCCTCAGAAGTGCCTCATGGGGAGGTACTGCAATGATGTACCATCTAAACGAGAGTCGCTAAGAAGGCACAAAACATGGTCGTCCCCTGCCTCCCCCTCTCCTTTCTACATTCATACCACACACGGATCATCTCGGATACCTTTGAGAGCGCTATATTGCTACATAAGGGGAAGGTGGGACCCAACTCTTCTCCTCCTTTAGTTGCTGTGGGCCGTGCTTGGCTGGCCTTTCAAAGCTCTAATCATCTTCCTTTGATCCCATTGACGTCAAGCAAGAGTCATCATCACCGTCATTTTCATCCTGACGTCCACCCGCGGGGTGGTGTTCTCTTTCCCCTTGTACTGACCCAACCATTCCCCTCCCCCCTTTCTACTACTCAAATTTTGTTGTCGCAGCATCCCTTGCCAGCTCTACGTCTTCTTCTTCTTCTTCTTCTTCTTCTATATATTCACCTTTCGCTTCTGCTGCACCCCTTCTCTCGCTTGGAACCAAAGGCCCAACAACACAGCCTCAATCCAAGTACATAACAGTCCATTTTCATCGGCCCTCATCTATTCCAAATACGACTCGCTTCGTCCGCGCCCACGCCCGCGCCCGCTAACCATGACCACATCAACCACACCCACCTTTGCTCGAGTCAGCTCTCTGACCCACTGGACAAACCTTTTCCACCCTGTGACCGGGGCTTTCAGACTCCCATCTACCGCTGGAGAATACATTGAACACCTCGATATCGATCTAAGATTCGTACATTGCGAATTTCAAGACGTTGGCTCCCTCCTTGGCCCAAAGGCTCTCGAGAAGACTCTTTTGCCCTCTGGACCCGTCCATCTGCCCAAGGTCTGTCTGTTGACTTTGCGAGGGGCGGAGCACTGTCAAGATTGCGATGAGTCAATGGAAGCGTTAGCAGAGGTTCTAGGCGTCATCCGTCCCGTGGAAGTGAGATGGTGAGTTTGAGACATGACTTTACATCACAAAGGGGAGAAACGATGGCTGCATGCTGAACTAGGCCCCTCGGACCTCAGGCTCAATGCCAGTACTGATCCAAGAGAACAAGTCACATTCGCGACACACCTGGTGCACGACGCCATCATCCAAGCGGGTCATCAATGGGCCATGCATGAGTCATTGCGAAAGCTCGTCATACAGGGTCAGTCGGCGTGGAGATGCCTGATTGATTGATCAGTACTGAGAATTCTCTCCTAACACAGGCGGCTTCCCCTGCCCCAATTTGACTGCGCCCACTCCGTTCAACCTCACCCCAGCGACTACTCCTGCATCGTCTCCTGGACCTCACAGAACGACATTTGGGACTCTCGCCTCGGCTCTGCCTTCGTTAAGCACTATCAAGCCGAAAGCCAAGGCAAGTTGACTGCCTATCAACGCGGGTTCTCGCAAAGCAGCAGGAAGTTGATCCCCTGAATCTCTAGGTGGTCGACGAGGATCGACTTAAAGCGCGTGCTGAAAGACAACGACTCGCAGAGTACACTCTCAAACCACGATTTGAATTTGCGTTCGGTAGCTGGGGCGCAGAGTCGATTCACTGGCGACTCGACGGTGAGACACCCATCCCACGTCAGGTGTGTTTGACATTCACACTGCTCAGGACGTTACACCTCCACCTGTATCAAATCCATCGCCGAGCAGCTGTTCAAAGCACTGAACAAGACCTGGCCTCACCCCGCTACTCACTCACATCTCCCTCTTCCGTCCTTGTTCGTCTTTACGCCTCTGGACCCTCTCAGTGTCAGCAAGATCCGAGCTCTACCAGATGCCCTGGATCTGTCCTCCGAAATGAGGGACTACATCGACGACGTCTTCTTCTTCACTGCTCAGTTTGGAGCGCCAATGCACGCCCGGATGTTTGAACAAGAGGACCAAGTGCCCGTCAGCGATAGATCTCGACAGGCAAGACGCCTCAAAGCTGAAATGATACTTTTGCACAATGGTCCGAATGTGATTGTCGAATTGGCTCAGTTGATCCCTTCGATACCGGATTCCACCAACTCGTCAGAAGCTGGAACACCCCCTGGTACAGCCAAAGATCAACTGGTCTTTCGTCTCGATGGATCCGATTCATCACCGGGAAGCTTGCCTTCCATCATGACAGATCACGAGGGCGGCGTGTCGTCCGACGAGGAGGATGCCGTGGCGATGACTCCGGATCTCGGGACCAGTCTCGTCATGGATGAAGGGGCTGTGACTGCCTCAGACAGAGGTGGCGGCGGATGCAAATCTGGACCTATTCCTATCAGGCAGGGCTCTTGGGGAGTTTAGCGACGAGCAGTCGCTTAGGTCGGATGTGGTGAACAAGCAGCCTGCCTGACCTTTAGATACCACGAAAAAGGCTCTCTTATGCCTCTTCTGTACATGTAGCGAGAGATCAAGTCGACCGTTCTTATCGTTCCTGTATCCGTACTTAGTTTTCATGCCAAATAGTCTCTTGTCTTTCTCGATGATCAGCACTGAGTTGACATGTCACGCCCTGCCCATCTCATGTCAGCGTATGTGTTGCAAAATTCTCTTATCACTCGGCCGGCTTGAGTCCGTTCATTCCCTTTCGTCAGACAATGTGCCGCCGAGAGGCAATGTCAGCGGTACAACTCTCTCAATTCAATCAAAGGGCAGGCTATCTAAGCCCTCGGGATTTCGAACGATGCTTGTCCATCGATCTTCAGGCGCAGTATACTACCCAGAAGATCGAGGTACGTCACCGTCTGTGTAATGATCGCGCAGGATATCTCAAAACATAAAAAGGTTGTCCACCCGAAATCTCGGGCGAGATTATTATTTACATGTATCGTGGCGAAGCCAAGCCCGTATCATCTGTGAGCATCGGCGAAAGGAGGCGCGCGACCGTTTGGACTGCTCTCGTCGCTGTGACAATGAACTCAATCGTGAGATCGTAAGACATGTGCTTTTCCTTGCAGCGTGGGCATACATGATATACTCGATGAGTCCACCCCCTTCATATCCAGGAGGCAGGCCTCATGCGTGATTCGCTGCCGAATGGAGCGGACAACCTCGTCTAGTGTTGAAGCTTATGTTTTTCTGAGTGGTTTTTTTCCCTTCTCTCCTAACATGCCTAGTCCACGCTGTTCACGCTGTTCACGAGCGCGCAGACATACGCTCTCAGCAGCTGCCCTGCCTTGCCCGCCGTCCCGCCCCTCTTCCTTCTCAACAACAAATGGACCCTCGTGCCATTATTAGGGAATCAACCAGCAAACCTACGAGGGACAGTGGTTTCTTGGCAAAAGGTATAATTCCGAATCCCCGGTCAATTCACCGTTTGACCGTGTGTGATCTATCCCTTTCCCACTTGACTCTACTCTGAAGTGATCCCCTCACGGCCACCGAAGTCCTCACCGCCCCCTTCAACCTCAATTTGCCCCTCCCTCTTGTACATACCTCCATCCGCAAGCAATAAGCCACACTGTACATCCCGCATCTCATCTAGGTGCTGCTGCTGCAGTTGGGCCCATTTGTTCATTACATCTTATTTATTTACTACTATTTGGTCAACCAACGGGGAAAAACGAAGGAAGAGGAGGTAAAAAAAGTTTTTTGATTAGGACAACCCAAGGAGCGAGCAGCAGCCGAAAGTACGGTAAGGTAGCTAGCTGGCCGGCGCCACCCCTCCGTCAAGTCAGACCGACAGCAGTGGCAGCAGCAGCCAGCAGCGACAGCAGCGACAGCTGTAAAGACCATCCGTCATCGGCCAATCGTAGCTTCGTTCCCCTCCTTGTTCGATCTGACCGTTTGGGCATCCCACCATATCAATCCTCCTGCTTCGACGCCTCACGCCCTCACGCCCCGGATCCCGAAATTCCTATTATTGCTCCATCTCGTGAACCCCGGCCGCTCAGCGGTCAATTCGGCTTCCCATCTTGTGCGCTATTTGGACCCATTCCACGGATGATCAACGACAACCACACCAAGGATGATGAATTATTCGATACCTCTACAGGCTCAACATCTTCATCATCACTCACAACAACAGCAGAATAGGAATAATAATAACCATCAGCAGCAGCAGCAGCACCACCACCACCACCAACACCAACACCAACACCAACACCAACACCAACACCAACAGGCCTATCCGCATCCCGCCGGAGGAACAGCACCACCACCTCCACGAAGAGATTCAGCATCTACCACGACTTCAGGTGGACACTTGATGGATGGCGACTATTCAACGACACCACAACCTATGTTAGCGTCGTCGTCCGCCCCTGCCTCCGGCTCAGCCTCAGCCTCAGCGATAGGAGCTCAGAACCCTTCTTCTGCGTCTAACGGTGGACCTCAACAACATGGCGGTCCTCATCCAAGTAACGGTGGTGGACCTGTAATAACATCTTCTACTTTCACCTTTGATCCAACTCCTTCCAGTAATGGTTTTTCCAACCTGTCCTCTTTCCCCATCTACCACCCCGGTGTTGTGCACCCAGACACCTCTGGCCCCCTAGGATCATCACAACCGTATACCTCAGGTCAATCCTCCAATTCCAGCCTTCACAATCCTTTCCAGATGGGGCTACCCACATCTTCGACTAGGACGCGAAGGGATTCAGGTCCAGACGGCTCGAGCGGGTACAATAACGAACATGGACGGCAGGATGGTCGTGATAGTATGCGGTATTATCGCGCTCCCCCACAGGGTTTGAATGGAAACGGTGTTGGTGGACCGCCATTCATGCACCACTACGGGGATTCTCACAATCTGCACGTTGCCAGTCAACCCGGTCAACCTGGTCACTTGGGTTTATCGGCAATCCCTATGACTGCACCCATTCACTCAAATGACTGGCGACATCATCCCTCAGCACCTCTTCAGTCGTCTTGGAGCGGGTCAAATAATGGCGGTATAATCCATTCGGCCATTCCCACCCGAAGGAGCACCCTCTCAGGTACCGGCATGAGTCCGACCGCATACGAGAGTGATGGAGATGATCCCTACAGCGACACTCCAGCGGTGTCACGACGGAAATCAGAAGGTCAAGCAATGGAAGGTCTCAGACCTATGAAAAAGGGAAGGGTGGGCAGACCTCCAAAGCAGGCACAGTCGAAACAGAAGACGACGACGACGACAACGACACCGACCACGACCATAGGGCACAAACAATCGGGCTCGAAAAAGGCGAGAGTATCATCCTCTTCAGCTGCCACGTCTCCGGTGAAGAAGGAGGACGAGGTGAAAGTTGAGGATGAGGATGAAGACGGAGAACAGGAGGATGAGGAAGATCATGAAGATGAGCTCCGGGCAGTGGGAGATGCTCCGGAGGAAGAGGAAAAGATGGATCACAGGAAGAGGAAACGGAATAGAACCATACGAAGTTGTGTCCCGTGTCATAATCATAAGCGCAAGGTGGGTGGGGATTTGCCTTGCTTGCTTGCTTCTCGGAGTGTACTGACGCAATTGCGCTAGTGCGATAGGAGAAGGCCGTGTGGACGATGTACAGCATTGGGGCTAGTGAGTAACTCGGCGACCTGTTTTCGTGTTGTTTTCTTTCTCTCATCTAACCGTCAAACAGACTGGAACATGTGTCTACGAGGTCGACGATATCCGAGCCATGTCTGATCCAACTGTGGCCGAGTCTGAACGGCTCCGACGTCGCATAGCCGAATTGGAGAAAGTCGTCCGCGAGCTGAGGCAGCGTCAACCCAGCAGAGCAGCCACAGCAGCTGCTGCAGCCGCAGCGGCATCGACATCGGCGTCCGCGGCGGCCAACTCTTCAGGTCCACCGACCGTTGCAGTTTCCACCCCGAATGGAACGACAGACTCAAACCAGCCTAATGGCAGTGGTGCTGGGGATACCAAGAAACGCCGAGTCATTGTTGATCGATACGCGCGTCTCAAAATGGGCGAAGTGGTCTCGTTGGCACATGAAGCTGGGGCAGTGACGGACGGTGAAGGTCCAGAAGGTGATGCGACGCCAAATGGACACGCTCGAAGAGGTTCAAAAGACGATGGCGAGCCGGGTCAGGATCGGCATGGATCAGTCGGAGCAGGAGGTGAAAAGAAGGACTACTGGGCAGAACCGTACACGACGTACTTTTTACCCGGGGAAGAAATGGTCGAAGATAGAATTGGGAGAAGAACGTTTCTTGGTGCTTCGGCTGGAAAGTCGATGCTAAGGAGGGTGAGGCCGACATATCTGAGGAGGAAGATGACGACTGACGCTTTTGTGTCTGCATCGCAGCTTCGCGAGATCACGCGGGATGGGACCGTCGGCGAAGATTCAGACCTCTTGAGTATACCTGAAGAAACGGCTTTTACGGGAGTCTTTCCGGATCTACGCAAGACGTTTCCATTCACCACGATCTGGAGTCATGAGAATTTCTCTGGGGAGATTATCGGTCTCTTACCGGATAAGGAGCAGTCTGAAATGTGAGCGGGCCGGATGCTCAGAGGCGACTCCCTCTTTTGTGTGCACACTGACATTCCTTTAGCCTCCTCGCGACGTGGGAAGAGGAAGTTTCATCCTACTTCCTCGCTTGGCATGTGTGAGTCCCTGGGGGGCGAATGGCAAAGAACGGCGTCACTAAGCACTGCCCCTCAGGCCTTCTCTCAAAGGCGAATTTCGACGATTCTTCGCCATGACAACCGCGGAGAAGATGAATGTTCCTCTTTCAAGTCTCTCATTATTCTTGATGATCTGCTCTTTGGGTAGGTCGTCCTGATGCGCGTGATCCAGTCTCTGACCGCCCCTTTCCCTCAGGATGTGTGATGCGAGCGACTCGATCAGAAATATTTGGGCATCCCGATTCTAACGGCAGGGAAGATGAACCTTCGCCAAAGACCAAGGACCCAAAAGATATAACGAGCAGTCGGCTTCAGAGCGAGTTGTATCGTGAGTGACACGAAGGGAAGATGCATGTGTGACCGCTGACGCCGCTGAGCAGTCTCTGGCGCATACCAAGCGCTGCGTCTCTGTTCCTTCTTGTCTAACCCCAGCGTTGCGTCGATCCAAGCTCAGGTGGGTTTGTTCCCGGTTTTGCAGTGAGAAACCACCTCATGATGACATCCAGATCCTCGTCAATATCTATCTGTTCAACTCTGAGCGTGCTGCGGACGCTTGGGCTCAGACTGGATCTCTGGTCCGTCAATGCATCGCCATGGGTCTGCACGTCGACCCTGCAAGACTCGACGCCAAGATATCGCTTCGAGATGCCGAGGTTCGACGTCGGATCTGGTGGACCGTTGCTGGTCTTGACGCCCTTCTTTGCGTTTCGTTTGGTCGACCGAGCGTCATCAACTTTTACCAGACTAGTCTACCTCAAGATCGAACGGATGATAATCTGTCAGACTCACCTGGGACAGGTCAGCGTCTCTTGCCGCCTTCAAATGTCTTGTCAAACGAGACGACTGATATGACGTATCATGCTGCCTATTTCCAACTGACCATCCCCTCGTATGAGCTCTTGGATCGCATCTTTCATGTCGATCGGACATTCTCCCGATCGGCCATTTACGGTTGGTTCTCCCCTTCGCCAGATGGACAAGAAGGAGTAGATAATGGCAAAGAATCTGGGCACACGTACGAGGGTGCCATGCGCTTGGCCAACGATATCAATCAATGGTATGCGCATATTCCTCGTGACATGCGATTTGAACCGGAGGAAGACACTGCCGAGACGTTGAAAGCGTTATCTCCCAGACGAGTCAATCAACGATTGATCTTGTGTTCAAAGACTTTTATGATCGTGTAGGTGGCATTTGACACTCTTTGACGAGAAACGGTACTGACCTGACGATCTCCCACGCAGGATGGTCCTGCATCGACCGTACCTTCGTGCGGATCCAGCGGCATATCCTGAATCCTCAGAAATCTGCTATCGAGCAGCTCATCTGGTCCTGTCTGCGTACAGAGTTGGAGCAGGTGCAGGCGCCAGCTCGTTGTGGGTTTGGTGGACCGTCTCGTACAGAGTGAGTGTCTCAAGCGCAGTGCAATATCATTGGCCCTGATCCGTTCCTTTAGGCCTTCCACGCCGGGGCCGTGTGCGCTTTTCTGGCAATCAGGCAACCTGGGACGGAGCTAGCCCGACGTTGTATGGTGAGTGCAGCCATCCAAGCTTTGCAGGTCAAGAGCAGCAGTCTGACGTGTTGCTGCCCAGGATGATCTCCGTGGAGCCATTGCAGTCATTGAAGGGCGGATGACGGCTTGGAAGAATGCGCATCCTGTCCAAGCCGATCTCCGGGATGGTCTTATCAAGCTTGAGCAGCTTGCAACGTCAGTCATTGGTCAGCCTCGTAGAAATGGGAGCGCTGACAGGTATTCTCAGCGCGGCGACACGCCAAAAATCTAGTCCGACAAGTAGTAAACTGAGTAATGACACGCCTCTTACGTTTAACCCCAACCTGCTTTCGGCGGGATGGCAATCCCAACCTCACGACGCGTCTTATCCCATGGCCAATATCGACAGTCATCATCTGTTCCACCCTGGAGCACCGACCATGGGTGCTTTGCACCCTTCAACGCCCCTCTCTGAGATCAGAGGGTTCCCCGATTTACCCGTCACGTCTCCCGGTGTGGGAGTAAATGGTGTTCCGAGCCCGAACCCGGGCTATCCGATGATTTCTGGGGATACGACATTGAAGCAGGTCATTCCGTCTCTGGGTGGCGGCGCTGTCAGTGCGAGTTATTCCGGATCAGAATATCCATTCCAAAGTGATTCATTGGCGACCAACGAAGCGGTCTCTCTACCTCATGTGAGTTTGAGCTTCGCACGGGGAGGCAGGGGTCTTCAGTGTATGACGAGTGGATAGCTGATCGTCTTCGAGCAGTTCTGGGCATCCATGTTTGGTATTCGCATGGACAAAGAGAATGGTGAGATCCATGAGAATGGAGGAGTGAGTGGGTCGAGTGGACCTCCAGGCGGTGGAGGAGGAGGTGGAGGAAGAGGACAAGATGATGGATCTATGATTCCAGTTCCGAATCACATGTAGCGATTAGAATAACAAAATCAAACACGAAAATCTTTGTTTCATCAAGGAGATATGGTCAGGGTGATGAGGGATCTTGTACTAGTGGTAGTGGTTGAGGGGGGAAATGTCAGGTTGCATTTTGGATGCGACCATGGTGACCGCCACACAGGTGAATCAAAGAGATATCCCCCCTTGCCCGATTCCGGGCAAGGGGGATAATGTAGCGAGGCAGGAGGGAGGGTGATATGCTGAGCTGGTCGAAGACCGAGACATCAAGTATGTTAACCATCCCTCTTGCAAAGCGGCAGGTCGAGCAGGACCCGGGATGTGATATTCTATCTGCCACGGACAAGAGCTGTCTGGACAAATTAATAATTAAAACAGACGCCAAGGCACAGACAGGCACGGAAACAACATACCATAAATGAAAAAAGACGCATTGATCGCCCCCAGCATCCCAACCCAAAAAATGGTCTGGACCCCCCCCTTTCTAGAAGGAGCAAAAGGTCACATCTGCTCACTGTCCCCCGGAATGTCAGGTATCCCACCTTCGCCCGACCACCACGCTCATTTCACCTGAAAGCACCACCACCACCACCACCACCACGCTCTTTTGAACATACCTGGATTCTCTGATTGCGCGGTATGCGCTGGAGGACATGGACAGGGCCACGGACACGGTGTATAGACCTCTTCTTACTCACTACATGGTCCTTTGCCGTCGCTAAACAGACCGACCATGCTGTGCTCGATCTCAATGGGACGACGACCACGACTTCAACCTCTATACCTCTGCCCTTACCGCCTTTAATTGCCCCCCTGACACCTCCTACACCCACACCTATACCCATGGACCTTTTCTTGAGCTATAGCGTATCTACACCTTGTCTCAGCTATATGACTTCCACCCTATCCTCTCCCCTATTCTCTTCCTGTCTTCCATTCTCTCTCCTCCTCACTACATCCACCTCGTTCGCCAACCTCGTGAAATCATCCTTGAAGACTCGCAACCTGACGACTCTGAACGATCTCTTGGCTTATACCACCTCGCCTCAACCCTCCATCGATACGTGTGTATCATTCTTTCAGTCGACGCTATCAGACCTCTCATCGGATTCGCATTGTGGAAATGATCTCAAAGATGCTAGAGTACTGGCGGTGGAATTCGCTGATGGATTGGCAAACTATAATCTGATGAGGAAAGCGGCGGGACTCGTATCGGAAGAAACGATAGGATCGCACTGTTACCTGGAAGCTATCACTGCCACCTCGGCCGATGATTTGTACTTCTGGTCCTTGCCAGCGGGCATACGGTGAGTGAGCCAAACGACACTGATTGGAGGCGGGCGGGCGGGGCGGGGCGGGCAGAACACACCGAGTCCATACAATCGCCCGCCGTCTCACTTGCCTCATCAACTTGACCGCAGAGATTCGAGCTGACACATTTCTTCTTTTCAAGTCTTCCCGCCAGCTCTACACCATCTTGCTCTCCGTGCTCGCTCCGCCTCCTCGAGCTCTACGCCCAATCTACAGCCTCTTCCTCTTCATCCCTCAACACCACCATCATCCAATCGGCTATCGACCGTGTCAACGGAGCCTGTGGCGCCAGTCTACCCGCCATGGCAGTCTCAGCGAGTGTGACAGGCTCAACATCGCCATCTATCGTATATAATCAGCTGTGGCTGTTGCTGCTCCACGCTTCATTGTTCAGTTGTTTCTGGGTTCTTGTGGCTTCAACCTAGAGGGAAGGGAATCCCCATTTGGGTCTTTTAAGATCATTGTTATCACTCTCAACCAAGGACATTCATCTTGTCACCATGCATCTGGGCCTTATACTCAATCTCATCAGCTCACCTCGCTGAGCACAGATCCGTTGAAGGTAATAACCCAGCGCCACTCTCCACGTGGGACGCGCCGCCCTCGCTTGATCGCTCCTTGCTTCTTTTCCAGTACCTTCTGCGCTGTCACATCATCACACGCCTTGATTCACCATGGCCGACGTGAAGAAGAAGCAGTTGGTGTACAACATGTGAATAAGATCCCATCAAGGGCTGGACACTACCCTTACTGACATTCTCATCTCGCAGAATCGAATTCCTCCGAACATCTGAGCAGGACGGAACAATTAAAGAGGATGACAAGGAGTCTCTCGAGGTAGCCAGTGAGCTGTCCTTAGCGGTACTCTGCGCTCGGTTTACATCTCTTCAGTACAATGCATAGCCGAGGCGTTCGAAGTGGATCCCGAATCCGAATCTGACAAGTCTCAATATTCCATCGCTCCCGCCTCGCTGCTATCTATCCTAGATGTGTTCCTCAAGACTCGAGCTAAGACGGGTGCGGGCCAGTCTCAACCAGGAGCCTCTGCATCATCTAGCAGCAGTACTGGCGCCAACACTGGCAGGTCTTCCAGCGGAGAACCTTCCGAAGCCGATCGGAAAAAGGCTGAAGAGTTAAAGACAAAGGGCAACGCATTGATGGGTCAAAAGCTTTACGATTCAGCTATTGAGCAGTACACTCAAGCCATCAAGTTGGATCCTAATCCTGTCTATTACTCGAACCGCGCGGCAGCTTGGGGCGGATTGGGTGAACATGAAAAGGCAGTCGATGATGCCGAGAGGGCCTTGTCCTTGGATCCCAAATTCGCCAAGGCTTATTCTAGATTGGGGTGAGTTTGGGAACACCCCGGTAGTTCGATAATCAGTAGCTGATGTTGGAGGGCTTAGACACGCACAGTTCTCGCTTGGCGAATACAGCGCGGCCATTGAAGCTTATGAATCTGGGCTCAAATTGGATCCGTCAAATGCCAACATGAAGACTGCGTTGTCCACTGCCAAAGCTAGGTACGCAGAGCAAGGAGGATCGGACGAGGGGGATCTCGATGCTGGTGTTGGATCTGGCGGAGGGGCACGTGCTGGTGCTGGTGCTGGTGGTATGCCAGATTTGAGTTCACTAGCCAGTATGCTCGGAGGAGCTGGTGGGGGAGCCGGAGGAATGCCGGATATCGCATCAATGATGCGGAATCCTCAGATGATGGCCATGTGAGTGGTAGACCCCTCTGGGCATTTGCTTGTGTTGGCACCCTTAGCTAACGGCATCGCTTGAATTTCAGGGCCCAACAGATGATGGCGAATGGAGGTCTTGAACGGCTCATGGCGAATCCTCAAATGAGACAGATGGCCGAGAGATATCAATCTGGAGGTGGAATGCCAAGCATGTCAGAGCTGGCCAATGATCCGAGCTTGAGAGAGATGTGAGTGCTTTACAGGTGGTCGGTCTGGCTTGACAGGCGCTTCAAAAAATTGATTTGATTGACGTCTGTGCAGGGCTCAGCAATTCATGGGTGGACGTGGAGGACCACCTCCTGGGAACGTATGAGCGGAGACCAATGTACGAGGGTTGAGCACAAGGCATAGTCAAATGGGTTAGGTGTAGTCGCAAATCTTATCGCCTGCAGAAAACGACCTCGTTGGTTTGCCTCTATGCATCGATTGAAATCGGTTGAATCGGACCGGGATGGAATCTTTTCTTCTTCTTTACATGTAATGCTGCCGCTGGGTAGCGGCTCATTGACATTGGGCAGAGCTGTAGCATCGACCAAGACTGAACACCTCGTGCTGAGCCCACACCGAGTCATCCTCACGGCGTCCAAAGCTTTGTCTCTGACGAAACCGGCGATCCAGAATCGTCAATTCAGCAGCTCGAGCCGCCATTTTCTATCGATACCAAGTTCTGCTTTACACTGGCCCACTTCTCCAAAGGTCGACATTAGACTTATTACCCGAAGGCACCTCACGAGTAAGCGTTCTGGCCAGATAGGCTGCTACCTTCTAGTTGGTCACGCGCTTGCTCACGCGCTTGAAGCCTCCATACCCAACATGTCCCATCGAATCCTGAATTACGATGATGGACCATTGGTCTGGGTGAGTAGAGCTCTACGCCGCACAGCCTCTCTACTTTCTTCTAGCGACCAGGAGAGTGCTAGCTGACACCTAATCCATCGTTCAGATTGACTGCGAGATGACGGGACTCAATTACGATACGGATAGATTATTGGAGATCGCCGTGATCATTACGGATGGTCGTTTAGAGCCGGTGGATGAGGGGATAGAGTATATCATACAGACGCCAAAAGAGGTCCTAGACAAGTTGAGTCAGAAGCCGAGCTTCAATCATGTCGATGGGTGTCTGCAAGGCGTCATGGTTCACGTCATTGACGCCATTCTTTGCTGTCTTCCAGGATGGACGAATGGTGTACCACGACGCATGGCGAATCTGGTCTCACTCAAGCTTGTATCGACTCTCCTCATACGCTGGAAGCAGTCTCCCAAACAGTCTTGGATTATGTCAAACGTCATATCCCAGATAGAGGCTCTGGGTTGCTCGCAGGAAGCTCGGTTCATGCTGATCTACGGTGAGTGAGTTGACACTCTACATTCGAGTTCAGGCTCGGTAGATACAGGCTACAACTGGATAGATACACTGACTGATCTCGCATAGCTTCCTGTACAAGTACATGCCTGATCTCGTGAAACATCTATCATATCGCATACTAGGTTAGCGAGGAGCCAGCATCAATGAACCAATAGCTGACGTATAATCTCGTGATGCACTAGATGTCAGCTCCGTCAAGGTCGGTTCTTCCGAAACCATAGCGGGAGTCACAGCTGAACCTGTATTGTAGGAGATCTGTCGGCGTTGGCATCCATCAGTCACAGAGAAGGAACGAGCAGGACGAACCGGCAAAGTTGCGCATCGGTACGTTTCCGTTCCTCGTCGGACGTAAATCCCATCAGGCAAAGAATGACGCTGACGATGGGACGTCCTCTCACGAAGCGCTCTCGATGATATCAGAGGATCTATCAGAGAGCTCAAATTCTATCAAGAGAACATCTTTATCCCTCTCGAGCCACCAAAAGACAAGTCAAAACAACAACCCTCCGAGAAAAATGAGCTAGACGAGCTCGTTGAGACATTGAACAAAGCCTGGTAGGCTTTGTCATGCACTGTATCTTTTATGGTTTGCACCCACAAGTGCTTGTTTGCATCGTTTGCATCGCACTGGTTCATGCCCTTCGACGACTCTCACCATCTAGACAAACGACTTGAAAACAACTACGGCGTCTATATATTCCTCTGTACCATTTGGACCACTTCTCAATCGTCCAGCTCGAGGTATTTTGCCTACACGTTGGAACCCGAGCTTGTCCCAGAGTCGGAGTGATGCAGCATTGTCTGAGACAAGATGTCAGTCGTTATGTCTCATCTTCAACTCGACGAGCGGTGGTCGAACTCACTCTCGTAGACCAAATTGAAAACGCTACCTCGGTATCCTAAGGCAGGGGCATAGATCAAGTAAGATTCTGCGAGTGCTCCCCCAATCTTCTTGCCTCGCTGTATTGGCGGGACGACAAAACCAGCGTTGCAGTTCTGAGTCGAGTATCAGCTAATGTGCGCACTCGATCCCCGTCGAAGACACTCTACGTGACTGCTCCTTCCCGGGTAATTTGGTTTACTAGACGTGACATGTCAGTATGCCAAACAAGGTCGCCGAGCCTACATGTAATAGAAACCACCGAGACACTCTCGCCATGATCTTTCAGCTTGAGCCTCCATCAGACTTGACGGTGGCTCTTTCATCGATGCCTCCTGTAAAACAGCAATGACAGTTGTCGAGGCCGTTTTGAAGAAGTACGTCTTAAACGCTTCGAAATCAAAGGGTCCCTCTTGAGGGTAAGTCAGTCCGTCTATTCGAGGTCACAGGTCAGCACATGGGAACTCAACAGGAGCATGGCTGCGCTCACCCACCTTCTAGCTCCTTGGCAAAGACTTCATACATGTACTGCATCATCTCTTCTGGGGCGTCTGCAAATGAGATTGGATGTGTCGATACGGAACCCGAGGGGATAGGCCACAGACGCGATGTCAGTTCAGCGATGGGTGTAGGCGCACTGATAGCTCCGTAAGCAGACATGATGACGAGCTGTCAGAAAGCGAAGCCAGCCGTTGCTGAACTCAAATAGAGGCAATGACTTGTTCGGCTTAATTCGGTGGAACTATTATGCCTTGAATTTCCCGGTCCTTCGGACTTGGGATGTGCAGAGGTGGCGCCACATGCCTACCATTCAGCGGATGCAGCGAGATCCAAACGGAGCCTTCCATTGAGAGAGGGGTCAGACACTAAGATTGACAGCTTCTGCGATGCAAACAGACGCGTTCAAGACGCTCGAGGAATATGACTGGTCAGACTCGTAGAGAGCAGGCTCTAAGACAAAGGCTGGTCCAGGTTTCGGACCTCCATAAAGCTCTGGAGCTGCATCCAGCCAAAAACAGCTGTGACGATGCTTTGCGATACGTGTATGTGCGATTGAAGGAAGGATGCTCTTTCTATCACTCCCCTTATTGATTCTGACGTTGATTGCTCAGGCCAAAGTGCCAGTGTACGGACCTTGCGTCCTCTCCCACAACCACCTGAAGCCCAGTACGAAGGAATTCGTTTCGGATTGTGATGCTTTCGGCTGTGAGCAAAGGGGTAACCAGGTATCAATCTCTGAAACTGGCTGACTGAACCTGCTCAGATTGCGCTTCGAATGGTACTTGTCTGCCTCGACAATGTCGAAAAGACCTATACGTCCTAGCTTCGATTCGCAACTCAACTTTTGGCATACCCCCCATGTGTCAGCCTGGATCCTACTGCCCTGATGACGCCTCTGGCTGTCTGCCACTTGTGACCCTGGGAGGTGCATGTGAACTCAACCGTGATGGTGAGTTCCCGGCAAACTTGTGCTTCGTGGTACAATAGGACTGATGTTGCGTTCGCAGATGAATGTGATCAGACCCTCCCTCCGCCACATGGGGCAGATAAAGGTGGAGAACAGGGAAGGGTAATATGTCTTCTTGGGAGTTGTACGTGAGTCAGGACAATACAGGGACACAAGCTCCCATTGACGTCTCTCAGTCCCGCCATCGCCCACATCGGCCAATCCTGCATGATTGAAAACACCGTAAGAGCTTAGTCTTGCCCTCGTTTGTGCTAAAGCTCGGCTCAGACCTACGCAGGATACGACTCTTCAGGCACTGGATTCAATTTGCAGATTGTCCGAGATGATTGCATACCGCAACAAGGGTTTTGTGTGAGTTTCGGCCAAACAAGGCCTAATTCGGACTATCAGCTCATCCGAGCAGAATGCCACTTCTGCCACTTGTCAGGACCTAAAGGTGTCTGAGGAGCCGTGCGAAGAGGATAGGGAATGTACATCGGTGAGGCGTGAGGCATGTCGATACACCCCGAGGAGCTGATCAGTGGGTCTACTCTACCAGGCAAATTGCGTTCAAGGCGTATGCGGTCAACCTGTCAATGAAGAGACACGGATCCAAAGTTGGATATACGTCCTTGTGGCATTCGGCATGGCGGGTGGTGAGTCGATGTATCTGATTTACATGGTTTCTTTCACGCAACTGATCGATGTCTGTCTCACACAGCGATGGCAGGAGTTCTAGCAGGGCTGATCTGGCTACACAAGAAGAACGAAGAGGCGAATCAGTCGCGCATGGAGGAATATTACCGTCAACAAGCAATGTACGTCGAGACTCGCTCGGAATGGTGCCTGAATGGTGCCATCGCGCTTTTCGAAGTGCTGATCCGAATCATAGTTACCAACTTTATCGGGCGTCGTCGGTAAACTCACAAGGATCGATATGGAAGAAGTGAAGAGCTGCACGCCATATTTAGCCTGCTCGCAATCCATCTATCTGCCCTTGTACCGCCAAAACCCCATCATGAAGCCCTCCTGCCCTTTCCAACGGAAAGCTCCGAACATTGCACGCTCCGCCAAGTCATCCTACCGTGCAGATCTGCCTGGCGTTTCTGATCTCTTCCTCTCCCCTGAGAACTAATCCCAAGATAGAGACATTCAAGCATGACCACGCCTCCGGGGGCAGACGCCAAAGACCACTACAAGGGAAGCCATGCCCATTCCAGCCAAAACCGCACCCGTGCAATGACCCTATCAATCCAAATGACCTTTCCTCTTCTCATTTTCTGACAATGACTTTATTACTCTCAATGGTGTAGATCCCTCAGGAAAAAACAATGATCCATACACCCTTGAGCTTGGCTATGCACTTGATAATCGGGCTCTGATATGGCGTGTAACCATTCCAGGCTATGGACAGTACTGTACGTAGGCGTAATGCAATCCGCCTCAAGATCTTCGCCACTCATTCTATTCTGTTTTACGTAAATGGTTTTTGGCCCCACAAAACGGTTCAGATTCTTGTCCACAGTCCTCCATTTAGTTCTGCGTTTCAGCTCATACGCGAGAACCGCGCGCAACTCACCATGCCACCACCGCCAGACACTCGAGAGGATGCCAGCGGATCCCGTACGATGACTATCGAGGCAACGCAGCAGCCCGAATCCGGGCCCTCTGAGCCACATCACCGGGCCCTAGATAGCAACCATACGGTCGGAGTCTTGAAATTGAGAGGTGCACCAGTCAGGAAACAACGGGTGATGTGGACGGATGAAACGGTAGATAACGAAGGCATGGGGAAGAAGAAATCAAAGAGTGAGTTCGAATAGTTCAGTTCTATCTCCTTAGATCTCATGATGCATTAGGGGAAGCAGATGCTGACACAACGTTCAGTTTGCTGTATCTATCATCGCCCGAAAGCTTATGACGAATCATCGACAGAATCCGATTCTTCCTGTTCAGAGGGAGAGAGTCATTCTCATCAGCGCAGACAGCGAACAAGCGGTAAACAAGCCTCGAGAAGAAAGCGCCGGGATGTGGTGGAGGTGGAGCAGTCAACCAGCTCAGAGTCTGAAGGAGGGCACGGGGATGGAAGAGCGAAGTGGGCATTATTGCGCCCGGAAGACTTAATGCTGATGGATCTCAGATCGAGCAAAAGATCACCGCGGCGTCACCATGCTCACGACCACGGTGATCACGACCACCCATCCCACTCGCACAAGCCCAACAAATATGATCATCAGGAGAAGCCTAGCTCCTCCGATGCGATCAAAGGATGAAAAAATAATGATGTATCAACATGCCTGTTGCGGTCGTAGATGTACAAAATACTCCTGCCTGTGTCTATTGTTCTATGTACTTTCTATGCTCCTCAACCACTCTAAACCCATTTCGAACCATTTCCTTTGCGCCGGAGTCAATGCGACGCCGCGGAATCGCTTTGCCGTTGACGATGCAAGATTTCGACGCACAAGCTTGATTGCCAGGGCGGACTTGCTGTCTGTGTGATATTTCACCTTGCGATCGATTTGCAAAGAGCCTGCCGCCAGCTGAATGGACATGTCAATAGCCGCAGCATGCTGTTAGTCTCTAGCTCACCCTAACGTCCGCTTGATCACCACAGAGAATGGCCAGCGCAAGATTTGAGACAGGACCGGTTTCCCATGCATACAGAGTCTTCGACTTCATGATAGTGTAGTAAACCATGTGCGAAGCCCTGAGGGCCGAAGCTTCAAGACGCCGATTGACAGACGTTGGATGCTATAACGGTCAGCTTGGCTCGTCGGTTACGAGAGCTCACGATGAAAATAATCTGTTGATTGTTGATACTCTTGAAGGAGGCTTTCCCGTCGCGAGTCAGGATTCTAGGATACAGACCGGCCGCAAGGACTGAACTGATGATGGCTTTATGACCAGCGTTTTCGTTCAACTGTTCAGGCACAGTGACAAATTGCGTGCGGTATCCGCGTCCAAAACGGGCGTTGTCCAAGTCTTTGCGCTGTGTGAGCGTAACATCAACGAAGCCAGAGTCAACCAAATATGACAACAATTGACGACGAGACTCCTCGATTTGTTGTAGATTTTGCTGAGATAGATAGTTCCCGCGACAGAAGACCCTGATATTTTCTTGACTGGAGGAGACGCGCCTCCAGCTGTCAAAGACGTTGGCCAGAGTCAGAAAGTCGCTGTCGCCAACGGAAAACGCCGCTTTTGCAGCGTCCGCCGCACTCTCGTGTCCGAAGGGGGTGATGAAGGGACTTTTGCCGTTTAGTGCGGCCACGATCGTGAGAGCAGGGTCCAGACATTTGTAGAGGCAAGCGAGCAAGAGAAATTTGCCAAGATGAACATCAGTTGGTAGCTTGCTTAGTAGTCGTCCCAGAGGCGTGATCGCCTCGGAGTTATTGAGAGCCTTGACCTCTACGAGAGCAGCAATGGCTCTTTGGATGTTGATGGAGGTTGGTGGATCCAAGGCCTGGAGAAGGACACTCTCGATTGAGTTGCCGAGTCCAAAGTCAAGAATCTTGATCCGAAGAGCCAGATCTTGTAGAGATAATCGAAGCATCTCAGGAACAGGATGTTCGGCCATCTACATGTTAGCACAAGCATGCGACAAATAAACCCACCTGGGCATCATGTCTTGCCTTTGTGAAGAGATGGAAGGCGATCCCTTCTCTGACTCGACCTGCTCGTCCCCTTCTCTGCTTGGCATTACTCCTTGAAATGTATGTCTCGATGAGGCGTGATAGCTGTCGTTTCTCATCAAATCGCATCTCCCGATGCTTGCCTGAATCGATGACACAAGTGATGTCGGGGATGGTAACTCCTGTCTCTGCAATGTTGGTAGAGAGGACAATCTTTCGAACTCCAGGTGGTGGTATATCGAACACAGCGCTTTGTCCTTCGGACGAAATGGTGGAGTGGAGAGGGTATATTACAAAATCAGCCATGTTGAAAGATGGATGAGCACCAATCATTTCGTTGAGTCTACGGATCTCTGCGATACCTGGCAGGAAGACGAGGATGGCCGCAGAATAGGGAGAAAGATCTGGGGAGCCAAAACAAATTTGTTCCAGCAGGAGGACGATGAGATCGTAAGGAATCTGTCGAGAGTCGAGCAAGTTGACCGTGTGAACTGTCCCAGGACTGTACTTGCTGGACGAGAGCTTTGTTGGATCCTCTTGATCGTCGGGCTGATCATCACCATCTGATCTCGCCCCATCCTCTGTCCATTCCAGCTGCTTGGTACCCGTCTTGAAATTCCGATGCCTGATTGCATATTGACTGTTCTCATCAATCCGCCAACCACAGAGCTCCACCGCGTCCTCGAGAAAGTTGACTTGCACCGGGAATGTCCGGCCTGGCACAGATAGATAGGGGCATCCACCAAAGTAATTGGACAGTTTCTCCGCATCCAGAGTGGCGGACATAAGGATGATCTTTAGATCTTTGCGGGTGTGCACGAGTGTCTGAAGAGCGATCAGAAGGAAATCAGATTCTATAGATCGTTCATGGACCTCGTCAACGACGATGTGTGTAACATCATCGAACGCCATGGGTCCTCCACCTGCTTGACTATTCTCCAGCATTCGCAAGGCTATACCATTAGTGACGAATGCTAGACGAGTCTTTGCCGAAATTTTGGACTCTAAGCGAATGGAGTATCCGACGATAGAATTCCCGCTTTCCACAGCGCCTGGGGCATCTCCCAGCTCGATAGAGACACGGTTCGCCAAGGAGATGGCACTGATCCGGCGAGGCTCTGTCACGATGATCTTACACTCGCGACCAGCCGCGAGCTCCCGTTCCAGGATGAAAGAAGGAAGCTGAGTCGATTTACCACAGCCAGTATCACCTGAGAGTATGGAAACCCGCGATGAATCAATTGTTCGCAGGATCTCCTCCCTGTATGCTGCGATGGGCAAAGTATTTCGTTGTGTCAACATGTCTTGGTATTTCGAGCTTTGAACGCGTGCCTCGAAATCAGCCTTGACGCTTTCGTGTACCGAACGAGCAAGTGGCATAGACTTTGGCGTTACCTTGGCCGCGACTGTATTATCGCCGTCGATTTTCGGCCCTTGTTGTTCTTGAGAGGCGACAGGAATAGCCTCCAGAGTGCTTCGGATTTTCTTCCACAATTCCCGATCCTTGCTCTTCTGCTTGATTTGGTGAGGAATCTCGAGCTCGTCCCAAAGATCGCGGTATGCGGGAGGCATAACTCGCCAATTAGGCTGATCTAGCTGGCCGCTGGCGTATAACTCATGCAGGGCGATCAAGGCGATGAAATTCTCTGCCTCCAGACGATTCTCGCATGCAATGTCGTTCATTCGCCAGACCCGGAGATGGTTTGTGGAAAATCGAACCTCTATACCTGCCCTGACAGCTCGAGAACCGCCTGAAATCTCTGCAAACGACATGACCGCATGCTTGAATTTACGCTTCATGGCGTCCCGTAACATCGATTTCGGACTGGTCGCCGCAAAATCGGGCAGACCTGGCAAGGGCATGGATCGTATTGTAATTGTAGTGTTGGCTTGAGGTCCGTCACCGTCGATGGGATCTGGTGGAATGTCCAACATGTTACCGAATAGATCTTCTTCGTCGTTTTGGATTGAAGGTGAGGTCGGTTTGAGAGCGTGTGATTCGTCTTTCGTGGGTTTTGATCTACTCCTTACAGGGGAGTTGTCGGCAGGCCCTTTAAGACGATCTCGGATCTTGTCGGCTCGCATCTGATCTCTCATTGTGCGATAAATGGTTTCTGACAGGTCAGAATCTGCGCTGCACCCCCAATGGACCAGCTCACCTGCTTCTTTGCGATTGAAGAGATACTCGCCTTCCAAAGACTGGAGTTCAGATTTGATCTCCTTCACTGCAGCACTTTCCGACTTGAACTTTTGCTGCGACTTGGCGTCATCCAGCTCTATACGCTTCATAGCCCATTTTCTGTTGATAGCAGCAGGGTCAAGGTCGACCTCCTCGTCAGAGGATTCTTCAGCAGACCTGAACAAAGACGTCGGTTCTCGGGACGGAGTCGAGATTGAAGACTTGATTTGAGACGTGCTCTCCGTAGCGACGGATTGTTGAGACTGTTTGAGCTCTTCTGTAGATACAACTTCGGGGACGAGTGGGGTATCCAGACGCTCTTCAAGACTCGGCGCTGTCTGCGCGAATTCACCCCGACCTAGACATTCATCTTCGGTACAGTGCAGCCAGACCTAGGATATATCAGGCGCATTGAATGCCAAGACTCACCCAATCAAGACAGTCCTCCCAATTGCCCAATGGAGAGACCTTTGAAATGCATTCCCATGCTCGGGATTCGCTGATGCCTAAGTAGCGAAGCACACGAAAGCTGGAGTATGCTGTTGAAAGCTCTCGATCTCCAATCGCTTCTGGGCGAGAATCTGAATCGGGTCATCAGGCTACCTCCTATTTCGATCGGGAACTCTTACGGTAATTACTACCATTTTCCTCCTCCAAAGCAAAGTCTAGGATACGATCTCTAATGTCGGAGTTGGCCTCCAGCTTTTGAAAAGACCTGGCTAGACGGCTGTCGAACTCGATTGCCTAGCAGTCGTCAACAAGTTTTCTGGCGATGCACACTGCTTGCATCCACCTTGATGATCTGCTCCACATCCCTGTTTGCCTTAGCCTGCAGTCTGTCCACAACCGCCTGTAATCCCACTTGCTCCGAGCTTTCTGCTACCTCCCAAGCTTCCGACTGTGGGTTGGTCTCAATCTTGTCCCTTGAATCTGCCAGTGGCGAAGTCTTAGATGGCAAACCGCCCTCCTGGACATTCAGTTCTGAGACTTTCTCCTCTACAATCTGATCGGAATCCTCTGGAGTGTCCTTTTCGACCTTTTTAGATGGCACAGAAGTCGTAGCGACGCCCCGCTCGACACCTGATTTATGTCGGTCACCTCCAGTGATCGTATATAGACAGAGCTGACTTACGCTTCAATGCCGGCTTCTTCTTCCCCATTCTGTACGGATGAATAGTAACTCTATGCCATGCTCAATGCTGCACACCTCATTGCTCGCTGTCGTAGCCGGCTCTCATCCCGGTGCTCAGAGCCATAGATCTAAAAAGATTCAGTATGGCCAGTACTCAATGTTTGTGGGGTCCCCGGACTTTTCTGGCTTGTTGCTGATTAAACGTTAAAGGCTTACCAACAAGGTCGTGATTATCGTGCTCTCTCTCTCTGTCTGTGCATCAGCAACGCCGTCCAAACTGGGAGCGATCACACCGTTACTCTACCAATTCAAATCCATCTCATGCTTGATTGTCCCTCTCAATCGGGTCCAACCACCACTCCAGTCCTCGATACACCAGTCTTTACTCAGCCCGCCACCATGGGTTGCTGATCTCGTCTTACTCCGGATTCAGCCCATTTGTCATCATATGGACGGTGGCGAGTAAGCTCAGAGATCTCAGCTGGTAGTAAAGATGCCAAAGCGAAAGTGTGAAGCCTTCACAGGCGCACAGCCGATATCCGTCAGCTCGCTCGACGCAGCTCTCGACTTGCTAGCATGCGAGACCTTCACTCGGCTCGATCACTTGACGGCTCGATTCGAAGCGGCTACTGGGCTCAAATTGAACGAAGGAGTGGTACATAAGCGATGGGATGATGCAGTACAGCGATATCACATGATGAAAGGGCTAGGCGGACTCAGTTGTGCTGCAAAAGCTGCTGGTGTAGAAGTATCCGAGGAAGCGGCTTCTGGCTCGAAGGAGCGCGAGAGGGACTGTGGTGGAAGTCGAAGGGGCTCTATGGGTATCATGGAAACTGGCCATGGACCTGTAGAATTCGCACCGAGATCCAGGAGACCACTCCCCGCCAATGTATATCCCGGTGCAGAAGCAAAGTATAATCTGGACCCCGAGGAAACAGCAGAATGGAAGCGGTGGCAGCCCAAGATCAACGATGTCGTCTTGGTCGACATGCCAGATGATGGTGGCATATGGCCAGGAAAGGTATGAGAAGGACACCGGTCTGATCTGATCATCTCCAGATTATCGACAAGAAGATATTCTTCCAAGGTCGAACTGTACCTCGAGGCAATCACTTTTGGCCCGTCCGGATCTACAGCGATACTGTTGAGCCGTATGTCTTGCGTTTCTTGCACATGTGCTCACCCATCTCAGGACGGTGACAATCAAGTCACGGATGATCCCTCTCACTCTCCGCCCCAAGCCCCCCCTCTTCGCTCCCGAGCACCTGCTCAGCGCATATAATCACGCAACCAACCCAGAATCGTTCGACAAAATGGCAGGCGCCCGCGAAGCGGCAGCTGCTCACCTTCGAACCCATCCCGGGGTTAGTGACGATTCTGACATGGAGCGAATCAAAGTCGAGAAAGAAGCCTGGAACAAATTTGTCAATTGGGTCATGAACGAACGACGAGTGGAAAAATTGCGTGCACTGGAAGCCGAACGGAACAAGAGGTTGTTTCAAGTCGCGCAGACGGATTTCGCGTTGGAAGCTGTCGGCGAACGAGTCTCGGACTCTGAGACAGATCTAGTCAAGCGCCGTCGGAAGGGAAAACCTCTTCCTGCCTGGGATGGAGAACTTCTAGATGATGCTGAGAGTAGAAGAGGCTCCATGCCTAGCATATTTGGACCCGCGGCTCACAAGCCCGATCCCCAACCGGATTCCCCTGCTCGAGGTCTGTCAGGGTTATTCCGACCCGCTCTCTCCACACCAACTCGACCCATGTCGCCGAGAAGATTGGCAGAGAAGAAACGAGCAGTCCTGCTCGGCTGTGGCGAAAAGAGCCCCCGAAGAGGTGGTACTTACACACCCCCTCGTATTCTGCCTTCTGGAGACGAAACGGCTCCCAATCGTGTGTCTTCGCCCGTGCCTTCGAGAAACTTTGACTTTGTCAGTCCTCTCGGCCCTGTCAGGTTAGGTGTGCTGGCGGGCGGGTCGAATGGAGTGGACAGTCCTCTCCGTGGCAGTCTTGAAGTCGTGAAAGAGGAAGCTGAAGAGGATGGTGCTGATGGTTGGACTCTTGTCAAAGGAAAGAATGAGCACCAAGCAAGAGGTCTCGGAATCCGCATGGAGGGAGTCAGCGAGGGATAATAACGCTGAAAGGCAGAGCGTTGCATCGTTGTATAGTCTATAATGACTCATAGACTCGTTTTTGGTTTCCACCCATGTAGCTTTCGAAACAAGTCTTCATTCGCGCATTCCAAAAAAAGATTTCATCCATGCATTCATACATCCCATCTATGGACTAGACCCGCAATGGGCTTATGACCTTGGTTCTTCGTCGACAGTTCGCGACGTTGATGAGCACTGCTCATAGAGCTTCAACATCCGTGACCTCGTCTTCAGCTGCGGGGTCGGCTCAACGCCTGAGAGACATTGTCTGTGTATGCGGGACAACTGGAGTTGGCAAATCTCAACTCGCTGTTGCACTTGGGCAATCAATCCAAAATGGCGGCAGCAGCGATGCTGGCCCAAGTCGATCTAAGAGGGCTGTCATATTGTCAGCAGACTCTATGCAGCTATATAAAGGTCTCGACGTCATCACAAACAAGGTGACAGTGGAGGAGCAGGGAGGCATAGAACACTGGGGTTTGGATGTCGTGACTCCTGGTCAAGAGGCCAGTTGGGAATTGGGTAGATGGTGTTCCGAAGCGGAGAAGAAGGTGAGGTCTCCAATGCATCATGAAGTCGTGCTCATGTATCTCCTCGCAGATATCCTCGTTGGACGATTCCACTCTACCCATCATTTGCGGAGGTACCCATTATTTCATGCAACACTTTTTGTTCCCTCCAGCGGAGTTGTCCTTGGCAAGATCAGAGCCCCCAGAGAAGGCACTGGAGATACGTTGGAAGCCTCCTTGCCCTCGGCCCGCTGTCCCGGACTTAATGGATCCTTCTCTTGTGACCCTGCTCGATACATTCTGGACCACCAAGCCAGTATTTCCAAAGCTAGCGGATTCTGTCATTGATCCGCCAGATCAAAAGGACAGACCAGTTCAGACCAGTCGGCCGACAGAGATAGAGGATCACCATCTGCTCAGCATATATCAAGTCCTACAAGCTGTCGACCCCGACGAAGCGGCCAGATGGCATTGGCGTGACGGGAGAAAGGTTCGGAGAGCATTGGAGAGGTGGTGGGAGCGAGGCGGAGCTCCAGCGGTCGGCACGCCCGACAATGTCGGACGGAATGCCAGGTGGGTCTGTCATCGGCAGCTTGGAGTTTCCAGCTGACGACGGGAAAGGTTTCGTACGTTGATATTTTGGGTCTATGAACCCCCTGAAACTCTCAAGAAGCGACTGGACGACCGAGTGGATGTTATGGTTGAGGTTGGTGACACCGAGTATACCATCCGCTGAGACGACACAGAATGGGCTGTTGAGGGAGATTGCAGAGATGAGAGAGATCGCAAAGCAGATGTTTGGTTCATCACAAGCGGTGGATCATACAGAAGGCGTTTTCCAGGCAATAGGTGGGCTCGGGCTTCTTGGCGTGTGGGAGAGTGCTAAACGTACATGCAGGCTACAAGGAGTTCGCTGGCCTTCCTCTTGATGAAACCTCTGACCCTGCGTCGCATCCACTCTTTTCCAGCATGCTCTCGCAGACAAAGTCTAAAACCTTTCAGTACGCCAAATCCCAACTGAAATGGATCAGAAAGCAGCTCCTGCCCGTTGTGCAAGAGTCTCAGGCGAAGGGGAGTGAAGTCTTTTTGTACATTGTACCTGGAGGACCTGCAGGTCAGGAGATGGCCACGCCGATCCTTCACGGTACGTTTCTGACTGTCCGTGTCACAACGCTCACATTTGCAGCTTTTCTTGATACGCGCGAGCTGCCTGAGGCTTTATCGACAGGCTCTCCTCATGCCAAGTCTCTGCTCGGAAATGGAATGCAGAGTGACCTGCTAAGACCAAACGTCCCGAACACGGCGGAGTGAGTCACGGTGAAGTAATCTGCCTGTGATCCTGACGTGAGATAGGCGTCAGCGAATCCATGCCAGACGCGACTGCGAGCAATGCTCCTCGCCTGGATTACCGGTGTCTGTGCCAGTCAAGGAATGGTCCATGCATCTCACCTCTCGACAACATAAAAAGTGCGTCGGGCATATCATCTCTCATGGGCGAATACTGACCAGCTCTGCGCGCAGAGCCATCTTCGAAGCCAGCGGTGGCAGGGAGAGGGTCAGGCAGGAGCAGCTAGCTAATCGGGAAGCGAAGCGTGCCGAGAGAGCCAGGTTGAGGGAAGGATTGGTACCTCCAGAGGGACAAAAGGGAGATCAAAGTGCTTAGATCATCGGTGGATTGAGCTCGTTGTTGTAATTCGTGCTGTTTTTGCATTGCCCAACAAATTCTGGTGTACATTGGATCTCCGACAGACCGCAGAGCCCATTTTTTGGATGGAGTGAACTGAATTGCAGAGATTGCTTTTGCGCACTTACACTCAACCGGTTCGTTCATTCAACATTCAGAAGATGAACGACGCGGACTTTGCTTCTCTCAGTCAGGTGAAGTGACCCAGCGCGACTGGACTGACGGGGCGCAGGGCGTCTTCGTGATTCCATTTCAACCTGAAGGTATGTCGTTCTACGCGAGTCGCGTTCCTCTCGGTCTGATACATGAATTTTCTCTCAGCCGGTCCATCTCGACCTTCGCCATTACCTCGAAAGCTTCGAAAGGTGTACGAAGATGATTGTAAGAGGTGTTCGGAACTCCAGAAGGTGAGGCTCCTGATTCCTGACACGTTTTCAAAGCTGATCATGATCAATCTCGTCAGACGTTCGAGAGGGAACGTGTGGAAGATCAGATAGATGCAATCATCGGCTGGCTAGACCGTTGCGATCAAGCCAGCATCTTGGACTTTGGTGATCAAAGACCACGGCTGAAGATAGGTATCATTCAAAGTGAGTCTCAATTTCCTTGGCTTTCTGCATAGACTGAGGATTCTTCGTTTCAGGCACCTCGACTGATCTTTCCTCTACATTACCAATCGCTCTCGACAGCAGCTATACATTGCATGGGAGAGATGTGCCCGACTTGGCGTCTGCGATTCATGAAATCGCAGCGGGCTTCTCAAATGGAGCAGTGCGTCCGGCGACGAAATCCCCAAGTTGACTATGAACAGATCTCGTACAGCAAGTCCTCCGGTACATCGGGCTTGGATGAACTCGAGCGACATGCTGGGCGCCAGGAGAAACGTGTGTTCTAGCCTGTCAGACTTGTCACTGAATCTCCTAGCGTCCGCAGCCACACGCCTTTTGCACATATCTCAAGCACAAGCTATGAACGCGAACGTTCTCTCTGACCTGCTCTACTGCTTGAGGTCAGTCCGGGATCCAACACCTCGATAACTCGGCTGATCTTTTGACCTCTAGTCGACACCCGCGACTCCGTTTCAGAGTCCTCCTATCCGCTCCATCTCCATCTCTGATACTTTCATCCCTTCGCCATGCTGATCCCACCGCCGTGGATGTCACTGTCGTCCATGCCATCATATTGAAGAAGCGAGTGACTGCCGCGGATGCTATACTAAAAGTGAGTCGGGACTTCCCGTGCGGAGAACCGGCCTAATAGTCGTAGCCCTTGATGAGGGAACCACTCTCGTTACCTTTGAGCGCAGAGGTCCTCGAGGAATTACGCGCTAAGGACGATCAAGTTGGTGGGGGAAGCAGGTCAATCTCAAGGGCTATCAAGGTGTGTTCTTTTTATCTGAGCTGCTGGTATCACAATCTCACTCTTCTGGGTTTCAAGTGGCTGCTCCTGCGCTCTTCGTCGTCTTCTCGATTGGAAGAAGTAGTTGAACATGGCGGCATGACAGCACTTCAAGCCATAGTCAACGCGAGGAGAAGTGATCTCATGGAAGTGGAAGACATGACACGGAATATCGTTGAGACTGATGCAGCAGAGGCTCTCGAAGCCGTAAGTGAAACCAATGACCCTTCTAGGATATCATTGATCACATACTGCTGCAGTCTCTGGATCCTGCGCCTCGAATTGCCTTGCTTAAAGCTCTAGCGGAAAGCGAGCCATTCCTCAAGTTCACAGCCAGAGGAAACGGCGATGTGAATTTGAGCATGGCCGTCAACGGCACTCCGGCATCAACAACAGGCTCACATCTTCGTAAACGGTCTCGTACTGAGGACTCAACTGTCAGCATGCCTGAAGAGAGACAACAGCCGGTCACTGAAAGCGTTGGAGGAGATCTGGCGGAAATACATACCCTATTCCAGTTGTACGCCTCTGCGGGAAGGACAGTGAATCTTTGGGATTGGCTTCAAGGCTTTGAGGAGTCGACCATCAAGACCGTTGACGAGGCAAAGTCGGCGCCTACAGCGGATGGTACGACAAATGCCGTAGAGATAGAGAGTGCGCTAGAGCAGGAGCGTGAGAAAGCGGCGATGGACGATGGCGATGAGAACGAGGACGAGAACAGCTCAGAAGAGAAGGAGAAAGAGGTGATGGATGAGACTGAACAAGATCGACTGCATTCTGTGTTTATCCGTTTCTGCGAAGAAGCGAGGATGATGGGACTGCTTCGAGCCAGAGGAAAAGGGGTCAGTAGACGAGCCGACGAGGTGGTCAAAGGCGTTGGCTTTGTCTAGCAGTTGGATGCATGTGGGAGCATCAGAGCGTCTTTCCGGTGTGCCACGATGGACCTCCACTTTGCATGTCCACTTTCGTCGGTTCAGTCCTGCCCAACGAGTTTTCTCGCTTCTATCTTACACCATTTCCGTGCATCGCTTCGCTGCTATGGACGATGCAATTGGCTCGTCCTCCAAGACTACTTTGGACATGTTGGCAGAGATAGGCGTGGGAACAGCTCAGCAGGTATGTGCTTGATAGTCTTCAAGGTCCCAAGCACGAACTGATGTTGTGGCCAGCTCGTCACGTCCGTCCGATACGCAAGTGAGTTTCACGCGCGAGGACCCGTGCTGACGTCTAATGGAGATGCTCCCCCTGGCCTGACTTTCATCCCTCCATTGGATGATATCCTGCTTTGTGCTCGACCTCATCCAGGAGGCTCGAGTTTGCAGCGTGGAGACCTTATCGAGCTGATTGGACCCAGCGGCGCAGGTGAGGATTTAGCCCTTGCTGCGTGCAACGACTATACATTTACCTTTGTTAGGCAAGACGACATTGCTCAGCTTCGTGCTGACAACGACTCTCCTTCCCTCCCATATTGATATCCCACTACCCGCTCCAGGCTCTCATGTGGTCAGAGTTCCCCTGGGAGGAGCAGGATCCCATGCGTTTCTACTTCAGCCCACATCCCATGCACCCATGACGAAAGCTATCCGAGTCAAGATGTTCAGTCACATTCAAGATTGTATCCTCGATACGCTCTCGATCAATCTAAGGCCTCGTGTCCTAACTCCCGCGTTGAAGACTATCATCCAGGGGGCAATTCACGACGCCCTTTCCCGACTCCATATTATCAGATTCACACCGAGGTGGAAACAGCTGTATCTAGCTCTCTCACGCGTGCTACATCCCCCAGAGCTCAAAATCGGAACCTCTTCTCAGATGGACAAGGTACGAAAGCAGACAGTCTCTACTCTCGTCATTGATGGTTTTGGGGATCCTTTTTGGCCAGAGAGATGGGCAGAAGAAGATAAACGCCTCAAGAGGAGCACTATGCCTGTGGCTAATGGTGATGGTGTGGGCCTGAAAGAAATCATGCGGATAATCCAGACCCTGCGGGTGCATATGGGCACCGTGGTATATCTGAGTGTTCAGAGTCTCTGGGTAGGTTCCCAGGTCGCAGCGGAGACTGCAGCCTCCGACTGGCCGTTGACGTCTGACGTCTCCCCGACTAGGGCAAGCCGACTTCACCATTCTTCGTACCTCACCTTCCTGCGCCATATCCTCATACGTTCTCTGTCCCCAGAGAATCTGTCGATGAACGGCATCACGACACATCAATCAATATTCAGCTCACACTTCTCGGGCGGGTCCGCCCCCTTCAACTACCTGCAGACTTGACCCTGGTGAACGCTCTGAGGGAGGCCACTGCAAAGGATTGGACAATGGCACAGCATTTCGAGGGCATCGCACGAGTACATGGTGGTGAGGGCGCAGCGGGAAGCTTGGCTGGGCAGAAATTTTCCTTCAAGATCGGAAGCCTTGGAGTAGAAGTCTGGAGCGGGCCCCAGGATGGCTAGGACACCCGGATACATGACATCATGGATCTCATTTATTCTCCGACAATGCCTTTTCAACAGCCGCGATGGCTTTTGGGTGTGTCGCCTTGCCTGCCGCTACGATCCCCTCGTTGACAGATAATGTCCTGCCCTTGGAAAAATTCAACGGGTTGCCTCGCATATCTGTGCAGATACCACCTGATTCCGCGATAAGAAGCGATCCCGAAGCGTGGTCCCAGATCTTCTCTTGGTAGTCTTTCCCGCCGACGTATTTCGTAGGTATTCTGAGGCTAGCAACAAGGTCAGGTCTGTGCCTCAGGTCAGGAGACGCGAGCCTTCTCACTATACACCTCCCTCTCCTCGACTGAGGCAGGCGTATTTGGCCTGGGAGTCCATTCTCAAGCTTGGTCGTTTGACTTCCAATAGTTCTCCGATACGAGCTTGAATAGAATGTGCAGAATGACCGGCTTCGACAGACTCAAGGAACGTTAAGGGATTGGAAGAAGGAGGGGAGGGAGGTAATGAAATTCTTTCATATGTACCGTCTGAAAGTGAACGCTGGGCAGACGTGTCAGCCAGCCCTCACTGCCGAAGACACTGGTCCGACTCACCGCCCAGCTGCCTTCGCCTTTCGCAGCGAGCATCAAAACACCATCACCATTCGGTATAATCTCTTCTCCCATTGCGGCCGGCTTCGAACCGAGATTAGGGCAACCAATAACACCAAGCTCCACCTGACCATCGACGATCAACGCGAGGCAGACGGCATATTGCTGGTGTCGGATAAATCCCGAGGTTCCATCGACTGAAGGATGATCAGATCGGCATAACAGCCTCGTTGCGAAAGAGCCTTACCGGGATCCTGGAGTGAGATTCGTCAGTGGATGAATTCCACAAATCAGACATGAGCATAGCTCACAATTGTCCAAAAGCGACCGGATGGTCCTCCCTCGGCTGATCCCTTGTCAATTGCATCCAAAATTCTGACATGCATGGTTCAGTATAGGTCTTGGGACAATCACATTGTCGACGCACTCTTGTTCTGACCACTGATCCGGTTTGCCATGCTCGTTAACCAATCCCACGACTTTGGAACGCAGCTCGGCGTTCTTCCTGAGCTCGGATAAATCCTCTTCTCCTATGATTTGATCCGAGGGGAATGCTGAGACCAAATGAAGAGATATCAGAGCCTGCGCGGAGAGGTCGGCGGCTGTCCTGGTCAGCTGGCATAAAACCTCTTGGCAACCCACTGGTCACAGGAGATTTGTCCTTCTTGATGATGGTCTCATCCTGCTTGAAAGACTTTTGAACGCTTTTCGTCCTATAGTGTCGTGTCGTCAGATGTGCTCATCCTTCTCGCTGACGGCTTCCACCAACTCACAAATTGCAAGCCTGGAGGACAGCTTTCACTGCGAGCTCAGCTTCAGGTCGAAGCCTGTTGAAGGGTATCGAGGACATTTGGCGGATTCGACGCGGTAGACGTAGGGAACGTTGGAAGCAGTGCCTACTTAAATTGACAGAGATGTCTCGAAGTGAACTTGCAGATATCACTGTTCGCATAGATCAAGTCATGAAGGAGGAAGGAGCATAACCAGTCCTATCCCATATTTCCAGATGGCATTCGCTGAAATTCCGTGATCGATGCCGTAACTCGGATTTTCGGACTGGGATAGTCCAGGACGGAGCATGGATAGCTTGACAGGCCGGGGAACGCATTCTGACTACACACATGACCATGACATTGCCGCGACCTGCGGAATCGTCTTCGAGCGCCAATCTGCCCTTGCCTGATCCGGAGGCGTACCCTGGAGAACCGAGAGAGTATGCTCGCGCGTTGATGCAGAGACGGGATGACATCGAGAAGGAAATTGTGAGTGAGAGTTGGTCCTATGCCATGACTGATGATCGAGTAGCTCGCGTTGGAGGAGGTGCAGCGTTCTGTGAGCCGATAAGAAAGCTGGGACTCTGGATGCGTATTGATCGTCACAGCACGGAGCCTCTTCCTCGACACCCTTGATTGACCCGGAGGGGTACCCAAGAGGTGACATTGATGTGGCATGTCGTTGATGTGTCTGGTAGTTGACACATCGTTTCTGACGAGATGAGAACAGTACTCTATACGGCATGCGCGAGCTGGAATGGCGAGACTCAAGACCGATCTCAAGACTGTACAGGATTTACTTGGCCCAGCTTTAGAGAACGCCTTCACCACTGGAACGAACATGTCCGGCGGACCGCTGTCCGCATCAAATCCTGTACCGAACGGAAGTGCGAGTTCAAACGCGCACAGACCGAATCATCAGACGACTGACGACATGCCTGATGAATGGCCAGATACTCCGCTAGCAAGAGTCAACTCGGTCGCTCCTGGCAGTCCCGCATTTCGAGCTGTGAGTGACAGAGAATGCACTTGATCCGCCTGCTGACCGGCATGGATGCCAGGGTCTGCAATCTCGTGACGTGATATACTCTTTTGGCAACGTCACTCAAGCTACGACCGGTGGATTGCAAGCCGTCGGTACGCTGGTCGCGCAGTCAGAGGGTGTGAGTTTGACATGGTATCCGAGCTCGTTACCTTCCATTGACATTGAGGCTACCCTCAGCAAACTCTGACAGTCTTGGTTGAACGAAAGAGCAATTCATCCAGTGATGAGCATCAGCCACAGCGACTCAGACTTCGACTGACACCCCAATCTGGCTGGGGTGGACGTGGTTCACTCGGTTGTCATATTGTGCCAGTCTGATTAACTCGGCCGGTCTAGGGAAATGGGCGGGGGGCCGACTAACGAAAGCCAAACGCCCCTTTACGGCATCTTGTTGGTTTTGGGTGGCGACAGATTCGGCAAGTTTGACCGGAGAGATAGACAGCAACAGAGGCGTAGGCTGCGTGGATGCATACATTGGGAGGGGGGAAGAGGGACCCATTCACAGTCTGCATGAACCTATCTATCCATAGCCCTTGCTTGCTTGCTTGCTTACCCCGACCGCCTCATTGCTATCTGAATCCAAACTCCGAACCGCTTACATAGTCCTAATAATCTCGCAGTCGCCACGCGTTGTCGGATACCCGGAGCAAAGAGAGAGAGAGAGGGTTGTGACCCTCTTTTCGAGCCAACAGCTGAGAGGGACACCCGACAGGAAGGCGGCGCCGTCTCTCCCTCCCCTTCTTTTTCACCTGGATTGATTCCAGCGATCTACCTATTTCTGCTGCAGCAAGATCATTCGCTGGTTCATATACACATAGTCTTGCATCCCTCGTCGAAGGATATACCTATAATCATAATAGATAAATAATATTGTTTTGATCCGGCAAGGGGGGAAAAAAGAGGCCACGAAGGGGAAGAGAAAGAGAGAAAGCGGCAACAGCAATATTGGTCGCTACCTCTGCTACCATGACGAGCAGCGTAGACAAGGGAACGATGGTCGGGAGCGATAACAGCAAGGACGCACCGGTGAGTGCATGCAAAAATGCCTCCCCTTCCCCTCCTGCCTCCCCTCGCCACCGCTGCGAGGCGAGACTGCCGATCTCAACATTGGTTGTGGCGATCAATAACAAGGAGGGACGGATGTGAGGGCAGTGTGGATTATTACCTCTCGCCACGGGCCACCTTTCCTTTGACCTGGTTTCATGCTCATACCGCCCCATCCCTTTCACATCTTCCTACAATCTGCCAGGCATCGCTCTCTTGACCATTGACGCTGACACTCATTTTCGCCCCGTCTCTTCACTCTCATTGACCTCACAGTCCAAACCTCGACAGGTACCCGCCAAACGACCTCCTTTCCCTACACCGGCTCCATCCGCGCTACAACCTGCTACCACCGCACCAACTTCTTCTTCTTCTTCTTCTTCTTTACCCAGCAGTTCTCGCGTCACGTCTCCACTGGCATACACGTCTGTTATTGATTCTCCCCTCTTACCATTTATCCCATTGGCAGCGCCTCAGATTGGTAATATCCGAGCAGGTCTAAAGCGGAGGCGGTCTTCTTTCCCGCCAGCGGCTATTCCAGGATCTTCTCTAGCTCACGAATACCCTTGGGTTGTCGGTGGAACGCCAGCCGGCAAGACCTTCCACCACGATATCAAAGCGGACTGGAACGTGCCTTTACCCGTTCCCAATCTCGCCCCCGAAACTGTCAATTCCAACGTTCCGACATTCTCCTCACTGCTCCATTTCGACCCAACACCATTGCACACACCAACAAACCTTTTGTCATCCCTCTTGTTCCCTACCGTCCAATCTGCAGACTCTGCCAATGTCATGGTTCCCATTGCGGATTCGAGTGTTGGTGGCCCTTCAACCCCGAAAGACACACCACGCAGCCCGGGCACCATCGCTCGCTTTGGTGCAGACTTGGCTTGGAAGACAATCCTAGGCAGCGTAGTGGAGGTCGAAGGCGTGGGTGAGATAGAAGTGACAAAGGTGATGCTAGAGGTTTGGAGAAGAGGCGGAGGCGATGTCGTACGTTTGCTCTCCTCCAGTCATGTCTTCAGCTTCTCACACAACAATACAGGTCACGAGTCAAAATCTCTGGCTCAACATTGTCATTGCCCTCCAACTCCCATCCCAGACGGTCGGTGCGCGTATACCCACACCTTCTACCGAGTCTGCTGCCGCCTTGCAAAAGGTGTACAACCTCACCTTACGGCCATGGGAGGCATCCATCTTCTGTGGACTGCTTGCCAACTACACGAGCCCCTCCTCAGCTTCATCCTCAGGACACCGACGAGCATCGACGCCGGTCTATGGACCCGCGACACCAACCAAGGAGCTCGACCTATCTCAGTGGACCAATTTTTCTCCTGGTACGAATGATCTATCCAGCTTGTTGGGTGTAGGCATCACACCGAAGCACACAATCAACGTGCCCTCATCTTTGGGTCAATTCGAGTTTCATGCCGAGGCCGACCGTCGCACATCTTCTGCAGAACAGTCTGTCAATGGGCTGGAGGCTTTGCTGGCTGAGATTGAGGAGGGTCACGCGGCGAATGAAAGGGCGGCTGTGACAGAGGACGGGGAGACAGAAAACACCTATGGAAACGATGTCCTCTTCAAGGCAAAGCGAGCGCAACCTTCCCGTCAACCATCACTTTACCAACTGCCGACACCCAACACTGACACCACTTCTCCTGCCGGTCTCGAACGGAGACATTCTTCCTCTGCGCCAGGATCCTGTGCCTTGAGCCCTGAGCACGCCGCTTCGCCCTATGTGACTGCTTCGACGACGGCATCAGCAGTCTCCAGAGCGATACCGTCTGTCGCGGCTCCCGCGGCTACCGAAGGATCTCAAGGACCTAGAGTCGCACCCCCAACATCTGTACCCATGCCCACCTCCACATTCGTGCCACCACCTCCCATGTGCATGTTTTTCTCACCTCAATTCCGAGATTTGGAGAAGGGGAAGGTCGGTGTGTGGAAGGGAGATCTGGAAATCACAGGCAGAGGAGGCGGGCGTTTCTCAATTCTGATTGTCGGAGAGGAAAATACTGGGCACTTATGGTGAGTCGTTCTGCACTGTTCCCAGAACCTACCCGACTCACCTCTCTTCAGGCAATCCCACCTGTGGCCCACCAAGATTTCATATCCCCCGGAGCCCGCGGCCGAGGGACAGACGACAACCTCTTCGTGTACTAGTACTATGATACCGGTATCGCACTTGGCGAGAGAAGGCTTCACTCCGATCACCATGGGCATGGTACTATGCAATGATGCTAACATATCAGAGTATGTCGCGATGGTCCAAGGTTTCCACGCAGAGGGCGTTGTGAGTGATGTCTACTGGATCCGAATGCGTCTCGCTGACGGTCTTCAGGCGTTCCACCTACCAAACCCTGCTAAACTCCCCATTGTCTTCCTTCCCGCCAAATTTGATTCCGCCGATCCGCTTCAGCGTCTAGGTATCGCCTTCATGTCGAAACCCGGTATGCCGTTACCTAAACCAGTCTCCATCGCGGTCAAGCAGCAGGCAGCCAAGACGGTGGCGGCCGAGCAAGACAGGAAGCGGAAGAGGCAACGTCGTCAGAGTGCGCCAGCCAAAGCCTCGGTCGGATCACATCGACGGCGCAAGAGCGAGATCAGTGAGAATGACGGACCGGAAGTGGTCCGTTTGGATTCGCCCAAGGAGAGTGCAATCGACGAAGAAGAGGATGACTGAGGACGGGAAGCAACACTTTCCTTCTGACATTGGTATAATACAGCAACAAAACATGATGGGGCTTGGCCCTCTGCACACATGGGTCTCTGGTCAGACGCCCTCAAATACACGACGACACAGACACACGACATTTAACGACGGATCCGGCATCACACATGGGCATATACACGCAGAAGGGCAGACAGTCCAGTCCGTATCGGGCTCCGGACCGTTTTCAGCGATGAAGAGTATAATATACACGTCTACACTCTATCGCTTGTGCAACACAGGCTTTGAACATATGTATACTACAGACCTCTTCTCGAATCATTATCATCTAGTCGTCGTCATCATAATAGTTTCCAAATTTGCTTCCGTGTGATTTTCGTCCGAAATGAGGTTCTGCGTTCTGAAGTGCGGTATTCTGATCCTGTCTGTTTTCTGCATCTAAATTGGTGTGAGCGTCTCGACGATGGCGTCAGCTAGCGTGAGTTGGGAGAGATTCAGGCGACCTATTGGTACAGGCTGATGTCGCTGCCCTCTCAGCACCTGTTCAAGCCCGTATTGGGCGGTGCTGCCGTTTTTGCAGCCTATACAACCTTGAGGCAACCGCTCCGGGCCCAGGATAGAAGTGTCAGCGACTCGACAGTGCGACCTGGACGCTCGAGCTCCGGTGACAAGGTAAGTCTGTAGCGCGTGAACTCTTTGCAACATAGGCTAAAGCACTGGAAGCTGCCAATCTACGCAGAGAGCAGTGACCGCATCGTCACTCTTATCGAGGTTGGAAACCCTATCTCACCCTACGTTGCGCAGGCAAGAACGTCTCTTGGGGACGCTTTCAGCGGTGCGAGTGACTATGTTCAAAATGGAGTTAGCCGATGGATCACCTTTGAGCGCAAAGTCGAGCGTGAGCCAATTCTGCGGGGTGGGGTGTCTAGCACAGTCGCTCATGTTTCGTACCTCTCCAGGTGAAGTCAAGAGCGTGCTTCCAAAGGATGAATCTCTCACGCCTGGAATCATCTACGTCCTCATTGCTGGTCTCACTGGATCTGTCCTGACCAGGACACGGGCTTTCCCAATTCGATTCCTCGCCCCACCCTTGTTGACATTGGCTGCGATGCCATACTTTTTACCTCGGACTTCTCATAACCTTCGAGCCTATCTCTCCGACGTAGAGGACAAACATTTCCCTGAAATTGGAGCATCGCACGACCAGCTCAACGCTCGTTTGGCCATGCACTGGGACATGCTGACTAATCGGTTGGGATCTGCAACACAGGATGCGAAGGGATGGGGAGAACGAGCCGTTCAGGGTATTGAAAATTCGACTGGATTGCGCGTAGGTGACGCTGTCCAAAGGGGACGTGAAAAAGTCGCAGCGGAGAGAGAAAAGCTCAAGACTATGGTCCCAGTCACTGCTGATGGAGCAGCCTCGTTCGAGACCGTCGGGTATGTTGTCGAGGCAAGACCCGTTGCGGAGATTGTCCGACCAGTGGAAGATCCAAAACCTGAAAAGAGAATGGTGTAGAGCTCATCCCTAGACAAGCTCGCATGCAGTGCATCTTCCTGGGTATCTGACTACCGATAAAAACGCCGCTGATCTCACTCTGGATCCCCATGCGTTATCAAAGGTCGCCAAGTGTGGGCCTCAAAGCACTTGTTAGAAATGCTCTTTGGCAAACTTGACATCGATCGTGTCTGATTTGCACTTCATCGCCTCTGCTTGGATGACGCGTGCCAGTGGATTGGGCTGATGAGTACACCTCAGCTCGACTTCTTTCAATCACCGCAGTACTCACACCGCAGTAATAGACACCGAGCCTGGTCTTCAGGGTAGCCTCTCGCCCTACGAGATAGGATCCCCCGTTTATGCTGGCTGCCAGCGCACTGAAAATTTGCTGAAAGTCTGGTCTTCCAAACAGCGTTCGAGTACGGAGTAATGTCAGTGGACTTCGTGCGAGCTCGTGTTAGCTGACTTGGCAAGGATGCTGCGAGTTGGGACATACTCGTATTCTTGTCCAACCCTGAAGCAACTTGAGCGACCATCGCTGTTTGAAGATCGGGATGGCTCACGAATTGATGACAATGTTCTGAACGGCATCGCTATCCATCTTCTGGGTGAGATATATCTTGTCATATCATCAGTGATATGGCTAATCTCCACGCCATGGTTAGGAGCCTCACCGACATCCGCAAGAAATTGGCTATGGAGATCCATCAACGGGGGTCGCAGCGAAATGAGACAGCGCTCACAATCGGTCTGGGCTTCCTCAATCTCCTCCAAGAGGCTTTGAAACCATCCGAAAGAACCTATTCACGTCAATCACCTGCACCACATGCTGAGTTATCCACACCACGCACCGGCTTCACGGCATGACCAGATAAATTCAACTCTTCTCAGAGCGCCCAATTTGCCTGCACGCTGCGCGTACCAGATGTGCTTCAGTATGCTTGCGAATGGCTACGGAGACCGGTCAGTATCAAGAAATGATCCCGGTGTTGAACCCCACGGTCACGCCAATTCCAGCTCCAATCAGGACCGCCACCTCGCTCTTGAACACGTCCTCAGCTGGAGCACCAAAAGGACTAAATCCGTTTTGTTTAGCGCTCGCGGCCGGAAAGACCCAAGCTTACCCGTCAATCCTCAGCAGGGGCATAGGCTTTCCCATAGCTGGCGAAATCTCGATCCAATCACCGCGTCGACCACCTTTCTCGCTGTCCATGAGAGACTCGCCCGAGACACCGACTGTGGCGCCGAGTCTCGCACCGAGAGCTTGAGTAAAATCCCCAACTTGACGAATGTGGACTGAGATGAATGGGTCCTCGGGCGCAGACGAGATCGTGAACTGATGACAGAATGAGCATTGACAAGGCAGACGTTTGACTCACAGGATGCCATTGCCACTTGGATACCTCTGGGCAATTCAAAAAGAGCCACTGACCCGCCTTGTACTTCATGGAAGGCTTCACGAATCGTAACTCGAGAGCGCCACTTGGGTGGATCTTGACATTGGTGATGGCTGTCTGACGTCTCGAGCGTACCTCTCGCCAGACTCTCTCGCTAAAGTACTGAGGATATCTTCGTATGAGCTCAAGAGTATTCCCCCAGGTCAGACTGACCAAAATGCCGCCCCAGATGGCGAACCGCCACGACTCATATCCCAGGCAATGGTTTGTCGAGTAGAATGGGAAGACGGCAACATAGTCGGGATCGACGCTATCTCTGACAAAGCAGCCAGTGGCATGAGTATAAAACCCGATCATGAAGAAGAAAGCCTGGGGACATGGTCAGCGAGAGAGAGCCTGGTCATTGGCTCATCTCACCAAGTGATGGGTGTACCAGAAGGCCTCAAAACATCGTTGTCGTATGGTCTTGTGGGCAGTGGTGTACATCAACAGCATGATGAGAAGCATTCTGCAAAAAGATTTAGATCAGTCGACTCCTGTTCCAGGAGAGTGGCATGACCTACACATGTCCCGTGAATCCCCCGGGCTGGGTGTAGTGAATTTCCCACGCTGTTTGCTTCCTGACTTGAGTTCGTTCGACCTGAGATGAGACGGGGTGAGATTAAAGGAGGTGCCATAATGAGTTGCTGTTCTACATACGTTGATGAAATTGACGTAGTGGGCGGTAGTATGGACGATGGCGTAAATGAGGAGTTGATAGGCCACTTGTCGATGAAACTGCCACTCGTCAGGAAATTGCCAGGACCTGGTGCTCCCACCCAGATGCTCTCATCAAGAGGAATGAGCCAAGACAGTTGTGGCCTGAGTAGTTTGATGAGGTTCCTGAGCACTAAGACTGATCAAGACGCGATCATATTTATTGAAAGCATCTTGGGAACTCACTGGGGAGAAGGATGATTGTACCGTCGAATGCGAGTACCAGTCCCGCGCCACGAGAGGTCCAGACCGAGTATCGGAGCCCATTCAGAGCAGCAAGTCGCTGATTCGACCATTGAGACCACCAGCCAAGAGCGACTGAAGGGACATTGGCCCTCATCAGCTTTCAAGCTCTTCGCTATGCCATTCGGCGCCGCCACTCACAGAGTCCGAGGTGTAAGCCATTCCACGATAGGTGCCAGACCAGCTTTTTACCCGTCTGATGCTTTTTGTCAGTCACGCTACACTCAAGCCGAAGGATCCCCATACACTGACCAGCTCTCTTCTTATAGAAGGCGGAAGGCTGGAGGACGTCATCCAAGAAAGGTGTGTGAGGGCAGCAGCCTGGAATACTGATCTCGACCAGCTAGATGAAGTCAGAAGCAAGAAATCGAGACAGTGATCCATCTGCCATCTCAAGCTGCACCCTTTTATTCACTCAAGCCGCTGATAGATGACACGATATCACGGTCGTCATGACGCCTAGTGGTCCAATATCACAACACGCATCCGGAGCGTTGCGATGCGACAGTACCCTTGACAACCAATCGGCCTCGAGATTTTCGACACTTGACGACACCGCATGGGCTACCTTTCGACACTCTGGACAAATGAACGTCATGCAATCACTTGTATGGACCGTTACGCAAAGCAATCTTATCATCTCAGAATAATGGCCTGTACAATGAATGAGAGGAATGAGGAGGAGATGTATTCTGTATAAAATGCTAAACACATCATCTTGGCGATTACCTGGCGGAAGCCATGGCCTTTTGCCTGTAATGAGGTCAGCGAAGCAGTCTAAAAGGTATTATAAACATCACTCACAATGCCCTCTTGACTCCGAGTTGAGCCTTCTTGAGCTCATCTGCGGTGGCATCTTCCTGCTCAAGCTTCTCCAAAGCCTTGGCAATCTCGGCCTCAACGGCGCCACGAGCTCCTCGCTTGATCTTGGCAGCGAGTTCAGGAGAAGAGATGGTTTGTTCGGCTGGTATGAAGGTTAGCACAGACCTTGCCTGCGAGGGCAATCGACTTACTGGTGTGGAGGTAGGACTCGAGGTCAGACTTGGCCTCGTGCTTGGCAGAGAAGTCCTTGTCGGCGTTCTTGAACCTAGAAGACATCAGACAGAGCCAATGCTAAAGTCTGGATACACTCACTGCTCGGCGTCCTTGATCATAGCCTGGATCTCATCGGCGGACAATCGGCCGACCGAGTTCTGGATAGAGATCTGAGCCTTTCGACCAGATGCACGGTCCTGAGCGGAGACCTTCAAGAGACCGTTGGCATCGACCTCGAATGTGCAGACCAATTCGGCCTGTCCACGGGGCATCGGTGGGATACCAGACAACTCGAACTCTCCAAGCAGCCTGTTGTCCTTGCACTGGGTTCGCTCTCCCTCGTAGACAGGGAACATGACGGTGGTCTGGTTGTCCTCGACGGTGGTGAAGACTCGAGACTTGTTGGAAGGGATAGGGGTGTTTCGGGGAAGGACAACTCCGAAAATGTCGCCTTGCATGGCGACACCGAGGGACAAGGGGGCAACATCAAGAAGGAGGAGGTCGGCTGTCTTGCTGGAAGTCTGACCGGTAAGAACGGCTGCTTGAACAGCAGCTCCGTAGGCAACGGCTTCATCGGGGTTGATAGACTTGTTCAATTGACGGCCACCAAAGTATTCAGAGACAAGGGACTGGATCTTGGGAATACGGGTAGATCCTCCGACCAAGACAATGTCGTCGACTTTCGCAGCAGGGATCTTTGAGTCCTTGAGTACCTTGTCGACGGGCTCAATGGTGGACTTGAAGGCAACGGCGTTGATTTCCTCGAAACGGGCTCGGGTGATGTTGGCGTTGAAGTCAGTTCCCTGGTAGAGGGAGTCGACCTCGACAGTGGTCTGAGTGACCGAAGAGAGAGTTCGCTTCGCTCGCTCACAAGCAGACTTGAGACGTCTGATGGCACGGGGGTCCTCGGAGATGTCGTGCTTAGTCTTGCGCTTGAACTCGGCCTTGAAGTGCTCGAGCAAAGCGTTGTCGAAGTCTTCACCACCGAGATGGGTGTCTCCGGCAGTGGCCTTGACGGAGAAGACCTTACCCTGGATGGAAAGGAGAGACACATCGAAAGTACCACCACCCAAGTCGAAGATGAGAACGTTTCGCTCCTCCTTGGACTTCTCGTCAAGTCCGTAAGCGATAGCAGCGGCAGTGGGCTCGTTGATGATTCGGAGGACCTCAAGACCGGCAATGGCTCCGGCGTCCTTGGTGGCGAGACGCTGAGAATCGTTGAAATAGGCAGGGACGCTGTAATTGTGTCAGGACAGGCGGCTCAAGGGCGAACTCACGTAACGACTGCCTTCTTGACAGTCTTTCCGAGCTTGGCCTCGGAGATCTCCTTCATCTTGGTAAGGACCATGGCGGAGATCTCCTGAGGAGAGAAGCTCTTTCGCTCGCCGAGGTAATCGACCTCGACATAGGGAGATCCGTCTTTGTCAATGAGGGCAAACGGCCAGTGCTGCAGAAACAAATCAGCTCCAATGATCGACTTTCCAAAGACGCCTCAGCTAACCTTCATGTCCTTCTTGACATCGGGGTCATCGAAACGACGTCCAATCAATCGCTTGGCGTCAAATACAGTGTTCCTCGGGTTCATGGCACTCTGGTTCTTCGCGGCTACATAACTCAGCTCCTGTCGCTGTGTGAACCACGCGCTCACCATCTCCGATCAATCGCTCTCCTTCAGTGAAGGCAACGTAGGAAGGAGTAGTTCTGTTTCCCTGGTCGTTGGCCATGATTTCGACACGGTCATTGCCGTAGACACCGACACAGGAGTAGGTGGTACCGAGATCTTGGAGAGAGTGTCAGAGCCATGCTTGCTCAGACTATAGGGCAAAGAGCTTACCGATACCAACAGCTCCCTCGTAGACATCTTCCGAAGACATTTTGTGAAATGGGATGTGACAGGCTGCGAGCAGAGGTGAGCATTCAGATTTCCGTACTGCTGTCCGATCCTTGCAGCCTGGAGACTGCCGTACTCACCGATACGCCTTGCTTTTTTTTTGGGATGAGAAGTGTTGAGTGAAGGAAAGAGAAGAAGAAGGATGTAGAGAAAGGTCCTTGAAAGGTTTTGTGGTCGAAATTTTTTGGCGGGGGAAAGAAAGAGAAAAAAAGGAGACAGATGGGGGAGGGGACGGAATCAAATATTTTACATGATTGTATGACACAGGTTCGTGACAGATGAAAATGCCGATAATATCCGAATAAAGAGTGGCACTGTGGCACACCCCTCCAACCACCTCCCTCCCGTCGTGTCCGCCCTGCTCAGCCCTCAGATAGCCCCAGCTCCTTGAGCAGGTCTTTGTTCTGCTCAATATTCTTCTGTCTCTCTGATTCATACTCCGATCCTGGCGTAGACGGCTCCACTGATGGAAGATATGAGCTTCTGGGTAAAGGGATGATCACTCACCAGGCGGCAAAGTCTGTGATTCCTCCCTGTATTTCTGTATGGCATCTTTCAGATCCTGAGCCTGAAAGCGGCGGCTGAGCTGATACCTAGAATACCAGGCTTCACAAAGGTTTTGCTTTTGTGTCCATCTCACTTTGAACAGGTCCATGGGATGTCGGACCTTCCGTCTCGTTTTCAGGGACACGCTTTCGACAACCTTGAGGGCTAGTCGGGCTAAACCCGGTCAGGAATGAGACACGTGATTGTTTCTTGCTCACCAGGTGTCTGATTGCGTGCAGCCGAAGAGGTAGCCCGCGCGATGACTGGATCAAAATTCTTGCCATGAAACGCTTGTATCGCCAGGTCTATAGTCCATTCAGAGAGCTGGCCGATCTCCATCATCTGATCTCGTGTCTGCCACTCCTCTTCATACAGTGGAGAAGGCTCTAGACGTTGAAGCCCGACCTGTATGCAACCATATCTGACCAAATAGGAGCACGATTTTCCTTTCCGAGACTGAAGAATGACAAATTGTTGCTCTATACGACATAGATGAGCTTTCATCGACCCCACACAAGACTTTGACCCACCTTTCGAGTCATATGCTGTCAAAAATGCGTTTGCACCTGGCACAAGGTTGCTTCTCGGTTCCCAGCTGTCGCTTCCTGGACCATATCCTTCCCACTTGACGAGATAGTGATGTTGTCTTGTCCCATCTGCGCACTTCGAGGTATGCAGAGAACGAGCGAGAATCCTGCTGACCTCGAAAACCTGTTCTGAGGGTGGAATATAGCTTAATCGCTGCCACTGATGTCAGTATCAATACCCATATTGCACTACGAACCTTGCGCGTCGGCGAGCGCGTCGGTCGTGACGACGACGCAGTGTCGGCAGAGGTCAAGTGCGATGAATCAACATCATTGGGAATGACATCGGACACGACTGAGGCGGAATACGCGGTCTTTAGCCGTGCCATGCTGGATGTCGTACAAATCAGGAGGAGTGAGGATGAGGATGGTAGCGAGGATGCCAATGAAAGTCAATCACGGAATTCGGGTAAGCCGAGGCTGAAAATTGAGGTGACCATGAACGAATGACCCGAAGATCTTTGGGTCATTCTTGTCGACTTACAATCTAGAAGGCCATCTATATCATCTTGGACAAAGATCAGCATTTGACTTAATATGCACACTGATCCAGTGAGAGCTTCCGTCTGCGGCGCAGTTGGCGAACACTGACTCTTCGCTCCACAGTATGTGGCCCCGCCTCTTGATGTTTCGTCAGTCCCGATTGAGCAACAACGAGACGGAGTTGGGCTGACTCTACCTTAGCTCAGTCATACATGGGGGGATACACCATCCTGTCCTCCGGTCTTACCAAGACCAAGGTCGAAGCCTCAACAAATCCATGTTGATGTATCCCATCTTCATCTCCGACGACCCGGATGCCGAACAGGTCATTTCCAGTTTGCCAGGTCAGAAGCGATGGGGTATCAATAAGTTAGAAGGTTTCTTGGGACCATTAGTGTCGAAGGGTCTCAAGTCTGTGATCTTATTTGGGGTACCGGAGAAAATGATCAAGGTTTGTCTGCCCGAGTCATTTAGGACAACATACTGATCATTTCTCGACCGAAACCAGGACGAAAGAGGTAGTGCTGCCGATGATCCCAACACGCCCGTCATCCTCGCCTTAAAGCACCTCTCCGCTCTCTTCCCTCATCTATTCCTCGCGGTGGACGTCTGTCTCTGCGAATACACCTCGCATGGTCATTGTGGCATTCAATCATCACTTCCTCATCCCGCTCACTCTAATGCACCCTCTCTTGATGCTGATGCCTCGGCTCAAAGAATAGCAGACGTTGCCGTAGCATACGCAAAAGCTGGCGCGCACTGTGTTGCTCCCAGTGATATGATGGATGGAAGGATCAGAGCGATAAAGATGGGACTCATTCACTCTGGGTATGGAAATCGATGTACGCTTATGAGCTATGCGGCAAAGTTTGCGAGTGGTCTCTATGGCCCTTTCAGGTGATTCTTCTGCTGCCTCATCGCTCTCACTGGTGACTGACACTCGCGGGTAGAGAAGCCGCCGGGAGCACGCCGATGTTTGGAGATCGCAAATGCTACCAACTGCCTCCCAACGGTCGCGGCATCGCTCGCCGAGCTGTGGTGAGTCTGCCTTGCGATAGCCGTTTGATTTCTGGCTGAACCCTCTCAACAGCGAAGGGACATTAGCGAAGGAGCGGATATCATCATGGTCAAGCCAGCTCTACCCTATCTGGACGTTATTTCGGATGCACAGGAGATTGCAAAAGACCTGCCGATAGCCTGTTACCAGGTCTCTGGCGAGTACGCCATGATCTACGCCGGAGCGGAGAAGGGTATCTATGACTTGAAGCAAATGGCTTTCGAAACTACCGAGAGCATGGTTCGCGCTGGTGAGTCCAGCTTTCCGCGCCGCGCCCAGATGCTGCCTGACTACATATTTGCAGGAGCTGGCATTATTCTCAGTTATTTCACGCCTGAATTCCTGGACTGGTTAGAACAATGATGGCCACTCAATTCACATTCTCAGTCATAATCATCGCAATGCATGTTCAATCTGACTCTCCAATCGCCACATTGCGCTCAATCCATGCGTGACCGGAGACGTCGGGTAACAACCTTGTCCTGTGTTCTGCGTCCGTCAGAGATGTTTTAGGAAGCTGCTCTTACATGACATGCACGATTGCACCCCATCCACTGAGGCAATCACGATCGACCGCGTTCAGAAGAGTTTGGGAGATGGTCTCGAACAAATCATCAGGTTCCTGCAAGGCTCAATCAGCATGATCGGACAGAGCGGGTAGCTTGCTAATCACCAGGTCAGGTTCCCACAAGCCTTCAGCGGCACCATAAAGTTTGTCTGCGGCAGTGCCGGCAACCGCGAAGTCTTTCGGCGTAGTGATACAGCCGATTCTGCACAGTCACACTGTGTCAGCAAAGGCACTCGATTTCACTGACAACTTACGTGTCCATAGTGGAGATGAAGGGTTTAGGATGCGGATCGAGCTCGGTAGGTTGAGGCAATCCCGCAACGACAGGCTCAATGAACCATGGTCCAAAGCTGGTACAGTAAGCACACCGCTGAGGTTCCCCAATATGAGCGCTGACTCACCGCTTCTCGTAGAGTGAGCTGGAGACCAGATGGGTAAAAGTCTTTGGGGTGATTTCACGTTCCTCCTTCATTCGGTACATGTTGACACGGAATCGAAGATGCTCGCGTCTGAAGAAACCCGCCGTATCAGCTGATCGACATATCCCGGCTTGCGCATATCCTTTGCTCACAGTGAGTACACGTCCGTTGCGAGTCCAGGTAATCCGTAATACAATTTGTCATTCACAGCGACGACCTGAGACACCAACATCAGTCTCGTCCGATTCACCTCGCAGTAGGCCCAAGGACTCACTTTGTCAAAGTTGTAGGCCACACCTATGGACTGCTGTCCTAGTCGCAGATCCGTGGCGATGGCGACACAATCCTTCCCAACCATTGCTACCACCGAACCGCCATTGTACTCCATGGGACTTCCCTAAGAGAACCGACTCAGCGCTATACGACGAGTATTCTAGATATTGAGATACTTACCATTTTGAAGGCTGCCTGTTGACCAGAAAGTGTGGTGATCGATGCAAGAAGATGCTTGAAGATGGAGATGAAAGGACAAGGCTCGGGTTGACTTGCAAGGACGCAAGCGTGAAGCCACGTGGCGCACGAATGGGTCAGCGTGGGTCGCGCGTCTGCTTTTCTTGATTTCTGGCTTGAAATACCATCGTGAACCATGAGATGCTGGTAGCTTAAGGGGTTCGTAGCTCCAGTCAATGTCGATCAAGGTTAATGCCCTACCTCTGTCGTGGGTTATCTTATCACCTGTGACCCATGCTCAGCTGAGCGCGTGCATTCAGGTCACGCATCAAAGCTGCGCTGATTGAAGCCAAATATGTCTACGTCGATGAACTGGCAGACCTAAGCTCCGAAGATCTCTGTAGTGGTGCGTCAGAAGACTCGCTTCTTTCAGTGTCTGATGGGACTCTCAGAGCTCGGCCTCACCAGAGTCGAGGTCCAGCAGCTTCAGCGAATCGCTGCTGGCGAAGAGGATGGTAAGGTGAAAACCAGTTTCTTTAGACTGAACATCGGCTTCAGATCCGGATCTTATCGTCACCGCGCCCAGCAAAGCCACTGCTTCGACTGCTACCGCTCTCTTGAATGATCAAAGGCTCTCTACCTTCAACACTGGCTGCGAAGTGATCGATGATCTGATATATCGGACGTGGAGCCGGTCGTCGGAACTATCCCGAGGAAATACGACGGTGATTGGCAATTCTCAGAGGGATCAAGGAGGGAGCATTGTCCCCGGAATGACTCTAGAGGTCAGTGGTCCTCCAGGTGGCGGAAAGACTGCGCTGGTCTGCGGGATCATCATTTCGGCCTTGAGTATTGCGCCAGATGAGGAGGCCGAGTCAGCTGGGCAGATCCTGGTCGTCGGTGAGTAACTAGGTCGCGGCGAACTTGGTCTGAGTATCAACTGCTAGATACTGAAGGTGGCTTTACGCCGGAGCGGATCCTCAACGCTTGGCAAACTGACAGTCGGTCTCGCAGCACAGGTGAGAAGCTCTCCTTCGAAGGGCTCCATACTCAACGCATCTTCCTCTATCAGATAATATTCGAGAGGTTCTGAGCCGCGTCCACCTGGTCCGCGTCATCACTCAACTCCAGATGATAGCTTTCATTAATTCGCTGGACTCGTGGCTCGAGAACCACCCACACGTGAGCTATTTTCTTGTACGCCGTCTATGGTTGCTCAAGCAAACAAGGTCAATCTCGTCATTATTGATTCTCTAAGCTATCATTTCCGCCAGCCTAATCTGGACTCAAAGTCGCGGAACAGAATTCTAGAAATGTAGGCTCAAAGTATGCCGATTGCCATCCAAGCTCACTATCTGCGCCTAGAATCAAAGCTCAGATTGCGAAAGCGACTACCCTCAGGCGATGTGCTGTTCGTTGAGATTTTCTGACATTACATATCAGTTCCTGACAATTTACCTTTCAGGTCATCGTCACCAATCAGTTAGCCACAAAGCTATTGACGACAGACAATAAGCCTGCAAACTTTGATACAGGCGATCGGGCGATCTTGATGCCGCAGCTGGGTGAGTCGGGCCTCACTTAAACGCTGAAGCAGGAAAGGAGATGCATGGTTGGGAGGTAAAACTGTCAGAATGGTGCTCTTTCGTGGAGGAGCTGGGGATGAACAACGCTACGCGCATGCGACACTTTCGCAGTCTGCTGAGGGCGGCTGCCCCTGGGTCAAGTTTGACATTGATGTATGTCGAGGACTCTCACTTCATGTCACTGACATAGCTGCCAGCCGCAGGGGACACTGTGCGACCCGCCATAGCTTAGGACAATCGACCGTCACCTTTTTGTTCAGAACTCCCACAAGTATAAATGCATCTCTTTCGATCTATCTAATAGCCAGATGGCCTGGCTTGACTTGTATCGTATGACCTGATAAGACGGGTCTGATCCTGACTGTGGGTTTCCGTTTGACTGAAAGCGAAGCCCCTCTGCCGTCGCATACGCTGGGTAGCTCGAACCTTTTTGATTGCTTTTTGAAACCTGTAAAGGATTAGCGTTGAATCTGGCACTCTCTTGACTCACTGTTCCTGTCGTGGTCTATAGTCGGAGAGGTTGAATTTTTGGATCTCCTGCACGATATGGTATGAGGCTGGGTAGTATGTTCGTCGAAAGCTAAGCATGGTCAGAGCAGATTGGATTCCAGGCGACTTGCTATTTCCAGACATAATCTCTAAGCAAGCAGACCATCGGTAGCAGGATGAGGACAAAATAAAAGACTGGATCTGCCCACAGCCGCGGCACAATGTTCTGATAGGCCATTGAAAACTTCAGCAGGGGAGCGATGATGGCGTATAGCGGCAAAGCGACCATAGTGAATATAAAGGAGCCCGGAATAGCAGCGAGCGTGTACTTAGTCCACACACTGGGTGGAGGTGTCAGTATCCCACCAGCCGGTGAGCCTCGTTACTTACTCTGATATCAGTGCAGCCTTGCCCAGAACGGTAAGAAGTACAGCCAAATACAATGTGGTCCCCCATACCCAGAGACCAGAGTTCTTGCCGTCGGCTGCCAGAAGGTCGTTGCGGAAGACCAGGACAGAGAATGCAAAGAGGATCTGCCGACCATCGTAAGCGTTCTCTTCAGATCTTCTGAGGTGCCGTGCTCACTACACTGTGATACAAGGCATTTCCCACCCAATAGAAGAACGTAATGGGAGTGAAGAAATAGTTCTGCTGCCCCAATTGGTAGAGTTGAGGGTATCTGTCCAGCATGCGTGCGGACACGAATTGGTCGAAAATACCAATGACTAGTGGTGGCAAAATTGTAAAAACGACATTGTAGAACGACATGGACCATCCCTCGAACGCTATCTGTCCCGAGTAATCATTGAACCACGAGTACTGGCAAAGATGAGATCAGCAGGGACGACAACTGATAAGACCGACTCACCCAAAAAAGAGTTAACGCGAACGTTATGTTCTTGTAGAACGAGACTGCATGTTGTAAGCTAATCAATCGCGGATCGAGACGTCCACGGACGCACATAAGATCAGCTTCGACAGTCTTTGGTAGCTCCAGGATCCATGGACAAGCAGCAGCTTCCGTAGGAATCGGAACTGAGAAATGGCGACATCGGCAGATCGAGCAGCTTGAAGTCCCTAGGACCGCTCAGCCCCGCTTGCGGCTGTCTCTACTCACCTCCACACCAGATATGCCGACTCCCACGTGTGCTGCTTGAATCATACTGACATCATTCGCGCCATCCCCAATCGCAAGCAAGGGTGCGCTGGTACTTCGTTTCACCAGCTTGACCACTTGAGCCTTCTGTAATGGAGAGACTCGACCTTGGTTAGGGGTCAGCTGCATCTTCGGGACTACGTGTCAAACACTGACAGCATATGACGGCCTGTGGTATTGTCAGCGATACCGCAACGGAAACGACGTGCCTTGCACATGATAGCCAACTCTAGGAACACTTCCGAGCAGTCCTTCTCCAAAGCAAATGTGAGGCTCTTTCCATCTTTGAAAGTGAAGTGATCAGAATGACGATCTCTTCATTCAGCTGCGCTCACCAATGATCAAAGCGAGCTCCTCGACATCCCCGCCGAGTCTCTGGTTCTTGATTGCAAAAAGTCGACGGTTCAACAATTCCGCTGTCTCCGCGGCGGTTTCCGTATTGATGATCACCTGAAGATTTCAGCTCTTGAGTCCTTGAGTCAGACGTTCTCACCAGATTCATGGCCTCTGAGATCAGACGGCAGGAAAGTCCAATGTTAATCGCAGTCTCTTGACGATCACCGGTGAGAACCCAGATCTGACGGAATTTAGCTACACCCTTGGGGCCAGTCAAGCCTACCTTGATCCCGGCTTGCTGCAGGGTGTGAATGGCATCTGGGACACCATCCTGAAGTTTATCTTCGATAGCGGTGGCGCCTAGCAGCTGCAGATCCCGTTCAATGATCTCAGCGGCACGATCCAGAGCTTCTGCTCTCCCAGACATTTGCGCGGCGGCGTTGTCGTAAATCTGCGCCCACTCGGCGTATTCAGACTGGGATATCTCTCGATAGGCCAGGCATAATGTCCGAAGCCCCTCTGTAGCATAATCCTGGACTTTATAAGCGGACATGGGCCGTTCGAGATAGGCATTGCTCACTTCCAGGTGGGCCAAAGTCGCCTCTGTATCCTGCTTCCCGGCAAGTCGCTCGAAGATGACAGTATCGGCTCCTTTGGTATATAGCTTGATCTTGCCGTCGGGGCAGCGGACAACAGTCGACATACGTTTCCGCGATGAGTTGAACTCGCAGACGTTGAGAATCTCGAATTCTTCCTCGTTTCCACCGGCATCGATGAAAACACTCTTAGGCTTGCGTGTCTGTTGATAGGATCAGATCCCCGTACCAATGTCCGCCACTAATGACCCACATGAAAGCGGTAGCCCAAAAGCTCTGCTCCGGCGACGAGGGCGGCTTCATCGGGACTTGAGGCTTGGAAAACGATACGGCCGTCGCGTTCCTCAGGAATGACTGTATGGCACACCGCGAGCAGCGTGAGACTACGGCATTTGTCAGAAACTGAAACGAATGGCGTTAATATGACGAACAATTCGCGGAGCACGCGGCCCTCTTCGGACGCTTCGTGCGATTTAGATCGCATAGTATCGAAGGTTTGAGCACCTTGATCCCGCTTCGCGTCGTCCACTACCTGAGCGTACATGGTCCCAAAAATGCTGCACTCTCGGAACTCCATTTCGTTGCAAGTCAAGGTTCCTGTCTTGTCCGAAAAGATATATGCAATCTGCCCCAGTTCTTCCACCAATGAGGACGTCCTGCACAATGCCGGCGTATCGGTCGGAGCATGGTACATGTCCAGGTCAGAGTTGATCAAAGATGCCTGCCAGAATTTGACGACCTCGATAGTCATGATGAGCCTGCATAGTCAGCATTTATTTGGTCAAGAGAGCCTCACGATATAGGTATGAGATTGTTGTACAGAATGATGAAGGTCAAAATATCTTCGATGAATTGCTTGGCTTATTCCTTGTGAGCCAATCTTTGGGTCGAGACACTGACGATCTCACCCTTGTTCCCGCTCACGTCACCGCGCAGATACCAGTCCTGCGAGGAGAAGATCCACTGAGACACGAGTCAGCTCAGTCAACGTATCTCAAAGTCAACTGACCGTTCGTATACTGCTCCCAACCGTGGACACGATGGATAGAATGAGCAGGAAAACAAAAAGATAGAGAATCTGCTTGTTGACCTGGCGCTCGACGGCTGTTCTCTTGATTGGAGCGTCACTGAGCGCGATCAGCCTGATGGGTGGTCGATGGCTACCCACGTAGCATTTCTCATCAACTTGGTCTCGTGCCCAGCGTTAACGACCAGTCCATACAGCCAGTTCGTATTTCTCAGCTGCGCTCCGCGTAATAGTAGTTGATTCGGCCCCGCAGGTATTCTGGTAGGGGCGGAACCTGCGTGGGCTGACGATAGGAAGAATGTGCCGTCATAAGTATACAAAGACGAGTTCGGTGGCTCCGAGGCGACGTGACCCCTCAGCAGTGACACGGCTTGGGGATTGGTAAGGGGCGCTGTCTGAGGGTGGGCTTGTTTGATCTTGAGATTCGTCTCCCTGACATAGATCAATACAGTGTACAAGGGAGGATCTCCTCAGGCTTACGTACCCATCTAGATTTGCAGTTTCCACGTAGCACAGGCCATCCGGCTCACTGCTGCTCAGCAGAATCATGTCGGCTGGGATGAATTGGTTCGATGACAACCGAACAATGTCCCCGACTCGTATCCTTCGCCAAGGTCGAACCTCGAATTGTTGATTTACTAACACCTCTGATGGATTGCTGTTGAGGGACCGATCCGAAGCGTGACGTTTCTTCACGGTATTAGATTCACATCTAGGTTTGAGACGAGGTTCACATACAATATCTTCCTGAATCTCCTTGAAAGCACTTGCAATCAAAACTACTGCCAATGGAACTATGGTGGTCCATCGACCGGTAGGTGAGACATTCGGCACTTGCTGGATGATAGCTGTAAAGAGTCATCAAAGGCTTATTCGACCCAGGTCGCATACCAGTGAAGAGAAAGAACAAGTTTGCAGAACGTGAGAACTCCGCTGGTGTTTGTCAGGCCTGCAATGTCGACGAATGTGCGTGAACTCACAAAACAAGAATTTTGGCAAGAAAGTCAACGGCCCATACTTGCCGGTCGCAACTGTATTCTTCTCGAAGCCTTTCACTCGATTGGCCTCCGGGTCATTAAGCTGAATGTCTCGAGGAACACCTTCGAAGCGAGATTTCCGTCCGAATAGTTGACCGAGACCAAAATACCAGTCAACATCGGTCAAGTAGTCCTCCTTGATTCTCTGCCATCTGCTCCGCCTGCTCACACCGTATGGACCGTTCGCCTCTGGCGTAAAGGCGTAGGCCGATGGGCCATCATCATCCTCGAACGGATCATGCGGCATTCCACCGATCTTGACCGAGCTCGCAGACTTGTAATCATCGTAGCCTGCAAATCCTGCCGGAACAGCGCCAGCGCCAGCTAAGGGCTGCGATCCCTCTTGTCTCGAGCGCCTGAACGTGTTTGCTAATCCCCTGGACAGAGTCGAGCCCGACTGATAGCCATTCGCTACTGAATTATTGGCAAGCTCATCGTCGCTGACCCGTTTCAGCCTCCGGCGAGATGACCTGGCGCATCCGGGGATGCAGAGCTGTGACTCACTCATCAAAGAAGGGATCCAGTGCGTAACCATGCTGTGCAGCCTCTGCTGGTCCAGAAGCGTGAGGATGACCGTTATAGCTGGAAGTTGACGCTACTGGATCTGCATGAGCTTGGTCGAAGAGATCATCATCATCGTCATCCACGAATGGATCCCTTGGTCTGGTTGCTTGTCGTGGCTGGGGTGAGAGGATGTCGTCAAAGGGATTGTTGCCTTGGTGTGACATTTGCGGCAGATCTGAGCAATCGAGGACGAGCAATCCAGGAGAGAATGGCTTGACCTCGTTATTGAGCCAGACTGCACTTGTCTGTTGTTCCCGCGAATGAGCAGCCCTGTGAAGTTGTATAGCATTCCCTCCGCTGCACCGACATCAAGAACGCGCATCGCGGCATCGGCCACGGAGATTATCGAAAGCCACGTGACCGTCAAATATGTCCACGTCATGCTCTCCTCCGGCGCGTGTTGGTTTCCAACCGTGTCAACAAATGTTCAGGCATATATGTCTTATTCAACTCCTTTCGTTTCCATACTCCTCCCGAGCTGCCTTCGAGTCGTCCCGTCACGATCGCTTGTTTGCTACTAAGGTCGTGCAGCTCTGCACTGGCCCGCTCGAGCAATCTACGAGGCTGCCAAGCTTATCAGAGGATTTCACGACCTGCGCCAGCTTGGTTCAACCCTTCACATTTGAACAGGATTAGCTTTGCGACCATGTCCGACAGCGAATCTGATGGCTTCATCGTCAATGATGATAGTGAGTCAGATGGATATGTCGCATCTCCAGCCAAGAAGGGCAAGACTGTAAAGTCCGCGCCAGCGAAAAAGGCAGCAGCCCCAAAAGCTTCTACCGCTAAAGCCAAAGTGAGTCTTAGGGGCAACAGCTTGATGCTGACGAGAGAGGCTTCGACTACAAAAAAGGCTCCGGCAAAGACGCCTCTGGGCGCGAAGAGGACTCCCAACGATTCTTTCACCGAGGACGAAGACGACACGATGCTTGCATCATCCTCTAAACCAGCCCCATTGGAGGGAAACTCTGGCCTTGATGTCCCAAAGGAGAACAATGCGCCAAATGGCAAAGGCAAGAGCGCCAGTGACACTTATAAGATGGTGAGACGCACTGAAACGTTCTGTCGGGTGGCCCACTGACCACTGTAGCTCTCACACTTGGAACACGTCCTGCTGCGACCGGACTCTTATATCGGATCAGTGGAAGCTGTGACACAGCCGATGTGGGTTTTCGACTCGGAGACCAAGCAGATGGCATGGAGGTGCGTCGTGTTAGTCCAGCGAAGCGTCTGCTGAAACGAGACTATAAGACCCACCACCTACGTGCCGGGATTTTTCAAGATTTTCGATGAGATTCTGGTGAATGCGGCGGATAACAAGGTGAGCTAGGCAGTCTCGACACATGTGTTGGCGCTGATCTTTTCAGGTCAACGACCCGTCTATGGACACTCTCAAGGTCCACATTGACCGAGAGAAGAACCAGATCTCCGTCTACAACAACGGAAAAGGTATTCCGGTAGAAATACATTCGCAGAATGGAATCATGATCCCAGAAATGATTTTCGGGCATTTGTGGGTCAATTTGAAAAGACTTCACTGCACGATAGCTCAACGAACTCCATAACAGACTCTCTTCGAGTAACTACGACGATGACCAGAAGAAATTGACCGGTGGTAGAAATGGTTACGGTGCAAAGCTGGCCAACATCTACTCGAACGAATTCAGTGAGGCCCCTGTTCCACTGGCTCCGGCTGCTAACAAACAACGACCAGTTGTCGAGACTGCCGACAAGGTCAATGCCAAAAAGTACAAGCAGATCTTCTCCAAGAACATGAGCGTCAAGGGTACTCCTAAGGCGAGTCTGAACTGATTCCAGCGGACCGCTCACTCCTCAATAGATTACAGAGAATAAGAAGGAAGAAGAGTACACCAGGATCACCTTCACTCCTGATCTGAAGCGTTTCGGCATGGAGCGAATCGACGACGATACGTACGCCCTCCTCACAAAGCGTGTGTACGATCTAGCGGGAACCGTTAAAGACATCAAGGTGGTACTCAATGACGAGAGGATTAAGATCAAAGGTTTCAAACAAGTGCGTCATAACGATGGCTCATGTTGACCCTTCAGTACGTCGAAATGTATCTCAGCGCATCTACAAAGGCTGCTGAAGATGCTGCGGGAGGCGCTGCAGTCACCAAACCCAGTGTCATATTCGAGGCGGTAAACAAGAGATGGGAGGTGGCATTCGCGCTGTCAGACGGCGAGATGCAACAAGTATCTTTTGTGAACTCAATCTCAACAACGAAGGGGGGTACGCACGTGGAGATGTTGGCCACGCAGCTTGCAAACAAACTGTTAGAGTCTAATATTGTCTGGTCGCTGATGCGACTCAGGCTTGAGCAGGTAAAGAAAAAGAACAAAGCGGCGCCAGTCAAGCCCTTCCAAGTCAAGAATCACATGTGGATCTTTGTCAATGCAATGATCGAAAATCCTGCGTTTGATTCGCAGACCAAGGAGGCTCTCACGCTTAAAAGCTCTGCGTTTGGAAGCAAATGCGAGCTTTCCGAGGAGTTTGTGAAGAAAGGTGAGTGTGGCTTGTGGCTCCACGTTGACGGGGCAGTTTCTAAGTCTGGGATCATTGACAACATCCTCAACTGGGCCAAGTTCAAGCAGGACCAGATGTTGAAGAAATCAGATGGTGCCAAGCGTACTAGGTGTGTTCCGTGAACGCGAGCAAGGATACGCTAATCATGATCAGAATCTCTGGTATTGTCAAGCTGGAGGACGCCAACAACGCTGGAGGTCGAAATGCCAAGAGATGCACCTTGATTCTGACTGAAGGAGACTCTGCCAAGGCTTTGGCCGTTTCCGGGCTCGGTGTCGTAGGACGAGACGATTATGGAGTCTTTCCCTTGCGAGGAAAACTTCTCAACGTCCGAGAGGCAAGTCACGATCAGATCATCAAGAACGTGGAGATCCAGCACATCAAGCAGATCCTCGGTTTGAAGCACAATCAGGATTACACGTCAGTCGATAGTCTCAGATACGGTCACATCATGATCATGACGGACCAAGTAAGATACTGCTTGCGTATGCCATGTTGACTACGATTCAAGGATCATGATGGTTCTCATATCAAAGGTCTTCTCATCAACTTCTTCGACCACTTTTACCCATCATTGCTTCGAATCCCGGATTTTCTGGTCGAATTCATTACTCCTATTGTCAAAGTCACGAAGGGGTCACAAGAGCGAAGCTTCTACACCATGCCCCAATACGAGGAGTGGAAGCTATTGAACAACGATGGCAAGGGATGGCACTGCAAATACTATAAGGCGAGTGCGTCAGCTGCAATTTCCGAAAGTATGCTGATCTTATCGTAGGGTCTGGGGACCAGTACCTCCGCAGATGCCAAGAAGTACTTCACTGCCATTGACAAACACCGCCTGAGCTTTGACGTTGTCAAACCAGAAGATCGTCAGCTCATCGATATGGCGTTCAACAAGAAGAAAGCAGACGATCGAAAAGAATGGCTGAGGCAATTCAAAGTGAGTCAAAGTCGCGATTGAGATTGACGCACACAGCCCGGTACCTTCTTGGATCACGACGTAGCCACAGTTCCCGTCTCAGACTTTGTGAACAAGGAATTGATCCTCTTCTCGATGGCTGATAATATCCGTTCGATCCCTTCTGTTGTCGACGGCTTGAAACCCGGTCAGAGAAAGGTGCTTTTCGGTTGCTTCAAAAGAAATCTCAAGAACGAGATCAAGGTCGCTCAGCTTGGAGGGTATATCGGCGAGAATTCTGCTTATCACCATGGTGAAGCAAGTCTGTATTCCACAATTATCGGTTTGGCCCAAAACTATGTTGGGAGCAACAATATCAACTTGCTCTCACCCAACGGTCAATTCGGCACACGACTAGCCGTGAGCTTGCCAGACTGCGTCATTTCTCTCGGACGCTAACGTCCCGCAGGGAGGGAAAGATGCCGCAAGCCCTCGTTACATTTTTACCCAGATTCCACGCATGACAAGAACGGTCTTCCGCCAGGCAGATGAAGGACTCCTCAATTATCTCACGGATGATGGGATGGACATAGAGCCCGAATACTACATGCCAACTGTGCCCATGATCCTGGTCAACGGCGCTGATGGTATTGGAACTGGTGAGTCCAGGGCGTGAGACCAAGCTGACAAAACAGGATGGTCTACTTCAATACCCAACTATAATCCCATTGACATTGTGGATAACCTGAGACGGATGATGAACGGCCAGGAACCCGAGCGTATGGATCCCTGGTTCCGCGGTTTCAAGGTCTGAAGCAAAGCCAGGCGTCAATTGTCAGTACTGATGTACCGCAGGGTTCGATCGAGAGAGTGGACCAGGACAAGTACAAGATCAGCGGTCGGATTGAGAAAATCGATGAGAAAACTCTGGAGATCACTGAATTACCCATTCGCAAATGGACACAAGACTTCAAGGAGATGTTGGAAGAAATGACTGCGGGCACAGACAAGATCCCCCCATCCATCAAGGTGACGAACTGCCTTGCTTCCTAAGCTGACAACTTCCCAGGACTACGAAGAGCATCATACTGACACCACTGTCCACTTCCGGATCACGTTGACCGAAGCCAGCATGAAGGCTGCTGAGGAGGAGGGTTTGGAGAAACGATTCAAGATGTCCACCACGATGGGTACCGGAAATATGGTTTGCTTTGACTTGAATGGCAAGATCAAAAAGTATTCGTCGGCCGAGGAGATCCTTGTCGAGTTCTTCCACAAGCGATTGGAGTATTACGGATTGCGCAAAGTGAGAACGGTTGATCGTGCCTTGGATGGGAGCTTACTGCTTGCTACAGCAACTCCTTGCCGACGAACTGAACAAGCAATTTGAGAGGCTTTCCAACCAGGCTCGGTTCGTGCAGATGATCATCAGAAAGGAGCTCTCCGTCTCGAATAAGAGGAAAGACAAGATCGTTGCCGAATTGCGTTCTCTAGATTTTGCACCTTTCCCCAAGTCAAAAAAGGCAAAGGCGTCCGGAGAGAGCGAGCCTTCGCTGGAAGAGTTGGACGAAGGCATGGCGAGCGATTATGACTACTTGCTCGGAATGGCTCTGTGGAGTCTGACTGCGGAGAAAGTGCGTGTGACCTGGCAACGGACCTACAGACTGACGGTTACCTCAGGTGGAGAAACTGCTTGCCGAGCGCGATCTCAAGGAGACAGAGCTTGTTGCACTCCTCAAGTTGACGCCACAAGATATCTGGAACAATGATCTGAACGAGTTTCTGGAGGAGTGGCAGGTGGGTCACTGTTCTCGTCTGTAGTTGACATCAGCGCATTCTTGACGAGGACGAGGATGCCGCCAAGACATCGAAGCCAAAAACCAAAGCGGCTATCAAAGCTGCAGAGAAGAAACGCAAGCGAGCGGAGGGAGAGGACTCAGACGGATCAGATGATTTCAAACCGACGAGAGCAGCACCGAAGCCAAAGGCTACAAAGCCCAAAGCTGTGTCTGCGGCTGCTTCGGCTGCCAATGCCTCACCTGTGAAGCAGGAAAGGTGAAATCAGCTCCGGCATCGTTGAAGAATGATACTGACAGTGTCTAGCGCAACTTCATTGACGGTCGTCCAGGAAGAGACGAAGCCAGTGGTGAAAAGACCTACTGCAGCCAAGCCCAAGGCGGCACCGAAGCCCAAATTTATAGACTCAGACTCGGATGATGAGGGTGAAGTCTTTCCTGCTACGCTGACATTAACGCCGTCACAGTGTACACGATATCGGCGGTTGCGGCGGCGAAACCGAAGGTCTCGACAGCAACTGCGAAAGCCAGCACCAAATCCAAGATCAAGAAACCTGATCCGGATTCCGACGCAGAGATGTCCTCGTAAGTCATCTCAGACCTCTAAAACAAACAGCAGGCGCTGAGATCCGACACAGAGACTCGGACGACTTTGTGCCGGCGCCACGAGCTGCTGCTTCCCGACCAGGTCGCGGTGCTGCGAAGAAGACTGGCTATGTTGAGATGTCTGACGACGACGATGAGGAGGAGGACTAGACTGGCTGATTCTATGTACTTGTATCATGCCTCTTTGATGAATGTGACGATCTCAGATGAGGGGACCCCGCAACATTACGATGCCGTAAAAACGGACGCGATAATGTTTCAATAAGGACTGAACGTCGCCTCGTACCGTATCACATTCGGCATAGGCTTAGCATCAAGTATAGCCAACGGGGCGAGACCTTAGAGCTGGACCGTAGCCGAAGGACACTTTGAAACTCTCGCGGCCTCGACGATGCGCTCGTCAAGTCCCGCTTCGCCGACTCCATCTCCTCGCCTGTCGTTGCTGTCAAGCTCCGTCTCACTACCGAGGACATACTCTCGAAGAAGGAACAGAAGCCACTCAGAAACGTTCGCGGCCGCTCAGAATTCAGGGATAGGCAATGCAGAAGAACAGGATGAGGACGAAGAGGGTGCCATGACAGAGGTGTCCAGGAAGCGGATCAAGCGTGATGCAGTCGTCTCGCAATCCACTGGGGATGCCGAAAGGGATGGCAAGAGACGTCCCGAGCCTCAGAGGCGTGTGACTCGTCAGAGCTCAGGTGGATCCAGTCCTTCTGGTAAGTCAATCTTCGTCCGACTCTAAAGTGCTCAAGTTACACAACAGGGACGACCTCACAGAAGCATTTGCCAGACGACAGTCCACCCTTGCTTCCCAGACCGCCCACTACACCTCGAGCCAAGCGGCGGACGCCAGCTGCAACTGCCAAAGACCTATCACCTTACTTTTCATCTCCTTCCGCCCGATCCAGCATGTCCAGTCTGGCGGATTCCCCCAGCAGGGCTCGCAGCTCTGGGGGCCATCAACGCATGCTGACGAAAACTCAAAGTCTAGGCCAAGTCGGATCAGAGATGGGCTTCAATCTCTGTGCGCATGTTTTACTCGGGACAAGCAATGCACAAAACTGACGCCTTGACAGCTCCCCGCTTCCGAGAAGTCGCTCGAACCAAATCCATGCCAATCACCCCATCCAAATCCACACGGGACAACTTCTCGCCTCAACTTCTTTCGTCCCCCACGGCTCAAGCCATACATCTTGGCGCTCAAGCTGCGGCCGAAAGCTCTCAAGCTGGATCTGGTGGAGCAAAGCGTACTTATGGACTCAAGCGAAGTATCAAGTCCTTGGACCAACCAGCAGCCCCTAGCTTAGCTGAAGATGACACAATCCCCGTGACCACAAGCTATGCCAACCTCAGGAAGAAGTACGAAGTTCAGAACGAGCCGGCGGCAGCCGACGAATTTCAGCTTAACGCTTTGATCGTGAGGTGTACTTGTGCCCAGATGCTACAGACGACTCATGCTTGTCACAGGAATTGACTGCGAGACCGCCCCAGGCCGTGGCGGATATGCGCTCCAAAGGCGAGAATAGACGATTCATAGATGAGATCGACTATCTGGTGGAGAATCTCTTTGACGAGCGCATCTCTCGGTCGATTCGGATCGCTTCGTGAGTTTCTGCAGCTCAAATACAGCTGACCCACCACCTGTCAGGTCTATTGAAATATTGCGCCAAATGCAGGATGAAAGTTGGCTATCAAAAGCCCTCATTTACGGACAAGTGGAGCGTTTGTGGTCCCCTTTATGGACAGCGCGTAAAGAAGGAGATGTTGTAAGCTTGTCATCGATATTCAATTACCGCTCTGACGACACCTAGGTGCTGGATGCCGTGTGTACGGTCTTTGTTACAGTCCTCGCTATATCTGAGCTATCGTTTGACACTTTCGCTCTGGCACATTCGAGCTCGTTGCTATCGCTGTTTCTGAGTGTAGCATCTCGAGATCCGAATCAATTTATGGAACTCGCGTCTCATCTCGCAAGTCATGATTTGCGCTGCCGCGCTGATAGAGACTAGACTGTAGCTGAGCTAATCGCAAGCACCAGTGAAAAGCTTGGTTTACAGATCCAAGCATCTGAGGTGAGGACTAGTGAAGTCGCATACCTCATAACCTCACAGCTTGCACCTCGACAAATAGCCTGCCACTTGATGATCAGGCTTGGCATCCGACTGGACAACGACTCATCTCTGGGAATCAAGACCACACAAACTCTACTACATATCCTCAAAGATTGCGTGGAGCGCTGTCACCCCAAAAGCGGCGCTCGATTCCCGAATGTGAGACCATCTACTGTCGTATCTGATTCAAACCTAGACGACTCTGCTCCTCTCTTCGGAAATGTCTATTCTGAACGATTGTCTCCAGTCGCTCCTGACTGTCGTTACGCATATGTCAAGTTGTCTGGAATATATTTTAGCAAGGGCGAAGAAATCTGCGCGAACAATTTGTATGATCTTAGAGCTCTCCGTCGAAGCTATAGGATCGACAGAGGCTGCAGAGGGTGAGTTGAGATCCCTTGGAATATTCTCTCACCCTTTGCTAGAGGTCGTCAGTCATGATTTGCAACTCCTCGCACTTCTTGTAAATTCCTCTTCGGACTGGGCGTTGGCCGCTCTCGATACGACCAGTGCTAGTCAGACTATCTCAAGGCTGATCAGGAGTGGCACCTGTCAAAAACAAAAAGAGACTTCTTCGCCGACACGCGCAGGAGTATCGGCAAGTATTGATTCCGCGACAACGTCCACCGACCTACGCCTCCTCGCGCTCGTCACTTTATTCGGTATCATTGTCCACGGCCCTGCGACCGCCGCGGAAACCTTGGCAAAGACTGGTGAGATAAGCTCCAGAAGATACAAATTTTGACATTATTGTTGACGCTGCCCAGACTCTCACTGCGGTAGCCAGAAGCCTCGATCTCAAGCAAAAGTCGACCGATTGGATCAGCGCCTTGCTCTCTTGTTCGCCGAAACATTTCTCTCTGAATCAATCGATGAAGATGACTCACGTCTTGTGCTTGGTCACATGGCACTGCTCCTCATCGCCTTTCTGTCAGTAGATCAAAGCTCCCGGAGCAGGCTTATGGGGCTTCTTCCAGGATCTGATGAGGCGGATAAGAAAGAGGCACTACGGAAATCTGTTTCGAACATGATGGGTCAGAGAGACGACGCTGGCGCAGAGTTGCATCAGGAATCAGTGTGGACAGAATATCTGGTCAAGCTTGACAGTGTGCTTGAGCACAGTTCATAGACTGGACAGCGTGATGGGTTCCCACGAGCGATGATACACCGTCTCGTTGTGCCAGGGCGAATGTGGCAGTGACAGTTGCTTGTTTGACTGGAGATCAAGTCGCGAAGATGACAGGAGCGAGGTGTGTGAAAGCTGAGAAAGATTCTGACAGTCACTCAACTGACATGACAGTCTTGCCGCTTTCCACCGCCCCCTCGCAGCTCCCCATAATCGATCCATGCCTTGGTGTATGCATTAGCCCCTCCCTCCCCTCCCCGGGCGACGTTTGCCGGTTCTTTATTGTCTCTTGAATGTTATATTAATTAATGGGATTTTCTATGATTTTATCCCAAAATATTGCCGACACCCTGTGTCTTTGCCTCGCCTGTCGCCGCCCGACGTCTGGGAAAAATTCCCCCTCATCCCTTTCTCTCCTTTCTCTCTCTTCTCTCTCTTCTCTTCGTGACAATCCATCGTCACTCCATCTATCCATCTCACCACTCTCTCTTGGAAGACGATAGTATCAGAGACTTCTTCTTCTGGGAAAGAAGACTCTGATCATCGCCATCTCAAGCGAATCCCCTTTCCCCCACCCCCCCTCAAAAAAAAGGTCGAGCGATCAAGCAGACCAGGCCTGTCTTTCTGGCGTCACTCGGCTTGAAGGACCAACCTTGGCCACATCGCGTGCTGGACTCGTGTTGCATCTCAGCATTGAGGAGCAAAAGGACTAGACAGCTATACGACTTCTGTCAGCTGTCCAGGCGTTCAGTCGATCGTTCCTTCGCTCGAGGGAGTAATCCAACGAACCCGACAATCGTCATTGTCGAAATCGATTTTTGGTGAGGGGCACAATAATAACCTCATTTCTTTTTCTCCTGACGCCTGTATCTCTCTAGACTCCGCTCTCGCGTCATCCTTTCTCCTCGCTCACGTCCCAGCTCGCGTACTCAATTGTACACAGGGAGGTCGCTGAACAATCTCAGCACTATCTGAGACGTTCGATGCCAACATCGTTGCATCAATCATCTGCACTCACACAGGCTCTACCATCCGCGACTCCTAAAATCACCGCCCCAGCTGAATCTCGAACATCCGTGGGTCTGCTCTTGACTCTGGAATCTTCGAAGAGCACTCCATCCCATCGCATGGAAGCCAATTCAGCCACCAGCAACGTTCCTAATGGTTCTCCAGCCCACCCCGCCCAACCAGCTCACAACAGAAAAGGCAGTATCATGGTAGGCGGTGGCGTTGATATTCAGAGAGGTGAGGCAGTGAGGTCACGCGTTGCTGAATAGCTCTCCTAGGCAATATCGCTTTCGGCACAGCCAACATTGACTCACCAAATCCCCTGCTTTCATCGTCTCCTGCCGCTCCATTCACCACCGGCTCGCATCTCGCTGGCAATGTGAAATCCTTCGGTTCAATCGATGCCGATGGGCAGACAGATAGCAATGCCGTCAAGGCAAATCGTCGCGTCAGCGGGCCAGGCGCGGGACCAGTTGAAGCGTCCGCAACCAAACAGCCAGACTTGCATTCCCTCTTCGCTTCCAAACCCAAGACTGCGGGCTCCAACCCCAATTCTTCAATGGGAAAAACCCCTCCTCCACCTCCTGCTATGAGTCCGACGCACTCGGCACATGGTACCCGACCGTCGATAAATGGTGGCTATTCCTCGCACAACGTGATGCCCAACACCATGTACAATTCTCCCGTGCCAAATCAGACGCATTTACGTCCGCCTCCCCTAGGCTCTACAAGCCAACCGAGGTCCCCGAACGCTACTCATATGCTGCCGGGTCAGTACAATGGCATGGGTCAACAGCCCTACACCCAGAACTTCCGACCGCCGCAAGCCAATGGGGCCCAGCCCCAGATGCGGCCCAATCAGTACTCCACTATGCAACCTGGTCGTCCGGCAATGATGCTGCCCCAGCAGCATATGAACGGAATGCACTCGGCGCCTCAGAATGGCTATTCCATGATGCCATATCCTGGTCAAGGATACTACGTAAGTGCGCTCTCGATTCAGATCTAACCATCTCAGGACGGGTATAACATGTACGCTCCTCAACAATTCGGGATCAATCCGCAATGGGCACCTCAGCAGCATCCTCAGAATCAGTCGCTCAATGGCCAACTCTCGCCGCTCGCACCTGCGCATCAGCTGGCGAATACCGGACAGCCCTCTCCCGCTCCGCACATGAACAACCTCCCGAGCAGTAGCGGCGCGAGTCCTGCGCCAACACCTCCCACCCGACCTGCCAGCCTGATCAATCATCAGTCGACCCAGTCCAACGCGTCGCTAGTCTCTCTTCCGTCTACACCCTCACGCTCATCCGTCACTCCAGGTACTCTCACACCTCAATCATTGCAGGGACAGCCTCCATCCTTCACCGGGCTGTCAGGAGGAGCTTCAACGTTCACTCCGAGAGCGACCGGCAAGGCCATTCGCCTTACCCGTCCAGACGGTACTGCAATTGATGTCAAGGAAGCAGCCGCCGCGGCGAAGGGACCCGCTGCCTCGGTCCCGACTGCAGAAAAAGCACCGGAGACAGCCGCATCGCCGCAGCCTCCCAAGAAGAAGTTGCCGACCATGCCAATCATCGTCCGACCGGAGTCTGAAGAGCCTAATAAAGCCCTATTGGAAGAAGATCAGCGAGCTCTCCGAATCAAGCGAGAAGAGGAGATTGAGGCCCAGGAACGCAAGGAACGCAAAGAAAGACTTGCTCGTGAGGCGGAAGAAAAGGCGAAGCAGGCCGCGGCAACGGAAGTCAAGGTGACAGAACCCGAGGTTTCTGAGCCCGTCAAGCAACTGGAGCCCTCCAAGGACTCGGAGGCCGTCAAGCAACCGGAGGACGTCAAGCAATCGGAGCCGTCCATCCACTCGGCGGCCGGGAAGCAGCCAGATGCAATTGCCGAGTCGGTTGGGACGAAAGAGGACCTGAAGGCAGCGAAAGACAAGGACCCCCTCAAGTCGGATCAAGAACCCATCCAAGGGAAAGCTGTCGCGTCCGCCGCTGCGTCACCTCTGGCGTCGCCGGCCATGGCGAGCGCTGGGCTCCCTCCAAAGCCAGTGGGCGCGGCCACCCAACGCCGGGCCGCACCCCCCTCGCTGGATGTCAAATCTTCGACCGATGAATCGTCTCCCGGTCCCTCGACGCTCACTGCCGCTCGTCCGATCGAGGATATCTCGACAATAGTCTATCCCGGGTCGACGAAATCACCTCGTCCCGAGCTCAACGTCGATGCCAAACCCGGCAAATTCCGCTACGATCGCGAATTCTTGATGCAGTTTATGCACGTATGCCGAGAGAAACCTGAGAATCTGCCCCCTTTGGACGAGATCGGCTTGGAGGCGGATGCATCCAGTGGTTTCGGGACATCCCGCAGTGGGCGTGGCGGCTCACGATCATCCATCAACGCTGGTCGTGGAGCGGCTCCGACAGGCCTGGGTATCGGAGGGCTCGGGAACAACCGACCACCCTTCCCAGCACAAGGCATGGGCAGCTTCAACATGGGCAGCTTCGGATCAGGATCCATCAGGGGTACTACCAGCGAAGAGAGATATAATCGATCTCTGGCACAAGGCCGACAAAGCGGCATGGCGCGCACACCAAGTCAGGGCGGTGCGGGCGGTCTGCATGGTCTACCCCCTATGAGCATGTCAACGTCTCGCAGTGGAGCAAGTAGGAGTCAGCGGGGCCAGAAACGACTGCCGCAAGATTCCCGAGGTGGCTTGGACCCTGATGTAGCGCCGCTCGTCTCGACCAACAACTCATGGGTCAAGTCACGTCCAACTGGAGATGATGAGGGCTCGCCAGCATACATTGAACGAAAAGTCAAGGCTCTGCTCAACAAGCTCACAGCCGAAAAGTTTGACTCGATCTCAATGCAGATTCTGGAGTGGGCAAACAAGTCAGCATCTGAGACAGATGGAATGACCTTAAAACTGGTCATCAAGCAGATTTTCGAAAAGGCGACAGATGAAGCACACTGGTCAAGCATGTACGCCCGGCTTTGCCGTTTGCTATTGGAGCGGCTAGATCCCGCCATCACAGAGACTGTCGATGGCAAACCAGTATCCGGCGGATTGTTGTTCCGTCGCTACTTGATTGGTCGTTGTCAGTTAGACTTTGAAGCCGGCTGGAAGGCTCGAGAAGAAGCTGCTACCGCGGCTGCGGCAAAGAGCGAAGAGGACAAGGAGCGCCTTGCACAACACGAACGAGAGCAGGATGGTAGCGGTGAAGCTGCGATGCTCAGCGACGAGTATTACGCCGCGCAGAAGGCCAAGCGTCGAGGCTTGGGTTTGGTGCAGCTGATTGGTGAACTCTACAACATGGACATGATTGGCAAAGGTGTCATCGGCCAGTGTTTCATCAAACTTCTGGTCAATGTTCAGACACCAGATGAAGAGGACATTGAGTCGGCCTGCAAGCTCTTGACAACGGTAGGAAAGCCGTTCGAGCAGGCCGCTCCAGAAAACATGGAAATAGTATTTGGTAGATTGAATGTCATCCTCAAGGGTGATGCCGTGCCTTCACGTATCAAATTTATGATCATGGTGAGTCTCACCGTGCCATAGTCGACCTGACACGCAGGATGTGATTGATCTGCGCAAATCCAAGTGGGAATCGCGCAACAAGACCGCTGGTGTCATGACAATCGCCGAAATCCACCAAGCCGCAGCTCGGGAGCAAGCCGAGAAGACTGCTGCTGCTGCACAGGCGGCGCGGGAATCTATCTCGCGAGGAGGGTCTCGTGCTGGTCACTCGCGGGCTCAGCCGGGAGAATGGCAGTCTGTCGCATCTTCAGGAACCCGACCTCTGCAACGACCTACAGATTTCTCCAACATTGGCCGAAACATCAGCTCGGCTGGAGTACCCAGCGCGCCAACCTTCGGACCCACAAGCGTCTTTGCCAAGGGCCGCGGCAAGGCAGCCGGCACGACCACACCTCCGCTGTCCCGCCAAGCTTCGACGACCAATATGTTCAGTGCGCTTAGAGATGAACCGAATGAGGCGGCAAGCGAGCGTCGCGGTAGCGCCGACGACAGTCAAACTCAGAGACCCAAACTCAATCTTCAACCCCGCTCAAAACCTGCAGATGCAGAGGAGGCGGAAGACCCGAAATCGGAGATTGACGTCGATGCCAAGCTGGACTCGGACATGAAAGAGTTGTGGGGTGAGAAGGACGCCGGTGGTTCCCGTGATCCCGACGACATCGTCGAATATTTCAAGAGTCTTCCGGAGGAGCATCGGGGCTCATTGGCGAAGCGATTGGTGGATGACGTCTTCCGAATAGCTAGAGTGAAAGACGCCGAGGTGGTCGCAAAGGGATTCAGGAAAGCATTAGAGGAAAGTGTGACTACAGCGGAAGTCCTAAAGAAAAGGTAAGCTGCGGTCTTGCGCCAGCTTTGATTGAGCTGATCATTGAACAGCCTCGAAACTCGTCTGCCTACATTGGACGATGAAGCTGTCGATTTCCCTCAAGCCTACAACGCCGTTGCTACATTAATGAAGAGTCTTTCGCTCTCGGATGACGAGATTGCCTCTCTGGCCAGCCAAATCGAAGTTGAAGGGGAACCACGAGTAACGCCAAAACAAAAGCTCGAGAGAGCGCTCGCCGCATTGGATCAATAAACTCAACATCTGAGAGCATAGACTGCATCTGATTCGCATATAATGTAGCATGGACGCTTGACAACTCATCATCCTACGACACCTTGACGGCCCGAGTAACATTCGATTTTGGACTGGTGGACTGCCCAGGCAGCTCGACGATTTCGCTTCATTTTGGTTCCCATCGCTCGAATAATGTAAACGAGCGATTCCCTGGTCTTTTCGCAGTTGCCTAGATGACACCTCACCACCTTCTCCATCATGAACACTGCCTCGATCATCTCATCGTGCCAGGTATTGCCCCTGCTTCTCTGCCCCTGCGTGATGCCGTTCCACCCACCCTATCTCTCTCTCTCTTCCCATCGATCCCGAATACATACATATATATATACTATATATACAAATTGTGCATGTATACTCTGTTCGCTAGCTAATTGCAGCAGTGATTGGCTCCCGTCACGTGACTCGGGAAATGACCGGCCGGATCAACCCTCGATTTACCGGCGGGTCAGCAGCAAGTTATTATCATGCATATGGGATTGCATCTCGTGTCACGATCCACCAACATTAGCGCAGTTACCATGAGACAGAGGCTTGTCAGCCAGGGATTGAAATACATACAATGGAGATCTGCCTCCACAGCTGCTGCACGAGCACCTCCCAAATCAGCAGGTCCTTCCTCACCGCCACCACCAGAAGCCGAGCCGTCGGTCGGACAAAGCAGCCTGTTGCTGCAAGAACCTGCGGAAGCTCTCGCTACCAAGGGCTTGACATTTGCTGACGGTCATGGACTCAAAGGGCCTAATGGAAGGGGTCGAGAGGTCCGCCGCATGAACCTTCACCAAGCGATCAGGGATGCACTCGGGTGAGCCAGTAGTACGAGCAGCAGAATTAATTGGTCAGTACCGCATTGGCCACGAATCCGAAATCCATAGTCTTCGGGGAAGATGTTGAGACTGGGGTCTTTCGTTGCACACTTGGTCTCATGGACGAGTTCGGTACGGCTGAAGCCAGATTTATCGCTAATATAAAGGCAAACAGAGGGTGTTCAATACACCCTTGACAGAGCAGGGTATTGCAGGTTTCGCAATTGGATACGCTAGTATAGGTGGTAGCGCCATCGCAGAGATTCAGTTTGGGGACTATGTGAGACCTCATCTACAAGGTCGTAACTGACGATAGATCTTTCCCGCTTTCGATCAGGTCAGCATTACTGCGAGAACCGTGAAAGCGTCTTACTTCGATAGATTGTCAACGAGGCAGCTAAACAGCATTATGCCAGTGGTGGAGGCTATCCTCTGCAAGGAGGATCTCTTACCATCCGAGCACCAATAGGCAGCGTTGGTCATGGAGCTCTTTATCACTCGCAAAGCCCAGAGGTGAATCTGGCGCTTTCTCCAAGCTGACATGTCAGGGTTTCTTCCTCGGCGCTCACGGTCTCAAGGTCGTGATCCCACGTACACCGATCCAAGCCAAGGGTCTGCTTTTGGCAGCTGTGCGAGATCCCTGCCCAACTCTTGTACTCGAACCGAAGATTCTGTAAGCCCTTGATCACGATCTCTCTTCTAATCCTTCAGTTACCGAGCAGCTGGTGGGCCCTAGAGTTGTCACCACATCTAACAAGTAGCCGAAATGGTCCCCGTCGATGACTATACATTACCCCTTGGCGACATCGATGTCCTACGCGAAGGCACAGATCTCACAGTACTGTCTTACGGGACCCCATTGTATACTTGTCGTGAGTCCATCTTTTAACCTAGACAACGCTGATTTGAGAACGCGCGATCGAGCTCCTGGTTAATCCACCCGCATCTTTGATCCCTTTCTTACCGGCGCGGCTCCGACCACCCAACCCAGCTCCTTCTATCCAGCTTATCGATGTTCGTTGTCTGAATCCGCTCCCGCTCAATAGCATTACGGAGGCAGTCCGCAAGACTGGACGAATGGTGGTAGTGCATGAATCCGGCAAGAGCGGAGGTGCAGGCAACAACATTGCGGGCGAGGTTGCACGCCGTGCGTTTGATCACCTCGAAGCGCCCATCGCATTGGTCAGCGGCTGGGAGTGAGTGTCGCTTGCAGAAAAGTGGCTGATGTACAGTACCCCGGTCCCGTTAGCTTTTGAGCGATTTTACCAACCAGATGTCATCAGAATCTTTGACAAGATGGTTGAGACGCTCAACTATTGATGCATGTTGTTGTCACTTTGTAAGTGGGCCAAACAAAGGGTTTTTCTTCTCGTGGATCTGCTGCATACCTTCTGGTGTTCCAGGTATGCTCTTTGTAAGGTTCTGAGAGGCATCAGCATGTCAGATTCGGTCCCTCATACCAATTTGGTAAAGACACAAGAGTTAAGCTCCTTTTCGACCTTACGACACGCGTGGAAGTACTGCCTCGGTCAGCTTCGGACAGGAGACAGCATATGTACCTGATTATTGTTCTCTAGACACTGCCAATGAGCGTCAAACTCTTTCAAGCAGTTCTCCCTCAATTTCGAGATGCTGCACCGTCAGATGGTGTGATATATAATAATGCTCACAGTTCCGCAGCGCATCTTGTGACTTTTCTCCCTTCCTTCAGACAGTGCGCGGGGTCTTGGTTTTCCTGCTTGCACAACATGAAATCATCTGTGACATGACGTGAGTATTGATTAGAAGGTGAACGGTATAGGCTTACCGTTGACCGGTTTGCAGTATTGGCCAATGAAGAAGGATGCGCTTTTCAGCGGAGCTGAAGTCGTTCCGAGTTCATCCACTGCAGGAACAGATGAAGGCAGTGGATTGGGGTCGGAGTACGTCCTGTCCTTGAATACGCCCGGGGCCGCCATAGCTAGGTGTGTCAAGAGAATAAGCCGGTTAAGAAGATAGGTTGGAAAGCCCCTCAGAGACTCAATGGTCACGGTGATTTCTACGACGCAGGAGGAATTTGCTTCCGCTAAAAATATGCATTCTCTCAGCCCAGCACCCCGTTGCCTCTAGACACTCTACGTTGCGACAATGATGTCCCGCTACTGTACGAGCTCGATTCAAAGGAATCTTTTTGTCCCATGCGCTTCACCTGTCTCTGGGCTCTGTTGACTATCCGCATGCCAAATGCTGCAACGGTCCATACACCACCTGCACAGAGCACTTATCAGGTTTGGACAGTCATCAAACAGGGCGGACTGACCTATAGCTCCCGTCAGGCGGAGGAAGAATTGGTAGAAAGAAGTCGACCTCTCTTTGATTGTCAGTGACATCGGATCTAGGTCGTATCGGAAGAAAACGCCGGGAATTCCACCCCCATGCTCAAATGATCTGGAATAGTCTGTCACGGCGTACTGCTATGTCAGTGAATTCGTGATGCAAGTTCTCACCTGAGAAGTGACCAGCTTCCTGCGGCTTGAGTCGATATAAGTTGTGGGCACGACGCGCAAGAAGTACTGAAAGATTGTGAACGCTTCATATTAGTGTCGTTCTTGGCAGTTGCTCACGTTTATCGGTAATTTCCATGCTGAGATCGAGGGGTTGAGAGATCGCTGGGAAAAACGGACCGAATGAGAACTCATGAACGATGTGCGAAAGATTCATGACTTTTGTAAGCAATGGCTTGACATAGTGGGACCCACGAGAGTGATCCGTGTGCTCCATTGACATGTATCCGTGACCGAGAGTGGTGATATGAAGATTAGCGGTGACCTTTTTGACATTCACGCTGCCGTATATTCTACAAGCTGGGCCGTTCTTCACCAGCTCAGTCGGTCGATACCCGGTATGGTGAGCTCTTCCTGGGGCTGCGAAGAGACGGCGAAGTCCAGCGAATGAACCGCGCTGATTAGGCGTCCGACGACGAGCGGAGGAGATGACTTCAGAGGCCGAGGGATTTGTAGGTGCGGCGAGTCTAAGGAATCAGTATTGCAGTCCAGTGCCCATTGCTCACTTGAGTGATGAAGCTTTCCCGACATTGAAGGAAGTCTGTCATCAGCTTTGCGGGTCCAAGAATGCTTACGCCGTCCTTGACAAAGTCGTTGCTCAGGTGGACCCTGTCTCCTACCGCATCCCTCAAATCTATGGATAAATCTATCGTGAGCGATGCTACCAGAATAGTCTCACAATGACAGGGCATAGCAACGGTTAAATCCACGTTGAGTTGTAGCTCAGTCTCTGCTCCGTGGTCGACCTGAAATGCATAGTCTGGTGGACCATACAGATAGTCGCCAAGGTCGTTCTGCGAAGAGTCAGAGGATTGCCTGAATTTGACAAGCTCACCAAGACCAGGACGATGCATAGGAGGGACACAATAGCAGTCAAGACACCTCCCTGTCTCGACTGGGAAACATAGGTCGATTGAACCTGCAGTTTGTCAGTCTTCGCTGCCGACGTGGAATTTGTAGGACGTTCCTTCGGAAAAGCATCAAAACTCTTAATGGGTGCAATCTTGTCTAACTCTTGCAGTAAGGATCCTTCTTGATCATGCCGACTGTTGTGGCCACTACTACCCAGATGGGGATCGTACATCATGTCCATTGCGACGCCAAAATGGTCCAATGGTGAGATGAACGACACAGCTGACGATTCGTAGATCCGGATGGCAAGATATCTCTAAAATTGTGGCTAATAAATAATATTTCAATGTGTGGATGCTCTCATAGTGTGCTGTTTCGACATATGATGCATTATGATTGATACAACAGCTGATCGGGATGCAACCTGGTGACGGCTACTCTTCATCTCCTTCGCCTCGGAATCGCTTCTCATCTCCTCTCCGCTCCGGCCCGTCTTCGTCTTCATCTTCCTCTACTTCCTCGCTACGCGAGCGTTTACTTCGTGCAACATCGGTCTCGCCTCGCGGTACATCTGCTCCAGACATGCCAAGACCTCCCATAGAGGACGCATACGTGTCAAACTGAACTCGAGACCGAAGGCGGTCTTGCTCTTGTCGGCGACGTTCTTCTTCAAGGCGTTGATGCCCCCAGCCACCTGCGCATGAAGTGAGCTAACGAGATGTACCACACATTCAAAACGGACCTCGTCCGCTATCATATTCCTGTCTGAACTCATCTCTAACCTGCCCACCACTTTTCCCTCTCCCAAATTGTCGTCCCTCCTTGTAGCCCGGATCTAGATCACACCGAATGACCCTCTCGTCCAGCTTTGTACCAGAGATACATCTCAGACAAGCCACAGCTTCCTCGTGAAGATAATACTCCACGAAGGCGAAGCCACAAGGAGTTCTGGCGTCAGCACAGACCAAAGAAGGGTACCAACTTCTGATTTCTGTCCAGTCCCATGATGATTCTGCGATCAGCTCCATCCAGATGTGAGGATTTACCTTTTTACTCCTCCGCCTTTGCCAGGCAGTGCACAATGGGAGAATACTACCGTTAAGTCAGTGATAAGTAGTAGCGACGCTAACATTCATATATCTGTGCTTCGGTGGTGTAAAAACTCAGATTCCCAACGTAAAGGGTACTCGACAGCGATAATAACTTGCGTTCGGTCTCTCGGTCTAACTAGCGAGCATTGCCCAGGGTCAGTCGAAGCGCTGAACGAGCCCGAGTTATCAAACTAACCTCTGATCTGTGGTCTCTATAGGAGGATGGCTGCTCTAGGCATGCCACTACTTGCGCCATGATGATGATTGTGCTAAGCTAGTGCTTGCACAACAGATTGACACATGGACGAGCAGCGAGGGTAGTGTCGGACCGCTACCGTGGGAAAGCTAATTCACGAGCCACGTGTTGCCTCTCTTCCTGACAGCTCTTACCGTTGCATCGTCTGCTGACCTGTTGCTGGTCGAGGCGGAGGTGTGATCAGATCGTGGTCGAACGGCGACTCATTCACGATGTCTGGAGATAGCGAGATGAGCGATGCCGAGAAAGTAAGTCCGGAGGTTTACTGCACTCCGCTCACTAGCGAACAAGATACGACTCCGTCGATTGGCTCGACTAGGTAATCCTGGCACGCCGAAGGCTTCCCAACCCTCAGAACCCCCAGCTCAGAGCTCAGCCAGTCATACACCAAGAGAAGTCTCCACCGCGCCCGGTTCATCGCCATCACTGTCCTCGGCTCCTCCCATTCCCTCGCCAAATCCACAACCAGCTCAGATTAAATCACGTAATGATGTGCGATCAACAGATGCTATCCGCAAGCCTGCTCCCCGTACGATACCGTACACCGAATGGCTGGAGCGACATCTTTCCTTGATCTTTGCTGTAACTCTGGAGGTGCGTTGTATCTTCTCCTCGTCCGCTGACAAGGTCAGAAAGCGAAGGCATCGAATGGTAACTTGTGTTGGTTGAAAGACCTATATGAGGAGTTGAGGGAAGAGAATAGTGAGCTTTCTTTTGAAAGCTACTAACGGCCAGCTATGCCCACTATGAGCATGAGCCTAGTGGATCGCATTCTTATAGCAAGACTCTCTATGGACACTCAGAGCATGGCGTTATCGTGAGGCTCAGACCTGCGCTATCGCTAACGCATGAAGTGATGACGTCGATAAGCTGGCAATCGTGGCCAGTTTGCCTGAAGCTGAGACGGTATTTGAATACCTAGTGGGCTGCTGGAAGCGACTCGCCCAGAGCAGTCGAAATCTGTCATCTCTGGTGAGTTTCGGCAGCGCCAATCCCTTCACAAAGTGAGCGATGAGATTTACGCTACAATTCCTAGGATGAGACAGGCAAAATCGAGTGGCAGAAGGATCATGAACGGCTAAAGCAGCTCATTATGTCATATACATCAATGACTTTGGAAGATCCAACAATGTTCCCTCAGCCTTCGGAGTAAGTGTCTCCTCAGTCGCGCCTACTGACGCAAAAGCCGGCTCACGGGGCCTGCCGAGTTCCTGCCGATCTTGCTTGATCTCGACTCCTCGGATCATGTGCTGAACTCGAATGAGCTTGTCCCATTCCTCAATGACCTGGCCGTAGCTGCTGAGGACAGCTTAAGTGAAGTGCTCACCCCAACCTTGAGCCTCTTCTTCCAAGAATGGTTCAAGATCGTCCCGACGCCTGACCTTATGGGAGCCGATTGGAGAAGATACTTGGGGGCTATAGCAACGCTGGTACGGTCAAAACATATTGCTGCTACCGTGAGCGTCCTGTGTCGTTCACTGATTGATCCGGCTAAGCTGCCAACTCTCCCCATCTGGCGGGCATCAGCTGTATCCGCTCACACCCTGGAATGGCAATCCTTACTTGGGCCCCTCCTGAGATTGAGCGTCTATCCCAGAGAATTTGTCAGTGCAATCAATCGAGCCGGCACTCATTTTATCAGCCTGAGATATGGAGGACTTATTTCTCGAACCCGACTGAGCGCAAAACGGACGACATCAATGCCAACAAATCTAATCTCCGATTCACGTTGCGAAGCGTTCAGGTCAGCATCATATCTGATGCATTAACTGATCAGCAGACTGATCTCTTCACCATATTCAACGCCATCATACGCAGCAGTCCGTCCGCTCGGGAAGCCATTTTGGACTACATATCATGCGCGATCACACTCAATTCCAAACGGGCGGGTATGAGAGTGAGTAAATTTTACGGTTTAGTGCTCAATGTAGGTCGACTCGCGGACGGTAGCCTCGGATGGCTTCATGAGCAATATTTTGTCAATTACACTGAAGCTCCTAGAACCCGCTATGGATCTCAGCTTTACAAAGGTGAAACATCACAGGGATCTCCACGCTGACCCAGCAGATATCTAAGATCGATACCAATTGTTCACGAACGAAACCGGTGACGGATGAAGAGACTCGTATCCATGCTGCCAAGGAAGACGTGGACAAATACTCGGCAGAGGATGCGCAAGGTTGTTGACATACCAAGCATCGATGCTGATGTCAGGTCCAAATCCAAATTCCAATCCTTTCATCACCGACCTCTTTCACTCAGCTGCAGCATTGCAGCATCTTGGGCTGGTCAAGACAATCAGCTCTCGGATACGCGGAGAGAAGAATATGTCAGACATGGAGAAAGAGCTGAAGCGGACTGAGGCATCTCGCGGAGAGTGGGAAGGCGTGAGGAGTCAGAAAAGTGTTTCAAGCTGACAGCAGAACGCCACGCTTCAAGCTCAAGGGGATGCGGCGATAGCGAAACTCAGGGTAAGTTCGTGAAGCGAGACAGGAAATCCCCGATATGTTTCCCACCGAGTCCTGGTGATTCTCGTCCGATCAGCCTGCGCAGCGGCATCCAAATTAAGAGAAGCCGGAGGACGAGGGCTGACCGCCTCAGGCTGACATTGCGACCCTGCACGCCACTATTCACGCATACGACACACAGCTTCTCGAACCAGCATTTGTCCGCTCAAATATTGACTTTTGTTCGTTGATGATGACCTGGCTACTTCGTCAAGTGGACCCTAAGCAGAATTATCCGGCATCGCCGATCAAGTTGGTCCCCATTTCAACGGTGTCGCTGACTGTCTAGGCTTCCCCTTCCTTCACAGGCGCCGATCCATTTTAGAGTCATACCAGAATACTTTCTGGACAACATCACCGAGTATTTCGACTTTCTGACGCGTTATGACCCAGAGCGGCTGGAGGATCACGAAAAGGACATCTTCATAACATTCGCGTTGGCCTTTCTGTCCCCCGGTTACATCAACAATCCCTTTTTGAAGGCGAAACTCGTTTCGGTGAGTCTGGATGCGATGTCTTATTTTCAGCATTCATTTAACTTTCCAGATCCTTTCCAATGGATTGTATTCTTCGGCACACCACCGGAAAGGCATATTCTTCGATCGCCTCAGTCTGCATAGTATCTCGTCCGAATATCTCATGCCTAGCATAATCCGATTCTTCATTGGTGAGCATCTGCCTGGACTGACCGTTGACTTTCCTAGAAGTAGAGTCCACGGGTGGTCATACCCAATTCTGGGGTGAGTCGGCTCGCTGGCTATGTTCGGCTTGATGCTAAATCATAGTAGACAAATTCAACTTCAGGTAGACGATGCGTCTCGGTCCCGCTGAATGAACCCTCTAGACGCGACATGAGTCACATCTTCCGCTCCCTCTGGGATAGTCCGCTATTCCGAGCCAGCTTCGTGAAATCGAGACAGTAAGGCTCCTTCAATCGGCGAAGCTTACTATTAGCGATGACTTCGACCAATTCATCAAATTCATCAATATGCTCATGAGCGACACAACATTTCACTTAGAGGAATCGCTTACGAACTTGACCAAGATCAATGCTATTCAGACTCAGCAGGCAGATGAGGCGTCATGGAGCCAACTCCCAAAGGAGGAACGAGATGATCTTGTCAGCCAGATGCGTCAAGCCGAAAGCTCGGCGCCATATCACACGGTCATGGGTCTCGATCACGTGGAACTCATTCGAGACTTCACGGCGACGACTAAAGAGCCTTTTGTGACGGCCGAGATTGTCGATCGTCTAGTGGCTGTAAGTGTGCTCATCGATCGCTGCTGATAAGCAGTCTCTTGACGAGAATCTAGCAACGCTGGTCGGTCCGAAGATGCAAGAACTCAACCTGGCAAATGCTGATCGAGAACGGCTCTCTTTCAAACCCAAGCGCCTGCTTGCAGGTATCGCTCAAATCTATCTGAATCTGGCAGGAGAGGCCGACTTCGTGCGCGCTGTTGCAAACGATGGTCGCAGTTACTCTAGGGAGCTCTTCGAGCGCTTCGCTCGGATACTCAAGCACAGAGCGATCATGACCGAGGCCGAGGTTCAGGAGGTAGTGGCTTTCACTCAGAAAGTGGAGGATATGAAGGCCACGATAATGATTGAGGATGAGAGAGAAATTCCTGACGAGTTCCTTGGTGGGTGCTGCACGAGAGAGGAAGACATTGACCTCCTCAGACCCACTCCTTTCGACTCGTGAGTCATTCCTAGTGATACGAGCTAAATCTGTAGTTATGAAAGATCCTGTAATACTTCCGATGTCCCGAGTGGTTGTCGATCGGGGCACGATACGCACTGTCCTATTGTCAAAAGAAGTGGATCCCTTCAACAATATGCCGTACGATCTCTCCCAAGAGAACCGCACTGACGAGTCACAGACTCAAGTATGAAGACTGCATCCCGGATACTGAACTCAAAGCCAAGATTGCCGCATGGATTGCAGAGGGAAAGACGAACGCGTCCGGAGACGTGATGGAAGTCGACAATTTGTAATTCATACATACCCTGGCGCATCATTGTGCGCCCGTCAACTGTACGATGTATCTCTCTCGACCAGGCCGGACGGGACCTGCAGCCTTTCTCAGACTGGATCTGAAGACTGCGCCAACGATGTCGACAATCGCGAGGCTTGAGTTCAGTCCATGGACCATCGTGGCAGCGTAGAAAAAGTTGGCATTTCCGGTCCCTGTCAAAAGCCACAGGGCGTGTAGCAACGGGAGAAGGATCGCAGTATATAGGTACACAGATGCAGTGAAGAGGGGATGCCGAAGATCTTCGTCCTTTCAGCCCGAGCTCGCCCATTCAGCTTACCTGATACTACATTGGGAAAGCAGCTGAGTAAGCTCATGCCGAGGCCCAGATCACCCAAGCTCGGATAGCTTCTCCATGTTGCGATTGTGCCAAGCATTACCAGAACGACCAGCGATGGATCACTTTTGAGCCTTATTTGTAATGGAAGAACATATGCGAGGATATGTAGCTTGAATTTCAGCCAACGCCAAAGGCTCTCTACCTACCTGAAACACGCAAAGGAAGAACGTCCGGAAGTGATCAAAGATCTCTGTGAAGAAGTACCACCACATGCCGCTATTTGGAGTCAGGTCTTTCAGGTTGACCCTATTGAGAGACCTCAGCGGTGTTTTGCCTGTTGATACGCCACTCACTGTAGGTCGAGAAGACGAGTCCAAAGAGGAATTCTCAGCGCGTAGGACGCGCCAGCATACGCTGCACACGAAACTAGAACTGATGATAGCCATGATCCCGGACGCCGAGTCTTGGCGATGAGGACGAAGGACGGAAGTAAAAGGATTACATATGGGGAAACATGAGCAGTCAATCCTAGAGTGATCATAGATGCGAGTCGATGGCCTTGAGGTCAGGCCGGATCGCGGGTCCCTAACTCACCTCTCACAGCCAAAGCAGCGATGAAGACAATGCACAGATTATCCAGTGAGGTAGTAGCCTGAGCGATACATGCTGCAATCGAATATGGATTCAACAGATAGCTGTCATCAGTTTTGTAGACGGGGTTCGGCCCACCTAGCTACGATAGCCGGGTCGTTAAGGGACGCGCCGGTAGACAAGCTATTTGCGAAGCTCAACAAAGCGATTGAGGTCCCCAGATCAGCAGCTATCCAGGTCAATGCCCATGACCAATGATTGAAAGGAATCAAATGCGAGAAAATTGCCACGTAGAGCTCCGACTGTCATTGGGTCAGGCGTGTGAATGCGCTATCCTGAAGGAGAAACTGACATTGGCAGACCCGGGCGTCAAGGGCAAATTGATGCGCTGAAAAACACCTTCTTTCACTGCTAGTCGTATCAGCGACGAGCCCTCTGCGCCTGGTGAAAAGCCCTCACAGCTGCGATGACTCGTCTGCGGAGTGGACAATTCCGGTCTATCTCTCAGGAGGATATGAGCAGATGTTCCAAACAAAAGATAGACTCTGAGAAGGATGCCTGTAGCGACCACGAGGACCAGCTTATGTCTCTGCGACACGTCCGATATCAACGTCCTCGAGGTCATTAGAGCATCCGTGAATTCCTGAGGTTGGAGTCGCTTGTTACAAGATAGTCGCCAGCATCATAACATATCACGTCGCAACCGAACCTCCGCCTCGCTGCCACGTGGACAAACGCGGATCGTCTGCCCTTTGTGTCTCCAATGGCTTCATCTCCATCATTTATCCGCATCTTGAATCCGACATTCTGATCGTCACATCTGCTTCATCGAATTCTCTCATTCGCGGCTCATCACTCTGTCAATGTTCTACGAGCAATGGCATTCTCTTTAGCATAGATAATCTGGGTCGAAAACACACAAAGCTCTTGTACGAGACATGTTTGCGAGAGTCTCAGACAAACTACATCACAGAAAACACCAACAACAACAACAACAGCAGCAGCAGCAGCAGCTACAACAACAGCAGCAACAACAAGAGCAGCAGCAACAACAACAACAGCAACAACAACAACAACAACAGTCCCTGCAGCACAATCAGCAGCTCAGACAGGCACAAGCAAACTTCTTGCAAGGCTCAGGCCCGGAGCAGATTCCCAGCGGCCCCACCTTTACTTCTGCGTTGGCACTCCCTGGCGATACTTCGGCGACTCCTTCAAGGTGAGCGAATCGTTGCATCGTTACGCCAGCAAGCAGCTCACATTTGACGCTCAGTGGGAACGTCAGCCTTCAGAACAATCCGTCGGGTTTTCCTAGTGATTTAGGAACCAGCGCCGAAGAACATAGCCAACAACGCCCACTAGTGGAGCAAGGCCAGAGTGAAATGGATGATGTTCAAATGGATACCGGAGATGCTAGCTCCCATCATGCAGCACTCGAAAAAGCTGCTGAGGCCCAGAAGCAGGTGCGCCGCGAAAAATACCTTCGCATTAGCGTGCTGACCAGTGCAGGCTGTGGCAGCTCAGGCAAACCTGCATCATGCTACCCAACAGGCAAGAGTTGCAGCTATAAACGCGGCGGCGACGCAGGCTGCTCTGGACGGCGCCATCGCAACGAATAACGTGCAGGCATCTTCGGTCCAGACGCCAAAAGCGGCGGGCCAACCTGCTGTTCGCAAAACCGCGGGACGATATGCCCTGAACGATTTTCAGATCGAGAGAACGTAGGTTCCGTCCATATTGTCCCCACTGACGGTATGAAAGATTGGGCACTGGATCGTTTGGACGTGTACATCTGGTCCGATCAAGGCATAACGGCCGATTCTACGCCGTCAAGGTACTGGGCAAAGAGAAGGTCATCAGGATGAAGCAGATCGAGCACACGAATTCGGAGAGACAGATGTTGGTCCGTGTCCGTCATCCATTTCTTGTCAATCTGTGGGGAACATTCCAGGACGTGAATAACCTATACATGGTTATGGACTTCGTAGCTGGCGGGGAGCTTTTCAGTCTTCTTCGAAAGTCTCAGGTGAATGACCATGCCCTTGTTCCACCTGACCAATTCGCAGCGATTCCCCAACTCGGTTGCCAAGTTCTATGCAGCAGAGGTGGCCTTGGCGCTAGATTACTTGCATTCTTTGGACATAATCTACCGTGATCTAAAGCCAGAAAACTTACTGCTCGGAGCAGATGGTCACATCAAGGTCACAGATTTTGGCTTTGCCAAATTCGTGCCGGACATCACTTGGACTCTCTGTGGTACCCCAGATTACTGTGAGCGGACGAATTGCCGAACAAGCTGCTGACAGCAGTGGCCCCGGAAGTCGTTCAATCGAAGGGATACAATAAGAGCGTCGATTGGTATGCGTTGGGTGTTTTGATTTTCGAAATGCTGGTGAGTTTGTCAGCCTCAAATGAATTCTAAGATCTGACAGGCGGGGTACCCCCCATTCTTCACCGAGGACGGGAATCCAATGAAGTTGTACGAGAAGGTGTGCTGGCAACGACCTACTCTGACGTTGACGGACATTCAACAGATTATAGCAGGCAAGGTCAGGTATCCTACCTACTTCGATGCCCTTGCCAAAGAGCTGTTGAAGAACTTGCTGGTCGGAGATCTGACCAAACGTTTTGGAAATCTTCGGGCTGGTTCTGCAGATATATTCGCCCACGGCTGGTTTGCTGAAGTCGATTGGGATAAACTGTACCGTCGAGAGATCCCCGCGCCCTATGTCCCGAAGATACAAGGGGATGGTGATGCGAGCCAGTGAGTCCATGTCCGTAGATGCGCCTTGCGGTCACGCGGGCTGACTACGATTCTCCCAAGGTTTGATCGTTATCAGGAAGCAGATGTCAGTGAGTATGGAAGAACCGGCGTTGGTCAATATGATCACTATTTTGTAGACTTTTAAACACGTCCGGAACGTTTTGAAACGGATTTGAATGCAGAGTGCCTTTTTCAATCAACAATCACTAACTGGCATTGCATCTTCGACGCCATATGTCCAGCAAGGCATCCTCATCCCTTCTCGACGGCAATCACTTTTTCCCCGCGTTCTACGCGTGCTATCTCTTGCGATCGAGGGTAAGACCAGATCGAACCTACGTGAGTTATCTTGTCATATTCCCGCTCAGACATATCAGGTAGGCTCCACTCCTGATCCGGCTCGGCGTATACGACAGCACAATGGGGAACTCGTTGGGGGTGCGAAGCGGACCACGTCTCATAGGCCCTGGGTACGTCTTTCGTAAAGGACCGCACTGATCCGGAGAACATGGAGATGATTGTGTATGGGTGAGATCTAAAATGGCGCATCTTAAAGGGGGATTAAGCTTCACATCTCAGCTTTCCAAGCAAGCTGTCGGCCCTACAAGTGGGTGCATCGCCAGCTCAAACGAATCTTCGCTGAACCTCACCGTTAGTTTGAATGGGCCTGGCAGAACCCGAACGTTTCTCGTCATCTGAGAGAACCAACTGGGGACGATGTCAAAACAGTACCCATCCTCGGTCCAGCCAAAACGCAGGCGATCTTGAAAGTGTTAGAGTAAGCAGTGGATATCAAACCGGTATTCATCTCCGACAGTATCGCCAACGCCCTTCTTCGCCGGTCTCCCTTTAATGCTATGCCGCTTCATGTTCGCTGCTTCGACGCATTGGTTTACGAACACATTCGCCAAGCTCTGTCGGACAAAACAAGCGCCAAACGCAGGTATGCAAGGGCAATCTCCGTCGAGCTATCGGCGAGAGACAAGGCGCTTAAATGCGAATTGGACCTAGATCGCAACCTCAACCCACAACATATTGATTCTCGCACCGCCAAGACTGCGAATTCGGTACGCGGCGTGACTTCAATATCAAATGCGAGCAAGTCCTGCGCTGTGTGCGCGGGAAGCCTGGTTCAAACGGTGTGTCCTTATCTCTGCTCAAGACTGATATCGAAGCCCGTTCTGCAAATTGGCAGGTGTCCTCGACACTCAGACGAGGATCCTTGCATCTCCACTTCCCATTTGACCTGTTTGGCACGACACCTGCGTGGCGACTCCGAGGATCTTCTTCCAAGATTCGGGGACTGCCCAAGCTGCAAAAGAAGAATCGGTTGGGGCCAGGTCATACAGGATATTTACACGGTCAGCTAGGGCTGATGGACCTGCGAATTCGAACAACCGATCCATCCAAGGCCGGGCTTGTCGACTACATACGAAGCGATGTGGTCGGTCGAGAGCGCTGAGCTAAGCGATATGCTCTCCGCTCTGCAAGTCTCCGCCAAGATGACTGCTTTGTCGGGCCGCCCGTTTTTCGCGAGCTTCCGATCCCGGATCGCACCTCATGTTGCCATGTGAGGTTTGCTTTCTGGTTGACCAAAGACCAGAAGATTGTCGGAAGCAGCCGCTAGATTCAAATAGTCCTCCAAAGCCTTAACAGCGTCTCTTTGTCATTATCATCATTCCTGAATGTCCTTGCTCTCAGGAACCCGCGCTTGTGGAGTAGGGGGGGTGGTTGCTTGATGCCCATCGGCATCACTATCTTCCGAACCCATTGAGGAATCCGACGTTGAATAGTCTTCCCAGTCGAGCTGAGATGCAGGTTTACAATGTCAGTGGAATTGTGCTTCACTGATTCACTGCCCCATGGAGGATGTTTGAAAGCAACTCACATAGTCGTATATCACTCGCAAAGTGAGACTGCAACTGGGACAGGTCGCGATTTCCTCTCCGTCTCTCAGTTGAGCCTTTGTGATTTCGAATCTATCCCCACAGGGGCAAGGGTAGTGGAATACTTTGGCATGGGGATCCCACGCGAAGTCTTCTATCTCAATCTCGTCATAGAAACCTGTGGGCATGATGTGTATCGAGCGGCTATGTATGGTGGTCTGTGTCGTTCAAAATTTCTAGGATGAATCGAATAGTGGCCAGAGTCACGTGATATTCCAATGACGTACCACCACCCCCACACAAGCCACTCCACTCCCCATTCCCATGTTCCCAAAAATTATCATATATCGCATCCTTCCAGGAGTTGGTTCTCTTTCTCTCGCTCTCTCTCTCTCACACACACACTCTCGCTCCTCCTCACAGACACTGATATTTGATCCAGCTCATACATTTGACGACTGCTGGCTCCATCACGCACCATGGCTGCAGCAACAGCGACCCAAAATGGACACGCTGAGGCTGGAAACATGCTCCATGACGGTGAGGCCTCATTCAACCCTCTATGACCTCCGCTCCAAGGAACAGACAACTGATTCAACTTGAACTCACAGGAACAGATGTAATCAAGGTGGACCCTTGGTATGTTCTTGCTGGACTTGCAGAGCCGTGGACCCGAATGGCTGACCAAAGCTGCCTTCAGGTTGGAGCCGTTCTCCGCTGGTCTCAAAGCCCGGTATGCGGCTTACAGCAAGACCCTCGCGCAGATAGAAAAGTATGAAGGAGGCTTGGCGCATTTCGCCGAGGGATACAAATCGATGGGATTTCAAGTGGACGCTGAGCAGGGAGTCAGATACCGAGAGTGGGCGCCAAACGCAGTAGAAGCAAGCTTGATTGGCGAATTCAGTGAGCATGCTCCGCTGCTGGGCAGTGTGTGCCTGATGCAACATTTCAGATGGATGGTCACACGCTGCGAATCCCATGACCAAGTCTGAATACGGCGTGTGGGAATGCTATGTTCCCCCCAAGTCTCCTGGCGTTTGCGCTATCCCCCATGACTCCATGGTGAAAGTCTCCATGAAACTGCCTTCCGGTGTGACGATCGATCGTATCCCAACATGGATCCGACGAGTGACTCAAGATCTCAACATCTCCCCTATCTACGATGGGCGCTTCTGGAATCCTGGTCCGGAGTCCCTTTACACCTTCAAGAACGGGCATTCAAAGAGGTCCGTCGACGGACTTAAGATTTACGAGGCACACGGTGAGATATCATCTTCATCCCGGTTCGCTGATGCAAAGTCGGAATTTCGAGTCCCAATATGCGAGTGACAACTTACAAAGAATTCGAGGTCGATGTGTTACCTCGCATCCAAAAACTAGGCTACAACTGTATCCAAATGTAGGTGCCAAATTTGCTAAGATGGATCTGACAATTCAGGATGGCCATCATGGAGCACGCATATTACGCTTGTGAGTAATCCTACAATGCTTCTCATGCGTTGCTCGGCTCACTAGCTTTAGCATTCGGATACCAAGTGACCAACTTCTTCGCAGTCTCTTCGCGTTACGGTGAGACTGTCAGATGCAGCATGGAAAGGCACGGCTCACACTCATCAGGTACTCCGGAGGAGCTCAAGTCCCTCATCGACAAAGCTCACGAACTGGGCATGACTGTGCTACTCGATGTTGTACACTCCCACGCTTGCAAAAATGTGCTTGATGGGTAGGTGAAGCGTACCAGCTTTGTTAAAACCCGTGACAGCATCAACATGTTCGACGGAACGGATCACCTGTATTTCCACGAAGGTAGTCGAGGTCGTCACGAGCTTTGGGACTCAAGGCTATTCAACTATGGTCACCATGAAGTTCTCCGCTTCCTGCTATCCAATCTCCGCTTCTACATGGACGTGTACATGTTTGATGGATTTCGATTCGACGGCGTGACGAGTATGATGTACCATCACCACGGCATTGGTACTGGCTTTTCTGGTTTGTCTACGTCTACATTCGCCGAAACAGTGTGGCTGATGAGACCAGGGGGTTATCATGAATATTTCGGCGAATCTGTTGACCTGGAAGCAATGGTCTACTTGATGCTGGCAAGTCCCCCTTAGACCTACAAATAATTGATCTCCTTCAGGCCAATTCTATGTTGCACGACATTTACCCGAATGTTGTCACCATTGCTGAGGATGTTTCTGGGATGCCCACACTCTGTCGGCCCGTGGCCGAAGGAGGCGTTGGCTTTGACTACCGCTTGTCGATGGCAATTCCTGACATGTGGATCAAGATGCTCAAAGAACAGTCCGATGACGAATGGGATATGGGCAAAATCGTTCATACCCTCACGAATCGTCGTCACCTCGAGCGAAGCGTAGCATACGCAGAGAGTCACGATCAAGCACTCGTTGGTGACAAGACTTTGGCTTTCTGGCTCATGGACAAAGAGATGTGTAAGGCAAAAGCTATAGCCGTATTGAAGAGGGCCTGACCTATACAGACGACTTCATGTCTGATTTGAGCCCCCTCACTCCCATTATCGACCGTGGAATCGCCCTGCATAAAATGATCAGGTTTGCCCAGTGTATTCGTCCTCCCTGGCGCAATGACTTACGAACCTAATAGATTGCTGGTGCACACTTTGGGAGGAGAAGCATACTTGAACTTCGAAGGCAATGAATTCGGCCATCCGGAGTGAGTCGGCTCTCGCCTCTCCTGCATTCCCATCTCGATGAGACTGACTTTCTAGATGGATGGATTTCCCGCGAGAGGGAAACGGGAATTCGTTTGCGCACGCTCGACGACAATTTAATCTCGTCGACGATCACCTTTTGCGATACAAATATCTGCATGCCTTTGATGCAGCAATGAACAATCTCGAGGAGAAATATCGGTGGCTCCAAGCTCCTCAGGTAAGTGCTTTCCTTAATTTCGTACCGAATGCTGAATTTAACTCAGGCATATGTCTCATTAAAACATGAGGGCGACAAAGTGATTGCCTTCGAAAGGGATGGTCTGCTGTTTGTCTTCAACTGTGAGCCTGCAACTACCTCGGCGATTATTCATGCCCTCACAGTCCACCCGACGAATTCGTTTGCCGACTATCGGGTTGGGGTAGACATTCCTGGCAAATACAAGGTGATTCTGGCTACTGACGACAAAGAATTTGGAGGACACGGACGTGTGGAACACAGTGTCGACTTTTTCACGACTCCCATGGAGTGGAACAACCGCAAGAACTGGTTGCAGGTAAGTCATCTAAGTTCTCATCATCTTCCCTTTTTGGCTTTAGGCTCAACCCGGGTTTCTTTTAGGTCTATATTCCAAGCCGAACCGCTCTCGTGCTTGGGCCAGCGCAATGATGAACGGCTCTGACTCAGACTGGTGTGAACGACTTCGAATAATTGATGTGAATGAAGTGTATGACATGCATGAATTGAGGGCCCAGATGAACCTGCATACTGTCTGCAAGGCGACATCCGTTGTGTTCAGAACATCAGATACCCGCAGGTAGATTTACCGGGTCTTGAAGCTACGCAGAGCATAAGTGGGATATTGAACAACATCCTTGCTCAAACGACTGCAGGGGATGTGGGGTTGTGTGACAAGCTCTACTAGAGCAGGGAACAGGAGCTTGTCAGGGTTGAAGGGGTGCGTTGAGGGGGTGCAGGCCACTGTTTCTCCATCCATTTTGAATGTTCTTCTGTGACATCACCATTTCTCTCTCCAGAAACAGCTGTGCTGCCCAGGTGTGCCCAGGTCAACTTTACCTATCGTCCTGGGTTGTACTTGTTGTCCTTTACAGTCACTATCGATGTAATAGCCTTCAATGCTCGGAATACACCGACATCCAACGGTTGAGTGATATGTGACAAATGTGGATGTAGAACCATGAGGTCTATAGCGTGTGTGAGGCAATACACAACAAAGTTGGCCTGTACATGACTCCCGTGGCCATCCACAATGAGTAATCAACGATGGTTGGGGTCCACAGCAATGTTCTTGGGTTGAAAGACCTTCTGCAGCCACTGAATACCAGTGAAGTTTGCGGTCCAGCCTTTGTTGCGCGCATACCATTTGTATCCTTGCGTGTTGACGTTCTCCGGCAGCCATTTGTCATGGAAATGAGCCTTACCCTTAAAAATTACCAATGGTGGAAGAGCTTGACTCTCTGCACAGCAGGTTTCTATGACAGTCACCCAGTCTTGATGTGCAGCTCCAACTTTTGCAGCTTTGGCTCGCTTATAGCCGCCCCTCAGCGCCTTTTCTGAAATAGCGAGCACCTGTGTGGACTGGTGAGACCCTAAATCGAAGCCAGTCTCGTCCATATTATAGATATTCGACGGATCGTATTGGTGCTTGTCCCGAGGCTGTCAGTGTCCGACCTCTGGATGACGTTCCTCGAATTTTGAGATCCAGCTCTTGCCCAAACGTCGTCCAAAGTGGTCGGGAGATATAGTGCATTTCTGTCAAGCTTGATATATGAGGTTGGCCACAGTGTATACAAAGCTGGAGACGGCAGGTTGGCCTATGCTGTGTGCTCATGCAATGTATTTGTGTTACGGGCCGTTCCGGGCGAAGACGAAGGTTCCGGTAGGAAAACGAAGGGGAACGGTTGACGATTCGATGCGGAAGGATTGAAGTCCAACCTCGATATGTAACCCGATTAAGAAACCAGACTACGGATCAACTGATTATATAACGATAACTCGATATGAACGGAATGGAATACCGAGAGGTGTTCCGACGATTTCCGAGATCAAAACGAGATGAAGTGTAACATATAAGAATTCAGATCCTTGGGGGGGATCTGTCAAAAAGTGTCTACTTTATAAATTCCTGGCAGAGTGGAGGCCTCCACATCTGTTTTACTCATCCTCACGCTGATACTTCTCGGAACCCTCCGGATTGATCATGGAACTGTCGGAATGGTCACGGAAGGTACGATTGGGTCGGAAACCGGAAGTGGTCGGAAAGGGTCGGAATGAGCCGGAAGGATGATAACGGCGAATGACGTGGTAAAAACGAGGGTGAAGATTGTCGAATCGTAACAATTTGACCAGTACTTGCTCCTCTGCATGTGTGAGAGCTTGCCGGTATTCATGTGCATCACTACAAGATTGAGTGTTACCTGACACCCAATTGCAGAGGGTTGTCCAAGAGACACCAAAGTCTTGAGCAATCGATCGAATACATGGGGCGTCCTGGGTAATGTCATGAAGCTGAGACGTGTAGGAATTGATTGCAAGGTCTAACTTGGACGTAGACTGCATATTGATGTTATAATACGCTCCGACGTATCCTAACACCAGCTCATCTTCTACGTGTAATTTACAAGACAGCCTTCTCCGTCTCTACTATACTTTCCCAGCGTGCAACTTACACACAGATCCAGACACTCCCCAATATTCCTGAAATGAAAAAAGAAGATCTTTGTGCAACTTACACGCAGATCCCATATAGATCTTTCCCCAGCGTGCAACTTGCACGCAGATATTGTGTCTACATAGTGGGTCCATAGGACCTTCCAAAAACTATATAAGTTGAGGTGGTCTGTAGTCTTCTTTTCTCCTCAGAGAACAATTCTCAGTAAAGTTACCCTTTCAACTTCTTCACCACTTCACCTCATCAACCTCATTGCATCTCAATCACTATCACACTCAACTACTCTTGTAACTGTACTTTGCACCTAGCTGCAAGACCCAGCCGTCCATACACCAAAGCTATCCCTTTCTAATAGAAGGTGCGCTTATTACAAACGGTACTTACCCTTCTTCTACTCGGTGAGCCCCGCCTGTAACAATTGACAGAGATGTCTCGAAAGCAAATGGAATTACAAGGTTAAAGGATAGCATTGAATGTCACGGACTTGTGCCTGGAAGGCCTCTGAGTGTGGCAAAGCACCAGAGACAGGATAGAAGGTGATGGTTTACTAGAAGCTAGACTCTGCCGGGTAGAGTTGTGAAGTCTGTGAAAGGTTGACGGTATGGTGATGTAGGGTTGGGATTGGTTGGTAGTAATAAGCTTGGAAGGATCCGGCAAGCTTAAAGGGACAAGTAGAGGAGGACAAGATTTGTATAAGTCAATACTATATACAGGAAGAAAGACAAGTCCCTAGTGGGTGAAGATCTCCACGGAGTGGTGATTCTTCTTAGAGGCGTTGTAAGATTGTGACAAAAGATAATTTTGATCCTTGGGGAAAGGATCCTACAGTGATGAAAAGGTAGGTATAAGAATCCCTAATAGTGAGGACAAGGAAGTACGGTTGTCATGATCCGGCATGATCTACAATGGTTTTAGAAGTAGAAAAAAAGATTCCCAGAGGCATCAAAGGATCTTGTGCAAGCAAGGAGATTCACGTGCAATCAAAGAGATTCTCGTACAATTAAAGAGGTTTTTGTGCAATCAAAGAGATTCTTGCAGCTAGAAAAGAGAACCTAATTGGAGTGAGAGAAATATTTGCAGGGTCATGTGAAATTCTCAAGGAGTCTTGTCAACCACCTCGTAGAAACAGCGATATATACAGGTATTTTGTAGCCCTTTCATCCTTTTTCCCTAAGGATCAAATTATCTTCAGATAGATTCTTCCTCTCGCATACACTTCTTCGTCTCACTCAAAGCAGTCTGCTTGATCCTTCCAGACCTTCACAGCACAGTTATCCAACCATTACACAGGTTAATATACAACCATTGTTGTTGATTTATAGTAAACCGTTGTCGTCCATCCGTCTCTGCTTCAACAGGGACGGATCTTGACAACGGTGGGATAGAAGCCCATTGATCTTTTACAATGTGAAAGCAAGGTCGAAATGTTCCGTCGTGGTTTTACGCTGTGAAAGCACGCCTAGAGAATGTAGTACCTGTCAATGTCATAGGCGGGGGACGCTCAATACTGACCGGTTCGGCACAGAGAGAGGTAAGTAGAATCAAGATTCAGAGGGCAGATATATGTGTTTCATCAGATCACATGTCTCTTCGCCGCGTCCGTGATTAATGTTTGATACAGCCGATTACGATGAGGTCTTGGATGAGAGGCAAAGGCTGCAGATCTTGTGTATGGCTATCGTACCATTGGCTCTGGGTGTTCTCTTTGGCCCGTACCGATGAGGATTCTGAGTCATATGTGCCGGCATTGGTCTCATAATTTGCAAAAAGTTGCAAAAGAAGAGAGAGGGCTTTTGGGGGATCCACCTCTCACAACCTTGCAAAATCGAACATAGTCATTAAAATACTTTGCTATGTGATACATTTGTCCCTGCACCTGCACTGATCATGGGTAAAATCCACGAGAACTTCAGAGAAAGAAGGCCTCACATGCGTGACGACCTCGCCCTAGACGAGCCCACGCTTAACGGTCTCAGTGAAATCTTTACTTGTGCTGTGCTCATTCAGGGCATGAGTTCAGATCATAGCCTAGCATTCACCGTAAATCTTGAAGCCAGCAAGCATGTGCTGCGTCCTCTTTAACGCGAGCTTCACAACAAGGCTTACTTCCTTTTCTTGGTTTTGAGCATCCAAACTACGTAAAGCATCATTATCCTATGTGGAATCTAGAGAAAGATAACATACTGCTGCAAGCTCCTTCAAATTGACTAGCTTATTCCGATCCTCCTCAGAAGCTCAGTAGTATATGGAGGAAGGAAGAAAGGCACTATGATGTGTGCGTCTGCTCTTCGGGCGGCTTCACTCCTTAGTCTTTATATGTCGATGACCTAGTGTTCTCTTTTTTGCGCTCTTTGATTCCATTACTTCCTCCTCTTTTCAGGACAATGTGTCGGAATTGATCACGTGACCTGAACGCGACTAGCAAACAACCTCTCTTCTCTTCTATCCCTCTTTCATACTTCATTCTACCTCTATGCAACCCGGTCAATATTGAGCATCTACCGCTCAAACTCGACACAATGCGGTCTGCTTCTAGCCATTATCTGGACTATGTTCGTCCGATTGATTCCGAGAGAATGAAAATTCTCTCATTTTTGATCCAACTTTGCTTATAATTTGGAAGCATGGATGCCTTGTTGAGTTTGAGCGGTGGATGCTCAATAATGACCGAGCTGCATAGAGACAGAATGAAGTTTTAAAAAAGGTAGAGAGTGAAGAGAAGAGAGTTTATTTGCTAAACGCATTCAGGTCACGCAATTAAATCCAACATGCCTCTCATCTCGTGTTTGCAGAGCACCGAGGAGGAAATGTGACAGCCCTTTCAGGCGCGTTTTCTCGCCTCACTTTGCATTCATTTTGTTGTGTGCTGCCATGGTCGGCCGTAAAGAGACAAGCGAGATGGTTTTCAAGCCCATGTCGGGATGATGAGTATGTGCTTCGGCTTTCATCTTCATCCATCTCTCCAACTACTATCATTATTACTCTGGTATGCGATTTGGTCAATATTTAGCGTCCAACGCTCAAAGTCGACAAGTCGACAGTCCAGTCCCTGGTAACGTGTTACAATACGCGCAGACGCAGCTTAAGCTTATGCTTTGCGTGTGATTTACATCACAATCCACGCACACGGCCTTCCCTATCATCTCCATACTTTCGGATCATGCAACTTGCAGGCAGATTCAGATGCTTGCCGATATTTTCGATTAACAAAAGAAGATCTTTGTGCAACTTGCTTGCAGATCCCAATTAGACCTTTCCCAGGGTGCGACTTACATGCAGATCTTGTAGTGTCTACATGGTGGGTATATAAAACTTGCCAGAACTTGTATAAGAGTTTGTAGTCCTTCTTTTCTCCTCAGAAAACAAATCCCAGCAGCTCGATTTGTTACAACTCCTTTCAACTTCCTTCAACTTCTGCATCACTTCACCCAATCCTGTTCCATTTTTCGCACAACCTTATCGCATCCCAATCACAATTATCTCTTGTAGCCCTACATTGCACCCAGCTGCAAGACCCAGCCCTTTGAACCCCAAAGCTATCCCTTTCTGATAGAAGATGCGCTTGTCACAACCAACACTTATCCCTCTTCTGTTTGGTAGCCTCCGCTCGTAACAAGACCCATGTAGGCCTGAGCAAGATGAATTTCAGAAGGCAAAGGCACTTGAGAGACCGATGGATGCTGTCATGAGAGCCACTCTCGGGATTATTAGTCACATCCAAAGGCAGGGGCGCATTACGTTCAACGCTACAATGACGACAACGACAGGGGTCACTGGATGGAATAGATGGGGTTTGTGTCTCTGACTTGACTTGTGAGTCTACGGGTGTGCAGATAATTTAATCTTTGGGGAGTTGTGGCGACATTACGCAGATGTAGAAAAAGGGGGATCGGGGAATCCCCTGAAATTGTATCATCTGTTATCATATGGGTCTCGGACGTCCGTATATATACTCTAGATGTCGAGTTTGAGCGGTGGATGCTCAATATTGACCGGGTTTCATGGAGGTAGGTAGAATGAAGTGAACAACAAAAGGTAGAAGAGAAGAGAGATTGTTTGCTAGACGCAATCCCGATACTAGCGGGGGTCGCGCGGGCAAATGTAGGGAGTTCTCGGGCTCATTAACAATTCATGCTTGGAATACTCCATATTACTGGTGACACGCAAGATGCGTGGCGAACAATAGGCTGTAAAGATTGGGTCTGCTCGCTGGGAACGCCGCGTGACGGGATCCGTGTGAGATCGACTTTCGATGCCATGAACCAATGCTCCGCCGAAGGCCTGCCTTTGCGCCTCACACTGCCAAGAACTTTTGACGATGAGACTGACTCGTTCTTTCTCTTGGACTGGAGGCCTATCCGTGTAGGAACGAGGTGTCGGAATCATCAGTATTTGCTGCCTTTTCTTTGATCTCGTAGTCAACTCATCTTTGTCATCATTTTCTTTATTATCCTTCTGTCCTTCTGTATGCAACTCGGCCAATATTGAGCATTCAAAGCTCAAACTCAATACGACGAGACCGAGACCAAGACTCTATCTCTAAGAATGACCATGGAGCAAGTTTTTTGGCTGCGTTCTCACTATATCAAATGCATCGACATGCAATTTGATCCGCTTTGATCCTAGGGCTGCATGCACCGGACCCGGTGTTTGGCATGCCATTGTTGTGGATGCTGTTTGGCCATCCATGCGGAATGGGACCTCTATGAGACTGCTGTACGCTATCCACTACCCAAGCATTGTACTGTCCATGACAGCTTTATCGATTCGGCGCAACAATTTCCCCAATATACTGGCTGAGGAGGGCGATCTTATGCATGGCATTTTAGCTTTTGCAAATTTTTGCAAAAATATCGAGGAAATGAGTTTCTACACCAATTCTCAGGACACCGCCTTATTAGATATCTTCTAGTTTGCAGGATCCCGGAGATCAGCACGACAGGCCTCCTCCCTTATTAACTTCCAGCCTCAAGCCGTCCCGTCTGTTCGTTGGGCTTCTGCCGAGCCAGGCTAATATATGGCCTTTGATTGAATGCGACTTCAATCTCCAAAGCAGAGATAAATATTTGGATTCTTTTTCTTGCCCCGCGATATGCTGGAATTGATTACGTGACCTGAAAGCAAACACCCTCTCTTCTCTCTGCTCTTCTCTTTTCTCTCTATCCTTTTTATACTTCATTCTATCTCTGTACAACTCCGTCATCATTGGGCATCAAACGCTCGAACTCAACACAATAGTCAGCCACATGTTTGATGACATGACTAGTTATCACTTTCAGCAGATTGTGCTACAGCGACAACCAAGCCTTAGCAACCCAGTCTAGCAGATTGATGAGCAGATTTCTGTGTATTCGGGAATCATGAAGCCGGTGTTAGCTCGTCAACCAATAATTGAGAACCCAGAGGTCGGACTGAAGCAGGGAAAAGCAAATCGATGGCGCGGTGAAGGCCGGAAGCGACGCCGCCGTGTAAACTGGAAAAAAAATGACATGAGGATATCCTGGAGTGTATTCAGATGTACAGTAGAGATGGTTTTGCGTCAATCGAACGTGACGTCCCTCTCATGGCTCACCTTCGTTGTCACCGATCATACAGTTGTCTGTCTACCTCCCCCAAGAGTTCGAGATGAGTATATGGGATCCTCGGTGTTCCTGGATCAAGAGATTCAGATCAAACCTTCCTGTATATCATGATGGCAAATCTGTCACGCCCACAACGAGGTGTTCTGGGGCCATCTATAGCTCCAGACGAATGATGCAGAGTCTTTCAATCACAACAAGCACCTGATATATGACTGCGACTGTGAATATTCAGTTACATGTGAGATTCAAGCTATCTCGCCACTTCTTGTGAGACAGCAACCGGTCAGTCACAGATTCACGACTACAAGGATGAGTCGGATGAAAAAAAAATGCGCGTCGGGAGTGAGGATTGTACAAAATTCGATGGGTTGCGGTCGATTCGCAGTACACTACTCTCGCGGTACCAAAGTGTTTCTGAGGTGTTACAGTTACGAGGAAAGAAATGCATCGATCTCGCCAGACCTGCAGTACCTCTGTATACCATCCTGGATCGGTCGAAGGTCCATGCTTATGGACATGGTGCTTATCGTTCTCCAGACCTTGCCAAGACCGTCCTCGGCCGGGACAGAGCTCTTATCCGTCCCTCGTAACATGAGGGCTCACGCACTTGTGTCAATTACTGTATGGTCGGCATCCGCTCACCCGGCCAGAATCCGTGTGACGCAGCCGACGCCAGCTACAATGCTGTCCTCACCTCATCAACGAGTGATTTGCGAGCTACCCAGCTTGACATTCCTACCCAGAAGACCCCTGGCCAAGTGGGTCTCTCGAGTCAGATGGATTCTGTCCTGGGAAGTTCCTCCATGTGGATTGCTCAGGAAATCGATGTCTATCTCTCCCGGCGGAGATCACCCCACAACTGAGGGCTTTTCATTAGCGATGAACTTGGCTCACTTAGCGATCGATGGTCAGTAGCGAAGGCCTATTAGTTTTCTCCAAGAATACGAGTACCACTGGAACTGAACGCGCGAAAGAGGGTCAGAGTGGGCTCTGGACCGACACACGGTTCGCCTTGAAGGCCACACATGCCAGTTGTGACCAGTCTCGTCGATCACCCGGCCCAAATTCCATCTCAGTTACCCCACAATGTCATGCATATCCGCTTTCTTGGAATACCCAAATCTGGGTCAAGACTCGCCCTGTCCGAGTGATTCTACTGTAGGCTGTAAGATGATGACAGACTTGCCTCAAGAAAGAACCCTCGACAAAGGCTGTAATGAACGTGCACTTGTGGGCAGGTTGCCTAACGTGCTATCCAAAACGGCTCAAAATACAGACCAAGGTCGTACAACGAGCCCTGGTCCCATTATAATCTCGGTCTATGACAGATCTTCAGAATCGTAGATAGGAATGCTACCTTACAGATTGACGTACTTCTCTCAGCTAGCCTGTGACAGCTTAGAGCCAATGATTCATTTTCTGGTCGGCAGGGTGGACAAGCGATGTATGCGAGAATACATAATCCAGCGATCTTCCAGACCAAACCAAACCAAAAAGATTACAAGGAGGACCCATCTGCATCGCCTTCTCACTGCATCTAGGCATACTAGTGATTGTCTGGTTCTTTTGCTCCTACAGGTAGAGGAAGCGAATTATGTACATCGATGTCAGATGTCGGTTCCGGGGTGCGCAAGTACTTTCATGTTCTCAGCACAAACTAAATAAGCTGGACAGAGGTATATTCAATCCATGAGGACTGGGTTCTACAGTACTGGCTTATATCTATGAAGAGGCTGGCAAGAACTTATCGATTCTCCCCTGGATCTGTAATATACTCGTCCAGCCATCTGGACAGGTTCGTCCATTGAGTTACGTCACGTGTCCTGACAATCGATCGGACGCATAAGAGTATGTTAGGTAGGGAGCAAGAGTTGTTTCGCACTGTACATATCGGTTTACACGTATGCCGAAAGAATCCTCGGGCGACGGACGTCTTGTCCATTCCTTGTAGCACATGACACCTGGTCGGGGAAGAGAATCAGAACTGTTCACTTCGACCCTAAGTTTTTAATTCAAACCCACATAATCCGGTCTCCGGATGCTCCCAGACTTATCCATGGCTCGTAAAGGCTACCGTGATTCTGTACTAGTTGACGTTCCTGTTCTTTTTCAAGTGGTTCATTTCACATGTGAGTCGTGCGACGCAAGCACGGAATCTCCCCAAAACGGCGCAAAGAGGAGTCTTCGTAGAAGACTATCGGAGGTGAAGAAGTGGTGAGAGTGGTTTCACCCTTGACTGGAGAAGAGAGGAAGAATCCGACAGTACGTCACCTAGTTCTAATTTCTTGTTTTGCTCTTCTTGTCTCTGGCGATTTGACCTTCTTCGACACTTCGATAAACATGATGAGCAGGTCCCATCCACCCCAACAGTCAGTTGCCTTCCCGTTTGCACATAATCTGCCACAAAAAGGGTGGCGCAGTGCAGGGTGCCACTTAAGAAGCCTGCCACACTCACCTCTGAAACGAGTGCCGGCATGCGCTATGACACCGATGCTTAGTCCTTCATTCTACATCACACCCTATTGAGTCGCGATCTCAGCATGCCGTCCACAATGCGGAGTCAAGCTGCTCGAACACTCTCTGCCAGATCCAGTGCTGTATCAGATGGTGAGGAGAGGGTAATTGCGTGCGTATATGAGGGTACGTGATGACATCCTTGCTTCTCTGAATTGGTAGGACCACATCGACAAATTGGGCTGGCCTCCTTCTCGTTCACCACGGGACAGGTGAGGAGATCCTAGGGTACTGGTGTGGATCCTATGACTGACCATTATAGATCTTTTTAAGCCTGGTGGGCTCTTTCCGGCGGTAACCACTGACTCGACTCTACGAAACAGGTTAAGGATTCTGCAAGTTGGTCGTTTATGCGCCGTTGCGAAAGCCAGCTGAGTCTCTCAGACTATGCACGAACTCTACAACAGCTGTTCCGGCGAGGCCCACAACAAGTCCTCTATGGCTGTCTCCCCAGCAATTCTATCAGATATGGAGTCACTGAGGCCTATGAGTCGTCTCATTCTTTGGCCAGTCGGATAGCGGATCAGATCGTGGACAGGGTGGATTCTGTGTCGGTGAGCACGGGCGACGATCAACACGGTAAGCGATGATTCTTTGGATCCTTGAATGCTGAAGCGCCGGAAATGAGCTAGGGATCCGACTGGTGCAGGATCTTGCAGCCGACAACTCTCGGAAACCCTCAGTCATCATCAGTGTGCAAGACAAGTACGTGTAGCACATTCGAGCCCCATCTGACAATGACCCTCAGATCAGCTACGCTATATGCAACAAGCATGCTCTTCAGTTGGTTGCGTCAACAAGCCGTCCCACTCAGGCCAAACTCGCTCTACATACGGTTTGAGACGCTTGAGGGTAAGCCCCTGAAGTCGCCCACTTCAAGGGAAGTGGTTGACCCGTCTAGGCTTTCTTTTCATTGACCATCTCACTGCTCGAGATCTAGAGCTAGTCCACAGTGGTGCTAATTGTAACAATATCACTCACTCCCTATACGGTATGAATACTAGTCCGCACTAATGCTGAGCAGGATCAGGTGTATTAAACCGGTGCCTTACGGCTGAAGGGAGACGTGCTTTGCGGACAGGACTACTTCAGCCTTCGAATAGTATGTCTCCTACTGAGCCTCGTGGCAAAACCGTTTGTATTGATATTGGAACAGACATTGCTGCTATCAACTCACGTCAAAACTCCGTTGAAGGTATGAGCTGTCTGCGCGTTTCTCAGCGTGCTCAAAGCGGGGTCTTCAGAGCTTTCAAATGCACAAGAAGGCAACTTACTTCAAGGACTACGAAGGCAGTTATCCCGCATAAGTGATGTGAACAGACAGAAATGAAGCTGGTTAACATCGCTGCAGATTGATATCGAGGCCCTCGCATACAAAGTGAGACACTGTGTCAGACATGCTGAACGACTAGTTTTTATGTCTGGGACAGAACATGGCAGGGACATCACGTCAGCTGCAAGATAAAATGCAGATGTTGAGGGCACTGTGGCAAGTGCTGCTCGCGGTTCAAGGATTGTGTTCGGTTCTGGTATCGACAAAAACGGCAGGCTTACGCTCATGCTATGAGGTCGGCATACGAGGCATCGATATTGGCTGACGTTTCTAGATTTTGCGAGACACGGCCGTTGAGGATCTTTGCGCATTGTCGCAAGGTAAATGCTGGCATGTGTAAATGAGCTCATCTGTTCCTCGTGGCTTAGATTGGGTTCATATTAGTAGAGAAGACGAGGACTTTGGCAAGCGCAGGACCAATAGCTACATGTCCCGGCTGTATATGGTGAAGGACGAAAAATCTCCACCTCTAGCTCTCGCTAGACGGGCGCTTGAGGAACATAAACAGGATTGCTTATGTCGTACGTGGCGGTCAAGATATTGTGTGGCAGCTGACGAATCGCAAAGTCGCCGAGAGGATTGGTGAACAAGGAGAAGAAGTCAGCTCTGACCCCAGACAGGCTTGGAGCAAGGCTTTCAATGCAACTTAGAATGGCGAGGAATTAGGACGAGACTCGTCGCGATCGTGAACTGCACAGAGTCCGTCTCTCTTCCACCAAACGCCATAAATCCTTCGAAAGTCGGGAAGAAGTGGGTACCATACGATGCTGTTGTTGACCTAGAAATAGATTGCTCTTCTCAACTCCCGAGCTGGTCGGCTAATCATTCCCCTAAGCAGTCGTTCAAGCGCTAATTGACTCACAGACAGCGATAAACGCTCGCATTTCCAAGATCGAGAATAGCATTCTCAGCCTTAGTGAACCCCTCATTTCGGATTTAGGTAAGAGCATGCTTCACTACATCCGTGAGTCATTGAGAAGTATTCCGTCTTCTGAAGTGTTCCATAGCTGCTCTGTACGAGTGGGCCGGAGCCGTGAGTAAACGTTCTGCCTGGAAGCATGATTTGCGAGCCTGTAGATCGCAAGCCTAGACTTGGCCGGGACTTTTGCGGAGCTGGCAAGAAGTTAGCGCGGGATGCGCAGGCTAATGCTGACCATGTGCAGCTCAGAGAGGCTGGAGTAAGTAGCCCTTTCGGAAGCATGATTCAGTGCCGAGTCTCTGCCTCAGCTCGGCCCAGATTCGCCAATACCATCGCGGTAAGTAAACCTTGTGCGGGTTTCTCGCGTCGAAAGATGACCGGAGGCAGATTCGCAATGGGAGGCATCCTCTGTTGGAGCAATCCCTAGGTCCCGAATGTGTTGCCAATGATGTGTGAGCCAAAAGATGTGATATTTGTCTTGCAACGACATACCTAGTGTTGAGCCCTCCAGATATTCGGTCCATGGATCGTCCTCGTTCTACATTATCGAGGGACCAAAGTAAGTCCCTTCTCTGCCTCAATGCTGTTCTGTGACGTTCGCGAAGCATGTCTGGGAAGAGCACTTTCCTGAAGCAAATCGCCCTCCTGACTGTACAGGCAATGATGGGCTCGTAGTGAGTTCCATTCACCATAAAGGCCACATTACCGCTCACAAGGCGTACAAATCATAGCATTCCAGCGGACCAGGGAACGGTCGTTCTTCATGACATCCTCCTGTCAAGGCTATCCAACGAGGGTATGCTATCCTGGCAATGCTTAATATGAGCTTTGCTGATAAATCCTGAGACTCGATGGAGAATGCGCTCTCAACATTCGCTTCTGAGATCACAACCATGACCATGATGCTCGGTGGGTCGTTCTCATGATCGAAGGCTCACTATAGGCATGGCAACAAGAAACTCCCTGCTGCTAGTCGACGAGGTAGGTTACTAGGAATACTTTCCCATTGACGGTACTTCAGCTGGGTCGGGGTACGTCGCCTCAAGAAGGGATTGGACTCTCCTTTGCCATCGCGGAGGCGCTGGTGCGAGCGAAAGTACGCGAATTCTGCTGTGGAAATGCTGTCTCCGGAATTTAGAGCTTTGTCTTCTTCGCTACTCACTTTCACGATCTAATTGGACCTTTACAACGTCTGTCTGGTGTAACAAGGTGCGTTCGGATTCTGCGACCGGGACGCTGAGATCGTTCTCCTATAGTGCTCGACTGTCCACAAGAGTGAGCCTTCCGTTCTCACGTGCTGAGATGCTCATTGCACCGGTCAGAGACTGGAGAGCATAGCTTCAGGTGTACCTATCACGACGTACGACTACAAAGTCTTGGAAGGTCCTTCGCAGACGAGGAGTCATTATGGTCAATTTGACTTTGGAGAAAAGTACACCCGTTAACGTTATGCAGGGATTGAGCTTGCTGGGGTGATCGGTCTTCCGGCAGACGTGATATCACGTGCACAAGCTGTGGTACAAGAGCTGGAAGAAAGGGAGCAAAACGGTAAGCGGTCAGGCAATCATCTGTTCGACGCTGATTGCAGACCCAGCGCTTTTGACGCAAGATCGAAGTCTCACGAAGAATCGGGCTAACACCCTCGCACAAGTCGGTGGTCAAATCAGCCCCATGCTAACGTATTTTAGCTGCGCGCTCGTTTGAGCCAGTTGTGCACTATGAGGAGCGCCCAAGAAGATGACCTCGCTGCCATACTCAAGCATGTGCAGTCGAGCTGCTTAATATCCCTTCGGGAATGCTTATGATAAACTGGATGATGATAGATTCCGCAGGTCAATCGACAGCATGCATCCATGTACTGAGACCTCTAGAAATGGTATGTGTCAAGCTCAGGAAGCTCCAGATTGACCCTACCGCCATTCCATCCATCGTCTGAGGCGACTCGGAGCAATGATCGGTCTTCTATTATTCTGAGCTCCCGGAGTCGCATGCGCCGCGCACGCCTGCTAGGGTTGCCTTGCCTCCGCGGGTTCTCGTTATCCGCCTCAGTGTCTGACGGCATCACGTTCTCTCCTGGTGACGCGTCACCATCTACCTGCATCGAGTGCATATGGGAGCGCAGCAGGATACGTTGAACGATCAACAGGGCTTTCGACACCGCGGTCTGTAAGTCCTGTTCAGACGCTCCCGATAGATTGCCAAAGTGCGCCATGACCATTGAAGAGAACAAGTCCCCTACTCCAGCAAAATAGGCCTCGACGTTTGGTAGAGCATATGCCGAAGTGACAAGCTGCCGGCCTTCTGCTCTATAGGTGCTTGCGAGACACACCAGATTGGTCCCTTCTGAAGTCGAAAAATCTTGAGCACCTGTGTAACGAGAGGGAGTGGTGGCGCCGAGTAGACTCTGATAGGAGTCTGGCGGCCCGGGCAGATCAAAACGCGATACGAGGGAGCTAGGCAGGGAAATGGAAGACACAACAACATGTGTCAGGCTGTATTTCTCGTGCAGATGGCGTATAGCCTGCTGAAGTGATGACGGCGACGTGATCTTCATATCGGATAGCAGCCTGTAGGTGTCAGCAGACATTCAGTCAGGACTTTATACTGACTCTAATTCGAAGTGGTTGGGGGTGATGATGGTGGCAAGAGGAAGCATACTCTTATAAATCGGGATGACTTGCTCGGCCACGTACAAACCCCGGCCGATATCTCCCATGACCGCTGCGTTGAGCTAAGTCTACATGTCTTGTTGATCACAGCTCCTTTGACTCACGGTCTAGAAGATAGACGCAGCCTGGATTACACCGGCGGACCTCTGCGAGCTGATCGGCAACGCATTGCAGTGCTTCGGCACCAGGTACGTAACCGGTCAGTATTCGAGGATAGGGTACCAGCAAGCCGTTATCGTTTAGTCCCGAGAAGATGAGATTCAATTGCTCAGCCGTCGTCTTGTGCCCGTTGGTGTGACCATAGCCTGGATCGTCAGTTGGATGGACTAGCGTTTTTGACTGGATCAGACTCACCGGTGTGATTGGAAAAATTGACGGTATTGACAGCATCGACCTGAAATCCGAGATATTGCAACGGGAACGTAGCTGCTTTGTTCCCTGATTGAAGATGAGATCAGGAGGGTACCCAAAAGATCCTATAGTCGAACCTACCGGCAAAACCCGAAACAACATGAGATTGAATAGAGAGAACTCTCTCCGCTTTCGTGAAAGGCTGCATCGTTTGACGATAATCAACTGCTGTCAGACCTCGAAAGAAGTTTTGGACTCGAACGGAAAATCTGCTTTTACTTGCGTCATTTTCGTTCGGGAGAGGTGAGATGACATGCATCCGATGAAATGTTGTTTTTGTTACAAAGCCTCGGTGTGGATCAAGTAGGCGGGGGAGAGATGTATGCAGCATCGAGCCTACGAGGCACCGGCTGTAGTTCAATTACGTAGTATACAAGAGCATGATCAGCGAATAATTCAAGGAGATCTCCATCCATCGTGAGAAGAGGAGTGATGGCAGGGATAGTGAGGCGGAGGGATTTTGAGATGCCATTATCATCTGTGCTTCTAATGCAATCCTGCATGACGTCTATTGCTTCTTCTCACCCTCTCCCTCAGTGCTGGATGATCCCGAGGTGCTGTCAGAGGAGGCTGATTCCTCCTTAGCCTTTTCGTCGGCTTGTCTCTTCTCGTACACCTGCAGCTTGTGTCAGCCCATGACTAGGACGGTTGAGACTAAAACTTGCCTGTTGGAACAAGCCCAAAGACGCCTGCTGAGCCGCATCGTAGGCAGCCTTGATGTCCTCGGCCTTGACAGAGGCGTCACCAGCAGCTCCCTTGGCGGCAATTTCCCTCAATTCGTTGAGCTGAGCCTTAACCTTGTCCTTCTCGGCGGTCGCAAGCTGGGCTCCGAATTCGACCAAAGACTTTTCAGTGTCGGAAACAAAGCTCTCGGCCTTGTTGGCTTCTTCAATGACGAGTCGACGTTCCTTGTCGCTCTCTGCATACTTCTCGGCATCAGCCACCATGTTCTTAATCTCGTTGTCCGACAATCCGGAGGATGAGGCGATGGTCAGAGATTGCTGTTTGTTGGTAGCCTTGTCGGTGGCGCTGACGTTGACGATACCATCTGCATCGATGTCGAAAGCAATCTGGATCTGGGGAACACCCTTGGGTGCTGGGGCTAATCCGCTGAATTGGAAGTTGCCCAAGAGTTTGTTGTCACGGACAAGTTCTCGCTCTCCCTGGTACACCTTGACATCGATGGAGGTTTGTCCGTCGGCGGCAGTGGAGAAAACGGATGACTTCTTGGTCGGGATGGTGGTGTTACGGTTGATCAGACGGCTGAAAACTCCTCCAAGAGTCTCGATTCCGAGAGACAATGGCGTGACGTCGAGCAGCAAAATATCGGTGACACTTCCGGCGAGGACTCCACCCTGGATGGAGGCTCCGATAGCAACAGCCTCGTCAGGGTTGACACCCTTGCTTGGCTCCCGCTTGAAGACGTTGCGGACGGTCTCGACGACCTTGGGCATTCGGGTCATACCACCAACGAGAATGACATCATTGATGTCGGAAGCAGAGACCTGCGCTGCTTTGAGGGCGTCCTCAGAGGGTTTGATGGTGCGGTCAACTAATGGCTTGACAAGGGCCTCGAATCGCGATCGGGTGAGGTTGACGGAGAGATGCTTGGGAGCGCCATCCTTCTGGGAGATGTATGGCAAAGAAATGTCGGTGGCTCCAGAGCTAGACAGTTCGCACTTTGCCTTCTCGGCGGCCTCACGGACACGCTGGATGGCGACAGTGTCGTTGCTGAGATCGATGCCTTCAGTCTTTTTGAAATCCTCCAAAATGTACTTGACAAGGGCAATGTCAAAGTCTTCTCCACCAAGATGGGTGTCACCGCCAGTGGACTTGACCTCAAAGACTCCCTTTTGCATCTCCAAGATGGAGACATCGAAAGTGCCACCACCCAAGTCGTAAACAGCAACAACCTGAGATTCTTGCTTGTCGAGACCGTAGGCGAGAGCAGCGGCGGTAGGCTCGTTGATCACTCGTAGGACTTCAAGACCGGCGATAACACCGGCGTCCTTTGTAGCCTGTCGTTGAGAATCGTTGAAGTAAGCGGGGACGGTGATGACTGCATGGAAATTAGCGACTGTTATCCGGACTGCACGTTGACGCACCTGCGTGTTTGACTGGCTTGCCAAGGTAGGCAGATGCAGTGTCCTTCATCTTGCCGACGACAAAGGCACCGATCTGGGATGGGGAGTATTGTTTGCCTCGAGCTTCGACCCAGGCATCGCCGTTGTTGTGAGCAACAATCTTGAATGGAACGTTCTTGATATCGTTCTGCACTTCTTTGTCCTGGAATTTTCGTCCGATCAATCTATATGGGAGGTCAGGTGAAACCGCCTAGAACAGGTCATTCAACTTACCGCTTAGAAGCGAAGATGGTGTTCTCCGCGTTGACCACAGCCTGCCGCCTGGCTGGTTGTCCGACTAATCTTTCGCCATCTGGACAGAGATGAGACGAGGCTGATTGGAGCGAGCAGGTAAACTCACCGTTGGTGAACGCAACAACTGACGGTGTTGTCCTGGCTCCCTCAGAGTTTTCCAAGACTTTAGCTGAACCGCCTTCGTAGACCCTTCAGAGGCGATGATCAGTTGCGTAAAGCCACAGTGGATGACGAGGAGGCTCACGAGACACAGGAATTGGTTGTTCCGAGATCGATACTGGTTATATGGGGTCAGTGAGAGTAGAGCTTCCTCCGCGATCTCGCTTCCACTCACCCAACGATTGGTCCGTTGACCTTGCCACTGTTGAACCGCTTGGCTCCGAGACAGGATGCCTGCAGTCGCTGCAATGGTGATAGTGTCAGAGTGGGACTTGATTGAGATGATCTCATCATCATCGAGACCTGGATTGACTCACCGACTGCTGTCGCAGAGGAGCTGAGCGGATAGCTCGAGTGAATCCGTTCATGCTGTAGAGAAGAAGACTGGGTAGAGGTATACAGGTGACACAGAGGGGATGGAGTCAGATGTCAAGAGAGAAAGAATGGAGAATGGGATTGTATCGTGAAAGACGAGAAATTTTGTGAAAGAGGAGGAGTGAAGTGAAAGACGGTTGAAGAATTTTCTCGAGCGAAAAAAAAAAAAGGACAGAAGGAAACTTCAATTACGTAATGTCGCCACTCATCGATCGTAACACAGAGCAAAAGTCATTATATACATATATACACAACATGTACCGATAATACAACAAGCATGTTCTTAACCGAGTCACCAGCGAAGTGACTGGCGAAGACGAGAACGAGACCTCTCCCTCTGGAGTCTCATGAATCCCTTCCGAATGATCTCAAAGCTATGCTCTGATACTATGCGACTCGATGCCAATCACTCTGACGCCCTTCTTCCTGGGGATCGCATCGGTCAATTGGTTACATCCTGTGTTGGTAGCACGCATGTCAGTCAAGGGATCGACTTTTCATAAGTGGCAGCTCACCCCAGACTTTGATGAGTCTGATCTCTGTACACGAGTCGAGGATATCCTTGATGCAATAATCTGTGACGGAACGGCACCATCCCAGATTGAGGTATTTGAGCATGGAACACTTCTGAAGCCCGCTGACAGATTCAGCATCGACGAGTCTCCATCCCAACAGGCTCAAAGTCTCGATGGCCCGTCCAGAGTGTGCAATTAACGATCTAAGCGCTTTGCCTTCGAGGGAGTCGCCCTTCTCAAGATCGATGGTCTCGAATCCGGGATGATGTTGACTGGAAAGAGTGTCGAAAAAGGCAGACACCGCGTCATCGCTGAGATCATGAAGGCCTCGTAGGCGGAGATGTCGTAACTTCGGACAATGCTTGGCAATGCTCTCCAGGGTTTCGTCGCCCAGACTCGGATTGTCTGAAAGATCCAGGTGTACAAGATTCGCGCCGACCCGCTCCAAGAGTTGATCAACCGATGCAACCGAAAGGGGGTTCCCCGAGCTCGAGAGATCTAGAAAGGTGAGAGCTTTAAGACTTCCTAGCGCGTCGAGACACTCGTCGTTCAGCTGCCCAATCTCCGAAAGGCGCAACTCTTTGAGGTCTGGACAGTATTGAGCCATGATTTTGATACTTTCCGAGTCAATGCGAGGCGATTGCCGGACAAGGAATGATTGGAGTTGTTTGTCCCTGGCCTTGAAGAGGTCATGCCAGCCCTCTTTCCGCACGAGGAAGGGACCGTACAGCTCCAATCGGCGCAGATGCTTGAGGTGCCTGGACCAGAAGCTCATCGCTTCGGTTGTGATCTGCCCGCATAGATCCAGTTTGAGGGTTTCGAGGCTAGGACACAAGGTTGCCAATGCTAGATATGAGTCGTGGACGAGGCCTGAATACATCAATACGGGCGCTGAGGCTCTTACTCACGGGTACAGTCGTACATTGTGAGCTCCGTCCGCTCCACGGAGTAGAAGAGGGAGGCGGTCTCTGGCGTGCTGACGCATGAGATGAAAGGTTCGCACGGTTCGCTTACAGTTGCCTGTTCTTTGAGATGATCCGGCAGACTTTGTCCATGTTGACGGAGCCGATATCTCCCAACTGATCCACGTCCTCGATACATCTGCCAATGAGCTGATAATCAGCTATGTCAGAGCCATTGTTTGCCCACCTCGATGCACATCTCGCTGAGCAGGACCGCTCCTTTACGTTGCTCATAGTGAACAATCTTGTTTCGCTCATCTTTCTTTGGCACGGCCTTGGGTTTGGAGGCCTTTTTGGCTTTTTCGAAAGGATCGATGCCAAGGGACCAGCAACACTTGACGCAGAGCCAGGTCTGGGCGTAACTCGGGTGTTCCTTGGTGTAACCAGTCTTGGCCGAGACTGAGCGATGGTTCCATATTACAAGCTCCTCACTTACCACTGTGAAACGTTGTGTGCATTCCCCACAATCCATAAATTCGCCAACAGCTTTGAGGGGTCGAGCTGAAACTCGCGGCCCTTCAGCGACAGCAGGACTCGCGGGGGCGTCCAGGTCCTCTGAATCGATGGAAGCTTGTCTGGCTCGCTTTCTCAAAGGTTCGATGTCCTAAGGTGTCAGCGTACTTTTTTCAGAGTGAAACCTCACGAATTCCTGGTCAGGTGGTGATCGTGAATGTGATGGGCCGGCAATCGCTGTCTCAACATCCGCAACGACGGCTTCAGCTGCGTCGGTCGCAATGTCGAGCGCCTCGTTGGCTGAGGCAAGCGCTACTTCAGCCCCGTCATCTCCAGTGGGAATGGCTGAAGAGTTGCCCCAAGTTGTAAGGGGTGCAGATGGCTCCACCCCCAGACCCTAGGGAATGTGAGTTGACAGGCCGTGAGACGAAGAAACTGGTTGAAACTCACGGCTAGAAAGGCTGTCAGAGCTGACGCTGGGCCTCTGACTCCAGCTGCTTGTCTACGATTGCGAGACATGGCAATGTCGCTGCTGGTCGATGGATGGACGTTGAACGAAGACTTGGGTTTAGTCAACTTTTTTTCTTAATATCCAATTTTCTGTTCATTGGGCGGCGCGTCGATCGACAACCCTCCACTTTTGTACATTGCTAACGCGTCCTTTGCTCCATCTATTGCTAAGAAAGCATTGAACGCTGAACAGCTTCTCAACATGGTGAATAGAGGCTTGTTCATCGTTCTGGAGGGACTGGATAGATCAGGCAAGTCAACTCAAGTGTCACGACTGCACGATCAGCTGGAGCAGGATGGACACAAAGCCAGAATTCAGAAATTTCCTGGTGAGTCTAGGTGATACAATTCGGACACATACAATTGAGCAGTCCATGCAGACAGAATCACCGCTATTGGCAAGATGATAGACAGTTATCTGCGATCGGAAGCTGAGCTGGACGATCGAGCCGTGCATTTACTATTCAGTGCGAACAGATGGGAATGCTGGTCGGTATTCAACAACCAAAGAGTGGCAGGCATAGATCTCTCGCTGACCCTGTTTCGAGCAGTCAGGCTATCGAACAAAGCCTTCAGGATGGTGTCACCGTGATAGCAGATCGTTATGCGTTTTCTGGCATTGCTTTCTCAGCTGCAAAGGTGCGCATGATAATAATAATCTCTCGCCAAATTTGGGTACTGATGGACCTTGTGCAGGGGCTACCTTTCGACTTTTGTGCCAGCCCTGACATAGGATTACCGCTACCAGACGTCACATTATATCTTACAGTGTCGCCTGCCGCTGCCGCCAAGCGAGCCGCTTATGGAACGGAGCGCTATGAACAGGTCGACTTGCAAAACAGGGTGCGAGAGCAATTCAAGCTGGTGGCGGACAAAGTGCGGACAATGCATGGTCCTGATAGATGGGTGGAGGTGGATGCCGAGGGGAGTATAGATCAAGTGTGGGAGAGGATATGGTCTCAAGTGAAAGCTATTGAATCGAAGAAGGGAGAACAGATACATCGACTATGGACATGACATTGCTGCTGCTTGGGAGAAAGTACGCAAAAATAGCTTGGAAAAATAATAGCTTATGAGCCCTTTTGTACAAACGATCCATCTCTCTCTCTCTTTACACTCTCTCTTCTTGTCTCTCATCGATGAGTCGGCGGGAATTATGGCGCCCCTTCTAAGAGCATACTTTGCACCGCGGCAACGCTCTCTGTTATCTTCACTCTTTGCAGTCACATTTCTCGGTGCCGTTTTGGTGGTCGCCTTCCCCTGTCCAGCCAAACCTATCGATCGTTTATTGGGCAGAAAACGTATAGAAGGTGTCTCATTCACACAGGAGCAGGAGCAGGAGATCATTGTAATGATGAACGAGCGCTCAAAGCGCAAGTTCCTGCCGGAAAGATAGCTTGTCCAAGGTGAGTGTGGCGTTGGTTGATGTCGGTCTGCACATCTCACCGCAGATCTTTTTCGCAGGCCGAAGGACTCATAACGACTGCGACGAATTGCATGATCCCTTGAACAAAGTGTTGTACTGTGTGAGTCCCATCCGTGTACCGTCGAGAGACGGCGACATGTGCTCATTTAGCCTTAGGTCCTAAACCTTGCATCGAATGGGCTGGTCAGCGGGACGATTTTGGGGTTCCCTCTCCGTGTAGCGACAATCCCCAGTCATGAGATACAATTCCGCAAGCATACATATCATACATGTCTTTACGAGTTCTGGTCCATTCACGTCTTCTCTTCAAGCCTTAGGCCTTTCCATCACGCTTTCCGTATGCCTTTGTGGCGTACTTTAGGGGTCAGCGCTGTAAATCTTCGAACACTCACATCACCGTTCTCGACAATGACATTGGCAGGGTTTTGAGGTTCGCCTGCGAGATATCGTTTGATGATATCAAATGCCCCGTCTGCGTATCGCTTCTGAGCGTCAAGGGTCGTGCCACTGTAGTGAGGCACCATTCCGTTCCCAGCACCTAGGCATGTCAGATGTGATTGGGCCTCGTTACCTACCCAGAGGGTTTGTCATCGATCGCCATGGGTGATCAGCCGGAGCAGGCTGTACGTCTACGCTCATGAGCCACTGTCAGGCTTCTGGACTCACTCCACACGTCTCCCGCGTATCCTCGGAGATGCCCGCTCTTGAGTGCCTCCGCGGCAGCATCGGCATCGACAATGGCACCTCGAGCCGTGTTCACAAGCCATGATCCCTTCTTCATCTTGCCAATGAGCTCCTTGTTGAAAAGGCCTCGTGTCTGCTCATGAAGGGGGCAGTTCTGGCATCACTTTAGCATGTGTACTAGAAATCTCTCGACGCACGATGGTGATCACATCACATTGCTCGACAAGTTCTTCTAGACTGTTCACTCGTCTAGCATTGATGGATTTGGCGGCATCTTCAGAGGATCTCAGCAGATGCCATACACATTGAAGCTCACCTGCAGGGATGTCGTTGTAGTCAAACCACAAGAGTTCTTTGCAGTCGAATCCTTGGAGCCGTTGGAGGACTCGGTAGCCGATACGACCGCAGCCCACGGTACCGACCACTTTGCCTTCTAGATCATAGGCGTCTCGGGCGATAGAGGCGACGTCCCATTTGCCATTGATGGCCTGGTCATGTCCGGTAGTGAAGTTTCGGACGAGCAAGAGAATTGACATAACGACGTGCTCGGCTGAAAGCGAGAAGGGGGTCAGCGACATCGTGTGGACACACAAGTCTCTCATACTCACCGACACTGGTCACATTACTGCCCGAGACCTTGTTGGGGTCAGCGAGGCTAAGCAGACGAAGGGACCCACCTCTGCCACCGTGATCTTGTGCTTGTTTGCGGCATTGAGGTCGACATGATCGGAGCCTACTCCAGCCGTGACACAAAGTCGAAGTTTGGGCGACTTTTCGATGAGGTCAGCGGTTAGGTATCCAGGGTGGAAAGGTGTGGCTGATGAATGTTAGCGTGGGACCGCCCCGGCGACGGCTCGAACTGACTGATGAGAATCTCGGTGTCTGGTAGGTTCTTCTGAAAGACAGAGTCTGGTCCTTCCTTGTCTTCAGTGACGATGAATCTGTCGAGACGAGATCAGTCTGAGCTGATGGCCAAGACTGCTGAGGAAGATTGAGCTCACTCATGACCTTGTTCCCTGAGCCAATCCGAGATGCCCAGCTTGTTCTCAATAGTTCCCAAAAGGCGAGGCTCCTCTTGAGCGGCTTTACAGCAGTCAGTCCAGTGCTGACACGTCCCACGTCATTGTACTCACCCTTGCCCCCCTTGTACAATACTGCCATGACTTTGACCATGTTGGGCGGTGTAGATGTCAATGTTCTGATCGGATGAAGTGGACGTCGAGCGAGTTGGAAAAAAGCAGAAGATTTGATGAAAGTATTGATTCGTGGAAGCATGGTCTTAGGTATATATAAGTATATGAATTGTGCTGGACTTGAACGGGGAGAGTCGACTTCTCGCCTCCACCGTGATTAGTTTAGCTAATGCGGGGAATGACTCTCAGAGGCTGAATGAACCAATGGGGGGGGGAACGCCGCAGTCCCAACTCTGTTGTCGTCAGATGGTGGAGGCCCACCCCTGCCTCGTCTGCCTCGTCTGCCTCGTCTGCCTCGCTTGCCTCGCTGCCAGCCCTACTCTAAGCTGTCGATCGGATTCTAAAATGACCAATGTAACCCGGTTAGCATTCAGTTACCGGTCACTCGGCCGCGGAACAGCCGACGACGGCCCCATCTCATTAGAAATTCTTTCCTAATCATTAGGGACTTGGGGGATAACGTCAGGATTAGGGTTCGGGGACTCCACCTCGACTCATCCAGTCTTTCAGGCCTCTCTGGAGGAGGATGTACCTTGAGGTGTAGATCAACTCAGAGGCTCAGCTGCCATGTCGACTCGCATATCTCTCACTCGTGGGGCTAAACGAAAGGTGGAAGGTGTCATTCCGACCAGCTCGACATCAACCTCCTCCTCCACTCCGGTCAAAGCCAGGAGAAAGGTCGAGAAGAAGTCCACCATCCCGGCAGACACATCCGCATCAATACCAGCATCGGCAGCATCAAGATCCTCTCCCAAGCCCTCCACTGCAGATGATTCACTGCCCTACACTCCGTCCCTTCTCCCGCCTACGCTCAAGTTCTCCCTTCCCTCCGCCATCGAGCATTTATCCAACCATGACCCACGTTTCAAACTCATGTTCAGCACCATCCCTTGTAGACCATTTCATGAGCCTATAGAGGCAGTAGACCCTTATAGAACGCTCGTGGTCACCATCATCGGCCAACAGGTCTCGTGGATGGCGGCCAAAGCAATTACACGACGCTTCAGAGCTCACTTTGGATTCGAAGAGGATGATCAGAGTTTTCCGACACCCATGCAAGTGGCCAAGGCGGAGGTCATCAAACTGAGAGAAGTCGGTCTGAGCTTTCGAAAGGCGGAATACAGTGAGCTATTTCGATGTAAAGCATTCGATGCTGACGGTCCGCAGTCATCTGCCTCGCCGAACACTTTGTGGACGGGAGACTTTCCACAGAGTTATTGAGCGAGGGGTCTGACGAAGAGATCGCCAAGGCTCTCATCGCTGTCCGGGGAATCGGGCAGGTAAGTGGATTCGATCCAGTTATCGACAACGTGTTAACTCCGTCTTCCCAGTGGACAGTCGACATGTTCATGATCTTTTCTCTCCGTCGACCGGACGTTTTACCAGTTGGCGATCTCGGAGTGCAAAAGGGGCTCCTGCGGTGGGCCCTTGCTGCGCATGGCGCCCTGCCACCTACAAAATCCAAAACCAACGAGCAGACGCGCAAAAAGTACGGACTAGCAGTGGATGAGAAAGGCTCAGGCGAGCTTGATACCCGTATCCTCACACCGCCACCCGAGGGCGATCAACCGGTCCCTCAGACTCCACAAATTGGTTCCCTAGTGACAGCTCATGCACCACCGACCCCGGTCACGCCTTCGAGTCATGATAAGATAGTGCAGGTTCCCAACAATTCCCTGCCACCAGACATGAGCGACAACCGACTTTTGCAACCTCCCGATGCGTCGTTTGATGCTCACAGATGCGCACCTCTGCCCGAGGGAATGACGATAGAGGGGCTGAAATCTCGGCTCGCTGGGAAGAAGGCAAAGTGAGTGCAGGGACTATGAACGCATTCAAGATCCCGACTGACTGATGCCGCTTCGCAGAGGCGGAGTCTACCTCACGCCGAAGGAGATGGAGACTCTAACCGGCGGCTGGCGGCCATATCGTTCGCTTGGTGTTTACTACACCTGGCCCATGGGAGAGGATTTTTAATGAGCCTATTTTGTTTTACCGAAAAAAATTAGGAAAACCCGAGAGGCTGAGGTTGGGGGAAGAGGGGGGGGGGGGGATTCAACGAGCCAAAGGTTCTTCGGTCTCTCCAGCTTGAGCACTCGGTGTCTCAGATGCAGGAGCCTGAGTTCAACGCATAAGATGTATGATGAACCGATCCGGTTCCAAACCTTTGTTGCTAGCTGGTTGAAGCCAATGCCGCTGCAATAGCTTGGCAAAACCTTGAGGGTGCAATTTAAAGATACCCCGAAGGAAAATCGTTCACTTTAAAAGAATCTATTTGCGGAGTGCCGATCCTTTTTCATCCTTCTTTTGAGCATACCTTGTCAGCGTGTAATAAACTCAAGCACACGATCAAGTGACCGGATTTCTTTGTGCAGCTCAGCCCCCCTTAGCACGCGGTCATCCCTTCTGAGAGCTGTGACATATTCCGTGAAGTGCCAAAGGATGAGTAGGCAAATCGGATGGGGCAGCTGGATCGCATTTCGCCGATATCAAGTGCTCTTCGTCCTCTTATTCGCGGTCGGCATCTTCACGCTCGTTCAGATAGCCCACATACGGGATTTGGATCCTTGGGACCGACTCTCATCGACATTCAGGAGGCCACCGTCCAATCCGTATAACCTTGATGGGCCATCCTTAGCACGAGCCTCTCATCTGGAGGCGCAGTGTAGACAAAACGATCAATTCGAGGAGATTTATGGCCGAACGAATCTTCGAATGTCAAGAGCTTATGAAGGTGAGGGAATGGAGCTCAACAAGCGTTGACGCCAGGCTCTCAACATCGTTTGCGAGAACTGTCGCGTAAAGTCTTGCGGGGCGAACGAGTTTCCATCTCCACGATTGGAGGAAGCAGTGAGCGTGTCCAAGCGGGAAAATCGACTCATACATAATAGTCACGCGTGGGCATCAAGTCTACGCCCATGAGGTCTGGTTTGTCAAGCTCAAAGAGTGGCTAGACTCTTTCTGGCCAAATGACATAGACATTGTGGCCACGAATGGAGCTGTACCGGGTGAGGTGTTCCAGCGCCAAATGTAACTGACATCACAGCGAGCGGTTCCGACTATTTCTCATTTTGTTTCCCAATACATATCCCGGAAAATTCTGATCTTATCCTTGTCGAACTCGCCGTCAACGATGCAGGTGAACCAGAGTACGCCGATAGCATGGAGAATCTTCTGCGTGGGCTGCTGGATCTACCCTCAAAACCCGCCGTCATTCTACTGGAAGCCATGGCATTCAGTAATGGAGGCATGGGTGGAGGTGGAGGGAGAATGCATCTGTGAGCGACGATATTATCGCATCTGCTGAAGAGGAGACCTGTTGCACAATACTATGGTGAGTTGCTTGCAAACGCTTGTCATTGTATTGGTTGATTTTCGCTCCAGATGTTCCCGTGATAAAGTGAGCTGGCCTGCGCGACTGCGTCTGATCGCCGTAGTCAAAGACATCCGCTTGCAAATCATTTCGCTCGCTATCCTGAGCTGGTACCCATGTACTTTTCGCAGGAGTAAGTGTCCTACCGCGACCATTCTTTAACATTACTCAGTTACTGGGGTTTCCCCGACATGAGGCATTTGAATGCGAGAGGCCACCGCGACCTGGCTGCATTAGTCTCTAGTCTGATAAAGGATGTCACATGCGAAATGTTGGCCGAGGGCGACTTGGTGTCCCAAAGCTATGGGTCCGTCGATGTGGATCCTGCGGAGATCGATCTTGAGGCTCTCGACTTGTCGTGGCCCATAGAGACCTTACCCTGGACCAAAAACTTATCTCATGGGACACAGCAAATCTTCCCTGGCATGTTCAATACACCCCTCGAATTAGGGCTTTTGCCTCGATTGCCTGTGCTAGAAGGATGGAACCCTAACTTGGACCATCGTGCTCCGGCGTTTCATCCCGTCTGCTATTCGACTCGAGCGCACGAGGAGCGGTTCAATCTAACTCCTACCGTCAATGAAGGATGGACTCATTGGGTTCACCCAGAACATCTAGACAAGCCATATCTAATTACCAAGGAGCCCGGCGCGCGAGTCTCGTTTGAAATAGAGACAGCGGTGGGCGTAGTCAAGGTCTACTCATTGCGGAGCAGGAGTTTTGGATTTGGGACCGCTGAATGCTGGATGGACGAGTCGAAAGACAAGTCGGTCAAGCTGGTCGGATATTGGGACCGAGCCGAGTGAGTGGACACATGAGTCGTGCGCTCATATAAAGAAACGTTGGCCGATTCGACACTGTCGCATCCGGCCTGCGGCCCGGCAAGCACAGATTGACGTGTCAAATGCTTGAGGAAACAAGTGATCCCGAAGGAGGACATGAGTTCAGATTGATCTCCGTTATGAGGTTGGTCTTCATCGAGTGCTTCGGTGGGGTATGGCTGACAGAAGTAGCCTGTGAGCGATGTTGCGACCTGGCCTTCTTCGGCTGTCCTTTGCGGAAAGGCTGGACCACAATCCTCTCCCATCACAGCGATGTGCGTAGGAGAGGCGCATGGCCGACGAATTTGTTGGATGTGCATCCAGACGTCCTTTGCAAAGTGGACGACACATACACCGGATGTGCCGATGGCAAGCGCGCCAAGGCCATTGCCTCCAGATCCTGATCTAGAGCGACGCTGCCTCACGTTTTCACGTCTCGGAGCCACTCAAGGCAGGTGGTCAGTCCAAGATCATCCAGTTGGGACGGTCCAACACTGTCAGCCACTATTCATCTATGGCGCTGCCATCTATAACGTGTCATACCGTGTAATTTATGCATAACCTTGAAAGTACCCGCTAGCAAAGAAAAAAAGTCGTCAGCGAGACACTACATATGAGGACGGCTGTGATTGAGACTTTTGCAATCACGACTGTTTACACGATTCACGACCCATCGACGTTTCTTCCAAGCTCTCTCATCAGACCTCTCGATCCAGCTTGCCCATCTGAGCCGGAGCTGAGGCGTGATCAATAGCTCACGTCTCACGAAGAAATATCATGATCAAAGCGGCTCCTTAGAATCGCACTGCTTCTCTCATCGCACGATGGCAGAAGCGGCCAAGTATGGGAATCCAACCGAGTTCGACATAGAGCTGCATTCAATCTATGCAGCCTACCTGTGAGTAGTCTGAACCTCGCATAGATCTCTACTTACCCGCATCAAGGGGCTACTTTGAATCGACCGATCTGAGCTGGTGGGAAAAGTCATGGGGTGGCTACTTCACCGGCTTCAACGAGTTTCTTCAGCACGGTTGGGAGGTCATGGTCGTGGTGAATACTGCGACGGGTCGAGCCCATATTGCTGCTCGATCGGAACAGATCGCCCTCTTTGCCCGAATGATTCGGACTCGTTATGGCGAGTCACTTCCCAAAGATCCCCCAACGACTTTGCCATTGGACCCGGTCCCGACCAAGACGCTGTCTCTTCGACGACTTGTCAAAGTCAGCGATCTCGCCAGCTATAAGAAGCTATCTCTGACGCTGCCAGCGGCAGAACTGGCGTTCCTTCGTCAACGGGTTCGATCCGGAACAGTGGATACCATCGAACGACTGTTCCACGAGGGAGATGAACACGGAGCCGGTTATACGTGGGCTTGTGTGCAGACTACCTGGTGGGATAGGGGAGGAGCGCCAAGTGGGATAATCCCTGGATCAGGAAGAACGGCATCCGCCTCCAAGGGCCTGGTACTGGAGGTCGGCATGGCTGTATTGCGTTGCGCCAATTTGCGTGCAGTGGTAAGCGCCGAATGTTACGGGCTTTTAGCTGACGACAGAATGTCTGGCCACCCGTCCCCGAGGAGAACTATCGAAAGGCTCATTTCATCGTTGAAGAGTGGGTCGACAAGGTGAGCTTCACCATCTGAACGTCTTCTGGAATAGCTGCTAACAGTGCCTTGCTCAGAGAACGAATTACAATCCTCCAAGCTATCCCAGATCTTATGGTTTTGGTCGCAGCCACTTTGTGTCAGAAAGGGAGATGCCTCGCATCTTGGAGTGAGCGTGCGTGTCAAGCAATGAGCTGATGGGCAGCGCCTCTATTGCGGCAATTGCATCGCAAGGAACAGAAAATCAGGCCAACACACTCATCCTCATTGGCTGTGGGGACCAGTCACCTTTACCGCTCGCCGCCAACTCATCCGTCCCTAACAATGTACTCTATCTCGATGTCCTCGCCCTGGAGTATCGCTTCCTCCGCAGAGCGCGTGACCAGGGTGTGACTGGCATACCTGACCGGCACGGTCCTCTCCCACACCTGACAGCCTTGCTGGAAGTCCTTCAGATTCCCACGACTCCGAATGTTCCGCTGGGCAATGCAGGCAACGAGGCTTTTTACATTCTCCTCGCATTCCAGAAACTGATGCTGGCCGACACTAGCATCCCCAACGTACTCTACCAAGTCAACACATATCAAGAGGTACCGCATATACGACCATTCGCCCATACGCAACGGCGGTTCTCTTCACCGTCACAAATTGAAGGCCCGCCGCCCTCCATCGCTCGCCCGTCTTCCGGCATGCTGGAGGACTTTGGCGGTCCATCAACGTCGTCTCGCAACACAGCACCAAGAGCGCGCACTGTGTATTGGGATGATGCGCACCATTCGTCTGCGGAAGGCAGCCCATCACCTCCACGCGATCGTCAAGCCCTCAAGAGGAACGCCCACAGCACGAGCACTCTGCCTGTCGGTCGATCGGCTTCCCAGGGCCCCTCGCCACTCCGAGAACCGCTTCCGCTTAGTTCAGATAAGGATGGCAAGCGAGAGAGCAAGATGAGATCGGACAAAAGCGTGAAAGATCTAGCGGGAGCGCTAGCTCGTTTTTGGGTGGGGTAGATACATGCAATGCATCAAGCATCGACTGTTTGCTGCGCTTCGACAGTCGCCATATTCGCTGCTGCTCTCTGCGCAGACTCTGCCCGTCTCTTCTTCAACACATTCTCAATGAAGAATTCTCCAGCCTGATGATCAGTCAAGCGTCTCTCTGCATTCCTCACCTTGTAGCTCGACCTGACCAAGGGCCCACTTGCAACGTAGAGGAATCCCATGCCCTCCGCCACCTCCTTCCAGTGATCGAACTCCGCCGGTAGGACATAGCGATGTACCTTCATGTGACCTTTTGTAGGACGCATGTACTGCCCGAATGTGACGACATCGACATCGTTTTCTCTGAGCCCTTTCCTCTTCAGCTTGAGTGTCAGACTGCGCGCTCACTTTTGAGAGTCTCCTCGATCTCGTGCCCCTCCTCACCAACTCCCAGCATAATGCTAGTCTTTGTCAACAGATCTTTTCCAGCTTCATCGGCAGCGCGCTTTGCCTCCTTGAGCACAGCCAAGCTCTGCTCGAAGCCTGCGCGTCGATCACGGACAAACGGTGTGCAGCGCTCCACTGTCTCCACGTTGTGGGCGAAGACATCCAGTCCAGAGGTAGCGACTTGTCGGATGGCTTCGACCCCTTTGTTGGCAAAATCTGGCGTCAAGGCCTCGACAAGGATGGAAGGCGCCTTCTGCTTGATTTTCATGATGGTCGAGGCAAAATGCGCTGCACCACCATCCAGCAGATCTAAAACAAAAGTCAGCGACTGAAGAGGTTTAAGGGCACTAACCGTCTCTATCAACGCTTGTCAACACTATGTAGCCAAGACCCCAGCGACTGATTGCTTCCGCAGTATTCTCCGGCTCATGGATGTCCAATGGCGGCGGAGCCTTGGAAGTCTTCACTGAGCAAAATCGACACGCCCGGGTGCAGTGGTCGCCCATGAGCTACAACACATAAGCCTTGGTTGGACACACGAGGAACCAACCATGATGGTCGCTGTTGCAGCTCCTTTGCCGCCGCCCCAGCAATCTCCGATATTGGGGCATTTCGCTTCTTCGCAGACAGTGTGAAGATTGAGGCCCCGTAAATCCTTCTTGATCGAGGTATAAGACTTGCCGGAAGGGATCGGGTGTTTGAGGAAAGATGGCAACCGGGGTCTGCAAAGTCAGAGATCTTGGTCCGAGTATATAGCAGCATAGCTTACTGAGACGTGTTGCCGAGTTTCACAGTTGGGATGGGTGCATTGGTAACGAAATCCTCAAAAGTCAAGCCATCGTCCGGGGTGAGTCGCCGCCGAGACGAGGTGGATGATTCCGCGGTCGCTAGGGATCGGGAGCCCCAGGAGGCCTGCGTGACGGTGCTTGCGATGGTGCGCGATCCAGCTTTCAAACTCGATCTCAACGACATGGTGGGCTTGATCCTGAACGATGGTCAAGGTTCACGATGTTTCCCCAAACCTATATGCACTGCAGCGTCCAAAACTCTGGTTTTTCCAACAATGATCCTTGGAAATATTTGCGCGGAGTCCCGGTAATGAAACCACGTGGCAATCGGACTATCCCACCGGGGATGTTTTCTGATTGATCAACCTCGAGGATGTTGATGACCTGACATTCCATCAACATGCTCCCCTCCCCTTCATCCAGCATCGGCGGGAAGGGGGAGGGCAAGCTAGAGAAAGATGATCCTGTGGATCATTCCGCAGAAAATCAGCTCTCTTCAGCCGAGAAGAAGAAGCGCAGCTTCGAGCGAAGTCTAGCTGGCCCCAGTGTCGGCAAGGCTGGCAAGTGCGACTGTTGTGGGTCTAGCTCATGTCGACGCAGGACTGCAGTTGGATCAGACTGGTGCGTATTCAAGACTTCTTAACAGTATACGACACTAGCAATTCGTGCAGAGATCAATCACATCATCGCCGAAGCATCTAGGGTAAGCTCAGAATGATCGAGCTGGATGCTGATGCGCAGGGCTCAAAGTAAGTTGCAAAAGGACGCTGTCTGTTGATCAGAAGATTTTACAACAATCAAGTCAGGAAAGACGATGAGCTCAACCGGAAGATAGCATGGTTTCAAGCCAAGGTGATTCAAGCCGTTAGAGGTTGCTGATCTGCAGCGTGACGAACTCTTGAAGATGGCTCAGCCGGAGCTGCTAGCAGTAGAGGCCGAGCGCATTGTGAGATAGCGTTCCCTGCCCAGGCTTACGTCAAAGCTCGCCGAAGTGGAGGCTACACGGGACTTGTCACAGACGATAGTTCACGTGGACATGGATGCTTTCGTATGTCTTCAAGACGGAAAGGTATGACATCTAACCACTTCGAACAGTACGCGTCCGTTGAGGTCAAACACGATCCATCACTCAAAGGCAAGCCATTCGGGGTCGGACAGGGCGTTCTGACAACAGCTTCCGTAAGCTCAGTCCTTTGTACACGATGCGCATGACTGAAAGTTTCAACCCAGTATGAAGCTCGCAAGTTCGGTTGTCGGTCTGGGATGGCGGGTTTCATTGCCAAGCGACTCTGTCCTCAGATCATCTTGTGAGCCTCGCGATATGGTGATATGGGTACAATGGACTCACAATGCAGGGTACCACTGAATTTTGACCGATATATTGATGCATCCGATTCTGTCCGAAGAGTGCTGCTAGATGTAGGCTTTTTCCGGCAGGACGGTGCTGACAGCTTTACAGTTTGACAGCAATCTCATGATGGCAAGTCTAGACGAAGGCTACCTCAAGTGAGTCCCTCGTAGGCTGCGCAGCTAAAGACAGCATCACTCAATACATGGATACTCACGCCATGACAGCTGGGGAGGTAGTGTCTCATCTCAGAAATCGAGTAGAGGAGGCGACTGGACTCACTGTCTCTGCGGGTATTGCTCCAAATCGAATGCTCGCAAAAATCTGCTCTGATAAGAACAAGCCAAACGGTCAATTCGAATTGCAATTTGATCGAGTGACCATCACGAGGTTCATGCGAGATATGCCTGTCAGGTACGATTGGCGAAGCTTCCACCACTCACACTGCGACAGAAAGATTCCTGGCTTCGGGAGGGTGACGGAAAGATGTCTGGAAGGGCTAGGCGTTGAGGTCGGTCGAATTCGCTGTTTCTGTCTGACTTTCAGACCTGTGGAGACATTTGGAAAAACCGAGTTGAGCTCTTGGTCATGGACCACTGGTTTGGCTTCAAAGGATTGTGGTGAGTTGTAGGTATTTTGCAGGCTGAAGCTTGTAGCAAAGCGTATCTTGGAATCGCGGACAATACCGTGCAGCCCGGGAAGAGAGAGGAGCGGAAGAGCGTAGGGTGTGAAAGGTGGGTCCACCATTTCCGCCCGTTCTGATGACCCTAGGACTTTTCGAGACAAGACGGACGACGAAGATATTCTCAACACTCTCGCAGACATAGCAGACGAATTGTGCAAGGATCTTGAACGATTGCAGTACGCCGGCAAGACCGTCACCGTAAAATACAAGGTATGTTCACCATTATGATGAGTGCTGATTTACAGCTGCACACGTTTGAAAGTGAGCCCAGTCCTGTTCCCGTCTTCTGACGTTTCAAAGACAAGTCTCGAGCTCATTCGGTCAAAAAATTCATCTCTACCAAGGAGGAGATTCTGCCGGCAAGTTTCTGCTACATACGGTTGCTCATCCGCAGATCGCTCAGGAACTCCTCAAGCGAGACCTTCCACTCAAAATACGCCTCCTTGGCATTCGTCTGTCGACTCTGAAGGATTTGACGGTTGTCGAGAAAGGCATCAAAAATGTAAGTCTCTTTAGACACAAAACAAAAAATGACTGCTAATCTTCTGGCAGTACTTCACCACCAATATGGCTACGCCGTCGGAGGAGGAGTCTCCGATCCCTGCCGACGTCGATCAATCTCCAACGCTGCCAAGTGCTCCGGCGCTCGACACCATATGTCCAATATGTGATAAGAATCTGGGATCCGCGACCTCGAATGCACAGCTCAATGCTCACATTGACGAATGCCTCAATCGGGAAGAAGCCCCCCGGCCCGCGAAGAAGCCAAAAGTCAAGCCCGGAGGCAAGACGATGCTTGACTGGGTGACACGGACGCGTTGAAGTTGCGATGACTGATGTATGAGAGAGACTTGGTAGACTGTTTGTAGCCAATCATAGACTTCGTATTGTTGTAGCCATCTTGCATCAGACATGTGCAAACAGACACGCCGCCCTCCTTGCACGCGACGGGTTTTAAAATGTCATTATTTTTCTGATTGTGTTGTTGCTCTTCTCTCTGACTGGTGACAACAGTCATCATGAGACCTGAGGATTTGAGCTCCTCGAGGGTGTCGGATTCGTCAGACACGACAATGGTGACTTCCAGTGATACGCTGGTCCCTTCCTCAGCCGCTGGGCCCAGTCGGAAACGCGTATCAGAAGATAAATCAGTAACCTCGAAACGAAGGAAGTCAGATAATGCACAGGATCGAACGTATTGTCATCAGTGAGCCATTCACCTACACTCTTTCGCTGATATGGCCCATAGCTGCCGACAGGCTTTTCCAATCTCAGGTATGAGGACGCAGATGTCCTAGCTGACTTGTCCAGAAACCATCCGTTGTACCAATCAGAAGGCTATTGGGAAAGACAAATCGACCAAGCTTTGTAGACTGGCGTGGTGTGTCAACGATTTGAGCCGGAGATATGGCGTTGAGCCAGAAACATCTCGGCTGAAGGCAGTCCAGGGGAACTTCGAGTGTCCATGTTGTTCTGGACAATGTCAAACAGCAGCGTGTGAGTATGAGGCCACACCAACGCAGACGATCGCTAAGTAAAAATGCAGGTCGCAAGAAGCTTGGCCTTGATCCCCTTGGGTCAGTCTCAGCTATCTTATGGCTATCGCAGCTGATTTTTGTCCAGGCACTCGGTGTCATCAAAGTTCACGCCAGCAATGGCAGCGACAGCGGTGCAAGATACTCCACAAAAACCTGGCCTAGACAGCGATTCAGAATTATCCTCGATCGAAGACGCCAAACCTTCGGCTGAAGAAACACATATTTCCACATCAGCACCCGCTGCGGGCCGTGCAAAGCCTTTGAAGAGCAAATCGGCGCCGAGCAAAGCACCCAAAACGAGCAAGGCAACCAAAGTCTCAGCAGCGAAGTCCCCCGTCACCAAAAAACCTACCGTATCGAAGAGTGCGTCGGGTAACCTGACACCGAAATCCCAGAACAAGAAGGCAATGGCAGCCGGAACTACACCTACTGCAAAGGCGAAGGCGAACGGGTCCAAAAAGTCTGCTGGCTCGCCGGCCAAAAGCAAGTCGAAAGCCTCGGCCGGCAAATCGCCAAAGACCAAGGCCAAGGCCAAAGCGATATCAAGTGCAGATGGAAAGCCCAAACCTGTGCGCAGACCCGAGATTATTCCCGATCTGCCCCCTTTCGAAAAAGTGGACACTCGCCTGGACTTGACAGAGGCCGAGCAGAGGATGGCAGTGAGTGACCATAGCGGATTGGCCTGATTCGTACAGCTACGCGAATATCTATTTCGCTTTCGAGCCGCACTTTCAATTCCGGAGAGGTCACTGCCGCCAGTGGACGATTTTGATCGACCGTTAACGGAGGCTAGTGTTCGCGTCTTCGCTGGGTCCATGTTGGAACTCATCCGGGAGGAGATCGAGCACAACGGCCAGGTTGAGGTGGGCTTGCTTCGCTGATTACGAGCCTAACAATTCCAGTTGGCGGACAAAATCCTGCATCATCGAGAAGAGCTCAGATACTATGCCGATCTCGCTCGGTTTGCTGCGATATATATGGGCCTCGAGGACTCTCTGGGTCTCAGGAAGCCAATTGGCCAGGAACGCGACGGTTCTCTGCCCGTTGAGCTGGACCTCTCGAGTCGCAGAAGTGCTGCATCTCGTCTTCCATCGCCTATTCGAGTTGTGCAAATGCTCTTGGCATTATCTGAACGTACATTGAGAACCCCAGCAATCCGAGCAGACCTTGAATCGCAAACGGAGGAAAACGTCCTTCGGCGGCAACATCTGAGTGCCGTGAAGAAGGAGACTGCAGCTTGGGAAACGCGAAAGAAGAAGCTTGATGAAGCCTCTGCCAAAACGAAGGGTGCGGCGGATAGTAAAGCAGCCCGGGCAAATGTGAGTACAGATGTACGCTCGAGGAACTAACCTCAGCTCGCCTCTGAGCTCCGCGAACATCAGCTGCGAGTGGTCCAACTCAACGTGAGTTCCGCCAGTTTCATCGCACTGACGTCTCAGGTTAACCTCAGAGCCGACTTGAGTCGGCGCGCGTTGCGGCACGAGAGTCTAGGGTCAGATCGCGACGGGCGAACATATTTTGTCTTGTCAATGCGCCCGGTGACGCACGATGGTCGTCCTCCCATCGCTTGGGCATCGGGGTTACTTGTGTGGGGCAAGGGCGATCCCGGGTCTCAGGCAAGCGATGCGGTGCCCAGCGATATGGAACGGTGGTCTCACTTTGGCAAGTCGCAGTCCGTTAAGCAGCTCGCAAAGTGGGTCGAGTGGAGCTGGAAGAAAACGATAGCCTCGGTCAAGACAAAAAACACCAAAGCTGGGCGTGCCAAATTGGAGGTCGTGATCCCATCCCATAAGCGAGCCAGATCAAGCAGCTCCTCCGCGCTTTCTGTCCTTTCTGACAACCTCCTTGACGATTTTGAACCTCAAGGTTATGAGCCCTCGCCGGACATGCTGGATGCACGAGCAAAAGACCTTGTGAGACGGCTCCACGAAGTCGCAGAGTGGCTGGAGGTGCTTGAATGGAAAGGAATGGGTGAGATAGTTTAAATGCGCCACGACGGGATGATCCTCCCAAAAAAGAGATGCCATATTCCATGCCTTGAGTGATCTTCCCGTGTTTTACAACTTTTGCGCATCACACTTCTCTATGGGTACGGTGACAGTTGTGAAGGCTATCGTCTGACTGGTATATCATGGACCAGGATCTCGAGCTGCCAGCACATAGCCCGGACCTACCCCTGCCGTCGTCTGCACCCATTCCCCTGCCACCCACGGCTGGATCCCCTTTGCTTCGGGACACCCTCTGTCTTCTGCTATTGCGAGCCATTTACTTCTACCTAGCCCGAAGATTTCTGCAGCACAGCCTGAGTACAGCTCTCAGAGACCTCTCAAAGCCTCTCCTACCCCTGCACAGTGCAACGACACCCGAATCCGCAGATAAGCGCTCGGGAGATGACAGCGACAATGAATCCTCCCCGTCTGGGTCTACGCCCGGGTCTCCAGCTATCACGAGTCTGCTGCTTCCAGAAACAAGCTCGACTGGATTTTCGACACCTACAGAAGGAGCATCGCCGACCATCGAACTCTCAGATTTGGACCGTCGCGTGTCGGAGCGCGTCCGAGCCAAGGGAGATTTACCGACCTTGAATGTGCGTCACAAAGGCGGGGCAACTGCGAAGCAGGGGACAAGGCAGCTCAGTCGGGCCGCGAGGTTGGTGAAAGAGTGATAGTACGAGCTCATGGTTAGGTTTCTGTTTTGTTACTGCTTCTCAGAGGGCTGCACAGTGCTTTCCATCGTCGCCTTCCAACTCTCAGATATATTCGACGATAGGCAAGTCTTTGCTGTCTTCCCTGCTGATATGCAGATCACGACATATCAATTTTTCCATCTCCCTTCATACAATCCTGGTCCTCGTACTCCTTGTCCTTCCCATGGTGCAGTGTGTGCTCTTGACCTATCGCTCTAGAGGTACGTGATCGCAGATCTCCGGTCGCTAAAGATAGATTCCACCTCTTTATCCACAAGTACTATCTCATTTCCTGTCCGACTTGGAGTCGCATTGCTACCCTTTGGGTTATATTGCTTCCTGTTCTCCTGCATACCGCCATACCTCACTGCCGTGGATGCCGATTCTACGGGCTGGCACTGGCTCTCCCCCTTACTTGGCCGCTTGCTGGTGCTGGGCATTGTGTCCCTGGCGGGGCTGTCGGGCTATGGCGCCGTGCGGACGGCGTGGATCTTCTACGAGCATGCTCGAGGCATCTCAGGGTGAGTTTCCGGGCAGGTATCAGTCTGACAAGAAGGGACAAGGTCACCAAAGATGACATTATCCGTACTGAGCGGTCGTTATATAAAGTCCGGCAGGACCTCGCCGAAAGGAGGAGCAGATTAGGAACCAAGACGAAGGGCTCTTGGTTTGCCAGAGATGGTGAGGCCGCACCCACGAGCTCCGCCTGATATATGCAGGTCTGTCAGGTTTGCGAGCCGAGACAGCTGGCCTCGAAGCGATGCACTCAGAAATCGTCAGGGAGCTGGAGACACTGAAGAAGCGCAAGGTAGGTTATTGTCATCATTCGCAGCTAAGGCAGCAGTCTCGCCAAGATTATGGCGCAAGCTTCCACGGTCGCGTGTATCACTTCATTGGACAGCTCTTCGCAGTATACTGCGCGTCCCGGGTCCTCATGGTTGGTGCCGCCCCGAGGTGACTATGTACCTGACCCATGACAGTGTCTTCCGTCGGTCTTCTTCGCGCCGGGAACGGCCGACAGAGACAAGGGGAATACCAACGGCGATTGGATTTCTTTCCTCTTGGCTCTCGGTGTCAGCCAGTTGCGGATCCCGAACTTCAACGTGGCCCTTTGGAGCAGAGCCATCTCGTTACTGCTAACGGGTCTCATTGTTCTGGGCAGTCTTGCTCAGATCTTGAGAAGTGTAGGAAGAGTCATTCGATTGACCAGTAAGACTGCGGCTGTTGGCTTCTTCCTACTGAGTCTAGGTCAACTATTTGTGAGTACTACGTCTTTGCTTGCAATTGACGATCAGTCGACCTATGTCATCTCCCTCCTCGTTCAAATGCGTTCATCATTACAAGAGGACACAGACTCGTTGCTGGTGTCTCTGCCTGACTTTCGTGTCTTCGGACGTTTGTTCGACCTCGTCTTTCTTTTCGCGGCTGCAGGGACGTTGGCTTACAAATACGTGGCTATGAAAGTGACAGGCGATGTATAGATGGGCTCATGCATACTTCAGCTCCGATGTGGGTGGTGCTTGGGCAGTGTTCTTCCCTGCAGTGTCCGTCTCAAAGCCTGCATTCGTATCGGAGTCTGACTCCACGACTTCGGACGCCTCATCCGCCGAGCGGGGGGGACTGACCGAATGCATCGCTCGTTTGTTCGTGACGAGTGGATGCAAATGTGCGTGACGTCCCAACTGCCGGGGGCTCTTCATGGGCATCGAGCTCCTCGGTCGACCTCCGTGCTCCGCTGAGATACGAACGGATGCGGAGGCATGTCGTCGCCTGACAGTGCCGAAAGTCGGGGTCGGAGGGGTCTCGGGACGCCGAATTCGTTGTTCGAGAGGGACGTTGCGAGTGAAAGCTCTGAAAGAAGGTACGCGCGACCTCCTTCCGTTCTCGGTCAGAGGAGCGAGCAGTTGCTGCACAACGCTGCTCCGACTTAATGCTACGAGCAGGATTGCAAATATCATCACGACGAGCTGTGCCAGGCCGCGACGCCTCTCGTAAGTTAGCTTGGATGTCAGCTAGCTACTATGCGCTGAGCACTCACTTCGTCAGTGAGTAGCCGTAACTGGGTCTGCATTAGAGTCGACGTTGCACGCTGTTGCTCCAATTGGGACAGGATCGAGCCCATACGGTCCTCCATACGCATCCGCTGGCCCTGTTCAGCGGGATTTCGCGCCCAATTCTCACCTCGACCACCTCCTCAAGATCTCTTTTATCCCTCCATTCTGCCCACTTTCGCTCTACCCGATTCATCATCATCCCACTCTGCTCTTCAATATACCTCGCGATCAGTGTCGTATTGCCCTCCAGTGCGGACAGACGTCGAACAATCAAGGCATAGATCGATTCGCCAGAACCCGCAGATGGTACGGCGGCCTCCGTCAGACTGCTGCTCGATGTTGTACTGGAATTTTCAGACGTCAAATTTGACTGAGCCAGGAGCCGTTCGAGAGATCCATCACCGGGAAGATTGACCTCTAGCTTGGGCAGCGAGGCAGCGGCGACTTCTTCAATGCGCTTTCGCTCGGTGACCACTACTGGCGTGCCTTTCTTCTGCTCCCATCGGAATGCGTCCAATTGATTCATGCCAAAGACCTTGACCTGGGAGACCGGACAATAGTATTCTGTGCCATAGTAGGATGCGAAGTCAAGGCGAAGAAAGCGATGGAATGGTGTGGGTGAGGGTAAGAAGAAAGTCTGTGATCCCCTCGCGTTTTTGGTGGTGAAGTTGCCTATCTCGACGAAGCCGAGATCGTCTCCGTCTCCATCGTCATTGCCTCCGCTGAGTCGGACATCCTTGATGATGCCGCTAAAGAACTCCCACATGGAGATTTGTACAGCTTCGACGCGGATCTCATCACATAGCTCAATGACCACCCAATGTTGGTCCGCCTTGCAAGGCGTAAGCATGTATTTGTCGCGCGATTTCGAGAGCAGCGAGGACGCATGTTGGGTTTGAGGGGAAGAAGATTGAACCCTTGCCGAGCAATCTGGAGATGCAAAGTTGTAGGACAGTATTTGAGGTCTGGGTCTTCCTTCAGGACCGGATGAAGAGCCTGGCAAGACTACTTCATGAACCTTTGCGTTGGATCTGCCAGTACCCTCATCGGGCTCGTCCGAATCGTTGGACCGAGACACGTTGAGACTGGGTACCGTGTTCTCCTTCTCGGCGAATTTGACCTTTTTCCATTCCTCAAAGCTAACGAATCCGTCGACAGTCGCCGTGTCGTCGGCTTTCAGAGAGTCGGTGATGTTCTCAGGCGCATTCAGCGGTGCTGGGCACGCGGTTTCTGTGGTCAGGTATCCCCACGGCGACGGTAAAGGGCATTGTCCAATGCCCTGATCTCTATCCTCGACGCTCGGCAGAGCTTCGGCAATGAGAGGAAGGAATTGAAGAAGACGCAGAAGCTGCTGTCGTCGCATTAGAGCTTGTGTCGGTTGTAGCGACGCTCAAGTAATGATGAGCGTAGAAAGAAAGATTCCAGGATTTCGCATAGGTCAGGGATCTCATTTTGCCCGGAGTGTGGCGAGTGGCAGCAGACCGTACTCTGACATCGGCTTGAAGGCAACGCCTAGCGAAAGCAGCGTCGCGCAATCATCGTGCCTCTGCATGAGGAGATATATACCGTCTTCAGAGGCGGAAGTGAGCTGATCCAACAGTCAGTGATGATGGGGATGGTTGCAGACGTCCTTGCATGCCAGGCATTCATCTGGCATTTCGTTAATCATCAAACAAGGCCGGAAGATTCTCGTAGACATTTCTCCACGCGCATTGCGCATCGTTGTGAGTCTTCAAGATACCCAGAGAGTTGAAGATGTGGCTCTCCTTACCTTCGTGCCCCAGGATTAGAAAATAGCGGAACGACGTAGCTCTCACTCATCGCAGACCCAGACTCCAAGGCCCGCACTTTCTAAAATGCAGGCTGTCAGTATTATGGGATGAGGGCACTATCAAAATCTCGAGCTACACAATTAGCCCCTCGTGTTTGAGAAGATGATGTGTGATACAATCACCGACGTGACCAAAAGCCCTGAGTTGCTCATGCACTGTACAATGCTCATCATGGGTGAATAGATACAGTACATTGCTCGGATGCGGGCATTAACAGCAAAATTCTACGGAATCACAAGCTGCGAGGCATCGCAGTCGCCTCGAAGGCTACGTGACGGGATACGTGCGTATTGCAGCATTTCAGCGGACAGAACTGGAGAGCCGAAGAACAAGCGATATGGTACAGCGAGACCGACTCCGGTCTTCATGTTGAGATCCTACAGAACTGCGATGCAAATTAGTCTCGCCGATAGTGTCGTACTCACTGGCGTGTACAACTTCAGACGCGACAGCAGACCCTGCCCCCCAACCAGCACCTGTAACGAATGCTGTCCCGATCTGCGCGACGGCTTAGTTGATGATCTGCGCCTGCGTTGTGTGTGTGTGAGACTCACCGTCCCACCCATCTTGCCGAATCTCCCTTTCTTATGTTCCTCCTGCTGTACCACGTACGTGGGAGGACCAGATGAAGGCTGGGCCATCATTTGATGTGGAGGAGGAGGCATCATGTGTTGTCCAGGCTTGTCATAACCATATTGTTGCATAGGTCCGGGACCTTGGTAAGGAACCATGTGAGATTGTGGTGGAGGTGGCGGCGGTGAGGAATACATATTTTGCGGAGCGCTGGCAATGAACGTCAGAATCGAGAGATTTTAAAGGATGGTAGGGGCCACGCACAGCTTCTCAATGTAATTGCTCGGGAAGAGCCCGGAGCGCTCCAAGGGATATTGCTGACCTTGCGGGATGACTCGACCTCGATACCACTGCTCGTTCACTATGGCATCTGGGTCAGCTCATAGTCCACGCTAGGAGCGCAGGATCGCCTCACCTTCCTCGTCGATGATGACAGTATCACCGCTACGGAATGTCAGGTCATCATGCGCCTAGATTTAACACCATCAGCAAGTGTCAGTCAAGGGCGTTTGACCCACAGTCCCGTTGTAATCCCAAAGAGCGCGAGCTCGCGATTCGGTTGCTCGGCCCCGAGGGGGCAGTGCCGGGGGCGGATAGGGTGACGAAGGCGTTTGGGAGAATTGCTGTGACTGGGAGGACGGCAACGGGGCTTGAGGTGAGCGATAATCATGGGGACTGGACGGTGGATTGTTAAGATTCAAGCTGCTGAAAGATCCTGGCAAGTTTGAGACCGAAGACTGGGGATGAGTCGGGCCCTGCGAATCAAGGGCTGGAAATGGTCCAGATGCGGGCGGTAACTTTTGTCGTATGAGATGGGCATCTGCAGCGCTGACAATGTTGAGCGACTCTAGTATAGCAATGGAGGACAACGTCTGATTGATCAGGTGAGATGTCAGACTGTGCCCTGGTGAATCCATATTGGACATGACGTGCAGAGCAGGTTGGGTCAATGGTTGCAAGATCAACAAATAGTGTTGAAAGTAGCGAGTGGTCTCTGAATTTTTGAAACCGTGTTTCAAAGAGGTTGATTTTAACGAGCAGAACTAGCTTGTCTGTAGACTCTGGCTACAAAAGTCCTGGCAATGATTTGCATGAGATGCCAGCCGCAGGAGCACAGGTAGCATGCACCAAACCTCACAGCACACCCGGGCAAAGAAGTCAGTTGCTTGTAGTTCTGTAGTAATGTTCCGTTGCTATACAATGCATATGAGCACGCCGTTTTTCTATGCCGAGCTTCCGCCCCCAAGACCAATCTCATCACTGCCAGAAGATGTCAGGGAAGTTTTCTGAGAGATTGCGATACACTCACGCGTAGGGTAAGACGCTGAGATCTCCTGCAGCCACATATGTCGGTAGGCCATCCAAGATTGAGTCCATTGCCTGAGCAGATGAGCTCTATCTTGCATGAGAGCACAAGCACTTACCTCAATGCAATCTTCTGTGGTTACATTCTCGATATCGTCCGCGATTTCCTGTGCGAGGGCAAAGTCGATTTGTCCCTGCACCGTCTCCATCTTCGCCCACTCGGTGAATCGGACCTTCTCCTTGGCTGCCTCGACCACCTCATCATGGAATTCGAATCCTTCCTCCAAGAGGCCTCGTAGCTGATGAGCAGCGACGGCGAGAGCTTTGTCTGTTGGCGCGGTCATGACGATGGAGATGAGTGCGGCATCTGAATAGGAGTTCAGGCGAGTCTCGATCGTGGCATCGATTTCACCGAGAATGCCGGGCTTGGATCCCCATTTGACACTGGGAGTTCCTCCAAGCACTTCGGCCAGCACCTGGAGCGTACTATCGGCCGGCCAGTCCTGGCCGAATCCAACTGCTATCGTTGGAGCGACACCGTGCGGCATTGCGATACGGGTCTCTCCTCCATGGTATTCACTCCGGTGCTTGTTGAACGGCAGGCGTCCAAACTTTCTTGAGAATGGACCAGAGCTCACGTCATTTGAAATGAACTGGATGTTGCTCATGGCAAAGGCCGTTCGGGCAAACTGTTCCACATCGGCGGCACTGACAGGATTGAGAGGGGAGGCATACAGAGAATTGCCGAGTCCACGACGGAACGCTGTATGATGCAGAGCTTCGACAGCGGTGACTGTCGAGGATGCTGCTGCAGCGGCTGATTCCGCCGCCATAGTGGGAACGACTAGTTCAGCGAACTCGTGAGGGTGAAAGTTGGTGGTGGATAGCACATTGGTCAAAATGTCGAGGAATCTCTGCCTGCACCGGTCAGAGGTGAGCTAATGTCATCCGCTCACTCGTCTCCTTTCAAGCATGAAGCTGAGAGCAAGAGGTGCTCTCGAGTCAGAGAAGCGGTGAGTTGAGCACCAAAGAGTTCCGATTCACGTGCGATCCTCAGAGCTGAGCCAAAGTCATTGGACTGAAACGGTGTCAGACCACACTGAGGCTAAAAGCAGAGCCACTGACCTTGTAGGCAAAGTTTTTGAGTGCATGAGCAACACCGGCTTTGGGCTCGTATCGCGGTCCTGCTCGAACAGCGAGTGTGAAGTTGGATACGCCAGGGGGAGATAGCTGGACAGTTGAGTATAGCCGTTTTGTCTGGGGTAGTGCGCTCGGTCTCAAGAAGCGAGACATGATGTAGGGGGGGAAAGAGGAGGGGGAAGAAGGAGGTTAGAGTAGGAAGAAAGGGGAGAAGGTGAGGTGAGGTGTCCTGAGCCTTGTGCCAATGACAAGCCCAACAGATCATGAACCTTCCTGCTACACCACGCCCAGTGCCTTCGGCGTTTTAAACCGAAATGCCGGGTGTGGCACTGATTATATCTCCGCTTCGTTTCATGAGGAGCTAGCTCATCAGCTGTTTTACCACGATCGCAGCCCATATGACATGAGTCGGGTGACCACTCGGGTCAACACACGGACTAGGAACGAGCAAGATGATGACGAAGAGGTGCCAAAATGTAGTGTGAGTCGATCTTTGTTGACTGTGAAATTATCATGTTGATGTTTGAATCCGCCTCAAGGGACATCAACGCTTGGCAAAGCAATTTGTAGCTGGGCCGACCGCTAAGAACCCAGGACGGTATGAGCCACCACATTGACCTTGGCTGACTGTTCAGATCATTTTATGCTTGTCCTCTTTCACGGAATGATCCTCAAAGATGCAAATTCTTCCAGTGGGCAGATGAGTCCGAGAAGACAACAGTCGCAACGCCTGGCGAAGGCCACAGACTTGGAGGTCGACAGCTACAGACCCCGCCACAGACACATGAGATTGATTGGTCAAAGGTTGATACCGATAAGCTCGAGAGGGAGGCGTCTGCATCCCAAAGCTCTCAACAAGCAGTGAATACCACACCCTTGAATGAACGATTATCGAGCCTCGCCAAACGGAAAACGGACGATGAGGATGTGACGCCGGTCAAGCGTATCCATCTTGATCCACAGGCATGTCTATTGAGCTCTTGATCTCGGCCGCTGATCATCCCCTCAGAGTCCATTTGTGACATCACCCATGCATCCAGCTCTCTCCCCCTCGACTCATCATCTTGAAGAAGTTTCCGAACACCTTCACCGCCAAGACAGGCTGATCAAGGCCGGTCAAGCAGCCAAAGAAGGTCTTCGTTCTCAAATCAACCGGCTGAAAGACCGGAACGCAGAGTTGGAGGCGAGGGTGAAGCAGCTTGAATCTCAGATTGAGCAGATGAGGCGAGGCTGAATGATTGACCATGTCCGGTTTTTCCGGAATACCCGGGGACGTCGTAATGCGTGACGCAAATCTTTTAGGATTAATCAGCATCACCATCATCACGTCTATTTGTGTATATATAAGAGATCTTGTACTCCATACTCTTTTCGACGCTGTTGTACATAAATCATGCAAGCACTTGTGGTCACCGCGAAGGCAAGCATTGCTGAGGATAAACGAGGCAGCCACTGACTATGGTCCTAGGGCAAACTCGAGCTCAAAGAGGTCGAAAAGCCAGTCATCTCGGATGGAGAGATCCTGGTTCAAGTGGAGTATGTCGCTTTAAACCCCACCGATTGGAAACACCGAGACAGTGTTTCTCCAGCTGGAGTCATTCTCGGATGTGACTTTTGCGGCACCATTGTCGAATCGAAATCCTCCAGACCCAAGGGTCAGCGTGTGGCAGGATGGGTTCATGGAGGCAAATTCCCAGACCAAGGATCCTTTGCTCAGTATATTAGAGTTGCCGGTGATCGAGTGTTTACAGCCACGGATCTGAAGCCAGAGTCGGCCGCTACCTTTGGTATCGGATATTTCACTGCTGCCATGGTAGGTTGACCCACGATGTTGTCCGAACTGACACACAAGGCACTCTTCAATGACCAAAAACTGCCTTATCCCCCTGCTGCTCAGGAAGGCTGGGTGAGGATATGCTCAAAAGCGGCCCGCTGATATCAAGTTCTTTGTTGGAGGTGGCTCAAGCTCGGTCGGACTTTTTGTAACGCAACTCGCCCGCATCGTGGGATACAAAGTCATTGCGACAGCGTCGCCTCACTCGTTCGACATCGTCAAAGCTCACGGGGCAAATCGCGTCGTCGACTACCATGACCCCAAATCCGCTCTGGACGAGATCAAAAAGGTGACTGACGACGGTATCGTCGCTGGCCTCGAATGCATCGGCGACCTAGATGGTGTGCAGCTCGCCGTCGACTCTTTCGGACCCAAGGGCGGACCGTTGACCCAGATCATCCCTCCCCCCAAAGAGGTCAGACCACGACCCGAGGTCCCACTGGATCACAGAATCCTTCTCTACACTGCACAGGGTTATGTGAGTGGGTATCTCGTCGTGCTACCACTGACCCGGTCAGGAATTCGAATTCATCCCTGGCCAGCCCAAAATGCCGGCTAAACCTGAAGATTTGAAGTGGTTCACCGACTTCTGCGAGCGAAGCCCTGAATTTATCGAAAAGCATGACATCAAGGGCAACCCGGTTGATCTCAGACAGGGTTTGGAGAACATCAACCAGGGTCTGGATGAGATGAAGGTCAGTCTGGAATGCGAGTTGTAGGCTGATTATCGTAGGCGGGCAAAGTATCAGGCAAGAAGCTTGTGTACAAGATTGCATAGAGCGGACCGGTCCACCAAGCCAGAAGGCAGCGCGGGCGAGAGAACAACATGGATATCAGGAAGCATACAAGGCGGAGACCCCGTCCCGACATGGCCATGAGCTACTAAATGCATAGCGATAGTGACTACTTGAATCGATCCCGTTGCGGAGGGTGAGATAGATAGTTGAAGATCCTTGACCAGAGAGCAGAAGGTTAGAACAATCCGCGGTACTGTAAACATTCCAGCTCGAAATGTTCGACCCTTTGTTGACCACCTTGCTGGTCGAGAGAAGTTGATCCGAGACTGGATAACGGTGGCCTATGTCGCGGGAAGGAACGGGAAACCAAGTACGATGATCTATCGTGCGGTCCCTGAACATGACTCCCGTCCTTGCTTGATTTCACGCATTCATGTCCCGCGACTGGAAGAACTACGGTCGTTTTTATGCCGCGCATCGTCAAAGACCAGGCAGCGGCAAACCCAACAGAGTTTTGACCAATGATGTCTTCCGTCATCTTAGAACGTGGATCGGATCAGCGGATTAGTCGTCCACGCACCTATCATCGATCGAGCTATCCACGGCAGAGCGGGGTCGAGATCATGCATGAGCAGCAGCAGCAGCCGCTGTGGTATGAACTGATCATTCTCCCGCTGCTCTCCGTCCTCGTGAACTAACTATGTGGCCACACCCCACCGAGGGACGCGTAGTGCACCGATTTTTGGTGGGATGTACAGGATGGACGGGACATTTGACACTATTTACATAATCAATCTAAATTGCTATTTTGGGCAATTCGACCCTTTAAAAGGAAAAAAAGAAAAGTAAACGCGCGGGTGTGCGTGTCGAAAGGGCTAAATGAAAAGGTGGTTTTTTGTTTGGGAATCTCTCCAAGGTGTCTCCTCTCCAATGTTCAGCTTATGATCATATCCATCCAAAAAGGCTACTACTACTGCTGCTGTTGCTGCTCCAGAGTCATTTGGATATCTTCTTCGTACCGGTCAATCGACAACATCGTTTGGTGAAAAGGAGGTAGCTACTTGGTCCTCCTCTCTGGCTCTCTCTCTCACTCACTCACCCCCTATCTCCATCTCCGTCACACAATGTCTCTCCCATTTCTCGAGCTCCCACCTCTTTGCTCAACACCGGCGCGACCGATATCCCATTCATCGATGATCAATTCGTCTACAATCAACAGAACCGCGACAGGCCAGCCATCTCTTCTTCCATTACAACCCCTCCTAAACAGTAATGATGCCAACTCTGGCAGATATACCCTGGCACCCCTCGTTTCTAATCACGCCTCGGCTAACACGGGCTCTTCCCACCATTATGGCAAAGTTCCCGTGACACCTGGAGGGCAAATGATCACGTTACCATTCACTCCTTCTCCAACCTGTAATATAGCCCGCAATGCCAACAGCACTTTTACACGTACAACATCTTGCTTCTCCATTGGATCTAACACCTCCAACAACTCTACAATGGCTACCCCGCCGTCAGACGACTCGGCAGACGATCTACCCGTGTCGCCAGAGCAGTCCATCAGATTGGCTGGCCTCAAGCCCCCAGCGAGATACCCTGGCGCCCTCCCAGAGTCTTTCTCGCGTCAAGATCCCGTCCCAGGCGACGAATCTGATAATGAGGACGACGAGTCCAAGAAGCAAAAAGGAGCTCCCAGTCAGAATCCCTGGGACTACATGCGACCTTTGAAAAAGAAGGAGAGGCGACGATTCACTCGACGGGAACTCGAGGCGATCGAGACGCTGTGGTGGGTGGAGAAGGCACCAAACAAGTATCAGAGGCAGAGAATTGGTGCTTGGCTCGGCGTGTAAGTGTTGATCGCGTCTTTTGTTTTGTTGCTGGCGCTGATAGGACGAACAGTAAGACTAAGCACATTACCGTTTGGGTGAGTGGCGGCGAAGACTTCATTGGTCTCATCGTGCGGGACTGACACGTCCCCCAGTTTCAGAACAAGCGTCAAGAGAGCAAAAAGCATGCTAAGGAACAGCAAGAGACGCTGGACAAGTCGGTCAAGCAGGACCTGGAAGACACCAAGACCGAGACCCATCGAGCCGACAAGGAAAACATTGCTCCGACTCCCTCGCGATCGGTCAAGGACAATGTTCCCACGCCTTCATCACGAACCGGACGCGGCTCGTATGACCCGGGTACCGGTAAATGGCGACCGGTCCCCGCTTATCTCATTTCCAGCGCTCAACCTCCAGCTCAGGCCAAGTGCAACGCGATTCTCGCGATTGCCAACGGGGAATTGAGTCGAGAAGAGTTCCTCACCACCACTTCGGCCCCTACTCTCGCATTACCTCGATTGGCGCGAACTCGACCCGTCCTAGGACGAAGCACCAGTGGTTCGCTCGAGCAGATTTTGACCGAACGCGAGAGCACACGACCTCGTGGACCGCGTCGTAGCAACTTGGAGGAAATGGTCATTGAAGATGGTAAAGAGTGCATGCGACGCATGCTGCTCCTCATGTCAAGCTCTCCATCCTCGTCGGACGTGGCAGAAGACGACGAGAGTCTTTCGCCTCAGACTGGCACTAGTCGACGAAGCTCTGGCGGCGGTTCGCCCATTCCCAAGCGACGATGTATCGCTCCAATCTCGGTCCGTCCTCGAGACTCGTTTGACCGATCACAGACCGACGAAGTCCGCAACGGTCCTCCCACATCGAGCCCACCTTCGCTATCCCCTCCCACTCCACAGTATCTACTGCGACCCCCAGCGACATTTGCTTCGATGATGTCGTTCGATCAGAATGGACGCAACGGTCAGAGCTCGTTCGGGTCATCCAACAGGCACCCCACCGTCGATCAAGGCAGCCGAGTCTTTTCAGCCGATCAGTCAGGCACTGGTCATCAGCGGATCTCGCGATCTGACAGTGAGACCAGTCTCCCTCAGACCGCTGCGCCCGCCTATGAGGACACGGACGCCGATGTTCTCGAAGCCGCTCACTCCCTCTTCGCCATGGCCGAATGCAGTGTGACTGTCGGATCGTCGAGCAATACGCAACAGAGGCTGAGACGCTAGCAAATTACTTCTACCCAAAGTGTGGACGACACCCGGCTCGATGGCTTGTGATCATTTTTGGATTCTTTTCGTGTATCTCTGCTTCTTCACCTTTCGCCGACAGATATTATAAAAAACCATTCTGACACCTCGCATGCGATAGATTCACACTCCTTCATACGACCTTTCTCTTCTCGATGGACAATCCTTTCCACCTAGATCTACCTGTAGAAAAGCAAAAGACACAATAGTCATTTCATGTACATATCACCAATTCATAAAGCTCAAATGTGACAATGCAACAACGAAACTTGATTGTGAATGACCAGTGTTCTGCATGACTGAGTACAATCGAAATTACCGACTTTCCTGTTTTTTGTTTCTCATCTGTTGCTACATCGTTCTATCATCGTCACTGAAGCTTTGACGAACACCGCGATCGTATCATTCAAAAATCATTTCATAAGCGCATTGGAGTCGAGGGAGGGATGCAAAATGCGAATTATTGATAGTATGGGCTGGGCATGCCCGGCGCGACGAGACCGAATCCAGGGGTGAGTTGATGTTTAGGTGCGGCAGAATATTGCTCCGGCATGGCCGTCATGCGAAGGTTGGAGCCGAGACTTTCGCTCGCTTTTCGCTTCTTGCCCTTATTGCCTGATTTCCCGCGAGCCCGCAAGGCTGAAATATCTTCCTTGAGCCGCCGGTTGAGCAAACGTAGTTGGTGCAGTTCATATTGCCATGATGTCCCGCGAGTCGTTTCCAATTCTTCAAACACATTAGCGGTTGGTGGATGGACAATCGGACGTGATTGTCGAGTCGGTAAGAGTTTGATCTGAACCACCAAGGATGATGGTCTAATTCCGCTGACGGAGGACGACGTGGAGCTGGGTCGAGAGCTGGACGATACGGATGAATCAGAATCAGATCGGCTGGTATCTTCGACAGGAGGCCGGGTGGAGTAACAGACCATCTGAACATCCGCCACAGCACCTGACGCTAGGAGCATCTTGGCGTTAACAGTGATCGCGCCCGACATTGCTTCGCCTCGTGATGTTTGTTGCAAAGCTTGGACAAGGGACAGCATGGAGGGAGGAGCAACGGAAGGTTGGACACCGCCGGACAGGAGCGAGAAGATACTTTTACCGACTATCTCATCCGCTTGATATCCTAAAACGTCGACGACAGACGACGTCGAGTGAAGGACGAGACCATCAAACGCGATTCGCGTCCAAAACTCCTTGTCGGCTAATCCGCCATGACGAGCCACGGCCTCCCAGGGGAGCGTTGGCACACTCCTAGCCCGACCGGACAAGATCACAGCCTTTCGACCTTTACCTGGCTCGACGTGCAAACGACCGGTACATTCGATCCAGACGTAGCCTGATGATTTGCGTCTGATGCGGAAGACGAGGTTGACGGTTCGGGCCGAGTTACCATCAACGGGGGCATGAGTAGAGTCTTTGAGTTCTCTCATGAGTGGCACGATATCTGAGGGATGACAGACATCCGACATGTTCTTGTTGATCAGATCTTCTGGCTCATACTCGAGCACGCGCCGAACGGAAGGCGAAACATACTGGAACATGCCTTTGAGCGATAGCACGTGGACAAAGTCTGCGAGAGGTCAGGAGAGAATCAGCCGCGTCACATACCATCCGCGTTCTCCAGTATCATCTTGAGCCACTCCATTTTTCCACCCTCCTCACCGGTAGCAAAACCGGGCATATTGATTTTGGCACCCATGATGTCGATAATGTCTGCGCTGAGACCGACGCCGCCAAGGTCCCTTGTGGGAGGTCGGAGAGGGGCTTGAGGGATATTGGTGACGGTGTAGTTGACTTGATAACTGCCGTCTCGCATATTGCGTAAGATAGCGTTTGGTTGTTCGACTAGATCGACCTGGAAGCCGACATGGTATACGATCTCTGTTCCCTCCCAAGGAATCGGAATTACGGTGACCAAATTGATGAAAGGCATTCCTCCCCGTCGATAGTTTATGAGGGACGCTTGGCATTCTTTGCCAGCGTTGAGCATTCGCTTAAAATGAGCAACGGCCACGTTATCGGTGTATTTCCTCTTGGAGCCTTTGACAACCTCGCCCTCTGGGCTCTGAAGGAACCGGCAGTTTCGGCCCACTATTTGTGCCTGATCGTAACCCGTCAAGGCTGAAAAGGTAGGACTGGCGTAGACGATCGGCGAGTCATACCTGCGGATGTCCTGCGAGAGGTCAGCGATGAATGATGAGAGACACAATCTGGCTTACAACGACAACAAAGCTGCAACTGAAGTCGACTGGACCGAGTTGTGTCTTTGGATCCTTGCGGTTCGCGACACGCGCCAGGATACCGACCATGTCAAAGCCAGTGGTGGAGTATAGTCCAGGTCCATCAGTGAGGGATGTGCCGACGAGATTGGGTGGGAGTGTCGGTCCTTGCAACAGGGACTGGGTGTTTTGAGGCGGCGCATATGGTTGAGTGGAAGAGGAAGCAATATTTGACCCAGTAGAGAGCGACTGAGAGTTGACATCGGCAGTTAAGCTTGGCATGGTGAGGGATGTTGAAGCAGCTTGAGCAGGATTCTGTTGATTGAAAAGTGCAGAGGTAGGCATAGTCCCGGTGGATGAGGAGAGAGGAGAGGTCGCTGAAGGGCCAGACACAGCTGCAGGCTTGGCGGTCTGTGACCTGTTCTGGTGTACTGCAGCTCCATTGACGGTGATGGGGGGCACATTCTGCCTGCGACTGATATCCTGGGATCTGAAATCTTGCTTTGGAGCCAGAATACTTGGACTCGGATTCGGATTGACGTAGAATGTTGTGCCAAAGTTGTTGTTATTTGGTGGTGAATCCTTGTCGTCTCCCCAAGTCTCCCATCCCCCTTCGTTCATGAATCCGCTCAGCCCCTCCAGTACGTTTCTGCCTGTCCCTCCGCCATCATTGTAACCATCTTGGTTACTGAAATTTGAGGATCCGAAAAGAGTGCCTGGGGTCAACTGGTGACTGCCTGATGTATCGAATAGATTGCCGGGGGAGAAGCCTGACCATGCCTCGCCTCCTGGTGGAAACGTTGGCGCACCACCAAACGAGTTGGAGAGAAAAGGCGGGACTTGAAAGCGGATATCGCGAGAGAAGGCTGAAGGATCGAGGCTCAGACCATTCGATGGATCGTTTGTTGCCGGTTGACTTGTGGAGGTGACGGGAGACTTGCCTTTGCCTGTCACACTACTTGACGGTCGATTGGTTTCGTCTGAACCGGCGAACTGCTGTTGTGATTGGTTTAAAGATGAAGAGCCTCCCGGTTGGTTCTGAGGGGTGTTGGAGCGGAATTGAGGGTGGGCAAAGTTGATGGACGTTGGGGAGGGTCGAGTCATGGCGATGCCTTGAGCGAATGTCTGAAAATTATCCCCTGGACTTCCAGCACCCTGTCTCACGACGTCTGCACCATCCATGCTCCTATCCCTGGATCTGCTGGATGAAGACTGTTGGGCGAAATGGCCTGGGGATTGTTGAAAGCTCATATAGTTTGACCAGTCTATGGGTGTGGTTGCTGGATTATTGGAGCTCTGAGTGGAAGACGAGGATGGGGGCGCTTGGCCAGAATTTTGACCAGTAGAATCATTTGCATTCCCTGTTGGAGCTCTAGGAGCCTGGTAGGACATGCTAGGGGGTTGAGCTTCGGTTGCCTCGATGCGTCGAAGAGGGAGGATAGGTCCTTGGAGGAGCGAGTGTAATTATTTTCCCTCCCCTCCACTTTTGACTGAGAATTGAGACAGAAGTGAGACTGTGTTGCGTATGTGAATTGAAGGAGAAGTGGTGTGGACCGGCTGTCAAGTCACTTGTTGACGGGTCCTTGTTGTCTCTTTGAAGTGATGTTACACTCAGATAGTGGAATGAAACGGTTGAATAATATCAAGGATGAAGAGAAGACACACAGAGAGAGAGAGACAGGCAGCCGAGAAAGGTTTGGACTGAATGACCAAAACGGTAGTACGGATTCCCGCAAAAATGCTCTCTCTCTTCACTCTCTCTAACCAGATTCTTCGGGTAAGCTGAGCGAGCTTTTCGTCTTTCAATACTAGTCAGATTCTGCATCAAAATGTCTCGCCATGTGAGGGGGAGGGGGGACTGCATTCAACGTCATGATACATGCATGCATTCGCTGCGGTCTCGTGAAACCTCGTCAAAAGGTCGTTCATCCGCTCGTACTCTCTACATGTGCGCCTCACTCACTCACTCGCTCACTCACCCGCTGGCACATTGATTAGGATCTTCTTCTAACCTCCTAATCGATATGCCACATCAGACCTAATGGGGAAGAGCTCAAAATCCTAATCGTCTAATATTTCCCCCCTCCCGCCCCCATGTCGATCGTGATGACACGCTGATGACCAGAAAGCGGCGCAGGCCGACCATCGAAGCGCCCATTGAAATCATGATTTCTCAGCTACACTACTGCCTAATAACAACGCCTTCAACTCGTCAAATCTCGCTCGACGCTTGTCCTGTGGGTTGGACCCTCCAGATCCCTTGCTGGTCTTCTCAAATGCCTGCCAAGGGGAGTCAATCAGCATGTGGACAAGGACGGGATGCCCTCCCCCCATTCACCTTTGCCACCAACGCATCCTTGTGCTTTTCTGACGTCACATTCAGCAGGGCGTCAGGGTCCTCATGTTCGGCAATGAAACTTTGTTTTTCAAGAACGACTCACGAATTTCCAACACCCTAGACTCGATTGTATCTTCTGCAATGAGCTGAAAGACTCGCACCGGCTTCTTCTGACCCATCTGCTCAATGGCTTCAGACAAAAAGAATGAAATGGCGTATGCACTTACACGGTGCACCCTGTCGATGGCCTGAGGCGTAAGGGCGTCAGCATGGCTTAAACCTCAAACCCCGAGGCAACGAACCTGCGCCTCGATCGCAGATTGCCACCAAGGGTCGCACTGCAGAATTCAGCGCCCGGATTTCACGACGGATTAATTACGCGTACCAGGAAAACATTGGATGCTGTCGTGAGATTGAGACCGACGGCTCCAGACTTGAGAGAAATGAGCATCACCCGGGGATTGGTCGCCACGTTTTTCTCCGTCACCGGATTCTGAAAGGTTTGAATGACTTCTTCCCTCTAATACGAGATGAGCATGCGTCGCACTATGCACACCTACCTTTCTGCCCGGCATGGATCCGTCAAATCGGCAGAACAAGATGCCTCTCTGCTTCAGCGTTGCAGCAACGTGATCCAGAAAGCTTGTAAATTGAGAAAAGACAAGTGTCTTATCACCCATGTCGAATAATTCGAGGTATTTGACCAGCTCTGTGATTTTGGCAGACTTGACAGCGCTAGCGTTGTCGTCCGGTTCGACAAAGTCTGAGGTTTCGGCGGGCAAAGATAGCAATGATGCACTTGTGATGGCATGACGACACTGCGGGCAATTCAGGTCGCGATTGAGCCACTCGTCGATGCAGGGGTGGCAGTCTGGTCAGTCAGTAAGGCTGTGGAAGAGTAACCCACAAGAATGACCACAGTCGGTGATGGTCGGTTGACGCAATGGGGCGAGGAAGCAGATCTGATCGAGTGAGCGCCACATAGCGATCGTTACCCACAGAGCAATCCTCTTCGTCTGCGACATATCTTCGAAGCTTCTCAACAAGCCCCTCACGCTGCTCATCCGACATGCTGGAGATAGCCATCGTTTCTCCGGCCGGCTCAGTTGGCTTGCGCCGCAACTCGTCGAAAAAGGACTGCGGAACCAGTTCCTGACAAAGACAGAGCTGGCGCACTTCCCATGAGCATTGCAATGCGTCTTAGTTACTCACTGCGGGTCAAAAGCGACAGGATATTCGCGGTGCCTCCTTGTCCACCACTGAGTGCTTCTTGGAAACGTCTCTGACTGGTTACCAGCACTTCATCGTACAGCAGTCGCGTATCCTCGTCGAGCTGTACTGGGACTTGGAAGAATTCTATCGGTGGCAGCTGGACGATCGGTTCACCAGCAGCATTCTTGGTATCCTTGGTTCGACGAATGAGGATTTGTCCTACGAGGGCTTGGAGTAGTTTGCCCGCCGCTGGATCGCCATTGCGCAGAGGACGAAGCAGGAGTGCCTTGAAGTAGTCTGTTTTGTCCAATGGTGCACACAAGCGTAGACATGTGAGTAAGGAGCCGAGATCGGAGGGCGAATTGACAATAGGTGTTCCTTGGCGGCGTGAGTTGATTTCGCCTTGGCTTGCTCACCTGTGCAGATCCACCTGCGCTCAGCCGCCAGTGCTGCGAAAGCTTTGGTCACTGGTAGATCAGCTCAGTCCTCACACTCGACTTGCTCTTTGCTCGAGGATTCTTCAAGACGTGACCCTCGTCGGCCACGATCCGCTTCCATGGACCGGCGAATAGAGCCCCGTTGGAAAGCTTGGCCTTCTTCGTCTGGCTGGAGGCTATGCCACCGGACACCTCAGCTGGGGCTTCGCTCGCCACCGTCTGATACGTCGTGATGACGACCTGAATATTAGCTCGCATTTGAAGCGGATCTCACATCATAGGAGTGTAAGGTCGCATTTGTGACCTCTCGATTGGCTCCGTGATATGTGTACGAGGAGAGCTTGCCCAGACTGACGTGGTCTCTGATTTGCTTTTCCCAATTGCTGACGACGGACAGTGGGCAAACTAGTATTCAGCTGAGAGCGCTGACCACAACATACCTATCAGGGTGGCTTTTGACGGCTCTTTGGTGGCACTCTTCGTCGCCAGAATCAAGGAGAGAACCGTCAGGGTTTTACCTGAGATCAGCGAGTCTCCACGAGCTGCACTTACCGAGACCCATGCCATCAGCTACAATCCCGCCTCTGCCAAGCAGGGGAGTCTCTTTCTGTGGCGATCGTGTGGCGGCGTTGAGCCAATACGTCGACTTGGTGGCCTTGTCCTCTTGCCTTGTCCAGAATTGAACCGGAGGCTCGCCAACTTTGGAGGGTAGGACGGGATGCTCGTGTGATACCATCCACTGGCAGTCAGCGCAGGACCAAGGTCTGACTCTACCTGAAGGGCTTGACACTGGTGAGGCAAGAGGTCAGTCTTAAGGGTCCCATCTTGAATTCCAGGGGGAGATGGATGGAGGGGGAGTTTGGATACATCGATGTCAGATGTCAACGAGTCCTGCGACCTTTTCAGCGCTATAAGTGCCATGCAGCTCTTACCATGATACTGTCGGCGTGCTTCTCATCCTCTCCGATCTTTTTGAGACCGTCCAGCAACCTTCTCATCTCTTCGTCCACGGGAGCCGTGGGCAGACCAGTGCCACTGCCAGCTGAGCCATGGACTTCGGCGCCTGTCCCCAGTACATGACCCTTGCCTTTCCCTTTGCTTGGAGTCGGAGGGCTTGGGGCAGGTTTGACAGCCCATGAGAGCTCTTGCATGACCGTCTCTTTGTGTCGGGGACTTCCATAAATTGATACGTCGATGGCCAATTTGAAATGCTTCGCTCCGTCGAGATTCTGGCCAACCATGCGACCTTCCACGCTAATGACTTTACCGTCCATGAGGAACGCCAGCTTTGCGGCGACTGCGCGAGGTATATGCCCGACCTGGATACCAGAGGTGTTTACGACCTCGACTATAAGCCCAGAGCCTGCGATCCGACTCACCTGTACAGCACTGGAATCATATTGGTTCTCTGGCTGGCGGCGTAGCGAGACATATTCAAATTTGCCGACGAGGCCTCTATAGTATTGAACCCCGACGACATCTGATCGAAAGGTCACATAGTGCTGGGAGCGTCAGAGAGATATCTGACGGGACTGCTCACTTCGTCAGGCTCGGGTGTTTCCTCCTTCACTTCGCGGTTAATCCTCTCATCCCCCTCTTGGTCGTCAGACCGCACCCGCTTAGCGGAACCTGCACCTTGGCCGACAGAGGGTGCCAGGCCTGCGTCCTTTGACGACTCTCCTAGACCCATCGTGGTCCGTCTCGTATTGAGATAGAAGGATGCTTTCAACATCTTCATCACACCTTGGGTGGACCTTGAATATGTGGGGCTCCGGTGATCGGATTGCCACCTGGATTCCCGAAAAGGTTCTGCAAGATTCACATTCGTCTCTCTCGTTCTTCTATCCCACTATGCCGAGGTCACAGTCTCCAACAAGACGCCCACGCGACCGCTCTCCCTCGCCTCGTAGGGACCGGGAGCGGGACAGACCCCGAGACCGCGATAGGAATCGCGAATCTGACCGCTCGAGACCTCGATCCAGGTCAAGGTCTCGTTCACCTCCGCCTAAACATGCTCCCCGACGACCGAAGGAGCTTTCCTTCTATAAGAAGGGCTCTTCGTCCATGGGATCTTTGTCTTCTCGTAGAGATCCGCTAGAGGCTATGCCTGAGGAGACGGCCCGAGAACGTATGGAGAGGAGAGAAAGGGGTGAAGTGCCTGCAAGGTTCGGAGGAACGAGAGAGCATGGAGTGAGAAACACAATGTCCACCATTGCTCCTGGCGGAACGGCTCCCAGTGGAATGGGAAGCTTTAGGCGAACTGCAGATCCTCTGGACCGGATGCCTATAAGGGGCTCGGGCGATGGTCCTTCGGAGGAACGTGCGGAGAGCTCGTCTCGCGGTGACAGGGATAGGTCCGAAAGAATGGCTGCAATGGAAAAGAAGGGTCCTGTCCAAGTCACATCGTATGTCAAGCTCGTGTTCGACGCTGATTATTGTAGTACCGCTAGCTCACGTATGATAGAAGTGATTGCCAACGACAGGATGGGCAGAAAAGGTGAGTCTGACGTATCGACCATGTTGACATGTCTTAGTCCGCGTCAAATGCCTGCCCACCGACACAGTTGGCGACTTGAAGAAGCTCATCGCGGCGCAGACTGGTACGACAGCGCAAAAGATTCAGCTGAAGAAATGGCAAGTGCATCCAGCGCGATGGAGACTAACGCGTCGCAGGTACACATCATTCAAGGATCACGTCTCGCTGAGAGACTACGAAATCAACGACGGAATGGTGAGACGCCTGGAAACCCCGCTCGAGCTCTACTGACAAGAGGCAGAGTCTCGAAATGTACTAGGTGCATCATGTGTCGTGATCTCCAAACAGCTCTTCGTACACTGGCCCTACGAGCTCTATCAGATCGTGCGTGACCATTGCCCTCTTTTTGGTCTCCCATCCTCGTTTCGACAACGCTCTGTTGAAGGTAGATGCACCATACGCAGCCAGTAAGGGGATATTCTCTGCCAGAGCTTTGCTGGCGGGCGGCGGCATGCCGACAGGTCTGGATATGAGCAAGTTACCCACAGTTTCCACTCACTCATAGGTCCCACGGACCCATTCACTGCCCCAAGCCATCAGTACACCAGTGCTACCGCTGAGAATGTCCCCTTGCCCTCCTACGCGCTTGAGCCCTCCCTCAGAGCTCTCCTCCAGATATTCGGCTTCCTTCTTATTCACGAAAAAATCTGACGGAATGGTCAGGCCATTCGAGATGATATCCGTTGGCCCTTTTTGAATGATGGTGAGGTTTTGAAGCGCTCGTGCGAGTTTTGGGCAGAGCGTAGTTGCAGGACCGGACTCGTCAATGTTCTACGAGATTTGAGCACAGGCGACATTGACCATACTTGCCATCTTCTGACATAGACGCTTGAACTCCATGACATTTGGCGTGAGGACTATGCGGGGAACACCTGGCCAGTCCATGACCACCGATGGGTCATTCTAATATCAGTCTTGCCCTTCTGACTGCTCACCTGTACCAGCCATAGACCATCTGCATCCACAACAACACTCATCTGATCATTCTCTCTGGCTAGTTCGAAAGCTATCCTCGCGCATGACTGCATGTGGTCATCCCGTCCCAGTCCAGGTCCAATGATGAGGACGTGCTATCTGTCAGCTCCTGAAATATTGCACAATGGCTCACCAGCCGGGACAGAATTCCTTCGAGGTCTTTTCTGATCTCCGCTTGCGACCGCTTGGCATCGAGTATGTTGTGGACTATGAGATCGGGGGAGCTCTACATCAGCCTATTCGCCGCCTTGAACCCACTAAGTCTTGATGACTGCGCCGGCCGTAGGTTCACAAATGACATGGGCGAGATCACAGCCGAACCTCATGGCACCCATACTTGAAAAGAAGGGAGCTCCAGAATAGCTTTACGCTGTCAGTTTGCCTCCTTCCGCATTCCTCAGACCTACTCGCCAGAACCTCCAAGCACTCCGACCCGCCCTGGAGCATTCAGCGGCGGCTCGTCAGGCTTTGACCTACCTGCCTGCCCCTTGTGCAGCTTACCGGATACTGGTGGGATCATTTTGCCCACCAGTGACATGAGATGTGCATGCTGCTTGGTCACCATAGTGGGTGCAGCGGTTGTTGAGCGCATGATTAGTGGATGAGTGGACCAGGATTGAAGGGGGCCCCTTGGGTTTCTGGTGTCGGACATCACCGCCAAGGCGTCTGCAGCGTGCGATACGTGTGGCGGCAATCCTCATGTTGAGATCTCCCATGGTTGAGCTGAGTGGCCATTGCAGCATTGGTTAAGGAGCTTCAACCTTTCGATACCCGAAGACCGTCCTCTTCTAACAGCAAAGGAGCACCCGCGAATCGCCCAGAACGGGTGTGGGATAGCTGTAATCCAATTTGAATCACTCATGTCCGCGGAAATTGGGATGGTTCTTGCAATTGATCGTACGTGGCCGACATCGACGTCGCTGAATGCGTTATGGAACCAGGTCTTTGTTGTGATCCGATGAATGGTGCCTGGTCCGCATTGAGTCATTGCCGTACGGCAATGCCTCAGGGGCTCGCCGAATCTTGCCGTGTCCACCGTGCCATTCGCGAGAGCCCACTGCGTCCCCAAAATCCCCTATAGGACCTTCACTCGCCCACTTGCTGATGAGCAGAGTCGTACTTCGCAAGCGCCATTCCCTTAAAGCAGGTAGATCGCTGATGAGACACGAACAGCGCTGCTTCGTCCCAAGACTAATGAGCAAGCGGGGAGGGACTGAGAATCAAATCCCCTCACACGCGATGGGCAGTGTATCGATGATTGGCTTTAGTGATTTCGCACATCCACATCTCGCAAGTCTGCACCTTTCAGGTGTTTTACGTCTCGCACCAGGCAAAGCGGTTCAGGTGAGTCGGGCACTCCAATCTGACACGAGGGATCCGTAAACCGTCCCCTTACTAAGTTCAACTACGGGGAGTTTCACATCAATCTACTGTGACGGACCGCGGCAGCTTGCAAACCTACATCACTACTTACTGTAATTTGTAAGGTATCGCGAACGTTCTGAGCGACACGCGCATAGATGCTAAGAACCTGATTTAGAAGTACAAGAGAAAAGGGATTTTGTTGTGAAGACCGGCGTGTCATTGGGCATCATGGGATGCTTGCTTCTTATCTCTACGAGGCTCTCAGATTGGGAAGGAGGGTATGACTCTGAATACTGGAAGTATACACACTGACAATTCAACATTTCGACCGACATACAGATCTAGTCTCGGTTCGCCAATCAACCCACGCTTTTCATTTGGGACAAGGCCAAGAAGCTAGTCTAGCGGAAATGGAACACGGGTTCGGAACAAAAGCGCTGATCCACCCAAAAAAGGAGAAGGAAAAAAAAGGTCGTAGGGCTATGGAGATTGAAAAAAATGTTCGCGCGCCGGGGATCGAACCCGGATCTTATCGGGGCAACTCAGCATCATTGATTACGTAAGTGAGAACGATATATACTAGCCATTATACTACGCACGATTCTCATTTTTTGAATGGAGGTCTGTCCTTAGGATAATTATAAAGACCGCTGAAGATGTGGCGTGCTGATGGGAGATTCGGATCTAGGGCATCTGTTCGCGTATGACATTTGATGTGAGCTTTCGCTTCCATCGGTCTCGTTTTGAGCATGCCTCTGAAGCCTTCACGCGCTACGGACAAGTCGAGATCTTCCCCAAGTTGCGGCGAATGGTTGCATAAGCGGGGCATGACTTTTGAGCCCGGTTGGTCTGGTGGCCTGTCGGCTCACGCAAGCCGTACCTGAATATAACAGCCCGCTATCAAGACAGTCTTTGCTCCGTCAACATGCGGTCTTGTCGTCTTTGAGCTACAACAAAATGAATCTGGATTTAAGAATGGACCATTCAAGCACAACCCTGTGGCCGGCTGGGCCGCGTCCGCACACTTGAACTTTGAGATGCAGTGAACTAGTATTCTTTGGCCCAAAGCAAAGGGCATCCGAGCAGAGACACGCATCAATCTCACCTATGTCACAGCGACAGAGGGCCTCTGAGAACCCTTCTCAGCATTGTCACAAAGTCGCCGCTGAGTTCTTGTCAGGAACGGTCGGCGGCGATCTCCGCTGGCCGAGCCGTTACCCGAGTATAAGAGTAGGACTCATGGAGATAAAGCTTTCTTCTTTATCAATATGTATATCCGTTGTCTATGAGCTACCCAGCCTGACATCCCTATTCAGAGAGTTACTATTCAAGTAGGACCCTCGAGCCGATAGGTCTGTTCTTGACATGAACCTGTCTCCTACTAGGGCAGAGCCAACAATGGCGAAGGCCGTCCTTCGTTTGTTCAAGAAAGGCGCAGGGTCCATGGACCCATCTGTAGCGTATATCAACGCTCCGTTCCTGGCCAAATCCTTCTGAGCCTTTTTAACGATCCGACCAATGACCTGCTCTGGGGGATCCTTGGGTTCAAATTTCTGAAGGACGACCTCAGATCGGTCTGCTCTGTCATTATGGAACGCTAGCCCTCCCCTCCTGGATGGATTATCCTTTGGTCCGGCTTCACGGCTCAAGTGCCGAGCTGGGATAATCTCCATCTCTAAGTCGCGCATGTAACGGGTAGCCACCTCCCATGTAAGCAAGTTAGATTTGGGAATCGGGTTGGTGCGCGTCATTTGAGGCGTCGTCTGGAGTGGTCCAAAAGGAGGAAAGCACCGACTGGATTTATTCTTGTTGCATTGCAGGGTTGCGAGAATGATCTCGGATGCTGACGCCGTTGTCGCATTGTTGGAGTTCAGTGCCCGGTGGAGCATCGACACACTCCAAGTCGCATTCATACGTTCAACATTGGGGAAGTCTAGGCCGCCGTCCTGAAGTCTCCCGAACAGAACATTATGATTGAACCTGAACGACATCCTATAATACTCAGAGATGAGTATCTTGATGGAGATGTGTATCGCTTTCACAGCATTTGGTGCGATCGGGCTGTATTGCAGGCGCGCTCGGATCCGTGCGGCGAGTGACACATGCGCAATCTTCCTGATCGCGGTGATGGGGAGGTCTTTGCCAGGCTTTGGGAACGTAAAGTTGTCAACAATCCTCTGAACTGCTTTTGCTTGTGCAGCCGGATCATTGATCGGGGTCTGCAGGATATCCCCACTGTCTACTGGGAGTAAGGTCTTTACCACGCCTGTCGGCAGGGGAATGGAAACCGGCTGCATGATGTCACCCGGCTTCCGCTTCCCCAGCATGAAAAGTACACTCTTCTTAGGATTGTCCCAATCTGTCTCCATTCCATACCTGCCCTGAAACTCTTCCATGGAGTACGTGAGCCTCTTCAGCTGGTCCCGGTCTCGAGCCAGGATGATAGTGTCGTCCGTCGCGGCTATCATGGGGATCGTCACCGTGATTTCATCCCCATGCTGATGCGCTTGGGGTTTTCCTCCTGCGATTGTCCATATTGTGGAGCGATGACTCGATCAACATGCCATCCCCGTGATTTTTGTCTATAGCCCACCAAAGGGCCATCGCTGTGACTAGGACGTACTTGATAGGACTGAACGGGTCGCCTTGTTTGGTCAACCCATCGGTAATTATAGGGTCGGACACAAGCGTCCGAACTTTGACTCGCAAAGATACTTGACTGGTCCTGGCTTTGTCAAACACGTTGATAGTGTCCGGCAGTCCGAAGAACTTCACCGCATCATCCCACCCTGATTGATGGATAAAGTCGAACCCTTTCTTCTGGTCCCGCTTCAAGGCAAACCACGTCTTATCGACCAGGTTTGCATAGCCGTCGAGGGCATGCAGGAGATGTGTTAGGTCCCCCACCTGTGCCCCAGCGCGACCTGCGATTTGGGTGTCCGGGATCATGCCCATGGCGTTGGCGTAATCTTGAACTGTGCGGGTGAATACCGACGCAACCAAGATCTGGAGCGTGTTTGCAAGCACTATACCTCCATAATTGTTGGTTTCCAGCATAACCTCCCTCTTATACATCGAGCATATGTAGTTCTCCTTGAGAATTGGCGGGAAATAGTTGTGCTGAACGATGTATCTCACTAGCTTTGCCATCAAGGTCAGCCACTCAGTGCCGCTTTGTCTGAGCGCCCACTTCTCCCAGTTGTCCGGCCCCGGCGCTGGTTTGACTGAGCCTCTGTCCAGAGTCAGTCGGATATCATCTGCCGTGATCTTGGGAGGCCATTGGAGGGGTCGAGTCTGAGCCTGACGATTGAACTCCCGAGAGACTCTGCTATCCATCCAAGGCTTGGACCCCCGGGTAGGGTGTTCCCTTCGAAACGTTCCCTCGAAGTGCGATCTGAACTCATGAATGTACTCAATCGGAGTCTGGGTGTACCCCCCATCCTTGATTCGTAAGATTGAGGGCATCCTGATTGCCTGGTTAGGCATGAGACGCTTGACCGAGCCAGTGTATATAACGCTTCGGACTTTAGCGGTGAATCTTCGTTTGATCCTTCTGGACAGACGATCGGCTTGGCTCTGTGCCAGTGCTGTCGATCTTTCGGCAGCTTTGCGTTGGATAAAATTGATCATCAGACATGTATCCTGATGTGCCAGCTTATCCAACAGTAGCCTGCCCTTCCTTTTCAGATGTGCCATCATGTGCTTGAATCCTCCTCGTCTGAGCAGACCAATCGCTTTGTTGTATGCGTTGATCTCCTCCTTGAGCCTCTGCTCTCTAACGGGGAGTTGTATCTTGTCCGGTGTGGGCGGCCGTTTTGGCCTGTGAAATGCTTCTTCGCACGCTGCCCTGAAGGCTACATCCGCGGCTTTGTAGACCAGGTCGAAGTCCGAATCTGTGATGATATCCCTAGATAGATCAGGCTCATCCTTGAGATACGCCTGTAGGATCCGTCTGAATTCATCAAAGCGTTCATCCCCATTCCGTGGCTTGACCAGTCTAGGGACGGCTGGATTGTTTTCCCATTGCGTCTTGGGTAAGACCGGGATGGCGAAGTTTGAGATGACCCCCCTGTGGTCCGATCCTCGAACAATCACCTGACAAGTGCGTATGTCCCCGCCCGGGACGTCAGGGCCAGCTGCGATGCGGTCAATAATTGAACGCGACGTAAACGTGTCGCCCGTTTGAGTTGCCCTGGTCCAATCATACTCCAAGTTGACATCGTCCTGCAGTCGCCAGAGATCCACCCCATTAGTACCCGATAAGAAGCCTCGGTAGCTGTTCCTGCTTTGCCCGAGCTGCAATGCGTGTGTGGCATCTGCATCGCGCTCATCTAGAATCTGGTTGAAGTCCCCAGCGGCGATCCACTTCTGCTTTCCTGTCAGAGCCTGCTTAACTGTATCCCAGAACGCCGCGGTCTCAGGGTTGGTGGCTTGTGTGGCGTAGATGCCGAAGACGTGGAGTGAGATGAGATCTCGGGACCCCATGAAGTCGGGAACCTTAATGTCTGCTGTGAGAATGTTGTGTTGGAAAGCTCCCTCGATCGCAGGCCCTCAGGTGAGAGTCATTGCTTTGGAGACGGGAATTGTAATCCCGCCCGGAGTGTGGGGTCCACCAACTGGGGTGGTGATGAATTGATAAAGGTGACCGAGAGTTTCCAGTAGGATCTCGTTGACACCTGAGTAGATAATGGTCTCCGTCAGTATGACCACTGTGGGTCCTGCTTCGAGGATGATGTCAGCTATCTGTATGGCTTTCAAAGGGTTGGATTGGCCCAACCTAGTGGTGTTGAATGTCATCACGGATAGATTGGGTGTGGCTGCTTGAACGCCGATTGGGCAGATGGCTAGAGCCAGGAATAGGAGCGGGAGTGAGTGGGAAGTAAGCGTGATGAGTCCCTGTAGAGTCCTGTGCTTCAGGCAGCCCAAAGTGGTGTGGCTTCCAGAGAGCTTGAACAAGCGCAGGAAGATCCAGCTCATTCCTGTAACAATCCGGGTTACATCCCGGGCAGAAGCTGACAAGCTGACTGTGTAGACTTTGAGGACCAGACCAGAGACCTGTTGAGTCTTGAGATGAGAAGCCAGGCCCATCTTTGCGGTGTTAAGAGCGAGCAGGGACAGTTGTGAGTCGGTGACGACGGCTTGAGGCAAGGTCGAGAGGTAGATTATGGCCAGGTAGATGGGGCTTAGATGGATGTGTCTTGGGTGATTCATTGGTGCGTATTTCGGTCGTTGACGTCCCCGGTTGTCCGTGATCATACGATGTCCAATGTTGGAGGTCCAAGAAACCATAGAGGAGTATGATCATGAGAATAGCCGGCAGGCGAGGCGATTTAACTGGCACTTGCAGCGTGGTGCACATCATTTGATTCATTGTTGGGATAGTGGGGATCATTGTAGGGCAGGTGACGCAGGTGAATACGTTGGCGGTGTAGCGGGTATTAGTAGCCCATACAGATTCATCGCGTGCTTGAAAGCAGTGCGAGTTAATAAGACATTGATCGTCGTGAAACGCTTTGTGAATCAACACATTGGGTGCTTCTAAGCTGTCCTCGGATCGATGCATCATGGAGTCACTCCGCCAAATGGTAGGAGGTGTAGTCACGCCTATCCAGGCGGTTGAAAGAAGGATGCCGCAGATGGCAAGGAGCATTGTTGATGGTAGCGCTTGGTGTGCAACGCAGTGTAAGTTCTTTGTAGATGATTTCAAGCGTTGATATGTGAAGATGAATGGATCAAATGTTTGGGGGCAGGCCAGGGTTGTTTATCGCGCGCCGCGTGTCCGCAGACACGTGTTCTTGTGATAGTCAAAAAGTCCACGTAATGCGTGGGCGTAGCGATCGGGTCTGTTGAGCGAGCAAGATGCGTCTTGTATCACTATGCATGCCACTGAAGTATGTGGCGCCAAAGAAGAGGCAAGAAAAGGCACGGTTCGCGATCAAAAAGCTAAGATAAAACACGTTGGAACGATGAAGCAAAAGGAGTACGGTTGGAAAGATCAACAAAAACAACCAGACGATGGAACATTGTTCGAGCTCGGACCCGCTGGGCGCCGAGTAGTGGGAGATGAAGAATGAACAGGTTTACTCCAGAGCCTCACTGAGTCGCATCCTTTTGGATACCCTACGATTGTCGAACTTCGCCGCCACGGGGTGACCGTTCTGTGGAGTGTTTCCGATCTGGAGAGTTGCAATGGCCGCAATTGGGGCGTTGGGCACGGGCTCTGCGGCGACTGGCAATTCGGGAGGACCCTGAGCTAGGAGACCATCCAGTTTGACTTGTAGGCGATCGCGCTCAACGTGAGGTTGGTCAGAGGGTAGGGTGCGAAAGGGCCGGAGCTGTCGACGGAGAGCGTTGACATTGTTCCAGAACTTGCGATCCGATTCGATCTGCATCAGACTACGCTCGTTGCCTCCCACTCGCTGTTCCAGCTGGGACATACGTTGGTGAAGGCCATTCGAAGCCATGGCGAGAGATGAGATCTGTCCTTGAAGAAGGGTCACATCGACTTTCATCTCCGTTCGAAGGGATTGGGCTTGTTTGGCAGCATCGTATGAGAGAAGCGCCTCGCGTTTGAAGGCGGCAGGGTTGTTGTTGATGTCGTAAGCGAGTCGGAAGAATCGCTTGCACGGCATCTGTATCGTCGCCAAGTGCATGGCGAGGTTTGGGTTGGTGGCCTCACAGGATAAGAAGTTACCATTCATGACGAGCCGCCAATTGTTGATGACTCCCCTGGCTTCATGGTTGTTGGTGTTGAAGGCCTTGACCATGTCCTCGGCATAGCACCTGATCTGGGGGATATCATAATGCGTTGCCTTGACATACATGACAAGCTGGAATGGATGCGAGATGGGAATGAAGAAGAGTGGGCTCTGGACCAGCACTTGGAAGGTGTTGCCGGTTTTGTCGTCAAGTAGATCTTCAAATTCCGTGACCAAAATGAGATCGACATGCCCAGGGTTCTCCAGGGCGACTGTCGTCCGGGCATTCCTGCAAACATACCCTCGTCTGACTGGACCATTGCCCACCATCTTGGTCGCGAAGATGTTGACGACTCCGACATCTGAGCTGGAAGCGAGCTTGTGAATGAGAGGAGTGATTGAGTCGTCGTCATAGGAGACAACAGGGTTCTCATCGAGCGAATTGACGAAGGTGAGAAGGATATCGACCTGATTGGCTTTCTCGCTGGATCCAGAGGCAAAGGAAACCACATAGCCAAGATCCTGGAGCATGTTTCTAAGGGCCATAGTGTCGAGGACGCTGAAAACGTTGGAGGCATGGTAGTCGTAGGGTGCCGAGACATACATAAAGGTTTGAGGTTCTTTCGTTCCAATCCTCCCTGGTGTGAGTTCATTCGAAGGAGAGACAAATTGGGGAAGATAACATGATTCAAGGCGGTGAGACGAGATGACGGAGGAAGTGGTGGAAGACAGCTGGCGTTGATCAAGCATCACTGCCAACGCAATGACGGCCACGCTTGACAGGTCGACAACCTTGAGCTGGTGTCCCAGGCGTGGAGGGACCAGAAATATTGTCGCCAGAGCTATGAATGATAGCAGCTTGAGGCATCGACCTCTCCGCCTCGTCGATCTGCTTTTGAATGCGATTTCGCTCCGCGCAAGGTTGCTTAAAAGCCAGAAGACGCTTCTTCTTCGCTTCCAACCAAATTGACCTGGCTTTGGCAGGCGCAATCATCAGGGTGTCCATATTGGACTTGACTTCACCAAGGCCACGTTTGAGTTCACCCTGGCCACGTAGAAGCTCCTGCTGACCTCTCTCTAACTTGCCGAACCTCGTCTCTAACATCGCTCCTCCAGCATACATCTCCTTGCGAGTGCTCTCAGCCATGTTCATAGCAGCTCTGTTGTCTTTGGCTGCATCGTATGCCTTGAGATTCGAAGAAGAGAAATTCGAGGGATTACCATTGAGAATGTAGGCGAGGCGCCAGAACCGTCCATTGGGCATGGGGACCATACTGAGCCCATGACCAAACTGAGGGTTGGATGCCTCGGCCGCCAACATGTTGCCAGCACGAATGAAACGATAGTTGGTAGCGTACCCTTTGGACTGGGGAAAGACAAGGGAGTGGTTGAGAACGTAGTTATCAGTTGCCGTCTTCACCTGACCCATACAATTGGTGAGACCATCAACGTCCATGACCATCGTCGCAGGCCCCAGAACTGGTACATATTCCCGGACAGGTTTGACGACCAGGGTGAATGTTTTGCCACGGGAGTCGACAAATTCGCTTTCCTCGTCCGCCAAAAGGGCTTCCGCTTCTTTGGGGTCCGACATGGCGATATGGATCTTACAAGACCACATGAACCTGGTCCTGTTGGACTGGATGCTGGGTCCGTACGCGTTGATGACGGTGAGCCGCCGGGAGAGTCCAAGGGCGTGGACGAGATCTTTGATCTGGGCGTTGCTGTATTGGAGGTTGGGAGTGACGTCGATACTACGCTTGAACTCCAGAGTACCCAAAAGCAAATGGGCTTGCTCCCTGTCACCAGAGGTCCATCGTGCGACGTGACCAGCAGACTCCAACTTAGTAAGGGCGACGCTGAGGTGTCGATGAGCATAGGGGTTGGATTGGATGAAACTGTATGGTAGAGTGAGTCGCATGTGATACTGGTCCTCTGAAGTTACTTGCCGCCCAGGAAGAATGATATAATCCGTGAAGACCGGGATCTTGACGTCGACCTTGGTGTCCTCGAACCCAATGGCCCAGACTCGGCCAAAATTGATTTTAGCCAGTACGTCGGCCAAACATTGAGTCATGTAGTCGACATCACCGAATATCGGACGTTTGAATCCATCATCCGTCAAAGTCTTGCATCAGACAGAAAGGGCGGTGGAGACATGCTCCTCAGGAGGCATGTCCTTGGGTTCTCCTGCCTCCGGAGCAACATTCGCCGGGACCATGTCGATTTCGGCGTCATCATCCGACTCGTCCTGGTTCGTGATGACAGATCCGGTTCCGGTCTGAGGCTGTTGGGATGTAGGTTGAGTGGTGACACCTGTCGCGGTTGGGACTGCTCCGTCACAACTGGCTGAGTGGCGGGCGCAGAGACCGATTCAACCTGGGGCGTGGGAGTCGATATAATGGTCCTTGGAGCGACAGCTGGTTGAGCCACTGGCGGAGAGGCTGATCTAACCTGGTGCGTTGGAGCTGTAAAAATGGTCCTAGGAGCGTACGATTGACCATGACTGGGAGCACTGTTGGCCAGAGGTGCAATACCACAAACGACAGCAATGGGGTCGTGGGCGTTGTCAAGGGGGGGATGGTCGACCTTGGACGCCGAGGTGCCGTCTGTGGTGATCGTAGGAGCAACAAGTGCACATTGATCTGTGGTTGTCAGAAGTGGTCCTAAGGTGCTCACCTTGAAGATCAGCATCTTCAGTGGGCCGCGCTGCGGTCATCGTGATGTCTCCAGACGCATCGGGCACTTCATCGATTGGAGTCGTTTTGTCGGCTGACAAATGGATCGTATCGACCCCGATGGGACAACCCGTTGCCCCAGTGGAATCGATATGGGTTTGAGGAGAAGGTAGAGGTGTAGCTTCAGCGGGCATCATGACAGCCGTAGACATGATTTCAGATTTCTGCGAGGGACTGGTGCAGAGAATCGATTGGGTAGTTCAGGCAGTGCAATGGATGAAAGGGTAGGCGATTTGATGATAAGGAGAGAAGAAGGCCTCGTCTTATAAGCCAGCGGGCCCCAACGCCTAGACGTACGCGTATCACCATTGTTGGTCCGGCTCGCTGTCATAATCGACCGAGATGGAGAGTGGTGTGTGTGTGGTTCTTCCACTCGATGAAGGACGCCCATAGTGTGGACCATCTTCTCAGGAACAATGTATTCACGTTCCCTGGTGTCCGCTCAATCCAACATAACGGCGGTCCGGGTCGGCCCGGTCGGCAGATGCCTAGTCTCTTGGCTTTGGTTTCTATGGCCGCGTTGAAAGCGCTCTGAGCGAGAACGGACAAGTTGACGTGTAAACTGTGTGAAGCGTTGAAAGGGCGTTGAGTGACAAACAACAAGATGTGACGCCCGACAAGCTTAGCGAACTCAGCACGCCCCGGTGGATACGGTCCTGGCAGGATGAAGACGAAGATGGGTGCAGCCTCTCGCGCATGGTCAACGGAACAGGTCGGCGCGACCATATGCTTGTGTCTCGTCAGCTGCACGAGCTCAACTGCTACCGAGCGTCTGCGGACGCGTTTAGTCACTATCAACTCCGAATATTCATCTGACTTTCTTCAGTCTCGTTTACCATGCGACATTAGTACTTTGCCTCAGGCTGTCTGACGATATGATCTCGTTAGAATGAAATTATGGCATAGGTAATTATCCTGACATCCAAGCCAAGGACTGCCGGAGATGCTATCGCGCGGTGTGCGGTTCGCCTAAGGACATTCATGTAGCTATGAAGTCTCCTCTCGAGTGGGCTCTAGAGAATGACTTAGACACAGGTATCTACCCGTTGCTTCTCACAGATGGGTTTGCAGTGAATTCATGGGGACTCGCCTTTGTCTTGTCCTCCTAGAGCCTGAAAGTGACCATCTCATGGTGTCATCGTGGTCACCACTACGGCGAAACGCATTCTTATACGCGACTAGCCTTTGGACTCGAAATAGCCCATCAACTGAAAGCTACATGGTGGCTTTGCAGGTCATGCTACTGATTGCACCAGGAGGGGGGGGGGGGGGGCACATGCCTTAGGCCTTGAAGGGCGACAAAGTCCCTTATGGAAATTGCATGTAATGAAATTCCGCCACGGCTGCCACTATATGACGGGCTTATACCGCCAATATTCGGCGGTCGGTCGTCGGTTGTCGGTCGTCGCCCGTCGTTTTTGCACAATTCTTGCCGGCGCTTTTGACATCCTAAGAATTCTCCTCTCCTAATCAGTCTTAGAGCTTCATACTTTACAGACTATACGAACAGCTATGGCTTAAGCTACCTACCAAGTTTCACAGCTTAGAATGCACTGCATGCATGGAAAAGAGAGTGATCTTGTTTTTATAGATTCTGAGCCATTCTGCCAACTTCACCGAGACAAAGAGACAGCATTAGAAATTAATTTGTAATAAAACGCGAGATAAGGATTTATTTTGTAATAACCTGGGGACGAATTACACTTTCTTTTCCTAATCAACGGAAATTTACTCCAAAGTGGCTCAACCATACAAAACTTCATCACCCTCCTTTACATGCATGCAGAGCTGAGTAAGAGCTGAAACTTGGTAGGTTGCTGATGCCACAGTATGTGAGCTCCCATGCCCAGTCTCAAGGTCTTAAAAGGGCTGTGGGCTGAGTATTTTGGTATAGACCAAAAACGACGGGCGACGACCGACGACCGACGACCGACCGCCGAATATTGGCGGAACAAGCATGTCATACCACTATCGATTGGAGGCCACTTATTGACATCACCATTATGCCTCCTGTCATCTGCCGTACCACATCCTTCATTAGCCATATATTGCCATGGAGAAGCATTCCATCGACAGCGTCGACGTAGACTACATGAAGAAGGAGGTCAACGAGGTCGACGTCCAAGGCATGGTAGATGAGACAGTTCGACGCGTACGGGAGCAGTCAGATAGGTTATTCCCCCGCCCAACGTCATCTGATGTCCGCTGCAGAATTCAAGCTGCTGCCATGCCTTACGCTGAGAAGACACGAGCCTATGCAGAGCGACAGCCTGTTCTTTTTGTACGTCGAACTCAGTTCTCCGCTGACCGTAGACCTATCTCGCAATTTTCGTCGCACTAAGCATCATCCCGGTCGGCTTCTTCATGTGAGTGCAGTCGGATTACAAGGTTGACTTGTGCTAGTGGATTCGTGCTGTCCGCGTCGCTCTTTATAATCGCAGCCGCAGCAGTCGCAATCTTTGCTTGTGTTCTCGGTGTCGTCGTGCTCGGAGGTGGGACAAGAATGAAGCTCAGAAGCTAACGTACAGCCTGCTTTCTCCTTCCCACGCTTTTCGTCACGTCGCTCGTCTCTCTTTTTTTCCTCTCATGCCTGCTTGGGCTCTTCCTGGTCCATCGTCTCTACCTGCACATCACCGCTGCCAAATCGACTAATGGACGTGTCGACTATGACTCACTCTCTCGAGGTGTCAAAACGTGGCTCGAGGAGACTGTCGATCGAGTGCCTCCTCCGCGTTTCGATTATTCGTCTCTCACTCTCGGGGCCAAGCAGGAGCCACACAATCCTCTCGCGATCGATCCGGCTCCGATCAAGTCGACCCAAGTCAAGACCGAGAAGTAAGAGTACTGATAGCTGCGTTGTAGATATTTCGAGACCCTGCGAATATAGACAGATATGACATAGACCAGATCCATGCAAGTATGACTACCAAGCCGTGACGTCCGCCTCCGCCTCCCCAAAGACACTCTCTTTCTTGACGTTGAAACCGTCGTGTAAGTCTCCGGCCCCTTGCGCATATTCCTCCGGAGACATCATGCGCGCTCTCTCCGTGTAGAACTCAGGGACTTTACGCCGTAGCCAACCATCGATCCAACCATTGATAGCCTCAAACTCTATGAGAAAGCCATCGTGACCATCAGGACTGGGGATGACAACTAGTTCAGCATCGGGAATGTGCGCTGCCAGTTCTCTTTGCTCCGAAGTGGTAAACAGTCCGTCCGATTCTATACCAATGACAAGCGCCGGAGGAAGGAGCGAAAGAGCGTGTATAAGCGACTCCGTCTGTGCGCTCTCGTCTCCGTTATCCACTGGCGTCAGAGATGCGGAGAGACTGTTGCCGGCGCTGAACTTGGATGGTTGGGAGAGATCATGTGTGTCGAGCTTTCGTGTGATGTGAATGTAGCAGTTGGCATCAAACCGACCTGTAAACTGGGAAAATCAGCTCGGTCTCCATGGGCAAGCTCACTTTATCGCCCTGATACCGTAGGTATGACTGAGCCGAGAAGATCTTTGTCCGCTCCGCACCAGCTCCAAGCTTGGCCTCGCTCGACCTGCTGCTGTTGCTTTGGAGTTTGCCAGACGTTGAACCGGCTGAACCGCTGACAGAACTCCTATGACCATCGTTATGCTCTCGCCATGCTCTCTCGCTCGCGCTCCTTTCCAAATCCGACTGACTGGGTTCCGCAGGATTGGTAGTCTCCGCGCCTCCCATGATCCTGACTCCGCCTCTGGGTACCTTGCTGGAACTACCTCCTCCAGAACGTCGTCCGAAACGCGACTCGAAACTATCTCGACTCCGATAGGTCAAGAGCGCGGCCATCCGAGCAGCTGCCAACCCACGACCCGGCTGATTGCGCAGATCGATGTTACCAGCCTCGTCTCGGAAGTAGTACCCATCTCTGTAATCTGGATCAGAGTATATAGACTGCCGTTGTGCCTCGCCCCAGGAGATACACCACGCGGAATGTCGAGCAGAAGTAGCAAGGGGGATGATAGCTCGGACGAACCCTGAAGGTGTGTTGAGGGGATACTCCAGACAGGTCATGCCGCCCATGGATCCTCCTATGACAGCAGCGACTGACCGGACGCCGAGCCGCTTGAGGATCGTGTAATGCAGCCTTTTGCAATCAATGAGGATGGAAATAATCGTACCCACCTGACATCATCCTTGACACTACTTCCCGGCATCTCTGGTCCAAACGGCAGTCCAGTCTCCGGATTTGTAGTCACGCTCGATATCGTACCATATGGTGACCCAATCACGTTCGCACAGAAGATGAAGAAGCGCGTGGGGTCAAAGGCTTTGTCTGGACCAAGTAACGGTCCCCACCTGCATTATATCAGCGGGCTCAACGCCGCCGGACGTACCAATCTTCCACGTCTGCGCTGCCTGTCAAAGCATGACATATTACCAAACAGTTGTCTCTCGCCGCATTAAGCTTGCCCCATGTCTTGTAAGCTACAGGGACATCTCGAACCTCCACTCCAGATTCCAAAGTGAATATTGGTATGACAGCGATCTCTTGAGAGATGAGATGAGCGAACGGATTAGAGGATGACGAAGCGATGGCCATGACTGAGAGAGATATCTCTGAGGATCTCTAGAAGCCGTGGTGGTGGACAAGATGCGAAGTTGCAGGCATCGCCAGACACGAGCAGTTTAGATGGTTGAATATCTCACAGATATAGATATGCAACCGACTCAATTTTCCCGGATTCGAGGCGGTATCGGATGAATCTTTTTTGACCAGGCACTGAACTTCATTGTGCTCTAATCTGCATTCCTCAGTTCTGGAGGCACCCATCGCAGGCCCAAGAAGTGAAAGATCTCTCGCTCAGTCTCAAAGTGATGCTCCTCGCCCGTATTAGGCTGCGTGATCGCAGCCTTGAACTTGTAACCGCTGGTTGGGTCAGCTTGTGGCATTGGGCCGTTGTGTCTCACCGGTTTTCGGCGTATCGTCTGCAGCATCGTCAGCTCAGGCGCCCGTCGCGATCTCACTTGAAATCCCGCTCAAACATCATACTACCGGACCAACTTAGCACAGCCGCTGCGTATCTATTCCTTGGTGCCAGAATGATATCTACGCGACGATGTCGGCGGCCTTCGCCTGGCAAGCGAAAGATGACAAAGACTTTGTCCAGATTGTCAAAGTTGTTGGCGTGCGCACGTATAGGCGTCTCGATGCTGCGTCGTGTGCTATCTAGAGCACTGTATTAGCCAAGCACCCGTCACATCAACGAACACAGCACATGTGTGATGATACCCAGGTGGGAGAGTCTCATCTGCAGCTTTTTTAGCAGCCCAATGTCCTCGTCATCACGCGGTGGTCCAATTACGATATCCACGTCGTTTGATTGAGGCTTGCCACGTCGGTATCTGAGGGTCAGCCGAATGGCAAAACGCAAAACCACCCTCCAGTAATTGTGTACTGACAACCAGGCAGGATCAGGCTCAGATTCTCCATCACGCATACAGCGATCTCTTCCACCTCCTCCCGGGGTATTCTGGTAAATCAGCGTGTCATCTGCGCCACGATCTCACTTCGAGTCGAGGTCCTCCTTCATTTCCATCCATGCCTCGACAATGTCTACATGGCTCATTCCCCCATTCATTCGCCTCCGCTCCTTGACCTTGAGTCTGACCTCTTCGCTCTCCTCCGCGATATTCTTGTAGTGTTCCTTGACATCATGAAGGGTACGACAGTGGTGCTTGTCATATAGATCCTTAGCGGTATGAGGTCCGATTGTATACAACGAAGCGAATTCTTCTATTGCTCGATGTCTCGACGAGGTCAAGATCTCCTCAGTTTCCTCTATCCGACCGGTGGCCAGAAACTCGTCAATCTGTCTGAATTAATTCGACCCCCAAGAGTTCCCACTCACCCGCATTGCGACCTTCTCGCCAACATCTGTGAGAAGTCTGGCCTCTTTGCCTGATCTGATTCGTCTGGGAACAGCTATCATAGAGATCAGGCAGTCGTTCTGCGAAGGCGTGTCTCACATTTGAGCATCTACGTGAAGGTCAGCGCGTCCAGATCACGATCCGGCAGACTTCACACTGATACTCCGACGATAGCTCAGGACATTGGAGTTCTTCTGTTGAGTTTCTTCCATCTCTCTGTCTTGAAAGATTGGTTTGATCGCGTCCACCTGTAGTGACTATCAGTACAGGAATGAGACCCATTCAACTTACTATATCTTGGTTGATACACAAAAGGGGACAAGCACGCTGGACACAATACTTGGGGATCGTTCTGAAGTCAACATCTTCTGGTAATGGCGTCAAGTCTGGTGGGTCATCCGAGCCTTTATCGTCCTCCTCTCTCCGTCGCTTCTTCGATCGGCTGTAGCTGGTAGCAAAATATGTGGGAGAGTGATGACCCGTCGGGCCGACCTTGATTATGAACTTTTGCAAGCTTGGTAAGACTGGCTTGACTTTGTTTCCTTTATTGGCGGCATCGAGACAGGTCTGAAAGGTGTCATAGACGAACTCTATATCCAGAACAGGCTTTGCGTCCTTATGTCGATCAGCCGCTGCTGACATCCGACCCTTACGATCCACTCCTTCCCCAGCGCTTTGAGCAGCCTTGGTCTGCCTTTCAGCGCAGTAAGGATAATCATAGCATCTTCTATAGCCACTGTAGTCCCACCAAGCTCATCTATTATACTGTATATCTTGCCAATATCCTCCTCTAACTTGGCTCCGACGATGAAGAACGCCAATTGAGCAAAGAGTGGGTGAAGATTGTGTATTGGAGATCCATGGTGTGTGATCAGCTGAGATGAGGTGGAGATGGGTATGGAAGAGAGTGACGGTCGGGTGGGCATGCAAGAATATGCTGCGAGCTTGTAGCGACAGGTATGGATGACAGGCTGGTATGCTTCGTTCGGGCTTTTTGAATTGCCGATCCACGGGCAAAACGGGTTAGACCGATGGTCAATTGCAAGAGTGTAATAGCATGAGTGGGACGGCAACAATACGATATGGACTTCCTCCAGAGACTCGTCATTCACTACAGGCTCGCCACGTTCGCCGCCTCCTGCTGCCATCTTTCCAGCTCGTTGTGTATCGCTCGACCTCGCTGCTCAGGTGTCGGATGCGTACTGCGTACCCAAAATCTAAATAAGGAATTTGTCCAGCTGTTATTGGCCTGATCTAAGGGTTGAATCTCGTGTAGCGTTGCAACCGAGTCAGAGAAATAGGATAGTGCTGCTCGGGGATCATAGCCAGCCAGTCCCAGGATCCTGTCCATTGTCAGCAGGCTGAGTGACAGCGACACACCCACCTCAATCCGGCAAGATCTGCCTCATATTCATGTTTCCACTGGAACCCAATCTGACCATATCGATCGGCCATCTCGTCCGCACTGGTTTTGCCCACGTTCGCCAATGCATCGTTCACGGTGGGTCCGAGTATCCAGCTATGCCAGTATCAGCTCAGCCCAATCGTGCTTCACTCACGTGAGCGGCCAGATGAAAGCTCTTGTAAGATCCATACTCAGACCCAAGACACTCGGCCAGAGGACTTGCTGCTGGGACAGAGTTTCAAGGTGATGGGACAGGATCAGATGACCCATCTCGTGGGCCAGAACTGAGGCCAGTCGAAGGCTCTGAGCTTCTGTAGGCTGAGGGTGAGGCGCAGGGGCAGGTCCGAACAAGCCAGAGAACAAGCTGGAAAAGAAACCAGACACGCCGGTACGAGCAGTAAGTGGCTCAGGCTCCACCTCTTGACCGCTCGCCAAGATACTGTCCAGTAATCCCGTGTACACAACGACCCCTCCAGCGCCTTTGCCGCCAAAACCATAGGAAAAAGCATTCTCTTCGCTCTTCTCCAGAAGCAGTAGGCTGTATGGCGGGCCAATCTCCAAGTGCGAAGGTTTTGAAGGAATGTCACTGCCTGGCAGATGCGAGTGCAACATCCAGGACATACGCGGTCGGGGTTTAACGGGATACACGGCGGAAGGAACCGGAATGATTGGCGAGCCATATGGTAAGGGCTCACCATGGCATTCTGCCAGCACGCCAGACTCGAGCCGTCGCAGAACATTGGATACCCAATGCCATCTCCAGTCTGCGTAGGAAAGTATGGGCGGTGCTGGCGCTTCGGGCGTTGTCAAGATGTTGAGTACACTCTTGTACCAGTTGGGACCTTCCAGACTACTGGATATTGTAGCCTCCTCTTCTGGCGACAATAAGATAATCCTCCATCTTCCTGTCAACGGGACCCGCTCCAATCCGAGCAGATATGTCGCTGTAAGGAGTAAGAAAGGAAGGCCGAATAATACCATGACAATCGCTCGCCAGGTATGCAAGTTTTGCTTCCAAGCTCGCATTCCGAGCCAGTACCTCCGATAGCTGTTGATATCATCGCGAACTTGAGGCTGAAGCGCATCATAGAACGATATGGAGGCAGAGGGAAGTGGAGGTAGGAAAAAGTGAGAGCGCATAAACCACTTCGCAGCCTGAGATGGTCGCCCACACCACTTCTCCTTCAATGCTTTCTCTTCGTCTTCATTATTCATGCCGCGTCCTCGACGTCCGAAACGAGGTGGCATTGGTATCGGATAGGCCACTCGTCCATCGGGAGCTTGCACTCCCCCGTCATCGCGTCTCACAGCATTAGCGAAAGGCTGAGCATCCGCGGCCTTTTTTAGTTGGACCGGTTGCTCTCCTTCGCACCACATTTTCCAGAACTCTTCCGCCTCGAGACTGATCTCTGGTTTTGTTATGTTTGCGTTGACCCATTGTGAGGAGCGCCGAATTCTTAGACTGGCAATGGTACCGATAGGGAAGAAGGAGATGAGAATGCGAGCAAAACCTGTCGCAACGGCTAAGACAGTTGTCGACTTGGACTAATCAGTAGAGCCTTCACTGAGGTTGTACCTACCTTGAATATGCCTATTCCAGCTGGTATCAGCGGGATCGCATGATTTGGAGAAGATGTGTGAAATGTACGACTCGATACGAGTCGATGCCGTTGTCTGAGAAGACGAACAAGGGATTCGCTCCTGCTCAAATGGGCCGGGATAGTGGGCAAAAGCTGCGCTCTCCCCTTTCCCTTTCTATCTGTGGTCAGAGATGGTGTCGAGTCGGACGCTAATGATGACCACGCCCTGCGAGCTTGTCCCGAGCTTTCCGCCAGGTATGCCGAGCGACTGAATGCCGAAGAGGAGATTACTTCGCCTTGCCCAAGATTGCTCCGAGTCAGCGCATTTCGGGGCTGGCTGAAGCAGGAGCACATCCGACGAGCCATCTTGCGCCAACAAGCTCGCTTTGCAGACAGCAAGTAGGAATTGTCGAGGAAGATGTGGAATCTACGAGCTGGGATGGATGATAGTGTAGCCCGCTCGGCCAGCGTTCACACTGGGGGGATCACGTGGTGCACGTGGCAATATCAAGACGTGTTTCAGATTTGGCGAAGCGACATGATCAGCAAGTCCCAACTCTCTGTGTGCTTCATCTCCATCAAGGGCAAGGGGATTCCCATCTGGAGGAGCGCCGAGAGTGTCGGATGCGTGGAATGAAGAGATGTGAAGGAATCACATCTATCACCACTCACTGCTCAGCAGCCAGTTTAGGATGACCGGCGAGGGCCAAACACAAGATGACGAGCTCCGAGATCTGTCCATCGAGGACGCGACAGAGCTAAGGGCTTTTTTGGAGAAGCGACGATGGTTTGAGACAAAGCTGCAAGTGAGTCTGTCATCTTAGTTCGTAGAACACTGACGTCTCTCAGGTGCTCGAGGCGACTCCACCGCTGTACCCATTTGTTCATCCCACCTTAGACACCTCCTTCTCATCAGTTGGCTCTGGTCCGCGATATGTCACGTCAAATGGCTGTCGATCCCACCTCCCCTCAGCTGATGAGATCATTAGTTGGCAGTCAGAAAGAGATGCGCTGGAGGAAGAAGTCGATGCATTTGATGGAGGCGATTTGGAGAAGATGAAGCAGAAAACGAGAGGTGAGGCGAACCAGTCATGACCAGGGCTAGAAAGCTTAGACGAGGTTTAGAAGTCACATCATTGCCACTCACCGCACCTTCAACGCATTTGATATCTATCACTCTTGACCTGATCGTCGTGGTGGATCGCCTGCTCACACTGTTGCGTCGACGGATGGAGGTTCTGGAACTCACGTCACTGCGCCTCAAGTGGGATCAACTACGCTGGGACATCCTATCCGAGACGAATCAGATCAGGGATGAGATAGAAGCCATTATCGTAGGAAAAGGGAGGTGGAAGCCTCCTGTCGCCCGCGTGGTACAGTCCAGCCCTCGTCCGAGGCGGGAAGGCAGATTAGTTGAATCGCAAGGATGGGATCCTGCCTCTTGCATGACTCCTTCGCTGAGCTCTGCTGCCATCGAGGGCATCGCATCGTCGTCGTCCACCTCCAGCAACTTGTCAGCGATGACTGTGGACGTCACCCCCTGTCGAATGAATGACCCCGACAGGAGGAGCTCGCCCTCAGACGTCTCACTTTCGACAGCCTCACGCGAAGCCAGCACTCCAACACGAGTTTTACTGGGCCTCCAACTCCTGCATTCCCAGATCAGCAATGTAGAGATACGACACAAGAATTTGACTTCGACCTTGGTCGCACGGAGTGGCAAGATTCTGGACAAGATGGTGGATGTTGCCGGACCCTTGAACGGTCTAGGCGGAATTGATGGACCCTTCAAGCACGAGATCGGAGGTAGTGCTGTGCCTGATGAACTATTGGATTTACAAGACGAGATGGAGGAACAAGTCGGACAAGCCAGTGCGGGACTGGCATGGTGCAAAGCTTTAGAGAAGCAATGGATATTGTGCGTCTCCAAATCTCATCCACGACTGCTCGTTAATGCGTGCGTTCAGTGCGGATGCTCATTTTGCAAACTCAAGTCGCATCGGTGCGAAAGCTTCACAATTGTTGGCGGGAACGCAAGACGCTCTGTCTCAGCCTACGACATCGCAGAAAGCTTTCGAGCTCGAGGAAGTCCTCGGAGCGCTGCAAAGAGATCTTGGTGGAGATCCAACAGACTTGATACCTCGTCCGCGGACGGTGGACCTCATTGACGTCACAGATCATTCTGATGAAGTGCTCGCCATGCTGAAGACAGTCTGGTTGGAGGCAGCGCAGAGGGTCGAGGCGTGTCAAGCCGCCATCGCGTTCTATCGCAAATTCGCCGAATCTGAGCAGAATTTGCTGGCTTTAAGGGACACTGTGAAGGACACTCAAATGTCTTTGGAAGCGAGAAGCACACATCTTGCACCCTTGCTTGACGACGCAGTGCGGACCCTTTTGCTGCGGTCACCGAACGAGCCCGGACTCGTGTCCGTTTGCGTCGAAACGACCGGATCCAGCTGTGAAGAGACTTGTGGCTTTGTTCGAGATCTGTCAGTGGACGCTAGAAAGTCAGTGCAAGTGGCCACGCTCGCGGCCATGCGACACCGAGCGCTACTCAAGTCGACCCCAGAATCTTTGCTGGAAGAGACGGCGGATCCCCTATCGAGTGTCATTGCGAATAACGTGGAAGATTTGGCAAGTACTTTGCTTACTCAAATAGAGACATCAGAACGCCAGATCGAAGAAGCTACAGCAAATAAGGCTCTGCTGTCAGCTTTTGATCAAATCGATCGTGAACTCGTTACCCTGTCCTCCGAAGTTCAACGAACGACCGCGCTTTTGGACTCCATAGACAGAAATGTACCGGCGGAAGGGGACGTTGACAAAGCCACCAGGACTTGTCACATCCTGCAAAGACGGTTGCAAGTGGGCATTGGCGCACCCCGGCAAATGCTCGACACGCTTTTGTCTCAACGAAGTGCACTGTCACCATTCAGGCAGAATTTGAACCGACGATGCAATACACTTGCTTCTTCGATCGCGACAATGGAAAGGATGCTGGACGCCTTCGAGTGTACGGTACAGCAAGGACAGATTTTGCGAGACATTGAGGAAGAGTCGAACACAATGCTTGCACAATTTGCCAGCATTGAGAAGGACATGGACGATCGACCAGGAAGACCGCTCATAGCGCTGCCTGATCTCGAGAATCGCATCTCGCAAATTTCAGCCGAGGTCACCGCGTGGGAATCTTCGCTGTCAAAGCGAATGACTTGGCTTCCCACGTCCCCACACAACTCGGCACAAGTCAAGAAAATGATTCGTCCAGAGTTTCCGGATCTTCACCTCTCCATCTCTCAACTTCCAATCACCCCGCCGGCCTCACCCCCATTGGGTGCTGAGAGCCTTGTAGCAGAGGATGCCCTTGGTCTACTCTTCCAGGATCGCAACGCCGATGCACGCCAGAAGGTCAACGAGATGTCTGCAAGGGTTCAATCTGGACTTATGAGTCTCACAGCTGTTCTGAGTGGCTTGCGAGATTCCTCCCAGCACCATTCCACTGGCGCCACGGGAGAGGACGTCTCTAAAGACGTCTTTGGACTGATTGCGACCGTTGTTACCGCCCACCTTGGGCTAGCAAAAGCAGGACAATCTGTACACAGCATCGAAAATCTGGTCACTCGTTTGGAAGGTCTGAAAATGGACGATATTGTGCGACCGACAAGAGCTCAACTCACCATTAATGCAGAGCTTCGAAGACTCCCCAGGTCTCCTACAGCGAAACGCATTCGATCGGAGCTTCTTCTCCTGAGCGGAGAACTTGACGAGCTCGAGAGTCATCCGGGAGCCAAGACTGATTCCGAACTAAGGGATGCCCGAGCTCGCCTGGATCGAGCGAACGCTGATGTGGCGATCCTTGATCGCCTCGTTGCTTTTTCGGCCGCTACAGAGGACTGCGACGTGCGGTTCAGCGATCTCATAGACGTCATGGACCGAGAGCCTACGAGCCTTTCAGCTGTGTCTCATGCTCAGACAGTGGCTATCCGTGCTGTCGTTCGTTTGCAGAACGCTGCACAGCCTGTAAATGATGATCTACGCGTGCCTCCGACTCTGCGCCGTGTGCTCAGGACATGGACAGAGATTCAAGCTATGGCCGAAGCGATACTCTACCCATGCCCAATTTTGATTAAAGACAAGCAGGATGACATGTCGATATCAACAAGTAGACCGCCGTCAAGACTCAGCATGGGTCGCGAACAAGGAACTGAATCGAGATTGTCTACGAGCCGTCCGTCCTCCTCTCGACAGTCTGGCCGAACTGCGTCGAGTCCATTGATCAGCACTGCGAATTACTTGTCGCCCACCAAATCTAGTCAGGCACGATCAGTCTCCGACAGTATGCGGTCGTCCATCAGCTCGTCCAGAATACCGAGAGCCCGTGTCGACTCCATGCGTTCAATCTCTAGCTCGACTCGCGCACCTCTGTCTACTATTGGATCGCCACTGTCAAACTTCGACTGGGACCCACCCGGCGATCCAATGGCCTCATTCTCGTCCGCAAGATCCACTCCTCGTCACTCTCTGGGCGTCAATATCAAGACGTCGAGGACAGGTGCGGCGCCGCGTCCGTCGGATCCAAAGCAAACGCGATACGAATATCGAGCGGATCCGAAAAGCGAGCTCGATATTGCTGTAGGAAAGGTGATGAACGAGCTCAAGGTGAGTCCCCCTAACCTGTTCTTGGAGTGGGATACTGACAGGCCGCAGGTGGATGTTCCAATCCGACCTGTCGGTCTGGAGACTAGTGATCAATGGCAGGACCAATCTGGCAAATATTGGATAGGCGCCGAGGGCAGAGCGAAATTGTGTTTCTGCCGAATCTTGAGATCCAGAACCGTCATGGTCCGGGTCGGTGGTGGATGGGTGGAGTTGTCCAGGTGAATACTGCATCGAGTTATATATGGCTGACATAAAATAGATTCATTCTGGAGCACTTCGCATCACATTTGGAGTCGTGGCAGCCTCAACCTGTCGATGAGAATACTCGAGCGCTAGCAATTGGGTCATCTATCCCTATACCCATCACGGCGACATCACTCAAGACCCCGGCGAAAGCCTCGTATAAGTCCCTCTCAGCGAGCATGACGGGTTCCACACGCCCATCCGTTGCTCGTAAGTCTACACCTGCTCAGCAAGCGGCCATTGCGAATCAGTTTGACGAGATCTTCACCCCGAGGCGAGGGCAAGCAGATGATCGTCGGGACAGTAGCGGAGGGGATGGTAGTCCACTATTCCCTCTTTAGTTCATGCGCAAAGCTAGCGAGTCACCGCCAGTGAGAGAGCAGGAGAAGGAGAGGTATCAGACTGGGAAGAGATCGATCTTAGGCAGGGGTCAGTAGTTATGTTTGCATTGTAGCATATCTTTTGTTGTACATATACGCACGCTGAATGGTAGCTTTGTGAGACTGAAGCGCCACGATTCACCAAAACGTCATGCCGCGTCTGGGTGTGCTCTCCTCAAATATCGTCCACGTTTGGGCTACCATCTTCAATCATTGCACATAGCTCAATTGACTGTTTCAGTCATTGAAGTCTGATCGATACGATGGATCAGACGGTGAAGATCGCCCAGGATCTGTTGCAGGAGCCAAATGCCGACTTGCAACAAATCGTGGATCATCCAGAGACTTCCACCGAGGCAAAGGCTGCTTTAGTTGAAGCTTCGCACACAGCTTCTTCTTCTTCTTCTGCTGCTGCTGCTGCTGCCGCCGCCGCTGTGACTCAGAAGTCCAGCACGAATGGAGATGGTAACACCATGCTGCAGGCTACAAACAAAGCTGGAGATGGCAGGTTGCAGGTAGTCAACGAGGATCAGCAATTCACGTAGGTCAAGAGGGCGTTGCTGCGGCTGCTGAGATCCCCTTATACCGGCAGTGATCAATTATCCAACTATCTTGGAAAATGGGGCATGATAGACAAGGGCTTTGCCTACGATGTGGTCGCTGTCTTTGGCTCCCAATCTACCGGCAAATCGACCCTCTTGAATAGGTTATTCGGGACGTCATTCCAGGAAATGAACGAATCGAAGAGACAACAGACGACAAAGGGGATCTGGATGTGCCCTTCGGCATACTCTTCGACCCTGGTCATGGATGTAGAAGGAACAGACGGGAGAGAAAGGGGGGAGGACCAAGACTTTCAGAGGAAGAGTGCCCTGTTCAGCTTGGCCAGCACCGAGGTGCTCATTGTGAACTTATGGTGAGTCAACACGAGCAGGGAGGCGGAGACACTGCTCAAATGGTATTGTCAGGGAGCATCAGATTGGGCTGTATCAAGGAGCTAATATGGCTTTATTAAAAACTGTGTTCGAGGTCAACCTTGGGCTCTTTGGAGGAGGTGGTGATGAAGCCAACAAAGCAAAGTAAGCTGGCGGTGTGTTAGTACTGTGCTGACCTTTGACTCCAGACCCAAAGAGAAGACCCTGGTATTGTTCGTCATCCGTGATCATGTCGGAGCTACCCCTATGGAGAATCTCACAGCAACTTTGACTCAAGACATGGACAAGCTATGGGACGGATTATCCAAGGTGAGAATTCATGGTTCAATCCGTCCTAAATATCCCAGCCAGAACATCTCGCCGAGGCTGCCCTCCATGACTACTTTGATCTCTCATTCGCAGCGCTTCCTCACAAGATTCTGATGCCGGAGAAGTTTGAATCAGCAGTCGTCGAACTGCGAAAACGGTTCACAGATCGGTCCAGGGAGGACTATGTCTTTCAGCCAACGTATCATAAGCGCATACCAGCGGATGGGATATCGTTCTACATGGAGGGCATCTGGGTAGGTCTTAGGTACTATCCTGTGCTCATCTGGATCTAGCAACAAGTCCTCACGAACAAGGATCTCGACTTGCCAACCCAGCAGGAGCTGCTGGCTCAATTCCGATGCGATGAGATTGCTGCTGGAGTCATCGAGGCCTTTAGCTCAAGCTCTAAACCGGTCAGAAAGCCCGTCGAGACCGGTTTGGTCATTCAGCACCTGGGCGCCATGATGAATGATTGGCTCCATATTGCATTGGGTGAGTCAAGCCCTGCGGGATGCTCCGTGATTTCGCTGACCTCGCAAGGCAAATTCGACAAGGATGCCTCAAGGTACCATACCGGAGTCTACCAACGCAAGCGCTCTGACCTCCTCACCACGCTTCATGCTTCCCTCTTACCGTTATACCTCGGTCAATTGAAGAATCTCCACAAGCAAATATCTGCTCAATATGTCAAAGATTTGACTGCCGGTCTTAAAGAGCCAAATTACGACTTTGCCAAGGTCGTTTTAACGGCCCACGTCAAAGCCAGAGCAGACTTTCAGGCTGGTGCCAAAGCGACAAAGGTGGATGAGACCAGCTGGACGGATGAACAGGAGCTCGCTTCTCTTGAGGAGGATCTCAAGGTGATTGCGGACCGACTGAGAGCGGACGAGACGAAGAAGATGGTCAATGCGATAGAGGTGAGTTTGGATCCTGTTGGCGTTCGCTCAACAGCCTCAGCGTACCGTCAGACGGCATCTCGTTGAGCCAGTTGAGATCGCCATGAGCCAGCCCAAGCCAGAGATGTGGGACGTCATCTTGGAGACCTACGCCAAAGTTCTATCAGAAGCTGAGGAGTCATACTTATCAAAAGCTCAGGGTAGGTTTAGATCTGAAGCATGGCAGCTGAGTGCTTTTAGGATACAATTGCTCTGAGGAAGAGAATGATGTCGCTTTGATGTCCCTTCGCGCTCGGACATGGCTGGTACTACGGCGCAAGCTCGAAGAGCAGGCCTCGGACGCAACGATGCGGAACACTCTCCGGACAGCATTTGAAGACCGCTTTAGATATGACGATCAAGGACTACCTCGAGTATGGAAGCCGGATGATGATATCGAGACTGCTTTCAAAAAGGCGAAAGACGAGGCATGTCACCAACTCTGTGATCTGATCTGACCAAAAACTCAGACACTCAACCTTCTCCCTCTCTTTGCAGACATTAAGCCCACAAATCCCAAACTCGCTCCCTCCATACCGACGCCGGAGCCCTCTTTCGATGCTGATGCCGATCCTGTGTCGTTCGACGCGTCTACCGCCTTGAATTTGCTGTCCCCCGCCAAACTTGTCTCGCTAGAGACACGATTCAAACGAGATGCCGATGCTGCCTATGTCGAGGCCAAGCGCAGCATGGTATCTTCCGTCGCTCAGATTCCTCTGTGGATGTACGGTGTCCTTGTCGCTCTTGGGTGGAATGAAGCGATGGCGGTTTTATTTAATCCTCTTTACTTTGCAATGTTGCTTGTGCTTGGCGCCACTGGGTGAGTTTTGGAGGCGCTCCGGGACACGCGACAATCTATCTGACCAGAAGCAGATATATTATCCTACAACTTGGACTGGCTGGACCTATCCTTCAAATCCTGAGGACGGTGATTGCCGAGGTACGTCAAATTGCACCTTGCCCCAGACTTTCCGATTGACAGACTTGGTGTGTCAGATCCGCCGCATAGCCGTCAACAAGTTGCGGGAAGCATTTGCCGAAAATCCGGAGGCTCAACGTATCTTGTCCAAACATGGTGTACCTGTTTCTTCATCGCGGAACTTGTCTGAGACGTCGTATAATGCAGACATTGGGACGATGGAGAATGAAGCCAAGACGAAGGGTGATTTACTGGCCGCTCAATATGTAGAAAAGTAGAATGAAGCAGCAATAGCAGCAGCAGCTATAGCGGCCGAGGCGGAAACGGGGGGATGCCAATTTTTGCGGCGGCCGCGTGTGATGATTGATGACGTTTGGATTTTATTACGGCATCGTATCAGGTTTTGGTGATAATAATCGTTCGATGTTTTTTTTTGGTTGGCACTATATTATCTCCGTTTGGAACGAGCAGTTCATCGAACCATTCGGATTAGATTGGATGGGACCTCAGTGGTAGTGATAACCTGTCCTCTTTAAAGATCTCAGCCCATCTTCCATTATCATCGTCTGGCGCGCCCCCCCTTCCTTCTCTTCTCGCCAATCGATCCTCTACATCTCCGACGAGAGATGGGCTCACTCCACAATTTCATGGCTTGGGCGTGGTCAACATTATTGTTCAGGATAGATGTCATCTTTACATCTGGATTCCCGATATTCTTCTGGAATCGACCAAGATGGAGTACAAATGAGATACCGGATCAGACTGGCAGGGTGAGTCTCTCATCATCCGACACGCAGCTACCTACGGTGACACATGCTGAAACGGAGTATCTAGGTTGTCCTCGTCACCGGCGGCAATTCCGGGACGGGTTACGCAACGTGTAAAGCTCTTTATGAGAAGGGAGCAACCGTTTACCTAGCTTGTCGGAGTCCAGAGAGAGCGGAGGAAGCTATACAAGACATCAAGAGGGGTGTGACTTATAAATTGACTGGGAAGGTGTATCCGGAAAACGCGGAGCGGACTGAGGAGAAGAGGAAAGGCACGGGATCTCTCGTCTTCATGGAGTTGGACCTTGCGGACTTGTCGAGCATTAAGCGGTTCGTGGAAGAGTTCAAGCAGTCAGTCATTGCATTGCTCGCGGTCCTCTTAACTTTAGCTCACGACCTTTTCAGGAAAGAACAGCGGCTCGATGTCCTCTTTGCCAATGCGGGTGTCATGGCGTCGTAAGTGGCTTTGAGGCTCTATCAGGTTAACACTCACGCCGCCGTTCCCAGTCCAGAGGGCATGCGAACCCAGCAGGGCTACACCCTTCAGTTCGGGACAAATGTGAGTGGGGTGTAGGGTCTGATCCTCCTCACGCTGACGACCTTCTCAAGTGTCTCGGACATCAATACCTCATCTCTCTTCTTCTGCCATTACTACAATACACTTCCAGTTCAAATCCTCAAGCACTCAGCCGTGTCATTCTGGTCTCCTCAGCAGGTCATGGAATGGCTCCAAGGGGCGGCTTCAAACCTGAGAGCGTGATGCCAGACTATCCTCAAGGCGGGCCATCATGGCGAGATAGCACATACGGATCTCTAGACAATGGATCAGAAAATGATGGAGAGCCGCGTAGAGGGAAGCACGAGCTCCAGCGTTGGCTAGAGTACGGCCAGAGTAAATGGGGCGGCGTCGCGCTCGCTAGGTGGCTGCATTGGACCTATGGACCGGTGGAAGGGAGGGAAAAGCCAGAAGGTGTCGATCAGCTCTCCAACGATGTCATAAGCATAGCTTTACATCCAGGTGAGTCATGTGTCGTGCCACATGACCACATGACCAGTGCTTATGTTGTATCAATCAGGCATGGTAGCTACCAACCTTGCGCAGCATATTTCCTTGACACCGTACATTGTACGATTCGCTCCCTGGGCGGTGGTGAGTTCAGCGGGCCGTAAATGTCACAGCCCTGCTGATCCGCTCCCAGGGTCTGATAACACGTCCACCGAGTGATGGAGCTTTGAACCAAATTTGGGCTGGGACTTGTCCAGAGCAGACGGCCAGGAACCTGAGTGGGCAATACTTGGTCCCTTTCCTTAAGGTCGGCAGAGCAAGACCAGATCTGGACGATCTCGAACGTGTCAAATGCGTTTGGGATTGGTGTTCCGAGCAGACCGAGGGCTTCTGAACATCTTTACCATTCAGAGCATCATTCAATCATCTGTAGGCTTCATTCCTTGCATAGGCCCCGTTGCATGATATTTGTCCATTCACTCGTGCTTAGGGGTGTGTGCTCGTACAATATCGCCTATGCGTTCCGAAATCGTGCTGAAGACTTGATTGACCGCCTCAAGGTGCTGACTGTCGTTCTCATCTCGAACATGAGCTATGTCGGGTTCAGCTTTTGCTATGGCGAGCGTGTGAAGCTTCCGCTCACCTTGCGATAATTCAAATGTGAAGGAAGGGGAATAATCCGGAAAATACTCGTGGTCTGGAATGCTGCTTTGCAGAGGCAGCTCCTTATCAATCTATGGACGACTGTCAGGGTCCTCGCTTATCGCTGAGTCATACTCACCAACGCTGCCGTTGCTACTGCCCAAGCTCTCGCGGTGTTGGGGTGGTGATATCCACCTCCGCCAAGCACGCAAAGTGGTAAGTTCCAGCTCTTGACCCTGTCAATGCAACATCGGATACCGCCCGGCTGATCGATGCTCCAGTTGCCGTATTGCCCTATTCTGTCGCCGGGAAGCCCATCTGTCCCGAGCTGAATTACCACGTAGTCCGGTTCGAAAGCCATTCGGACAGACTCGATACTGCCCCATACTCGCTCATAAGTTGATGCCGAGGGGAACGATTTCAAGGGAATGGACAGGGTAAATGGATGAGGTGTGTTGCCTTCCGTCAACTTCGAGTGTTTGTTCCCTGGCGGAAAGAAATCAGGGGCGGAATGATGCACAGACAGCGTCAAGACTTGAGGTGGTCGAGGTGGTTTCCTTCCATCCGGAATGACAACAGGGTATGCAGTCGGCGACAGAAAAGCCTGAGCGACTCCATCACCGTAATGAAAGTCCAGATCCAAATACATCACTCTTGGCCTGCCTTTGCGTCTCTTCGATCGACCAGTTTTCACCAGATGCAAGATACCTAGGACGGCGTCTGCGACGTAACAGAATCCGCTGGCCCGATTCCGCATGGCGTGATGTCGTCCGCCGTCCCAGTTGATGGCGACATCAGTCAAGTCATTAGCGATGAGGTCGCAGGCGGTCAACGTGGAAGCTGCGACTAGCGTGGCGTAGCGACTCAGTGAGGGGAAGGGAGGACAATCCTGCGATCTGAGTCAGAATGAAGTTTCAGTTGGAAGCGCTTGAAGTGATTCACGTAGTGCAGACCGTGAACGTCTGACTTCATTCGCTTTCGAGGTCGGGATGATGAGGATGCACCCGTATCACTGTCACTCTCGGCGGCGGCAGCAGCAGCAGCGGGAGAATGGTCACCTAACAGGTAGTCTGCGCTGCTGATCAGCACGGGCTCATCTGGAGAAGGGACTGAACGAACCCACATAAGCAGCATCGTGATATCTCTTCAACTCGGTTTCACTCGCGAACCGCTCATAGGGCGAGACAATGGTGGCCCTGCCCGAGAGGGAAGGTATCGGAGCCGCTATGGGCTTCTCTTCCCTCTCCTGATCTTCATACTCATCTTCATCTTGCTCAACTTCAGCGTCTGCATCTATCTGCTCCGCGTTCTGTTGCGCTCCGCTTCGCGCCCCGTCATGATGTCGATCTTCCAGTAGGTCCAGAGCGTGGATGAGACCGTGTACCATTGAAGACCGGCCGACATTGGCCGGAAGCTGATCAGCAACAGTTTGAAGCTCTGTTGACCATATATACGCTGTCCTCGACATGAGCTAGACGCAGAAGACCAGAATATTCTCGCTAATAGTGTCGCAAGAGAATAGACCATCCTTCGGTAAGATTCGCTAAGTCCGATTGAGCGGAAGTTTGGATAAAGAAGGTGGGCAGCTTATACAACGGTCGATGCGAGATGAACGTTGAAGGCGGACGAGATTCTCTGCCCCGATCTCGTAGCCTGCCTGATGATCTGTCCCCAGCTTGCCTGTGGACGGATAGCATGCACGTCTTGACCGATAGGCCTGATCATGCCTTGGTCCTGCTGTTGGGTTGTGACAGGTCCAAGCAATAGCAGATCCCGAAATCGCGGACTGATTGAGCCGAAATACTTCTCTCTCAAAGGATCACATCTGCTCGTACCAAACGAGGAGGGGGGACGGTAACAGCCTGCGACATCATGGCGCCAGTAGGACAGATGAAAGGACCAGGAGGGCCAGAGCCGACTCATGGCTTAGTCAATTGGTGCTTGGATATCTGCAAGCAGCTTCTATTCGACAGGAAGTATTTCTGGCTCGTAGCTGGCTTGCTGCTTGTCGCAGAGGCTCTGCTCGGCAATCTGATCATATGGCGCATACCTTGTGGGGTCGGAGATGTATACTTTCAAGCTGACTTCTCTGTCAGATACCAAGATTGACTGGCCGGCTTATATGCAACAGGTGGATGGATTTCTCGCTGGCGAGAGGGATTACTCTAAGCTGGAGGGTGACACGGGGCCTCTGGTGTGAGTTCTGGGAACCCCCAAGTATCTGCGGCTGACAGATCTTGACGAGATAGATATCCAGCCCTACATCTCTATATCTACACAGCGCTTCATGAGCTCCTACCTTCTGCTGATCGAGTTCGACCAGCCCAGTACATCTTCCTCGGGGTGTACCTCACTACATTCATCCTCATCGCCTACATCTATCGTCGGGCCGGTGCACCTCAGATCCTCTTGATACCATTGATGCTGAGCAAGAGGACCCATTCGATATACCTCTTGAGGCTTTTCAATGACCCTTGGGCGATGCTATTACTCTACATGAGTGTCGCTCTATTTCTGAAGAATGGAAAGCTTGCATGGCGGGCTGGTTGTGCCGTATTCAGGTACGTCAAAGATACCGAGAAAGTTGGAGACCATCCCCCTGAAAATACGCATAGCCTGGCGCTTGGGGTCAAAATGAACATTTTACTATTCGTCCCAGGTCTTTTGGTCTTGTTGTTCCAGTATCGAGGCATCAAAGGGACCATCGAGGGTGTTCTCATAGTGGTCGTTATACAGGTGGGACGAAACACCTGAGAGGTCATCAGGTCATTGATGTCTGAACAGACCGTCCTCCCCGCGCCGTTCTTCTTCTCCAACGCGCACCTGGCCAAAGCCTACTTTACATCCGCATTCGACTTCTCCCGACAGTTCCTGTATGAATGGACGGTCAACTGGCGATTCGTCTCGGAGAGGACTTTTCACTCCAAACAAGTCGCTACAGGTCTTCTGATAGGACACGTGAATCTAGCATTCAGAAATTTGACGCCAGCTGCTGCTGATAAGCCAGATGACCGTCTTGGTCGCATTTGCATGGTATCGATGGTCCCCAATACCAGGCGGGACGATTAAAATCCTACAACGCGGCCTGTCTCGTCCTTCGCAGGCTCCTGCGCAAGCCAAGGATCTTCCTCCGCATCGTGAGCTTGACGTGGTCCGCTCTTTGACTAGCTTACCACGTCCCCTTCAGACATTCCTCTCGTACTCTTCACGTCAAACCTCATTGGGATCACGTTTGCCCGATCGCTCCATTACCAATTTTATTCCTGGTACTTTCATCAACTTCCCCTTCTGCTGTTCCTCGGATTTCGATGTGGTCCGAAAGCGATTGCGTGAGTATTGGCCCTCGGGTTCTGGCCTGACGCCTATCAGGGTGGTAATATGGGTCTTGACCGAATTCGTGTGGTCCAAATCACCGGCGACTCCAGGAACCTCGATGACCCTGCTTGTCGCTCACTGGTTAACTCTGTTCGGCCTTTGGCTGAACGCATTCCAGGAAACTGTCAGCGGCCAGCCAGGGACCACAACGCCAGTCACAGGACCACGTTCATCGTGAAATGCATAAAAGTACAAAGGTTTTGATGATCTGAGAATCGGGCCCCTCTCTATCCCTCATCTGGTGGTAATTGTATAGGACCTCGCTGTTTTCTCGCCCATACTTCCCGCCACCAACTTCTCCTACGGCCATGTCCTGAACCAGTCAAATCGTCCGCTTCGTCATTGAGCAACGTTGTGTTGGCCGTCTCGCTCAAGCGACGACTTAAATCGCTTTGGGCTTCTCGTGCTTGTCTTAAGCGAGCAACTTCATCGCTTATGATGGCTTGAATACCCGCCTCACTCTCACTCTGAGTCCTGCCTCTTGTCCTGCGATTCGTCCCACTGTTAAGGGATGACGAGCGTAGCACGAATCCTGGACTGGCGGCTCCTAGTCCAATACTGAATCCTGTCGGAGCGCCTAAGGGTGCGTATTCAGAAATGAGCGTGCCGTAGCGTGGCGGATGACGTCTCCTTGCCCCTGGCGATAAGGGTGATAAGAGGGACGTAGGTGAAGTAGGCGACGGAGGCTGTGAAGATGTTGTCTGCGATAGTCGAGGGGGTGTGGTGTGATCAATTGGTTGGTCACTCATCGGCGACACGATCTCCTCGGGATCGTCATTTATGTCTTCACCAAAGACGCTGAAACCATCTGTCGGATCTGCGCCATCGCACACCGACTCGTCATCCTCGACCCATGTGCCTACTTCGATCCCGCCTTGGCCGGCCGGACGAATCAGGGAAACGACCCAGACGCCGACGAGGAGAATGGCTACACCAATGGACACTAGCGCAATTTGGTAGGGCCTGAGGCTGCCGAATTGGTCATAGAATACGAGTCCATCTGGCAAGAAGTTAGAATAGATACGAGGATTTCTGATTCGGCTCACCAAAGATAGAGGACAGGTTGAAAAAGCAGAATGCCAGCGGGCAAATCAAGGCTGGACTTGCAAACGTGAGACTATAATTGAGGTATGCAAGCTGAAGGATGGCTCCTACAGCGAGTCCAGATACTAGCAACCAGCTCTGCACTCTGATGAATTGATTCTCTCCTCGACCTGTCCTGAAATGATCGATGGTGATGACGAGTAATTCGACGGCAGCTTTAGCCAAGACCAACGACATGCCAGAGAGAGTACCTGACGCAGCAGCAAAGGCTAGACCCGCAAGTGTCAGGGTTCTGTCCTGAGACGACGTAGAGTGAGCCAGGCCATTCGGAGTGGAAGGAGCGATCTCGATATTCAGGGATGTTGAGCCTTTAGATAGGGATCGCAATGATGGAGCGAAGTGAACGTGTCGCAACGTGGGATTTTTGACATCTGCTGTCGAGTCGGCGATCAAGGGGCGAAAGTGAGAAGGGTGAGTTTGGGGCGAGGCAGGTGAAGACCATCGACGATTTCCCATGTTTTGCCTGAAAGGGATTGGGGGTGGGTCGTGTGGTGAAGCGTAATTGCTAGGTGGAGATGAGTCAGGAGGTGTATCGCGACCTGAGATAGATATTTTTCCCGGCCTCAGCTGACGCTGAACGTGCCATACTGCCATATGAGCCTGGAAGGGGGCAAAGAGAATGAGCCTGGCATGGAAATGTCTGATGGATTCGACACTCACAGCAATCAGGAGGGTGACAACTGCGAATGTCAAGATGGAGAAGAATGCCAGGAAAGCAGGTCGTTTCCATAGCTCCAATAAGTCATCTAGAGAATGTTCTTTCTCCTGAACGACTCCAAAGACAGCAATCAGAACCGCACCGACGGTCACTAAGCCCGTTCCAATGACACTGCTAGGTCCAAAATGGTCCCCTAGTAGGATTTTGGCAAGAAGGGCGTTGAATATGAGAGAGACGGCTCCTAGAGGAGCGAGAATAACAATGGGAAGGGCATCAAGTTGGAATACGGTTGAAAAGACATTGGATGTGATGTAGATTGTGAAACCGAGTAACCACATAGGTCGGCGGATAGGTCGACGTCGGAATTCGAGAGGGCGATCATCTTCTTGGACGTGAGATTTACGTTGAATCGTGAGCCCTGCATTGGGGGTCAGCAGAGACGATTTTAGCCCCACTCTTAAGCCTCATGGGCCACCTGTACACACCTAGACTCTGCACAAATGACGATACGAGTCCCACGATGATAGCCACGGCCACCGGGATGCCGCCCATGATGGATCGCTCTGGCTAGGCTTGGCCTTTTAGATCAGTCGAGATTTGTAGGCGGTACAAGTCATGTCACGCTGCAGGCTGCTCCATTTCATTCAGGCCGAGCTTTTGACCGCCCCGGCAAGCTACTCCCAGCGCAAACCGATGCCTTTGTGGAAAGGACGGCCAACGACAAAGAGAGAGAGAGAAAGAGAGATTCAAAGGTCAAAATGAAGTCGCGAGGGCAACGAAAACAAAGGTCGTGTGGCACAACCATCCCACCGAGGCGGGTCACGCATATCAACAACCTCTGCATGGCATGCAATGAGACATGTTAATGATGACAGGGATGGAGACGGAGCCAGGTCCAGTCCCCAGCTTAAGAGGACCTCATTCTCGATCACAAAGTGGTACAAAGGTGCTAAATGATCAACCGACCCTACCCTGCCTATCAAGCGCTAGCTTTAAGGTCGTCTCTCGTGGTCAGCTCGTCCACCACGAGCAACTGGACCTTATCGTGCTTGAAATCAGCACCGGTGTCCTCGTCAATCCCGTCGAAAGACCATCGAGCAGCGAAACGTGGATCTGGCCTTCTCTGAATAACTTTGAGGATCTCTCGTCCAATGATGGGCGCGAACTTGTAGGCATGACCTAGGAATACTTTTCAGTATACCCCGAAGATTTGCGACGCGTGTCGCTCACCGCTTCCGCCTGTTGCAAAGACAAGATTGTCAAAATCGGGATGATAGTCGATGAGCCAGTCACCGTATTTAGTTTCGCAGTACCTTAGTCGAGACAATGAGTATCTACCCGGTTCTATAGGGAGGATATGAGCGACTCACCAGCACATCCGGGTCTGTACAAAGTCTTTTTTCGCCAGCTCAGGGTAGATCGTAGCCAATTGTTCACGCAGCAGTCTCATCTCGGTCAGTGGGATCATTCCTTCCTCAGCGCCAGGGGTGAGCTTTGTGCGAGGAACTGAAACGCCGTTGGACTCGGGCAAGGGATTCGTGTAACCGGCAGCGTGAATAGCGAATTTGACGAGCCCGTCCGGGTTGGGTGGAAAGACGTAAAAGCCTTTATCAGTCGAGAAGACCTGCGAGGCAGAGATTGTATTCAGCTTTACTCTGAACTCTGAGAGGAAGGGACGATCACGCTTACCACGGGTGCGCCTGCATACACCTTAGCCTCTTCAGGTGTGAGCTGAACGCAGGCTAGACTATGGCTGGGGGAGGGGGCAACTCAGTACACAGTCCGGATCAATCATTCTCATTCTCACCCTGTGGCTTCGACCTTTGGCATTCGTCCAACTCCAATCGAAGTGAACAGCTGTGATGTCCTGAAGGCAGTCAGGCGAGTTCAGGATCTGATCCTTGAAATAACACACCAGGATCCTGCAGCGGCCTGTATGACCAATGTCAGCGCTACGTGTCAGCGATCAAAGTCTTTGAACCCACCACGACCAAATCTCCTCTGACTTCCTCGCCCGTCTTTAACACCACGCCCCCTATCCGCCTGCCATCGACGATCAACTTGGCCACTTCGCATCCCGATCGAATGACGCCTCCAAGTTTCCTGATCTGCTTGTGCCCCGCTTCGACTCCCCTCTCTGCTTCTGCCCATCCCCCAATCGGATTGAAATAGGCGTGTTTTCCGCCAAAGGTCCCGACTGGGACGTCTCCTTTGAATTGGGCTTTGATGCCTTGTAAATCGGGACACATGACGGCGTCAATGTTATGATCGTGCAAGTTCTTATAGGCGAATTGGAGAAACTTTTCTCCCTGTTTGTCATCTTTCGCACTGATGCACATGACCCCGGACCTTTTGTGAGGATTAGCAGGCTCGCTAGAACAGAGGACAGAGCCTCGTGGGAGAGACTTGCTCGTGGTATGTTCCCTCCCATTCTGGCTGTTTCCACATCTCTACAGCTTCTAGGGCGAGCTCGGACGTGGCCGGGTCGATGTAATCTCCGGCTCGAATGATCTAGTATCATAGCACTCAGAATGTGAAAGTCTTCTGCATTTGATAGGCATACCTTGTTGAGATCTGTGTTGGAACATACAAAACAATCAGTACTCTTCCACCGAGCAGTGCTAGACATACATACCTGAACTGGCTGCGTCGGGAGCCGGGACTGTCTCACACTTTTCCAGTATGACTACATCGTAGCTTCCATCTTTGAGCATCCACAGAGCGGTGGACATGCCAAAGATGCCTAGAAGCGAGGTGTATAAATGCCAGGTCGGACATGGCCCTGTCTACTCACCTGAGCCTATAATGACGGCCTTCTGTTTCTGTACAGATCCCATGTTGCCAAGTGAGCTATGAGCTGTACCTTCTGAGAATTTTGCGTGAAGCTGCAACAAGAAGACGATGCAGGTATGAGATGAGATGAGATGAGATGAGATGAGATGAGATGAGATGAGATGAGATGAGATGAGATGAGATGAGATGAGATGAGATGAGATGAGATGAGGTATTCTCATTTCGAAGATACCGACTCTTAACGAGATCCTATATCGGACTGGAAAAATTAGCAACCTCCACTTTCCGCTCGGCTGGCTGTGTGGTGGACTGACTGCATGAGGGGCGGCGAATGGAGACACTACGATGAGATGGTTTGAATGCTATGCAATATGTATTACATGATGGGGAGGTCGGCTATGCAGTGCAGGTATCCGCATACTCATACGGGGGTCTCTTGCGGACTCCCCGTTCGATCATCTGATGGGGAGAATCCTAGTGGATCGCTTCGACGGTCTACGACTCTTCGCTTCTATTCCCTTTGCCTTGATTCTGGCCGCACTCTTGGCCGCATCATTGGCAGTGCGTTCAAATACCAGTGCTCTCTCTTCTTTGGCCTTTCGTTTCCGATTCCGTTTATTGAGATGCAGTCGTTGCAAGGGTGTTGTCCGATCTGGATCTCTGCCATCCCAAGCCCAGATCTCCTCCTCTGTCCTTTTGACTCTGCCCAGGTCTTTGGCTCTCTCCGAGGCGAACTCCTGACGACGATTCATAGTTCCTTTCCATGATGTAAACGTCTTGAGTGGATCCTCTCCTTCCAACAGTCGTTTCCAATGGCGCTTGATATCCCATCGGCGATCGTCAGATAGTTTCGATTCCCACCTTTTGGGGGGCGGTTGTGTGAGGAACCATTGAAATCGAGACTCTCCAGGGACCATGGGTGTGGCAGGGGTGATAGGAATGAAGCGTTTGGCTATCAAACCTTGAGATTCGAGGGTCGCTAAGACGACTCTTTTCAGATGACTGGGCGGCAGAAGTGTCAGAAACCTTTGCTAGATGCCGTGAACCTTGCGATCCGTCTTCAACTCACTCGCCAGAACGAAACGGATGATCCTCAGGTATCCTCCTCACTCCAGCTTTCAATATCGCCAACCGTTCTTTCTTCGTTATGCCCTTTGTATCCTCCTGAGACGCCCTGATAGCTTCCAACTGAGCTCTCACAGCGGCTGCACTCGCGGCAGCCTTTTTCGATCCAGTCTCTAGTAATTGTAAGGTCTTGCCTGCCGTCTTGGAAGACTCCTCCTTGACCATGCCTTTTGGCGGTCGCAAGTTTATGCCTTCCCTCACGACACCTTGAAATGTTTTAGACCCTTGGGATAGGATTTGATAGACCAATCGGAATGCTTCGGCATTGTTGTTCGGCCTCACGATCATGTCCTTGAGGAGCACCATCTTGTGTGATCCCCTCCAGAGATGGTAGATTTCTTCTCCAGTTGATTGTCTCTCGCTATTGCTCGCTATCGACACGGTTGCTGCTCAACAGTTCCGCTGGGCTGCAAGCATTGGAAATATATATATATATCGCCGAAAGTGAAAATCAGTCAAGTGGCACATTTTATCCAGCATCGAATGGTCATTTGCTGATGTCTTGTCGTGGAATTCAACTCAACGGTGTCGCTCTTGATCATTCATCATGCATTTGCTAGGAAGGAATCTGCTCGATCACAAACCAGTCAGGGTGAGTACTATGGCTGCTACTCCTTATCTTCACTTTCGCTGAACTGCTCTCCCTTTCACCAGATTGCCCTGACGAACTTCTTTGGTATCGGTCACAGCCTGGCACCTCGTATCCTTGCTCGACTGCAGATCCACCATACGTGCAAAGTGTCAGAGCTCACCGAACCTCAAATCACTGCTTTATCTGCCTACCTGTCCTCCCCAGTCTCCTCTACTCATCCTGACCCTACGCCTCTCGCCGTACCAGCCCTGCCTCCTCGTTGTCAGACCTTGCGGAGAATCGAATTACCCCAAGTTCAGACGGCGCCGAAACCCATACGGAGAGATGTACTGGATGATCTGAAGATTGAGACGGATCTCAAGAGGAGTATGTTGGGAGATATACAGAGATTGCGAGAGATCGGAACGTACAGAGGAAGACGGTGAGATTGATCATTTATGAGATCCCAAAAACCAAAAATCTTACGCTGACACTCGTTTGCTTAGACATGCCGCTGGTCTTCCCGTCAGAGGACAAAGCACACACGCTGCTGGTCGTACAGCTAAGAAGCTCAATCGTCTGGACAGGAGGTTCAATTAACATGTGTCCATCGAACATCAAAGAGATGTTCTCACCACCTCCTCTTGGATCTGGCTCTTCACACGTCCCTCTCGTCTCCTCATATTGTATCAATAACATCTATCATGCATGGGACTCCTGAGCTGCATTGCTGACGAGTAGCGGTGCACTGATCCCTTGGACGGTCTCTCATGATGACCCTGACCTGCGGCGCGGGTCGACGTCTTAGCTTAATTCGTTCCTCTTTCCCAGGAGCAACCTGATCGAACTGGCTCGTCGACTTTATCTGGCTTTCAAACCTTCTCTTGTCACGATTCCCTCGGCATTTCGCTGGACACCTTTCCTTGTAACTCTGCAAGCCCGGACAACCGACTTTGGCGTCATGGCTCTCCCCGCAGCTTCGGTCTCAGCAGCTCATCCTGTTCCTCTTCCACTGGATTTCGACTACGTGTCCGACCATTCGCTCTACTCAAAAGTCGTCTTCCGAGTCTACGATGCGTCCTCCTTCTCACCCCTTATCTGCTCAGGCGACCAAGCTACGTCTGGCTTTTCAAGTTTATCTCGAAACCTCGGTAAGTTGACGCCTTCATCCTATCGCGTTGCTCAGGCCGAGAAAAGGGTGTCTCAATTTGACGGCTCTCGAATCGGGTGATGGAGACATACCAGAGGACGAGAAGAGTCCATGGATCTCGACGACCAAGAGCTTGACTTGGGCCGTCTGGGAGATCGCTAGGCGACTGTCAGTGCAAAAACTTGAAAAGCCTAAGAGTCGTCCGGGTGTAGAGCCGACGGTCAGAATGAGCGTCATCAAGCATCGTTCTGGCAACGTTGGACTTTCAGACCCACGACGAGCATACCTTGAAGCGCATGTCGACGCTACGAGTCCAGTGGCCAACGCACTCAGAGGTGCACGTCCCGGCGAATTTAGTCACAGCATGAGGAGGCAATGTGAACAGGCATTGAGGGAATCCAGGAGGTCTAAAGAGGTATTGTATTACGGTCGCATCTTTGCGGAGTCCATCGATAACGAAACGACGTGGACAGTAGATGTGAGCCGTGAGGAAGAGAAAGGGTGTCGAAAACGCCTGATTGACAATTCTTTGGCCTCAGAGATCTGGACTTGCTCTACCGGCATACTTTTTCCGATCGCCTGAGAGTCCTTCATCGTCTAGGCTCATCGGTAGGGACGGCGAGGATAGTTGATCGAGCCGATTGGTCTGGAATCCAAGGCAGGATGACTTCGAGATCGCCACCCAAAAGGTCAACCGCAGGCGACGAGGTTCGGTCAACCGATGGTGAGGGTCTGTGTTGCGGACCTCCGAAGAAGCGGGCTGCCAGTTACGCAGTCTCGGATTACTTATCCATCGATCTATGCACTTGTGGCTCCATCGATGGCCCGGAAGGTGCAGACACCTTTGCTCATCGTGCAATGGGTATCGAGAATTCTCGGCTCGACTGAGGAAACCGAGCTTTTCAGGATGAATGTGGCTGAGACTATCTCGTAGTTAGTTCACCCGAATATTGCTCATCAAAAAGGCCAAGTTTGGCAGAGCATGAGTAAGGCCTGGGAGAATCGCGATGGCACCGAGCTTCTGAGACTATGAAGAATAACAACTGCGTTGGATATTCTCGGGGTCAGAAAAGCCAACATCGGGTTCAGACCACCACGGTACAAATGCTCAAGCTTTTGCCGACCCATCGGATCATCAATCTGAGTAGGAAAGAGCTGGGCTACTCTCATGCAGCAATCAGCGACGTACCCCTGCCATGCAGTCAGTCCCCACGACGCTGGTGTCAGCGTTATTTCGATCCAGATAAGTTTTGATCTCTCGTCGGGGGGGATTCAATGTGGTCGAGACACTTGAGTCAGTGGCACAATGTGTTCCGCGGCTTGACCTGTATGCGACCTACGGCACCCTCTAGACTACACTTTTGCATGCCATGCACTATCTCGCAACATGCCAATATTAATTAGATAGGTAGTTTCTGAAATGTCCAAGGTGAAAAGGAAACTGGCTTGCTTCTTCATTATGAGTAATAATTGATCTACTTTTGTTGCAGTCTTGAGTTAAAAGTTTTGTCGTGACAGCGGATTTGTGGTGGAGAGTGCACTGCATCTCCGAAAAAACACAAGACACCAAGAAGAAGGAGGAGGAGGAGGAGGAGGAGGAGGAGTGGACAGCGAATCGTCGACCTGGTCATGTCATCTCTTCAGATTCGTTTCCACTCTGAGTGTCCGACCGGGAGGAACCTCGAGTGGACTTTCACTCCGTTGAGGTTGATGTTTTCTGATTGGAGCGGCGTGAAAGGCTGGAGTAGGTGAAGATCCATTGGAGGTACTGGTACTGCTGTACCCATGATTTCTAGAACGAGCACTGTCGTACAGGTTTGTGCTACTGGGACTGGTCGATGCGTAAGGTGTACCAGGGGCGGAAGCTGGGTAGATATGGGTGAGACCATTCCCGTTCTGTAAATGTGGAGGCGAAAAGGATGTGAATCCTAAACTGGAAGCTTGAGCCCGAAGATCCGTTGCGGATGTTCTGCGAGAGGAGGAAGCTGATCCCAAACCCAAGAGATTGATGACGCTAGATGTGCGACTGGGAGGTTCAGGTTCACCCAATATAGGAGCAGTAGGAGGGATAGGAGATCCAGGCGTGACAGCAACTGTGGTCCGGGTAGAAGGAGTGGACGGTGCATTGTAGAGGTAGGTGGCGGCCAAGACTATAGACGAGCCAATGATAAATGCCGCTGTGATGGGATAGGCGAACAACATGACGGATGCGAGGAAGGAGATGACAATGGAGAGTGAGGTGGCAAAGCCTTTCCTGTGGAGCAAGTGTCAGCAGTGGCTGGAGGAGGACAAGGGAGATGCAAAAAGGTTCATGACACCCACATTATATTGTCAGAGTAGCGAATAACAACGGCCGTGATGAGGCCTCCGAAAGTCTGTGTGAGGACTGTACCCATCGCCCAACCGTTAAAGTTTGAGAATTTGGACATGACCCGTTCGACATAGCCGGCACCTTCTGGCCCTTTGGTGGTGAATAGTATAGGGACCAAAGCGGGCAACAGTGAGAAGAGGGACAATTGAGTGTTTCTGACCCATAGATCCGGTGCCGGTCCAGTACCTGAAGAAGCTTTGAGAATGAACTCAAAGTAGACTCCAGCGAGACCAGACGTCATGCAGGCCAGGGTGACGGCCAGAAATCCTCTGAAAGGGTGCATGACTCGTGTCAGAGTTTGCACGGGCGGTTCCGGAATGTCGGATCGAAGTGCCCCGGCTACTTTCTCCAATCGAATTCCAGAATCGGCAGGTTGGTGAGATGGAGCTGAACTGCTCTGGATTTGAACGATACCGACACCCAGTGCTAAGAGGACCAAAGCTGCCCATTTGGTCCGTGATAAACGCTTGTTCAACATGAGGACGGAGAAGAAGGCCGTCGTGAGGATCTTCATCTGATAAGTGACTTGAAACGTCGCCACGTCCAGATTGGAGGCCGCCACATATTGAAGATTGTTCTGGATAACATAAAGGATGGCTGGGACGGACAACTTGTAGCAATCGGTCGAAAAGACTTCTTTTGACAGTATACGCAGGCGAGAAGGATGGAGAAAGGTCGGGAAACGTGATGTCGGACATCGTTCAGTACTCTTCGGATCCTTTTCAGAGTAGGAATGCGGTGCGGACAGTTGTTCAGCGTCTATGCGTCTTAAGGCAAAGAGGATTGATATTGAGCCCTTGAAGAGCTCATTGAGGAGGACGGCGGAGGAAGCGGAGTAGGTCTTGTTGGGTGAAGTGGATATACGGGAGTAGTGCATGATGATGGTGAGAAAGGCGTTTTGCAGGGCGAGGGTGACGAGGCTGCAAACATGTCAGTCAAATGGACAGACTAGACGAGCACTCACGAGATCCATTTGAGCTCTATGCCCCAAAGTGTCGGAGCACCACTCTTTGGTTCAGGTCTAAACGTTCCTGCAAAATAAGACTTTTCGTCCGTCTGAGCGGTCTGTACGTTGGATGTCTGCGTGACCCTATGTAAGGCTGCTGAGGCTGGACCAGCGGCTATACCGTTATGCAGCGCTTGATAGGTCGATGGAGAGTAAGGCGGTGTACCTGGCGGTGAAGATGTGGAGAGCGCTCTGCCAGTGGAAGGTGTAGTGAGGAAGGGATGTGGAAGAGTGGGAAGACTTGGAGTCAGTTAGATGACGATCAGGGCGAGACGCAGGGCAGGTTGTAAATTGGAGTCTGCCTGACATGGAAGAGGGCGCCGCGGGGGGGCGTCCTTTCGAACCTGGACCAATTCTCACTACTCACCTGCTCAATCGCCGCTTGGGTCTTGTGACGCCCATGCCTACCCCTCCCGATTTACCGACACTTCCATTCTCCTTCTCAGCTTTAGGCGGCATGACCAACCCATCATCATCGTCCGCCATGATCCGCCTCGTCGCTGTCTTTGGAGATCCAGACGATCCATTGGGTTTAGTCACTGTCGGACGACGAGTTGAGCTGGTAGATCCACGACCCATGGCGCTTGAAAGAGATGCTTTGCTTCAAGTGGAGAAGATGATCTGGAGCGGGGGTTTGATGAAGGGCGGTCGTGCGTCTGGGTTGGGTAGTGGGACACACCAAAAAAATGAGAGTAGCCCGCCTATGCCTTGGGAGTCTCTCTAGGACGCCACCACGTCCCTCTTTCCTTTTGACTGAGAGACCTTCACTGGAATCCGGAGCTGAATGATCTGGTCTTTAATTTTGTTTACACAGTCGGTCGCAGGAGGGAGAGAGCCAATGGGTTTATACGCAGTGACCTGTTGGTTTCGACACTCTATTTTCCCCCGCTGTCTCTCTCTCTCTTTTTGACTTTTGTAATTGAGTGCGCAGTCGTCCGTCGATGCGGCTAGCGGCAATAGATATATGATGATTTGCCTTGCTTTTGGTTCGCAGTTTGGTACCGGCTGTGATCAATGGCTGCTGTGGCCAGGGGCACAGGAGTGATGGTGGAGTGCAGATGTGGTATATCTGAGCAGCAGCAGCAGAATCCTATGTATGTGTGTATGTGTTGCTGGTTGCGTCACTCGTTGATTCCCTCAGAGCCCAGCCAGCCAGCTCAGCCAGTGAATGTGTATGTGGTGACTGCGGAATTCCTTTCACCCAAACGGAGAATTTTCACCCAAAAAACACGCGAAGAAGGGTGGCTGCGTAAAATAGACAGAGCCTTTGCCTGCCAAGCACATGGCAATTTTTGGGATTGGCACAAGGTGGCGACGGTGATGATGCTGGTGATGATGGTGATGCTACCGCTGCTGAATGCATGGCCAAAGTGCTGATAGCTGCACACGCCTGGGGAACTGACCCCGGGAGGACTCAGTTGTGACAAATCTCACAGGGAGAAATGCATCACCAATCCTCTAGTCACGGACACGACGAACACGCTGATGGGACAATAATATTGACAGATCGGCTTCAGCGAACATGGATTTCGATTGTCCATTGCAAGGGGTAGAACAAGGTCATCATCTGAGCATGAAAGACATGTCACTGGAAGCCTACGATGAACTGCCTGGCCTGGTCATAGCCCTGGTGGCAGGCATGTGAACCTCACGATGTGCCACGTCACTGACCCCCTCCCCTATTCGATAAAATTGATTCCGCGTCTCCTTCCCTCCACCGCCGCGATTTTTTTATTGTGCTACGATCGAGTCCAGAAAGTCTTGAATTGTTTCCATTCCAGATACTAGTTCAATCGGTTGGACTGCTTGCTGGTCGATCTTGGGACCAAGTCTGCTCCTTGGCTCATATAGAAGTGGTTCGAAGGGAAGGGGGGAATCCTTTCGAGCTTGACTCTCATTCTTTCATCGCGGCTGCTGTCCGTTTGATCGACCACCATGAAGATCTCTGAAAAGTTGCAAAAGGCAGAAAGGGAAGGACGAACGTTTTGGAGTTTTGAATACTTCCCTCCAAGGACAGCGCAGGTGAGTGAGAAAGGATAAGCGCAGCGCAGGGCAGCGAGTTCTGTGCAAATGTCATTGAGGGAGTGTTTACGGGGGCGCTATTGGCTAGCTCCTGGACCCCCCCAGATCCCGTCGACCTCGCTCGCTAACGAACGTTCTTAGGGTTTACAAAATCTGTATGACCGTATAGAGCGCATGCGTGAGCTTGGACCGGAATTTATCGATATCACTTGGTATGTGATATGACTTGCATCATTGATGACTCTGCTGACAGACTGTGCTCAGGGGTGCTGGAGGCAAGAATGCCGATCTGAGCAATAACTTGGTCCAGATATGTCAACGAAGCATCGGCATCGAGTGCTTCATGCATTTGACTTGTACAGAGAGTGAGTCTCGATTTTGGGAATGAGGGCTGATCTCCCAGTGCCACAGGAAAAGGTCACCTGGGCATTAGATGTGAGACTGTCAATGATATCGTGTTGACTTTCCACTGATTCCCTTCCCCAGCAAGCCAAGGCGCACGGATGCCAAAACATTCTGGCGCTTCGAGGTGATCCCCCACACGGCTCATCAAGCTGGAAACCGACTCCAGGAGGTTTTCACTACGCCGTAGATCTCGTCAAATACATTCACAAGACTTACCCTGGTGATTTTTGTGTCGCTGTCGCTGGTTTCCCAGGGGGACATCCCGAAACGGCAGATACTCCAGAAGCGAGACATCAGGAAATGATGTACTTGAAAGAAAAGGTCGACGCTGGAGCAGAGTTCATCTTTACTCAAATGTTCTACGATACCGATATCTTTTTCGACTGGATCAAGCGAGTTCGACAAGCTGGCATCACGGTCCCGATTATTCCAGGAATCATGCCGATCCAAAACTGGGACAAGTTTCAGACTTGGGTTAAGAGAGAAAGAATCGTCGTTCCTCCACATTTCTACGAGGCTTTGAATCCTGTCGTTGGAGATGATGAGAAAGTACGAGCGGTAGGCACCAAATTGGTCGGGGATATGTGTAAACGGATCTTGGCCAACAAGGAAGCTGGCATCAAGGGTCTACATATCTACACGCTGAATCTGGAGAAGGGAGCCAAGATGTTGTTGCAGGAAGTTGGCCTCGAGGCTCACCGCGAACAAGTCGCTCCTTTACCTTGGCGACCGAGTTTGGCTCCTCATCGACGATCAGAGAGCATCCGACCCATCTTTTGGGCCAATCGAGTCAACTCGTACCTTTCACGTACGGACGATTGGGACGAGTTTCCGAATGGACGCTGGGGAGATTCAAGAAGTCCAGCGTACGGTGATCTGGATGGGTATCCCGTGTCGATTGGAATATCAAGTACGGAAGCGTATTCACTCTGGGGACACCCGACTTCGTTCGAAGATGTCTGTCACCTCTTTGCGAGGTTCTGTCGTGGCGATTTGACAAAACTTCCTTGGTCTTCCAATCCTGCGGCTTCAGAGACGACAGTCATCACGACTCAATTGGCCAAGATGAATGAATTGGGATACCTAACCATCAATTCGCAACCTGCCGTCGATGGTGTCTCGTCCGAAGACAAGGTACACGGGTGGGGTCCGGCCGGAGGTTATGTCTACCAAAAGGTGAGGCTTACGTGATGGTTCACAAGCTGACTTCGTTTCACAGGCCTACCTTGAGTTCTTCGTCTCTCCTGAACTCTTGTCCAACCTCATTCGCCGAATCGAACGTGATCCGAGGATAACATACTACGCCGTCAACAAGCAAGGCGACTTGCGGACCAATACACACAGCGAGGGTCCCAACGCCGTCACTTGGGGTGTTTTCCCAGGTAAAGAGATCGTTCAACCTACCATCGTCGAAGCTGTCTCATTCATCGCTTGGAAAGACGAAGCGTTTGAACTAGGATGTCAATGGGCCAACCTTTACCCAGAAGACTCTCCATCTCGACAGATTATCGAGCAAGTCATGAACACGTCGTACCTTGTCAATATTGTCGCAAATGATTTCAAAGATGGTTCGTCCATCTTTGAGCCTTTTGATCTGGACATGAAGCCCTCCTTGACGAATGGTCAGACGACCAACGGCGTGACTATCAACGGATCAGCTCCTACTCCTGAGCAGAACGGTGATGGTGGTATCGTCAATGGGATCAAAAAAATGGTCGACACCTCCGTTCAAGCCGTATCCAACGGTCATTAGTCAAGGCCATTCTCAATCAATCCTCTCTTGACTCAGAGATAAAAAACTCAAGCTACGTTTCAACTCGTTGCTTTTGCTACAGTTTGGTCGCATCATTACTAGAAGAATATACCCAAGATCATCAATACCCATCATCATCATTCCGATATACCTACTGGATATACCCCCCAAAACCAATAGAAGAAGAACAAGAAGTTGCATTTGTATTTGCACGCCGGCTTTCAGGACATACTCGCATCTTTCATACTCGATAGATGAAGATGGAAACAAACACAAGGTGCAGAACCGGGTCACCGGTTCTTGTAGTTGGGATAGAGGAAGAGGACGACGAGGACGACGAGGACGAGCCTAGACCGCTAGATATCATGTGGGTCTGCATCATCACATCAGTTGTTCTATTTGTAAAGACGGATCGGTTTCCGGAAGTAAAAAAAAAAACACAACAAAGGGGTTCAACACCGCATCATGTCATTCATGCATATAATCATCCATTCATGAATGAATGCGATCGCTTGAAGAGGCTCTGTGAAGTCCAAAGGGCACTGGTGTAGTTGTTTATAGTTTGTCTTGAACAGTCGAGATTGATTCTGAGTGGCTCGACGTGACAAACAGAATGCACGCCTCAAGCTTCCGACAAGATTTTGTTTTCATGCGAGAGATGGATTGATACCTGAAGTATGCCTATGCGCCGCCCGCCGCCTTGTGACTGATATGATATGAATCGCTACGCCATCCCACCCACGGTCGATTCTAAAATCTCCAACTCTACCAATTTCCTCTCCCACCATCGCCTACCTTCATGTGCGCCCATGCTCGTCGCTGCCAGACCCAATAACATGAGTAAATCTCTCAGGCTCAAAGCCTCCGTTTGGAATATATGTTGAAGTGGTGAAATGTAAATGAGACCTAATTGAGCGATGAACGATATGGAGACGGTGAGGAAGAGCATGCGATTACGAAAGAGGGGGCAAGTGAGTCCTCGATTTTGAAGTGCCGAGACGAGATCGAGAAAGACGAATACGGTGAATGTCTGGAAAGAGAGCTCAGCGGTGAGCTCGAGTCGGAAGTTCGTTTGGGGGAAGACCTTTTTCCTTCCTCCCCCCCCAAAGGACAAAAGAAAAACTCACCATGGTCTGATCCCTTCTCGACATGGATCCATCGCTGATCTCGTGTGCAAAGACATAGAGCGTACCGAGGACAATCATTGTAGCGCTGAATCCCACTCGCATCAATAATCTTCTGGAGATGATGCTGACGCCCTTCCGTCTCGGAGGTCGACGCATGATCTCTTTGTCGACGGGATCGACGCCTAACGCTTGAGCAGGCGGTCCATCCATCAAAATGTTGATAAACAAGATTTGCATCGCGTTGAGAGGATTGGCCAATTTGAGAAAGGTCGACAAGGTGATGAGTGTCAACGCGGCCACAGCGGTCGATAATTGGAACGAGAGGAAATTTTGAATATTGTAAAAGATGGATTTGCCTTCTTCGACAGCTGGAAGGATCGACGAGAAATCATCATTGACGAGAATCACATCGGCAGCTTCCTTTGCCACATCGGTTCCTGATTTGCCCATCGAGATGCCGATATCTGCCATTTTCAACGCTGGGGAATCGTTGACTCCATCTCCAGTCATCGCTACCGTCGCGCCGCGCATTTGCCACGCTTTGACAATGGCCATCTTGTGCCGGGGTGTCGTCCGCGCGAAGACAGTGGTGGAGGGCACTCGTTCGATGAGCTCGCGTTCCGACAACTGATCCAATTGGCTTCCAAGCATACAGCTACTCGCGCCGAAAGGCGCATTCGCCGATCCAGATGAGGGAGAGACTTTGAGTCCGAGTTCACGAGCGATCGCAATGGCCGTCGGCTCGGCATCCCCAGTGATCATCACGACTTGGACACCGGCGCCATGGAGCGCACTGATCGCATGAGAAACCCCTCGACGAGGCGGGTCCATCATAGCCTGAAAGCCGACAAAGACAAGGTCTGTCGCTTCGGCCGCGGGATCCTTCGGCGGGAAGCCATATGCCAAGGCGATCACTCGCAGGCCTTTCGCACTGACTTGATTGGCGCGATCTAAGACTGTCTTCTGCACAGAGGCGTCCAAGGCTGGCGTTGAGGAATCGGTCACGTAGTAGTATCGACAGCGTGCGATCACCGCCTCCACGGCTCCTTTAAGGTAACACATGTCCGCACCACCATTGTGACTACCCGTGATCATCATGTACTTGGTCTCAGAACTGAACGGGATTTCGCCTTTACGCTCAAAATTCTGTGTCGCAGTTCAGCGGGATACCCGGGCCTCATCAGCTCACCTTTCGAACATCCTCTGCCCCGAGGAGAGGTAATACATTGAGCAGGGCAACTTCGGTGGCTTGTCCGACATTGATGCCTTGTTCGTTCCGAAACGCATTGTTACAGATATTTCCTATGAGTGCAGACTTGAGCATGGCAGGAGAGGGGTTGAGCGTTTCCGATTCAGGATGTCGAGGCCCAAAGGATGGATGTAGATGCGGCCCCAGGTCAACGAGGTCATCCACAGCGTAAATATGCGTTACAGTCATTTCATTCTTCGTCAGAGTTCCTGAAAAGAGTGAGCTTTCGTCGTCATACCACATCACCACACTCACCCGTCTTGTCCGAACAAATGACACTGACACTGCCTAAAGCCTCCACAGTCGGCAGCTTCTTGACAATGGCCTTTCGTTTAGACATGCGCAGGACTCCGAGAGCCAAGGTGACCGTAGTGACAATAGGCAATCCCTCTGGAATGGCAGCAACGGCGAGTGAGACTGGAAAATGGGTCAGCTCGTCCTGGCGCGGGCAAGTAAAACACGCACCTCCAATGGTGAACATTTCGAGCCAGTCCCGACTCTGCATTACGCCGAGCAAGAATATGATCCCTATCACGAAGAAGGAGAAGATCGACAAACGTTTCGCCAAGTCGTCCATCATGAGTTGAAGTGGTGTTCGCTTCTCCTCAACCTGAGCAGGATTAGAGTGTAACTAGCGGAGCATTCGACATGACTCACATCCTGCATCATGGAGAATACGACGCCAAATTCCGTATCTTTCCCCGTCCCCACGACGATCCCAGACCCATGTCCTAGTGAGGGGATGAGTTGACAAGCAGCAAAAGGACGGCGCCGAACTCACCACTCCGCACCAGCGTTCCCATGAAAGCCATACAGTGTCTCTCGCCGAGTGCTTTGCCTCCCCCTTCACCGTGTGTATCTTCTCCTTCTCCTCGCTCGCAAATTGCTGTATTTTTCCTAGCGGGTCGGGTCTCACCCGTCAGAGCAGACTCATCAATCTCAAGTGAGACAGCGGTGATGAGTCTGATGTCCGCCGGGATTCGATCACCAACGGAAAATGTGACGAGATCTCCGGGAAACAATGCATTGGCGAGCGGAGATTGAGCTTGACCGTTCCTACAGGTTTCCATAAGTATATTTGGATCTCGTCATGTGTGCGAGGACTTACCGAATGAGATGACAATAGTGTGGCACGAGCTGAAGAGGTCAACTCTGCTGATGTAATCGACTAGAAGAACTGCTCACCTTGCTCAAGGCTTCCAAAGACTTTTCCGATCGCTGCTCCTGGACAAAGCCGACTGTTTTGACCATCAGGGGCTGTTTCAATGCAAATGCGAGACTTTTCTCACCCGTGAGGACAATGATGACGGTCAACACGACACACACTGCGTCATCGTATTGACCCATGAGTGCACTGACGGCACTGCTGCCCAATAACAGCAATATGAGCGGGGTCTCGTAGATGCCCTTGGCGAATTTAAGCCATAACGGCTCAGATGGCGGGAGTTCAAACTCGTTTGGACCGTATCGTGCCAATAAGCCCGAGAGCGCAGAATTAGACAGACCATCTGTAGGATGCGTCCCTAGCTCCTGGACTGTTTGCTAAGAAAGAGGTCCCGCAGGGTCAGTACCCTCGATACGGTGGTTGACTTTGCCTTGGAACCCACCTCTATGGTCTTGTGCGCGTAGATCGCACTTGGGGTCTCCTTATCCTTTCCTCCTACCAAGTCGCGACCTTCTTCTTCTTCCTCTCTTATCGGTTCATATTCGCTCCCTCGCCATATTCTCCGTCCAAACCCAATGAACCGACCAATGATCCCCTTGGAATCTCCATCGCCCATCCTAGTATGACCATTCGTTCTTCCTCGATGCGATCCATCACTATCGCGTCTTTGTCCCGGTCCCGGTCCCGGTCCACGACTCGAAGATCGTATAGAAGAAGATCCTCCGTTCCACGCATGAGGAAAGGTCTGGAATCCTGCATGGTCCGCAGAAGGTTGCCGACGTAATGTTGTGGAATAAGCGTAGGGACCATGTAAGCTTGATGAGATTGGTTGTTGAATCTGCCCATTTCCTCCAGGAGCCATAGGGGCCATCTCGGGATCTGACATGATGCTGTTGTTGTTGGTATTGTTGTTAAGTCCGTAAGCGTGAGGATCGTAAGGGTCAGAAGTGGGAGGGTAGGAAGGAGTAGGATAGAGGTACGATTTAGGTCTACCCCCACTTCTCGGTGTGAGACCTGGTCGAGTCGTACCGTTTTGGTGATCCACAGAGTAGAGAGGAATATGAGAAGGAGGAGGAGGAGGAGGAGGAGGAGTAGGTGTAGAGGTAGAGGCAGAGGTAGAGGACGAGAGTGGAAACGATGAAGATGATGGTACTGGAGCAGGACTAGGAGGAGCGGTCGGTCGCTGAGAAATAGGAGGTGATCGTCTTCTATAGGTCGAGCTGCTGGACCCAAAAGAATCCATTACGAACGTAAAGCAGAGATTGAAGTTGACTCTAGCTTTGGTTCTGACACGAAAGGGCCTGTTATGATACTTCGCGTCATGCGGTCCACAGCATGGATCTAGTCTAACTGAGAATGACAAGTATGTGAAGGCGAGACAAACATGAGGGAGGGATGATCACATCTAATAAACGTCCGACAAACGTTTGGGCTTTGCATTCCACCGATCCTCTTGATGTTTTTTTGGGCGCCCAAAAACTCGGGATTCGCCGAATCAAGAAAATAGCAGTAAAAAGCAGCGCTCTCTGCATGACTCCCCCTCCTGTCTAAGCTATCATCACTATGAGGCAGCAGCGATCCTGACCTGACGTCTAGGCTGCCATGCTCCTGAACCTGCTCCCTGACCTTGGCCACCACCAGCACCACCACCACCTTGTTGCCCTTGCTGACCGCCAGGACCTCCCTTTGAAGGTCCACCAGCATGCGTTTGCCGGCTCTCCTTCGCAGTAGGTAGAGGAGCTGCTCGAATAGTGTTGAACACCCTTTGAGCATGCTCCGCATTTCGAATGAAGAAGCCGGCGAAACGTCTGTGAGACGTAGTCTCCTCTACGTGGACCATGGACTGGGAACAATTTTTTTAGCTCTGAATCCGTACGATGGCTGTGTGCCTCGGCTCACCCCGTCAATGGTAAAGTCCAAATTGTTGGTGACTATCCTCTCTCCATCCAGCAAACTGGAACCCTCTCCCTGAGCTTTGGCATATGTCCTGGAGGCAGCTTTGAGAACCATCAACTGTTCCAAAACCTCCTCTTCTCTGTCCTTCTTGCCCTCCTCATCCAAGAATGCCGCGAGCTTGCTTGCGTCGATGGAAGTATACAACTTGAGCAAATTTCTCGCACCAACCACCCCGCGTACAGCCTTGACGTCCGACAGGAACAGCTCGACATGACGTTGCGTAGCATCTTGCGGTGGGTTGGCAATGTAGCTTTCGAGAGCTGATTGATCCTCATAAGGCGGTGGGTTGACTGAAAGGTATTTTGGGCAAGCTTGAAGGTAGAGCTCTTTGAATGTTTCAAGAGCTTCTTCACCGCCACGTTGAAGAATAGTGAGCTGGTCGCCATAGTGCTCCTTGACGATGGACATGATGCTTTCGTCACTTGGTCCAGGGGACAAAGTTGTGCAGATGGCGAGGAGAGCGTACATACGCTCGCACGTCTTGGTGATCTGAAGAAGAAGGAGGATCAGAGGGATACATTGTCGAGCCTCCAAGAAATATTACTCACCGAACCGTATTGATAACTCCTGGTGTGGTACTGTTTCATCCGGATGAAGAAAATCAAGACCGACACGAATGTCTTCATGGCGTCCGGCCATCGACCCAGAGCCATGTAGGCGCAGCCAACCTGACACCAAGTCAGCGTAAAAGTCGAGCGATGCATTGTGCACTCACATGGTAGTAGGTCGTGACGTGGCAAGCAGTGATTCGAGTCAAGAATGCGCCTCCACCCAGCTCCACATTCTCCATAGTCTGTAAAGCCACTGCAAAGGGTCAGCTCTGATACACCGATGAGCCGTGGTAGTCTCACATGTGGGATCTCCCAATAAGACGTGGACGCGCAACAAGCAGATGAGGGAAAAGTATCCGAGATTTCTGTAAAGGGATTTGGATCCATAGGCCCCTGCGATCTCTCTGATATACAGTGTGAGCTCGAGGGATAATACCGTTAGTGACCCCAAACTCACGCAACCTCCTCTGCAGTCTTGCCTTCCTTCTCCGCTTTAAGCTGCTCGTTGATTTGACTCTTTTGAACGAGGGAGTACAGGACGTTCAGGACAGAGTAACAGCTCCAGATCTGAGGGGCCTCCGCCAGCATCTCGAGCTCCTCCTCGTTCTTGTTCTTCGGGTTTGCCCTCCACTGCGCGAAAGATTGGAATTGGTAAACGAATTCGTCGAGCATATCCCAAAGCCATTGAATGGGCAGATCGAGTGGAACAGGACCCTCAGAGTCTGGCATAGAGTCAGTAGGCTTTGATTTGCCGTTTCGGTCCGACTCACTCAACAAGTAGTTGAAAAGCTCGCAGATGTTTTCGTAGGATTGGAAACGGTCGTCAATGGTGGGCTGTAGTTTGGCATAGACATGACGGAAGTACAGTTCTCGGTAAAGGGTAAGGAAGACTTGGTCTAGATTGTAGAGATGAGATGGATGTTCTCTGTGTTCACAAGTCAGACATACCGCTTTGGACCAAGGGGGCAATGATCTCCGCTTCAGGCCACTCATTTTGAGAGTAATGTGCTTGAGTCAACTTGTTCCATCCGGACTCGTACATGTTCGTGATGGTCGGTAAGTCGTTCTCTAGGATGGCCTGGTGGAACAGAACAAGGAACTGGGTAGGCAGGCATCAGCAATAACTCTCCTGCCGCTTGATTGGAAGTCCCCCCTCACCCTCTTCACATCTTCAGGGACAACTTCCAACATTTGACTCTGCTCCAGCTCTGCTTGCTCCTGTTGAGCCACCTGCTGAGCGTAGGCATGTTGCTCCAACTCTTGCAGCCGTCTGTATTCGTCCTCGTAGCTCGCATCGTTTCCGCTTTGGTACGCTGGGACCGCAAGAGAGGACAAGAGCTCGTCCTCTTCGGGTTCGTAGAAAGCGTTTGGGTCGGCCATGATGGAAAGTTGAGCCTTTTTTTTGTGTCGTGTCCCAGTGCTCGATCTCCGTCTCTCTGCAGTCCTTCTTGAGGTGATATGGACGTCTGATCTCTCTCTACGAGATGCTTTTAATGTCGTTCGTTGGCTCGATGACACGCTCTCTACACCAAAATGCTTGCTTAACTGGACAACAATGTGTACTTGGAGATGATAATTTTTGGGCAAATGCCGAGACTCGAATGGAAGAGTGGCACCCGAAGTATCTTATTGCATGGACATCACTTGACAGTCGATGATGACGGCTATAGCTAGGGGCATAAGCAGGTCTGTGATTTGTCACTGGTCGTCATGGCCACGCAAGGTCAATGGCAAGGCATCAGCATGGCCTCAGGCGGTCCGAGTCGTTTCGTCCATCGGATGCAGTCGTGGACTTCTCGGCATGCGAGAGTACGCGACCTCAGGTCGACACGAGGTGGAGACTGGCTTCATGGAGGATGCTGAAGAGGAGAACGAAGACCTGTTTGAGCCTGTGGCGTCTGTCCAATCACCTCTGTCTGAACAATTTCGAGCGACAGATCCTCCATCGCCGGATGCACCTCGGAGACCTCGACTGCCGACCTCGCAGAAGAAGCTCAACCGATTACTGTCTCGGCATGTCATGCATGATGTCCTCGAATCAGAGCTCGAGGAGCAATTCGTCAGAGGTTCGTGCCGAGTCTCTGTGTCTGGCGCGTCACTTGTCTGACCCTGGCCGCAGGCAGAGGACCGGGAGGACAAGCTATCAACAAGACGAATTCGGCTGTCCACCTATTGCACATTCCTACGGGTATTCGGGTACACGCTCAGCCCACTCGACTTCGTGGTAAGAATAGAGAAGCCGCAAGGAAGATCTTGAGGCAGAAACTGGATGATCTACGAGCCAAGGGCTTATATCCGCTCCGGGAGGGAGACGAGATGAATCTTGCAGAGGAGATTGTGGTCAATCCAGAAGATAGTAAAGCGGAAGATGGGGTGACTCCTGAAGTTTCTGGACCAACGACTAAGCCTGGCTCCAAGCTCTCCAAAGCTGAACGGAGAGCTGAGGAGATCGCCCTCTCATCCGCTTATTCTCAAAACGAACTTCGAGCTGCTAAGATCAGAGCTCGAAAGGCGAAAAAGGCCAAGAAGCAGAAGAAGAAGCACAGGGACAAGGCGGGCAATAGCGAAGAGGACGCAAAGAGTGCATCGTGACAGGTGTAATGTAGCACAAAGGGGTATAGATACATGCTGGATATCTGTGCATCGATGCGAGGGGCAATTTACTCGTCGTTCGTTTCGAGATTGATCTGCTTGCCAAATTTGGCATACCTGAAGGCAGGAATCGTGAGCTCGTTGCCTCGAGGATGGGTTTGAGCCAGCTCACAACATAACTTTGAGCTCTTTCATTCCCTTTTGACACTCTTCTGCTCTGTCATTCAGATCTGAAATCTCTCTGTTGTACCGGCTCAAATCGCCTTTCAATTGTTTCTTGGCGTCTTTGAGAGGGAGGTAGAAGAATGCTTCACCTATCCTGTAGAGGAATGGACCGGATGATGAGTCGGCCAGCATGAACTCGGTGGACAAGTCATCATAGTATTCCTTCTCTTCCTGAGGGGGGGAATTTTCAGCTCTAAAACCCCTACTTTGGAAGCCCAGTGGCAGAGTCGATTGAGAGATACTGACCTGCTTCAATTTGAGCTGATCTTGTATGTCTGTCAGCCTGTTGTTGAGCTTGGAGAACGAGCTGATGCGTTGTTGGTCCTCTGCAAGGGTTTGGTCAGCCTAGAGCGAAATTACACGCCGAGCGCTCACCCCAAGCCACTTCAATATCATCTTGCTCATCCTCCGGTGGTAGCTATCATCCGACTGCGTCAGATCTACTGCAAGGGCACTTCCATGTACCTACAAGGCTCATATCGATGCTCCTCTCCAACCGTCGTCAATGTTCACCAGCCAAAGCGCTATTGAATCGCCAGGTATGCAGGTACCTTATCACGAACCAGAGTCCACAGAGTATGCCACGTCATCTTGTCACGTCCCACTCTTTTGTTTTTTGACGCGTTGCTTTTCCACGGTTGCGCCATTGTTTCATCTTCAAGGTGGTCTATGGGATGTAGCATATCAAGTGTGCCAGTCTCGAGAGCAACATTATCAACACTGAGACTGACTTGAAGCAGAAGCAGCACACTTTCTCTTCTTCCCCCCCTGCCTAAGTCTGTTGGAGGACCTACGTTCCTGCATCACCAAAGCTCACCAGCTTACCACACTCTCAACCTCAAGGATCATCTCGTCCAGCTTGGCACTGTGACCACCATGAACGGTGGACTGGCAACGGATACGAGGAGAAAGCAGAGCAAGAGAGACGAGGTGAGTGCTCTAGATTGCACATTCAGTTTGGTTCCCCGTCAAACTCTCCCGAGGACCTATACTCCAGTCAAGTCGTCCAAAGTATCAGAGGTACCTTGAGAACGCTTGGACCATCGGCAAGGGGGATAAATGTCTCAGGATCATGTCATCGTGATATGTTGCATCCGAATCATCTGTGCAATTCAGGTCGGAGCTGCTTCTGCAGTCTCACGAAGCGTCGTCTCAGGCAGGTCGGAAGGTCTACCTTCTCGTTGACCTAAAGCCTCCTTCCTCTGCCCCTGTCCCATCCTTTGAACCCCCCACGTCCTTGTTCTGTCATCAAACATATTGTCCCAAGAGACCTGTTTACATCGTTCCTCCATCTTTCACCTTTCAATTGTCTCACTTCCTCATACCATGAACCACACTGACAAGACCCCTTCTTCTACTTCATTCCCTCCTCATCCACCTCGATCCTCCTCACTCCCATCGATTGACTCCATCATCTTTGGTCCTCACGCTATGACCACCACTCAACGCCCACTGCCAACCCCTCCACTCTCCGAACGTTCATCTCCCTCATCACCTCGCTCAACCGACGAATCTCCGCCTCCCTCTCGCATTCCAACACCTGTCAAATCGAAATCGTCCAAATCTAAACGATCAAAATCAAACTCTAAACCATCTCCAACCATTCCTACGACCACCCAATCTGCCTTCTATCCCTCTCACGAACCTACACGAACAACGTCGGATCGCCTCAAATCCAAATCGTTCATCTTCCCCGCTGCTCACCGTACACCCTCTGGGCCCGCTGCACTCAATTCCGACGCCTCGCTCCATCGCGATTTCTTTCCTGACGATACCCCTCGTCCGCGGTATTATTCCACCGTCTCGCAATATGCTGTCCCTAAATCCGACTCATCCGGTAAACTCACTGGCAAACTAAAGTCCCTGCGAAAGAAGATCGAGACAGAACTGTCAAGGAAGCGAGGAGCTCCTTCCAGGAACCTGGGACGAGATGAGCGAAGGGCAAACCGAAAGGCTCAACAGGGCACGGTTGCTGGCCTCAGGCCGAGTCCAGCTCTCACTGTCCCTGAAGGCATGACCGTTGCGGATGCCAGTCAACTCTGTGCAGCCAAGCGAACAGATTGCGTCCTGGTCGTCGACGAGGAGGAGGGTCTCAGCGGTATTTTCACTGCCAAGGACCTGGCTTTCAGGGTGATTTTAGAGCTGCAACTCTGTTGTACCCTTTCATGAGCTCACAATCTCTAGGTTACCGCCGAAGGTCTCGACCCGAGATTGACCACAGTCGCCCAGATCATGACCAAGAACCCCATGGTCACCCGAGATACCACGAGTGCCACCGAGGCGCTCCAACTGATGGTCAGCCGAGGCTTCCGGCACTTGGTGAGCTCTCTTTCCTATGCTCTGAGCTGACGGATACAGCCTGTCTGCAACGAAGACGGCGATGTTGTCGGTCTCCTCGACATTACCAAGGTCTTCCACGAAGCCCTCGCCAAGGTCGAGCGAGGGTCCTCCGCTACATCTCAGCTGTCCGCGGCTCTTGCCGGTGTCCAGTCTGAGCTTGGACCCGGAATGGCTAGCAATCCTCAAGCTGCAGCCATGATGGCCTATGTCGACTCGCTCCGTGAGAAGATGTCTCTCCCCGATCTCACGACCGTTCTGGACCCTCGAATGAACCCTCCCATCGTCACGCCTCGAACGACAGTCCGAGACGCCGCGAAATTGATGAAGGAACGTCGAACAACTGCCGTGTGCGTGATGGAATCGAACAACGGCTCTAGCGTCCTTAGCGGAGCTAGTGGAGCTGGAGGGCACTCTCGAATCGCTGGAATCTTTACCAGCAAGGATATCGTCCTTCGTGTTATTGCTGCCGGACTGGACGCGACCCGATGCAGCGTCGTCAGGGTTATGACTCCTCATCCTGACACTGCTCCTCCCAACATGATCGTTCAGGATGCCTTGAAAAAGATGCACAGTCAGTTGTGGACCGCGCTCCCTGATAAGAACTGACGCTGTGAATAGACGGGCATTACCTCAACTTGCCAGTCGTGGACGATGACGGACGCCTCATGGGCATCGTTGACGTGCTCAAGCTCACTTACGCAACGCTCGAACAGGTAAATGGACTCCTGTTGTGGGCACTGCTAATGTTTCGCAGATTGAATCGATGAGCGAGGAGCAAGAGAACGGCACTTCCGGCCCAGTTTGGGGCAAATTCTTCGAAGCCATCAATGCCGGCGGCGACGATGGGGACACTGCTTCTGAGATTTCGCACAGTCGTCCCGACACACCCTCGCGAAGCTTCAGACACCGTGCGCTGGATAGCATCGCCTCGCCCATGTCTGAAGTCACCCCCAACGATTCGGCATCTGTGGCTGGCTTCCGTCACGATGATGGCGCTTCGGAAATAGCGAGACACGTCGCTGCGTCATCTGTCGCACCTCCCTCAGTGCCCACTGACGACGGTACTTACATCTTCAAGTTCCGAACACCTTCTGGCAGGACGCATCGGTTCCAGGCCAGACACGACAATTTTGAGCTTTTGCGGGACATCGTTGCTGGGAAACTCGCCACCGATCCATTCTTCCGTCAGCCGATGAATGCCAATGGAGACAATGAAGTGGCTCCACCTGATCCCAACGTCTTCAGCGTCAGCTATACGGACGACGATGGGGATCTCGTTACCATCACTGCGGATGCCGACGTTTCCGATGCCGTCAAGATCGCTCGAGGGAAAAAGACTGATCGAGTGGTCCTCTTAATCGATGGTGGCAAACTTTGGGAAGATGCAGCTCGGGATGCAGGTGGTGACAAGGCGGTTGAAAAGCTCAAAGCGATGGAACAAGAAGTTAATGGTGTAGAAAAGGAGGAAGAAAAGATGGAAAAGGCCTCGGCGGATCCTGCCAAAGTGCCGACCTGGGGCAAAAGAGGGATCGTACATGCTCATGGGGCTGCGGAGGAGCTCATTGGAGGTGTTTTACCCAAGGATATGGTCTTGCCAGCGGCAGTTGGATTCTTGGGCGTGGTGATTCTGGGAGTTTTCATCGCCGGCAGAGCGAGCAAGTGAGAGGCGTCCGAGTCTCTGAGAAAGCTATCACGAAGTACTCTTTCACATCATCTCTTTTCTTCTTCACCAAATCACTGTACATATTCATCAACTTTACGCCTCGTCAGCTTCTCGTACGAAACATTCATGCCATATCCCATTTTGTCTGCTCTGTGAAATCATTCGCGTGGAGGAGGCCTGCTCCGACTAAAGATCCAAGTTTCCCTTTTGTCCTCAGCTCAGTCTTTGGTGATAAGTCTTTAGAAGTGGTCACTCACTATGGCCGTCGTCGAGGATGTCCCAGATGAGTCAGAAGTGAGATGAACTTCCCTTCATGAAGGGACAGGATTATTCATTTCAGAATATGGATGGACTGACAAGCTTTCAGATACCTCTCAAGCACCCATCTGAAATCCGAAATCAAAGCGCTCGAGAACCTCTCGTAGAATTATCCTCAGGATCCAATCTCCGTCAACGCAGAGTTCAAGCAGGAGCTGACTCGGAGGATGTAGAGCACGATGAGGAAGAGCTCAAAGCTGTGGATGCGAACGGATCAGCATTGAAGTCGATCATGACAGGAGGGGAAGATGTGACGCCGGAATGGTTCGATATTGGGATCATGACTGTTCCTTTTGTCTTCCTCTACTTGTTGCTGGATATGTGAGTCATTGCGAGGACGACTTTCTCGAGCGGAGCGGAGCAGACAGACGCTTGCAGATGATCTTGACTGATTCATCACAGTCTCGTTCATTTGCAATATCAACATCGTCCGACAGTGGAACACTTGACCATGAACTTGATCAAGGCAGTCCCAAGTGAGTTTGAACAAATCTGTGAACAAATCTGTGAAGAAACATGTCACATTTTGCTACGGACTGACAGGGATGCCAATAGCGCTAGGCGTGATAATGTACTACAGTGAGTTAGTTGTGGCCGCTGTCACGGAAATATCACAGCAATGGCCTTCTGTCTGTCCGATTGACAAGCTGATTTCGCCGCGCTTTGCGCAAATGTTCTGTCCATCTTCAGCCACTAAGCATTCCTCTCACTTTCTCACCAATTCTCTTCTCATGTCGGCTTCTGTCATCTCCGGATGCAGATTGATTTGGTTGGTCAACATGGCTGGATGGAGCTTGACGACGGATCAGGTGAGTGAGATTGCTGTCTTTGCACCGGCTGTGCCGTGCCACCCTCTGCTCACTCGCTCACTCGCTCGCTCGCGCTTGTCGCTCAGGCCCCGGCTATGGGTACAATATGGATTCTCACCATTGTGCAATTACCCCTCTCGCGAGCTCTGATAGCTTTGGGGATCGTGGCTGGCTGGACAAAATACGCAGGAATGAAAATCTCACCATGAGTGTCGTGATGGTCATGCAAAAGAGGTTCAGATACTGTACAACGATTGAAAATAACTACAACAGCTCCATCCGCTTTCATGGCGCGGGCGACTCGCTCGTCCTTGTCTTTACAGTCACACTTGCGCTTCTTTCCTTGCTCTTTGCTTTCACTTTCTTTGTCCCAGGCTCGCGTGGACCTCCAGTGCCCTCCCTCTGCGCATTCTTCCAGCCTTTCTTCGGGCCAGGTTTCCGACGCCCTTCCTCTGGTGCAGTGCCAGAAGGCTTCGAATCGCCGCTCTTGACCCCCTCTGTTGCACTCGACTTTTTGACCTTCTTCTTGGGTTTCGCGAGGTCTTCATCCGTTATCCCTAGGTAATCTTTACCAACCGTATCGACGAGATCGAAATGTGATTCGGTTTGATTGATAATTCGCCGGCTTCGTGCCAATTCCCCCGCCAGGTGGTTCATGATGTCGAATCTGTCCAGGTACTTCCGCAGTGATGGATGAGACGCGAGTCTATGTCGCACAATCTGTGTGGAGAGCAGGACGGGCTGGTGTGCAGTGTTTGGTTCTGGTCGTATCGGAGGGACAGGGCGACACTAGGCGGATGGTGAGCTGTGAACCGTGATAAAGCAAACCACCCAGCTCACCAGGTCTGTCAGAAAGTCCGCGACCATGTCCTCGATTAGATCCACAGATTCAATGTCGGGCTCTGCTACGTCTCCAGCGGCATACATGAGTCTTGAAACTGAAGACGAATCAGCCAAACCTTATCTGTGAGCGAAAATTGAACTCACTCTCGCCTCGCATGGATCCGCGAAAACCCTCGCTTGCTCGATCTCGCTTCCTCTCATTCAAATCGACCAATCTTTCGCGCTCCTTTACGGCCGGTCGAACGGGAGCAGGGGCCGCTGGCACTCGAGCCGGGACAGGCTCCTTGTTCGTCGGCTCGACACTTGCAAAGTAGATCGGTGCGCGAGCCTCGGAGACCGTAACCTTTTTCTTCGGCTTGTCTTGCTGAGCTGTGGCGCTAGTGGGCTTAGCTGGAGCTGAAAGCAAAGGTGGGGGAGCTTCCGATTTATCAGACGATTGGTATGGACTCAATACCGATGGCATGGAAGGTGCGGGTTTGGCAGCCGGACTCCCGGTCGATGCGGGTTGAACAGATGTTGTGGAGGGAGGTCGAGGCAGTGTGGTCGGTGTTGGAGTATTCATCAAAACACTGGGTGGTTGTGCTGGACTGGCAGCCGATGAAGTGGAGACAGGTGCCGGTGGTCGAGCTACATTAGGGGGACTGGGCGCTGCCGTCGCCGCTTGAGGTGAATGAAATGAGGTCGGAGCCTGAAACGTAGGAGACGGGGCATTAGGAATCGGCACAGAGTTCTGCCGGACTCTTTGATTCGCTCGATTCGCCTGTGCGGCTTGCAATGCGGCATTAGAGAGGTTCATTGGCGGACGGACGGTGGCCTGTTGAAGTTGCTGAAATTGCAGTTGAGGTGACAAGGCCAGCTGAGGTTGGGCTTGAGGTGAACCGTACGTCTGAGACGAAGGGGACGATCCGTCGTTTGCACCAAACGTCTGAAATGGGATCTGGGGAGATTGTGACGAACCTCTACGGATAGGAGCTGCAGGCTGAGGGATCCGCTGCTGGGGAGACGGAGCTGAGGACCCTGCTGCAGAACCTTTGGGAGACCCAGTCTGACTCTGAGCAGCTTGAGCCTGCTGAAGGATCCTGGCGAGACCGAGGCGTTGTTCAGGCGTAAAGTTGGCGGTGCGCGTTGGATCCTCTAACAACTGCTTGATTTGAGCTGGAGTGAGACGGGAGAGTGCGGACCCGTTGTTCCGAGGAGCTGCAGCGGGAGCAGGCGCGGATCCGGCCTGTAGAGTCTGAGGAGGTCGCTGCTGTTGTTGCTGTTGTAGCTGTCGCTGTTGATATACTTGTTGTTGTTGCTGTTGCTGCATCTGCTGCGGCGTGAATTGCTGACCCATTTGCGCGAACAACTGTTGCTGACTGGGTGTGCGCTGTAACGAAGGTCTAGCATTCATAACGGGCTGTTGGACAATTTGAGGAGAGGCCTGTCGTTGTTGTACAAGTTGTTGATACTGCTGCGCTAATCCAGCCGTTGGCAAGACACCTTGATGATCCTGTTGAGCCTGTTGAGCCTGTTGAGCTCGATGGAACTCAGCAAGCTGCTGCATATTCGGTGAGCCGAACTGCATGTTCGGTGATGATCCGGCTGCAGAGGACGGAGTGAATTGATTCGGCATGAGTACGGGACTATTGGTAGATTGGACCGGTCGATTGGGAGTCTGACCATAGAAAGGTTGTTGAGGGTTCATATTCTGAAAGCCCGACATAGTGACGCCTAACCGTGATAGTGTTCCGCGTCAGCATCACACCACCAAAGATCAAAGCAAAAACAGGGAGTTGGAGAGGAGATTGGGGGAAATCATAGAAGCCGGTTAAGCAGTCCCGATCATCTCCGCTGCCTCGTCTCACAACCACTCGCTCACAACTTGCTCTACTACCAAAACAGCAGAAGAGCTCGTCGTGATCCTCCGGGGCAAGACCCTAGAGACAATCACTCTAGAGTATCCTTTCGTCATCGCACACATAGCAACCGGATTATGCAGACTAATCACAGGCTCAGAGGCAGACAGTGAGCCAAAACTCGAATTCTCTTCGGGCTAGTCGTCGATCAGAGATCAACTTTCGCCTGAGATCAAAAGAGCCAGCATCGAAAGTCCCATATCTGGGTCGTTTTCATCACACATCGAGAACGCTTGTGGCTGGAAAGGATAGAGTGATTGAAGTGGGGAGAATCAAGGAGGGCGATGAGTTGAGCTCAGAGAATGGATTGAGCTGAAGTTAAATCATATCGAAAAGGTCGAGAGGAGTAGTTGACGAGGAAGTAGAAAGGAATGCATGCTCACGACTATCTACGAGGGTCGAAATTGACCCTTTTGTGCGCTTCGGCGTGGTGTAGGAGCGTCGCGACTTTCTGCCCGCCTCTGATGTTCCCAAGTCAGCTCTTCGCTCACAGCGAACAAACTCAGAGGTGAAGAAGTTGGAAGAGACATCAGAAATGTGTTTTTGGTATAAGGTGTATCGCTCATGCTTTCTCGGTAGCAGAACTGAATAAAAGATGTTCATCACGAAGAGGGGGAGGGGAGATCGTTGATGACTGGAAGGAGATGTCCGCACTCACGTAGAGAATCTGCACCCTCTCCAGGGTCAGGCTGTTAGCCTCGAGCCACAACTTGTCTCAGTCGAGCATCAGCATGATTGCAGCAGTCGCTGTCGTCAAGTAAGGGGAGGAAGAGAACAAAGAGAGAATGAAATGCTGAATTGAACAGTTTGGACTGCTGTTCGAGTCGTATCTCCACCGTGGGAAACTAGCTTGTCTGGCGACTTTTTGCCACTAATCCATGGTCTGTGGTGTATCTTGCTATTGATCCATAGACGAAGCTTGTCGCGATCTTCTCTGCATCTTACAGCACCTTCAGCGCCATGGGAGCTGATGGTGGATCTATCCCGGATCGTACAGATCTCGTCAAGACAAAGGCAAGGACAGTTCAGACTGACAAAGCGTATCTAAGAGAATTGTTTCTCTTCTGCGCTCTCAGCAAGGTAAGTACACGATTCAGTCTTAAAGGGATGCTGCTTAAATTCTGGCCGTAGAGGATACTCTCAAAGCCTGTAGTCATTGACCCGCTTGGGAAACTGTACAACAAAGATGCGTTGATAGAGTACTTTCTGGACAAGTCCAAATATGGGGATGGAGATCAAATCTGTGGATATCTCAAGGGCGTCAAGGTAGGTTCAGGAGCGAGCGTCAAAGGTCCAAAGCTCCTCATAGCATGTCAATGGATCGGTACTGAAAACGAATTCTATAGGATGTTCTCACGCTCAACCTCACCGACAACCCTGAGTATTCTCCCCCAGCATCTTCTACGACCGTCTCAGCACCTCTCAAAGCACCTTTTGTGTGCCCCTTGTCCCTCAAAGAAATGAATGGAGCAGTACCGTTCATCGCTCTTCGGCCTTGTGGCTGTGTCTTCTCCGACGCTTCAATTCGAGCCGTCATTCCGAATCTGACCAGAGGCGTTGGAAAATCTCAGAACAACCTGGATGATAGACCAGACGAAGCCAAGCCCGTCGTCTCTACATCCTCCTCCTCCAACATGGTCACTTGTCCGAATTGCGGAAAAGATTTGGATCCGACTCTCAGTACGTCCATACTTCCTATCAACCCGAGTAAAGAGGTCCAAGAAATATTACTGGAGCAGCTTTTGATCGCTCGTGCAAGCGCAAAGGCCTCGAAGAAGAGAAAGGCGGTCAATCACGATGTAGATGTCCCAGTCAAGTCTGTCAAGACGTCGGCTGCTATCGTCGCAGCACCTCTGTCTCCCAAAAACGGCGCAGATCGGACGGAAAAGGAACGCCCCAAATCCGGCAAACCTGCTGTACCCTCAGTCGTGGCTCACAACACTCTGAATCGCTCGGTCCACCAAAAGCTCGCTGAGGTCGAAGCGAAGCGATTGGCAGGTCAAGCGGGAATGAGCGATGCTGTCAAAGCAATGTTCAGACCGAAAGAAGAGGCCAAAAAGGGAGGAGCGCAAGACTTTTTCGGTCGGACGTTCAATAGGGTAAGTCAATCACTGCGCATTTAACAGGACGTCGCGCTGATCGGTTGCTACAGTATGCCTAGGTCTGGTCGCAGTGACTCTGTGTCGTCCGTCCGATGGTGTCTGTAGAGTCTCAATTTCATGTAGTCGTAGTAGAAATCATACGTTGTATGCACCTTTTCATCGTGACTGATTTTCCGGCTTCGGAATTATCATCTTTTGGAGGTACATGAACATCTCTACGACTCATGTTCTTGTGGAATCCTTCGCCGCCTGCGGGTACAAGACTTACAGCGGAGTGAATTCTCTCCGATCTCGAGATCAAAGATGTCGAGGATGTCGGATCTCGGCCATGACCTTGCCTGCCCGTCATCCGCCTTTCCAAGCTGTCGACATCAAACTTCGGTGGTGATGATGGCACCCCCGCTGCCGAAGACCAAGCCTGTTGCTGCCGAAGCTGTGACCAACAGCGCGACCAGAGAGCTTTCAAGGACCACAGGTACGGTTACTGCCTCTGGTCTATTCACTTGGAAACGTCAGCCCAAACGTCAATCACCACACGGACACCATGAGAACTTGAAAAGAAGGCCAGGTATGGGTATGCAAGCTACTCCAGCGAGGAAGAAGAAGGCTCGAACAGGTAGCAAGGTGAGGTTTGCGACTTTCCGCATTCACATTCACATGCTCATCTCATGCTGTATTAGGGAAGCATCGGGATGCATTCCACTCCCCGCGCGGGGGCGTATTCTCGGGCTTCTCGAACGGTTCTCACGACACCATCTCGCCCCGCTCGACTTGGGGAAGATTCCGACCTAACGTCGACAAGCTCTTTGCCCGTCTCCTCCATGGCGGATCCTAGCGATACAGGATTCTTTGCCCCGCCCGCAATCAATGCGAGTCCTTCTTTTCGCTGTGGTTCAGGAGAAGAGATCCCTCAGACCGCTGAATTCGATCTCACCGCTAAGCCGAAGCTTTTCCACACTGCCCGAGCTCCCAACATCGATTGCTCATACTCGACAGACGGACAACATTCAGTAACCAGGAGTGCGGGAGGAGAAACTCTGTTCCCAGGTCTCGAGGAGGTGATCGTACCTGTCAACTTTGCTACCTCCTCCTTCACGTCAAGATCGTCGGGCGATGAGGGGTACCGGTACCGGGACACATTAGCAACAATCAAGCCTGGCTCATCGTCCGGGTCTGAAATGACAGGCAGGTCTTTCCACGATCAAAGCGCGGTGCATGCGAAGCGAATGGATCAACATCAGTCCATCACCCACGAGGACTTCAGTGTGCCTCTCAATGACTCGACACAGAGGTCTGAACACAGTGCATCCTCTCGAGGCCCGTCCCGCTCTACCGGAAACGGGATGAAGAGGAGTGTGGCCACCTCTGATATGCAGAGCTCCCGGACTACCAGCGGTAAATTCCGATCTAAAACTCCAATTGTCCAGAGAGCCACCAGTGCAGGTCGATGGATACCTCAAGGTGGCAGCTCGGTACATGGGCGTCCGTCGACTCCTTATAGGCAGAACACTCACACCCGATCTGTACCTTTCGAGCCTGTCTCCTCGCAGTCCGACTTACCTGGGTCTTCTACCGATGAGGTTCGGCAAAATGAGGGTTCACATGGACATTTAAGGACTGATGAAGAAGCTATTTCAGACAGAGCAGAGGAGCTACCCGATGGATCTCAGCTTCCAACTTGCGGACGCCTCTTGATTTCGAACCAGCGCTTGATTGGGACCAGTCAGGTTGGCCTGGAAGATTCTTCAGACATCTTCTCATCTGTTGAGGAGGCTCGCGGCAGGTCCCAAATGGTACAGGATGGCGGCTCGAAACGAAATGAAGCTTTAGCTCAGATCTGGAACGTCTCAGATTGGGGTGCCCCGTTTGCTCAGAGGCCTCTGGATAACTTTGGCTTTCCGAGTCCAGGCGTGGACGATGTCGTCGAAATGTCAAGTCTCGTACGAGAGTCGGTTCAACCGGAACGATTTGTGCTTTCCTCGCAGCTCGATGGAGATATGCCTCACGCTCGATCCAGCTCTCCACTTGCCTTCTCCTCTTCAAACTCCTCTTCTGGGTACTCGAAGACTCGCACACCTACAGCTGAGACCCACTGCCAACGGAGGCGATATGGCTACACTCCGAGCCTGGTAACCCTGCCCGATGAGGACGAATCTGGAGGTCTTCGGGGAGTCTGGAGAGGCGCGGAGGTCCTGGCTCGGATGGAAGGCGAAGGCGAAGGCGAAGATGCACAGCATGCAGATGAAGAGAAGGTTGGGATCGACAAAGCAACTAAGGCTTGTAAGGGCAAGCGACGAGAGCCCGCACTCGATGGTGGCATCGACCTGGAAGGAGTGAGTCAGCCCGAAGACTTTGTCCGGACACCCTCATTGACCCAAAGCTTGGACAGGAGGCGGAGCAAGCTAGACAAAGACGATTGACATACTTCCGAGATCTTGATATGAATTACCGTCTCCGAGTGGAGTACGTCAGGCTGCTTAGGGGCTGATAGGCGAGGGCTTATTCTGACGGACTCTTTTGGTGATACACTAGCATTCATGTCATATACGTAGTCCCACGGGCGTCAAATATGTAAAGATGAGCTCATACATTTCTTGATGCGAGCGATCTCTAGATCATGTATGACCCCGAAGGAAGGAAGCTGCTCGACGGTCTACTTCGTCCAGGCGCCTTCACAGTACCAGTGGAGGTATACATTGGCATTTGGGATCTGCTCGGGCTAGAGAGGGTAAATATCAGCCATGCGAGCTTCTCGATCCGATGTCACTCACTGTGCAAGATGACCCTAGGCATTCCTTCAACAAATCGGCAGTCGTTTCACAAATACATTCACTATCGTCGTCTTTGCACACGGTCTGTTCGCAAGTCAACCCTCCTGAGATGGAATGGTGGTCGATGAAGAGACTCACCTGATTGGACTTGGCTTTTGCCAGGCAGTCGAACGTACATTGAGGAGTAGAAGCGTCAGGCGCTCTGACTCCAAGGAGATGAGAGGGTTCAGGACCGTCTCCTCCAGGGGTAGCGACTGGACCATCGAGGGCGGCAGCCATTCCTACACTGCCGAGCGAGGCGAGAAGGATGCAGAGGTTGCTGTATCTCATGCTTGACCAGAACTCAATAGCAGTGTGATGTATGAGGAGATGTGCATCAAGTCACAGCAGATATTCATGAGAGCTTGTATACCTGAATCGTCTCGTCACTCTCACGCTCTCCATTGTAGAGCTACAGTACTATCAAAGGACGTTCCCCTGGATCTGCGTTATCCGAAGGATGTTTAAGGGACAGACCTGCAGTCCCGGAAAGCTGGGTAAAACTCCTTGTACGTTTCACCAAGCTGTGATCGCCTATATGGGATCTCAATGGACGTTCTCTGGTCAATAAATATACGGTATATGTGCCGAATCAATGGTACGATATGTGCAGACCTTGACCCCGCATGCGCCACATTCGGCCCCGGATCGGACCGAAAAATGCCAAGGCCAAGTGTTGGGAGGAGGGAAGGGATGGATTTGGACACCCCCCCGGTCCGGACGAGAAAATCGGATGAGAAAAGTCGGAAACTGACCCGACAAGGGACCGATAATCTTCGGGAGCCTAGAGGCTAGAGGGAATGGAGAATGACCAGGATCCCAGGGTACAAGTATCGGGATAGTGGGAGCCCCGATTGAGGCCCCCCCTTCTTCTCTTTGTCCCATTCTCGCCACCAAGTCGCGCGTTGACGAAGCGTTTCTTTGGCCATCAGACCCACACCGCGGTAACACCATGACCACTGTTCAGCCTGCTCACGTTACGAATCCTGGAGAGGATATCAAACGGGAAGAAGAGATCGACATGACAGACGACCTCAGACTCAAACATGATAATCACGCTACTGCCATCCTCCCTGAGGAACTCCAAGGCATGTCCCAGGCGGAACTCGATGCTGAGGAGAAGAAGATGGTCAGAAAGATGGACATGATTATTCTGTGAGTTTGAACGAGGGGGTAGCAATGGGCTAGTTTGAGGATATATGCTGACGACTGCCTCCACAGGCCCATTATGTGAGTTCAACCGCGCGCACGCACGCGCGCATAGCTGGTGCTGACTCGACTGAAGAATGACTCTCTACATCTTGAACTGTGGGTGTCACCGAGATGCGCCCTGCTCACGTTCAGATATCGATCGTCAAAACTTGGCCGCAAGTAAGCTACAAGGTATCATGGAGGATCTCAAGATGTCAACTCAAGACTTTGCCACTGCCATCTCAATCCTTTACGGTGAGCGGAATCGGCGTGGTAATTGCTGAGACTCAACACAGTCGGATATCTGCCTTTCCAGCTGCCTTCGAACTACATCATCTCACGAGTCTCCCGACCAGGACTGTACATCTGTTGTGCTGTGATGCTCTGGGGTACTATCTCCGCTTGCACAGCGGCCGCTAGTAGCTACAGCGCTCTGTTGGGTATCCGAGTGCTGCTCGGTGCCAGTGAGGCAGTCTTCTTCCCCGTGAGTAGAGATGGCACGAGGCAGGGAAATGTCGTCCTGATGGACAAAAGGGTGCTTTATATTACCTTTCAGCCTGGTATACCAAGAAGGAACTCGGCAAGCGATACGCCGTGGGTCTTTTCAACGTCGTGGAGGAATACGCTGATCCGTCCATAGGCACTCTTCATTGGTCAGCAGTTGGGCAACGGATTTGGTGGTCTGGTCGCAGCCGGTATTCTCAAGCTCGCAGGCAAACACGGACTCGCAGCTTGGCAGTGGCTATTCATAGTGTAGGTCGAAGAGAGTGGTCGGAGCTCTCTGCTGATGTACCTAGTGAGGGGTCCATCACCGTTGGTCTCGGAGGCATTTTCGCCTGCTTCATGGTGCGTTTACATCTGCCGTGCGATAAGCTGATCGCCATCTTAGCCCGAATACCCCCACAACGCCAAGATCTTGAGTCCGACTCAACGGGCTCTGGCTGTTTGGCGTTTGGAGCAAGAGGCCGGCGCGGCTGAAGGTCGAGAAGACATGTCGACTACCAGGGCGTTCCTCAGTGCTTTGACCGACCCAAAGGTGAGTGATCACTCATGCGCTCAGTTCATACTGATGATTCCAAGGTGTACTGCCTGATCTTTTGCATGATGATGTCTCAAGCTATGGGCACTGTCGGTGAGCTGGGTGGCTCTATCGAGAGGCGCCAGACAACTGACTATCAACCTGCAGGAAACTTTTTCCCCACTATTCTCAACTCGTTTGGCTTCAACAGCATCATCACATTGTGTATTACCTGCCCACCTTATATCTTCGCCTGCTTTGTATTCTACGCCATGAGTTACTACAGTGATGTGAGTGCAACTTGTCAGAATTGAGTTCTTATGGAGCTGACTTGGGCTACGTAGAAACACGGCAAGCTCTACATCCCCCTCATGATCTGCCTCAGCATCGGCGTTGTCATCTACATTATCAGTATCGCAACTCTGAATGTTGGAGCGCGGTACTTTGCCATCATGTGGACTCCAGTATCGAACGGTGAGCTGATCAGTGGAAACTTCCGCTGACAAGCAGTCGTTCCTCAATTGTTCATCTACAATACCCTCTCTCTGCACGTCGCTCGACCCTACCCCAAGCGAGCTGCCGGTCTGGCTTTGATCAATGCCATTGGGGGCACTTCAAACATCTGGGGATCATACGTATGGTCAGTGGACTGACGAGAGCAGTTTTGTCGTGCAGCTGACCTCTACGTAAAGGTACCGACCGCCCCACTTTTACGCTGGATTCGGTATGGTCCTCGCTGTGAACATCTTGTTCATGTGTGTCATCACTGGCTACAAGATCTATGTCACTCGAGAGAACAAGAAGCTCGATGCCGGTGGAGCGAGAGCTGAATCCGCTATGAGATTTGGAATCTCTGACGAGCAGATCGCTCTTGGTTGGCGCTATGTAGGATACTAGGGGCCTGATCTTCCACCGAGTCCAAGTCGAATGTCCCAATGTCATAGTTTCTGCAGTTTGTGTACGAGGTGCATGTCCTGTCGCTGCACCAGCTGCGCGACACCCCTGCCTTCTTCGTCTGACGGTATCTAAACCGCCACAAAGGATTCGCCACCCTTTCTAGTTACGTAATATTCAGTGCCACTCCTGAAACTCCGATGATCCGGATGAAAAGTCTTAAAATTATTATGCGGCGAGAGACAAATGGTAGTTGAGCTAGAGACATTCCTCAGAGAGAGCAGCACCATTTCTGATCTTGGATCGCTGGCATCGTCGACTTGGCCTATAAATCACACGCTTCCCTGTCAAAGGAGCCCAAATAGACTCTCAAACTTTCCCCTTGATCAGAACGTCATTAGGTCCTTTCAACTTGTCACACTTGAGCTCCACTGTGCCTCGAAAACTACTGCGAAACAAGAGTTGGGCCAGACCATCTGATCCATTCTTCTCCATCGCCCAAATCTCCTCTATCTCTCGCTCTTTCTTCACCTCTCATTGTCACCTCTTCTCTACAGATCCACAGCGCTATAGATTCCATTCTTCAGCATGCTCTTCTCTCACATCCTCACTGCCGCCTCGGTGGCTTGCACCGTGAGTCTTAATACGTTTCCGTCGAGTACTGCATCGCTCCACTGACACGTTCCTTCACAGGTCCAAGCTGGACTTTTGCGTTTCAGACAGAGTGCTTCAGTACCCAATTGTGCGGTCAATTGTCTGAATGACGCAGCGACGAGGTCTGGATCGGTGAGTCTGAATTTGACAGGTCGCCTTATCTTGGCAGGAATTGACAGACCTTCTTAGCAATGCAGTTCCTCCAACGTGACATGCCTTTGCTTTGACCCCATGGTATCGGGATATCTCTTGAGCTGCCTGGGAGGGTCTTGTCCCGTGAGTCACCTCCAGGCTGTCTGCCGTAAATGAGCTGACAACGACGCCTCCCCCTTCGCCCCAATTGATCTAACCTCTTCCCATCTGTCGGAACCAAATCCTCTTCCTACACCCCTCTCTCCTCCAATCAGACCGCCGAAGCCAATGAAGGACAGCAATATTTCCGCGACCAATGTGAGGCCGGACAGGCCTTCACCGCGACTTCGTCAAGTGGAAGCTCGACATCGTCCTCCCTCGCCTCATTCATGAGCACTGCTGCCTCTACCACGGAAACGGACACTGCCGCTTCTACATCAAGCACTGTGACTAGCTCTGAATCGTTGGTACCTTCTTCGTCAGCAGCTCTCAGTGCTTCCGTATCTGCACCTGCACGCACTTCAGAAACCACACTGACGACAACTGCATCCAGCGCTTCTGCCTCTACGTGAGTCTAATTACCTTGCCAGAGGCAGACCTGAGACCTTCACAGAAGCTCTAGCACTACCAGCAATGCGCCCTCGACAAGCCGATCCGAGGTCATCGTGACTTCCACTTCTACCGCTAGCAACACTCCACCTACAACACTCGCTCAAGTGACTTCACAAACGCAGTCCACCGAAGCCACGACGGTAGTCACCGTGATTCAGTCTGCGTCCGCTTCAAATTCCCCCGCAACGACTAGTATCGCCAGTAACACCGGCTCCGCCATTCCTAACAGCTTTGTTCATCAGGGTGTCGCCGCAGTAGTCGGAATCGCAGGCGCTCTCCTGTTCTCAGTGTAGGGCCTAAAAGAATTACACGTGGGCCAGGTCGATGGACACTTTTACGACCCTTTTACAACAGTATTCACGCAGAAGAAGTCCCTTATGTCAGCGCATTTTGACGAGATGAACGAAGTATAATGATAGTGTGCATGCATGCCGGGTGGCTTGACCAAACAATGCATTATCTCTGAACATTCCAAATGAGTCTCTCTGCCTTTATTGTTCTCAGTGCCAATTTTGCCCTGCTTAAACACCGTTCACGCCAATGGACTCTTCAAGGCATCTTGGTAGCCCGGCTCTGAGGTAAATCTTGCCCTGTTGATGTTCGTCAAAAGGTCTTGTGAAAGCAGTACCCGGAAAAAGCCAGACCTGTATTTATCGCTGCTGGCCTAGCGAGCGGCTGGCCCATCCAAACAATGTGGTCAGTGCAGGGCATTATCGACGACCTCGAAAGCAGACGTATCGTACTGCGCGTGCATGACCATACCTCTTTATCCCGATACGAGGCGGAAGAGGGCTTCATCGCCGAGCAAGATCGCTTTGACAATCTGTCCAAGACTCAATTCCACAAAAGATATGGACACCTCCGATACGATTATGAGTGGAAACGAAGCTCGAGTATCTGCGAATACATGGTGGATCATATTTTTGGAGGTTGGGACGACTGGTCATTGTTCGGCAGAGATGGTCCCAGTCCATGGATATCTACGACAATTGACTTTGACTGGGCAATCTACGAGATTGCTAGAAGGTTGACGGTTCTAAACCGAGGTTCGGTCCGTCTCAGCGTCATCGACTTGCAGAATAGTAAACGCCGACGTGTAGGGGTGAGGCCGGATTCTTACATACCAGAGGACACATACGACGAGTCTACCGCCTTGAGCTTCGCGAGGGCGTCTAGTGAAATCTTGTTTTACGGCAAGATATTTGACGAAGATATTCCAGCTATCATGGTATGGACCCGTCAGGTGAGTTCAGAGTAGAGTAGAGTGTACTGAGGTCTATGGCTGATGGGAACTCGCAGAAACCAGCAAGGCGACTTCCTCCAGAATACAAGATGTCCAAAAAGCAACGTGATCCTCATGGGGACTGGATAGACAATCTCTGTTTCAATCCTAGGCGGGATTCTTTCAGACAGGCTTCGGCCAGGATTTCAGCACGGAGAGATCAGATAGCGAGCTCGAGATGCTAGATAGATTTGATTGCACCGGGAGATGAACAACAAGATTCTCGGATCACGAGTGGACCAGCACCATTCCATGTTTCCGTAGTGTCAAATGGCAAACCTGCAAGGCGTGCATCGTGAAAAGGTCATAAAGGTGTTCCGGTCGGCGTAAACAAAATGCTCGTCTACCTCTTCCGCTCCAACTTCCATTTCCATACTTTGCCCTCCCAACGTTTTCTTTCGCCATTCCTGTCCTCATGCTGAGAGTCATCTTCCACCCAGCCTGCGTTCCTAACTTTTCTGGCTGCTCCCTTGCCCATCAGAGATTTGGTAGCTTGCAACTTTTGCTCGGCCTGTCGGAGCTGTTTTATCCGGTTCAAATGGGCAGAAAGGGATGTGAGGAGGGACATTCGATGAGCCTGTAAGGTGTCAGTTGCCGTTTGAGAATGTCTTAGGAATTAGCACAGCTCACTCTTGCTTCCTCCTCTGCATTTGGCTCCGGATCCACGGTTGGTTCTTTCTGTGGCTTTGTCTTCTGCTTTGGCGTATCATTCACCCAACCCAGGTCCAGCGGCTCCTGCTCAGAACCTGTGTCTGTGCTTGTCACCATTGGTCGTAGGGCGGTTGATGACTCGGCTTCGACTGAGATCCTCAGCTCATGCTAGTCTCCCCCTGGATCGAACTCACACTCATCGCGGCCATCCGCAAAAAGGACATGCCCCGTCGGCGGTGCCCTACCTTTGCCCTTTCGTTTAGAGCTCTGACTTTCCCTCGGTTGAAGCACGACTCCCATCTCTGCAAGCTTTTCGACCTCTGCCAGTTCCGCTGCAGCGTCCCATTCACTCGAGCTTGCTCCGGGAGCCGTGACTTCCAGCTCGCGCCGAAGTTTGCCAATAGTCTGAGGATGGGATCAGTTCAATCCTCTTCGAGATCTTACGAAAGTCTCACCTTCTCGTCCTTTGCAATCTGCAGCCTGATATAACCTGCATCTTGCGTCTTCAATAGCTTGACAACATCGACCGAGAGCGCTTCGTTCCCCCTGTCCGCGATTGCCACCCCGTCCTTCGTCTTCCCCTTGACCATTCCCCAGTAGAACTCATCCTTGTTCTTGAATGCCGCCTTTTCCCTCAGCTTCTTTATACGGTCCTGTTTCGATTTGTAGTCTCTCGCTCGATGCACATAGTCCTTGTGCTTTTCCAACAGACCTAGTCGTTGTCGATGCAGAGGTTGAGCCCGTTCTTTGTGATTACGGCGAGCAAAGGTGCCTGATGAATACTGATCAGCCAGGTCTACTGAATGATGACTCACTCTTCAACGTAGGTTTGACCATCTCGATCGCTGCTTTATGCTTGACCGGTATGCAATGTTGTCAATGGTCAATGGTCAATCTTGTGGATGGATGGATGGATGGATGGATGGATGATGTCGGACACAACTTTTCCAGCGGTCCCAAAAGAAAAAAAAAGTTGAAATTTCGGAATCATCGGTCTCGGTTCTCACTCTCTCTCGCTCTCATATTGACACTTGTGATTGAGGGCTGATCATCGAGCAGCTCAAGCAGCGATGGGCCAATCAGAACGATTGATAAGGGAAGGATAAAGGCTTGTCAATCAGTCGGAGTTGAGGGAGAGCAAAAGCGCCAGCCATGGCTATGATTCAAGGGCTCGGGCTGGCTCGATCTATCGTCTGTCCCGGTTCGACCACTTCAAAATGGCAGGCGTTGAGACCTGGAGCTGTGCTCGTTCTTCATCGACCAGTCAGCCGCCCGTTCTCGACTGTATCAAGGTCGAAATATACCTCAGGCAGTCCTCGTGCCCCTCTACGGCCCGCCTCGTCCTCACTTTCTGCCCCACGGGTATTCCCATTCATTCGATTTCACTCATCCCCATCATCAAATGAACCTATAAAGCGAGAAAGTGGCAGGGAGGAGAAAGCCCTTAGCCCTCCATCTCCATCTTCGTCCGCTTCAGCATCTTCTACCGCGATTGCAACTCCGCCACCGACAGACTTCGCAGCCACGACAACCGCTTCCCCATCGACCGAGATCAAGAAGTCATCAGATGAGCCTCATTTGGCAGCAGACTCGGCTTCCATTCTCAAATTGATCAAGCTTGCCAAACCACAATGGAGGCTACTGACAGCTGGCTTCGGATGCCTGGTCATCACGACCGCTACTGGTCTGGCGTTCCCTTACTTCTCCGGCCGGATTATCGATTTCTTCAATCCTGCTAGCGAGGCTCAGACCATGTTCCTCGGCTTGGACCTATATTGGGCAGCGGCATTCATGGCTGCGACTTTCGTCTTAGGAGCAGCTGCAAATGCCGGTAAGAGCATAGCATTGCGACTTTCTGGACAGCGAACAGCTGCTATGATCAGGTGAGGAAATTACCCCAGGAAATCAGCTTGGTGCTCATTCGTGTCGTAGAAACCAGACATATGCCAAATTCCTCGCTCTCCCGCCTTCTCATATCGAGCAGAGTGGAGTAGGTGATGCTCTATCCCGTCTAGGTCAAGATACATCCCTCGTTGGTCAGTCGCTCTCCGAAAATCTAGGAGAAGGAGTGAAAGCTGTCCTCGGAGCTACATCGGCCACCGCAGCAATGTGGTACATATCCCCAAGTCTTACCATGTTCATGCTCTTGGTCGTCCCTCCAGTCTCTGCCAGCTCGTATTTCTATGGTAAATATATTCGAAAATTGTCTCTCAAGACTCAAGAAGCGATGGGTCAGATGTCAAAACTTGCGGAAGAGAGATTATCGGCTCATCGAACCATCACTGCTTCGAATACTCAGCCGGCGGAGCAAGCTCGATTCGCGGCCAAGGTTGACGGCGTATATCAACTTCAGAAACGAGAGACAATAGCCAACGGCCTGTTCTCTGGTGGAACCGAAGGATTCGGAGATGTTGGATTGATTGGATTACTGTTGTATGGAGGATACCTTATGTCTCGGGGACAAATCACGGTTGGAGACATGACTGCATCTCTAATCTACATTCACTGGGTAGAATGGAGTATTCAGAGTGAGTTCATCGTTTCCGACCTTGCACCGTGATGCTCACTGCCGCCAGCGCTCTCTGGATTTTTCACCGGACTCATGAAAGGTGTCGGGGCATCGCAACGTATCGTTGGCTTGCATGAGACCATCTCCCCGATCCCGCTTTCGATTGGAGCCCCTGTGCCTCGTAATAACACTCACGACGGTGCCATTGAGCTCAGAGATGTCTCATTCGCGTATCCCTCGCGACCTCACGTCAAAGTCCTGGACAATCTCAACCTCAAGATTGAAAAGGGCGAGCGTGTAGCTCTAGTGTGAGTCCAGAATCATGCAAATCGTGCTGTTCCTGATCCGCTTTTCAGAGGTGGTAGCGGATCCGGCAAATCGTCAATCCAGCTTCTTCTTCTGCGATTCTATGACCCTACATCCGGATTAGTCAAATTCGATGGGACTGATATCCGTGACTATGTACCCGAATCATGGCGAGCAAGGATTGGAGTCGTGCCCCAGGACCCCGTCCTGTTTGGAGGTACCATCCACGAGAACATCTCATATGGGCATCCGACCGCTACTCGGGTGGAAGTCGCTCGTGCTGCCAAGGTGGCTCACTGTGATTTCATCGACAATCTTCCTGAAGGCTACGACACTATCAGTAAGCTGAGGAAGAGGCGGAGCTGACTGGTAACAGTCACAAAGAACAGTCTGTCTGGAGGTCAGCGACAGCGTATTGCTATTGCTCGAGCTTTGGTCGGCAATCCAGCGGTCTTATTAATGGACGAAGCGACTAGTAAGCGAAATAAATGCTTTATGTGTTCACTGGCTGACTTTTGCAGGTGCGCTCGACTCCGAGTCTGAACAGGCTGTCAATACTGCCCTTGACAACCTCTTCGATGCGTCCGATATGACCGTCATCCTCATCGCCCATCGTCTCTCTTCAATTGCACAAGCTGATCGAGTTGTGTTACTGGAAGGAGGATCGGTTGCGGAAGACGGATCGTACTACGAACTCATCTCCCGCAAAGATGGTCGATTCAGACGCATGGTAGAGAGCCAAATGGCCAAGATTGGTGAACCCGCTGTTGTTGGCGTCGAGGCGACTGAAGAAGCATCGAAAGGGAAACCGCCGGCACCGGAAGAGGAAGGCGTTTCAGAGGATGCGGTTGAAAAGGAACAGGTCGACGTCACTGTCAATCCTCAACCGAGAGTATCTAAAAAGCCATCCTCGGGGTCAAGCGGTGTTGCGAAGTCGACTTCGGGTCAAGATTCAAGTCCATTCTCATCTGGTCAGAGGAGATTGCTGCACAGCAGGCCGTCGAGGCGCAGCACGTCCCCCTCCCAGCAGTCAGTCACTCTGCCTGACACCGGAAGGCCTCAGACATCTCTTCAGAAGCACACAGTCTGGGGTGCTGCATCCATAGCGCCTCCCCCGATGGAAGCTATCGATCTGCCACCTGTGCCTGCGCCTTCAGCCACTCTAGAGTCATACCGACCAGTTTCTCCACTGACTCTCCGCCGAAGACTCAATGTGTATTCACAGTTGTCCAAACGGAACCTCTCGATCTTGATGACACTGACTGCGACGACTGGTCTTGCGCTATCGCCCCTACCGACTGATCTACCTCTCCTTCTCAGTCTCACTATCGGGACTTTCCTTACTTCCGCCGCTGCCAACACGTTCAATCAGATTCTCGAGGCGCCTTTGGACGCTCAGACACCCAGGACTCGAGTCAGACCGCTGGTAATGCGTCGGATCAGCCCTTTCCATGCTGCAATCTTTGGCGTCGTATGTACCATTCTCGGTGGGACTATCCTCCTCTTCGGGACTAATCCCACGACTGCCGCGCTGGGCATGGGTAATCTGGTACTTTATGCCGCTATCTACACGCCGATGAAGAGATTCAGCGTGGCCAATACTTGGGTCGGAGCCGTCGTGGGGGCTATTACGCCTCTCATGGGTTGGACAGCCACTGGCGGATCCCTGCTGCCGACGACAACTCAACCCATCTCGTACTATCTTCCTTCTCTCCCTTGGGACTTTACAGCTCTCACGACGCCGAATCCCCTGACTGCTTACACTCTCTTTTTCCTCCTTTTCTCCTGGCAATTCCCTCATTTCAATGCCCTCTCTCACCTCATTCGAGGCTCCTACGCCCTATCTGGCTATCCCATGCTATCAGTCTTTTCACCCCGGCTCAATGCGCTCGTCTCATTGAGGCACGCAATCCTCTTATTCCCCATCACATGGCTCGCACCATTGTCCGGTTCAGTAGATTGGTCTTTCGCCTTCACCTCGGCAGTGCCCAATGCCATCTTCTTGCGAGAAGCGTGGAGGTTTTATAAAGTCGCGAATGACGTGACGGCCAAGAGGGTATTCTTCGTCTCTCTATGGTACCTCCCTGTCGTCTTGGGTTTGATGATGGTCCACAAGAGTGTCGCCGGATGGATGACGGGTGGTGAAGAAAGATCGACGGCGGAGGCGATGGTGACGGATGACGACGTGCAAGACTCTTCATCAACGCAGAAGAATGGCTCTGCGTCTTCGAAAGGGGCATAAGATTGAGGCGAGAATGGCTATCAGAAGAAAAATATTTACAAGCATATAGACGGGACAAGGTGTCCCCCACAAATCACATTTGTATCGCACCACTAGCACTAGCACGAATGACACCTCACGTCTCAGCATTTGTGCATAGTCAGTTTCCAAAACTAAGAAGAACGTATTCAACCATTCCCTATCCCTGGACGCAGATCAAAAGTGGAAAAAGACATGCATGACGCAAAAAAGATGGAAATCTAGCACAGGCCCGACTCTAGCACGCTATCTTACTGGTTCTTCTTCAGAACGTCAGATAGCTCAGGCATCGCACCGCCGTTCTGTGCCTTTGCCGACTCTTCCAGAGCCCGACGAGCTTCACGTCGTTTTCTTCCACGGGTGACAAACTCGACAGGCTCGAGGCTCGCAAAGAGATATTTGCATCCTTTTTCCATGATGAAGCAGCCGGCAAAGTCGACAACCATGGAGATTGTCAATTTCGTTCGGAACTAAGAGGTTCGCAGATTAGTTTGAGCACCGCAAAGCAAGAGATGGCGTGTCGACTCACCGAGGTGGACATTTCGACCAACTGAAGCCAGCTGCTGAATTCAGGTACGAAATTGGTGGCCCCTGCGTAGGCAACTGCACTGACACCGAGCAATCCCCAGTAGAGAGGTGGGTTTTCGCGGATACCCTCTCGGAACGGTCGACCCTGAGGTAAAGGATGAGCTCGAGAGTTCCAAACGACTTGGACTGAATCTCACCTGGAAGTTGAGGACAAATGTTGAGACCTGTTGAGATAGACCAAGAAGATAGATAGAGGTGTTGAGTAGACTGGGCTCAAACTTCTTTTCGAGATCCCTTCCTTGGCCCAGACTGCGTCCTAGATCAGCGGATGTACAATGTAAGCTTGCTCGACTCACTCTTCGACGGATTTGGACAGATCGGTGATATACACGAGAGTCGCAATGTGAATGGAAAACTGCAGCAAAACGCTCAAAAGTACGTAGAGATTGAAAATGTTGCCCAGAGGTCGTTCCCTGCTCAGCTTGTCCACGGGCTTAGCTACTGTCAGCTACGCAAAAGCAAGAAGAGGACAAAACTGACCTTGGCACGCGAGATACAGAGGAAACAAACAGACATCAACATGCCCGAGATGGTGACTTGATAGTCGCCAAACTTGATTCCATCAAGATATTGAACAGAGAGCGAATATGCCGTGATGAGACAGTTGAGTGCCAAGATCTTGTACATTTGGATAGTAGCGACGAGCGTGCATCGTCCCTGACGGATAATATTGGTGACTGAGTGCGCAGTCAGCTCTGACGCATACAATATCAGTGTCAAGTCCTCACTAGCAGAGACATTTGACAATTTTGAGGTGAATGGAGCGGCGCAAGACGCATCTCCCAGCTTGATCTGGGGTACCTCTTGATCATCGTCCATTTCGGAAAGCTTGGCGGTTAGACCGGCGAGATCGAACTATTACGTGTCAACTTGGTTCAGAATTCGAATGAATATATAGACTGACCTTCTCCATAGGGTTGGCCTTTTTCGCCTTTGCATGATCAGCTTTGATAGCTTCTTGAGTCTTGACCAAATCAGGGAAAGCCTCTCGGAGTGCTGGAGGAGGAGGAGGCGGAGGCTGGTTGAATCTCGCTGAGATTTTGCACTGCTGCTCGTAAACTTTCTTCATTCGTTCCAGCTTCTGATGCTCGGCGATAGCCTTCAGATCCTCTTGCGTTCCATCAAGCAGAGCCACCCCGATATGAGCAGCTTTGAGAGCTCCAACATCGTTCGTACCGTCTCCAGCCATCAACGTCGTGAATCCAAGATCTTTCAGAGTGTGGAGAATGAATTCCTTCTGAGAAGGTGAAACTCGAGCATAGACCCAAGTGTGCTTGACGAGGTCCAGGACGGTAGGTCGGGTCTCATATTGCTTCAGAGCAGCTCCAGTAATGCAGATGTCGTACTCCTTGAACAATTTCTGGTCGAATGGTTTGGACGGATCCACAGGGATCACAACCGTCTCGTCGACATTCTTCCAGACGAGCTCATCTGTCGTGGTACCTTCCTTCAAGTCGAGGATCATAGCCTCCCGGTCAACAATCTCGACATCTTTTGCTACGTGGACGGCGGTCAAAGGGTTATCTCCAGTGATCATGATGCACTAAGATGAGGGGTCAACTCTTAGATCCCTCTGCTGGTAGATGGACTCACTCGGTGGGAAGAGTCGGCCAACATCTTGAGTGTCTCGACGGCGTCCGGCTTCAGCGGCGTGTGGAAAACAAGGAATCCGGCAAAGTCAAGGTTGCATTCAACTTCGTCACGAGACACGTGATTGATCTAATGAGCTCAGTATCAGCAACTGCAGCGCACTGTATTGAAGACTTACCTGGTCATTAGAGATCTTCATGCTCTTCGTTCCCAGGGCCAAAACTCGGCTTCCGCGTCGGGTATAGTATCGATAAGTCTCGTCGTAATGACTAGGAACAGAGTTGTACATTGCCTTGAGCGTTTCAGGAGCTCCCTTGACGCTCGCGATCCAGGTCCTACCGTTCGACGTGGTGACGCCAGAGATGGTTGACATGCGCTTGAGGGCTGAGGAGAATTGATATCGTCGGCGGACGTGGATTTGAGCCTTGTGCTGGCTCTCCTTGGAGTTAGGTGTGATTTGATCACCTACATCCAAATCAGCATGAGTACTAACATCGGGCGTTCAGCTGACCTTTGGACAATTTCCAATCTAGGGCCGCCAAGGTCGTCTTCTCCATCGGATCACCAACAATTGTGCCGTCTTCCAGGAAAACCAAAGCGTGAGCGGATGCAAGAGTGAAGGTAGTGTCTCGACTGGTCTCAGTGACTGGAACAAGCTTCTTGGGGTCAGATGAGCTGCAAATCCATCAGCTCGGACCAAGTCAATAAGAGGAAGCCGACGCACCTCATGCCCGCAACGCCCTCCACGACGAGATCCTCTCCTGTGATAGTTCCAGTCTTGTCAAAGCAACATACGTCGACATTGCCAGCATATGGAATACGGAATGGCTCCGTGCAGAAGATCGCAAACTTTTGCAATGCGACCAGCGAGGCGTTGACGGCAAGAGAAAGCTCCATGGGCAATTCCGGCGGGACGACGGAGGTGATGATAAGCACGCAGTCCAACAAGAGCTTGCCCTTGGCCATGCCTCGTTCGAGTCCTGGACATGTATCAGCTGAATAGAGAGGGAAACCAGTAGCTGACTCACCCTTGATCCAGACGTAAGCACTGGCAGCAATGGCGAAGATGAGCAGGAAACCAATGAATAAGAAGGCTTCAAAGGTGTTTGCAGATACCCGCTCCTGAGAAAAGATCATAGTCCGAACTAGTTGACCTTGGGTGGTGCCGAATCCGGTTCGGAGGACAACAGCTAAACAGCCACCATCAGGAGCTAGGAACCAGATCAGCAGGATCTTGCCGAAATTTACTAGCTCCTGCTCACTCTTGATGTCTCCCTCTGTCGCGGCCTCGACCTGAAGGGCCTTGGTACCGGAGAACAAGACGCTGTTCCTGTCTGCACCATTCATATCCAGCTTGTCTGAACCCTCCCGGAGTTCGACACTCTCCTTCAACAAAGGCGTAGATTCACCAGACAACATGGCTTCATTCACGATACAAGTGCCCTTCAGGAGCAACAGGTCACATGGAATGCCAGAGTCAGGCTTGGTGCGGACTGGCGATGGGCGTGAGCTTGGAAATTCGAGTTGTGATGTCTGAACTCACCGATGGATACTAAGTCTCCTGGTACAAGCTCCGAAGAGATGATTTCGATCCACTTGCCATCCCTGAAAGCATAGACATTGTAAGGTGTGATGCTCATAGTGCGGAACTCGGTCAACGTCTTGACTCGCTACGGAATGTGTGAGCTTTTGCCGGCTGAAGAGGACTGCCTAGCTCACCTGGAAAACCACGGTACATTCAAAGACGACCAACATGAAAGCCGTAAACAGTGAATAATACCAGTATTCATCCAGGCACCACAGAGCAACACAGAACATCTGGAAGACGAAGAATGGAGCCACGGCGTGTTCGACAAACAACTCGGTGAACTTCGGGATGGGGATGTGACATTCGTTCTTGCCATAGGTGGCGTGAAGAGCTTCGAGAGAAGGCTCGTTGGATGTCGCCGACGGGTGAGTGATGATTCCGTGGGAGGATTGAAAGGTGGATAACTCGGGAGAAGCATCGCAAGGATAAGGTATACGCGTGAAGGCCGATGTAGAGGCTGGCAAAGTATAAGCGAAACGCTATACCTGCGACAATGCTAGTGACTCACTGTTCCAAACATAAGTGTCCCGTTGATACGTAAATGAATAGGCTGGAGTCTTTGACCGGGGCACCTAGCATTGGTGTCAGAAAGTCGCGAGCTTAGAATCCGCCGGATTCACTTGTTGCTTGTCCAAAGATACAATCTCCCCTTTTCCTTTTCCTTTCTTGGGAACCACTCGGACTTTCTTGGCCTTGTCGAGGGAAGATGCCTACAATGTCTTGTATAAGTCGCTGACCACCTGGAAGAACAATGCTTTGCCTACTTTTGTATAGCTGATGACTGAGTTGACTCCACTGCTCCAGGCGGTAGTGAGGAAACTCAGTGCATGTCCAGCACCAAGCGCCACGCAGTAGATGAATGACCATTCGACAGATTTCACCCAATCATCATATCTGACATAGTAGGCGTAGGCGAGGAGTGGATACAGTGCTAATTGCGGAGGAGGGGTCAGGAAGAGTACCAGCAGAAGAAGCCTGATCCCGCTCACCAAGGAATGGCAGCCCGTACAATCGATACTGTATCGGTATAGCGTTATGCAGTGACACTGACTGAATCTCGTCCGAGACGATCTTCGGTCGGGTAGACCTGGGCATGAAGATCAGTACAGGTTCCAAAACAGCGCTGAGCCTTATCTACACTCACATCCTGCTGTCTTTTCAGACCTGCTCTGACGTTGATCTAGTCAGTGCTCTGTAGACTTTACTGTGCGGCGACCAGCTGTCAAAAGTTACTAACATACAATCGAGAGAGCTGCTGGCATCTTCGCTCGGTATAGAAGCCCATAGGCGGTGATCGCCGCTCGGACGATTGGCCCAGAACTGCCACATTGAATGATAACTCCGAATAAGCCCCTCCCCCCCCTCCGCCCTCCGAGACCCTCCACCTCAGCGCGTCGGAGCACATGGAGAAGCAGCTCTAGAACACTACTGCTGGCAGCGACAACGAGGGAACGATTAACGACAGACACCAAGGCCTTAAGTGAGGGCTCGTTATAGCGGGGAAGGGCTCTAATCGACCAACCTCTCTGGATCTTCAAGGATTTCATGGAACTCTGCTAGATATACTTCGGACTTGATCTCACTTTCGTTCTCGCAACTCTCTCGTCATTTACCGCTTCGAATCATCTCCTCCTTCTCATAACCGCCATGAACATTTTCCGCTTCCTGGGTGACTTGTCCCATCTCGTCTCCATATTCATCCTTATACACAAGATTACCACCTCTCGATCATGTCGTGGAATCTCATATAAGACTCAGGTCTTGTACCTCGTTGTATTCCTCACGCGGTATTTGGATCTGGTGACGGGACCATATATGAGCGTGTACAACACATTGATGAAATTGTTCTTCATCGGTAGCTCAGCGTACACTTTGTATCTCATGAAGGTCAAGTTCAGGTGAGTCGAGCGGACTTGGAACTGGAGTTTTCAGCTGAAATGACGTGCCAGACCCACACACGATGCTTCCCTTGACACGTTTGAACTCGCCTACCTCCTCGTTCCAGTCTTCTTCCTCTCGCTCATTTTCAACTACAAGTTCACGCCCGTCGAAGTCATCTGGTCTTTCTCAATATGGCTCGAATCAGTCGCTATCCTCCCTCAACTGTTCATGCTTCAACGTACAGGCGAGGCGGAGACTATTACCACGCACTACCTCGCAGCTTTGGGCCTCTATAGAGGTCTGTATATCCCCAACTGGATGTACAGGTGAGTCGGCACCGCTAGCGTGACCATGGAGCCTGAGGAATCGGGCGATCACTGACCAAGCCGTTCTCAGATACTTCACGGAAGGGGCTTTCGACCCTATCGCTGTCGTTGCAGGTCTGATCCAGACTGGTATCTACGCTGACTTTGGATACATTGTAAGTATATTAATGATCTGAAGGCGTGCATCAGCTGATATTCGGATCTCAGTACGTTACAAAGTGAGTCGTGGCCCCGTGGAGAATTGGCATCTGTTAAGGCCTTGCCTTTTGATCGATCTTCATTCTCAACCTTCCTTGCGCTTGAACACATTGCTGACCAATACGCTGCAGAGTCCTCAGAGGTCAAAAGTTTGAATTGCCAGCTTGATCCACACACCCAAAGCATGCATAGAAGAGAATGTAGTTGATGGCGTCGTGCCTTGGTCTTATGCCTCGGAAATTTACAGTGCGCCACCAAAGCGTGCAACATGCAGGCAATCATCAACATGAAATGCTCTTACATCCTCTTCCTGTGTCTGTTTGTCTTGTCAATGTGTCTCGAAGCAGCAAGATTTTAGTGAGAATGACAGCCAGAGATACGATAGGATGTCTAAACGACAACAGAATGCCACTCGACGCCTCGATCGCCGTTTTAAGCTCTTTTTGCAATGTTCCAGGAATTTTGGTTATCAACTTTCCCTCACTCACTCGACACATCTCACTCTCGGAGCATTGTGCAAGCTGCTCAGACCATCGAGTCTGGCATCGGACAGCTGCAAATGGAAGATTGAGACCTGACGCTCTTTGATTCCTTCATTCATCCCTTTCCCATTCCTCTCCTCATCCTCCTCCTCCTCCATTATGGTATCGTGTGCAGCATGTCTTCGGCGGCAAACTTATCGACTGGCGGGACCGTCAACCTGTCGAGCTCTGCATTCATCGCATCCGCCACCGGCAAGAGAGGATTTTCAGAGCCATCGAGTCGACCTGCATGATCCATCAGATCTTTTAGGATACAGGGGGCCCGATGGAAGATCAGGCTTTGGATTTCGCCCGAGTCATCATCCTTCAGATCAATCCAGATTCAATAATGGTGTCGGTATTTATGTCCGCCATCCCGATGATCTTAAACCCCCGCCAGTACATGAGCCCGATCCCGCGTGGATTTGCTCCCAATTCGCTGAAACCCCTCGGAATACTAGGGCCACAGGTAGCAGCAGGATTACAGGAACGGATCAGTGGCTATTAAAACGAATGAACGAAGAAGCCGAGCTGGAAGATGGCATCGATTTCGACTCTTCCTCTACTGCAGAGAGTTCTTCCTCGACGATGGATACAGGTACATATATCAGAGCGCCGATACCCAAACGACCGGAGCGAAGAAAGATTCTCCCCAAATTCGATCCTTTACCTGTCGACGAGTACGCCTATTCAAGGGATCCTCAAACAGGTTCTATCAATGCTGGAATGGTCAGGCACAATTGGAGATCGAGGTCTAGAAGCGGTGTGGATAAGAAAGGGAGGGATACAGAAAAGGCTGAAGGAGATAAATGGTTCCCTGATCTGCCTGGTCGGAGAGAGGATCCACCGATGATCAGATTGGATCATGGCGTGACATTCCGTTCAGAGTTGGACAAATACACTGATTAGTAAGTACAGAGCATCTTAATGGCCGAGCCGAGGAGCAATCTTAAAAGAATTGACACTCGCTCAGCTTCGAACCTCTCCTGGATGCAGAGCACCAAGAAGAAAAAGCGAGATACAAGCGTAAACTGCGCGAGACTCCGGTAGACCAGCTTCAACGACTCGGAGTGACGCTGAGTCGGTTGCATCCGGTACCCTCGCCTGTTCAACCCAAATCTGGATGTTACGTTGACTTTAAACATCTCGATAAGCAAGGAAACCCGCTCGATCTCCCCGGGCACTTGTTTGAGTGAGTCTCGGACGCTTGCTGCTGAGGGGTTCACTAGCTCACATTGCTCCCTTCAGATTGCGTAAATCTGTTTTGATCTCCACCAAACTTCCGCTCGACTCCAGCACTATACACGGTATGGTCATCTCAATAGGCAGGAACTTCATCAGAGTGCGAGTCGATCGATCTTCTTTTGAGACGATGCCGCCAGTTCAATACAGGTCAGCTCAAACTTAACGGGCAGACAAAGCGCAACTGCTGACTTATTCGTCGTTCAGGATGGACATGGGCATGTCAGACCATGTCTACAAAGTGCAGAGACAAGCGATCCGATTGATGAACTTGGACCCTATAGCAGAGGATGCAGAGACTTCACTCTACATGGTCCACCAGGACCTCCGCAAAGTCATGGCACCACTTCCTCATACTGCGCCATCCAGTCAAGAAAGGTCTCCGCAAAACGAGGGCAGTGGAGAGGAACCTGAGCCAATAATCAAGAGGGAAAGAGCGTTACACGGAACGGCTCTACGACATTCTTTGCTCCGAGCGTTCCAGGAGAGATTTGTGCCATACCATGCCAGTGCTGGAGCGATGCCTTTCACGCCTTCGACGGATGTTCTCCCTGTACCCGAGAAAAACGATTCAATCGGGGCTGAGGTTGTCACTTCGAGATCCAAGATTGAGAACGCCAACTCGACCCATTCAATCTTGTATCGGGCGCCAGAGCCCGACGAGTCACACTTGCTTTACTTCAATCAGCAGATCCAATCTTGGATCAGACGACATTTGCGAGAAAATCCTGTCCGGTGCGAAGGGGATCCCAGGATAAGTCTCAACCCAAGTCAGATCCGAGCTATAGCCATGATGCTCAGCAAGAAATTGAGCTTGATTCAGGGTGTAAGGGGCTCGAGCTGCAAGGCGACCGCTATGGCTGACAATCGCCTTAGCCTCCTGGTACAGGCAAGACCAGAGTGATTATTGAGGCGATCAACTTGCTCAAGGTGAATCGGATTGCATGAAGTCAATCACTGACAGGATCGCAGAAACACTGGCAAATACCACATCCTATCCTCGTCACTGCTCACACAAATGTTGCTGTCGACAATCTCCTCGCGGGACTTCGTGCGAAAGGTGTCAAGGCTCTACGTATCGGTTCTGCGGACAAAGTACCCGTGACGATGCTGCAGTACACTTACGACATGATGGCGGAAAATCATCCAATCTACAATACAATGCAATCTTTTGAACAGGAACGAGCCCGGATCTATGAGCAGATCGACGCTGGTGAGTTGATATGAGATTATCAGTGCAGGATGCTGACAGTCTCCGGCTTCGCAGGCAAGCTTGACTTTGGTGCTCATCGAAGGGGAAAGGAATTGCTGGCCAAGATTACCAGATTGAAACAGGCTATAGCTCAGGACGTTTTGGCGGACGCCGACGTTGTGGGTGGCAATGCTTCAGTGCTTCGTAACGACCTCGCTGAGTTTCAACAGATCTGCACGACCTGCCTTTCTGCTGCCGGGTCTCGAATTCTTGGACAGATTGATTTTCCTATCGTCTTTTTGGACGAAGCTAGTATGGCGACTGAGCCTCTTTCTCTGATTCCATTCATGAAAGGGGTAAGCGGTAGCATTTCGTGCCGCCCCGCTTGTGCTGATCGGTGTCTAAAGTCTTCTCAAGTTGCCATCATTGGAGATCACAAGCAATTACCTCCAGTCATTACCAGTGATGCTGCCAAGTTTGGCGGTCTATCCATGTCGTTGTTCGAGCGACTGGTTCACGAGCAATGTGAGTTCGCTCAAATCGTGTGCAGGGACTCAGCTGAAATCTGAAAAGACTTGAAAGACTCTACGGTCATGCTTGATACTCAATATCGAATGCATCCTTCGATCGCTGCGTTTGCCTCCAAGCAGTTCTACAACAGCGAGCTGAAAAATGGAACGACAAGTGTCATCACCGGCAAGCCGCTGAAGAAATTTGATCCGCCAGTCTCCAAGTATCTGACCACTACATCCGGCGAGAAACGCAATGTCATGTTCGTGGATCATGACAGCGTTGAAATGTCATCGGACGACAAGAGTACTGTCAATTACGGAGAAGCTCAGCAAGTAGCCGCCGTTGTGACTGATTTATTGCTGAACAATCCGGTGAGTATAGCGTACGGGTTTACAGTGATGGTCTGCTGACGCTCCAATTAGGCTCTTCAAGGCAAGGACATTGGTATCATCGCGCCGTATGCGGGTCAAATTCGACTACTCACTGCCTATCTTCACGGGGATAGCGATACGCTCAGAGGCATGCGCGAGACTCTGGGCAGAGAGAGGGCACAGGAAATATCGAATATTGAAATTAAGACTGTGGATGGTTTCGAGGGTCGTGAGAAGGAAGTCATCATTTTCAGTACGACTCGATCGAATGAAGGAGGCTTCATTGGGTTCTTGGCAGATTGGAGACGGCTGAATGTGGGAATCACTAGGGCGAAACGTGTAAGTTTGTTGACTCGGACCGCTTCAAAAGAAGTCTGATTTGTTTTTCAGGGTCTGGTGATACTTGGGAATGCGAAGACGCTGCGGCGAGCTAAAATAGGATACAGGGCGGCGGATCATCTTCCTGCGGGCGGTACAGACACTTGGAAAGCATTCATCAAGCATCTTGAAGAAAACGGGGAAGTGCGGACATTGAAGGACATTTTGCAACCGAAAGAGGCGTCTCTTGAGGTATCTAGGGCGGAGACTGTTCCGGTTGTCCGAAGATCCCGCAAGGAGAACGACAAGGAGAGCAGCCGGATGCCTGTGGACACATCTCTCACCAGAGATGGGCTTGGCTCTAAGCTGGACAGCGCAAGTCAGCCTGGACGTCTAATATTAGAGAACGCGTAGTGTTCAGCACTGCCGTTAACAGTTGTATTAAAAAACCTTTATCAATATAATTTTACATGCATTGCATGAAGATGAGCGTGATCTTGTGCTGGCCACTTGAAGTGGTCATTAAGCAAACCGTCACGCAAAAAGCTCAGTCCACCATATGCCTCTGCAGCCGCGCTGACGTATCGGAAGTGAGCAGTGAAGATTGTGGCCATCTCTCCTATGCCTCTGTGGATGCAGTATGTAAATATGAAGTCGCTGCGTATTATAATACAACAAGTACACTTAACCGCTCGACCGACCGGTCCGAGCTCCTTCTCCCGCCAATGATGTCTATCGTTGCTTGACTTTTGGATCTCTGAATAGAAATTTGCAATTGACACAGGAGAAGAAGAGTGTCATGTTGGTCGTTATACGCCGGGCTTGGTCTTGGAAGAATACGGCGCTACGAAGGTTGTTTGTGTGAGCAAGACAGCAAATGTACGTACGTTCAATGAGAGGAAAGAGGAAGAAGACCAGTACTCACCCATTATTGAAACACCGGGGGCATTGTATATCGCTCCGTTGCAACGTTGGATCCGTTTCCAAATCTTTGGTTTCTCCAGCTTGTTCCCTCGCCACTGTCAACAAATCATGTTTGTACACGCATGGAGCCATTCCTGGCTCCGGGACAGCGTTCTCAGAGTAATTGCAGTTCCGACATTGGTACAGCAGGATCTTGGAGTTGTTGTCGGACTGAAGATCATGATTAGTAAAGATTGTTTGTCATGTAGGCTTTGTCCTTGAGATAGGGGTGCAGCTCACTTTTGGGTACAGGAGGTTGTTACTGGCATGTCAAAGTCAGCACGACGGGTAGAGAGACGCGGTGCAGATGATGAAAACGCACCATTCACCACAGAATTTGAGTGCTGGCATGGTTGGTCGGTCAAAACGAGGGCAAGAAGGGATTGACACCAGCCAAGTCCAGATAACGGAGTTCGAGACGGGCGCTACAGAGTTTGGCAGTCGCTTTGGAAATCGCCAAGCTTCTCAGTCGTGTGTAAGCACGGAACAATGCCAGTTGTGGTCTTTCGAGCTACTATGCTCCTCTTTTGGTGTAACTTGGGGATCCAGCACAGTACGATGAGATGGAAGATGAATGGATAGACACTCAAAGATGCCATACGAGTATTTCAACTACAACAGACGACTGTATGCCTATCTCGGCCATTAAATTGGTTCCGTCATTGATAGGCGGTTGAACAGATGATGATAACGTAATAGTATCATATGCTGTGTTTTGAAAATGACCTTTGTAGGCTGCCGCTGTTTTTGGAGGGAATCGACCTGTCTCACGTTTCAATTCGAAGTCTCGTCCTAGGATCGCAGATCTCTTGGAATCAATCCGTGTTCACACCTGTTGAGCAACAGCTCCAGCTCCATAGGAGGATCATCATCATACCATAACGACAACCTTGCTTGACCGGCGTGAATCTCCCAACCGCAAATCCGCTCACGCAACTTTTTTTCCACGCTAGATCTTTCCCCCTCGCCCCCGAGTGAACGCGGTGTACAACTGCCTTTGTTATATCGTGTTGGAACAGTCTCTCAATGATCTAGAGACACACAACTCTCAGGCGACTGTAGTTACTCACATCTGTGCACCTCAGAGTCCTTGCATGGACCTCTGAAAGCCTGCACTCTCTCACCATGAGCTTGCGACTCCCCTTTCCTTCACCATTCGGTCTCCCTCTACCTCGACGTTTCATCGTCCTAGGATTATCAGCAGTTACGGTCATCCTCTTCCTACATCTATTCGCTCCATCTACACTCCCTTCCGCTCTCGCTCCCAATCTACACCATCACGAACCCGATGCATCTTACTTTTCGCCATCGAAATGGTTACCACCGATCTGGAAACAAACTCCACCATCGAGTCTTCCAGAATTCGACGAAGATGGTGTCTGTCTCTTCCTTTCACCTTTTGACGCCTTATCAGCCGAGGAGAAAGAAAGAGCTCAACTCATCAAGCTCGAAGAGGTCTCCAGCGGGGTCGTGCGAGCCGCACCATATTCAGGAGACTCCGAGGACTTGCTTGACGACGACGATTACCCGATGGGTCCAAATGGGACCATCGTGCCAACGGGCATGTCGCATCCTATCCTTGCTCTGTTGAGAGATGGAGAGACAAAATGGAAGGCTAGAATGGCGAGACAGAGTAAATCGCTGGACGAAGCAGTCACAGTCTACAAGGACAAGTGGGGAAGAAATCCACCTAAAGGTTTCGACTTATGGTAAGTACGAGGCCGGTCACAAAACTCCCTGCCGTATAAAGCCGACCCATCTTCCCTCCAGGTGGAACTTTGCCGTGGCGAACCAGGTGCTTCTGCCAGACGAGTACGACGCGTGAGTTGGGCTAACACTGCGTCCCCGCGATAGATGGCTGAGTCGTCCCTTCAGTATCATGAACTCTCTCATGCCATTCTTCGCCCTGCCCATCGAGACGCTTCGAGAGCGTCTCCTCGAAGCAGAGACCATTGCAGAGACATTCACCCTTATCGTACAGAACGGCAAAGTCGAGCTGCAGTGGAACGACGACTACTCAAGAGATACGTGGTGGGCAAGTCGACCCAGAGCAGATTCTCAAATCAACTTGATGGAGCCGTTCTTGCACCATCTCGAAAACTTCCGGTGAGTCTCCCGCCAGCCGTTCTTGAATCGTACATTGACAACGCTCCAGGGCCACATTCACCATCCACGATCAACCATCCATTCTACTGGACCATGCTAGGCGGAAGGAATTGCTGGATGCTGCATACGACCATAAGAGTGGGTCTGTTGAATCCCGAGAGATGCTCTCGGCTCATTTAGCCCAGTCTCTACTCATGCCAACGAGAACGACCGATTCGTGCAAGACTGGAAGAGCGCATGTGCACCGGATAGTCCACTCGTCAGGGGCGAGAAGGAGCTACGTAAGTCCATCTGAGGGTGTTGAGAGCCAGGCTCACGAGGTACAGCACAACCCGATACCTTTATCAACGCTCACACCTCAGCGATGGACATTTGCCAGCATCCGAGCGTAAGTCATACTTACAATTACAAGTCAAACGCTTATGTGGCTGCTAGTACATGGCAAACCACGGCATGTTGATCGAGGTGCACGACCCAGAATCTCACCCTAAACCTCACACCAAACTCTACCCCATCCTTGTGCCTTCCAAGACTGTCCTCAACGGGGATATTCCAGTCACTCCGATCGGCCGAGATGGGCGACGGGATGATGTCGGGTACGACCCAGAATGGAACAAGAAGTCTGGCAAACTGTACTGGGTGCGTTTCCTTGGTGCGGCATTAGCTGATCAACCCATAGCGAGGGCTAGCCACTGGTCTCCAACACAACAAGAAAGAAGGCAAGGACTGGCGAAACTCTCACCGAGAACGTCTGCACTTCTTGGCCAATGACAAAAGTGGCGCATTCCAAGAATTCTTATCTCCTATCGGCATGACGGGCGAAGCTGAGCTCACGAGGCAGAAGCGGAAAGATCTCGGCCAATACTACATGGACGCCAAGCTTGCAGGTGGACATTGGCAGTGTGATTGGGGTGATGGCACATGCCAGGAGATGGAGGATGAGATCGAGTTCGCACAGAAGGATGATCAGGAGAAGAGCAATCAGTTCAAATACGTTTTTGACGTGGGTTCAGTACTCGCAGTTTTTGACCCGTGGCTGACACCACTAGACCGACGGAAATGCTTGGAGCTCACGATTCCCGAGATTAATGGCTAGTCACAAGTGAGCTTTACCCCAACCGTGCAATGCGAACGCTGACACGTCCTAGCGTGGTCATCAAGTCTACAGTATTCCCAGAATGGAGTGAGCTGGACGTGCGCATGATATGAAGCAAGCTGACGCTGTGTCAGACACTCAATCGCTGCCAGAATGGTATGCCTACGTTCCCTCCAAAATGGATTACTCGGACCTTTTCAGTATCATGGCATTGTGAGCCCAAGAGTTGACGTCTGAGGCTTATGGCCCCAGCTTCCGAGGAACCATGAAAGGTAAAGGATCCCACGACGAGGTAGCCAGGCGTATCGCATTGAACGGGCAGTGCTGGGTCGAGAGGAGTGAGTGACCCTATATTAGGGTCTCACTTCATACTAATGATCCACTCAGCATGGAGGACAGCAGATCTCCAAGCCTACATGTTCAGGTTATACCTAGAATATGCGCGATTGATCAGCCCAGATCGCGACAATGGCAAAATGGTGCGATTCAGAAGTCATGGCCCATTGCTGACGTCCCTCAGGACTATGTACACACGCAGAAACATGTTGAAGAGCCAATAACAGGTCCTACCGAGGTTCTACCGGAGCCTGTCCCCGCAGACGTTTAGGGCAAGGGATGAGATTATAAACGCTGTTCACGAAAAGGGCATTTAGCACGTTTGGCATATCACATCAGGTTCTCCTCGATTTCACCTATTAGACTCAGGGGGAATACACAGGTGCTCGCGGGTGATACTCTGTATAGCTTTCCTCTCGTTTGAATGACTCGACCTGAATTATCCATACATGTTCTTGTACATCATGTGCATCTGTCGTAGACCATCATCCTTGCAACTGGATATCTGTGACTATGAGACAAGCTGTGATTGGTCGGATTTGACCGATCCGGCCGACGGTTTTCGGCCGATGGAAGGCTTGGAAAAAGTCTGTCATGGATTTTATGGATGTTATTCACCTCCGATATAGGTCCGGATGGCATCGAAAGATCATGAGATGAAGGGGGCGGGAGCATCCTGGAGGATCTTGACTTGATACATGTCTTGTGTGGTCAGAATAGAAGGGACTCATCCTTGATTGTCTGCCTATCAAGATCAAAAGGAGCCACTCCACCTGTCGGAAGTCGGTCGCGCGACTCAGGACAATCGACAACGAGTCGCAGGAGAATCGCAGGAACCGGCTATGACAGGGACAGAAGAGATCGAGAGCCCCGTTGCGGGACCATCGATGAGTTTACGACGGTTCCAAGATCCACCGACTGCATCTCACATGAGTTCCGCTTCTTCGCTCGGCCCGAGTATATCCCGGATCATCAGTACTGGGATCACTTATGATCCTGCCTCGACATGTGATTCCGGCGCGGTCTCTGCTTCGAGCGACCCATCACTTGCCGGCAGAAGACGGAAGCCAGATAGTAGTCGAATACGACCTGCTGGCACCACATCCGCCCCGGCATCACCTCCGATATCGGTCGATTCCGAGCGAGGAGGGGTAGTCACCACCCCTCAACCTATCATGGAGCTTGATCAGGACGAAAAACATGAGGAAAATGAACATCTCCCTGCGCAAGCTGTTGATATAGAGCACGCGCCGTGCGAGGATGATCCGAGAGAATGGAGTTATATGAAGAAACATTTTGTCCTGATCATGATCACATTTGCATTCGTGAGTATTTTATCCCCGTTGCAACAGAGACTGCTGTGATCAAGGGGGAATAATGCCACCGGATATATTCTGTGCTGATTCCTCGCTTCTCGCTTCTCACATCGAACTCAGCTTGGCCCACTTATCGCCGCGAGCATATATAATCCTGTCATTGAGCAGATCAAAGAGGATCTACACGCAAGTAATGTGGAGATTGGGTTGAGTTTGAGTCTGTACATATTGTGAATCGAGTCCTCAAGGTCAACGTGAGGATGTCACTCATGATTGATCAGGTGTCAGGGTTGGTTCCCCGTCATGTGGGCTTCGATCGCCGAGGTGAGCCTGTCAGATTAATCGACCCCAACGCTGACGTCGGTGCGCTAGATCATCGGTCGAAAGGTATGCCGACTTTCTTAAGATGAAGCGACGTCCTCGCTGATGTGCTTCTGTCCAAGCCTGTCTACCTCTCATCTTACTTTGTGAGGTCATTCACGGAAACGTCTTTCTGGGTCCTTTGGTTGATCCATGACTAGCTCTATACCATCGCTACGACAGTCGCGTCTCGCTCTCCCAATATGCCCACTTTAGTCGCCATGCGAGCTGTCATGGCCATCGGATCCGCAGCTGTCACTTGCCTCGGAGCAGGCACGCTGGCAGACGTTTTTGAGGTTCACGAGAGAGGTAAAAAGGTGGGTTAGGATACGGGGCCAGCAATGCGCCGATCGCACATGGCTGAAGTCCACTACACTCAGCTCGGCTTCTTTTACGGCGTTTCCCTTGTTGGACCTGCTATTGGGCCATTCCTCGGTGGTCTTCTAGGCCATGTGAGTAGTGCCACCGATGGTCTGCAACGCACAAAGAAGGCTTAAAAGCTATCTCTAGGCATTCGGTTGGAGAAGTACACTCTACTTTCTGGCGGCTTACGCAGCCGTCGTTGACTGCTTGTTCTTCTTCTTTCCCGATACGTGGCGAAAAGAGGTAGGGGTTCAAGCACTATTGCCATTGCCTGAAGAAAACGACGCTGACCTGGTGTTGATACTGTTAAGCGATCGAGGATATATCAAAAGGCTGTACGCAATGCCTCGAAGCGGAAAATGCACCAGGACGAGAAGGCCCAACGCAGAGCAACTCAGCTTGACATATCTCTTTCTGCAACGGAGAAACCACCATCAGACGGGGATACACCTCGAAATTATGATCTTCCTGAGCCAGGTTCTCGTGGTCAGGTCGTGGTCTGTGACGAAAGATCTCAAGATCATGGCTCAGGCCAAGCTGGTGAAAAAGGTGATACCAGACCGACTGGACTTCCTTGGGTCCCTATGGCGAGACTGACCAGTGGCAAAGCTCCGGTTGCGCAACACTGTACAGAGACGACCACGTTCCGTCCCACTTTGCGTGATGTCAACCCATTGCCGAGCATGTGGACCATTGCAAAGATGCCGACGAATCTACTGATGATAGGGTGCTCTGGTAAGTGCAGATCCATCGGAATCATACTCGAGGAGAGATACACTGACCTGTTTCATCAGGCTTGATGTTCGGTGCCCAGTACTGCATCCCCTATACTGCAAGTTTGACGCTGGCTAAGTGAGTGGCAGACGACGTTGAGCACCCTCCTGCTTCTTGATTCTAAGCCTGCGCTGACGATCCCTCCACAGATACCCGTATGACTACAATTCATTCAAGATTGGCCTGGTTGTTCTTGCCTTTGGCGGTGGCTCTCTCGTCGGAAGTGTGATAGGCGGGAGATTATCCGATAGAGCACTGGCCATCTCTCGGAGAGTCAATAAAGGCGTCAACATCCCAGAAGTAGGCAGGGCTACAGGGGGTGCTCACTGACACAAAAACTTGTAGTTCAGATTACGCAGCACGATCCCTTTCATGCCGTTCATGGTAGGGTCTTTCCTAGCTTACGGTTGGATGGCGGAGCAGCACGTCGATATCGCAGGCATCGTCGTCATTCTCTTCTGTACGGGAATCTTCCTCATGTGAGCGGTGCCGAGGTTGGGAATATCAGACCGTCCGGAGACTAATATGACCGCTAGGCTCGTCTACTCTAGCGCATTCGCTTATCTCGTGGACGCCAATCCTGTAAGCCGCAGCAGTCCGCTGTAAGCATATGCTGGCTCATACGTGGATCTCTTAGGGCCAGAGTTCTTCTGCCATCTCCTTCAATTCCCTCGTACGAGGTAGCGTGGGATGCGTTCTCTCACAGATCGCCATCCCGATTCAGACCGCCATTGGCGACGGAGGTCTATACACACTCATAGCGGGTCTCCTCATGTTCACGTCAGCAGGGATCATTTTAATCATGTGTGAGTAGTGTGATGCGAAGTGATAGCGCTATGACTGGGTGTTGAGCTGATTCGCTTCCCTCTATCACAGGCAAAGGAGCAAAATGGCGGGATCCCGTACATCGATTTCATTGGCCGTGGAGCAAGTGGGAAGCAGAAGAGCAGGATGATGGTCCATCTTCACGGCCTTCAATGGAATCTGCAGCGTCTCGTCTCGGGCAAGCTCAGTAACCTAGCCCATGACAAACATCCCTCGTTGTACACTATATGCATTATCGATTTCCCTCCCTCCGCCACCCCCTCGCCGCCGCCACACGCGCTGCGCGCCGTTTCAATATTGGAAGCCTTTACGCGTCAGCATATATAATGCCACTTTCGGGCTTCTCACCCAAAACAAGACGAGAACTCTCCATCACGCCCCACCCTTGATTCTGCATTCAAACCACCTTACATCTGCTATCGTCTTCCACTCACTCACTCACTCACTGCAGTCACCATGCTCCACCTCGTACGCGCTACCAGACTCCAAGCCACCGTTGGGGCCAGTCTGTTGAACAACAGTGCTCGAGCTTTCTCCTCCTCTGCATTGTCCCTCAAGTACACTAAGAGTCAGCGAGAGGAACTTGAACGTGAGTGCATAATGACCATCAACACCACCCAGGAACAGGTGTGGGGGGGGGCAGCTTGTATGTTGCACTTTGGCCTGCCTGAGCTTGAACCGCCCCGGCTCTGGCTGCTACTCATCGAGCTGCCTCGCACCCTCACTCCACTCCTCCCATCCTCTTATCCTACTCGTGTGATCAGGATGTTGATGGATCGTGTTTCTGTGTCTGCATTTTTTCATATGCCACCGTTTTCGATTCTTCGATCACTGTCCTGGACTGATGGCTCTCTCATGCTTCACTCTGTCGCGCCTTCTACGCGTCTTTTCGCCCTCCCTCTGGTCGACATGCGCCGCCCTTCTCGAACCGCGTCCTCCTCACCCAAACTATGACCACCTACTCCACCTCACATAGTCCACGGTCTGCAACCACCCCCTAAGGCGCCTACCCTCCCTTATGGAGCCTTCGTCAGGGACTTTTATGCCAATGGCAGCGGAGGGGACAAAGTGCCCGTCACGCAAGCCAGTGCTGAGATCAAAGAAGCGTGGGGGAAGCTTTCTGCTGCCGAGAAATCCAAGTACCAAGAGGAATACAAACAGGCTCGACAGCGATACCAACAAGAATTCGAGACTTACATGGCATCCTTGTCTAAGAAGGACTTGAACAATGTCGAAAAGATTATCGGAAGGATCAGAATGCCTGGAGGACGTCAGGCAGCTACCAACAAGGACGGAGAGCCACGAAAAGTCTCTGGATACATCAAGTTCTCCCAGGATCTCAGGTCTAGCGGGAAAATCGACATTGAGCAATGGACCGGCAGGGACAGAGTTATCGAATTCGCTAAAGAGGCAGGTCGACAATGGAAGGCTTTGGACCAGTCTGAGCGAGACGTGAGTGGGGAATGCCCCGGTGCCCTGTGTGGATACGTGGACTGACGGAACGTCTCTCTCTTTGTCTCTCCTCTACTTCAGAGCTGGAACCAAAGGGCCAAGGGGGAGTAAATGCAGACATGTGCTAGGTAGAATTGAGTAGAGGAGGATGATCTTCTTTCGAAAGACAGGGCGACAAATTGTAAAACGACGGATGACACGACTCATTTCTTCTGCGCTTTACGTTCTGATCCGCCCTATGCGTTGGCGTCTATGACACAATTGTCGACTGTAGTGCTCTCGCGCTAGAGCCAGACCCTTCTTGAGACACATCTATTGAATTTCAGGATTAAATTGCTTCTTGAGACACATCTATTGAACTTCAGGATTAAATTGCAGAGACCTTGAATGATATGTCTAGCATATCTCACTATTTCGAAGAGGACTGATGATCTCCAATCCATGAACCAACATGTCTCCACCATGCGAATATTTGATTCATCGAGTCCGAAGCATTGCCATATCCGCCATTTCACGGAGTCATGACACACATCAACAAGAGTGCAGGTAAAAGGCTTTTGCACTCCCAATCTAAAACCCATATGACTAAGTCTCGCGACCGTTCCCAGCCCTACCATCGTTCATCCTGCCTTGCCCACTAGTGGTTCTAGTGCGTAGGCCTGGGCTTTCCATCGTCGCCGACGAACTTGTCGTCCTCGACAGGCTTCTCGTCCTCTTCAAACTCTTCCCCCTCCTCTTCCTCTTCCTCATAATCTTCTTCGTCTTCTTCGTCTTCCTCCTCCTCTTCCTCTTCCTCCTCTTCCTCCTCTTCCTCATCATACTCCTCGTCATCCTCCTCCTCATCATATTCTTCATCGTCATCTTCATCGTACTCGTCTAAATCATCCTCATCACCATCATGGTTCGCGTCGATCGCACTGGCGTGGTGGTGGCCGTGGTCATCATGATGTCCTCCGAATTCAGCCAAGATTTGCTCTTTTGATCGGTAAAAGGGAGCCGTCTGGATACTATAAGGATAGTCTCTGAACTCTCCAACGAGATCAAAGTCCATGTCTTCAAGTTGATGAGGGTCACCCTTGAAGTCAAGAGTGTAGACTGACGCACGCAAATCAGTGCGGTACGACGTGATCTGTTCATATTGACTCACCGCATCCACATTCGGGGCATCGATGTCGGCTCAATCGAAGATCAATCAACAGCCACATAGTGTCGTGAGAGTCTGCAGGGAATCCAGTGCATCCGACGTGTCTCTCGGGAGCCTAAACAGCAAAAGGTCAGATGGAAGTTCTATTGTGCTCGAGTCTCGAGTGATAGGTGACATATCAACGAACCAATGAGAAAATCTTGATAGGGTCCTCCAAAGTTCCCATTCGGGTCATCTCCAAAGGCTTCATGTCAAAGACATCATATCCCATCATATCAGCCATCAATTCGTATCGCTCCAGACCGGTAGCTTGCTCCTCGCTGTAGAGTGGTGTGTCAGCTTTGGTCTTCGGAAAAGGATGGTCAGGACGGGAGACCGAAGCGAGTCCATTTTCCAAAGCACATTGAGCAAGATAGAAAACGTCCTTGCAAAATATACAACGTCGTTCCCTCCCTGAGCCTATTGCGGCCCGACCACTCACTTGGAAGCAATCTTACCGGTCTGACCTCCTGGACCATACAATTGCGGAGGAGTGGGTCCATGACCTTCTCTCCTGTTTGGGGTCGAAGCAAAAGCCCTGATGGGTCGAGCGAGAGAGACAGGTCGGATAGTCCGAGAGATGGGAGGAAGAGCACGCAGGGCTCTGAGAGAGAATGACATGGTGAACTTAAGGGGAAGAGGGGGATGGGGAAGGGAATGGCCAAAGACTAGAAGGAGGGGCTGGATTGACTGTGACCTGCTAGGTCTCTCAAGAAAAGCCTTTGGACCTTGGCTGTATTATTTAGCTTGTCTGTCCCCAGGTGTCATAGGTCAACGAGGGGGGATGGGGTGGGTAGGGGCACACACCGAAGCAAGATAACGCCGCGGAGTTTTGTTGATTGTGGCGGGATGTCAGAAGGGGTCGCGTTTGATTTTTGTGGGTTATAATGGTGGATTGATCACGCACTGCAGTGCAGTGCATATATGGAACAATCGCCACTGCATCTCGTCTACACAACCTCGGGCATCTGGAAAGACAGGTCACAGTCTTGTCTTGGGATGATCGCTCGATGAAAGAATTCATCCGTAACATGAAGTCCCCCTTCGAGCCTGCATGATGACCAAGACGCCCTCACACTTCGCTCCGGATCCTGCGAAATGGATCAACACGTCATCCTCGTCCAAGCCCAAAGTCCCTCTTCAACGACCATTGATCGGATTCAAACAGCATGGCATCCCCACCCCGACACCATCGCGACTGACAGACTCGACCTTGAGTTTGGGATCTGGCTCGAAATCTCGTCCAAGAGTCAGCAATTCTACTCCTAATGGTCGATCAAAGACACGGACGGCGGTACGAGGCAGAGACGCCCAACATGATCAGTCTAGTCTTGGGAAATACATGACGCCGGATAAAATATCGTCCAAACCGTCCGCGAAACAGACGGCCCTAGATAAGATTCGGAGAGAAGTGGAGGAGGAGTTGACTGCATCCCCTACGGTCCAAGGCGCGGATAGAGCTTTGAAGCTTGCCCCGTTTCCAATGACAGTGAAAAAGGATGATTTTTGGGGATCGGACGATGATCCAAAACCCAACGAACCGGTAGCTGGACCAAGTCGATCGACCAAATCACGTACGCCTGAAGTCATCGACTTGACCTTTGGATCTCAGGAGACCGACGCCCATTGCCCACATAAAGACGACCGACATCTACGCAAAGTGTCACCCTTGAACGATAAACCACTCGTTTCGCATCCTCCTACTCAAGCAGTCATCGCTCCAATACCTTCCTCTAACCTTCATTCCCCTGAGATTCTCCAGAATCAGTACTCCAGAACGAATAGATTTGGCAGTCCCGCACCAGCCATCATGTCATCTGGCCAAAAGACTCGTTCGTCACTCCTTGACAGATCACCCCCTAATCCCATTACGCCCATTCCTCCGTCGATCCTGGCCATTCACCAACACTTGTGCGGACGAGATGACTTGAAAGCTCAGAAGAAGGCTCAGGTCAAGGACGACTTGCCGAAATCACAACGAGCTAAACGAGACGTCGACCTTCGAGTACAGCAACAAGCCAGAACGAAGGTACTGAACGAGAACGCCAAGCCACTGGTCCATCTCAGCAGCGATGGCTTGGAGGAAAAGTCAAGCCCCGCGCATGTGTTGTCGCCTTTGCGTACGAACACTATGCGGAGCCGTCATCGCCGCGGAAGTTCCGTGGTTGAGGCGAAACACAATTCTAGCAGAGCGCTGGCCAAATTCCGATCTGCCCGGGTTCATTCCTCCCGCGGGCCGGGCCAACGGGATCTACAACAATCCATCGCAAGTAAAGAGAGCGAGAACAACCAGGATGGCTTTTCTGAGTTGGTGGATTTCCTAGGAGATCATCCGCAGCCTGATAGAGACTGTAACCCCCTCCCGAGTTCCCCTGTCCCCATAGCCTCCAGGACTCCTCTCAAACAGGACACTGCTCGTCACCATCAGATCACGCCGCCCAAAACGCGATCATCCTCAAAGCGAAAGCGAATGGAGGAGCATACCGAGACTCTGTTTGCGTTTCCTCCACCTCCACAGCCAAAGTTCACAAAGATAAAGCATGGCGTGGAAGATCCTGAAGGCGGCAAGAAATGGAACGCTGTCGATATGGATCCAGAAACACTTCTTACCTGGAGTCTTGGAGGATCTGAACGTCAAAGTCTAGCTCAGAAATCCCTGCGCCGGCGGGCGAGAGCGACCACGGTCCTGGCGGACGACTCAGTCTCTGAGCATGAAGAGCGCGGGTCGGCTTTGTCTCAAGGAGCAGATCCATGCAACTCGGCTCGCAAGCTCTCGAGTGCTGAGGCATCCCCTAATGAACGTGTCGGCTTAAGGAGCTCGATATCCGATCTCGCAAGTGTGAGTTGCTCGCCATTCAAAGGTAAACATGAGACATCACTCACACACATATATCAGATCGGCCCATCTGAGCCTTCTCAATCTTTCCCTGTTTTGGTCCAGTCATCGCTCTCGCCCGATCAAGAGAGGCCTCCATATCTTGGCGAGCGCATCGAGCTGCATTCAGACATTACTCCCAAGACGACAGTGACGTCTACCAGTCGATGGAATCACTTGAAGAAGGGGATCTTGTCCGTCCCTGCTGAGGGAGGAAACACACCAACGTCACGAGGTGAAACTGGAGCCAGCTCAAAGAAAACTCGAGTGAGGCCTGCCAGTGATGCTTCGCAGTCCAAGCTGGCGGCGTTTGGCTTTTTCAAGGATGTGAAAACGAAGACGCATAGTGAGGATCGAGTCTTTGACAGAACATGGGACGAGGAGCGAGATCTTGAATTCGAAGAAGGATCTTCTGCGAGCTCGCCTCGTGTACAAGCAACAAATGAAGCCCTTTCGCTGCGACCGGTGCCTGAAGCACCGCATCATCCGAATCTGCGTGCAGCAGGTATTCGCGAATTGGTAAAGCGGCAGTCTACATCTCGGCAAGATGTGCCCAGTTCCCCTCTCGACGGACCGTCAAACCTCGAACCCAAAGACCTCAGCTCTAGTCCGCCCTTATTCCCGTTACTTTCTTCGCGACCTTGTACACCGTCGACTGGACCTGACACGACCAGTGCGACTCCGACCACATCTAGCAGTCTTGGGGAAGAAGGCGGGCAACTACCTACTTCGATTGGGAAATGGTGGGCACAAATTGGTGACAGAGAGATTGGGTAAAGTGTCTCTGTGACGCTTATTAATTGTATGTTTGAATCATCCTGTATATATACATGACGGTCACGATTCCAAGTTGTGTAGCTGTAGCACTCACGAATGCAAGCTTTATCTCCATTTCATTATCACGTAGCGGCGGCTATTTGGTAGAGCGCGCTTAGAACGGCGCACGCGGCCGGAACCAAAAAAGAATCAGTGAATTTAAGCGCCATCTCTATTGATGTGATCGCCCTCTCGCTCGCTCATCCCACGTATCTCCTTTCAATCTCTTCTTTGCAGCTCAACACTTGTGCATACAGATCTCGCGTGACCGATAATATCATCATCTCCTAAGTACTCCCCGCGTCAACGTGTCCACACCATGTCGCCCATCGCTGTCCCTGTGCCTAACGGCTCTACCGCGTCCAAAAACAAAATGTCAAGTCAAGAAGTTATGGACCTAGAACATGAGTACTCTGCGTGAGTCTGGAAGAACGCCCGGAGTATCGTAGTGGTTTCTGACTATGCTACAGACACAACTATCACCCATTGCCAGTGTGAGTCTGCTGCAATCATTTCACCACTCGAGTCCGATCTAGCCGCTCCCGCTACCGCACGGTAGAGCAGAGCTTGGCATCGATAATGGTCAGATGTCGGATATTCCGGTGTCTAAGATAGATGAGAATCGGTACTGACACGTAACTCTCAGCTGCTTTGACAGAGGCGAAGGAGCCCATGTCTGGGATCCTGAGGGGAACGAGTACCTGGATTTCCTGGCTGCGTACTCGTAAGTGTCACACGACAGCGCAATCGCGGCGAAATGGACTGTAGCTGAAGTCCAATCTCAGCGCTGTGAATCAGGGTCATTGTCATCCTGAAATCCGTGAGCGGCTCCACTCCAAACATTCATGGACCTTCACTGACGGCGGCCGCTCTCCTCTTCTCAGTCAATACCCTGATCACCCAAGCCTCCAAGCTCACACTGTCTTCTCGAGCATTCTACTCCTCCAATCTCGGTCCATTTGCTCAGAAGATTACTCAGATGTTCGGTTTCGAATCCATGTTACCGATGAATACTGGTGCGGAAGCAGTGGAAACGGCCATCAAGATGGCTAGAAAATGGGGATACATGAAAAAGGGGATTCCAGAGGGCAAAGCAATCGTCCTTAGCGTGGAAGGTAACTTCCACGGCAGAACCATTGGTATCATCTCCATGTCGACGGATCCGGAAGCCACTCGAGGATTTGGACCGTATCTTGAAGGTGTTGGACCTAGATGCCTTGCTGGAGGGAAAGATAGAGTGATCCGATACAATCACCCGGAGGACCTTGAACGAGCGCTCGAAGCTCACGGAAAAGAAGTCGCTGCGTTTTTGGTTGAGCCAATCCAAGGCGAGGCGGGGTGAGTAGGGAGGGGCCTCTCGGCGGAAAGGCGTCAAGGTCATACACTGACCTTGAGCAGGATCTACGTGCCTGATGATGGATACCTGACCAAATGCGCGGAATTGTGTAAGAAGCACAACGTCTTGTTTATCTGCGATGAAATTCAGACCGGATTGGCAAGGACGGGCAAAATGTGAGTATTCTTACGTATTGAGAGGTTTCAACTGACTGAACGATGTCCAGGATGTGCTACGAATGGGATGGTGTCAAGCCTGACATGGTCATTTTGGGCAAAGCTCTGTCAGGTGGAAGTGAGCAAGCGATTCTTTGAGGAAGCCACGCAGGCTGGAGGGTTGACGTTTCTCAGTGTATCCCGTGTCATGCGTCCTGTCAAGCAAGGAAATCATGCACTGCATCAAGCCTGGCGAGCATGGTAGTACTTACGGGGGGTGAGTTGAGCCTCACTCGGCACCTCCGTCACTGACCTGTAACTCAGTAACCCGCTTGGATGTGCCGTTGCCATGACGGCGCTCGATGTTTTGGTCAAGGAGGACCTCGCGGCTCGATCCATGAAGTTGGGCGAAATCTTCCGAGATGAATTGCGTAAACTTGACAGCCCATTGATCAAGACTATTCGTGGACGTGGATTGTTCAATGGAGTCGTCATTGACGAGACGAAAAGCTCAAAGGGAAGGACGGCCTGGCAATTCTGTCTCTTGATGAAGAGCAAAGGGTGAGCATTGACTGTCGTCAAAGTCGGGAGAGGCGTTTGCTGATGAGCGCCACAGGCTGCTTGCTAAGCCAACGCATATCAACATGTGAGGTGGAGACAAATTCTTCCACGAATGTCTTCTGATCGTACTTCTAGCATCCGTTTCGCCCCGCCTCTGGTGATTAGCGAAGAGGATATCCGAAAAGCCGTCAAGATCATCGGCGAGTGCCTCGAGGAATTCGACACGGTAAGACAACGTCAGCTGAGCCGTTGTCAGGCTGCTAATCCTGCTTGCTCTAGATTGAGCGGATCCCGGGAGACGAGGGAGAAGAGCACGACGTAAAAGTTGACTTGGACTTGTGAAGGCAGAATCTGCCTCTTTGTAGCGATGAGCCTTATTTCCCGGTGCCTGTCCCCAATAGTTGTCGTCTCCATGGCCAATGTCGTACGGCGACGGGGTGTTGTGATGGTACGAGGAACGTCACACAGTATCCTTTACGACTGGATGTATAGGTCGTCAGGTGAATCGGAAGAGTTCGCGATACATTAGGACGAACATAAGGAATGCGTGATCCTCTGCTCTTCACGATTTGAACCATTCCACAAGCCCATCACCAACTCACTACTCGTCCAAAGCAATCCTGTCTGGATCAAATCGATTGGACAGCTCGGCATGCCCCGCAGAGCACCTCCTAGTCAGCTCAAGCTGATCCCCGGGACATTCCTACACCGCGTGAGCTACTTTGGTCCACTACCCAGGGGTCCGAGTGTGAGCCTCCCTGACTGCGTTTTATCATCAGCCCACGGTGCGCCAAAAGTACAGTCTTCCTCGTCTGCCTGATCCTCTTCTCGTCCCTTTTCTTCACAGCCGAGGACGATCGACTTCCATAAGCAGGACATCTTCGCAGAGCTGGACGTTCTGCTACAGCGAACTAGCTTGTCCTTCTTCCGGTGACCGGGAAGATCATTCAAACGCAAAGAAGACGTGGGTCGCTCAATATGCTCGACCGTCAAGACAATCCCACCCTATATCACCTCTCCCCTCGCTTGGCCCACTTGGACACGCTGGCGATTATCATGATATGGTTGCGGGGCGGCAAGGATCAGCACGCGCAGAGGGATCCAAGTCAGTGATTGAAACCTCAACAAGTCGTGTTATCGCCCCTTGGCTAAAGACAAGTCGGCTGCCCAGCCGAGAAGAGGAGTTGATAGTATCCTCACTCAAAGCGCCACGACGAGTGGCTCTCGTGGCGAAACGTGGGACGCAGTAATCTCGAGTTTTTCAAGAGTCTTTTGCACCAAAAGAGGCATTCAATGCGGTACTGTGACGGCAGACAGTCACTGTACCCGCCCGCTCTTTATGCCTGGAGGACATGCATGGGACTGTTCTGGTCGATCTCTCTCTTTTGCCCCGAGATGCTGCGTCGATCCGCCACCCTCGCCCTCTCAGCCAATGAGTGTTTACGTAAGCCATGATTCCCTGCAGCTGGGTGGACGCGACTTACCTTGTGACGTCTCTTTTGGAAAAACCGAAATGTGCCGCTTCTCAAATGTTTAGGGGGAAACCAATTGCGCGTTTGATATCATCTATCTCTCACTTCCAAGTCGATATAGAGCTAACTTGGACCGCGAGAAGGCGATACAGCAGCCTCCTGATACTCGTGTGTCACGTCGGTCGATTCTCAAGTATCGACATAACCCTCACTCCCTGCCCCTCGCACCACGCCCCCCTCTTTCAAAAGTGACAGAAATCACACGACACACGCCACGAACATCCGGAAGGGCTACCCTTCTTTTCTCATTTATCCTTGCTGTGACCTTTCCTGTTCACCATCGTGTCTGCACAATCGACGAACGTGAATGGATTGTAGTGCCATTGCTCCTCTCTCGCGCACATCTCACGATGATCTCTGCACCTCCATCGCCTCACAAGATTCATTCGCTTCCAGGTGCGTCCAGTGAACAACCACCAAGGGGTTGGGACATGGCTGATCAATGTTCATGCGCAGTCATCATCAATTATAATATTCCATCCACTTCACAGACTTTCAGCACATTGTTCCCTAGTCTACATCAAGTTTACGTTCATGCCAATTCTGCTGCATCATCTGTCCAGGGGAGCGAAGATCTCTGCGGATCAATCTACCTCAAAACGGTAGTCCAAGGTGTCGTGACGGCAAGGTGAGCAAGTCATATCAAGGTAGCCCATATCTCGCACTGACACGAGCCTCCTTTTATTCCCTCAGTCCCGAGCTTCACCCTCTTCACCCTTCCACCCCGGATCTCCCACTCTACATCTTTGACCCTCGCGAGACATCCCTCAGACGATCACGCGTTTCCTCTTCACTCCCTCCGCATCTCCGATCCTCCATCGCCAGTTCACCCACCTCCAATCCATCTTCGCCTGCACCTTCATATCATCTTCAACAGGCCGTTCCCGCTCCTCAAGATGTCTGGACAGGCAAAGGATTGGTTTCGTGGGCCCTTGACGAGCCAGGACTGGGGAAGCAACTCATCACGGGTCGAATCGTTTGCAATTCCACCTTCGCTACTGTCCCCGCTGATGACGTCGCGGGTGGATCCGGACTGGGTGCTTTGGCTGCTTTGGTGGATAGAGAGCAGCAGGGAGAAGCTTGGGGCATCGAAATTTCACTCTGCCTCAAGAGTGGGAATGGACCCATTGGGTTCCCGTCCTTCGCGGAGACTATACCTATGGTCGCACCTGTGACTCGTTCTACAGTTCCCGCTTCACACCACCGTCCAGCTTCCTCGGCTCCACAGACACAGCGAGTCGCGGTCAAACCTCCTCAGGTGGTATCGCGACCACCAACCAAACCTCTGTCTCCATCACGACGCGTCAACTTCACTCCGATCAACCCTCGTCCGCCTGTCAGGAGGATGACATCTAATGCATCAACTGGACGGAAGAAGAAATGCACGGATACATCTCATGCGCATTGTGCTTCACATCCTCATCCGCATGTTCATCCCCGTTCGACGCGTCCACCGAGCAATGGAGGTTCTGAGCTCGCCTCCTCATCGAGCTCAAGTCAGGCTCACTCCAGCGACAATGAATCATTCCCTGGGGACATTCCCGCAACTCTGTATTCCAATCCGGATACTTTGACGAAGGATCAAGCAGAGCGACTGATAGCGTCGCCCGCTTTTCTCAACATGCTCTCCAAATTGACGGGACGACCAATCAATGCGACCGACGATAGTGCCACCAGGAGGATCCGAATGAGTCGTAAAAGACCAGCTGAGGAATTGTTGAAGAAGGACAGCGACGAGTCAGTGAAAAAGGCGAAGCAGACTAGCGTCAGGCCAGAAACAGTTGCCGGACCTAGTGCGATGACTGAGAAGAAGACACCTGCAAGGGAAGAGAGCAGCTCCAATGCTGCTTTGAAATGCTGGAACTGCGGAAGGACGAAGAGTGCCGTTTGGCGAACAAAGGTCATGGAGAACGGTGATTCGGTCCGCGTCTGCAACGGTGAGCAAGCAATGCAACGCATCCGTACTGACCTGAGCTCAGCTTGCGGCCTCTACTGGAATAAGCTGCATGTCATGCGACCACCTTCCATGTGGCAGGGAGTCGACGAGACACCGAAGTCTATCCCTCGACGAAATGCCTCTACAGCTGCGGACAAACCAGCTTCGCGCATCGATGCCAATGCTGGCAATAGCAATGGTGGTTTGAAACGAACGCTGTCAGTCGCAGTGGAGCAAGATGCGAAACGACTGGCGCAAGCTCGGGCCAGGCCCAAGACGATGCTTGACGTCGCCAAGGCGCGAGTCATGGCTGCCTCTTCACCTGTCCGACCACCACCCACCAAGACACCTGATGCTATCCAGAATGCTGCTGAAGGATCTCGATGGGCGACTCAGCCAGTCGCTGCTAGCTCGCCAGGCTGGACTCGACCTTCCACACCGCCTATGAGCGCGGGTGACAACTTCAATCCTGTTCAGCAATCTTCCGCCATTCTCGATACCCCGAACACTCACGTTCGAAAGATCCTAGGACCGGCAGTACAATCGCTCGGGATGCCATCACTGGAGCTTCCGCTGTCCGACGATGGAAGAGAGCAGGCTCAGGGCGCCACGGACCCACTGGCTGGGATTGACTGGAGCACCGACCTTTCTGCCTTTTTCGACCTGGAAGGCTTCTCCTTGCCTCAGGAGCCGCAGATCGGTCACGAAGTGACCCACATTCAGTCCGACGTCATGGAGCAAAGTACTATAGAACCAAAGAACCAGTCCGACGGAAATACCGAGCGAAGTGACGATGTCATCTCTCAGCTGTTCAACGCCACGTCATCTGTTGGCGATGGATCTTCTCCTAACCGATTCGACTGGTCAACACTGCCACCTTCCTCCCCGCCCATCATGTCTTCTTCCGATCTAGGTCACTCCGCGCTCTTGTTATCGAGTCCCGTTGTGTCGCCTTGGGACCGCAAGCCAAGTCCGGCAAAGAGCTCAAATATATCCACTGCATTCACACCTCTTTCAGAGGCGTCCAACGACATGGTCAGATCTTGTTCTGATGTGGGCCCGCTGAGACCGACTCCGCGTGACGTGTCAGGAGACTCAAAGGTGTCCATCCAATCGACGACAAGTCACTCGTCTCTATCGGCGACGGTGGAGACGGATTATTCTAGACACGAGTACGAAGGAAAGAATATGGAAGAATTGTGGGGTCAAATGTTGGCTCAGCATGCGCAGTCGGACCAAGCTGGTCCAGGCGTGCAGTCGAGCGCTGGCGCCGCGGAGGGGATGTTGGACGATGACATGATTAGATTTCTGCTCTGATGCAGCAGGCGAGCAAAACGACCGATAAAATGCTTTCTACAGAGATGGTTTTCACTTACGATACCATTCCAATGACCTTTTCACGTAAATCTCACGTACAGCACGATGCATTACAGTCCATGTCACTGATAGTTCGGGGAACGGATCACTACTTGCAGTTTAAGGATGTGTATGTACATATCGATCGAGCTCTTCAGATCGGCGCGTTCTCCAGCCACCCAGCCGCCTTGCTCTCTTTCGAGATGGTCATAGGTTAGCTCCGACGGTCCGCCTACAATGTCGAGATCTCTGACCCGTCGTCTCCTTCGGGTGAGGACGACCTGAGGTGAGACGTGACACCTTCCGGTTTGAACTCCGGCAGCCAGTTTTCTGAAGCAAAGACGAGTTGGGAGGATCGGATCCAGGCATGCGGCGTTTCCGCAAGGATCAGGGGCAGGATGTCGGTGATTATCGATGACCAAATCCAAGCGAGAAGCGATACGAACGAGAAGCATGCGATCCAGATGAGTTGCGCGGCAAAGTGTACCGACTCCAAGGCGTAAGCAGTGACACCACTCAATACACTTTTGTCCACGGTCCTCATCGCTTCGTCGATGGTAAAAGGCAAGTCGGCACCCAATTTCCGAGCTTGTTCAAGGCCCGTTATCCAAGCGTCTTCATGACTTCCCAACCTTCTCCAAGCACCCACGATGCTTATCCTTGAATCTCGTATCATATCGTTACGGTTCAACCGATTCTGAGCTTTCAACAGTCTAGGGGTGAAGATTGGAGTGGAGAATCGGAGTCGTTGAAAGATTTTCGATTCGTCGATCTGAATGGAAGGGTTGACGGTCCCGTATAGGTTCCCGTAGATCTCTCGGGGGAAATTATGTAGAGAATTCATGTCAAAGGTGCTGGAGCGAAAAAAAGTCAGCCCCTCCGATGAGCCCACCACGCTCCAAGACAAAGAAATGTACGCACACTTCCATATTCTGGCGTGTAGGATCAACTTCCTCGCCTATCGAAGCATCGGATACGGTCGTGTTCCATGCTGAACAAGTCAACGAACACTGCCACACTTCTCTGCGAATACTCACCTCCTCTGACAGTCTCTTTCTCAGGCATGAGCTAAGGCAAGCGAGACACCAAGCACATGTCAGTGATTCCGATTGGTTGCGCCACTATCCCTCCCGCTCACCCTGTCATCCCAATGCATCGTGATTTCGAAATCACTCCAATCGCACGAATCCACCAACGCGTTCTCATCCGTCATGTCTAAACTGCCACCGGCTCGAAGGATAGCCAGTGTCACCTGTGCATGGGTCCTGGTGACACATGCATGAATCAACTTGGTTTGTCGACGCCTGATGTGGCGCCGCTCACGCCATGATAACGTGGTCAAACTCTCTTTCCATGCCATGTTGATCTTTGAGCACCACTCCGTGATCGTTCTTGGACACTGAGTGGATGGCTGTATTGAGGTGGACATCCTCGGAATGCATCTGTTTCCCGATAGCATCGACATATGTCCGCCTAGAGCGCAGAAATCAGCCTTCGCTTTACACATGGCCTTCCGATACCTCCTCCCCACACTCACGATCCACCGGCAAAAGCGTACCATTCTGGACGACCCCACATTCGTAGCAGTCCGAAATGATGGAAGCATCTGACCAGCACCCATATAGGACAATCTTGTAGTACCCGCGAGGGCGGAAGAGACCAATACGTCGAAGCGAGAGGAATCAGGTAATCGTCCCTGAACCCTTGTCCGTAATGGTGAAAGTCGAGGTATGCCCCGAGGCTGATATTGGCGTACTTGACTGGATCATCGAGGACGTCCATGGAAGAATGATTGAATCGGAAAATGTCAAATATCATTCGATAGAGCCGAGGGCTGTACCTGTGGATTCGTCCAAGTTTCAATAGAGCCGTACGTACCTCGTCATCATAAACTCACCACGATCCTGGGGTTGCGAACAGCGAATGGATAGACTTGCTGCCCCATGATCCTGTTTTACTAGTGACGGAAAACGAGGTATCTGTCTTGATCACGTGCAGACGCTTATGCGTGGTGAACTTGAACAAGGTGGCGTGACCGACAGCCGACATCATGACGAATGCACTAAACGGGCGTCAAGCCTGGCGGGAGTGACGATCCAGCAGCATTGATTGACTCACGTGTCGATCCAGCATGCTGGCTTGCCCGGTCCTGAGAGACAAGGTCGGTGAGAAAGGCCCACAACGCAGTGACTTTAAACCTCACGTTGGACCTCGATAGAATGAGCGTGTCCTCCGAGTACAGATTCCTTCTCGAAGATCTCGACATGGTGCTTCGAATGTTCGTTCAGGGCCTACAGTGATACATCGTCAGTCCAAGCCAGATGATGTTCTGAGTGAATCTGCGCCTAAGCGAGGTACATGCTACCTCCAGGGAGGCTGACAATGTTCTCAACAAGACTTACCCATAGGGCAGACAATCCGGCTCCTCCCGAGCCCACAATCGCAATCTTCATGCTGTGTATGGTGCTCTCAGATTCTCAGTCCTATTCTGAGAAGGTCAGCAAAGAATACTAGCTGTGTGCGACACTTACCAGAGTCACAGGCTCCCAGGCACTTTATATCAGGCTGCGGTGTCACTCTGAAAGGGACAGACAGAAAGGCCTCACTCAAGCTGTCAAAGGGTGAGAGTCAGGTAATGACAGGATCGTGACCCGGTGAGAGTCAGTAGATAATCTCGCAGCCGGATCGCAAAGGGTCTTCCTGCCCGTGACATGTCCCAACTCTTATGGTCGTGGGGTACAAAGACGAAGACGAGGCCGAAGCGAAGCGAAGCGAATATGGCAAGTCAAGTCGATCAAAGGGTGTATCGTGGGATCTTTTGGAGATGAAGGCGACTTTGACCGACATCGTCAGTCTGTGGAGCGACAGATAACAATCAAAGGATCTTTCAAGTACGGAACTTTAGGGGTGTTGGTGACATCCTTGGGAGGAGTTGGAGTTCGGGTCGAAAGGATCTTTGAATGATTCGGTTGACAACGCCGAGGGAAAGCCAGACTGTTCTTATCTTGAATGGATAGGAAGTTGAAGACGGTGGATATCTTGGATGATCTTGTATGACCTTGAATGTTTATCAGGCGGGTCAAGGAGAGAACATCAGTTATATATGTATGGGGCTGTGAGTGGTGCCATTCAGTAGGTAACGAGCATGAAGGAATCCGAGCCTTTAGAGTCCAAGGAAGCGTGACGTTAATCATCACCCAAATATCTGCCTTCAAGTCTGGCGTCTCGATTAGTGTCCTTTCACCTTCTATGATCTGGCACTCAGAACATTACTACCCCCCTGACGGTGTATAATAGCTTTGTCGAACAATGACAGCTCTCCATCTCTAGCAAAGCTCTCTGTTCGACGAGAAATTCCGCGAATGCGGGGCTTATAGCGTCATGAGAACGCTCTGGGGTTACTTACCCGCGGGATACCTCCGGGACACAAGGTACGAGGGCTTGCGCTGCGGCTTTGCGGCTGCCGATATTCACACCCGGTCTGTCTGCCAATGATACACAACTCCGAGGGACCTTATTCGTGTCTTGACCCTGAGGAGCTCTGGATGATTGGAGAGTCGCACGTGCAACACACTTTGAGGTTTCTGTACGACGAGGCCTGCCTTCGTATTCGTCGGGGCTTGCCGATCTAACAGACATGGGAAGCACGACTGTACTTCTCAAATCCCCAAAACCTCATTTACATGCGTTTACGGGGACCACGCTCGCAGGACGGTGTGTGTCGTGCGGGGGATTCCCTCTCGGGTCAATCGGCTCATCAATGCGCAGAGACAATAGCTGATGTATGTAGGCCCCTGTCTGTGTGGGGATCCAGGCACTCACGTACCGTATGATCCCTGTCTATGGTAAGTTTTTCCTTCCTACTGCATGTCGCAAGTCAAGTATGTGCCCCGGGTGTATCAAAGACATCTCGATCGCTCTGCCGAGACGACGGATATGCGGAGATGCGGCTCGACTTCCAGCTTGCGACTACCTTGGCTCTCGTACAAGGCGCGGTCCCAACAATGACTGTCTAAACTAAATTGGACTCGAAATCAGCCTGAATATCAAGAATCAACCGCGGTACACGATCGATGACGCAGCGATCGTGACAGGTTCCTGTGTGGCACATTTGACGTGCTTCTGGTTCTTCAGCATGGTAATGTTCATATTTTCTGTACTTCAATGGGGATCCATCGTTATATGTATGCTTATCAGTTGGATGGGATGGTAGGGTATAGGGGGTTTAAAGAGGGGAACATGTATATGTACAGTATAACGAGTCGCCCTTGACACCTCATGTCGACGTCACTCCCAACTGTTGCAGGAATTGTTGAACGTCAGGCATACCGATCGCTCCGTAGTTTGGACTATCCATGATGTTAGAGAGATATGGATAGCCGGAGAAGTTTGTAGGAGAGGAAGAAGATGCTGAAGCTACGTCTTTGACATGAGCAAAATTGCGATGATACGAAGGGTGGTCAAAGAAAACTCACTGAGGTCGGTCGAGCCGCCACTGAGACCGAATGGAAGATCCGTACTCAGGCCCGAAAGGAAAGACTGCCCAAATCCTCTCATTGGACTGTCCATGACTGGTAAAGTTGACACCATTTGACTGATTGAAGGTCCGCCAAGGGGAGCCAATCCTTTATGTCTCTTCTCTCGTTTTCTACTGCCCATGACACCTTCACCCAAGCGAGAAGGAGCGTTACGAGGATTAGAAATGACCTTGGCGAGTTTCGCAAACGTCTCGTTGGATACAGATGCTTTGCCGAATCGATCATCGAATCTGTTTTGAACGGTCGCCAGACCTCGCCAATATAGGACCTGTCGAGAGACACCTTGTTTAAGACTCATGATGTTTTGCATCGAAATAGCAGCGAACAGTTTCTGAGCTTGATTTAATGATGGAGGCTTGTCGACGGTATCGCTCTCAGGTGTAGCGCTAGGTCTATCCATGGCAGAGCTGTCCGGGGTAAACTGGACGTGACGGTAAGATTCCATATCTGAGGCACACGCAATCAACCATCAGGCTTGCCCGCATCCAGTCGCACTCAAGAGCCGCCACTCACCCTTGAGGAAACAGTTCTCCGCAATGTAGAAACAATGCGTGATCATGGGGTTCGCCAGGTAAATGACGGGATCCACAATGTCAGCCAACACTAGCATTTCACTGATAAATCGAGCTCCGTGCAACCAATTTTCAGGTACGACGTATTTCTGAGGGGAAGGATCGTGAGGTCGTCCAGAGGCTTTGAATTCTTCGTTGGTAGCTCTGAACCTGTCGACGAGGAAACGAACGGCCTGAATGGAGCAAGAGGAGTCAGAAAAAAAGATGGGGGACGAGACTGTTTTGATCGACTGAAGACTCACATTGATGGTAAAGTTGTACAGGTGCAAAAAGAGATAGGTAGGTCCAGATCCAGCTCTGTAATGCCATTGCAGGCTGACAAGCGGGGTCAGTCAGTCCATGTTGTTGCACTTCTTTGTGGCATATCGCAGCCGCTCAAACTCACTTTTGACCTGACCAAATCATATCCAGTGGCAATTCATCGTAAAAGAGGGCAATTTTATGTTGGATCAATTTCATTTGATCCATGAATTCCGGTTCGCCAAATTTGTCATCGATCGGAACAGAATTCAACAAGTTGGACAGGGAGCCCAATCCAAACATGGTCTCCGCAACATAAGGAAAAGGTGATCTCAAATGCTGACTCTCGCCCGGGTCTTGTTCTTGATCATCATGGGCTGGGTGAACATCGTCTTCAGTCGGCAAACTGACAGTGACTTCCGATGGATCGATCGTCGTAGGTCTGCCTTCTTGGAAGCTGATGGCAGTGTCAAAGATGAGGACAGACCAGAAGACTAATCTGTCGAATCGGAGATCTTCAGAAGAAGCTGTAGCTTCGATCTCTTCTGTCGGTGCCTTGATTCGCTATCAGCCTACGTGATCTTCTTTCTACCTGTGCTTTGGACTCACAAGGTGCAGACCCATCTCTAAAGCCAATTCGATGGACATTTTTCGCCACATTTTCGAGTCAACATCTCTTCCTAGACCAAACGCGGCGAAGGAGAGGAGCAACAATGCAGTGACAGTCTCTCGGGAGGGTGTCCCACTTTGTGACCCGATGCTCATCATTGCTCGATCGTAGAACACCTGACCGTATAGATGTGGTGCCAGGTGGAGCGGGCCAATTTCAGGATGACTGGAGAATCTAAAGGGGGGAAGAGCGTGAGCGTGAACGACGAGAGATTGATGGATCCCAGTCCTCCAGTGGAGGGAGTGCTCACCTCGCTGCGAGTGCCGCTATAGAATTGAAAAGAAAGACTGATTGCTCGTGTCCTTGATCTATCATACTCTGCAATGCCGCTCGATGGAGATATGGGAAATGACAGGCAAAGTGGAGAAAAAAGGTCTCGAGAATATCTTGGATGATCGTGGCAGGTGGCAATCCTCTCGTATCGACAGGATGATTGATAAAGGTTGATCCGATATCTTCCGAAAGATCTCCATTGTCCAAGAGTTCAGCATTGAGACCTTTGAGCAGGTGGGTCAGTCAGCTGATAATCTACCAAATAATCAGGAGTACGAGTCCTCACCATCGTCAAACGCTGTAAAACCTCCTTTTCTCCTTCGCCTGACAATCTGCGAAGAGCCAGTATCGACGGGCCTATGGTCAGGGATGATAAAGTCTTCAGGAGGGTTGGTACCGCCTCGATCGGGTTGAGCGAGCGTGCCTAATTCCCACGCGGAAGGTCTAGCTGGACTCTTTTGCTGATGTCTCGAGCTATTGGTCGCACCACTATTGATAGAAGACATGCGATTGGGTATATTGCCATTGTCCTGTGTGGAAGGAAGAGGTTGATGTGGGATATGACTACTTCCAGGCTCAGTGGTTGTGTAGTTGCCAAAGAGTTGCTCAAGATTGGGATATGGCGTGTGTTGTTGTTGTGGTGGTGGTTGCTGGTGGTGATGGTGATTCTGGGTATGAGTTTGTGGCAGATGTTGAGTCTGTTGTTGTTGTTGTTGCTGCTGTTGATGATGGTTCGAATGATTAGTTGAAGCTGTTCCTCCACTGATTCCTGCCAATTGTCTACCGTCAAAGTCGACAATGGAAGAAACCATTGAATCGGTTCTGTTTCGAGCAGCGGCTCCTACACCCACTTGTGTCTGCTGCTGTTGACCATTGACTTCAGCTACGAAAGAAGGGATGCTGCCTGTCGATGTAGTATCTACCAAAGATGGTCTCTTGGGCGGTCTACCACGCTTAGGTCGTGTCTCTGCCGGAGGCCAATTACATTGAAGATGAGCCTCTAAGCAATGCTGACATGGATTGGGAGGTGAGCCACCGCATTTAGTTCTTCTTGATCGACACTAACAAAAAAAAAGTCAGCGCTGAAGAAAGACACACGCCGCTCGATGCACGCTCGATATGGATCTGAGCGGGCACACTTGAATCATCCCAAGCTGCAAGCAAGCAAGCAAGCAAGCAAGCAAGCAAGCAAGCGGGCACACAGCCCATTTTGCATCGTTTGATCACGGCATCAGGGCTCCCTGACTCACCGGCAGACAAGCGATCTTTGCCCTTGAGATCTTGACCTTTTTCCTAGCGCTCCCTTCTCCATTCCCATATCCATGTCCTCCTCCACCTCCACCTCCATTCGAACTCTCGGGCGACGACTCGCCATCGTCCATCCCGTAATGATGATCATTCGGATTCATCATCATGATTGATTGAGGAGATTTTCACCGTGAGCTAGGTCCCGTCGATCCTGATACCGGTATTTCGTGCCTCCTGGTTGACTGGTTGAGAGCCACAAAAGGTAGAACGAAAGCGGAGCGTTAGGTCGCCACAAAAGGTTGGATCCCTCTCAACGAGCTCTGCGCGAGTGTTCCCAAATGTTCGGCAAAGCCCAGCTGCTTCGCAGGACAGTTGACGGCCGTCAAAAGGTCGGACAGGTTGTCACAGGTTCCAGGTAGGATGGAACTATGGTTTACTATGCCTCAAATGATTCTCTTTTGCTCTTTCGGTGTTGTTGATGTATACACGACAGTCAACCTCGTTCGTGTGTCCTTAGGTGTGTTGCCTGTCCCTTCTAAGGGGGAGCTCCTCCCGGCTACCCTCGGTAATTCCCGGTGCTGTTTCTGTCCAAAGAGAGAGAGAGAGGTATAGATCTATGGAGCCATGAAGAGCAACGACAGAGCTAGCAAGTATTGAGGCCTTTTTTTTTCCCTTGATGATTCTGTTCTTGCTCCACAATGGAAAATGCTATGGAGTTTGGACAAGACAACAATATTCGGAATGTACAATGGTAGTAGTGAGCTAGATCGCGAGCACAACATTAACGCCCCCCGATTTCTTTGTCTTGCTCGAAGGCCCGCTCCCCGGTATCGGTTATGGGAGATTATATTAGACGTACGACACACAAGCACAGAAGCACTGTGGTCAAGGGTGGGGGGGCCATGCCACGCCACGCCAAATGCGGGGGCAGGGGGGGACACAAGCAGCAGGCAGGCAGGCTGGTAGGAAGCCACCTCTTCCTTCGTCTTTCTTCCTCCACCAAAAAAAAACTCTCTTTCCACCCTCTGGCAAATGACCATCATATTTAGCCTGATTAAAAGAGGCAACACAGTCTGCTTCTGCTTCTGCTTCTCTGTGCCAAAAAGCAGCGGGTAGGGATCCCAACTGAGAACCTGGACTCCTTACCCCAGAGGCTTCCCCCCTCTCTCCCTCCCCCACCTTCTCTCTCTCTCTCTTTCTCTTCGTTTCGCATATGCCGACTTCTGAGCGGACCCTAGATCTACTTTTTTTTCTGATCACCGACTTGACGCCACACGCCACACCCCTCCTGCGTCTTGTTCAATTGACAAAAAGGTCGCTCGCTTGCTCGTGAGTAGATTCACGCTATCCCGTGATGGTCCCTTGGATACCGCAAGGGTGGATGACAGCCGAGACACCGTCTGCGGATACAGGGACGTACGTGTCAGGGATCAGCAAGCCAGGCAGCCGTTCGGACTTTAGAGTTTTCTTCCTCGCCCGTGGCGTAGGAAGGCTCTGACGATCGATTTGGGGGGGTGCCTACGCGCCCTGCATCCGATTGCATGCATGCCCTTGCGAAAAACTGCCTCCCTTGCGGACGATCCCGCATCCTCCTCATCCTCCTCAGCCTCCCCTCACTTGCTCTTTCTAGGTTCTTCCGCCTCACTGTCGATCGTCCAACAATCTCGCAAACGTCTAAGAGATCCCGCCAAGACCCCGAAACGGGTTGCCGCCGCCGCTTGCTCCAGCCATAGTAAAATGATCACCATGACCCATGCGATCCATTCCCAAAGAGGCAAAAGACCTCTTCTGATCTGGTCCAACTTGTCTATACTCACTCGGAGAATGCTCAATATGATTCCCGCATGTGGAATCGGCCTTTGAGCCGGTCTTACGTCGAATGGCGCCCGTACATTGAATGGCTCTTCGTTGAGTAACCGCATAGCCGAAGTGAACCCATCTTCGTGAAAGCCATACTTTGTCCATGCTCCCACGTAGGATATACCGCGGACATTCTGAATAGATTTGAGCTGAGTTTGAGTGGCAATCGAGGAACGCGTCATCATGGGATGATCATACTGCCACCTGCCTATGACTTTGGAAGGATCCACCTCAAAAGGAGGGTTCAGGGTGACGAGAACTGGACCATGACGTTTTTCATCGAGATGTTGAAGAATGTTCATACTGTATGTGAGGGAGACCGTGTCGATGGAAGATGAGGAAGAGGCAGTGGTGTTGGAGGAGGAACGTTTGGAATTTTTGGATCGTTTTGGACCCTCGTGAGCTTTTGACAAGGTCAAATAATTCCAAGCGGAATAGGCAATCTTTCGGATCGGCATGAATCGTTCATCATAGTGAAGGACAGCTTCATTTTTGCTCCATCGCCAAGGTTCAAGCACGCGACTTTCCTCGGATGTCAACTTGCCGCCTTTCCGAAGAATCGCCAGGGTCGTATCCGAGTGCGTGGCCATGATAACATGGTCGTAGATGTGTTTCGAGCCAGACGCTTCGGTCAATTCGACACCATCGTCGACGGATCTAACGCTGACTATCTCAGTATTGAGGTGCAGGTTCTCCGGGGCCAGTCCACCGAGGACCGCATCGATGTACTTTTTTCTTGAAAGGACCATCTATCAGCGACATGACCTATCAGGACATATGGGACGGTATGACCCACGATCCGCCTTTGACAGTCAGCCATTTTGGTTTCCCCGTGATCTGTAACAAGTGATGATTGTGCATGAACTGAATCAGGGTCGATGCTGGAAAGTCGAGAGCAGCTTGATCGGCAGGTGTGGACCAAATCGCAGCTGTCATCGGCTGAGCGTGTCAATTTCTTGACGTCGAGTCGAGAGGCAAGCAAGAGGGGGGAAGAACCCACCATCAGATAATCCTCCTTAAACGCACTACTATACCCTTCACGATCTAGGTATTCTCCTATGCTCATGTCGTTGTCAGACTTTTGATTCAAGATTTCAATGGCGAAAATGTTGAATCGCAAGACGTCCCATATCATACGATATAAACGAGGATTAAATCTGTGCAGGCAGGCGGGAGGCGTCAGGATCCTTGGAAGAAGAAGATGATCACGAGAAGCCCATGATTACGTACAGGTTTGTCCATTGACAGAACAGCGCATGCGCCTCCCCTGCCCATTCAAATCGACCTCTGTCCCGGGACACAGAGAAAGTCATCTCAGTCTTGAGCAACGGGATCTTGAGCAACTTGAGAAATCGGAGAAAGTTGGGGTATGTGACGGGATTGAGGACGATCTGAAAACGTGAGTATTCCCCCGATCAGCAAGACATTTCTTTCTCGAAAGACTTTGTTTCATCGACACGCACGAATCCGCTGCGAGTTGGCCGTGGCATGTTAGCTTTAGGTATCGCCATCGAGTCTCGCCAAAACACTCACGTATCGACCATGCAACTCTCCTTGCCCTTCCCTGAAGATAGCAAGTGAGTGACTGAGAGAGAGAGAGAGATGCAACCCTCCCCTCGCTCACGTCTGAATTCGACGGTGTGTGTATGTCCACCAGGATAGTCATTCTTCTCATACACGTTTACTTCGTGATCGGAATATTCGTTGAGCAACTGGAGGCATCGACTTCAGTGATGACCCCCCACCAAACACGCCGTGTATCATCATCAATACCAAAGCGATTCACTCACCCAAGTAGCTGCGATGCCGGATACGCCTGAGCCCACCACCGCGACTCGCATCTTCGTGAGTGGACTGATCACAGTAGATTGAAAGGGAACAGCTGGGCACAGAAGTTCTCCGCGAAATGGACTATGGCATATCGATTGGAGGTGTTTATTCTAATGATGTGTGCATTTACTAATCACTCATTAGAAAGGGACCAGGGCTCATTACGTTTTCTCCCCCTCGCTGCCCCTGTGACGTCTTCAAACTCCTTTTTCTAATCTGATTACACACACACCGAGGTCGGCCGAAACTTGACTGGACCCCCAACTGAATTTTTAAGCTCGCAGCTGTTCATCCATCAACACCTTCAAGGCATTAATTATCATCGCCATCACTCCAAACACATCCGTCTCTGTGTCTCTCTCTCCAGAGTCTCATCGTCGTCTTTACTCACCTTACCCCGCCGCTCACCATGGCCTGCTGTGGAAAAGGTGACAAGTGTTGCCAAGCATCGGCCTCGTCGTCGTCGAATCACTCCAACGCATCTTCGTCGTCATCGTCGTCTACACCTACCGCCGTGCCTCTACCATCCGCTTCAAAGAAAGTGCCTGGAGAATCCAATGTAGATCCCACAAAACCCATATGGTACCTTGATAACCCGACTCCAGCCCCTCAGACCAGACGACAACAACTCCAAGCGTTGATGGCTGCTGAACAACCTCTCGGGAGCAAATGTGGAGTTCATGAAGATGGAGAAGAGAGGGGAACATGTTGTAAAGAGCTCAAGGGGGAAGATGAAAGACATCTAGTGGCTCCAGAGATCGTAAGGGATGTGTGAGTGGGGATCCTTCATAACCTGTCTTAAATGATATTCAAAATCTGATCGTGTGATAGGATCATCGGACTCTCCGATGGTCTCACCGTCCCTTTTGCCTTGACTGCGGGATTGTCTTCCCTCGGATCATCGAAACTCGTCGTCACGGGTGGATTGGCGGAGCTATGTGCAGGTGCCATCTCCATGGGTCTAGGAGGGTTTCGTGAGTGTTTTGGATTTTTCGGGTATATTCAGTGCTAATCTAAGCTCGTTACCAAGTCGCATCTCAAGCTGAACTGGACCACTTTCATTATCTCCAAAGACAGACTTCTGCCCGAGTCCTCAGATCATGCTCTGGCGAGATGGAAAGGGAGGTTCACTCGATTCTCGGTCCACTTGGGATCAAAGAACCTCTGTCGCGCTTGGTCGCCGAAGATTTGAGGTCTGTAGAAGAGGACGTCTGGGGCGACAGAGCAGACGGCGCAGAAGGAACGGAAGGGGTCATTGGTGCCACGAATGGAGGATCCCCCCAACGGAGACAGAGACAGACCAAAGGTTCATGGTGGAAGTTTGGTCGTGCAGGTGAAAATGACCAAGAGGAAGAAGGAGGCTTGAGGAGAGGCTCAGAGATGGGTCTTACAGCGTTCTTGCTCAAATTTGGCGAAGGCTTAGGTGAGTGAAAGACTGAAATATGCTGCTGCGAGGACTTTGCTGAATGTTCCAATTCTAGAGGAAGTCCCTCAATCTCGATTATGGATCTCCGCCCTTACCATTGGAATGTCTTACTTTATCGGGGGGCTCATTCCTCTGATACCATACATGGCGACGAACGATGCAGAGACGGGTTTGATCATCTCGTGTATAGTCACTGGAGTCATCTTGTTCATCTTTGGAGCGTTCAAGACGTACTTTACGTGAGTCAGCGGGTCAAGCACCCGCAGTTCGTCCCCTTAGTCCCGCAAACATACACACACACACACACACACACCCCGCTAACTGGGCTGACGCTTATTTTCGTCAGCGGTGCCACAGGTGGATTCGGTGGCTACCTGTACGGAGCCACCAGCACGATGATCGTCGGTGGACTCGCAGCTGGTGCTGCGTTTGGTCTCGTCAAGGTACTCGGTGTGAAAGAATGAGCTGGGCGAAGAAGGAAGAAGGATCACAAAGACGAGACAAGGAAGTCGATATTTCTAGAAGACTGGGTTCTTTGCCTGTCAAGCCCTATACTATCTGCAGGATGTAAGTCTCCCGAAGCCCACTCAGTGTATGGATTCAAGCATGGCTGTCGACCCACCTGCCCAAGAGTATGATGACAACGTTCACGAGAGGCGTTGACCTCGAAAGACTTGTGGCCCGCTTCCAGAGGTCCAAAAGTCCATTCGAAACTGTGACGGACTCGAAACGGCATCCCGCGACTTTGCCCTTTGTTTATGAGGTCATTTTTCTTTTTTTCTTTTTTAATTTAAAGTACGCCTTTTGATCGAATCCCGTTTGATTGCGACTCATCTCTCCCCCCCAAAAACTTCAATCAGAACAGCCCATCCAGAGTTCTAGCTGAGATCACAAACTTCACCTTGGAAGAGCTATACCTCCAATCTTCCAGCTGCAAAAATTGCCCAACATTCTGCTCCTCCGTTCTTCCCAGAGAACGCTAGCCCGATCGTTGCTGTCCTGCCAAGTCAATAGCCGATCGTCAAGAAACAAACCAGCCGCCCTCTTTCTCTCAGCTCAGAATCCCCATCTACCATCAACCAGGTCACTTTCTTCCACCACGAACACCATGTCTGGATCATCTCTCTCCACATCGTACCCTGAAGTGAAGGCTTTACTGGAATCCAACCAGAAATGGGCAGCTTCTGTTGAAGAACAGGAGAAGGGATTCTTTGAGAACTCGGCGAAAGCTCAGGTGAGTAGAATATGAAGAATCGGATTCCTCTGTTACGGTCAGAGGTTTTGCTAGGGAGTCTGTCTGGCGGATAGAGCTCTATATGGCTCGCTTCCCTGCACGTTCGCACGTTTGCTTACAGACTGTGGCTCACATGCTGACATCCCTCGCTTTTCAGTATCCCAAATTCCTCTGGTTCGGATGTGGAGATTCTCGAGTCCCCGAAAGTACCCTCATGGCTCAAAAACCCGGTTCAGTATTCGTACACGTTAGTCTCTTGGTCGATAGAGTGTGTCGAGATCGCTGACCATTGTTCGCAGAGAAACATTGCCAATCAGGTGAGCTGCTTGGCAGGATTTCATCCATTCCCGACCCTGCTACGTATTCAAACATGCTGCCCTTGATGGGAGTGCTGTCGATGACCCGCGGGATAGCGAGTTAGCAGACATGGCATCCTGATCACCTACAGCCAGACAGCCGAGACATGGTCGCTCTTTTGGCGATCAAAGTCATGGCTCCATAGCAGAATAGAACGCTGACCCATCTGCCAGTTCCAACCGAATGACAGCTCTGCAAATGCAATTCTCGAATTCGCAGTAGGAACAGTCGGTGTAGACCACAGTGAGTGAGATTCAGAGGAAGAGGAAGAGGAGGACTCGCCGACTGGCTCTTGCCTCTCTCTTATCTTATCGTCTTGACCCTTGCTGATTCTCACATCCTCTCACCAGTATTAGTCGTCGGTCATTCAGAGTGCGGGGGATGCATCGCAGCTCATAAAATGAGTCCTCCTACCAAGGATTCACCCGCCCCATCCTCCAACTCCCCTCTCATGTCTTTCCTTGGACCCGTCATCGAACTTAGACATTCCCTCAAAGAGGGTTCAACCGTCGATGACTTGATCGCGGAGAATGTCAAAATGTCAGTGAAGAATATCGTCGCGTCTCCAGTGAGTGTCGGCAATAAGCCAAGGAAGCGCGAATATAAACTGACTCATCTCCTCGACTAGGTCATCCAGTCGTCCTGGGAGAAACATGCCAAGGGGGAGATGAGGCCCGTTTACGTCCATGGATGGGTGAGTCGGCCATCTTTCGCACATATATGGCGTCTGACAAAGATTGGTTTCATAGACGTATGACCTATCTACTGGTCTACTGAAGGATCTCGAGGTATCTCAAGGTCCTAGTCAGTAAGCGGCGAATGAAGGGCCGAAACTGAGCGGGAGTCGCTCGTGAATGACACAAAGCATGCGGAACGAGTTGATCTTGGCGGTCAGGCTCGATTGGCGAGTGTTGGACTGCTGCGAGCCTTTGGAGACAGAAAAGTCCAGTCAAGTACTTTCAAAGCATGCAATAGACGTTACAGATAAGGCGCGATCTGGACAGGTTGTCGTATTGCGTAGCGATAGGATTCAGGGTACAGCCACGTGCTGTGGAGGTTTCCGGAGCGATTCCGAGTGCCGTTTCGGAGTGGAATCGGGAGTCACCGTGGAGGTATTCCGGAGGTGATTTGGAGGTAGATCTGGAAGGTCATTGGCGGTTCTTCGGGAAGGTAAATAGAGTATCTTCGACAGTGTACTTCGGGGACTTTGCGCGCTCTTCGACAGTGCGCCTCGATGAACTTCGACGAGATCTTCGGCCGATGTGATGTACCGTCTCAAGGGCGACTTTGGAGGAATCACTGAGGCTGTACCTCTTGGTAAATCGGAACAGGCACAAGGGGGCGGGGGCGGCGGGGGCTCATGGGCCGAAGCCCACCGCCACCGGATGATCTTTAGGGCAGGCAGTACACGTCTATAGCCTGTACGAGGACCGCCTCGCGCCGATGCTCCAATTGTTACACGCTATCTTGTCCTTCCGCTGAGACCATCCGCTTCATCTCAGCCACCATGGGGAGTAGTTCCGGTTGTGCGATGATGCGATAAACGTGAGCCTCAATGCCAAGCCAGACATACTTCGCCGGCTTGCTCTCTGCTCTTCTCACCACCTCTGATGAAGCTATGCCGGCTATGACGCGACACTTGATACCGAGGTGTATATCTCCTGCCAAACCTGAGGACTCTACGACGCCATCTACAATTCCTTCACTCCTGGGGTCGTAAGCGGTTTTAACGTACCACACGATCTTTTTCGCGAGTGGCAACAAGCACGTATGTGGAAATGGAAGAACTTTGTCCGAGTCACGCCATGTCGAGTCTTCCACAAGTCCCAAGCGACATCCTTGCGTCTCTCTGCACCGCCAATATCCATGGATGTACTCTAATGATGGTTTATTAGTCTTGAACTCTCTCTCTCTCAAAAGCTCTTTCGCATCGCCATCTCTTTTTCTGCCGCCACCATGGTAAAAGCACAAAAAAGGAGGTGGGAAAAAACCACAACACCCGCGACGCGAGGAGGATAAGCAGTCATCTCAAGCTCGTCTGACATGGAAAATTAATAACCTTACGGCGAGGACGACGACGCCTCACTCACACACGGAGAGAGCATGATCGTTTGGTAGCGTGTTCATTGAGGCAGTGAAGGGTGACACCTTATGGCTTCCACGACGTTGGGTTTAGTGGTATCCTCTATGAATCCTTTCTCATGATGACAGCGGGTTGACTCCATATGGTGCTGAGGGCTCCGTCCGACGAACGCGGTACTCTTGTCCGAGGTAGAGAAGCGGAAGAAAGAAACAGAAAAGAAAAGAAAAGAGGACCAAAACATTGAATCCATTCCCCATCAGTAGGGACACAGATCTTCACAAGCTTCATTCTTCATTCATCATCATCATCATCACATCCACCAAAAAGGTCCTCGGTTTCTGCCATTGGTCCTCTTTGCCCCCACCCCTTTTCCATACACCGATATCCCGGCGAGTGGGGGGGCAACCGAGATTCCAAACAACTGTACTGTGGCGTTTGTTTACCATCCATCCAATTATCCAATTATCACCACCATCATCATCACCGTCGTCGTCTCGGTGGGATCAGAGGCATCACATCGAGACGACCTGCTACCATCTTGAGGCTCTTCCTCCTCATTCCACTTCACTGCTTGTATACGATAGGCACATATACCATCGTGTGTGCCTCAACAACAGCAGCACAGCTTCCCCTTCCCCCCGGGCATCATTCGCCCGCTTCGGACCGGGGCGTTTTTGCTGCTTTGTTGTCCCGTTTTTTTTTTTCTTTTTGTTTCAAAACCCTCGTGACACATACATCTCTAAGCCTTTTGGGAAGGGATTCACTTGACTACTGCTGGGGCTACTGCTGCTGCTGCTGCTGCTGGGTTGGACGAGACTGAGGGTGTAGTCGGTGCAATACGTTCAGAGCAGTTGCTGCGACTGTGTGTAGAGAGAGACAGACAAAGGAAAGACGCTAGGTGAGTGATTTGATTCATTCAACGTACAATTCCTCGCGGTTGGTTGATTCCCCGTCCTTTTGCCCCTCATCCCCCCTTTGTAACCCACCATTCAGCCTCTCTTCTCTCTTCGCTCTTCACTTGACATTCTCTCATATGCTCATCGTTGACCTTTCATTCAGCGATACAGAACACTATTGCATCACTCTAAAGCGGCGAAATAGGTCATCGCCCCAAGACTCTTGGCGTCATCCTTGCCACTTCACCTCTCTCTTCCCCTCTTCCATCAGGTGTGAGTCCGTTCACACCAAGCACATCCCAACCCCAACCCCCTCGTCCCTCCTTCCCGTTCCCGGAGGGGGAAGCATACCAAGCATTATTCCACCTTCCCTTCGTGCACAGCGTTGACCCACGCTTGTTCTACCCACCACCTCCCTTGTCCAATACACTCTACCCTCTCAAATCCCACAGATCAATTTCAACATCATCACCATCAACCACTCTCATCCACCCTTCGCTTGGCTCACCAACATCCACCTCTTCACCATGCCGACACCACGTAAAGCCGATGTCGGTCCCACCCCTTCTCAACTGGAAGAATACGCTTCACTTCCTCGTCATTCACCCGACCTCCGTCCATCACCCGAATTCCCTCATACTCAATCACCTTACAACGATGAATCCGCTCGTCCGTCTCCGTCAGGTCAATCCTACCAATACACATCCCCTCAGCAATACCCTTCCCCCTTCGCTGCCGCTGCTGCCCACGGCAGTGCCGGAGGTCGATTGACACCCGACATGTCATCACCTTACACTTCGCTTGGCGGTCGAGGCATTCCCGATTCTCAACTCTTGTCACCTGAAGGACAAGGTATCACAGATTCATACTGGGGTCGATCGGGTAACGAGTACATGCCTGCACCGAGTATCATCTCCAGAGATTCGACACACGGCAGCTTGGCAGGCGGAGCAGGCGGATACGGAAGTAACAGGAATTCTTGGGGTAGTGGTATGGCTCTCGCAGCCGCCGCAGGCACCTATGGAGACGACGTGAGTGTGTGGCCTGTGTGATACAGACCAAGTTTCCAACTGCTGAAATGAAATTCTAGTCACATCGTCCCCTACCTGCTCGAGGCTCATCACGTCTCGCCACTTCGAGCCCTCAATTGAGCGTATCAGACGAATTCGAAGAGCAAGGCCATGTCGCTCCGAATGCGATCAACGCACCCGGCACTTTCTCAGAAAAGTCCCCCCGGTGGGCTGGAGCCTCCAGACCTAAAAAATCAAGAAAGGCGCTCTGGATCGGTATCGGGATCGGAGCGTTCTTGGTCATCGGTGCGGGTGTCGGTCTAGGCGTCTAGTGGGTGTCTGGTGTCATGTTGGGGGATACTGATTAAGGTTTAGCTTCTCCCTGAGGAATAAAAACAACAGTTCGAGCTCTGGTTCATCACAGTCTGGTGCTGATAATGATCAATCCGGAGGGGGCTCCAACGAAGACGGCAGTTCTAAAACCCACACCGGAGGGCATGGACAACAGCCTTCGGCCGCTCCTACCAGCGGTGGACAGGGATCTCTCTTGACATTCGAGGATGGCTCAACGGCCACCTATAACAACCCCTACGGCGGTACATGGGTATGGGATCCGTCAGATCCTTTCAATGTAAGCGACACGGATTCGGAGGTTCAAGCTGCTCGCTGACACGCTGTGCTTGCCTCAGAACGATGCCCAAGTCAATTCCTGGACTCCCGCGTTGAACCAAAATTGGACCTGGGGACAGGATAAGGTCATGGGTGTCAATCTTGGAGGATGGCTCAACACTGAACCGTTCATCGTCCCTGGTCTGTATCAACAGTATGCTCAAGGTGCCGGAGGTCAAGCCGTCGATGAATATACCCTATCGCTGAACATGGGAGACGATCTCGAAACGGCCATGACTCAACATTATGACACTTTTATCACCGAAGCGGATATCGCAGAGATTGCATCGGTCGGTCTGAACTGGATCCGACTTCCCATTGGTCATTGGGCCGTCGAGACTTGGCCAGGAGAGCCTTTCCTTGAACGAGTCTCTTGGACCTATGTTCTCAAAGCTATCCAGTGGTGCAGAAAGTATGGTATCCGGATCAACCTTGATCTTCACACTGTACCTGGATCCCAGAGTGAGTCTGAGCTTTGCGGCCCTTTCACGGATTTGCTGACGCACCTGCGCAGATGGCTGGAACCACTCTGGCAAGCTCGGATCTGTCAACTGGATGTTCGGCACCATGGGCCTCGCCAATGCTCAACGATCGCTCGACTACATGCGGACGCTTGCCGAGTTCATTTCTCAGCCCGAGTACGCACCCGTCGTTCAGATGTTCGGCTTTGTCAATGAACCCAATTCCAACGTCATCAACAAGACCGTCGTCGCTTCGTTCTACCAGGAAGCCTACCGTGAGATAAGATCTGTCACGGGTATTGGTGCTGGAAATGGACCTTTCCTCTCCATTCACGATGCCTTTGCTGGCTTCACCTCCTGGTTCGGTTTCCTACCCGGTGCCGACCGCTTGGCTTTGGATCAACACCCTTACCTCGTATTCGGCACTCAACAGACTGGACCCATCCCTTCCATCGCGCAGATGCCCTGTCAGTACTGGGCGGCAGATACCAACACGAGTGCTCAGCAATTCGGAGTTTCGGTCGCTGGTGAATTTTCTGCTGCCATCAATGATTGCGGCTTGTATGTCAACAATGTCGGTGTTGGCACACGATACGAAGGGACGTACCCGGGATACAACGGTCCGACGGGAGGATCGTGTGATCAGTGGAACAATTGGCAGGAATGGAATGAGACTGTCAAGCAGGATCTTCAATTGTTCGTCCAAGCGGAAATGGATGCTTTGCAGGTGAATAAGAAGAGATACGAGTGAGAGGGGCGATCGCTGACCCCTTTGATCTAGGACTACTTCTTCTGGACCTGGAAAATTGGTAATTCCACCACTGGCAACCCTCAACCGAACCCTTTCTGGCACTATAAGCTCGGTGTCGAACAGGGCTGGATCAACCCGGATCCCAGAACCGCCTTTGGCACCTGTGCCAGTTTTGGAACGCCCATCAATGCCTTTGACGGCATTTACCCCGAAGCCTATATGACTGGAGGTGCCGGAGCTGGTCAAATTCCTGCTACAGTTTCTGCTTCATATCCTTGGCCCGTTCCTACCTTTTCCGACGTCAACGCCGCTCAGATGACTAATATCCCTCAATACACCATGAACGCTTCGCCCATCACTTTACCAGGACCTACCTTTACCAACCCTTCTTCCGGAGCGACCATCTCACCAGGAAGCGGTTGGGCCAATTCAGCTGATACCCGACCGGCATTCCAGGCTGTTCAAGGGTGCTCGTATCCTCCTGAATACAGTGCGACGGGTGTACCTATCGTCCCGGGTATGTGTGGTGCTGGACTCGACCAGGTGATCGTCAAGCGGAACGGAGCGCCTGCGCCGACGCCTGCGCCAGTGGTCTAGGCGAGCGGAACGGAGCGGAGCGGAGCACATCAACTGCGCCCATGCCTCTGTTTCACCATGCTGGCTATTCTGTTATATGAGACGAAACAGCCTCTCAATCACTTTACGACTTTTCTCTCCCCCTTAACGATCTGGAAACGAACGGATGACATGGACTACGTGTAAACACCCGCAGTGTTCACGTGTCAGGAATGGACAATTCTCCTTTCACTTTGTGCTCTCTCCATCTCTCTCTCTCGCACACACACCCTACGACCACAAACCTCGCAATCACCATCAGCATTCCCCGGTTCACAGTGTCCCCCTCAACCTCCCTCCCCTCCGCCCTTCCTTAATATCAATATCGGAATCGTTGTTTCCCCCAAAAAACCCTTCTCTGTAATATACACACCCCATTTGATGTAACTTGTCATTTTGATTTTTTTTAACCCTTCTCGCGAGGTGTGAAGGTGGAGGATGAGCGAGCACCCTTTTGTCTTCGGGATGGAAGCGATCGACGAAGCCGTCGTGTTTTTGAATGGACAATTGACGGCGTTCCCCAGTTGAGGACGTATAGCGTGTCAAGCGGTCTGATGCGTCCATAACATGCATATTGTATGTGAGGTTCATACGCAATTACTGGTATAACGGGGAGAGAGCGTCTCATGCTCTCTCTCTCTCTCTTTTCTCCTCAACAGTCCAATGCATCCATCGTTTTGCTCATATTATGAAATGCTGTATGTGTATGTGTCTATCTCTGCCATCATTAATCCTGGAAGTCTCATCCGATCTAGATTGTGAGCATCATGCTCATCGAGCGAAGCAAGGCAAGCAGATACGCCAGGCTTCCCCATCTAATCCCAATCCATCCTGTCTACATACTCCATAATGTCCGATCCAATTTGTTGCTTTACCAAATGACCTTGACCAGCTGCGATTTTTAAGATGGCGCTGTTCAAAGGTGATGCACCGAGGATATCGACGTGATCGGCACTGTAGACGAGTTGACCAGTCAGCTCCGACTTCAAAGTATTTATGTGTGTGTGTGTGAGAGAGATATGTTTTGGGGGGTTCAGAGTTCTCACGTCAGAGCTCCTCCTCTTAGATCAAACGATTCTGGCGAGTGTTTGTATTCTGAATGTTTGTGATCAGCTTAGAGACAGACTTCCTTGGCGATTAGCGGGCAAGGTCAGACTGACCCTGAGTGACGACCTCTATGCCTGATGGATTCCACCTAGTCTTGCCTTTCCATCCTTTGACGCACATGGCGCCGAGACTGACCACTGGAATGGTCCCATCGCCGTCACCAAACTTGACGCCCGATCGGACCTGGCGAAAAGGGGAGCCGAGCACATGAGTATTCGACAGATTGATTTGGGGCCAAGGTCTTTTGACGACTCACTTCTGGTATGGCTCCAGGGACAGATACGGCCGTATCAATCCATTGTTGTCTTGCCAATGGAAAGTCTAACGGTGTCCTAGATGTAGTCTGATTGTTACAGCCTTCAAGATTATCTGCCTCGCACTGTGACATCAGGGTGAGCTGGATACAAGCTGGATCGGCGAAGTGACTTACGATGGCTTCTTGACCCCTAGCGTCTGGATTTGACTCGTCTTGCTCGTATTCTCCCTGCATATACCAGTAAGATCTCTCCGTCTCCTTTCCGTGTCCGTAGAGACAGAATATCTTCATCTTGGGAGCCGCGGGTAGCCTGCAAGCGGTATCAGCAGGAGCACGTGCCGGTGAGGGTTGCCTCACTTGACTTCCAAAGGATTGGTCCACTGTTCAACAGTCAGCATGAACGAGACCACCAGCCACTGGCCGACTCACCTTGCGGTGATCATTATCATTTGCTTCTAGCTGTTCTTGATCCGTCTCAAAGCCATAAGAGTAATTTGTTTGGACCATCTTTTGGAAATGCAATGGCGTATGCGTAAGAACATAGGCGCTTGCCTCGTTCATGGTCAAGTTTGGCGAGACGTTGGAAGCGGTGAGGTTACGCTCGTCAGAGGTGACTTCAGGGTGACGGAAAGAGAGGAAACGACCGTGCGTGTCAGTTGCATTGGCTGGGTCGTCCTGAGGCACGTCAATGGAGACTCAAGAGTTACAGGTAAAGTAAAAAGCCTACCGGTGCCATTTCTGTATTGCCCCAGATTCGGTTGCCGCCCTGTCCAAAGGCCTCAGCGTGCAGTCCTCACCATCCTCATCACCATCAGATCAGAGACTCACCTTGACCCACATGGAACTCGCACCTGGCCATCGTCTGAATAGCTTGGCACGTTCTTTCCGTGAGAAGAACTGGCGAGTGTAAGCTGATTCTGGTGTCGTAACATGCGCGACGAGCAGCTCACCTTCTCTAGAACCCAAGATCCGACCGGATTCTGTAAACCGTCAGATCTGTGTTACATTTCATCCCAGGGCCCTTTCACCATGTCGACTGTATCCCTCATCTCTCCGGACAAGAACGCCGTCATGGCTTTCGATACCCCTGTAGACCGAATCAGTTGAATTCCTGTGACTCAGGTATCGGTCAGCTCACCTAGTAATGACCCGGCGACATTGATCCACGACTCGATGTTTTCCTGCAGACGTGTCAGCTCGTCCTCAGAAACGAGCGATGTAGCTCACATCAACCCAAGCCGGTCCTCCACCACCTCCAAATCCATTAGCATCAGGTTGCATCTCGACCCATTTCAAGCTGAGATGGTCAGTCACGACTCAGGAGTCAGCCGGACTAACAAGTACTGTAAAGGATGGGCAACATCAGTCACTGTGGCAGCAGCGCGATACCAAAGAGATGCTTACAAGGACAAGGGTACCCCCCATGCTATGAGACATTAGCCATCGATTGACTCGCTATATGGCCTGCTCACGAGTGAGAGCACAGAACAACTTTTCTGCCATTATGCTTTCGCATGATCTCGATTCGCGCCTTGAGACGTGAGAAATAGCTATCGCGTACTTCGAGATTGTAATAAGATAGTCGCCTGAAGAGCGGGTCAGGCGGACTCAACGTCGCTATTGCATCGGGATGCCTCACCAGTCATAAGCAGCCATGTCCATCGAATTGGTGTCGTATCCCAACATGGCGAGATTCTCCACGATCTTCTGCCAGATCCAATACCCTACGTGCTTGTTAACCCACCAGCACGACTTTCAGGTGCAGCATACCCTGGATGAATTCGGACTGCCGTATAGTCAGCATTTGACAAAGTCTTGACGTTGTATGCCACTGACCGCCGCGTCTAGTCCCTGTGCTGCTCTGATCTTGAACCCAGGCGGATCGAGGCCAGTGTCAGGATCAACACTCAGAGCCTGGAGCCACCGTTCTCTGCACGCAGTCAGCGATTGGAGGCTAATGTATCGGCACGACGCTTACTTGTTGGTTACGACGGCCTGCACGTCTAATCAGCAAGGCAATACTCTAAATCGAGTGCAGGGTGTACATACCCTAATCATCGTCGAAGTACCCTTCACCACGACATCAGTTGCCGCTCTCTGAGGACATACTCCGCCCTCACCCATAATCTCTTTCTGAAAAATGTTCTCGCCACCGGCTCTGTACTCCAGCTTTCCAAGCCCGTCGACACAATTCCAGGGATCAGAATAATTGGGTGATTCTTCTCTAGGCCATGTTCATCCTGAAGCTTTTCCCCAACTGCGAAATCTCGACTCTTTAGTGCTTTCCTTGCGTCTGATTAGAGGACCGGGAGAGTATAGAGCGTAAGAGTCGTGAATAGGGAGAGAGGGAAAAGAAGGAGAAAAGTTATCAGAGTGAGACACGAGCCACTTGTTGCCTGCTCGCTCACCATCCACGAGTGTCAGATTCGATATTAAATCGCTGACGTCGAAATTGGATGGCATTGTAGCCCACATTTCGACCAAGTCGGCCCTGCTCCATCAGCATAGACTCAACAGGGGGTCCTGAAGGGATCATCTCACTGGAGCTCTCCAAAGTCTTTCATGAAGAACACAGCGAGGGATAGACCGAGGATGATACCGCTGACGTGTGGCATAAGCGTCTTTACCGCCTCATCTAGCCGAGGGGTCATCTCACGCTGGGAAGAAGAACTATAACCAAGATTTTTGATCAGTCAGGACATCTAATGTGGTCATGGAGGCCCTCCGGCTCACCTTTCTACCGAACAGCCATTTACTCCATGTCTTCTTTGGCGTTTCGTCATGATGCTTGAAGAAGGTTGATTCGCTAAGGTCTGAAGAGAGAAGAGAGATGGGGTGAGATTTGCGATCAATGACTCGTGCAGGGGTGCCTCACCAATCTCGTCAAAAGGCGTTCCAGGCGCTGTCCATCACATCAGCATCAGCAACATACTTGACAATTCCATCTCTGCTCCGACTCACCCAGTAGCTGTCAATGAAGGTGGTCAGAATGCCTTTCCCGAAGATCATCCATGTTTTCTGTCCACCCTTCGCTCACCTTGAAATGACCGTCCTCCTGCCGCGACACCACGAGTCAGTCGAGCAACAATCTTGGACAGCCGTCTCAGACCTCCTTGCACTCACTCTCCGCTTGAGTTTGACGCTCAACTCTTCCTCCTTGTCCCCCAGTTCCTCCAATTGATGCTTGAATCTCTGCCTCAGATTCTTGCTCGGTCTTTGAGAGCCATTGGTACTGCCAGAAGCGCGGCTCGATGACGATGGATCCGACATTATGAGTATATGTACGTGTGTAAGATGGTTTGGGGGATGGCAAGAGCGAGATAACTACAGCTTCATGGGGAGATAAATGAACTTGTTTGACCAAATGATCGAATGAGCAGCAGCAACAGAATGAATGGGATTAGGCTGCTGCAAAACCAAAAAAATCAAGAATCACATGTCTTTCAAAACGACGTCACCAGCTGATGGATGCAACGACGGAATTGCCGAAAGGATGTTTGATAATATATAGATGCATAGATGGATACCCTCTTGGACGGCTTGATGCTCTGCGGCCCAAGGTCAAGCCCCATTGCTCCTCGCTGTCCTCTTTTGCTCCCTCTCCAAAGCAACACGGACAGCTCCGACAGTAGGCGCTAGTGCCTGGATCATCCATTGCCCTTTCAGCCCCCGGCCCCAGTGTCATGATAGCTAGGAGAGCGAGACTCACCGCCTTGATCCTCTCTGGATCTACGCCGACGATCGTCGCTGTATGTATGACAGCGTTCACCTTGCCTTCTGTCAGTTTCAGATACCCTGCCATTTTCTCCGCTTTGGCTTGCTTCGCAGCGATCGTCGACGGGCCCAAGGTACCTGCCGTGGTAGGAAGTATAGCGGACCAATATTGTCTTAGGAACTCGGCGGCTGCATTGTGACACGATCGCATCTGATCGAATAAGCTCTCAGGAAGCGGTACTGAGGGGGGGAGAGAGAGAGAGATAGAGAGTCAGCCTGTTATGTGACAGAAGTCTCTCGGTGATGACCTCTCACCAATTGGCGCGTTCTCAGCGTTAGACGCGACGTGCATGTCTCTGACAATCTGACCCGCAGCATCTGCACCTAGCTTTTGGGCATAGAACTTTTCATGTTCTTTGGCCTGTTGAGCTGATGCACCCGATTCGAGGCGATTCTTTTCCCAACCGCCAGGAGGTGTAGGCACCGAGATCGATTGGAAATCTGGTTGGTAGTTGAGCAGCGCTTGCGCTTGAGTTTGGGCGATCGCGACAAGTTCCTGACAGGAAAAGTCAGCAGAGAGTGCTTGCTTCATCCCGCATCATCGAACCGACCTCCGCCGACTTTCCAGGAACGATACCGCGATACGTCGACTTTTCCTTGCCCTTCTCCGCCTCATCCGCATCTTGCACATCCAAAGCGATGGTGGCAGAGGTTGCGGGTCCGCGTAGATCTTCCAAGTCGATCTCAGCATAGATGTCCGTATCCTACGAGTGCATCAGGCGGACCCCGTCCTTACGACCACTCACATCCGGCAGGATCGTGTTGAGATAACCGCGACCTTCGGTAGCATTCTCGCTGCGAAATATCAGCATCCCATCGTCTCGTCTGAGCCACGACTTACTTGCCGCGCCTCAGAAGTTTGTTTGAATGATCATTGAATCGCCTCATCAGAGGCAGCGATGCCCTTTCTCGCCCAGCTTGCATGGTGACATCTCGCCTCACGGAAGCCTTAATATGTTAGCAATGCGGACTCGACCCGCTAACCTCACCTCGCCGTGATCCTCCTCCGTCGCTGCTAGATCAAGGAATCTCTCTACGTCGGCAGTTTGCTGATGACGCGGTTCGACGTCTACATTCCAGTCAGCAGCATGCAAGCTCGGTTCAATGTCGCTCACTCCAATCTGGCTCTTCGAGATACTGGTCAAAAATATCGTCCTTACGTTTGGTCACTTCGTCATTGGTACTTTGCCTGACACTTGCACGATGACGTTCCCAAAGTTGACTTTGAAAGTATCTGGACCAAAACTCTGCTTCGGATATCTAAACAATATGAGTTATGTCCAGCCAGTCTAAGGGGAGAAACTGACACCAGGGACATATTTCGCATATGCGTCTTGAACTACTGGGAACTCTTCAAAGATTTCCCTTGTCAACTCTTTGTCCAATTTGATGATCATGGGTCCAGTCTCTTGTTTCGTTTTGACTCCCACACCTGTACCTCCAACGGTACTGGCATTGTTTCGGCTCGCACTCAGGTCAAATCGATCATCGAGCAAGCGAGAAGGTCGACCGGGCCGTTGTGCTTGAGCCATTCTCTCCGCTTCAATCAGGCCCTGAAGTAGCGGTGTCAGTTTGTTAGTCTCGATCTTTGCCGACTCCCACAAAGACATACCTCCCTTCCCTCCCAGAATTCCGCGGGGGTGATCTGCTTGGTCAAGACCAACTCCCGATAAAGCAGGTTCAACGTTGGATTTTTGATCAACACTTTCTTCATCAAACTCCAATCGTCCGGTTTCTCCACCTTGCTCCTGCCTCCTCCAGTTCCACTTCCCGACGGACTCGCCCCGTCAGCTTTCCGTTTTCCTAACGCAATCGCTGATGGTGTTCCAGGCGCAGATCCAGCTCCAGAACCTCCTCCACCTGGTGTACCCGCCGAAGCTGGTGCGGTCGAAGGACCAGCTCTGTTGGCAGCGACGAATGGGATCAACGTATCCTGCACGGTCTTTCGATCATCTTCTCTCGTATTTGGATCTGTAAAGGTGAAGAGGAGTCCATTTTCCGGTATATTATCCTTGAACAAGAGCTTGAGACTGACTTTCGGGGATCCAGCTTTACTCGCTAGCATATCTAGAAGATTGAAAATCATCATCAGTACAAGACGATACAGAACAGAATGATTATAGCCCACTGATCACCCTGTTCATCGCTTGGTTCTGCCGATCCATGGCTCCCGTGACTTTTGGAACCCAGGCCACATGGGTGGCCGTAAGCGTCAGGGTCCCGGGAGCTTTACTGAAGTCAGCAGTGAAGCGCTGGACATTGGCGCTAGCTGCCATTTGTCGTAAGCCCAGCTACACGCTTGAGATTAAGGTGATCCAAATGAGGTTGTAATTGTCATTCTTGGGTGACGTTCGTACCTCGCTTGACCTTCGGATCCGAAAGCGGGAGCAAATTTCGCGTGGCACAGTGAGTGAAGGGTGCTTAGGTATCGCTGGGCTGCACAATCGAACAGCACAGAGCGTTGGGAATGACGAGGTGATTGAATGGTAGCTAAGTAAGTGCGCTCATTTACATACATGCGGAGTCTCGACTGTACAGTACGTTGCACAAGTTCTGTGACAGCTGCAGATCCAGACGGGCAAGAACATATTTATATGCAGGCCCTCGTTGAGACTCTCTGGGTGGGCATCATCACGCAATGGACTGGTATGGACCAAGTCTGCCACAGCTGAGCTACAAATCCCAGCTTCACCTCCATCGAACCCATCAGTCCTCGCTGCTATAAATGGACATGCTACCTGACAGGGAGAGTGTGCCACACTCCCTCACTCACTCACTCACAGCCCAGAAGGGATTCATAAGACCCTGAACGCGTTTCAGGTTTCCCCCTTTTTCTTTTTTTCGGGTCGCTTTTGTTGTCTTCCGCAACGGAATCAAAATGTCATTCATCCAACCACCTATCTCTCACGTCCCCCCATTGAACAATTCATCATCACTTCTATTCTCACCACCTTCTTTCATCTCAAGCCCGTCCAATAGCTGGTTCTCAGAGCCTCTCGACAGAGTTTGATACTCACTCGTGGTTCTCCTGCTATCACTTCTCCTCCCATCACTTCTCCCCCCCGCGCTCACGTCACGTCCATTCGCTATGCGCTCCGTCACTCTTTTGACATTATCCTTTGGACTCTGTTCCGCACTCGTTCAGGCAGTGAGTCAAGCCTAAGACAGAACACAATATAAGTGGCTGCTGACCTTGATATGCAGGGATCCTGTTCGGTCAGTAACGGTCTACCCAAATGTGCTCGAAAATGCTTTAAAGCAGCTCAAAATTCAACGGTGAGGCAATGACAGATCAGAGAACATACGAGGCATGACTAACTTGACATTTTTCATAACAGGCATCATGTTCTGGAACACGTATAGATCTGGCATGTCTATGCTCTCAAGCTAGTGTGGCTGCAGATATCTCTTCATGTCTCGACTCAGCTTGCAACGTGAGTTTGACCGCTGCCAAGCCCAAAGCTCCTCCCACGCGATTCATTCCCAAGCGGCGGCGAAGGAACGCGCGCGGCGTCTGGAACGGCATGGCCTTTCAAGACAGATTTTGCCTCCCTTTTCAAAGGGCCTTTGGCTGACCTTGGCCCAGACTGTCGACCTTCAACCTGCAGCGGAGTACGGTAAAGCTCTCTGTGCCGCCGCAGCTGCCAACGGGACGGCATCAACTTCCCCTAGTGGAGCAATCAGCGCGTCCTCAGCCATCATCTCTGCTTCTGCGTCTGCATCTGCCTCTGCGACAGTCTCGGGTTCAGCCGAAGGTACCATGACGACCCTTCCGATTGCAGATGAGAACTATGCTTTGCCTTCTGTTTCGGCATCCGCTTCATTCTCTGATTGGATGGGCGAAGCTTCAGCCTCGGCCTCCCCTTCAGCCTCATGGTCCTGGTCAGAATCCGCCTCATGGTCTGAGTATGCGTCTTGGTCTGATTACGCATCTGCATCAGCATCCGCATCTCCATCTGCGTGAGTTGTGACGACCTCTCGTCTCCTCCGTACCTTGTTGATTTTGCGGAACAGATCACCTTCCTCCGACCTCTTGGCAGACGCTATCGCTCCTCCTGCAGTATCATCAAGCACAACCAACCGCTTGACTATGCCGACTGTGGCGCTTGCTCAAGCTCAAAACTTGCCAGTCACCACTATCACCACCACTGGATCTCCTTCGGCGACTCCATCAGGGACATCAGAGGATATCGCTGGATCGACAGGAGGCGCAGGGAGAATCAGTCAACCGGCTTGGCTGACCCTGGGTCTGGCCGGCGTCATCACAATGCTAGCCATTTGAGCGCGGAGTTCCGGGACCCTGTTTGACACGACTCTGGTTCCCTGCGGGAACCGAGTCACAATTCTAGATCCTGACTTTTACACTCTGCGAGTACAGTCCAAACTGCATTTTGTACGGGTTACAAAATTCAGAAAGAGCATTCATCGTCACGATTCATCATGCAATAACGTCCATTGATCCCGCCAGCCCAATACGCTGATTGTAGGCGTCACCGGCTAGATTGCCTTCGTCTTTGATCTCTGACTCCGGCAGTCATAGCTGATGATTCCTCCATCCAAACCATCATCTCTTCACTCGGGAAGCCTCCAAGCAATGAGATGGTCTGGTACCGTCAGCATCGAGGCCAATGCGCGGAGATTCACCTTTTCCAGCTCTGCAATGCCCTCCGCGACTCCACCTTCCATCTCATCTAGTCGAGCTTGTTTCTCAAGAATGGAGAGGTATCGTTTGCGACAGTCTTCGTGTAGCTGCATCGAGCGTTCGTGAGCATGTCCATGGTGGGGTTGCTCGTCACACTTACCAACACATATTCATCCCTTATCCTCGCGTGCGTCTCATCGTACAGTGGTAGCTGCGTAGCAGCCGTCAGGATCTCAGGGGTGATGTCGGGTCTGTAAGGTTCCGTCAGACTCTTCTCCGCGCCACAAATCAGTCTCCAACGCACCGCCAAGCATCTCTCCTGCCGTGTTTATCCTTTCTGTGTTCTTGGGCGTAGGTCTCGCCCTCCTTGACCACTTGATCAATCTGTTGTAAGGAACTAGGGACCTTGTAGTGCTTCATAACGTCCATGCCGAGCTCCTGTACAAGTTGAGGGCTGTCAATGAAGACTGTGCACGTCTCCAGCAGCGACAACACGTACCAGTAATCGCTCTCTCATCGTTTGAGCGGCTTGAAGCCATATCGCATCCATCTCGCCTGAATCATCCTCTGCGAGGCTTGGGAAGCTCTGTTTGAGATCTTTGGCACTGAGGAAGCGTCAAACACATCCTCTCATCATCATCCATATCGGTCTCATACGCCATGACCCGGAGACAAAAGAGACACAGATCACTCACGTCCACTTTTGAGCTGCAGCTTTCGTAGCCAGTTCCAAAGTCTCCATCGTTTTCCTCCACCTTCTCCCGTACTCTCCCTCTTCGATCGATTCGTCGCCTTCAAGGTCCATACCCGATACATCCTCCATTGGCTTCTGAGCTGATGGTCGGTTCTTTCGCGTCGAACGAGGCGTACGCGTAGCTTCAACATCCATATCTTGAGATGGTCCAGCCTCGCCTTCATTCCCTTGACCTGGGGTTTCGAATGTATTGGCCTGATTCGCTTTCAATGGGGTCCTAGAGGAAGATGCTTGTCGTGTCCCTGCATCATCCGTCTCCATCGCCTCGGGTGCTGTAGCTACAGGAGCAGCAGGAGTAGCTGAAGAAGTGGACTGTGATGGGAGAGGTTTATGACCCCCTGGAGGCGTGCGGACCACACCTGGATTACGGGGCCTGAATGCCTGTGAGGGAGACAGTTCGGTAAAGTCTTCGTCTCCTGGAGGTGCTGACATGGCTAGGAATGCGCTACTGTATCTGGGGGCTACTGTATCTGGGGCTATAAAGAGGTTATGAGTTTGAAATGGTGATTGGTTCAAAGTGTTGTTGTCAACATTTCCAGCGGCGGCGCGCGCGTCCGAGAATCGAAGCCACGTGGCAAATTACTCATGTGTTCGGAGCCTTATGCAGAGTCTGTCACACAAGACGAAGCTGCATAACGGTTCTCTACTGAATCATAATCTTCATGACGGGCTGGAATCGGGCGAAGGCTACCATTTAAGAGTCGCTAATATCATTCACACTTTCGAGGTCTCAACCTTTCGTCCAGGGAGGCGTCCGTTGGCAGAGGTGGCGTTTGAATCCATCGAACCTCGGAGCTTGCTAGAGGTGCTGCCGATGTGGTCTGTCGCATCGCCAGGGAACCAAGTTGGGATGGAGATGGAGAGATATGCGACGTATGCGAGGCTTCATTCGAGCATGATCAGCATTGTATCCTGGGAAGGAAAGTGCACTATGCTCACAATTCGAATGTGATCTGGAGCACCCAGAATGCCACATCAGATCTCGCTGGGCTGTTTCGGTTGTTGGATGACTCTTGAGCGACCCGGTAAGACGCAACGATAACGAGACATGCTCCAATGAAGAACAGGTAGGCGGATCGGCGGGTATCAAGTTTATAAAGGAAGTGGGTGACGACGAGCATGACGAAGACGAGTCCAGCGACGCCTGTTGATGAGGTCAGCAGAGGTCTCTCAATTTCTCCACAGATGGCTTACCCAAGGCAAGAGCATAAGATGATAATCGGAGCGCTTTCAAGCTGTTGACTTTGGCCGGGTCATAGACTGCTCCGCTGATCATACAGGCTGAAGCGATGGCAGTAGCGACGGCGGCGAGTAAAGCAAGCTTGAGGACCCTGAGATGAACGAGTCAGTGTTTTCCCTCCCAAGGTCGTCCTTGGACAACGTACCAGATGATTCTGGCGAGCCACCAGGGTCGTTCTGAGATTGGTACGACGGAATCGACGTGTCGTTTCCAAAGATCGGAAAATGGGTCGAGGAGGAATAGGAAACCAAGAGCCACAAAGCACACTTCGGCGGCTACAGTAGAGCAGGCTTATCAGTGATGGCCCTTTTGATGCAGATGAGAACTCTTCACTGACCAGTCTCTTGTGCACCGTATGTGTTCTTGGCCATGATAGCTCGCATGATCAAAGCTGCCATACGACATAGCCAGAAGAGTCCAAGTCGGACAAAGATGATGGTTCGATCTTGTTTTCGAAAGATTCGCCAAATCAACACTGGGGCGGAGAGGCCGTACTATTGGGTCGCGATGTCAGCTATGACGTCGCTGATGATGAGTTGTACGGAACGCTCACGAGAATAGCGAAGAGGATACTGGGACCCAAGTCCTTGCTAGTGGGGAATCCACCTGTAAAGTTGAAATCGCCAAAGATCTGTTCAGCGTCCTGGAGCGAGGTCATGTTGGTTGTATAAAGGCTGAGTAAGGGGTTCGAGAGAAGGTCTGTACGATATGGTTGGCTTGGCTGGGCTTGTTTCTCTCAAAGTTGGTTGTGTGATTGGACTGATTGTATCGATTTCAAGTCCTTAAATCACAATCCTTTATACCTATTTCTCTGATGCATTCCAACCGTTGCCCGCCCTCGCCGAAAGGTCATTTCACCTCATATGACCGCTTTCATCGTCATAGCCTCATCTTGTAGATCTCTACCTCGGCACCGCTCAATCCAAGCAGCCAGTTGGGGGTTGTAACATTCATATACTGATACTATGAGTTCCGTCGGGTTAGTTGAGATGAACGTTGTATTAGGTTCATGGGCCAGACTGGATCAAAAATTGCACATTCCTCTATTGACGGGTACCGAGTGGAATGTAGGGTGTGTATCTCCTTTCCCCGACCTCCTCTTCTCTCTCTGTCAAAGTCACACAGACTTTCTCCTGCTCCAGTGCATAGGATTTTGTGTCCCACTAGGCCTGTCCCACGTTCCAACCTTGAACACATTTCGGTCTATTCCCCCTTTGTCATTCTGTCGGTACCGAGACTTTTACACATGTCGTCACTGCTAAATATAGAAACAATGTATTCCAGCGGCAGACTAGACGAGCAAAGGCATCGATCGCATCGACGGTCAACCGGGCATGGGGCATCATTACTATCGTGTCCAGTCGGCTATCATACTGCCACCCCCTGCAGAAAGAGTCGTCGTGGAGGGAGCCGACATCACACAACGCCAGACAGCTGACACTATACTGATAGATACCTGATGCAATTCAATTCCCAAAGTCGTGTTGTGTCGGAGAACAATGATCACCAGCTGAAAGACCTGTAACACTTGTGAGAGTTGCAGGGTATACCACACAATAGTCCACCTTGATCAATCGTAACATGGGGATGATGCGCATAATCCGAGTCGAAACAGTCTTCCAGCTAAGCAGGTATATAGCTACAAATCTACGGACGGGGTCACGAGACCATTGACGTAACGTATGCAACAGCCACGTGGTAAAACAGTCCACCGTGGGAGAACTCAACTCTCGGGTATTCTCCAGTGAGTTGCGTTCAAGCGGCCACCAGCGGAATAGCATCAACGCGGATACTCAAAGCTACTGCTCCATCTCGTGTTCGACAACAACGAGGACGCTGTGATCAGAGCTCAGGAGCTATACAGAGCAACGGAGAGTCTCTCCGCCGGCGTATCAATCCAGTCGAGTCTTTTCGGTTGAATTCGATTCTTCCGTCGTTCAGTGAAGAGGGCTTGACAAGCCTTGGCTCGGATCTACCAACCCACCTTTGAAACCCATTGTAGGACGAAGCTCAGACCATGGCAGACAAGTGGGCTTCCTGAGCATCGAAAACGCATCCGCTGACCTGACTTTAGCCTCCAACCTCCCTCATCGACCTCTCGGTCATCCTCGCCAGGGTCTGGTGATCCTAAACCCCGAGTGATTTCAGGTTCACTCAAAGACAGGATTGCAAAATTCAACAACCCATCCGCTGCGCCTCTCGTCCCGAACCATCCATTCGGCCAAGCTGGGAGTCGCAACGTATCTGGATCTACTACCGGCGGAGGCATGATAGGCAACCGTTTACCTGCTCTGGATCCCAAGACCGCTGGAATCGTTTCCAGCGGACAACGTAGGACAAAAGAAGATAGAGGAATCATCGGAAACCGTATACCTTCTTTCGGCAGAGACACCTCTTCCATGCCTGAACCCAAGTCTGCCGGAGCTCGCAGCTCAGATGGTGCTCCTTCGACAGGTCACCGGGCTGCTAGTCCTGCTTCGTTGGATTCAAGTTCAGCGTCTGGCTTGGCGGAAAGTGCCAATTCTCCCAACACGTCCAGATCATCCTCTCCTCCTACCTCTACCCCAGATGAAGACCTGCCCAACGTCTTGCTATCCGCTGAACATTTGGAAGGCGGAACAGGTGCCATGACGCCTTCATCCACACGAGCGGACGCAGGGGAGGATACAGGAGAGAGGTCCGCGCCTTCCACACCCGTCCAGGGACCCGTCGATCCGTCTATCCGAGGTGGACACTATGATCTGATTGCACCTAATCTCAAACTCGCCGCAGCAAACCAGAATCCAGAAGTCTCCCTGACTATGAATCGCGGTCCGTCCCTCAGCTCTATCGGTGGTCTAGCAGCTCCCAGTGTGACGGCTAGCCTGGGATCATCACGGGCCTCACAGTACGACCCTAGCTCTCAGGGGAGTGAGAACCCAGAGAAGATGATGCGGGACGTCAGTGAGATCTCAACTCCCACGGGAACACCCAAAGCGGAGCCGAAAGACCTCGACTTTGGCAGTACAAGAGGGAGCGTAGCGGGGGATGAAACTGGAGATACGACAGCCCGACTCGAGGGGCTCGACATCAATGCTGTGGATCGCGATCCCACGCCTGAACCTCCACACGTGACATCGCCTACACCCAAGGATGAGGAGATCATTGGTGCTCCGTTAGAAGAGGACCCTAACAAGGCTAAAGACCTCGAGGACCTGAAACAAGGTAATCTCTCTCACGAGAAGCACGAGCTTGGAACACACACGGTCGACCAAAACCCCATCAACAATATTGCGGAAGCTGGTGTCGCTCAAGGCCTCGCCGAGCACGACATCGCACCTGATGAGTTGAGAGCTCAGGGCGGTCCAGCGGGCCAGAGGCTGGAAGAAATTGAGACTGCTGATGAAGTCAAGGCACCGACCTCACAAGGATCAAAAAGTCAAGGATACGCTGGATCGTCCGAGCTTGATGTCCAAACTCTTCCCACTGAGGCCGAATCCACCTCCACCGATGTTGGCTCAGATGATGGGTTGAGCTTGTCCAACGTCGTCGAGGGAGCTCGAGCCGCAGGAACCCGTCTCGACGAGGCTGGCGCCGGACAGACGACGAGCGAGAATACAGATCGTCTGAAAGAGGAGTTGGCGGAAGAACGTAAGAAGAAGGGAGACCGAGAGGGAGTGAATGAACAGCAAGACGCAAACCTCCAGACCGAAGAGGATAGGGACGAGGGGATGAGTCGGAAAGAACAGCTCATCAAGGCTCTGGACCAGAATGCTGATCCTGACAAGAATCTGGAGGGAGGAGCGGATGATGGGACAAAGGAAAAGGCAAAAGAAGCTACGATGACCATGACCGGTGCGAAGCCTATGGCAGAGGATGAGACTGAAGAGGTGGTGAACGATGACGAGGGTGGAGATAATGGTGGTCAAGGTGACAAGGGAGGGAACAAGGATGATGTCAAAGTGGAAGACACCACGGAGAGTCATGAAGAGCAAGAAGATGACAATCAAGACGGGGGCAAAACGCCGACATCTGACAGACGGGGAAGCGTCATTGAGCAGCAGGTAGTGGGAACAAGCGACAAGGACAAGGCTGCGACAGATCAAGAAGACTCAACAGATGGCAGTCATCAGCCCATTCAAGTCCAGGTTGAGCCGGCGCCCATTGCTCAGCCGGCTCAAGATGATGCTGATCAAGCGCCGGATCAGCCCGGTAGCGTCAGATCCGAGTCCGTCACTCCCACTCCCAGTCTGGACAACCCTCCAAATTTCCCCGAGCCGCCAACGGACGATCCCGACGTTGTGGATCCGGTAAGCTCCACGACGGGCAGTGACCAAGAAGCGGCTGGAACCTCGACTCCTATCGATTCGTCCGTCATGAAGTCATTCCCCGACGTACCAGATGAAGACCACCCTCGCGTTCAAGTACACGTACATTCTCCCCTCTCCACACCATTCCGTAATCATTCGAATCAGAACCCGATGGATACTCCCGGAACATCTCGAGGCTCTGCATCGACCGAGGAGACGCCAATCGCCAAGATACCAGGTCATTCGAAATCATTGTCTTACCCCTCTGAACTTACGGGAACGAACGAGGAACTTGGCGGGTCGCCAGATGTCGCTCGTAGGGATTCATTGGGTATCACAGGCACGCCAGTGGATCAGACTGATAATGGGAGCGGCTTGGCCAAACGAGCAAGTACTAGGAGAAGTCCCAAGAGCCCGTTGCTCGACGACGAAGACCCGGGCGATTTCCAAGGTGGAGATGGATGGGCAGTGATCCATGATCAACCAGGGTGAGTAAGATGTGTCAGAGATTTGGCTGATGCGTCTCACAGGCGAAATCGAGAATAGTCTCCTCTCGGGTAGACGATGTATATAGTTTGGAGCACGTCGCTGCGCGCCGCGATTGTACCTACGTTTGCAATACAAAAATGTATGAGACACAGCCGAGATGATTCTGTCCCTCAGGACTGTCCACCATACCATTGAGATCCCCATCCGTGCCCCGTGTTCTGCTGGCCTACGTCTACGCCAACGCCTTGATACCATTGTTGAGGATCAACCATTGACCCAGGTTGAGCCTGTCGCTGTTGAAGCATGAATGTCGCCTGAGGTGCCATCGTAGGATATGCGTTGGACGAAAGCATGTTCATTCCCTGAGTATTATTGTCTGCGTAGTAGATCATATCGTGATAGTACATTGGCCGCCCGCCAGGTTGAGCAAGATACTGCATCGTGTCCGGTTGGATTGGTGGGGCTGCCAATCTCGGATCGTACATGCCACCTGGGAAAGAGTATCCATGTGGCATAGCCAGCATTGCCATCGCCATGGTGTCCTGGGAATTCCCGTACTGGTCGTATAGCATGGTACCGTGTCCTGGGTGATGCTGAGTCATGGCGAAATGAGGAGGTAGTGCTAGTGGTGGCCCCATCTGACCTGACTGAATGGCATGTCCCATGTGACCACCTCGTGCTCCACCGCGAGAGATGCCTTGTGGACCTCGCGATGGGGTGGATCCTCGAGTCGAGAGATGTGATGGCGGCGCCGAGTTCGTCCCTCCGAAGCCTCCATGGGGCGCTGTATTGGCACTGGCTGCCGGTCCGCCGCCTCTTCCTCTGCGGACTGGAGATTTCGGACGAAGAGCGTCGATCTCCTGGTTGAAAGAGAGGGCATCTCTACCCTCTGGACTTTGCGCCATAAGGCCCCGATAGGAACTCGACTCAAACGGGAGGACTTGACGCGGGTTGATCGAAGTGATCGCCCCGGTAGGATGGTCCACTTCGGTCATCGTTGCCGAGGATACTGTCAATTCGGTGGAGAGATGCTCCGTTGATACCGTCACCCAGCCTTGCCTGGATCTGCTTGGAGGTGCGAACAGCTGGAGTCGGCATGTTCCCAAGCAGAAGGACTCGATCAAGGTGTACAGATAAGGTGGATGAATGGAGCCTGCTTCGTCTGTACTCTTGTCAGCCCGCAGATTGTCAATTTTCTCATCAAGCTGCTCACCTTCTGGTTCCCAGATCATGACGTCCGTATCGACATTACAATGGACGAATCTCGTATCGGTACTTCGCCTGACGGTCCCCCTGATCCCCATCAAGCAATGTTCTTTCTGACTCGAGAAGAGTCCTCCCCCGCCGACTCCCTCATTGTGGCTTTTTCTCTCGCCATCATGCTCCCCTGAACCGCCTTCTTCATCTTCCAGGCTCGTTCTCCTTCGATTCGTCTTGATCCAAACTATATCTTCAGCCCGTCTGAAGCCCCATCTTGCGAGACACTCTCTCCCCTTTTCCAAACCATCTTGATCGCCTCGACCAACCCACAGAAAAACAAATCCAGGATCAGCGCTCAGCTGACGGATAGGTAGCTCCATGATCTCATTCCACGATCCCTGTGGATGTACCAGGATCACATCGAAACGATGAGGCGCCAGCTTTGACGCCAATTCCATCGTTGATAAAGTGGGGGATGAAAGTTGAAGGTATAGCGGCGGATGCGCTTGAGCAGCCACTTGGACAGCCTTGAGATCCATGAGTCTTCTCAGTGCCGGATACCTGATCTCCGTGTCATTACTTCTGATATGGTCTCTGGAACCGCTCTCACTTACTCCTCGCATATCTCATGATCCCTCGCTCCGAGAATGTAATTCGCACCGACTTGACCAGAGACGCCATACCATGCAGTGTAGTCATTCCGAATAGTCTCCTCCTCCGGCACGTAGTTGACGACATTCGACTTAGTAGCCTTAGCGGAGCTTGGTCCTGGTTCACCGAGGCCAGCCATTTTGTCGCTCGGTCCAGATCCAGAGATGGTCGGCTGAGGAGAATAAGAGTGCTCAGGTGCGACCTTCAAGCGACGCCTTGCCTGTCTTGCAAGGACGTCTCGTAGATAGCTCTGATGATCTCCGACGGAGACGGCAGTCATCTTGGTCCCTCTCTCTGCGCAAGGGGAACTCTCTCCAATCTAGTATATGCTCAAGTGACGAGACAGCTCTCCATGCTGCGATGCATGGTTCTGCTCAAGCTTAATATCCGAAGTCCGCTCCATCGGACTTGCTCCTACATATGAATGTACAACATTGTATGATCTATACCCTAGATATCCTCTCCAGGGCTCTATAACTCGACGTGATGGCCACAGAGGCCACGAGACAGATAGGGAAGATCAACATGAAGATGTTGCCATCTCCAGATTCCGGGCCAGTCTTAAGAGCCTCTTGTAATGGCAGAAAGATGGAAGCCATGACAAAGCTCGTAGACCAATTCAGAGCCACTCCGATGGATCCAGCTGCTGTCCTTGCATGAGGGGGTAGCACCTCGCTCAGAACGACTATGGTGACTGGACCCAAGCCGATCGAGAATGCGGAAACGAAGACGGAGATGCCCAGTATGGATAAAGAGGAGATATTGGTATTGAGACCTATAGCCAGCACCAACGCGGACCCAGCAGTACAGTAGCAAGAGTACCGCAGGAGATCTTTGGGCGGGACACGCTGCATATCATTAGTATGGACGGGGAATCAAAACCCACCTTCAGCAGAAATGCTGGAATCAGTGTGATTGGAAGCTTGGGGATCAGCATGAGAGTGGCAATGTATCTGGAATTTGCCTTGAAGACGGGAGTGAGGATTCGCGTGCTGAATGACATGACTAGCAGCTCGAGTCAGCTGGGGGCCCTGATGGAACAAGATGCCAGATCCGACCTGGTGTGATGCCACACAGTTGCTGGCTCATCTGAGTGACGAGGACGATTATGACTAACGGCGCCTCAGCGACACATTTCTTACGGGCCTGAACGGCACTCACAGCCCCGCTTGATGTATGGGTCCGTCGACGATATGATCTCCATAACGCCAAGAGGGGCCACACTGTCTTGATCATCATCCAGGTCCATTGTTGCGTCCTCGATCTCGAACAACTGTTTCTCCCTGATTTCTGCCATTCTCCGTCTTCCAGCTCGGAGCGCGATCGTTGAACCCAGCATCTGGAGTCCTGATAGGCATATAGGAACCAACATGGCCTGACGCCACAGAAGAGGTTGAGCATAAGGGAAAGAGACGAGTTGGCCCGTAAGAATTCCACAGTTGACGCTTAGTTGAGCGAGAATGGAAAGGACACCTCGGAGACTCGGGGCTAGTTCCGCGAGATAGAGCGGAACAGTAACTGAAGACAGACCTGAGCCGCCTCCAGCTAGGATACTGAGTGAGGTAGTCAGAACCTGATGTGGCGTCTCATCGCTTCCGGTAGCTTACCGTCCGACTATCAAGCGAGAGACTGAGTTGCCTGTACCGATGCAAAATGAGCCCATGGCAAAAAGCAGCGAGGCGATCTGTAGCGTCCGCACACGACCAGATCTTCGAGTGACGCTATCCGCAGATATGGCTCCGAGCAGTCCACCGACAGTGAAGGCCGCAGTGACCAGACCGAATTCTGAGGCCTAAGAATTAGAGTCAGTCAGAATCGCATTCGTCGCAACGTCAAGGATATCATTCTCACATTCATGGGGACACAAGAGTCTAGACGCAGTCCTATCGACTTGGACCGCTCAATCTTTCCTCCACTCAATTCGCAAGTCATGGCCTGGTGCAGACCATTCAGAGCTGAGACGTGAAAACCATGCTGGTAAAAATGGAGGTACGCCCAGCCAGCTAAAAGAAGGGTAGACAGAGGAGGTATGGGCATATCCCTTGGGTCAATTGTGGTCTGGCCACCACCACTTGGACGATGGCCGGCCGAGCAGCTGGCAGCTTGCAAGTGTAGACAGCGAAGGCTTTGAATTGCAGGATCTTCTGGCTTGAACTTTTTTTTGGAATTCTCGCAGCTGCTACAAACATGTGGCCGTTCAAAATCCGCAATTCATCCGTGGCGTGGAATGTGGCGCCGTGCTGGGCCACAAGCGGGGCGAGGATGAGCGGTGTTCAACGTTGGGCGGCCAGATCGTTAGCTCTCCGCTGGAGAGCCGAGGTGTATGCACAAGGGATGGTAGCATCTCCTTTGTGTAAGGCCGACATAAACTGGCCGCGCCTGGACTCAGCTCACACAAAAGCGTACTGTCCACCATGGACACACTGGACACACTCGAGCCACACTTGGGAGGATACGGACAGAATGATCCTGGTGACACTTGCTTGCCATTCTACGCAATCCTCTTCATAGCCAGTATGTGATAGCCGAGTCCGCGCAACTTACTCTCACTCTGACCCATTCACAGCCATCGGCGTCAGCTTGGCAGTCTGCGCAATCACCTTCAGCATTCTGGCGATCGTCATTTATCCAAAGATTGAGCATTCGAAAGTTCAGATAATGCACCTAGGAGGGGATATTCGGAAAGGGGCAGAGGCGCAGATCAACAGGCTGAGAGGTGGCGGGAGACGGCATCAAGACAGAGCTGAGTAGATGATCATAGTCGGATCTACAGAGACGCGTCGCAGCATCGTATGAGACCCTTCATGGGCCGGCGACTCGAGCAGCCGATACATTTCAGCCTTGGAAGCTGCAGCGAATATTGCAGTAAACCTGCCCTGTCTTTGTGCTGTCTGTCGGACCTCATGTCACCCGACAAGACTTTTACGCTGTCTGCAATCATACTATTACCGTTTACCGATCTGGAGTCATCCTTTGGCCATACTCGGGGCGTCATCATCAAGGGAAGAATGACCGATCGCCAGTCATTGAAAATCTTTATCGACCCGTCATTACACTACTCCATCAACAGCTTGTGTAACACACACGTCGACATGTCGTTGGTGAGAAACATCTTGATTGCACGTATGAAGTCGACGACCTTTACCCGAGACTTTTGCCTGAGTAAGGACGAATGGTACCGAGTCGCCGGTCAGTCGTAGTTGACTAAGTCCTTCTGACACACACTGACGCGCATATCTTACAGCTGGGTCCATAGCGATACTCGCCTGGTTTGGGCTGAGCTTGTTCTTCTGGATGAGATGGAGTGATCGGCTTAACGCTCTGCATGAGACGGAGGCGCTCGCTGCGGCTGAGAAAGACCAACCCAGAACGGTTGATGCTGTCGCTGAGGAGACTCAAAGGTGAGAGCTAGGGTCAAGGAAATGGTGAAACGAGAAGCGGACCTAGCAGTTGTAGCGGAATTACCTTGACAACGCATCGTGTCTCCGGTGTATGGCCTGGGTCCACTCATGCGCCGCACTTACCCGAGCCTTGAGCCTTGACTGTGATGACGTTGTTCTGAGCAGTCGTCCAAAGAACGTAGGACAAAGGATCCTCCCTCTATCCCCCACTTTTGTTCTGCAGATTGACCTCTCGCGATTCTCAGCGACGGTCAGGCGAACGGCGAAAAGCTGCTTCTGTCTTTAGACATCGTCTCTCCGTCGTCAACCTCCTGTTGAATATGTCCTGGGTGTCAGTCCTCTTGCTCTCTCTTGGCTGCTTGCACCTTGTGTGGGCAGCCACCACGGACAGCACTTGCTTAGACGATTGTTCCGCTTGGTCAGTGACGTTGGGTTACTGCCGAAGTATATACGGCAACTTGCGTGAGCTATCCTTGCTTGAGCTGCGATTGACCATCCTAGCAATGTATCAGAATTACACATTCGCCAACGATTTCGTGGGTTGTCTTTGCCCCGGTGGTCGATCTACAGGTCCACCTTTAGGTAACGAGACTTTCCTCTCGATGGTAGGAGTATGCTCCACCTGCCCAATGACTTCGCACGAGGTCAGAACAGATCTTGAGGTGAGTCTCTGCAACCTCTGCTTCCAGATTACAGCCTGATCCCTCTGTGTCGACCAGGAATTGCTTCGATTGTGTACAATACAAGCTGCCAACGGGACAGCTGCCGACGCCATGACATTCAGACCAACAGGCTACTCGACCATCAATAATCAGGCTTACGCTGGATCCCTCAACAATCAGGGTGTGACCAACGGATCCAGTCGACCTCGTTTCACATTGAGCTGGACGCGGATAGGGCTCATCTCGATCGTCAATGCGACCTTGATATTGATCTGTGGAGTGCATTATAGGTTTGCATAGGCTTCATGAATGGGCGTTAAGAGGTCGTGTACGGGTTGTCCTTGGCTCGAAAGGAGTCGTCAAGCCTGCTTTGAGGCTTCATCGGCCGTTTGAATAGCATGCCCATTACCAATCTGCTCCTGGGTGTCGCCAGCGGACGGCGAGCCTGGGATAGGCTCGAATATGTCCCATTCGCTGATTCCGACAGTGCGGCCGGCCGCTTTCCATCGCTCGAGATTGCCCGCTCGACGCTCAAGGCACAGTTTCACCAATGCATCGAGGTACGGCATTGAGAACTCGTGCTGCATGGGTCAGCGTGTCATTCCATTCTGAATAATCTACCTTGAGATTCCCTCCGTACTCCTCTAGGAGGATCTCTTTAGGTACGAGATCCTTGGAAAGATCAGGGTTGACGTGGATCTTTTTGCTAGTATCGGAGCTATTTCCCATCAGCACCATAAAGCTGGTCGATGTCAGAGCTCACTCGACGAAAGGCCACATGAGACTGACGAACAGGGAACCGAGCCAAGGGAGCTTGAGTAAAGCTGCGTTCCCGAGTCTCTCCTGCGTGAACCGTCAAATTGGCTCAACCCACATTCACCGCACGACTCACTGGGTAGTGAGCCTGGAGGTATTTGAGGATCTGTCTAGCCACCGACATGGCACCTGATTGAGTCTGCGTTTTACCGCTTACGTCGGCGCAGAACATCACACCGCTGAGCGGATTCAGCTGAGAAAGCTTGAGGTGTGATGATTGACCCACGGCACTCCAGCCAGCTGAAGATCTATCAATCGATCCATGCAGAACATCATGTGTTTGACCTGTCGAGGCGAAGCTGCTAAGACGTTCTTGGATGTCCAGGTGTACAACATAGGCTGTGAGAGTCGTGTGTAGCCCGCCTAACACCATTAATAGTGCATACCTCGGAACAACTTACAAACGTGACCTTGCCCGATTCAAACTTCGTTCTATGAGCCCATAAAAATGCAGTGCACTGGTGCTTACTTCTGGCGCCACCTCCTCCGCGACAGCTTCGATGTCCCACATGCCCAGTGTCCGTTTCCAGACGATTGTCGCTTCGAGACGGGTGACGGCGTCCTTGACCTTGCCTTTTGTAGCTAGGACAGCATGAGTGGAAGAGAAAGCTAGCTACAAGACACACCTTTGAGGTATCTTGAGCAGCGTCAGCAGGAGCAAACCGCGGAACAGTACCTCGCTCACCTCAACATGGCCTCCTCAGACTGCAGTACGTAAAAAAGGTCAGTCTGACCGTCGAGTCATAATGAGTAGGGTTACCACCCACTAGGAACATTTTCTCATGGTCATCGAGACCTCTGACCTCTGTTGACCCTTCACTGACCGGTAGTTGGAGCTCGCTGTCTTTGAAATGCGCCAGAATAGTGTCGAGCCCAGCTCGCTCGGGTGTACCCTTAACCGGCGACGGCTTTCTGTTGGGCAGATTACAGTACTCTGCCCGGGGGAAGCGCATGGGCTCAGAGAGTGAGGTACCAGACATCCTGCTAGCTGATCCTAGGCTCAGTTGCTAAGTCAGGAGTTCGCGGCGAGGTCTCAACTCTGAGATGCGGTTGATCCAGACATTGCGAGTGATCGTCGGTTCTCGATCAACATGCCATGAGATTTACGTAATGCAGCTGTGATTCTCACGTGGCTATGAAGCTTCTACCAGCTGCCCAGGGAGGGAGGCGGGAGTCAGCATCAGATCAGGTCTCGTCCCCTGGGCCTCCCCAGCGGCATGTAACTGTGAGGCTCGACTCTGTATACGTTCCACTCGGCCGAATCAGACAGAGTCGTCGCAAGCTCGGGTCAGTCAGAATGCTGTCATTTCTAAGAGGTGACTAGTAACCACTTTCGTCATCATGACACCCAAAAAAAAATGATACCGGAGAGAGGCGCTTAACCTGAGCCGCTAGAGGCGTCGACCTTTTGTCGCTGACTTTGCTCGCTGTACCAGTTCATGAGAGCAGAGATTATGCATCCCCCCGCGCATCATCAAGGGCCGAGAAGTGTGGAGACAAGGATGCATCCGGGATATTGTCTTTTTTTGGAAACGAACCGAGAGGCTCTACTTATGGCAGAACGAGCCCTCGTGTGATGCTCGAAGAAAGGCTCCTAGCTCTCCTTATTGACCTCTCGCAACTCACATTGACAGCTAAGGATTGACCACCACAACGTCCACCAACAGACATGTCTGCACTACCAGGTCCACCCGTCGGACCCGTACCGCCGCCAAACGAACGATATGGGCGACCTTCAGGGGACACAGAACTCACGGCCGTCGGTGATGTGGACATGGCCAAGGCAGCTCAGATCAGGCCTTCTCGATTGCGAGGAAAGGGATTGACATTTATGGTCACTTTCGTCGCAGGAACAGGCTTCACCCTATTCGGTGAGTGCTCTCTCGAGGCATGGTGCTGATCTATCTCAGGCTACGATCAAGGAGTCATGTCTGGTCTATTGACTTTGCCAGCATTCATCAAGCAATTCCCTCAAACGGCCGGAGGATTTGGAGGAAACAAATCAGCGACTTTGCAATCTTTCCTCGTCGCCATTTGTAAGTGGCGAAATCCCGCCTCGTGCTCACTATTCCAGACGAGCTAGGATGCATGGCAGGAGCCCTGTCCAACCTGTACATTGGTGATAGGCTGGGAAGGCGACACACGATCACCTTGTAAGCTACTGGCGATTGGCTTGACAGCTAAATGTCAAAGGGGCGGTTTCATCATGATTGCCGGTGCCATTCTTCAGACTGCGGCAGTGGACTACGGCATGATGCTGGGAGCCCGAGTCGTGACGGGTGAGTTTGCACTTGATGAACAAGGCTGAGAGACAGGCCTTGGAAATGGACTCTTGACGTCTACTGTGCCAGCATACCAATCGGAATGCGCTCAGCCTCACAGAAGGGGTCAGCTTGTCCTGTTTGAGGGTTCTTTGATCACACTGGTGGGTCAATCAGCCAGATGCCATCACTCACTCGCAGGGTGTTATGACTGCCTATTGGGTAGATCTTGGATTCTACTTCACCAAGGGGTCGATCTCTTGGCGATTCCCAATTGCTATCCAAATGGTGAGGGCTCTAGCCTCCTTCGTTGTTGTACTGACATGGCGTATCCAGATTTTCGCCATCGTCATGATAACCTTTATGGTAAGCGTATCACCGGTGCTCTCCTGACCTCACAGTATGCCTTCCGTCTTCCCGAGTCACCCAGATGGCTTGCATCGAAGGGAAGAAATGAAGAGGCCCTTGCTGTTCTCGCCGCCCTCGAAGGCGTTTCAGTCGATGACAAGAAGGCTCTCCGAACATTCCAGGGTATCAAGGATGCTGTAGCTGCCGAGGAAGCTGGCGGTTTTGCCTTCAAGGAACTTTTCCACCATGGACGAGGGCAGAACTTTAGAAGGACCATGCTGGGTATACTGGCACAGTGTTTCCAACAGATCAGTGGTATCAAGTGAGCCAAAGAGTTCCGCCGAGGCACACCCTGATGTACCCAGCTTGATCACCTACTATTTGAATTCTGTGCTCGTACGTCTTTGCCCGGAATATAGCAGTGATACTGTACTGACGGTAGTCTTAGGAGGATATTGGTCTAGGACCTGAGATGTCTCGCATTATCTCGGGTGTCAATGGAACTTGCTACTTCCTTACATCCCTCATCGCCATCGCCATCATCGAGCGAGCAGGTCGACGCCAGCTCATGCTATGGATGGCAGCTGCACAGGCAGGAACCATGGCCGTGCTCGCCGGGCTGTATAATATCGAACACAGAGGGAACAAGGCGGCTCAAGACGTATCTGTTCTGTGCTTGTTCCTGTTCAACACCTTTTTCTCTATTGGTTGGCTAGGAATGACTTGGTTGTATCCCGCAGAGGTGACACCGCTCAGAATTCGAGCTCCTGCCAACGCTCTGTCTACCGCCTCCAGTGAGGAGTTCTTCCCTGCTCTTGGGAGCCATCGCTGATAGCTCTCAGACTGGCTGTTCAACTTTTTCGTCGTGATGGCAACGGGTGGGGCCAGGATAGACTTGATTAAAGTGGAGCACTACACTGATTCTCGTAGGCCCGATGTTCGCGGGAATCGGCTGGGGCACCTACGCCCTTTTTGCAGCACTCAACGGAGTTGTCATATGGCCAGTCGTCTAGTAAGCGCCTACGAACCTGTGACATGTAAGACGCTGACACGATCAGCATGTTCTTCCCTGAGACTAAAAAGTATTCTCTGGAGGAGGTGAGTCGCTCTTCGTCTAAGCTCGAGCTGATGACGGTCCAGCTCGATATCATCTTTGCGATAGCGCACGAGGAAGGCAAATCTCCAGTGGCAGTGTCGCTGTCCGGAAATATTCCTGAAGCTGGTTCTCAGGAAGCTGAAGCTATCCTCGGTCGTTCGAACCAGTCGAAACCTAATGAGAAGCAGCACGAGGGTCTCGGTCGCAGATTGTCCCGAAGATTCAGCGGGAATGAACACCAAGCGCAGACTGAGAAGAACCAGAAGAGTCAGATCTCACACCATGAGCGGAGCAATGCTTAGTCTTCTGCGATCCATGCCCATCGTTATTGTAGCCTTTAGTCCATCTTTAATCACAAGTGTAGTCCCAGTCATGCATCGCTGATCGGCTGTCAGGAACCGTTGGTCAGGAACGGGGTTCGCAAATTCCGACAGAAAATGATAGTTTCTGTATTCCTTGCGCGTCCGTTGTTTACAAGCTCGACAACTCTATACGGAGCATTACTACTCAAGTAGGACTCTAGAGCCGGAATCCTCGCGTCTTGACATCGGCATCCTTTGTTCCGCCCCCGCCAGCTGCCGATCTTCAGGATCGGCTGTCTAGCAGAAAGGAGCGATGCTGCGGGACCACCAAGATCTTTCGCCACTGCTGTGGTGTATCCACATCTGCTGCAGCACAACAGACACGAGATGCGGCTGGTTCGCCTCTCGATGGCCGATGTGCCGGAGCGTACGAAACCAGAAATCAGTCAGCGGCCTCGCGATGTCGGAAAGCCACGATTCGACCTGCACCCCCTGTTGCATATCGCTATTTTGCTTTGTCTTCTCGGCGCCATTGTCATCTCCTTACTGGCGCTTTTGCTCCCCAATGAAAACTACCACCTCTCTGTATTCTCGGTGTCCCCCATCGGACATCGGGTCCTCGGTGCGCCACCAAGCGTGCCTCTCAATGCAACCTCGGCCAGGGCGAAACCCAGCGCAACGGCAGTTATCCTACACAATCGAACCCTTGCTAACGCCACCTTGGAGGGGAACTGGACAGGTGTTGATGGACCCACCATCTACGTCGGCGTCATGCGTGAGTGGACCAAGGCTGATTGACGCTCAAAAAGCCACAGAGTTATGCTCGAGAGCCAGTCACGACGCAGACGTCAACTGTACGTCTATATCCGAAGCAAGTTCTTGTGAGTGCCGAATGCTGTTAGTGAAGCTCATATGCCCCCTCAGATGGCCGTTTGCTTCCATCTTCCTTGAGCAGCACAATCACAAAGCTGCCCACATCTCCACTCACACCGATCCTTCTCCTGGCAGGAGGTATAGCCACGCTGATGGCGATAATCGTTCACTTGATCGGGTTGGCCATACAAGTATCACTGAGGGGGAGAGCGGCCAAATTTTGGAGGCTCAAGCTTTGGTCGCGCAGACCAGCTCTTCCCGCCAAAGACCCTCTTGAATCGGACTCTTTGACTGGCTTGGTCGGCTCTTCGACGCGCAAGCCCAAGTCTACTGGCGCTATCATCGCTTCTCAAATCTTGATTGTCGTTGCGCTCGGTCTCAGCATTGCATCAGCAGTTCTGGAGCTCCAGGCAGTGAATCAAGCAAGGGAAAGATGGGACGATAATCAAGCCGAGCAGTATGGGCTCAAATTGACTGTAGACACAGCCGCATATCGTAAGTTCTGCTGATTGGTCAGTCGCTCAGATAATTCTCAGTCATCGCAATGGTACCTGCGGCTTTGTTGCTTGCCATTCTGCTCTATCTCATACCGCTAGTCCATGCGAGACGAACAACCAAGGTAGATTTGCTGCCTGAGATCCATGAAGAGCTCAGGACTACGACTGGCGTCGAGGAGATCACGCCTGTGATGAGTTTGCCGGTGAACACAGCACAGAATACCATGGCAGCCTCCCCAGAAAGCACGACCGAAGCCGTCGACCAAAGGCAAGTCCGCTCAGCGCCTCCCGTGCCGCCCCGATCCAGTCTAAGACGCAATTCGAGATGGTCCTTGTTCCATGCCGTCTGATCAGGTAGCGGATGAAAGGCGACGAAATGTAGAATACAATGTGCAATGCATGGCGGAGCAGAGGCGATCAATTTCTAGTACTCTGCATGACGCAGATCAGACTTTCGTGGTGCTGCAAGATCAGCTAGAGCTTGAGACTGTGAGCCGTACCTATCAGGGGATGCAGTTGCGCCAAATATGTGATGGCCCACCTGCATATCGTCAGCTCATCACAGCATAACTCGACGTACATCAAGTAGCAGCAAATCAGTGTCAGAGTGACACTTGACCGTATGAGACTGAGGTGATTCAGTGATCCTGTCGCCGCTGATGCCAAAGCCAAGACTCACACTTGGTTTTTTCCACGAGGGGTCAAGAACCACGCCGCTGCGGCGATGGCAGCGATCACGAGCCCGACGAAGACCACGTGAAGGAAGGCCATAATTCTGTTTGTCGTCAGTCTCACAGAGGTCCAGAGTCCGATAGCTGACCTCGTCGATGCCAAAACAGAGGAAGAATGGAGGGACTGGACGCTGAGCGGGGGCAAGAGATGATCGAACGACAAATTACGTAATATCTCTGGTCTCTAGAATTTTTCGGTCCGAGATACTTTTGGCATGATCGACAACAATTCGTGAGCTGTGTGTGGACCGACCAAAGATGAGGGGCAGAGCTGTGGCTGGACCGTCTAGGCTGGCGTATAGACAACTTCATTCCAGTGTACCTCACAGGGACGTCGATAGTCGAGCACTCGCTCCCCTCGGAATTCCTCAGCGTGAACCTGTAAAACCCGACCCTCGCCCCATCGCCAGAACACATCGAGACGAATCCGATTACAGCAGCCGACCTCTCAAAGCGAATAGAAAGAGGGACAGGGATGATCCAGAGCTTTCAGATGAGCTGAGATATCGCCTACCGGACATAGCTCCGGATGTGGAGCATCACCGGCCCCCCCCAGGTGGAATCTTCGATGCTCACTCACCTCACGCTCGATTCCCTCCCCGCTTAGCCATTCAGCGGTCTCACCGTCAGAATTATGCCAAGAGTCTGGGTCTTCATGTAACAGCTTTGAACCGAGTCCCAGAGATAAAACTTGTCCCGCGACCTGATGTCCCGGTCAGGATGGACACAGCTCCAAAGACAAAAATCGAGTACTCTATAGGTCAAGGCTTGGCTACCAAGGAAAAGCAAGCTTATTTCGAGGACATCTTCGATGGCAACGACGTTGAGACAGGTCCTTTGAATGGCATGGACTGGGCTGAGGGATCAGAAGCTGAAGTGGACTTTCTAGCTCCTGGGCGCGTCGTTGAAACGAGAAGGTATGTTTTGCGCGTTGTGACACTCGCCGATACGACAGGTCCGGCCGTCAGAATGTTGGCATGATCCTTGCCAATGTCATCGTTGGGGGCAGGGTCCGATACTTTGTTCTCAGAGCCTATGGCGATGTCTGGTTGACTTCGGCCAATGACGTTCAATACGTCCTTCCAAGTACGCTGGTCAAACCCGAATTGGTAGGCCAATGTTGGCGAAGCGAGTCCATGGATCTTCTGGCGAGGGGAGAGCAAGAGGGCTCAAACGCTGAAATGCGGCGCATGCTCACAGCCAGGCAAAAGGTCGCCAGCGTTCTACGCAAGGTGGTCCGAGAGACAGAGCGCATGACTGCTCGGATAATGTCTGCGGCCAAAGCCAAAGGAGGACTAGAGGGCTTGTGGGGACACTTTGCCTCCAAGGATCCCAATTCAAGGTCATGTGTAACATCCGTGCAGGCAGCGGAGTATTTCCTGAAGGATGGAGATGAGATACAAATCAAATCTGGAACTCTACCTGCCTTTGCGGCTCACAATATCCTCATGAAACATCCACAGCTCTTCATCGCCGATCCTGGAGCTATTACCGAGACCGGTCGCTTTTTATTGCGAAGCCAGTCCGAACGAGAAACTCTGGCCCGCGTTACCCGAATCATGCATTCGACCGTGGACGAAGACAGGGAGATCATCCGTGGGTTCGTGGACAAGGCCTCCAGAGCGATCGAAACTTCGAGAGCGCTAAAGACGAAAGACGACTACGAATGGAAAGAAGTTTCTGATGCGCCGGTAATTGAGTGGACATCAGTGGAACAGGATCTGGTCTGGGCTCTATTGATGAGTCTTTACGAGACGAGGTCGACGCAGGAACAAATCATGCTACCAATCTTGACAACACTGCTCAAGTCTATCCCAGCTTATTCGGACCGAAACTTGGATCGAGAGGCGGTGGCCCTGTTCGCGGGAGAAATTGGTATCGTGCCTCCGTGGGAGACGCTCAGGAGATCGGAAGTGGCAGAGGATCAGACTCGACGATCTGTATTGCTGCCCAGAAGCCAGGAGCTCGGTTCTGTACCGCTCAGAGGCGACGAGCTCGACTCGGTCCGAGAAGACTACACCTCTCACAAGGTCTTTGTGGTGGACGATGCTGGCTCAAAAGAGCTGGACGATGGTGTCTCAGTGGAGCGCATCCACGGGTCAGATGACGTTTGGATCCACGCCCATATCGCGGATCCGACTCGATTCATTGGCCCTGGTGATCCACTCGCCAGAGTAGCTGCAGCGCGAGGATCTGCTGGATACTTCCAAGAAGGAAGCGTTTCCTTATTTGGAGACGATTCGATGAAGAATGTGTCACTCGGATCTGAAGAAGGGACAGACGGAGTCAAAGCCGTCATGACCTTCTCTTCCCGTGTGAACACGAGCGGCGACGTTACAGACTACCATGTCAACTTGGGCTGGGTCAAGAAACCTCGTGTGCTTACATACGATGCGGTGGACAGTGTGCTGGGTCTATCTCCGTCTCTGGCGAACCTCAGGCCATTCGGAACACCCGTGGAACACGACACCGTCTCGAGCACCTCGACTTCGCCTTCGAGCGAGGAAGCCAAGGATCTGGAACTCATTCAACAGAGAATGCTAGCGTACCGAAATCAACGAATGAAGAATGCTGGGTTTGAGTCGTTCCTGCCTCAGCCGAGTCTTCGTCTGTCAAATCGTCCTCCACCATCAAACACCTCGTTTTTCAGTAGAGAACACACCCCCAGCAAGTCGTCTTTCTGGCTCGGGTCACCAATGATCGACTTTTCCGTCCCGCCTCTGGAATCATCCGGCTCGTACACTTCGAGACAGGTCATCGCCGAGGCTATGATCATGGCAAACCGAGCAGCGGCTGCCTTCTGCTCCTCTCGCAAATTGCCAGTCCCCTTCCGAACCTGTAGTAAACCCCTCTTGACAGCTCTACCGGGCCAAACCGGGTTGACCTTCGAGGATCTGATGAAGAAACGTGATCCAAAGACATTTGTTCTGGATCCATTCGAATTGGCCAAAACGTCGGCCACCTTCCAGGGAGGTCAACTTTCACTCAAACCTGGGGAGCATTGGTTCCTCGGATTCGAAGATACACATGGATACCTCCGAGTCACCAGTCCGCTTCGTAGATACGATGATCTGCTCGCTCATTGGCAGATTAGGTCCGCACTGGCAGCCGATCATCGCCACCCAAGTCTGGCGGCACCACGATTGCCTGAAGACTATGTCAAGCAGATTATGTTGATCGCCGATTCCGCCTCGAAAGACAACAGGAATGCTGGCCGATTTTCAAGCAGTTGGTGGACAGCATTGCTGATCAGAGATCGAATGGCCAACCCTCGACCAGGCGGATACATATACGATTCTCAAAGCATTGATCCAAACGAACCTCTCGAGGCCATCATCGCCATGCCACCTACCTATACCGCTGAGGGCGATAAGCTCAATTCGCCGGTTCTCATCCCTGCACTCGGTACCCTGGCCCGACTCGTCGGCTCCAAACACGAGGAGGTGGGAGACAGGATCAAGGTCAGGATACAGGACATTGCACTGTGGCCCAAACCTTTGGTATCCGTAATAGACGCTTAGACTGCACTTGCACACACTCAATTCATCTGTATTGTTACATGCATACATTGTATCAGAATCCCATCCGTATCGGCGGTGGAGGCGGCGGAGCTGCACCGCCCTGCTGTGATGGCTGTTGATAGCCTGAGTAACCATTCGCGACAGGGAAACCAGCAGGTGGGGCGGGATATGATTGACCATAATCTTGACCTGGATAGCCTTGTTGAGGCTGGTACACTGGCATGCCGGGTGGCGGTGGAGGAGGAGGTTGAGAGGCGACGGATTGGTATGCTGGCTGGACTGGGGCAGAAGGCTGAGCGGCGAGAGCACCGGCGAATTGGCCTACAAAAGTCAGAGAAGCTGCATCGATGAAGCTCACCTCCGTATGAATATGAGGTTCCAGGACCGATGGCGTGTTTTCTGTGGAACGTCAGCGTCAATTGACACGATGCTGCTGCGTGTGTGAAATCCCACTTTGCTTGAGCAGCCAATAATCTCTCTGCCTGTGTACCATGCCTCTCTCCCTTTCCATCCTTCTTGAAAGCATACTGCACCGAGATTTGCTTTCCACCAAAGAATTGACCGTTCATGTTCTCGATAGCCATATCGGCGGCTTCAAAGTCATGGTACGAAACGAATCCGTATCCTTTCGATTGACCAGTCGTGGGATCTCGAGCGATCTGAAGGCTCAATACACCTTCCTCCCTCAGGCTAGTCATGTTCTCGCTCACCTTTGGATGCTCTGCTATTGCGCCGAAAGTGCTAAACACATCGTACAGGGCAGTCTCGTCCGCTTGCTCGTCCAAACTTCCAATGAACAAGTTCGCTCCGATATCCACCTCCTTCCTATTATCATACGAAGCCTTGTTGACTCTGATTGGCTTCCCATATAACTTGATCTGATTCATAATCTTCACGGCGTACTCGGCATCATCTTCAGAGAGAAATTCGCAGAATCCAAAACCCTGGTGTGACATGGAGATACGATCCTTCGGTAAGAACACGTTGGCTGGAGTCCGTCAGATTGCTTCCTTTTTAGAAGACACGATCTGCACTTACAGACCGGGCCAGCCTGCCTGCGAGACGTCAGCCAGAGCGTCTGAAAATTGGCGGCCACTACTTACAGCATCAACTCCCAAATCAAAGCATCTGTACACCGCTCATCCAGATTCCCCTAAGACATCGCGTGAGCTCATCATGGAACAGGGGTCCCGCCTACCAAGTAGACCGTAGCCTCTTGATTCCTGTCCTGCTCTGGCTTGTTCTGCATCCCGAACCAGGTCTTCACACAATATATGATAGATAGATTGACCCATTCAATGCATGAATGCGTAGAATATTTCAACCGAGAAAATTTGGTTCCGTGACCTTGACAGGCGCTATGAGGACTGATGATCGAGACATTCGCTGTTCGTGATTGTGCTGCTACAGGTCTGTCATAGAGCTCTGTATCGACTGAGGCCACGGTGGCGATCCTGTACGGAGTTCAAATCATGAATGCGAACAAAGGAAGTCCATCCAATTCTCATAGCGTCACTTCCAAAATCCTCTTCAACGTCTCCCTTCAATACATATCACTTCTCAATACCTCACTGATCAGAGAACCTCATCGCAGAGTACTAATGTCTGCTTCAAGCATAAACACTACTGAACATGGATCTTCGGTTGTCCCTCCCTCAGGTCGGTGGAGGCTTCTACATATCGGCGTTGCTGATCTCCTAATAGCCAAAAGACTAACGGTTTTGGTCACATCCGACGTCAGGGGAGATACCAAAAGGCTGATTGCGAAGTTCTCGGGGACCGGGAAGGGCAAGTCTGAGCTGTATCTCGCAAGCCAGGGCTTCAAGTCAGAAAAGTTCAAGAGCTTTGGAAAGGACTATCCCTTTTCCAGACTTCTCCAGACTGTGGACAAATTTCGCGACATAGCTCAGGCACAGAATGTGCAACCGGGTTATTCTTTCTTGGACGCGGCCGGGAATATCAGCACGTTGATCGACCCAAGAACTTGGCTGTTTTGCCCTCTGGACAGCGACCAGAACCCGTACACTATCACATTCTCTGAAGTGACAAGAAACGAAGCAGCCAGGCTACAAAGTGGGCCCCCCACAGAGCGCGACACAGGAGTTTCAGCTGTAACTCATCTCAGCCCAGCGTCAGCTCAGCAGAGAACCAATGGTGAGACTTGACATTGCGCTTGCTGCACTGACACGCCTCGCAGACGAGGCAGTCAGTGTACATGACCAGGTCTCGGAACCAACAGATACAATTTCGGAGCCAGCCGACGAACCAGGTGGAAAGGACAGTGACTACTTGGACGATGGCCCGGGGGAAGACGATGATGATTTTTTGGAAGACAGCGATGGCTTATCCTCGGATGAGGCGAGCGGAGAGGCGGAGGACGAAGACAAGGAGGACTTGAAGAGATCTCGTCGATTGACGCGGACGGCTCAAGGCAAACGGAAACGCTCTCTGGTGTCTTCGCCTACTGATAGTGAGTCATCACTGCCTTCTGGACATGACGTTATCGTGCGAGGATCTCGGGGGGACACAGACCATTCAGATAGCGAGCTGTCGGACCCTCCAGAGTCTCCATACAATCCGGCTTGATCCACCGCGCTGCGAACGGCATCCATCCCCCTCTTCTTGTGTTATCAAAGTCATACAGAATGCATTGAAAACGTTCGAGTCACGGTACCATGTATGCGTGTTCACGTGAATCGTATAAGCATGTACGTCCAGACAAAGATGATTAAGACAAGTATGACGATGCCGAGAGTCATGCAGGTAGTGCCTCTGCCCTTTTTAGAGACTTTGGCGAGATCCTGTTTCGAGGAACGTGTGGCCACGAGATTGTCTGTGGGTTCAGAGAAGATTCACTACTGCTTGCACTCACTCTCCAAGGTCGTTTGAGATGATTCCAGGAGATCCTTCTCATCGTTGAGGCTTGACGCAAAATGAATGGCATTTAACTTTAAGCGATTTGACATCTGCATTTTTGGCATCAGCATTCCAAATTGCGTTGGAGACTTGCATCTGCCAGTTGACCTCCCAACTCCTCGTGCAGTTGTCTTGAGCCCATACCCGACCTCATTCCTCCGCCTAGTAACTGATCCCTGGAAGACTTTTCCACATTCTGAGGTACGACGCGCAGTGGTAACAATCCAACTTCTGCTCCCGCTGCATCTTCCTCGGCCCGCTTGCGAAGATATGCAGCTGTGTCTATGCCTCGTTTCCTCGACCGTAGTGTGGTGCTAAGTTTTGGTGACAATGTTGGACGAGGCTCGGACTTTTCTTCCGTGGGTGATGTTTCCGCCAAAAGCTCAAAAGAGGCGGAAGACTTTGCCCTTGATGCGAGGGGTTCACGAGGCTTGTCGATGATCTCCTTGCTCAATGACTCGGTCTCCAGAGAGGAATACCTCTTCTCTACGTCTGACATTGTCCGGTCGAGCTTCTCAAGCGTCAAAGACGTCGAAGGTCTTTTTCTCGATGAGCATGACGATGTTGAGACTGAACTGACTTACCCCTCGTTAGCGTTCTTGAGATTCTCCAGAATGAGTCGAGCGTATCGAGCTGTCTGAACAGACGTAAGCTCGCGAGTCTCATTCCCATTCCGGCTCGCTCACGTCTACATCTTTGCGTATTCGACTCGAGTCCTGTTCCTGTTCCTCGTCCTCATCTTCCAAATATTGAGATGTCTGATCGAGAGCCTGGACCAATCTGACGAGATTGACAAGACCATGAGGCGACGCAGCGGCAATCTTCGCCGCTTTGACAGTCGCCGCAGAAGGCCTGATGGTGTTGCTGATACTCATTCCTGGGGTCAAATCAAGTGTACAATCATAATGTTCACTTGTCAACAAAGCTCGGCTTCCAAAGATGATGCTACCGGTTGCTGAACACCCCGCCACAACGTGGATTTTCCCGGAAAATTACCGTTCACCGTTCCCTCGTCCAATCTTCAACTCATCTTCTATAGTAGACCGTTCGGCTAGCATTCCAACTTTCTCGACAAGGATCTCACTGGGACGCGTCGGACTTGGAGGAAGTGACTCGATCGTGTATTGAGATAGGCTCGGCCCGTTTGCCCCAAGGCGTCTCGATCAACTCATGTCTGTCGCGTGAAGCACGGTGGAGGTAGTCCAGCTATGGAGGTCGACCCTGTTGCTGGACCATCCGTGGCTCAGGAGATTCAAAATGCCAGTTCTGGCCATGTAGATGGAATTGCTACGGTAGCCCTTGCTCCGAAAACCCCGGCAAAGACCACAGCAACCTCGCGTCGATCTCTCGGTCGAGGGCCTCTACCTACTCGAACGTTGCGAGCCCGACCTTCTGACCCTGTGTCTTATGCGCCGCCCTCTAGACCAGTACAAAGCTCTGCCATTACAGCCAGAGAGCCTGACGAGGTCGAAATTGAGTCAATTAGACGGAAACTGGGCGAAGATGGCATCAAAGAACGTCGCGAAGAGCTGATCAAGGAGAAGGAGGCGATCGTGAAGCAGGTCGTGGAGAGTCACGATGCTGCAGTGAGGGAGAAATTTCACTTGGAGCGCTATATAAGTCTATTGGAGGGATATGATCCAGAGGTAAGCTGTTCAAATCCGAGTCTTTGGCTCAGCTCACTCCGCGCAGTTCATAAAGAGCGACAATTCGCCAGTCTTCTTAGAAGTGAGCTTTATTCAGAAACGCTTTGCTGACAGTCCCAGTACGCAAGGAACAATTATGATCTACTCAGTCTCCTGCCCCTCGATCCAACCACTCAGGTAGCTGGACCCTCGAAGCGGCCACGCTCGAGTTTGCCTGCACGGCAAACCCGCCGGCAAGCCCATGAACAGTCTGAGCTTCTGGCACACGTTGTGAGCACTCCGGTCAATGGAGCCGAAAAGGCATCATCCAGGGGCAAGGAGAAAGCGAGGGGGACCCCCGATGTGAAGGGAAAGGGCAAAGCGAAAGCTGTGGTTGAGGAACAGGAGCCTATACCTGTGGAGCCCGACGCCAAGGTCATTGCCGTGACACACACTGGCAAGAGGAAGGGGAGGGCAAGCATTCTGGTGGATTCCGACATCGAGGCCTCTCCGGTACCTTTCAAGGGGAAGAAGACGAGAGCTTCATTGCTGTCTGAGCAGATCCTCGCTGAACGACTCAAGGAAGAATCCGTACCGCCCAGCACCTCCCAAGATACATCTGCTCCAGCGACTCCTCGTCCACCGTCCGAGCCTCCGGAGCCACCGCGACCTCCGACTCCATTGCCATCACTAGCTCATATCCCGTTCCCTCCAGCTCCTCTTCGACCCAAAGAGCGTATCTTTGGACCTCGCGAACCATGGTACACTATGCCAATACACAAACCCCCGCCGCCCAAATTTGGAGGAGACATCGCACCGATCATGGATTCTTATATTCACATTGAGGACACGAATACACCGCCTCTGAAGGTTCTGGAGCAGCAAGCGGCTCGTGACGGGTACCTTGTCAATCGGGTGAATTGGTTGCAGCATCAAGGTCGGCTCGGAAGACTACTGGAAGAATCTGGACACACGCTCAAGACTCGGCCGCCTGCTTTGCCACCTCGCAAGACCGACTTCCGAGACTCTCTGATGGCGCATATGGTACAAGTGCGGAATGCCATGCTGAATGAGGCCAAACAGAAACCAGTGGTGGCAAAGCGCATAGCAAGGATGATACAAGCTTACTGGGAACACATCGAAGGACGTGAGGAGCGGGAAAGAGCCGCCGAGGAAAGGGAAAGGAAGAAGAAGATGAAGGATTTGATTCGAGCGATGAGGAAGAGATGGAATCTGGCTGTCAAGGTGAGGCTCACAGATAGGGCAAAGCTAATGCTAGATCATTCGAGCTCGAATTCAAGCTGCGCAAAAGCTTGAGCAGGATCGCTTGGGAAAAGAACATCTGCAGAATATGCTCCAGCGGAGTACGGGGCTCTTGGAAGCGCAACGGGATGACATTGCCGGAGATCGAGAGGTCGAGGATGGAGAGGAGGACCAGGGCAGTGCAGACGAGGACAGTGATGCCGAGACGGAGGAAGTATCTGCGGCGGAGGATGAGGATGAGGATGAGGACGAGGCGTCCGATGATGGTTCCGATGTGCCAGAAGAGGCTGCAGACTCAGATGCCGAAGTGGAAGAAGAGGCTGAGGATGAGGAGGACGATAAGGACGCCATACAGACCGACAGCGACACTCCAGTGCCTGGCTTGCGAGATTTGTTGGCGGACGACGAGGCTCTAGACGGGATGGAAATCGAGCAGGAGGATGTACCTGTTCCGCCAGAACGCATCGAAGACGTCGACACTGCTCAAGCAGAGACTTCACTGGCAATCGACACGCCGCTCCTCGATCTCGACGCGACCGACGTGCGGCCGGGCCAAGTGGAAACCCTAACGACGGCGCAAATTCAACTACCTCAGCCCGATGTCATGTATAGTCCCCTTGACGGGCGAAGCCACCTTCAGCCACGGTCGTCCTTGTCAGCCTCCCTGCGCACACCCGATTCGGAATCTGGGGCTCAGGCGAACGGGACATCCAGAAATGAAACAATTGCTGAGCTCCCTCAAGACCCAGTCGAGCCGACAATCTCAGCTTCAATTACGCCGGATGCCGAGTCCAGATCGACAAATGGCACAGCCGACCATCAGATCGCTATACCTATCCCAGCGGTGTCTACTGAGATAGCCTTCGCTCTACAGCCACCCTCCAATCCGCCAGAAAGCGATGTTATACAGACTGTCTCCACCTCCGTCAATGAGGAGATACTGACCACTGAGGACGAGCCAGTCCTTGCTCGCCCAAGGCGCCAGCGCAAAGCTCTATCTCACGCTGACTTGTTTAAGACCGAGGATCCGGATGCCAATGACACCGAGTTCGTGGCCGTCGATAGTGATGTCGATCATCGTGATGCAGAGATGGATGTGGAGATGGAGGAGGCTGAAGATGAAGATGAGGGCGAAGACGATGAGGATGCTGGGCTGATGGCAGACGCGGACTTGCCGATTGAGGAGCTGTTGAGGAGATATGGTTACCCTGTCGAAGCTTTAGGCACCGAGCAGAGCCCTGCGATTCAGGAAACGGGTCAGATCATCACGGACAAATCACTTCTTGACGAGAACCTCTCTGGCGAGTCTCCCAAACTCATCGTGGAAGGCAAGCGGCAACGTCGGGTCAGATCCGTTTGGACGCCAGAGGAAACGCCTCAGCACATGCCAAGCAAGAGACCAAAGATTGAAGAAGTCGAGGACCAATCAGACTATGAAATGACTCCGAGCGTGTCCGAGTCCGAAGAGGAGGAAGCGGAGAGTGACGAGGAAGAGGCCAAGAACGAGGACGTCAATCGTTTGCAGGCGCCGTTCTTGCTACGTGGTACACTGAGACCCTACCAGCATGCTGGGCTCGAGTGGCTCGCGAGTCTGTATCAGAATAATATGAACGGTATCCTGGCCGATGAAATGGGCTTAGGGTGAGTGAAAAAAAGCGAGTGTTGTCGACTGACATTGCAGCAAAACGATACAGACAATCTCACTCCTCGCCCATCTTGCTTGCGACAAGGGTGTATGGGGCCAACATCTTATCATTGTCCCCACCTCTGTGATTCTCAATTGGGAGATGGAATTTAAAAAATTCTTACCCGGTATGAAAGTCCTAACTTACTACGGCAATCAGAAGGAGCGCAAGGACAAGCGTGTGGGCTGGAACACTGAGAACGCCTGGCAAGTGTGTATCACAAGTTATCAGATCGTGCTTGCGGATCAACACATTTTCCGACGAAAGAGCTGGGTTTACATGATTCTCGATGAAGCGCACAATATCAAGAATTTCCGGTCACAACGATGGCAGACTCTACTCGGCTTCAAGGCTCAGCGTCGATTGCTCCTCACTGGAACTCCGTTGCAGAACAATCTCATGGAGCTGTGGAGTTTGCTCTATTTCCTCATGCCCAATGGTGTCACGGCCGATGCGACGGCTGTCGTTGGATTCGCCAACCACAAAGAGTTCACAGAGTGGTTCTCTAGTGAGTCGCGATGATGCGAGTCCACAACTGACAGACCCAGATCCCATGGACAAGGCTGTCGAATCGGGGGACATTCTGGATTCCGATACGCTCGAAACGGTCGCCAAGTTGCATACCTTACTCAGACCGTTCATTCTCCGTCGCTTGAAATCTGAGGTTGAAACTCAGCTTCCCGGGAAGTTCGAGCACGTCGTCTACTGCAAACTCTCAAAAAGACAACGGTTCCTGTATGACGAATTCATGTCTCGTTCTTCCACCAAAGAAGCACTGACTTCGGGTGGATACCTCGGCGTCGTCAACACTCTAATGCAACTGAGAAAAGTATGTAATCACCCCGACCTGTTTGAAGTCCGTCCGGTCCGAACCAGTTTCGCCATGGAACGGTCGGTCTTGGCGGATTTCGAGCCCAGTGAGATACTGGTACGGAAGAGGTTGCTCAGGGACATGGATTACTTGGATCAACCAGCATTCAAAATCACAGCTTTCGAGAATGCCTCGTCTTGGACCATGGAGTCCCGCCGACGCCTCGACGCGAGTGATTTGCTGCCGCATGCCATTGAGCCGGTGAAGAAGGGCAAGTCGGCGCCTACTCCGCCGATGGATACTCGAACTGTCGAAGGCTGGCTTCAATATAGGTCTTTTTGGGAAGAAACACAGAGCGTCAATCGCTGGCGAGCCTTGCGTGATATCAACAGACGACGATGTCACATTCGACCCATATACGGCTCTACTCTACTTTCCTTCCTTTCGAATCTGTCTCGACCGCTCGCGCCAGGTGATATGAATCACCGCTCCCGCCTTGATTCACTCGATGACTTTACACCTCCTGCCGCTCGTTTAGTACATTCGTACGAGGAACGAGCGAAACTTGTTGCTCCCCTGGTGGATATCTTTGCTCTCATGCCCCCGCTCGTCGTCGCGAAGGACATGACCGAATATGCGCTGCCCGGTCTGAAGCCCACATCTACTCCTGAATTTCTCGAACCCTCGTTCGACACGCTTCATCAAGCCAGTGTGAAACTTCAAATTGCCTTTCCAGACGCTTCTCTCCTGCAGTATGATTGTGGGAAATTGCAAAAGCTCTACGAGATGCTTCGCGATCTAAAAGCGGAGGGTCATCGCGTTCTAATCTTTACACAGATGACCCGAGTCCTCGATATTCTCGAGACGTTCCTGTCTTACAATGGTCATCGGTATCTGCGACTCGATGGTTCGACCAAGATTGAAGATCGTCAAATTATCACTGAACGATTCAATTCGGACGCCCGGATATTCTGTTTCATCGCTTCATCTCGATCCGGTGGAGTTGGCATCAATCTCACCGGAGCGGATACGGTGTTTTTCTATGATTCCGATTGGAACCCCTCAATGGATAGACAATGCATGGATCGAGCTCATCGGATCGGCCAAACGAGAGAAGTGCACATCTATCGATTCGTCAGTTCCCACACGGTCGAGGAAAACATGTTGAAAAAGGCGAACCAAAAGCGACTGTTGGATCGAGTGGTCATTCAAGAAGGCGAATTCACCACGGATTTCTTTGGGAAAATGGATTGGAGAGATGTCCTCGATGCTGAAGTGGGCAATGGCAAGACCGCTGCTGCTGCGGCTGGTGCTGGTGCTCCTCCTGGTGATGACTTGGAAGACGAAAGGATACAGGATATCGAGGTTGAACCCGAACCCGAAGCTGTCGATGCAGAAGCGTCGGCACCGAGACTGGGGGAAGAAAGAGCGTTCGCCAAGGCTCTCGCGGAAGTCGAGGATGAAGAGGATGCAGCGGCGGCGAGGGTCGCACAGGGAGAAGGAGAATTGGACTTTGTCGAGTTTGAAGACGCTACGAGGGGCAAAGCTGGCGGGACGACGTCGACCACAACCGCGACTAAGCGGAATGTCTCGTTTGTGAATCCCAGAGGATCTAGTACGCCTTTGGCTTCGGGTCCAATGGACGGTGATGATGCTGCGGACGACGTGAAGGATGCTGAAGTTGGTGACGAAAATGAGGATGAGGAAGAAGAAGAAGAAGAAGACGACGACGACGGAATAGGAGCGGTGGATGAGTACATGTTACGGACTGTGGAATGGGATTGGGAGTGGTTCAATCAGTTTTAGTCAGGCATCACATCTCGCCGACGACGCACCGAGGTCGCCGATGTCAAATGCCATGCATCATTATCGCGCGCGCGAAAGCAACGCCGATCAAGGCTCGGTCACGGACGATGATCATGCTCGCTCTAGCTCGCGCTGCTGCTGCTGCTGATCTCTGGATAGCCTGCTGGGTCGACGCTGTGCCACATCGATAGATGGTATTTCCCGCGGTGCCAAGGGAAAAAAAAGGTTCCGAGTGGCGTCGAGGAGAAGAGCTGGAATCTACGATACACAGATGACGATGGCGAAGGCAAAATGTCTGCAAGTCTCATGGTGGTCTGATTAGCGTATCCGAAGCTGATCACTCTGCTCGAGGGAGAGTCTTCGTGTGCTCGCCGACGATACATCAAGCATCTATCATGCATGGTCTCTCATGCTTTGGGAACCATTTTGACCTGGACAAGATGGTCGCACCATTTTCTAGGTGACGTCAGCAGCCAGGGAGCCAGGCGGTTCGGTAGGATTAGGAATGGGACTGGGACCTTTCCAGCGTTTTCGCACCTTCCCTCTCTACCTTCTCTTTTTGCCTCTTTTCACACTTTGAGACACTACAAACGAACCACCATGGCTCAATCACCAGCACACGAAGGGACAGATCCTATTGGGAAAGGGTCTGTATCTCAGACCGACGGTCCTAAGCAATTGAGCGATGCTCAACAGAGACCAGGTGAGGGCGACCGTTCTTTTTGATAAGATCGGCCTGATGATGTCCCCGCTGATCATCGTGTTACCTTCGAAAGATGTCTCTGGTGCTGAGGGAGCTCATCCAGGAGGGCAAGAAGGTGGAGTCAGTGGAACAGCTGTACAGGTGAGTAGAGGGCAACAGCGTGCCTCTCAGAGGCTGGCAAGAATGGGTGATCATTGGTGCTGACGTGTTGTTGACAGAACGCAAAGGTGAGATGAGCGCGGAGCGGGTGACTGTGGTTGTTCTGACTCTCCCACTCCTTCCAGAATGCCGCTGCTTCGCTCGGCGAACAGGCCCCTGGGACCGACTCGGCTCAAGGACGGAAAGACATTGAGACAAAGTAGACGTTGCACGACGAAGCACTGGAATGAAGTGGGGGAAAACGAAAAGGCATGACGGAGTAAGGAAAAGGCAGGCTTGTACAGCATGACAATACATGTAAAGTTCGCCCTGATACGCGCTACCGCTTAGAGTCGAGCTTTTGTGCCAACGGGTACGATTCTCTCATCTGCGAAAGTCTCAGCACGTATCGCTCACCCCTTCTTTGCACTCACAATTCGCATCGTACAACGTATCAATACTCGCTGCGCCGTGAAGCGCACTCGTGTCGATCATACTCGGTACCAGCTCTCCAATATTTCTAGCTCCAACGAGCCTCATGTTCATTTCAAACTCGTCTTTGAGGATTTGTAACAGTTTCGAGATCCCTTCTTCACCATATGTCGACATGGCGTAAATCATCGGTCGACCGATTCCCACGGCCGTTGCTCCGAGCGCTACGGCCTTCATGACGTCTGAAGCGCGTCTCACACCTCCATCGACGAAAATTTCAAACTTTGGACGGGAAGGATTGTTCATATATCCGTGTGCTGTAAGCGCAGAGACGACGGACGGGAGGATGGCAATAGGGGCCGGAGCATAGTCCTAGGTGCACCAGGGTCAGCGAGACAAATTGCATCTTTTGTTCAGATGCCTGCTCACCAGCTGACGACCACTAAGAGAGCACATGACGGTCAATGATGTCGACTGAGACACGTCTATCGCTTACCCATGATTACTGGGCAATGTCAGACTGGTTCGTGATCCGTACTCAATGGCTCACCTCAGCACGATCCCATCCACACCTGCCTCTGCAGCCAGCACGGCGTCCTCCCAGCATTGCACACCCTTGAGAATGATTTTCATCCCTTTAGCAGCTTCCGTCAAATCCTTCAGGTCTGCCCAATTCAAACTCGGGTCGATGAATGATGAAATGGCCCTGGCGGCACCTTGATCCCGCCTGACTTTATCACCGCCTGTAGTCTGAGCAGATGACGCGGCGCCCTCAAACTTGGTCCGCATGTCCTTCAGCGTAGAACCGTCAACACAGATGCGACAGGGTCGGAAGACACTTGGGCCAGACTGACTTTTTCTCGTCGTCCCAACTGAGGAGCATCCACAGTGATGAACAATGCTTTTATACCTCGATCAGCGGCATGAGCGACAATCTTTCGGGTCCTCGCTCGGTCCGCGTTGACGTATCTGGGACATCAGCAGCGTTTCTGAGGAGGGGAAAATTCCCACAATTGCATAAATTGCACTTGACCAGGCGCAGCAGCGTCGACCAATTCATCGAAAGAGCACGACGCGAGGGTGGGAATCTACCTCGGTTCAGCAAGTTGTCCACTTTTCCCGCCACGCACCATCTGTATGACATTGTGCTTTGCTGCCGCTCTGGTCAGAGTGACCTCTCCTTCTGGATGACCCAGTTTACCTGCGAGTCAGTCCTAATCGTCGCTGGCCTCCACTCACCCAGAGCAGTCGCGGTGATGTAAATTGGCATGCTAGTTGCGAAGCCTAGTATCTTGGTAGAGAAATCGACATTGGCCACGTTTCTGAGAATCCTCGGTCTGAACCATAATCTATGGTAAGCATTATGATTTTCGCGCTGTGTCTTGCTCAGCACTCTACCATCCTGGGAAGATCACTCACCATGGATATTTCGTCGTCTGCACCGCTGTGAGACCATCTCAGCCAGATGCCAATCTTACCAAACCAATGTTCTTACGAGCTGTAATAATTCCAGCCTCTCCTTCCCATGACTCGCCTTGCGACAGCTTCGAAATCGTGCAAGCTTAAGATCTGCTCTAGGTCCGGCTTGACCCATTCTTCAGGTGCTGGTGAGCTTGAACTTGAGCTCTGGGGGATCTGCACAGCTGACGGAGCGGGGGCTGAAGCAGGCGCAGGCTCGGGTTTCACCATCGTTCCCGGTCTGACTGGACCCAAGTGTTTCGAGGGATCTACAGGTTTTATAAGGAGAATACTAAGGGGTTTGACTCACCTAGATTATCCTTGATGGCATCAGGGGGATGAATCGGTTCATACTCCTCGGTGGCATCTTTTCCGGCATACTTCCTGCAGACATGCGCATGAGAAGGATGATTATGAATACCAAACTCACAGGATGATGTCCGCTCCGCCTGATGATGTGTCAGTGGAAACCTGACTTGCAGCCGGTAGGGTATTTACCAGGATGCTCATCGAGAAAATCAGTTACGTCGTATACGTGTCCTGGACGAATGAATTGGTTCCATCAGCGTTGCTCTGAAAATCAGTGAGATCCCTGTTACCGTGGACTACTATCCATACACCCTGACAATCCCGTCAGCTATGATTCGCCAAGAGGTGCAAAACAGAGAATGAGGTGGGGACGAATCACCTGTTCTCTGCTGGCATGTTTCGCCACTTCTTTGCCGTCCACTTGATTGGTCATATCGTAGGGTCAAGGTCAGGAAGAGTATACAGTGTGTGCAGCAAATGCTTTCTCGTCGACCCAGCTTTACCTGCTACGATCGTTATATGGACATTGAATACGACGATCCTTGGTGCGCACTACCATATGCATAGCTAACGGTCCTCCGCAACTTTTCGGTCCGGGCCGATCGATTATCCGCCGGTTCAATGTCGTGACTGCTCGACCGTGGGAAGATAGCACTCAAGGTTGGTACGAAAACTCATATGCTAATCCCTTGCTGGCTCCCCTGAGTGTCACGATGCATAAGGCACATTCCACAGCGCAGGCGACTGGACCACCATCCCACGCTGTCAACTCAACTCACCGCCACAGCGCAGTAGGGACGCGGTGAATGCTCTTTCCAGGGTAGATGGTGTACCATTCACCGGAATGTGTGCCTCAGAGGATATGGTCAATATAGTTTGTTGAGATGTGCCACACAGAGGTAGTAGAGGGATATGATTATCGGTTGGAGAGGATCCATCACAGCCATGTGAGAGAAAGCAGCTGCCGCCATTCCCTCTCCCACCAAGAATTCGGCTCGTTCCAAGTAGATCCCCATTCATCATAGATCCCATGCCACCACCACCCACACCCCGGCCGCCGCGCCCCCCGCCCTGCCGCTCGACCTGCCGCCTCAATAGAATAGTGAATAATACCTGGAACTATTCTCCTCCGACAGAGAGGGGTCTGGGCCCAAGAGAGAGGGAGAGCGAGAGAGGGTGCTATTAGGAAAAATCTCACAATTCCTAATGGACAACCCCCTTTTACCAATTTTTTCCCCCCGTCCAAACCATTCAGGGAAAATTACAAATTTTAATTAGAAGAAATACAAATGCTGCTGCTGCTCTCGCTGCTGCTTGCTGCTTGCTGCTGGCTACTGCCCCGGTCTCTTTCTTCCCTCCATTGGTCTCAATCGTTGTGTCCTGCAATCCTCAATCAGACCTGCTCAACAAATGATCTCACAGTAGCTTCCTCCTCACAAAAGGTCGGCCTGATAGTCCCCCCCTTACCACCGACCATCATCTCTGGCCACCTCCTTCCTTTATTATTATTACTACCGTTTTTTTCGTCCCAAAAGGCCACGCGACGTCATCGTGTGCGTAGGTAGTAGCGTTGGTCATTTGGGGGGGAATGTCCCACCAGTCAGCTCTCTTCTCCTCTCTCTCTCTCTTTCTCACTCGTGTCACAGTCTCTCTCTCAGCATTGCACACACCAGTCCCACTGCTTGGTCCCAGCGCTCTGCTTCCCTGGCAAACGAGCAGATGCCACAATCATGGAATCATCGACCACCACCAGTAGTAGTAATCTTACATCCGCAATAGTCGATGTCGATATGAAGGATCCATCCAACAGCAGCAACATGATCACACCGACCACTTCATCAAATGGCAAGAGGAGGGCTATACCTCCTAGTTCTATACCAGATTTCCCAAGCTATAACAAAGTCAGAAGTCCACCCGCTCAGACGTCACTTTCACCTTCCCCCACCTCCTCCCCTTCCCCTTCTTCACCCTTTACCAGTCCACCACGATCAGTCGCAGGTCAAATGTTACATCCCGTTCCCATGCCTTTATCACCACTCGGTATGGATTCAGGTCTAGCGCCTCTATCCTCCCCGTGGCACACGCTGGCTGCGACATCAGGCGCACCGACTCCCTCATTGGAAGGACCTGGAAAGGGCAGTCCACACTTGGGTTACCCATTCGAACGGTTGAACATCGGTGGAAGTTGGAGCGGTGCCAATCTCGTCGCGGAGAGCTCGAGAAGGAGATCGTTACCTGGAGACGTGAAATCCATGGCACCTCCTCCACCTCAACTTGCAGATCAATTCGCAAGATATAGAGCCTTGGCAGGACACGCTTCAGCCAATGCCAAAGGCAAATCGAGATCGACAGAATCGCCACCTCCTCAAAAGTCACCAACGCCTGCAACATCTTCTGAATCTGGACCTATGCGTCTTCATCTCCCTGGACAGGCTAAAATGCCATCTCCACTAGGACCGAGCAGTTCATCAAAGATTATACATCCTCTTCCCCCAAGATCACTCCGTCCCCTCTTACCTCTCTCGACAACCCTTGTACTTGATCTCAGACCTCCATCGTCATTCCATTCGGCCCATTTACCAAACTCCGTCTCTTTGCCGATCCCCTCCACACTTTTACGGCGACCAGCATTCACCCTCTCAAAGCTCACCCAGATGTTGCCAGCCGAGGCCAGAGGGTCTGTGGCGGAGTGGAAGGAGAAACGAGATATCATCTTACTCGATGCAGACTCCACACGATTGACAGCGGACAGCATCATGACGGGTCTGGCGGGTAAATTCGACCGTGAAGGGTTTCAGGGCAACATGTGGTACCTCCAAGGTGGACTCGCAGCACTGAACGGGGTAGACCTGAACCTCATCACCGAAAATAGCGGCGAGGCGACACCTGACAACGCCGAAGAGGGCTTGATGGTGGGCAAGTTGGGATCTCTAGCTTTCCAGCAAGGTGAGCTCGGAAAATTGCGATTCCATGCTGACTGCCTCCAGGATCCACCGGAAGTAATCTTCAGAATCGTCGGAAGGACGGCCCGCGGACACCAGGCACACCCATCCGCAAAGATCCATTCTCCCCTACTTCGAGTCATACCGAAAAGCCTCCCTACAACCCCGCTTTCACCTCGCCAGGCTTCAGCAGTGCCGCTTCCAGCTCTGGTAAGGACTCTGGCTCGTCTTCTCGCGGATCGCACCATCACTCGTATAATATTCAACCTGCCAATCCCTTTTTTGACAATATCCGACAGAATCTCGAACTCTCACACGACGGCATCTCGGAGCGCATCAGTCTCGACTTGCCCGATAGTGTCACTTCGCGAGCCTCAGAGTTTCCATCTTGGATCCGCAAGCTCGTCATGCTGCCACCCACCGAGGCTGCCGACAGATTGGCGAGTGAATTCTACCAGGTGGAATTACAAGAACAAAGACGTTTGCAAGCTGTCATGGATTGGCACACCCGAGATTCGGGTCGAAGGTTGACGTTTTCCATCAAGGCAGCTGTCGAGGCCTTGCAGTCTGTCGCGGATGATGTGGCAGGTGCGACGAATGAAGACGCGCATTATTTCCCATTCTCTATCTCTGCGGGAGTCGAGCGAGGCTCAAAAAACAGGTCAGCTTACAGTCTCCGCGCTCGAGCTGATGACTTTGTAGATACAAGAATATTTGGCCTTATGACTTTTCACGTGTCAAGCTTGATTCTCCGCCTGATTCTGATTCAGATTACATCAATGCCTCCTATGTCCAGCCCAAGGGTACGGCTCGCAAATACATTGCGACCCAGGGTCCGTTAGATGCCACCTTTTGCGATTTCTGGACATTGGTTTGGGAACAGGATGTCCGAGTCATCGTCATGTGAGTTTTGAACGTGCGAGTAGCGCTGACTTGTCTCCAGGTTGACAAAGCAATACGAAGGTGGTCTGCTCAAGTGTGGCAATTACTGGTCAAATGCCAACTACGGGTCCATCCGGGTTGAATTGGAGTCCCAGTACGGTGGAGAGGATCGCAAGGCGGATGATGCTCCAGGTTTCGACTTTGGTTCGGCCTTTCACGACAAAGATGAGGCGCCATCATCAGATCAGGAAAACATCCATCGTGTCTTTACGCTCCGTAAAAAGAATGGCGAGGCTCGCAGGATTGTCCAGATACAATGTACGGCCTGGCCAGATTTCGACGTTCCCGACTCGCCAGACGTCCTGTTGAATCTCCTTCGAGATGTCAACTCGGCGACTGAAGAGCTTTGCAACGGGGACGCGGATGATCGAGCCGCTCAGCCTCCAGTCTTGGTGCATTGTGAGTGGGAGTATTCATTTACGTGGGCTGACGAAGTAGGCTCTGCGGGCGTTGGCCGGACGGGTTCATTCATCATTGTCGATGCGATTGTCGATTTCTTGCGCAGGGAACGAGACTCTCAGCAGTCTTTCACCACCCGCTCGTCCAGAGATACCACGGATTCTCTGTCGCCTTCACCGAGCTCCGTTGTCCACTTTGCAGACTCGATTCCTCCGCCAAGCTCGTCTGTGCGAGACCATAGAAGTCGATCGAATTCTGGATCCGCCTCGATGCTCGAACCCATCAAGGAAGACAAGATGGATTTGGACCCGCCAGCATTCTCCTCGAGTTTACCTCGCAAAGCGAGGCGAGATTCTTCGGATGGAGCGCCGAGAAGTAGAAGCTTTTCCGATACACCTGGTAGACCCAAACTTCGATCAGGATCCCAGTCGAGGAGCTACGAGGAGAATGAGAAAGCGTGAGCCTGGCACTGACCCGATGACATCGCGCTGATGCTCGTGTATATAGCCTTCGAAGAGATTTTGGTGTCGTGCCGGTCCTTACCAAATCTGGTGATCGGCATCGGGAGCCATCGCCTATCCACTCTCTGGATGGGTCGAGTCCAGTGGCTACTGTCTTGGAGGGTATGCGAGTGCAGCGGATGAGTCTGGTACAGAGTTTGAGGCAATATATCTTTGTCCATCGAGGTGAGCTGAGACTCTGTGACATGGCACTCATTGTTTCAGCCATCATTCACGCCTACCTCAACATGATTGACAATGATCGACTTCGCGGTAAATCCCCTTCATCACTCGCCTCGGATGTCGGTACCAATCCTTCCATGTCATCCACGACGACATTTGCACCCAAGACGGAGAGCACCACGGCGACTTCATTGACTTCTGCATCCACAGCGGACGATACCTCGATGCGTTCCGGCGTATCTACCAAAGGAGGCGCGCCGCCGCCCCCCGCCGCCGCCGGCACTGGCGCACCTTCAGACGAAGAGATGGAACCTCATAAACGTCGAGCATCACCCACAGAGCTGACTATGTCCGCTGAGAATAGTCCGATCGGACCCGGTTCGAGACCTGTCCTTGGATTGACCAAACGGCCCAGTTCCAAGAAAATGAGAGCTTCCGATTCGAGTCTGATGGGAGCAACACCATTGGATTTGTCCAGTCAGGCAAAGGCCACAGCGACGAGCACGAGCACGAGCACGACGGGAGGTGCGGCAAAAATCGCAGGGACGCAGAATGTGTTCTCGGTCGGTGCGCTGGATACCGGGGACCGTGGACCGACAAAGGCGGTATGAGAACATACAGGTCTCCCTTGTTTTTGGCATTTGGTCACCATTTTCTTCTTTTGGCATGTTTTGGCAAATCTCTTTGGCACATTTTTTTGGTTCATGTGGGTCATCTTTCGCACATCCTCTCATTCACTCTCAAGAGATGTACTTGGAAAATCTTTAGTCGCTTCGAGTCATACAGATATGCATATCAATCACATTCATTGCGAGTCGCGCTAGAAGAAATCCAAGAAAAAATATTCACTCTCATTCATTCTAATCGTCCTCTTGAGGTCCACGAGCAACTCGTTTAGCCAGTCTGAGAGAGTTATCATCATCAGTTTAATGGCTATTTTTTCATCGTCACGACTCACGCTGCAGCCAGATCCAATTGACCTCCGGCAGCCGCTGGCTTTTTCACAGCTCCAGGTTTGGGCCCGTTCGAAGCCGCAGGTTTGACCGATGCCGTAGGGATAGGTGGTCGACCTCCTGGACCAGCACCAACACCAGCACCAGTGGCACCCACCGTAGGTTTCGTGCTTGCCGCTGGGATACTCGGCTTGGCAGGAATAACAGGTTTAGGTTTAGGCGCCGGAGCAGGACCCTTGTTGCCGATCACAGAGTTGGGTCTGGAACTGGACCCGCCGTTGGCCGCGGCAGTCGCGGTAGCAGCCGGAGCTGGAGGAGCTCGACGTCCTGCAGGAGGTGGTGGAGGGGGCGGTGGAGCCGATTGCTCGACAAGCTTGAGGCTGGAAAGTCCGTCAGCACTGTGCAGCTCGAATTTGACCTCACTAGTTGGATGGAGCCCAGCCCTCTTTCCCATTTTTGACGACCATCCACCAGCCTTCACACGTCAGCCAATCAGCGGGGCGAATCGTCACTCACCATTATCATCCTTCTCCTTGACCTCGACCAACTCTCCCTTCGTCAGGTTCATCTCCCCATCCTGTCCTGTAAAGTTGTACAGGGCCTTGTACATGTCCTTTGGTGGCGCGGCGGGAGGAGGAGCTGGTGGCGCACGACTAGCACCCGGAATAGGAGGAGGAGCTCGAGCGGCCCCACCTCCTGTAGCGGGCGCTTTGACAGCTTTGGGCGAGACTGGCGTGGCAGCTCCTCCGCCAACTGTAGGTGGAGGAGCTGGTTTGGCTGCACCGGGCAGAGCTTTGGCAGTCGGTCTACTTGCAGATCGACCCTGTAGCGTCAGGAGAATGCGATGAGGCTGGACGTACCGCCATTCCAGCAGGTGCAGCTTTGGCAGCCTTTTTGACCTTTGGATTCCGCGGCGGCATAGGGTCCGACACTGAAGAGTATCAGTGAAGCTCTCGAGGCAGGAGACGCACCGCTGTTTGGAGGCTCTCCAGATCCCACGGCGATGGTATGACTCTTGTACACTCCATCATTGCGTACAGACTCGTCCTTGACAGCTTTGATGGTCGCTCTCTTGTCCTTCTTCTTTGCGTACTCGATGCTACAGCCTCAGTCTCGTTTCGCCCATGTCACTCACGTGGGCCCGATGGCGACTCCGAGATTACCTCCGGTCAATGTCAAGATGACACACATCATCTCAGTCTTTAGCGAACAGGTGAAGATAGGATCGCCCTCCTCGCACGCGTTGACGTTCAAAGCCTTAACAGATGAGCTTTCGAACCCTTGCGACTGGACGCACCACAAAGTCGTCCCTCAGATTGGTCATGGAGATCTGCCTGATCGTCACCAGAGGGATTTTCCGCTCAAGCGAGGTCGTCACTCCGCCCTCTTTTGAAGCAGCCGAGACGACAAAGTAGACCGCCTTGTCGGTCTGCATGGGTCAGCGTGCAATGCACCGTTCGACTCTCACGATGATCAAGAATCTCGGACTGAGCTTGGAAGATCGACCGAGTTTTGACACCAGCAACTCTGCTCTCGAGCTGAAGTGGACCGTTTCGGAGGCTGGGGAAATAATCAGCGGGGTGAACGTCGTCAACTTACGTGACAGATTCGCAGCATTCCTCAGCAGCTCTCCTTGTGGACTTGTGCCGCCGACATCGAGGTAATCGCCCATAAATTTGCGCATTCCGAGCAAACTGAATCTTCTTCGCTCTTTTCTGCCCGCCAAGACCTCGTGACCGTAATCGCGCTTCCTCGCATATACCAGCGACTCTTTCTGGTTCTTCCAGAATCGTTGGATCTTGGTCGCAGCTTCGTGCTTCCGTCTCACGTGGGCTCGCCAGGCACGTTGAATACGAGTAGCCATCGTGTGCCAGTATCTATCTCGTTCGCCCTCCAGGTAGAATAGCTGGCACGTCAGTAAGGCTCGAAACTCGTGCGTACCGTTTCTGGGTTCTTGATGAAAGCTTTCGTTGTTCCCATTTGCCATTCGTCCTTTGCGATCTTGGCATCTCGAAGGATCTGTTCACAACCGGATCGGTCGTCACCCTGCCAGATATAGTCTCCAGCGTAAGATGTAGCAGGGGACAATAAGTAGAACCTGGACGGTCAGATCATTCGACAGAAATCGCCCACCTCTGTATCATCTTGCTGAATTCCGCACGGTATGCAAAACCTGCTCGACGCACTCGGATATTCTCCTGTAGACCCAAATACTTGATTTGATGAAGAATGGCCTTGTCGTCGTATTCCGACGGCGATCTGTTTTGATTGGGTTTGATCGTCCGGATGTAGTGTGGTTGACATCGCATCAAGTTGGTCACTAGATCGTTGGCAGACTGTCGAATCTTGTCACCAGCAGTCGGTGGACGCTTCTTCGATGTGTGATCCACTTTCTCAGGGAATAAAGTGTGCAAAAACTTGTCCTTGCTTCCTTCGATCAGATCCAAAATGTCACGAACCAGCGTATCCTTGTTCTTGTCGGTCATTCCAGGGACGTTGTACAACACATCTCCGGCATAGTGCTTGATCAAAAACTTGTTGCCTCGTGGCTCAAAGTTTGGGTTTGCAGACAACATGTTGGCACGTTGCATGAACGCATTGTCGGCCGCTGCAGGGTCGGCATGAGCAGTCGCAGTCGCGTCGTTGAGTGTCGCAAAGATACCCGCAGGTCTTTTGCCTTCGATAAGTTCACACACCACGGCGTTGTCAAAGACTGATGAATCAGCATGAGTTGCAGGCGTCTCCCTCTCACATTTGATGGGCGTCCACTTGATCTGTTCCCGGACGTACTCTTCTTGCTCGGCCTTGAGGGTGAGTTCGATGAAGATCTGTTGAAGCTTTTCGTTGACATAGTTGATACACAGCTGCTCAAAGCTATTGTTGTCAAAGATTTCGAATCCACTGAACAAGTCAGCAAAGCCGCGACACCACTCTCACTAAATATCAAGGACGCCGATGACATAATCTGGATTTGACTGGGGTTTCATTGACACGTTGACTCGGCTGACGATCCATTCAAAGAGATTGTTGTACCTGACGTGAGCTTTATAGCAGCGTCGCACTTACAGTGCCTTGGCGAGCGCATCGCGTCCAGAAGATGCCTGAGCAACATTCTGCGGTACCTCGTAAACCGAACCTAGTTGTGAGCGAAAGCCTAAGAGGCAAGCTCACCTCTTCGTCCACCTCGTTGCGTCTCCACGATACGGTTTAAGAGGGCCTTCTGTAATGCCGCAGGGTCCGTGTCCAGGAGATAGGCCGCAAAGTCGACCACGCCAGCGTCGGAGATCTGGGCATTGCCGTCATCCCCTTCAACAAAGTCAAGGTTTCCGAGCCAGAGGATAGAGGCGATAGTTTTGAAGATGGAATTTTGTTCGTCTGCGGAGAGACCAATGACTTCCATGGCACGCTAATTTGTCAAGGGTGTCTTGACGTGGCAGACTCACAATCGTCTCCTTGAAATCGTTGGCGTCGTTTATACTGGAGACATCGAGACAGTTGCCTCTGCTCGTGTAACCATACGCCTCTGGACCTTGCAGGCCGAATGCCTCTGTGAAGGTCAGCAACGGTCAATGAGAAAGACTCACCTCGCTGAGCTGCACTTGCCGCTTTAGTGAACTGGTAGAAGATGTGAAAGTTTCGTTCATTCCGGATCTGCTGCACGACTCGACCCTACAAGAGTCAGTTGTGACCGATCAAAGCAAGCTTACTTTCTCCAACAGGTAGTTTGTGATCTGAGCTCCGACCGGCTGACCCATTCCATTGAACATGATTTCGAGATATTTACCCTGTTCGTCAGTGTTGAGCTCTTACCTCGTCCTCACATGTCGACTTGAATTATCGTTCCTCAGGGTCTTTGCACATCCGAAACTCTCCAACAATGGATTCGTGGCCAATACCATCTCTTTGATACCTTCGATTCCTCCTGCTCCCGTCTCTCCACCACTAACAGCTGCGATATACTGCATGATCCTCTTTGCAGCTTCGGTCTTGCCTGCTCCGGATTCTCCAGAGATGATAACACATTGATTCTCTTTCTCATTCGTCATCTTGTAGTAGGCCGTTTCAGCGATGGCATATACATGAGGTGGCATCTCGAGTCTGTTCTTGTTCCTGTACGAGCTGAGCGTTTCCTCGGTATATATACCGAGATCTGACCCGCTTAGCTCTGTCATCAACGGGAAGGAACTCACCTCGGAATGGGTTCACAGAGATCAAGACATGGGCAATGTAGGTCTAGAGGTGAGCCAATGAACCCTTTCATGCCGATCTCACATAGATCTCCTGGTTGAAGAATCTGTCTTTGAGATTCTTATTGATCTCCTCGTTGGTGATCGTACTGAGTAATGTCATGTCCGGTACACCAGCAGACTTCTTCTTTCTGAATCCTTCAGAGTAATCGGCCTGGAAAGTTATATTCAGCCTGCACCTGAAGACTTGGACGACGCCGCACCTTTGCGATCTTGGACGTTTTGTTACTGCTTCCTGCCGCACCTCCGCCTCCTCCTCCTCCTCCTCCACCGCCCAGCAAACCGCCCATCTTGCCTTTCATTCCTGCCTTCTTGGAGGGTGCCTGGCTAGATCAGACTCAGATTCAGCTTCCCACAGCTCACCATGGTGACTTGATGGCACTGGTCACGGAAAAGCAGTCAATGAACAGGGGATAAATAGTAAGAAGAGAGAATGCATTGAGTTGGAATACGTCACTAAACGGGGCCGCAGCGATAAGTGAGTTGTTTACGTAATTGACGGTCAGGACGTCCCATCATGCCATGCCATGCCACCGTTGTTCGACATTCATCCTCGTTGACACTTTCCAAATCCATGCCGAGACGGCGATAGGTGAGGCTTTCTGCCCCGTGAAAGACGTAAGATGGCGACTATAAGAGCGCCGAAAGTGGACAATATCCACGAAGTGAGTCCGATCCCCATCTCCAGAGGTATTCCGCTGGATAAACCTTGACTGTTTCTAGGTATGGGCGGATAATCTAGAATCAGAATTCGCAGCGATGCGGAACCTGATAGATCAATATCCTTACGTCTCAATGGTGAGCTTAAGAAAGAGAGCGCGATGATCGCTGATAGGATCACCTAGGATACCGAGTTCCCTGGAATCGTCGCGAGACCCATAGGCGATTTTAAGACGGGATCAGACTATCATTATCAGACGATGAGATGCAATGTCGACATGTTACGGATCATCCAACTGGGTATAACACTATGTGATGAGGATGGCAACTCGCCAGAGGTCTCGACATGGCAATTCAACTTTTCATTCAATCTCAGGTACGTACTTGTGATCCTTTCTTTCTTCGGGAACAGGCGCCAGGGAAACCAAAATTCAACTCAAACTGATGAATCCCATCCATCGCCAGCGACGACATGTACGCACCTGACTCTATCGAGCTGCTTAAAGCTTCTGGAATAGATTTCAAAAGGAATGAAGAGGATGGCATAGACGTGGAATACTTTGGAGAATTACTCGTGACATCCGGATTGGTCCTGTTTGATCATGTCAAATGGATCTCATTCCATTCGTGAGTGATACAAGACCCGCCCCAACATCAGATACTTTGCTCAACGGAAAAATATCAGTGGATATGACTTTGGTTACCTGCTCAAAATCCTCACCTGCGAACCTCTGCCTCCCAATGAACTGGACTTCTTTCACCTTTTGTTGATTTGGTTCCCGTGCCTGTACGATATAAAACACATTGTCCGGTCCATCAAGACTTTACGGGGAGGTCTACAGGAAATGGCAGAGTCTCTAGGGGTGGGTACATATCGCTGTCTCTTTTTTTTTTGGTGGTGTCGCGAGCCGAGATGTGTAATCGTCACTGTCACCCGTCATCCCCGCGCTTGCTAACGCTCGCGAATCGTTCTTAGGTACAACGTATAGGCCCTCAACATCAAGCTGGATCAGATTCCCTGCTCACAGCCGCAGTCTTTTTCCGGATCCGACATAACTACTTTGATGACAAGTTAGATGACGACTACTACAAGTGAGTCGACAAGTCTACCGCTGGCCATCTGTCCATTGACCAGTCGTGCCCCAGAAACTATATTTACGGTTTCTCTTCTGGTCGTCATGCGCCTGGCGGTAAAATCTCACCACCACAGGAGAGATGAAAGGTAGCAGTTACAGAGGCTAGACTCGTGGCGGATAGTAGCCAGTGTAAATTAGACACATGTAGGATCTATCAAGGGGATGTACATCATGTGCTTGGGTCAAAATGCACACATGCTCAAAAGTGTTGTAGGTAATATAGGTAATCTCGTAGATGAACCGTGACAGGCCGTGATAGTGCTCTTCAAGCACCCAGACCACCTTCTGCTCCGAACGCTCGACTCTCCCCTTCTTGCCTGTAGACCATCAGCCTGGATCCAACGCTCAAGAATGATGGTGACCTACGCCTGTTTGTATAAAACCCCCACACTCTTCAAAGCCTTGACGACAGTCGCCGCGTCTTCCGAGACGGCCCGAGCCTCTGACGCAGAGGTCAATTGTGATGATTCTTGTCACCAAAGTCAGACGTACCGTCATGCCTGCCTAGGGAGTTGAGGATAGTAGCCCCCTTGAGCAGTATATCGGCGGACCAGAACCACCCAGTAAGGATATACGGTCCACCGATACCGTTCTTTGTCCGGGTCGTTACGTGAGCGATGGAGCTGCTGTCCGCAACCTTATCATCGCGCCATGGAGAAGGCGTATCGGGGTCATCTACTTGAAGCGCTTTCGCCCAGCTCTTGACTAGTTGGGTATAGTCTCGAGCGTGTTGAATCGCAGAATCTCGATCGAAGGCGTCAGCATCGAGGGAGTGGAGCAGCATTCGAGCGGCCATGAGGCATGAGTGCTGAAAGAGCGAACGAAGCGAGTGAGCACGTGCGAGAGACAATCGAGTGGGGACAATCGAGTGGGAGGAGTGGCGAGACACGACACGTTCAGCAGCCTGTCTTGATGCACGACTCGGAGACGACTCACGCTCAACGGTGCATCAATCGCATCCCAAACCACATCACTCCCTTGCTTAATCTTGAGCTCATCCGCCATTTTCCGTTCGATAGCATAAGTAGCCTCCATGATCTCCTTGTAAGCCGCCGGGTGATCCCGACGGGCACAATATGGCGGAGGCGGAGTGGGAGATGTTTTCTGAGCGTACGCAGCGAGAGCCAATGCGGTAAAGTTGTTGATCCCCTCTGGAGATTTCTCGCACAGGATCCTGGCCCGCCAACAGAGATGCAAACTGCAGATGAGTGTACCGCTGAGAGCGTGTCAGCGATGTACCGCAACGACCTATCAAATACCCACTACATGTAGCTCGGTGGGGAGAGATCGTCCATGGTGGACAAGAGGTAGATGTCTCGAAGTCGGAATTCGGGATGATTCGTAACCGTACCCTGAAGGTCAGGCTCGTCTGGTGTGCACACTTACGTTAATGTATTCTTCTGGTGGCCGGGGAAGGGGTGTGGTGATGGTGGATTCGTCCAGGAAGTTGGGGTATTTTGTCATGCATGCCGCTCCTCGATCAGAGCAATAAACGGACCAGCTTTAAGAAACGGTCAGTCATATCCCACAGGCACACTTACAAAGAGTGGATACGTTCTGCCAGCTCCCATTGATCCTTCGGGGGCCCTAATAACGGCCATGCGGCGTTGGCTGCTGAACCGATCTGCTCGTGGCTCCGGAAGATGCCAGTCTTTATGCGGTGCAGGTTGCAAGCCAAGGCGAGCCTTGAAGATGAGCATACCCTTTTTCCGAGCGACTCACATGATGGCCTTGTTTGTCAGATAAAAACCCTCTAATGGTCGTGCCCTAGAAAACTGCCACTTGCCCAAACCCTTGGCGGCATTGATGGCATCCAGAAGTCGATCCTCCTCCGCGACCGCTTCGTCCAATTTGACCAACGCAATGAGGTATAGTGAATCTGCGAGAGCACGGACAGCTGGGATGTACGAGGAAGACGCGGCGAGCGTGTACTGAAAATTTCAGCAATGCCCGTGATGTTAAACTTACCATTGAGAATACCAGGCAAGGATGAGGTCTCAGCTTTGGCGGCAAAGCCATTTTGGCTCTGAATTGCTCTTCGCTCCATACTTCGGATCCAAAAGCCACTCGGGGCGGACAAAAGAACAGGTCGAGTCTGGCGATGAGCTTGACCTCCTTATCCCACTCACAGGTATTCGCGCGCGCTCTGCGATATGTCATCCTCCGTCAACGTTGTCCTGTGCTCAACGGCGCGGTCCAAGACCTCGTTGATGGCCTCCTTGCCTGTCTGGCTAGGGATAGCCGAGTCGAATGGCGTGATGTGGGGCTCTAAAGAAGCTTGCGGATCCAGAGCGATCGGTAGGGTATTGGTAATCTGTGTTCCCTGGGTTGGCAGGGGTAGCGACTGACGGGCATGATTATCGACTCCTTTGAGCGTTTGTGTAAGTTGGAATCCCATCGACGGGTCGAGATCGAACCCTAGTCCGAGAGATTGAGCTGGGTCCACAGGGGTCGCTGTGCCGGTGGCAGTGGGGTTGATCGGGGTCGGTTGAGCAGGCACAGGTTGACTCATGTCCATGGACCATACCGTCGACACATCGTTTGAGGAAGATAGCAATGACCAAGGCATGCCTTCCAAAGTCGGTGCGTTTGAGCCATACGGCTGATCACCGTTGGGCGGTTGAGTCGAATTACCTCCGGATCTCGAACCGGAGGGCCAGTTCCAATTGCCAAGACTGTCCATCATGTTTGCCGCTGTTCGTTCACCACTCGGTATACTTCTAGGCATTCCACCGTACGGTGACGTCCCCGCATCAGTCGATGAGGACGTGACAGAATTGGCAGGTCCGCTGAACGACGGAAATAACCTGGCATAATCACTGTAGGCCCCGAGGTTCGATGGTGCGTTCTCTGACGATGTGGCTCCATTGCTCCAGTTGAGAGACCCTGAAGCCTGTCCAGATGGAAGTGCATCCGCGGCCGAGTGTCGGCGAGAAGCAATAGCCGCTTTGAGTTCTGCTTCTTCCATTTCTGCCAATTTCTTTTCCAGCTTTTCCACACGTGAAGCCGGTCTGATCGCATCGTAGACGCAGCGATCTTTGCGTTTGGCACATTGGTCACAGACTGGTTTCGTCGCCGAACATTTCTGAGCGAGGTCAGTGGATGACAAAGACCAAACAGGCAGGAAACTTGCCAATTTCTTAGCTCTGCACATGAGACAAGCGTCGCCTCGGCGTAACGGCTGGTTTGAGGCTGAAACGTGAGCGTTTGCATCTTAGGCTTGAGCTCCCACCTTTGCCTTTTCGCTCAGGAGAAGCTTTCGAGCCCATGGTCGAGCTCGACGCGCCCCTTCCGTGGTTCGGCTTTTTAGACGGCTTGAACCCATTCTCCGATTCATGGGAATGACGGCGCCGGTCTGTGAGAGCCAGGAAGTGAGAACCAGGAAGCATGATTGAGGGCACGGGTCGGTGTGTCGACCAGAGAGGTTCAAGCAGAGGTGTACATGGGGTGTAGAAATTTGCAGGTCCAGAATTGAGCGTATCGGGTGAATGTGTGTGTGTAAGGTCGATCAGACCGGGGACGCCGGGAATATGAAATGGGATGTGGAGGTTGTGTGAATGGTTGTGCGGCAAGTCGGACATGTCGGTGAGGATTGCGGTGGCCAACACAGTGATAGAGATGTATATATGAAGTGTTGGGTGAGTCGCACAATGGGACAATGGAGTCCGATAGGTGCAAGAATGATGCGTGCAGATCATTTCGAGGAAGGAAGGGGGGGTGAGGCGTTCGGTGGAGGTGTACACAAGAATTGATCCAAGATCACAAAGGTAATATGGAGAGAATGAAAGGAGTCAGGGTGTGAAGTGATCGTCCCGAGATAAGTGATTTCCCCGTGGATGAGAGGTCGCAGAGCATCAGGGGGCATAGATGGACCATGGGAGAGGAGGCGGCGTTGGCGGCCGGGGCGGAGGTAGCAGTAGCAGCATGAGATGAAACATGGATCAAGAGTGAGCGAACGGAAATAGTCAGCGCTTGTAAGTGTCTTCGTGGTCAGAAGGGTGGGCACTCACTCATGCTCTGAGAGCTCATAGTGGGGTGGATATGGTCGTCGTCCTCGTTGTCGTCGACGTTGTGCAATGAATTGGGTACATCAATTGGATTTGCCTGCCCGCTGTCGGTGAACCCGGTGACCGGATATATTTACCTATTACTGCCGAAATCGGTTAGTGGCAGTTTTGTGCAGAAGAATTGGACAATGATGATCGATGGGCATCCGGGCATTTTGAGAGAGAGGCAGGCAGGCAGGCAGCGGAGGTGCGGGTGCGGGTCCTGGCTGGACCAAGGTACTATCTCCACATTTGCATACTACCAGGACATGTGAGCATTGAAAGGTGCGGGTGGTCGATACGTTGCACGTAATGTCAAGCGAACACCTGGGCTTCGGCCCAAATCATATATATCCCCGAATAGCCCCGGGAGACGGAGCCCTCGCCGCAGTCTCTCGGTGAAAGGTTGTTGAGATTTACTTTGGGGAGATCTGACGTGTGGTAGAAGCAGCATCTGAATAGGATACTCGAGCCTCGATCGGTTCTGCACCATTTGCCAGCACGTTGTACCGTACCCATCCTGATGCAAGGTAGATCCTATCATACAACCCTAGTTCTTTGACCTATCCTCTTCAACCTATCCCTTTCCTGCTGAACATGATCCTTCCACCGTTGCTCCATCTCCCTGAGATCCCTCGTCCCATCAACAGCCTCTCGCCAATCCATGACTTTCTTGGCCTTTTCAATTTTACTCGACGATCTAGATAAGGATCGACTTTGCCTCCTCGCCGTAGCGGCGGATTCCGTCATCGCTCCACCAAGGGTGTATCTCTCCGATCCTTCACCTTGACCTTCCGCTTCCTCGCTCGGTTCTTCAGGTAGTACTACACTCATCGCAGCCACTGCAGCCTTCTCGCGTTCCTCCTCTTCCCTTTGAATCAACTCTTCCAAGACTTTCCGGATAGGCGGATCAGCAGACGATACGGGCGCTCCGTACATTGTCGCTTTTCTCGACCCTGAGCCAGGCGTGGATCGTGTCTCCATCGATGATGGGTCCGGTGAGAAAAGTCTACGCGTCCGAGGTAAGATGGCCGAACGAGACCACCATTTGGGTCGAGAGTCCGCGTCTAAAGGTAAAGGTGGTAGAGGCGGGCGTTCAGTGTAGGAGAGAGCCGGGCTAGTAGACACTTTGGGGCTGCGAAGGGACCTCGCCTCGTTCTCATTTTTGGGATCAGATTCGTCCGCGAATATCGTTCTGTCCTGCCTCGCAGCGACAGTACGCCGAGGGCTGGCGTAAGAGACCTCCAACGACCCTGTAACAATTTGATCTGGGCCTGCTGGACTCGATTTCATCGTGATACTGTCTTTCGCGCGGTGAAGACTGATCATTGATCGAGCGTGATGTAACGGCGCAGACAAGGATGGTAGTTCTGGTGTGCCGACCATCGATCTGAGTATTTTCCGCTTGGGTTTCATAGGTGAAGGAGACCATTTGGAGATCTCGGGTGGCGGCGATTCCACAGGAGTAGCTACACGAGCGATGATTGGCTGTCGCGGTGATTCGTACGTGGAGTATCTACGGTCAGCTGAGTCCTCGCAGCGTCCACACTCACATGCTATTGACCGACGTGTCTCCACCCAACTCGCCTAGCGGCCGGCCTGCGTTGTTGCTGATAGGCGCAGAATCAAGCAGAGCAGTAGGTATTGACATTCTGCTTGAACCGTTGATTGCCGAGGCAGAAGGACTGACCAGTCGCTTTGTCTTTATTGAATGAGATAGCGCCTCGCTGAGTATCCGTTCACGTCGTTTTTGATCTCGATGAGCATCTTGGCCTTCTGGCGATTGCTCCAATGGCGGAGAGATGACTTGACCCCTGAATGTCACTTCGTCGGCTACGGGAGATGTCGCATTTGGTTCTTCGCGGTGACGTTTGAACATGCTTCTGAAGGATGCCGAAGCGGAGAGAAATGACATGGACTTGTTGGTTCTTGACAATCGTCTCGTGGATTGATCTCTTGACCCTTGGGTCACTGGTCGTGCCAGAGGCTCAATGGCACCTGGAGGCGAGCAGAGGGAGAACCCTGCAGCCTGTCGTTGCCATTTAGGCGTCGTGTCGTCTACTCCGCCTTCCTTTGGCGTAGGGGGACCACGCGAAGGCGAACGAGCGGGTCGAGGCGGAGCTTCTTGTCCGAGGTACTGCGCTCGCAGTACGCCAGGACCTAGTGATCTGGTCATGCGCAAAGATTGGGGATGCTGAGGTAAGAAGAATTCGGCAGGTGCAGGAGGCTTTGCACCCAGCTGAATACTGACGTTATCCATCGAACCAGATACGCGTTTCGAAGCGTTTCCCCATCGCTCCTTGTCTTGTCCAGTGAGGTCCACAGCTTCTTCCAAGAGACTCTGTGGGAGACTGATCGGCGTAGTGACGGGACTCAGACCTAGACCGATCGTCGACGGAGCGAGCAAGGATGTGGAGCTTGCGAATGCTGGGTGAAGTGGTCTCCCTCGGTATTTTTCCGACTTTGTGCTATCGCGCCGGATGATGGGGTGAGGTGACTCGGACGGCGAGACAGATGGATCGGCGCTGACGGGCAGTGAAGTGAACCCCGAGGAAGGCGTGGTCGTATCGGGATAAATTGAGCCTTGTGGACTGTCGCTAGAGCTGGTCCCTACTAAGAGACTAGCTTCGAGCAGGAATCGTCCGCCCAGGTCCACGTTGAGTTCACCAAGGAACATGCCTTGGATCATGTCAGTCGATCGTCTATCAGGGACAGTGCTGGCTTCTGGAAGTGGAGATGGGGATGAGATTCCCATTTGTCTGACAGATTTTGAGGAGAGAGATTGTGATCTGGTCCTGTTTGCTTTTGGAGACGAGTCACTCCGTTTGAGGGACTGACTCCGGCGTAGGGAGAGCGACAATCGACGCCGAAGATCACGACCTCGAGCGGATGATTCAGCTGGTATCTCCGCGGTGAGTTTCTCCATGGTCCGAGTTCGCTCCGCTTCGGCCATCGAGAGCCTTCTTTCCATATCCGCGTGAATGAGTTTTTTCGTCTCAGATGCAGCGACGCTTATTCCAGAGTCGCCCCGAGTCATGGGCACAGATGTTAAGTGAGCAGTTTGCGCTCGTTTGGTCGGAGCGAGACTTGATCGGCGTGATGAAGCTGAAGACGATTGAGCAGGCGGGATGGATCCCGCTGTCGAGTAGTCGAGATGAGAGAATGATGGTGAGGACGGAATGTTGAACTGAATGGGGTCGCCAAAGTCTGGAGCGGGAATGATAGGAGATGTGGGCGATGTACAATAAGGACTGCGATGCGAAGAGAGCGATTGAGAACGTTTTCGACGGTTCTGAGACCCCATCGATTCATCGTGATGGAGAGCGTACTTTCCCTCAACATTCTCCCTCTCCATCAATGCAGGGAGTCGCGTGGTCCCCTGCCGAGCATCTGCAAGACTCTGTTGACGTCGGAGACTCTTCATACTGCCCACAGTCTTGAATCGGCCCGCGGGCGTCTCACACCCAGGACCCGAAGTCACCTCAGAGTTGCCCTTGGCAGGCAAGCTAACGTTACGTCTGGTAACGATTGGTAGCCTCAGCGGTTCATTGCCGATCGACGGAACGCGTTTAGCTGGTCCGAGGACAGTCGCTGGAAAGCCTTTGCCCAGATCCTTGACGGTGTTGACCTTGTCGAGAGTGAATCGTTTTCCCACCCCACCGCGAGATTTCAGCGTCTTTGTATAATCCAACGAGTCCTTTGGAGCGTGTCGTGGACCGGCTGGGGATTTGGCAGACGGTGCCGATTTGGCTTGTGATTTATCGCCTTCGTAGACCGGTTCGTAGTTGTATTGATAAGACGTTGCGGATACTCTGTTGAGTCGCTTTCGAGCGATCGTGACGTCGGATTCAGTCGATGTTGAGGTCTGCGTTGTGACCCTCGTGCCGAGGTGAGAAGACGTTTCGGACGACGGGAACAGGTAATGGATGGTCGAAGTAGATGGCGAGGCCAGGATGATTCTAGGCGTTGATTCCGATTCGAGCAATGTCTGCTTCTTGGAAACACCTGTCCTTCGCTTACGGGTAGGGTTTGCTACAGTCTGGGTCTGAGGTTGCAAGGGGAGGACAGGGTTAGATCCGAAGGGGTCGACTTGAGATGGACTACTGGGAGCCTCAGCGACGACCGGTGTAGTCTCCGTATCGGATTCTCCAAACGTCGAGTATGATCGTCGGAAGAGCGTTGAAGAACGATGTGAGAGCGGCATGATGGGCCAACGTGAGGGCTCTAAAGGGAGGGAGTTTGGGTGGATGTCCCTGCGCGAAGGTCAATCAAATGATCATGCACTGACAGGTTGGAGGGTCAGACTCACCAGTATCACACTACAGTTCCTGTCGGTGAAAGCGATTTCACTGTTTGGTCCACCTTTCTACAAGTCAGACACTGGGACCCATGATTTCAGTTGAGACCTCCGTTTGACCAGCCAGCCACGATTATCAGCAAGGTCAGGTCTTGTCTCGTATAAAAGGGCTCCCCCCCCCCCCCCCCCTCCATCCGCAGCGGCAACACTCATTCGGGTCTACACGGTGCATAACATGTCATCCATGGTACCTACGGAGACCAATGGCTCATTGAAGCGAAGAGTGACAATGCGAGGTGTCTGCGGAGAGCCATGTCCCATGAATGCGCAGGGACGATTGGGTATAGATAGCCAAGGGACAAATGAGATCAGAGACAAACGCGTGGCGGGACGCGAATATTTGATCGGCCTGGCCTGCTACTTCGCGACTGATGAAGGGGTCCTCATGGCGATACTTCAGCTTCATTCCTCGGTGCAAGTCGTTCGTCCTGAACAGAGCACGAGAGCCAAGATCTCTCACAAGCATAGATCTCGCCAGGTATTTTCATTATGGTTACTCGGTTCATCTGGCAAGGGACTCCACTAGTTCTCGATGAGTTTCCGCTCATTTTTACCAATTGCTCGGTCCCGCCAGAAATCGTCACGCCGTGACACACTTTTCATAGTTAGCAAGCACAACTTACCATGATCCAGACAGACAGATCTCCCACCACACAGTGTGCATACGTCTCTCGGTCTGACTCCACTAGGATGGAATCATCATCCGACGGATTCATCAAATAACCCTCTTAAGCTTGCCTTCCCACGCTCCTTCTTCTTGACCCTCACCGTCGGAGCCGTAGCTGCATTAACAGCGGCGGATCGATCGGCAATTTGAGCATAATCCATCATGGCTGGGGAGGACGACGACGAAGGCGAATCTTCTTGATGACTGAGGTCTCCAGTAATGGCCTCGGCGGAATCTAGTTGAATGACTCGTCTAGGTCTTCGCTTCTTATCCCGAGCACTGCCCGAATGGATCATCGGAGATTGAGACCGAGACGGTCCGGCATTGGCAGGCTCGGCTGAGACTGTGCTTTCCAACGGACGAGACCTCGGAACTTGTCCCCGACTCTGAAGCAAGGTCTCTATTCGGTTCGACTCGTTCCATGTCCATGGTCTGTCGTCAAAGACCACCTTTCTCCCCTCCCGCGCGAATGCGGCGCCTAGCTCGACACGCCACGTCTCTGCCGTGAATGGATTCGAATCGCACCATACTTCCTTGAGGTGCGGCAATTCGCTTAATCGACCGACCTCATCCCACGCCTCGATATTATTCCACCGCGAGTCTATACGCTCGAGACCCAAGACCCGTTCGAGACCGACGAGGCAATCGATCCGATTGTGCGAGAGGTTGAGGGAGGTAATGTTGCCAAGGACATGAGGGGCGTTCCGCACTGATGTGATGAGATTGTTGGAGAGGTTGAGCGATTGTAGGGATGATAATGTAGAGAGTGAAGAGGGAAGAGCATTGAGGAGGTTATGTGATAGGTCTAAAGCTACAAGATGTCTCAGAGGTACGGTCGGAAAGCTGAGGAGAGTGGTCGAATGGAGGGACAAGTGTCGCAAATTGGGGAACCTAGATGGGTACATGTCGGGAAAGGCCGGAGAGTCGGGTTCAGGATTAGGTGTGAGTTCTGGTGGCGTGGGTTCAGGCAAGACCAAGAGGAGTTCTTCCAGCCATTCGTCGGCATCTTGCACGTCTCGGACTGTCAGACTTTTGAGAGCGGGATTTGGAGGGATGAGCAGTCCCCGAGGATCGTATGCTTCCAGCTCGAGTCTTGAATTCAGCAGAGTCTCGGCGGGTTGCTCACATTTGAAGGTTTCTGAGAACGTCAAGGGGAACACGAACATCGATGCCTCCAAGTTGAGTGTATCCTCCAGCGTCGATCAATTCCGCTATCGGAGGGTCGGACAAGAATGGCGGGTGAATGAGAAGAGCCGGGAGGACAGTGAAGACGGTATACAGCGCCAGGAGGATCTTATCTGACCTTTGTCAGCCACAAAAGAATCGATCGGGTCATCTTACTTTCATCCACTTCTTCTTCCCTCCGCCACCAGCTCGTACTGGCCATAGACACACTTCTCATGCTCCCCACCCAGCTCCTGACACTTCTCACATCCCCTTCATTCCTCTTCTCCCTCGCATCGACTTTAGCACCTCTAGCAGCGACAGGAACACCCGGGGCGATCGGTTCGTCTGTCCTGCCCACATGCGGTAAAGGTTCGCGACAGCTCTGCCATCGTAATAAAAGGTACAAGAGGCGATCGGGAGGCAATCTCAAGAGAAAAGGTTTGGCAGGTTGTAATCGGGGTGCAGTTTGAGACGTTCCAAAACCCAATGTTAGCGGGACTTTGAGATGCTTACTGAGAGGTGCGGATGATGGGTCGAGTCCCAAAGTGAGCAAGGTGTAAGATTGCTGAAGCCATGACGGTGTCTCTGAGAAGGCTTGTTTTCCAGGAACAGGAGGGGCTAGTCGAGAAAGGTTCAACGAGAGGTATTTGTGTAAAGTCACGAGGTAGGCTGTACCGGAGATGGTGGGTTCTTCGGTCGAGCGGAAGAGATTCATGTCGCGAGTGAGCAAAGTGAGCAAGCGCAAGGAGAGAGCCGATGCAGCGCGGTAGGATCCACAATATCTCCTCTTGTGATCCCTGATGTCGCGAGACGACTGTGTATCATGCCCCGAGACAGCTGTTGAGCGTCAATGATCCTCGACTCGAGAGACTGTCTCTTGTTCCGGTTTTGTGACAGCTGAATGATCAGCGATGAGTGTAAACAGTGGCAAATAGAGGGAGAGATATTTGATTCCGCGTGTAGCTTTCCCACGGTGAACTTGAAACACCGTTCAGGGGCGAGGGTGAATTTAAACCTCATTGTCAGCTGAAATGTTTCATCGAACAACAACGATTTTGGGGGAGATCGTCTCAAACGAATCTTCATCGCATTGCAATAATGTATCGTGGGAGCTTATTGACCTTGGAGTATATACTGATACACTACTACTGATGAAATGATGTTCTTCTCCAACCTTACTTCAACATGGTCGCCGCGTTCTTGTTGCTCGCTCTGCCTGGTAGGCTGACCACGCTATGGCTCACGCTGATCTACAGCTCTCTCTGCCCGTGTCTGCTCACCCGAAACATGCTTCGATGGAGAACCGGCTTCTTCCAGTGAGTCGTTGCTGTGTCTAATGGGAACTCCTCTGAGCTTTAGTCCTGGCGATGGATTCGGGCGAAGAGGTGTATCTCACGCCAGGGTCTTACTCCGATTCGAACCTCAACATCTCAACATATGACATCGTGACGGTCTCAGGAGAACGTCCGAGATCATCAGTTGTGCCACCACCCTCAACGCCCTTCTTCTTCAGCTCAGCGGACTATGCAGGATCGGTCTCCCAACTCCACCATTGGGAAAGCGCGTTCTTTCCAGATGGTTGGTACGGTCTCGTCAGACCTGGCGTCGCAATCTGGGGAAGCGTACCAAAAGTCAGGGATCTGCCAATCACAGTGGATCAATTGGCGCTGGTTGGATCTAGTGAGTCCGACCACTCAGCGCTTGCCTGACGACAGCCGCTTGTGCGACTCCTTGTGGACCAGGTGGAGCATGTACGCCAAATGCCAATAATACCGCTGGAACGTGTGTCTGTCTACCTGGTTGGACTGGAGAACTATGCGATACATGTATGAAAGGATTCTTTGGTCCGACATGTCAATGTGAGTCAGTCAATATGAGCATCTGCTCACCCGTCAGCTTGTGAGGCCAATTGCACGGTCTGCGATGATGGGCAAGGAGGCACAGGTGCATGCCTCGGAGCAGACAAGAGTCCGACAGGTGAGCGAGAGCGATACACCTGGCTTATATGCAGCGTGCAACTGTGCCCACGGTTCGTGTACGCCGTCTGGAGGATGTGATTGTGCCGCTGGATGGACGTCGACCGTTACGAGCAGTACCTCGACCAGATGTTCGACCTGCTCCGATGGCTTCTTCCAGAATGGCGACGACTGTCAAGGTGAGAGAGCAAAAGTCGCACACTGCTGACTCCTAGCGTGCCCACTTGGATGTACTTCGTGCGAGCTTCGACCCGGTTCCGTCACGCCGACCTGTACATCCTGCAGGCAATCCCTTTCCTTGACATCCTCTGATCCACCCACTTGCGCACCAGCGGCGGATTGCGGAGATGGGCTATACTGGGATGCATCAAGTTCCTCCTGCCAAAGGTGAGTTAAGATCTCTCAAGTCGCATCTAACAACGCAGCTGTTCGCCTGCTTGTATATCATGTAATGGACCCGAAACGACGGATTGTCTCGCCTGCGCTCCCCCTCGAATCGCTCTTCAAGGATCATGTGTAGGATACGACGTGACCACTGGGGTCTGCGAATCGAGTCTCAGCGGACTGACAGGGGTGTTCGTGGCCAATAATGCAGATTCTCAGTGCGATGGTGAGTCAATCCAAAACCATCTCGCTGACCGCAGCGTGCCCGGCCGGCTGCAAAACATGTACAATTCCTTCATTCTCCTCCATCGCCTCGTATGACACGCACATTTGTCAAACTTGTCATGATGGATACCTCATGCAAGGTAGGAAATGCGTCGAGACATGTAGCGATGGGTTCTACGCAGTCAACGGTACCACATGTCTACGTGAGTCGCAGCCGTCCGGAGCTCGGCTCACCTCAGCGTGTGATGCGACTTGTACGACATGCGTCGGGACCGCTACAACATGTACACGATGCCAATCTGGTCTCGCCTCAAACGGTCAATGTGTCGACGCGTGTCCCGCCAACGCGTTGCCGTCCAACGGAACGTGTCTGCCCTGTGCCACAGACTGTGCCAGCTGTTCTTCACCTCTCTCATCGACATCTTGCACCGCATGTCCCAGTACTCGGCCCATCTTGTCAAATGGTCGATGTCTCACGTTCTGCCCTATGACTTCCTACTTCGACCCTGCCACCGCCTCTTGCAAACCATGTGACGCGGGCTGTGCATCGTGCACGGGACCAAGCACCTCGGAATGTACATCATGTCGTGGAGGTCAATTCTTATCTGCGGGATCATGTTCCGCTGCCTCGTGCGGGAAAGGCGGCATCGCCCCTGACCTCGGTCTCTGCCTCGCGGCTCTCGTCATTCAAGGCGGTGACCGAAAGCTTGCATTCATCGCTATTCCTATCCTCTTCATCATCGCTTTATCACTCTGGTGGTGCGTCAGGAGACAACGGAAGAAGCGCCAACATGAAAGTGCTGCGTTTGCCTTGCGATTTCGAGGTCAACAGTTGATGGATCGATTGAAAGCCATCAAAGCCAATACGATTCTAGGCATGAATCGTGTCAGACCGGAAGAACGGGAGGAATTCGACATGGTCACGGCAAAGACCAAGAAACCAGGCACATGGGACAGTTATATGGACCTCGATCACGCCGACAGAAAAGGGCGAGATATCTTGCCACGAAACAAGGGCAAAAGCAAAGCACCCGATGTCGAAAGTGTCTCTCATGGGTTTGCCCCTCCACCGCCTTATTACCCCGGATCAGCTGGTCCTCCCATCGTGGGATTAGGCGATTCCAAGACGAAGATTGTATCTATGGGATCGCCGACGTCTCCAGATTATCAGCCTCGAACGTTGAGACCTCCACCCAGACCTCATCGGGCACTTGCGAGTGATCAGTCAATCAGAACGTTGCATCGGGTTGGCCAGGATTCCCATGGAGGTTTTGATCAAGCTTTCGATGAAGAGGAGATGAGAATGGGCGTGAGGAAGAGTCTCCCAGATGTGCCTTATTCACCAGTGTTTGGGGCGATCAACGGCGAGAGGGCGCCTCATGGGTGGATATGAGGGAAAGGGATTGAAATAGCATTAAAGAGCTTGTACAGAATGAAAGCTATGATCTTGCGGGATGACCAAACCTCGGGTAGAGTGGGTTCGTCGGCGAGATGCCGACATCACTTGACAGAGAGCAGTCCCTCTTTCGTCCTTGACAAGTCCGACGGACTGGCCTGTCACAGCCACTTGTCGACTGGGAGAAGAAGCCAGGTGATGGTGAGATTTCAGCGACGCTGACATGGTGATGGACCAGTATACATGCGATGCGATGCATGCATGCCTATTCCCGGGTGTCACCGCTACTCCTTTTCACTTGGTCTCTCCCAACCATAATCCCACCCCTTTCCTTTACTATCGACTGGGACCCAAGCTTCTCTCGGTATCAATCCGTCCAGACGAGCCTCTTTCCACCTAGCTTCCAGAGGGATCTTTTTACCCTGTAATCGAGGCGCAGCGAACGAGTCCGGTTTGACCATCGCTGCGTTGTACAATCGTCGAGGGTAAATGGCCACACCTGTCAACTGTTTCTCTTTGAGATAGTTCTTTGGATCGTTTGATGCGTCCGATACTGGTATTTCGGGTCCTCCAGTGATAATATCGAGCTCGTCACATGCTTCTTCCATAGCTCTGAATTGAGCTTCCAGGCTGTCTCTCCGTTTGGCCATTTCTATCCTTCGATGCAATTTCCACGCCCGATCAATCGTCTCGTACATTTCGGGCGAACCAATAACAGCCCGGACTTTCTCTTCGACATTGGGATAATGAGCGCCAACAGGGGAAACGGATTTTCGATCAAACGAATTGTCCGGATACAAGGATGCTCTCATGGCGTCAATTTTCTGGACAAATGGGTCAGCCGAGCTTCATTCAATCTTGTGGTTCCAGAACTCACCAAGTCTGAAGGCGCAGGTGCGAATCGAGGATCGACATAAGTTGACACTTTTTTAGGTGCAACACGAGCAGCCTTCAGCTTTTCAGCTTTGGTCACGTAGTTGCGCAAAGGTGCGCATGAGGATGACAGAGTATGTCGCGAGGACGATGCCACGCAGTTCAGTGAGATGACCGACATGTTGATTGGGGCTGAAGATGTACAATGTCGAATAGAACCCATGCATTGGATGGTAGGTATGGTTCGGAAATCTGTGAATCGGCGTTATCCGGAGATATCTCTCAATGTGGCGGAATCGCTCGCCGCCGGCTAATCCCTCCGCCCCTTTCCCCCCACGCGACGTCATACATACAGACATCAACGTGCATGATAATCATCTTCCGCCTGTTGACATTATACCAATAACGATATCCAATCTAAACCAAATACAACCATGTCTTTCGCAGGTCTCAACACAGCTCACAACTTCTCCTTCTACGCCATCCCCGCGGCGTTCGGTATCTCGTGAGTTTTGGGTTCCCTAAGCTCTCTCTCTGTCTTACAGCGCTGACACTTGCAGCCTTGCTCCTCATCTGTATGCCATCGCGCTCTACAACAAGGAGCGAGCAGCGGGCACTGATGCATGGGATTGGAACGTGGGTCATTGACCATCACCACAAGAGGCTGACATCCGTGTAAGAACCCCAAGAAGAACCTCGCCGGGGTGAAAGAGGCTAAACTCTCTCCTCAAATGGCCGATCGATACGCTCGTGCCGAAGCCGCGAATGAAAATGGATTCTCAAGCTTGCCATTGTTTGCAGCTGCCGTCGTGAGTTACGGAAACAAACAGCTCAGTCAGGGTGTCAGCCATTGACAACGACACCCAGATCGCCGGAAACGTTGCCCGGATTGAACCTAAAGCACTCAACTCGGCCGTGACTGTTTACCTCGCCTCCCGAATCGCATTCAACTTGATCTATATCAACGGAACCAGCGGTAAGCGCGATGTCCAAGCGTTCAGCTGATATCTAGCCCTCCTCGGATACGCTCGAACCATCTCTTGGTGGGTCAGTGCTGGATCCTGCTTGAGTCTCTTCATCCAAGCTGGAAACAAGTTTTACGGCAACTATGCAGCATTCTAAGCCAGTCAGCGATCTGTAAAGATTGCTGGGGAAGCAAATGAGGGATGCATCAATGCGTATGTCTGTGAATCCAATCGTTGTGCGAATAGCACACGGTGCGTCGAGCACGTCGTCAATTGTCGCGTCCATGGCGCACCGAAGGGTTACTTCCCGCGCTCATGGATAGTTGGTGCCGCATTTGACCCAAGAAGTACACTATGATCGTCAAGCTGGGAGAGCAGTGTTACGAGGTGTCAAGCCGATGTCGACAATGGATCCATGCCTAGAAAGCCGACTACCCCCATTTTCTGCTCGCTGCCCAACCTATCCCGATGAGAGCGACGATGATCATGAGGATGAAGCTGATCACTGGGACTGTCAGAAGGGATTCAAGTGTCCCACTCACATCCACTGAGAAGACTTTTCCGCCTCGATTTGGAAGACATGGCAGCTTTGAGCCGTATGATCTCACTGGAAAGGTATATTTCCTGACCTTTCAGGAAAAGCCATATCGAAGCTACTCACCACCTCCTCTGCCCATTTCTCTATTCTTGCAAGACCATCCGAATCATCTCCAGCTGCCCCCGCTCCTGCCACGCGGGTGATCTTGGTGCCCAGTCCATTTTCCTCCTCCTCCTCGAAAAAGCTCCGCCATGGGGTCGTCCGCGCTCGCATGGTTTCCACATCTCGTTCTCGAGCCGCTACGAGATCTCCTAGCTTCTTCTTGATCGGTTCCCGCACGGTGTCTACAGCAGACTGTATGCTTGTCGCAGTGTTCTGATCATAAGTGACGAACATGTAATGGAGCGCGCTCACCTCTGCCTGGACATCGACTTCATTCAAACGTGTCAAAACGTGAGGTAACTCGTTGTACAGCCGATGTTCGATAGAGGACTTGAATGTCAGGACCGCTTCGCGTGAGACTCACCTTTGTCGCTCTGATCTTCCGCTCGTGCTCATCGCATGCCGCCATGAGCCGGTCAATCTCATCCTGTAGTGGGCTAGTAAGGGTCAGGGACGGTCAGACGCGGAGCACCTCACTGGACACCCGGTTTTGAATCCCGCGAGCGAGGTTGTATCGGTGGATGAGACTTGCGTATGGGAGTCTCTGGCGTCCCTGGCAGTGTTGCCGGAGCTGTCGATGAGCGTTTTGGCGTCAAGACTGGTCTCGCGAGCATTGGGTGGTTATGGGGATGGGATGAGTGGATGAATTCGGAAGTGATAGCCGAAGCATTTCGACCCGATTATGTCATTTACAAAGTCTTGCAAACGTATCCCCCTGCGGCCGGGTATCAATTGTAACATCGTCGTCGTCGTAGAGCAGGGTCGGGTCAACAGCGACAGCGACAGATCGAGCAGCTAGACACTTGCCAACGCGTTTGATTTGTCGTGCACTGCCTCGCCGCCATGTCCGACCGCTTCAATGACCCCTCAAAGGAGCTGGAAGACTGCCAAGGCCACATTGTCCGAGGTATTCAGGACCATGCGCTGATCGGAAATCTCAAGACAGCCGCCGTCGTCTCTCTGGATGGAAGCATCGAGTCGATGTGTATCCCCTACTTTGACTCCCCATCGGTGTTTGCTCGTATCGTCGATTGTGACAAGGGAGGACACTTTTCGATCAACCCGACTTGGAAGTACAAACCGAAACAGGCTTATGCACCGAATAGCAATATCCTAGTGACAAAGTTTCTCAGTGATGAAGGGGTGGGCCAGTTGACCGATCTACTGGTACCTAAAGGCGCCACACATTCTGGCTCTCAGCGTCGAGCTCCACTACCTTGGCTCATTCGAAAGGTCGAATCGATCCGGGGCAAGGTACCGTTCAGGCTGAATTGCTCGCCCGCATTCAACTATTGCAGGGACAAGCATACTGCGGAGGTGAGGACGTGCCCGAGGAGCTAAACTGATGATAGCTCGTGAAAGATGATTCGATGGTGCCTGGATGTACGCATGAGCACAAGGTCCTGTTCAAATCGAAAGATCTCGAGCTCGACCTGAGATACTTGACCTACACCTCGGATGACAGCGTCAAGCCGCCTCAAGTCGAGCTGGAGATCGCCGATAACACTGAGCGTGGACTGCTCGGGCCCAGTTGTATGGCAACCTTTGAGTTGGAGGAAGGCCAATGCGTCGTCTTCGTCCTCCGCCAAGTCGACGAATGGAAGTATCAGACGGATCTCCAGGAGGAGATTGCCAACCCAGACTCAGAACGCATCAAAGACGTTGGCATTGATAGGCAGGCCATCATGGAAGCGGCGAGCAGTTTGAGACCGCCAGAGAACCCCCTCATGACGATTGTGAGTGATCTTATGATGTCGCGCTGACCCTCAGCGCCTGTTGGAAAGCCTGATATCCGATACCCAAGTCTATTGGCAGAAATGGATCTCTAAATGTCGGTATCGTGGCAAGTGGAGAGAGGCGGTCCAGCGATCTGCTCTGGTTCTCAAGATGCTTGTCTTTGAAGAAACAGGAGCGATCATCGCGGCGCCGACTTTTGCCTTGCCAGAACATGTAGGAGGATCGAGAAATTGGGACTATCGATTCTCCTGGGTCAGAGATACGAGTTTCTCCCTGTATGCGTTGATCCGTCTCGGTTTCACGGAAGAAGCCAACGCATACGTTGATTTCATCTTGTCGCGACTCAAGGATCGCAACTCGGATGGATCGCTGCAGATCGTGTATACCATTCACGGTGGAAGAGTGGGTGACTCATCTTACCTTGCTGACAAGTCAGGACCTCGAGGAAATTGAATTGGACCACTTGCAAGGTCACAAGGGTTCAAAACCGGTGCGAATCGGGAATGGAGCAGCGGATCATCTCCAATTGGACATCTATGGAGAGCTGTTGGACTGCATCTATCTCGCTCAAAAGTATTCAAAGCCGTTAGCTTGGGAATCTTGGGTGGCGGTTCGACAAGGTGAGCGGGAGAGATGAGTCCCGCTGACGAAAAGTCATCGACTATGTGTAGGTCACATTGGCGTTCGTTCTGACTTGGTAGGTGCACGCAGGTCGATTCGCAAGATCTGTCCATCTGGGAAGTCCGAGGCAAGAAGAAAAATTTCTTATACAGCAAGATCATGATGTGGGTGGCGATCGATCGAGGTGAGTCGCAGTGTGTGGCGGGACTGACGTCGAGGTATTCGTTTGGCCGACAAACGATGCCTTCCTTGTCCAAACCGTCAGCACTGGCGAGAGGTGCGAGATAAGCTGTACGAGGATATTCAAACGAAAGGATGGAAGTGAGTAGGGGGTTTGTGACTCAGCGCCTGACGATAGTGCCGAGAAAGGTCATTTTGGACAATCTTACGAGGATTTGGATGCGCTCGACTCGGCAGTTTGTACGTTGATACGAAGGAGGGCTTTGCTGATCGCAGTGATTATGCCACTGGTCTTTTTCATCTCTGCAGCTGATCCACGATTCACCTCGACCTTGGAGACCATTCTCAAAACGTGAGGCGTGTCTCAGTGGTTGTGCTCACGTTCAGACCCGAGAAGGGCGGGCTCACAGCCAATATGATGGTCTATCGATACAACACCGAGACGTCAGACGACGGTGTAGGTGGAGAAGAAGGTGCTTTCTCCCTATGTACTCTTTGGGCCGTCGAGGCTCTCACCCGAGCAGGAGCGTACAATCCATCGTACCTGACCACAGCGTGAGTCCACCAAGGGATACAGCGCTGACTGGACCCCCCAAGCGTGAACATGTTCGAGAGCTTCCTCGGCTATGGCAATCACGTGGCATTGTACAGCGAAGAGATCTCCAGAGGTGGGGAGGGCTTGGGGAATACGCCGCAGGGGTTCTCTCATGTTACATTGATTTCCGCAGCGTTTAATCTGGATAGGGCATTGATGGGGAACAATGCTTAGTACATGTACATTATAGTGGCGCGTCTTGGAGGTATCTCACCCAATCCGAAATGCCACAGTATTATCGTCGCAGAGATCCGGATGCCCTCGTAGTATTGCAATGCACACGAGATGACGACAATGAGAGCTGTAGGTATGTCTGTATGTATACGTGCCCACGCTTTTTGAATCCTCGCGCAGTTGTCCACTCCTCTGCATCTTTGAAGGTCTCGGTCCCAAGGATGTGCTTGCCCATAAACCTGTCCAGGGTGTCGAGTGAGTCCACGGTGTGGACAAGCGCTACTCCCACCTCTGCCTCCGTCGTGATGCTCTACACCCGTCCCGTGGCAATCCAACCTTTCCCGACGTTTTTATTTACATCTACATCGGGATGTTGGCCCACTTCGGAGAGCGAACGGAGGAGGAAGGATACCGCACTATCCTCACCAATCAAGACCGACGCTTGATCAGATGAGCGCAGGATGCCGTGCACATCATCATCATCATTCTAGACCACTGTCACATGGGCCTCCCGGAACACCCCGCCGGGGTTCCGTATCCTCACTCTTCCGTCGAGCTTGAGCCAGGCACTCAAGGCAATCTGACCCAGAGCGAAGCCACCTCCCCGAGTCATTGAATAGTTGCCTGTTGTTGTCCAGCCTATCACCGTGGCGTCGTCGAGTGGCAAGATTTCAGCCATTGACCCCGGGGATCCGCGTTCAGGCATTTCAAGTTTGACGTTGATCACTGCGCTTGCCAGGTGGATCTCTCGCGATGACATACCTCTCGCTTGTCGAAAAGCTGCCAAGACTTTGACATCGCCGGTGTGTTCCTTAAGCTCACTGGGCCAGACCCAGAGCGTCGGACCATTGATCGCGTCCTCCTCTGACAGTTGGAAGACAGATGCCCAGTTGGGCTGCCACAGCTCTCGGTGGACTCGCTTGCCCGGCGGCTTTCGACTCCATCTTTCGCGATCCTCAACAGCTTTAGCATCCTCCCAGATCTTGCCTGCTCGACAAGTCGCCCCATAGTGTTCTGGAAAGCTCGGTACGGCAAGCTCTCGCATATGCGCCCGGCGTTCTTGCAGCGCGCCAATGAGTGTACCGATGTGCGCGATGGAATGGAGTAGGGGCATGCTCCATGCCGGAGGGAAGAGGAGGAGATACCGGTCGGTCAAGCCGATGATGAGAATGGAGATAACATCGTCGCGGCTTGTGGGGCGGAGTCTCTGGCCCGGATTGGATTGCTGAGGCTCAGCTACGCCAATGGGTCAGACTCACAACTCTGCGTCGTTGGTCGAGATCAGACTTTTTGTATCTTGGAGTGCAGAGGCGATTCGAACGCTCCCAGAGGCCAGTCACACTACGGTGGGCTTGATAGGCATTCCGCACGACCCCATCATCAGACACCCTTGTATCCTTATCGTTGACCGTTCGAGGTGGAAAACTGGGTTCAGCTGAGTCCAGTGCTCAATCATACCTAAGCCTCGGATCATGTATCCTCAGCGCCATCACCCTCCCATGGGCTACCTGCTTGGGATCGCCTAGATCATCCAAGCTACCACGCCCGGCGACTCTGAGTACCCGCCTCATGAGCTTGCCCGATTCGGGTCCAAAGAGCTCAAAGCTGCCCAATTCGTCACTCAGGTCGGATACGGAGGCGTCGTGCGTGGATAGAACCTCTAGCACCTCGCTGAGGATCGATGGGTGCAGCCTGATCCAGAGTCGCTTCGAGCCTTTCTGCCACAAGATCTGAGCCGGTCCAATGAGACGGTACGGGAACTCATCAGGATGATACAGCATGGATTCTGCCAGCATCGATCCAGACTCGTACCTGTGAATGAGCTCAGCCCACGTATGAGCTCACTTTGGACCCGCAAAGACACCACCCGTCATCCGTCCAAGGAGTCTGAGAACAGCCTCCCTCTCCCCTTCCACTTGTATGACCCCGTAATAGCTGACATCCATGGCGAGCACTTTCCGCCGGGTAGCGCGATATGCTGGTCGGAACGATTTGAGCGTTGGTGTCACGGGCAGTCGGAAGCCCCAGATATTGGTCATGTGGAAACGCTTTGCATGATACATGTGCGTTCTGAGCCATTTCTTGTCGACTGTCAAGTCAGCCGGGTGGCACGAACTTAAACTCGCCTTGCCGTCTCAACAACTGTTCTGTCCTCGACTCTCCGTGCAGATTCCCTTTTGCCCTTAGGCGAGCTTTCTTACGCTGGACCTTTGCAATATCATCCCCAGGCGCAATCTGGTGTCAGCTTGGGCTCGCACAGTCACTCACTTCCAGGGCAGCCTTGTACCGCAATCTTTTTGGTACACGTCGTGGATTATGTGAGGCAGCTCGACGGCGGAGGTGTCGAGGCAGAGATTGAAACACGCGACTACTTCCCTGATCTCTGAATGTCAGCTCGAGTCCTCGTCGCCTCGCTCTCACGCTGCAGATCTTATAGCATTCTGAAAAGCCATAATCTCCATCGCTCGGGTCTCGGCAAACCGTTCGACTTGGATGCTGTCTGGCATAGTTCTCTCCACTGGTGCCTTTTGCTTGCCCTTTCGGAGCAAATCAGAGGTCTTCTGGATGACCTTGAGAGGCCGTCGTGCGCCATCTCGTGAGGATTCTGCCTTGGCCATGGTGGTGTATGGTATCAAGAGCAGAGTTCGACAATTGACCGATCAACTTTTGAGCGGCGACCTCCGCGTAGCCAAGAACTGCATGAGGTTCTCCAATTCAGGCTTGCTTTGGGCGCTTCATGATCTCTCCCTGCTCCAATCCTGCAAGCTCACTGCCCAGAATCACCGCCCCCGCCGACGATACAGATCAATAGGAACCCCGAAGAGCTCGTGCTGGATAAAGATCTCATGGAGGCTTTCCGGCTGGGAGCTGCCAGTTGCTTCGTGACATGTCGTTGAATCAACCTCATCTGCCATCTCCGGCGGCCACACCAGATGGACCCCTGCCGTCCAATACGACTGCTCAGCCAGAGCAATCTCAATATGACCTGTGCCAAAGCATCGAGACGAAATTGCTCAATCTGACTCAAGATCTGTACGAGCTTGAAATATGCGCTGGAGAAGTCGTCGAGGGCCAACAGCAGAGGATACCTGATTTCCTGAAGCGAATCAATGAAAGCTTTGTCGAGCTCGAGGGGATGTCTAAGAGCTTGACTGAGAGTGTTCCCCGCCAGGTCATAGAGTGAGATATGATTTCGAGTCCGGCTGAATCTTTCCCAGAAACGTCGATACGTACCATAATCCCCACATGTACACGAAGAACTCCCTGAGTCGGGCGACTGGAGAGAACCAGTATGCATTGGGAAGGGTTTTGGGACTGGAGGTGGGTCTATCTTCTCGAGGTCTTAGCTCATCTGTAGAGCTTTCGCAGACAATTATATGACGCTCTGGCAACGGATTTCCCCACCATTCCGCTTCCAGAACGACGGCATCAGCCGTCTCCTCCAGAGCCAGTGAACGGTATCAATGGAGTAAAGGTGGAACGGGAGGCAATGAACGGAGCCAATGGGTCATAATGCAATGGAGGGATCTGATTTGACATGGGATCTGAGCACGGTTCAGTTGTACAGTATGCAACATGCATCTTTCTGTGTTCCGTCATGACTTCTCCGCAAGTCCTCAGCATCGATGTGATCTGCGATGGCTATCGCTCATTGAGAGAGTCTTGTCTTTAAAGAACAAGGACGGACATGTTGTGGCACCTTCACACTCTTCTTGTTCCGCGCCGATATGGCCATGTATGTGCGTCGACGGCTGGACGTAGGGCCCTCAGTACTCCTGGTATACCCAGACGAACACATACGTTTTCGTCGCCATGCTGAAGATCAGCAGTGCTTGAGCCTGTCGACAGAGGCCCAAAAAGAACTGATCAGCAGTCCTCGGCAGCAAAATAGTAGCCCGAAGGCCCTCTCTGTCTCGAGTTTGTCATCCTTATGCAGGGGCAATGCTAATCTTCTCTGTATCGTTCCAATTTTATCATATGTCACAGGTCCGAAGACCTGGACGGGAGAAAGTAGAATTTGAAGACGGCAAAAAACCCACGAATAGCGCAATTCGCAGAGAACCTTCCCAAAGGGGAAATTATGCTAAAAGTTCAAGCGATGTTGGCAAAGAACAGCATTCATGCGATCCGCTATGACAGTGCTATCATCATCGCCCTGCAAGACGACGCTTGCATCGAGGCCGAGCCCACTCCCTCTACACCCTGACCAACTGCCCTCTCCTCACCCCGACCACCTTCTTCAACCACGCCCCGCTTTTCACTGCCGCCTCTGCTGCACTTGACCCACTGAGGACTCGCCTGTGGGCGGGTCGAGGTGAGGTCGGTGTCACTGGATCGAAGAACGATATTTGGGTATCGAGAGGAGAGTGGGTAACAGAGTTGGGAGAGGGGTCCGAAGGGATCTGGTACTCCTCAGGGTACACCGAGAGAGGTACAGGAGCACGACGAGGACGGACGAACGGCGTCTCGGGCGTGCTTTGAATCTGCACCGGTTGAGATGCCCTGAACGGATTGTCCACTATCTTGGGTCGATGCGAGTTGACCTTCTTGGACGGCTCGGGAGTGCGCGAGATAATGAGGAGTGACGGATTGATCTGTCTTGGCTTGAGTTTCAGCGGCGGAGGCGGTGCCTTTCGGCGTCGGGAGCCAGTGGACGTGTCGGACTCTGCACTATCTGCGCGTGCGAGCTGAGGTCGAGAGGTCGTACGGGGAGGCACTGAGGTGAGGACAGAGGCGAACGTTTCCTTGTCACCCAGCAACGAGGCGAATTCTTGTTCCTCTTCCTCGTCCATCCACATGGTCCCGTCCATGGCTCGATGTCGCACCGTCTTGCCATGGCCCACTTTTCGTTCGATCGCCCTGGAGATGGGCTTGAGAGAGGATTTAGGTGGTGCTGGAGGTACGTTGCCGAGGAACTTTTCAATCTCGATGAGAGTCTGGGTTGGCAGAGGGCGATAGTGGTGCTTTCGAGGGACCTTTTGCTTGATCTGCGTCTTGACGTGTGTACCGAGGAGCCTGGCAGCTTTGGGAGGGGCGCGAGAGGGTGTGAGAGGGAGCCGAGGGCTATCGGTATCGGGGGAGACGGGAGGAGAAGGTGCTATGGTCTCGACACCAGAGTACGCGTGATGCTTTGGAGGCAGGGGTGGCGGGGACAAGTCCAGCGGACTTGATGCGAGGAAAATCTGAGAGATGGAGTGATGAATTCGGGATGCGTTGGTGGATGTAGTGTTGGTCCGTTGAGGTCGCGTGGGGGTCGAGTGACCAGAAGACGACCGGGGTGTACGTGGGAGTGACAGTGTCGAGCGCCGGGCTTGGATGATCAGTAGTTTGTCCTAAAGAGAACGATGCACTCACCTCTGACGCCTGCCGTTCTCGCTACTCGCTTCTTCACCCGGAGTGGCTTCGTACCCATCCCTCGGGGGCTATCGAGATGCAGCGCTGAGAAAAACTCTGTACCGGGCGTGTCACGGACACGACAAGGTGGCGAAGGGTCGACCGGGCTGATAGGTTCAGGCGTGGAGAATGACATGATGCTGAGGATGGAATGATCAAGAGTAGAGAGCGCAGTTTGGTCAGTACATATATATATACGTCAGACTATCAGTTCATGGCTTTGTTTTGTCTGTGTGTGTGTGTATCAGCTGCATTGTTCTCGACACTGTGGATGCTTGCAAGATGTATTGTTGTCGTTGTCGCAAGGAACAATAGCAGCAGCTGCCAGGCAGCTGAGGGCCATCGGCTAATCCCGCCCTTTCGGCGTTTTCGTCGCGTGGCACTCACCCTTCGAGTTGTCTTTTCAACGTGTGTGTGCTATATACCACCATACCACACCCAACACCGCGCAACATGTCCGAGATCACCTCCATGTTTGGTTCTCGACTCACCTCGGCGTACAACTCCCTTCGAGGTGAGCTGGGAGCTCCTCAAGGGGCGGTCGAGACGATCGACAAGCTGGTGGATAGGATACAGACCAGCGCAGCGGTAGAGGATAGAAGGACTGCAGTGTTGGGTCTCAAGGGGCTGAGTAGGGATTGGCGAGAGGTGAGAAGAAAGTAAAATCACGACAAGGGGCTGATGGACCCAGGATGTTGGGACTCGCGCTATGCCTTCGCTCATCGCTGTGCTGCAACATGACGCACCGTACGACACGGATATCGCCAAAGCGGCTCTGGAGACGTTGATGCAGCTGTGCGAGGTACCCGAGAAACCAGGAAAGGATGACCTTGGACTGCGATTCGCAGATGCCTTTTTGGAGGTGGGTCCCATCGCCTTCGACACTGCCCCTGACGCTAGACTCCCGGCCCGCTACACTCCCTTCTCGCCCTATTGTCCACCTCCCCGTCGTTCTACCCCCGATTCTATGCTCTCCAATTCCTTGCTCAACTGTTTGCCATTCGAGCTACCAATGCCCAAGCATACATCATCTCCGCGCCTCCACCAGGCGTCGAAGGTATACTTGGTGTGTTGGATCCACGAGCTCCTCAGTCCCAACCCAGTGGAGTCGGCGGAGGCGCGGGTGAAATGCTCCGGAACGAGGCGTTGTTGCTTCTACCCACCATGCTGGCGAGTAATCAAGATCTCCAAAAGATCGTCGCATTCTCCGGGGCGTTTGAAAAGTTGTTCGAAATCATTGAGCAGGAGGGAGGTTCAGATGGTGGAATCGTTGTCCAGGACGCCTTGACGGTCATCGCCGGGCTGATCCGACACAACGTGTCAAATCAAGTGAGTAACCCCACCTTACCCAGCCTGACGGCAGAACTACTTTCGCGAGCTCTCTCTCATCGCCTCGATCCCCCCGATCCTCGGCTTCCCAGCTCAGCTACCTCTCGACGTACCTGCACCAGACGAGACCGCCCTGCAGTTTTGGCCAGAGCAAAAGATTTACAATGCAAGCCTGGTCATTGGGATCGTCCGCATGTTGATCGGAGGTCCAGGAGGAGGCAATCAGGTGAGCTCAGGGGCTCGACACGACTGACATCCAGTCCGCGATGGCCTCCACAGGCGTCACGCGGTGCCTTCTCGAGCTCGCCCTAGCTTCCAACGCCACGTCCACAATCAAGTCCCAAGCCCTCAACACCCTCACACCGATTCTCACCTCGTCCATTCCCAATCAAAACCTATTTGCGTCCCTTCACCTCGCCCCGCTTGTCCCCGTCCATGCGGACCTCGAGCATCCAAATGGCGGATTCGTTCGACTTTCTCCTAGACCAGCAGTCGTCGCTCTCGTCGCTTTGGTCGTCGATGGCGACCCCAGTGCAGGCGGTCGCGGCTTGCAAAGCCGTGCAGCGGGTGTGAACATGTTCGAGGTGAGCCACGAGATCGCCCTGCGCTGACCTCAGGCGTTTGTCAACGGCAACGACGACGCCCGTATCGACATCCTCACCTCCATGACGGCGCAACCTATGGCCGCTCACTCTGACGCCCCGCAATCCGCAGGCGCCATCATCCTCTCCGGTCTTCTCGACCTCCCATCATCCCCCGACGCCCCATTTGACCCCTACCGCCCACTCTTCGCCTCACTCCTGCTCTCCCACCTCGTCCGGAACTCTGAGCACGCCAAAAAGATCGCCCGGGAGGTCGATCCATCCGTCAGCGACAGTGCACTCGAGGACGACGAGGACAAGACGGGATTGGTTCAGCTCGTCGTTGGTAACTTGATGATGGCAGCGCGGGAGCAGACGGAAGCGGTCAACCGCGCGGCGCGAGAAGGCAAGCCCAGCGACGAGGAGGAGTGGACTCGGGTCATGGTTGGGTACCTCGTCTTGCTCTGCACCTGGCTCTGGGATAGTCCAAAAACGGTCAAAGAGTTTCTGAGCGAAAGCGCCAACCTCCAGGTCGTGAGTGTGGCCCCACACCTCCGCTGACAGACAGTTGATCCAACCGATCACTCAAACCACTGGCATCGATCCGTTAGTCCAGGGCCTCTGTGCATTCCTCTTAGGCGTGTGCTACGAGTTCAACCGGGAGCCAGGGGAGATCACTCGGTGAGCGCTCGGTGCGTGTCACGCTGACGGTCAGTGGGACGCTGCATCCCATTTTGCACTCTCGAATCGGGCCCGACCAGTTTGTCTCCCGCATGGCCCGACTCCGAGAAGACCCTCGGTTCCGCGCGGTCCAACCCGAATCATTCGAGCAGGACCCGACGCAGCTCGACCCCGTCGAAGATCTCGATGACCTCGAGCTCTGGTTCGATTGGGCTTTCGTGGACTTTTGGAAGAATCACTATTACACCATTCAACGGTCCATCGCTATTGATCCGGATGCGGTCCGGGGACCAACGACCGCCTCGGACGATGGAGAGACCGCAGCCATCATCATGACCCTGAGACAAAAGCTCAAGGCGCAGACGGACGAAGTGGTTCAATTGCAGGCGAAGCTCGCGGCGTTGGCCAATGAGCACAGGAAGGAGGTGAGGACCTTGAGGAACTTTGCTGACGTTTCAGAAAGAGACTCTCGTCGCAGAGGTTGAGTCACTGTCTGAGCAGGTCGCCACGCTATCCACGTCACTGCAGACTGCCGACTCCAGTCGCTCGACACACACCGCGGAACTCGACAAGCTGCGCGGAGAGCTCGAGACGGAGCGACAAAAGGTCTCAACGTCCGAAGCGAACAGCGCGGATCACGCCAACACCCGTGCCGAGCTGGAAAAGGCGCAAACGAGAGTCGAAGAGCTGGAAAAGAGTCATGCAGAGGACAAGTCGAGCTGGGAAGAAAGACACGCCGAGACGGAAGCTGGATCCTCGAGCCTGAAGAAGGAAAATGACCAACTCAAATCACATTCCGATGCCCTATCCAAGCAGCTCTCCGACTTGGAGACCCAGCTCGCAGAAGAAAAGACTAAACGAGAGGATGGCGAGAAAGAGCACGAGGACCTCCTGGTGCTCCTCGAGGAGTTGAGTCAGAAGCGCCGCAAAGACAAGGAGCGGATGAAGGAAAACGGAATGGAGGTCAGCGAAGGGGAAGACGAGGATGAGGAGGAGGATGACGACAACAACAACGATGGCGAAGAGTAGCGTCTATGTTTGCATTACTGTCCATTATAAATAGAAAATTAACCTACACGATAGGTCCCTGAATCACCACAAGACCGTTACCTGAGTTTGCGACGAGATTTCCGAGGATGCTTGCCGACGCAGTGACATAGCTCGTACCTGCTCCTCCACCGTTTTGACGTGATCCAGCGCCGCCAGTGTATCCACCACCTCCCCCACCGCCACCCAAGTTCAGGAGTCCATTGATGAGACCTCCACATCCACCACCACCACCCCCGTTTCCTCCGTTTCCACCAATGAGAGTGGAGGTGACGAGATTCAACACTGCGCTGATACTACTTCCCACACCACCATTCCAATCGCCTCCGCTCTGTCCACCGGTAGCTCCGCTCAGCAGGCCGAGACCGAGCAGACTGCCGCCACCGCCACCGGATCCAGTGAGACCGGCACCACCACCTGCGTAAACTGAACCAGCTCCTCCCTTTGAATCCCCAAGAAGAGTGACGTCGTAGGTCAGACTTGCAGATGCACCGGCGCCTGCGATAGCTCCACCACCTCCAGCGGCTCCGATCACGTAGGCATCACCCGTGGCGCTGTTGAGAATGTAAGAGGCTATTTAAGAGAGGGAATCAGCAAGGAGTTCCCGGCATGGGGACCGGGCCCGACGACCTACCTCCGCCTCCTCCACCTCCACCGGCCAATGTGGCGAGAGACCCAGCAGCACCGACGACAAAGGTGATGTCAGTCTGAACTTCCAAGACGACAGTAATGTTGATCTGAACTCCGAGACCACCGATACCGGGAAGGTTGACGCCGATAGCTGCGGCTCCTTGAGCACCAGCCGCTACCATATTGTATGTACCCGCTGCGAGGGTGGTAGTGTATGTTCCGGGGTTCGGTTGGTTAATTTCCGTGGCGTAGGCTCGCTTCTTTGGCGCCAGCGGGGGCAGACCGAGTCGAAGGCATTCGGCATTGGAATCGCATCGAACGATATTGTCAGAGGTACGATGGGCCGGTTGAAGGTATCTCCTGCCAAAGCTTTTGGCATCGACGCCGCCGTTGAGCCCTGTCAGAGCGAGAACCAGTGAAAGGATGGCGAGCTTCATGCTGAGGTATGAAGAAGGGCTTACAAGGAGGAAAAGAAAGGGGGGGGGAGTAGTTCAAGAAGCTGGCACCCGCTGCATTCCTTTTATTCACAAACCCGCTGGGAGCCAAGGTCTCAGATTTGGGGGGATAGGGAGGGCGCGAGACGAGCTTGTCCGCGTTCTCCCTTTCCCATACCAAGAAAGACCGTAAATGGTCATGAAGGCCCAGGTATGCTCAAGATGATTCATCCGAGTTCCGCCAGTGACCCACCACCCTTTCCCCCCAATGTCCGTGGCGCCATCGGTTTGTGCCACTTTGTAACTGACTAGGGCGGAGGCGGGAAGCAGGCAGCGACGCGGCGCGGGTGAATTGAACGTGTATCCTGCCGAGGTTTTTAAGCTTTCAATGTCTGCTGAGACATCATCATATATCACCACCTACTTTATCACTCCTCTCTACTCTCTACGGAGGTTGTTCGGATCGACCGCGGTGTCTCATACAATGCGGCATCATTTCATGAGAGGGGAGGGGGGATCGACCCTGATCAACGGGAAGGTAAAGTGAGACAGTAAGAGTGCCGGTGTGGGCAAGAGAAGGTGGTTTAGGGTTAAGCATGATTACCACAAGAACAGCGCGATGGCAGCAGCAGGAGGGAGCAGGAATTCGCCACTCGAGATGGCTCGAAGGGGGGAGGAGGGGGCAGGGGAGCGGCTCTGTGGATTTTTTTAAATTTAAAGCGGGGTTGGATTCCCGACACAGAAAAAAAAACCACGCCACATTTCCTTGCACGGGCTAAAACCTGGCCAATGTCGACCGAGTAGCAAAACTCGAGACAGACCTCATATACAAGGCAGAGTCGACCTCTCCGGACCTGGTCACCCGCCGCCCCGGGGTCTCCCTGATGGCATTCTTCAGGCCTCAACCCTCGCCCCCTCTCTCTCTCTCTCCCTTTCCCGGCCCTGATTCTTGTGTCAAAATGAGATCACAGCTATGCTTGGCCAGAGGCTACGTACGCAGCATCCATGCCGCTAGCCACCACGTCACACAGACACCACACACGGGAGGCCTTATGAAGCCATTAGGCACAGACAGAGACACTTGCATGAGAAGTGCTCCATATCAGCATGAGAAAATGTATATACCTGCCATCCCCCACCGCCGCCTTGGGGGCCAACTAAACTATGATACAAGAATGCCTCACGCTGCTAATAACCCCCTACTTGTAAACCTTTTCAATCCTCCCCTTGTAATGCTGCTGAATAGTCTTTCTCTGAAGTTCTGCCACCAACGTCAGCCAACAATGTCTCGGGACATGCATCGACAACTTACTCTGCGCCGCGGTCAAGAATCCACTCTCAGGCGTCCATTCATCTTCCGTAAGCACAATCGCCTCGAGCAATTCCATCCCTTTGAGACCCTGCTTTCGGCCGATTCCGTTCAGCTCTTTGAGGGCCGCGTCGACCACTTTGGTGTCCCTGCAGAGCTGAGCCAAGTCCTCGCCATCACCCAGACCGTTCTTCTTGGCAAAGGCCGGGAGATTCTGAGGATGCGCCACGACCACCATCATGGGTTGACTGTGTTCCGAGTTGGCCACGACCGCGCCATTGGCAACCAGCGGGCAAGACTTGTAGATCGATTCGAGATGTTCGATGGCAATGTACTCTCCACCTTGCAGCTTGATAAGATTCTTGAGTCGGTCAATGATGCTCAACGTTCCATCCTTGTTCCATTGGCCCACGTCGCCCGTCTTGAACCACCCTCCTGGGGCAAAGGCCTCGTCCTGCAGATCTTTTCGCTTGTAGTAACCCTTGAAAATGGCAGGTCCACGGACCCAGACTTCACCCTGGGGTGGATCGTTGGTCGAAAAGTAGCCTGCCTCCTTCGCATCCACAAGCTTGATCTCCGCAGCGGGCACGGGTCCACCGGCCGAACCAAGGTTGTGCCAGGCCGGGTTGAGAATGCACGCCATGGCCGTGGATTCTGTCAGACCGTAACCTAGAGATCAGCCGATCGTTCAGCACATGCAGTCTCACCTTGGATCATCCTGACCAACGCCGTATTGAGGAACTCTTCGGTCGATTTGGACACCGCTCCACCACCGTTGAACAAGAATCGCAGTCTGCCACCAGTCTGTGCTCGGACTTTGTTGAACACGACAGTATCGGTCAACCCTCCAACGAGGGGAAGATGATAGTTGTGAGCAGTCTGCTTGGCACTGAGAGCAAAGTTGAATATGCTCTTGGTGATCACGCTTCCACCTTCGACCTTGCCGAGGATACCTTTGCGGATGAGTTCCCACACGGCGGGGACGCCGACCATGATGGACTGGGGTCAGCTGGGTCGGACACATTGAACTCACTGGCTTGAACTCGGCGATATCACCCTTGCACTCTCGCACGCTCGCATCGGTTAAGGTCTTGACACGACCATAGCCGATCTGGATACCCGCAAAGATCCAAGACATTTCGACGACGAACTCGAGGATGTGCGCGAGGGGCAAGAAGGCGAGGTAAGAGTCGCCAGGCTTGAGGACCTCGTATAGCAGGGTCCAGACGGATCCGACTGCCGTCAGCGATGCCCCCTTTAGGGCCCGACTCACTTGCTGCCGTGACGTTTCCGTGGCTTAAAAGCACTCCCTTTGGCGTTCCGGCTGTGGGTCAGCTTGTGTCTGCCACTCTGACCCACTTGATCCACTGGTGTACATGCAGCAGTAAATATCTTCGCTCTTGACCTTGCGTGCCTCCACGGGTTTCTCCTTTCCAATTTTTCTGACCTCGTCGATGTGGATCACTTTGAGACCTTCACGGACTCCGCGGATCGTCTGCAGCGCCTTATCGTCCGCTTCGCCATCGTACATGACTAATCGGACGGTTTCGCATTTGGAGATAATCTTGGCCAAGGTCCCGAGCAGGTCGGCATGTGTGAACATGCCCTTGACCTCGGTTTCGTTGAGAGAATGAGCGAGTCCATCGGGTCCGAGCGAGTCGTATGCCGTTGAAATGGGAGTACCGTTAAAGGCACACGCTTGGGCAGTCATCATCCAATTGCGTCTGCCGTCAGCAAACCGCGCTGACGGGTCGCTCACGAAGTAGATCCGTAAATATTGAAGAACGAGTCTGTACCCTCCTCGCCAACTCCTAGCTCCCTGAGACCCGATCCGAGCTCCTTTGCGGCAACGAGCATCTCCTCATAAGTCATCCAGTCAAACGACTTGAGCTTGAAATAGCTCCATGTCTTGGTCTGCTTCTCTTCCTTGCCGTCGACTTTCTTGACCACTTCCTTGTCTTCAGTGATGATCCTGTCAATATCTCGGTTTGCGAATCCCTTTTTGGATCCGTGGGTGCGAGCAGCGTAGAGGAGGACATCGTGAACCGTGTCGACACCAGGTGCGGGCTCTATGTGTCACCGAGCGGAAGCCAGATGGGGAGAGGAAGGGGGGTTTGGCGCAGGAAGGAAGATGAAGACGTTTGTGGTGGATCAAAGTGGGCGGGTGAGTCACAGACAACACAACGTCAGCACCGTTGCCACCGTTTTCCGATGCCCCCTTTCAAACTCACGCGTCGTGAGATCCTTGACACAATATGATCTCCTGATTCTCGTCTCGCCTTCTGGCTTGGGCTTGTCCGCATCGACTTCCCATGAAGCGGACTGACCGTGCTTTCGAGGCGCCATGGTATGCTATAGGAGGGGAGGGGGAAATGGGGAGGATGGACAGATGGGGTGATGCCGAACCCCGAAGCTGTGAAGCTATATATCTATACGGTGTCAGACCAAAGGGAGGGAGTGCTCGGATCTCTCTAGACCAGAAAGGAGGACTGAATCCGGAAAGCAGCAGCAGGGAGCCCCTTTGGACTAAAGGTCGAGTTCGTGAGTGACAGTGAATGGATGGATGGATGGTGTTGAATGGCTCCTGTATTTCTGTGAGGAACGTTTGGGAAAGGTGGCGGCAATTCAGGACCTCGGGGGTGGGAGGCGAAAGGACGTCACCGTCGACCGGGTGGCGTCATTTACCAGCAGGGCGATCGCGATTAGGAAATGGTAGATCCTAATGACTCATTAGGATTTGGGACACCGGGGGCATTAGAAACGTTTCCTAATTATGGGGGGAGGGGTGGTGACCCCCCTTTGGCTTGGCTCTTGGGTTGAGAGGTGGCGGGCGACACGGTACATACTCCCCAATGTGTCTTGGCTCAGTGTGGGCTCCGGGATGATCTCGATGGAGTCTCCAGAGAATCCCATGCAGCATCTCGGCACGCTTGGTCGTGGATGGGTGAAATGAGGTCTTCCTCTCTTGGGAGAGCATCTGACGTCCCGGGTACAGACAAGGCGGTCGAATACAGTCTATGCGCCTCATACTCGGCGATGCATCTTTTGTCGAGTCGTAGCTCGAATAGCCGGGTGACGAGAGCACTCAACGTCTCATCACCTCGCTGCCTGTCTCATCGTGACCTCCTTTGAGATCTGTCTCCTGACGGGGAGGTTAGGTCAACCTTTGTGCTCTCATGTCATGCCCAGCGACTTGAAATGGTGTCTCTGTCGCCATGGGCACCTCATCGAGCTCTACACTCACCATGAGTTACCTAGTGCTGCTGACCAGCTTGATCCTCTTCTCGATAGCCCGAGCCCAGCAATCAGCCTCGTGGCCGCAATGGGTGACAAACGACTACAACTGCGGTGAGTCGAATCCGGTCAGAACGCAATCACTCATGATAGTGATCAAATGTATGCAGCAGTATTTCACGGATACGCAGCCTCCCGCGACGTAGGTCCTTCGCACCGTGACTCCTCTCTGATGACAGGTCTGACCAATACAATAATGCCATGGGGTGTGTCAAGTCGACCTGCGCACAAAAGACCGAGGTGAATGAAAAGGTAGAATCACGACTGACCCCACAGAACGCCAACATCTACCAAGCACAATACATTATCAATGTGAGAGCCAACCCTAGACTCTTGCTGATCTGCAGATGTATAATCAGATCGGATCCATTTATGAACCTGAAGATTGGCAGAACGGCAACATTCCTACCAACGGAACGGACTCATTGACCGCTCCGACCGGATGGGTTCAAACGACCGTGACGACCTCAAAGTCTCATACCGATGGGACTTGGGCAACTCAGACGGATACAGTCTGGGCACCTCCCCCTCCCCCAGCTACCACGTCAAACCAGCCGGAGACGACATCTGGCGCCGTTGCGGCCGAAGTCCTCACGGAAACCAAATCTTCCCAAACGTCCACGAGTTCTGCAGCGTCTGCAGCCTCTGGCAGTACGTCTGGAGGAGCTGGACGAGGAGCAGAGCTGGCAAGAGGTCTCTTTGGCATTGTACTTGCTGTACTTGGTGTCGTGGCCGGCGGTGTCCTAGTCTGATGCTGCTACATGTACTTATCGCACCGCACCCGGCAAATCCGGGATCAACTTGATCCGAAAACGTCACACTGTTGATCATTACTATTATTACACCGATGACATGGACTCATGTGGGGTCAATTCGTAGTCCAGCACTGAGCACCTTGCGCTTGAGCCATACATCTACCAGGTCATACACTATCCCTCTGACCATGCGAGCAATTCTCATCAAAGATGGCAAAGGTCCAGCAGACAACCTCTACATAGGCGAAGAGGCCACTCCCAAACCGAAGCAAGGCGAAGTGCAGGTCAAGGTGAGTCCGTTCACCGGATGCCTTGGCTGACTCCCAAGATCAAAGTAAGGTCGATTCATGATACCTATCTGACGGGTAGAACTTTGGCCTCAACCGGATGGATCTCTTGCAACGCGAAGGCAACTATCCCCTCCCACCTCAAGCATCCAAAACCATCCTCGGTGTCGAATTCGCCGGGACAGTATCCGAGTTGGGAGACGGAGCCAAGGCGTTCAACGTTGGGGATGAAGTCTTTGGTCTAGCCTACGGAGTGAGGACCCTTTTCTCGAGACTGTATGACTTATGACAAGGGCGCCTACGCGGAATATATTGCCAATCCTGAACAAATGACCTTGCCTAAACCTTCCAATCTCAGCTGGGAAGAAGTCGGAGGAATGCTCGAGACTTGGTTGACAGGTGGGATATTTCTTGACAAGTCGGAGCTCATTCCAGGGTACCAAGCATTGTTCCTTGAAGGGGGGATGAAAAAGGGAGCTAATGTGCTCATTCATGCTGTCAGTCAGAGTCCCACTCTGATCATGCTAACGCTCAGGGAGCATCGGGCGTCGGTATCGCAGCTATTCAACTAGCACGTGAGTTTCTGTCACGATGCTCAGCTCACTCCCATAGTGCACGTCGGTCACGCCAACAAGGTATTTACGACCTGTGGATCGGACGAAAAGGTCAAGTTCCTCAAACAGCTGGGACATGACGACAGGCTACATGTGATCAACTACAAAACACAGAGTGAGGACGGTCATCCTGGAGGCTTGCTGACGCGTGCAGAATTTGCAGAGGAGATCAAGACCGTGGCGGATGGAGTCGACTTGATCGTCGATTTCGTCGGGAAAGACTACTTTGAAGACAATATTGCCAGTCTGAACCGAGATGGTACGATGATCTACTTGGCTTTCCTGTCCGGAGCAAAGGTTGAGAACGCAAACCTGGCCAATGTGAGCTCATGCTTCGATCGAGCTACGTTTTCTCATACGCTTCTCAGATCCTTTACAAACGCCTCACGATCAAAGGCTCTACGCTCCGAAGCCGTGATCCAGCGTATCAAGGTCGTCTCCTGAAAGAATTCAAAGAGAATGCCCTGGGTCTCATCACCGATGGAAAGATGAACGTCTTGATACACGAGGTAGGCTCAAGACAGACAGGACTTCGCTGAATTTCAGGTCTACCCCTGGGATAAGGTCGCTGATGCCCACAGAGAGATGCAGGCGAACAAGAACAGCGGCAAGGTGAGCTCTCTTTTGCTTTGCACGCCAGACCCATCTTCTCACCATACGACATAGATTGTATTCAAAGTCACATAGCATGTATAGACACGCCACGAGGTCAGGTTACGTCAACCGAGTGCACGAGCCTGCTTTTTGTGCGCGAGGTCTGTTCTCCACTCACAGCTCACATTTGTTTCTCTCGTTCTCACTTATCACGTAGACTGACTGACTGACCGATCGATCATGTCGACTGCGACTCCACAGTCTAAGATAATCAGTCAGATCGTCAAGAGGTCCCTAGGGAGCGCCGTTGCGTCTCCTCGGCCCTATTTTGGCCAACCCAGCACCATCTATGCCTCCTTTGGCACTCCCTCTCATCCCTTTGGACGTGAGCTGGACAAGCTGACATCGCGAGACTGACCCAATCAATCTTAGTCGCCTCCCAAGGTATCTTGCCCTCTCCTGACCCTTCATTCGGGCGCTCAGCTCAGCCACCATCTTCCCCTCCTCCATTCGGCGGCCCATCTGTTCCCAGCATCCCGAGCTCTCAATACGATTTCGGAGCACAGGATCTGCCTCCCTCTACGCCCACCCCGCATCACTCGTCCCGTGTGTTGGCCCCTCCACCTGCTCAACATGCCATTTCTCGCCCTCAGACCCAGATCGCAGAGACGAGCCGAGAACCGCCTGAAGAAGACTTTGGAGACGACATTTCATGGGAGGAATCCCACCTCCTCGAGACTATGGCTCAAGCAGATGGTAATTGTCCAATTACGGTAATCAGTTGACCTCAAGCAGGAGACCAAAATATGCCCGACGACGAGCCCATCGCAACCCCCGCCATCATTGCAGATCGAGTCAGGGAAGAACGAGATGCCAAGATCAGAGAGGCCAAAGCTATCGACCCAAATGGAGAGGTCCTAGTGACCGTGGACGAGATTGGTTGGCTGCAATGGCAGAAGACGAATTCAGCTGATTTCTGACAGATGCAAGGTTTCGAGGCATCTTTCACTTTGAGACGTTCAATCGCGTCCAGACTGCCGTCTTTGATTCGGTGAGCTCAACGCGTAACATACCCATGGCTCACACGGAATAGGCTTACAAGTCTGATGAGAATCTAGTGGTCGGCGGTGAGCCTGGGGATCCCGCCTAACCGACTGAACCTCCAGCGCCGACGTCCGCGGGCAAGACGACCATATTCGAACTGGCTTTCCTACGCCTACTCGAGGAAAGCGAAGGTTTCGATCCGAAACCTCTGGCGATCTACATTGCTCCGACCAAGGTGAGCGATAGATTAGCTCTGCTGACGTCTAGGCCCTCTGCGGCGAACGTAGCTCAGACTGGATTAGTAAATTCGCAGCGATAAGCTCCTCGGATTTACAGGTTCAATGTGAGTCACACCCCGTACAAGGCTGAATCCAGGTCTCGAGGTGACTGGAGACACAGCCGGGGTGTGGTTCGAAAACAGAGCACGTTTGAATGATGTCAACCTCATCATCACCACGGTGGGTGTGTCGCCCCCTTTGAAGCTCACCTCATCAGCCCGAAAAATGGGACGCAGTGACACGCAGTAATCCACATAGCCGCTCAATCCTTGAGCGACTCGCCCTCGTCATGATCGATGAGGTGAGCCTGACACTGCATCACCGCTCATCTCAGGTCCACATCTTGCGCGAGTCTCGCGGCCCCACGCTCGAAGTAATTGTCTCGCGTATGCGATCCTGGGGCCATCATATCCGATTTGTCGCCGTCAGTGCCTCCGTCCCGAACATTGACGACGTCGCTCGATGGCTCGGTCCCATTGTCATCCCAGAGGAGTTTCCCTCCGGGATCTACGAAAGTGGCGGACAGGATGCAGACAAGAATAAGGAGTACGACTACAGGATCAAGTCGTTCAAGGAAATGCCTCGGGCCAAGGTGTTCAAGGTGAAGTCATACGGTCGGTCACGGCTGATGTGCCAGTTTGGCGAAGAGTATCGACCGACCAAGCTTCGACGAGAGACCATTGGCTTTGACGGAGGCAACGAGTGGGCACTCAATGCCAAGCTCGACAAGGAGCTCTGGGGTGTTCTCGTGAAATTTACAGAGCAAAAGCCGACCTTGATCTTTTGTCCCACCAGACGAAGTGGGTGGAAGCAGCTGGTGTAGCTAATGACAGGCTGTCAATCCACCGCAGACACGATCTTCAAGCAGTTTATAGAGAAGCAATCTTCGACCAAGCTGCCGTGGATCCACAATGCCTCCAGGTGGGTAGCAGCAGAGCGTAGCGCTCACTTCAGGCCCCCGATCGAATTCAGCGACGGACAATTGACGACTTACGCCAAAATGGGGATTGGCATTCACCATGCTGGACTCGAGCTCAGTGACAGACGGAAGACTGAAGAGGGATTTAAACAGGGTCATTTACAACTGCTCATTTCGACCTCGGTGAGCACCTCACAGCTAGCTAGCTCACTTGTAGACCCTCGCCGTTGGCGTCAATCTACCTGCCCACACTGTCATCATCAAAGGGACTGCCACCTGGGCTGGATCTGGTGTTGGGTTCCGAGAATATTCTGATATTGAAATTCAGGTGAGCTCGCAAACACGACGTGACTGAGATCAGCAAATGATGAGACGAGCCGGACGACCTCAATACGATAAGTCAGGGACTGTGATTGTGGGCCCGTGAGATGATTACCACTGACTCCAGGTCATGTGCGAGCGGTCAAAGGTCAACAAGGTGAGCGATGAGTCTGATCCGTCTCACCCCGCAGTTTCGGAACATGCTCAACGCGAGCACATTACTCGAGAGCTGTCTTCATGAGAATCTCACAGAACGTGAGCCAGCCTCTCGGCGCTGCTGATGCAAAAGACATCAACAGCGAGATCGCTCTCGGCACTATAAGGAACCTTCAGTCTGCCCAAGAGTGGCTCAAGAGGTGAGCAGCGCACGCCGTGTGGTCACTGACCTCAGCTCCTTCCTATATGTCCGGATCCAGCAGAATCCCAAGCACTACGCACTTGTCGCCGGTCGAGACAAGCCACAGAATAAGTCTTGGGACGAGTGGCTGGACCATTATGTGGAGGTAAGTCCAAGCGGAATCTGAGCTCACCTCAGGTGGCTCTGAGCAAGTTGAAGTGCCACAAACTTGTCACACATTCCACAGAAACTTCTCAGGAGGAAGAGGCAAAGGAGAACCTCCAAGTTACAGAGTGAGTATCTGACTAGGCCTTGCTGACCTGAAGAGCCGGGAAGATCATGAGCAGCCATTGCATCTGTGGGTATGTGAACCGTGTAAAGCTGACCGGTAGCGCTCGGCACTGTGAGCGGCTTGTGTGTCCTCATCTCACCTGCCAGATGTGCTCGATTCTGTCCATCGATGGAAGGCACGATTTCGAGTCGCTTTTCGAGATACTCTGTGGCGCTAGAGAGTAAGTCGCATCACCGATCGTGACCGACGCGGTCAGATTCTCAGATATACGGATACGTCCTGGAGAGCTCCAGGTAGGAAACTGAGCAGACTAGCGCTCACTCCAGATGTTGAATTCTATTCGAAATTCTGGAGGTCTCAGGTTTAAATTGGACAATTCGCCAAAGACCTATGCGCAAGTCCTCGACTTGACCCTGTCTGATGTTCCAGGGACAAGGTGTTCATCCTTCTGCAAGCATCCTTCGGCAACATCGACGTGGCCTCACAGATGCACAAGCTCGAGACGGGATCTATCGCGCTCACGCTCGGCTCTATTTATCAGAGCGCGGGGAGGATCGCCAAGGGCAGGTCAGGAGCCCGCGGCGACGCTGACATCCAGCCATTGTCCAAATCTGTGCGGAGAAGGAACTCGGACGGACACTGCGGGCGGCCCTCGAGCTCATGCACTGTGTCTACGGTAGAGCTTGGGAAGATGACTATACCGTCTTGCGTCAGCTTCTGAGGATTGGTAGGCGGTCCTGCGGTAAACGCTGACGCCAAGGTCCCAAATCGATGAAGACGCTCGAGGCGAATGGCATCCGATGTGAGTCCTCACCTTTGACAGCTCTCACCTGCAGCCTTCGACGACTTGCTGGCTGTTGAACCAAAAGACATCGCAATATGGCTCTCTCGCAAACTTGAATTTGGCATCGAAACTCAACAACGAGCAAGAGATCTGCCACGTTACCAAGTCGAGATGAAGCAAGTGACTCAAAGTGACCCTACTGACTCGGGCAGGGAGATGAGCGTTGAGACTCACGAGGACAGGCTGCCCAAAGTTTATCTGCAAGCTACGGTGAAACAAATCAGTGGGGAGTCCAGGGAGGCCAAGAGGCGGCGGGAAAAGCTCAAACAGGGAAACTTCCTAACTCTGTCCATCCTATTCCTGAGGTCAGACGGGGAGTTTGTGGACTTCAGAAGACTGCCGTAAGTGATAGGTGTGGATGACGCTGATGAACAGGGCTCACAAGCTCAACAAACGGACGAGCGATTTTGACATCGAGGTGGAATTTGATGGGCCTAACCAGGATGTCATTGCGTACATCGGAGGTGAGCGCCACAGGCGACCGAGCTAACACAAGTCGACGAAATGGCGGGGTTACAAACTGAATGTCTCTATCAGTCAAACTTACCGATGGCCGCCTTTCCAACGGAGAAAAAGGTACGAGTGAGTTTCTGAGGCTGTCGCCGGCCTGACGATGCAGGAGAAGTCGGAGCAAGACGCCAGACTTGCCGAGGGCGACGAGGATCTTTTGCCCAATGGTAATCGACGCTGCCATCATACCTGCAAGGACCGCTTGAGTTGCAATCACGTCTGCTGCAGAGATGGCATCAAGGTGACTGCTGGGACCGCTGAAGATAGTGCTACGGGTGAGCTGCTCTGGTCCAAATGGTGTTGACTTCCCAGACGAAGCTACCGTCGATTCGCTGCTGGCAAACGCGGTTGTAGCGGCCTCTCGCCCAAGCCTTAAGAGGATCCGCGAAGAGAGCCTGATCATGCCTTCAGATAGCGACTCGGAAGACGACAAGATTCCTCCTCTCACTTCAACTCTCGAACGGGAGACTGCGAAGCGCAAGGCGAAACGGAAGGTCTCGAAGAAGCAGAAAAAGACTCGAAGCAAGAGGAGGTCTGTATTCATCGACGACGAAGCCGAAGAAGGCACTGGATCAGAAGATGAACTCAGCGAAGAGGAGAGTGACATTCAAGAGATTCCTAGGCCGGATGTGTACAAGCTTCCGCAAAATCCACCGTCGGTGCCATTACAGCAAGTTGAAGAGCCAGAATCTTCGACAGTCAAGCGCGTAGCCTCCCCCAGTCCTGGTGAGCCACCTCCCCGACTTGCCGCTGACCTTGCCAAGAGGCGATTTCACCCTATCCTCCGGCAACCAAACGAGTCCGGTTTGAAGACTCCGTCACTGCGCCCAAGCCGCGACCCCTCGATCTTTTAGACAAGCCTATCGAAGCGCTGACACAAGAAGAACTCGACATGAGGTTTGATGAACTGTTTCAATGAGTCTCAGGTGTTCGTGATCGAGGATGCCGTACCACACCATGCTGCTGTTATTGACTATGTTCACATCGGCGCGCTCTGATCCTACATATGCATTCCATCCATGTCCTAGACCCCTGGATTACATCGGGGCAGTCGTGTTTTTCTTTCATTCTTCCCTCCCGGGAGGGCATTGTCGGGGACCCAGTTGCCCTGGCTGTCCTACTTTCCGATTCAACGATGGGCCACTATGACGGACCAGGTCGAGATATGTAGTCTCGGCACAGCTCAGACGGAGAGCACACCAGTGAGTTGGCTGTCACTGATGTCGGATTTGACCGACTCAAGAACAAAAGGTCGAAGAATTGACGGGAGCTTAAGAGGTCTTTGCAGTACTGTGAATCGGCACTGCTGGCGCATCTATCCACGGATCTGTCCACATCCCAGCTGATAGACTATCTCATCCGATTTCATCGAAGAGACCCCCCCGGCCCGCCAGGTAGCCCCTCGCCCCCGAGCTGTTAACAACACATCCGTCAGCGATACCTCAGGGATTTGTATTTTTAAGCTTATTTTCACTTGCGCGGCCTCCTTCCAAAAATCTCCCGAATCAGATCAGATCTTTGATGATTTATTTATATAGCATAGAGATGGGTCATACCAATATCCTCATCCACATTCCAATCCATCCAGTATACGTTCGTCCACGATGATCTCAGCAAAGAGACAAGTCTACTCATGGTACCTCTGGTCCTTGGCCATGAACCCATGGAACAGCGTTGCAGTGAGGCAGACTCTGCACCATGAGATGCTGTTGCGTCATATCTTGCTGACCCGTTACGATAGGCACCCATTCTATCTATTTTGCTCGAACGTGAGTCTCGGATCGCCCAAACATGGACTTACGTTGGCAGGTTTTGCTCGTAATGTCGGATTCTGGGATCCAAATCTCACGCAATCTTGTAACGAAGAGATTACCGGACGAGCGGTATGCAAGATGAACGTCCTCGGCATATGGGTCGAGACGAGTTCCTTTACGTGAGAAGGCATCGATGCGCTGACACTCACTGACATGTGTCGCAGTCTCTTCAGCCGGTCATTTGGCATCATCACGTCCATGTTACTGTTGCTTTTGCTGGGTCCGAGACTGAATCATCGTATGTCCCACAGCTTCAAAGTCCACGCTGACATGGAACTCAGCCAGTTCTCGTAAATTGGTATATTTCATCTCCAACTTGCTCGCTGGTCTCAGTTCTGTCTTCTTTGGCCTGATCCCCTTGCTATCGCCACATGCTCAGCCCTTTGCGGCTGTACTTTTGACGATCATCGCTACCAATTCATTCATAGTCGCCTTCATGTGCTTCACATCCTATCTTCCCATCATCGCTCGATCTGTACACCAGGCTCATCTGGACGATTTCCAAAAACTGCCACCTACAGAATCCGATCCTCTTCTTTCAAAACCTATCGAACAAGCGATAGCTGTCGAAGCCCCGAGCGGACTATCACTCACCATAGCGAAGATCAACTCTGTTTGTGGAGTCATCGATTGCGTCATCAGCGTCGGATCCAGTCTCCTCTTACAAGTGGTCCTCAGGCGCACATCCCTCACACCCCTCACTTGTATCTCCATCACTGGAGCTTGGTGGATGGTCATTTCGACCATCAGCACGATCGGTCTACCTGGTTCTGCGGAAGCTGCCAGAGCAGTTGATGATCAACCAGTCGACCCGAAACCAATGAAAAAGCAATCCACGTTTCAGCTCCTCAGATCTCTCAAAAGATTACCTCAGATGCGCAAGCTACTTGGTGCACACATCATCGCCTGTGACTGTGAGCTAAAGCTATAAATCCGTGCGCACCTATGACTCTCGCTGATCTTTTGACAGTGATTATGATCGTCCCGGGCGTCTTGTTCCTTTACGCATCAACCAGATTGGGTCTCGAAGTCTCCGACATCTCTGTCATGATGATGTGTGCCTACGCAGGCGCAGGTGTATGGATGCCTTGTCAAACTTGGGTTCAAGCGAAGCTGCATCGGACAAATCTACAAATGTTGATTGCCGGAATCATCCTGGCTCTCCTTGCGCCATTATGGGGCTCCTTGTCACTGGTCTCTTCAAACTTGGGGATCCTGAACAAATGGCACTGCTGGATTCTCTCCGTTATCTTCGGAGTCGTGAGTGACCCCTGTCTGACCAATTGACTGACATTAGGCGTCTGCTATATACGAAACGTATTCTAGATCACTGCTGTCAGAGATGACTCCTCACGTAAGTCTCGCCCTGCAATCAAGAAACTCACCATGTTAAAAGGGACACGAAACATCATTCGCATCCCTTTACATGCTCTCTTCACGCTCGACTAGCTTCATGGGCAACCTCATACTAGGTTTCATCTTGCAAGTGACGGGCAAGTACGACTATGCTTGGGTCTTCTTCGGTGCGATCAGTATAATCACTCTGCCGATCTTTTTGAGTCTGCGCGTGAACGAAGGGGTTTCAGAGGCACTAGAGTATGAGACGGAGGAATCAAATAACATCTCCGCGTAGACACAGGTTGTATCATATATGCAAAAGTCAAAACACACAGTGATGGTCGCGTACACTAAGTGTGGATAGGGCTTGGTCTGACTGCCAGGTGATGGACCGGCGACCGGAATGCCAGAGGCGCGGCCTCTATAATGCAGGATGGTACGACCGGACCCTAAATGTTAGTTGAAAACCCATCACCGTACCACCCACTTTGAGAAATAGAATGGCCGCTGATGCTTCAAGACCAAACCCAAGATCTCTCCGTTTGACAAATTGATCGATCGATAAGATTGCATGTCGAGTTTATTCCATCTAACGGTTCAATTCGACTACCCAGCTCTGGAGACTCACCGTCCGCGAGCTGTCTCACGGAGGACCAGCTCCATCTCAAACTCGTATTTTGGCGCTGCGCTTGGCTCAAGAAGACTGTTGATGAGGACTTTGGGTTGTGCTTTCTCGCCCGGCTTGAGCGCTTCTCGATCCGTCTGTGAATCTGATCGGACGAGTCTCCATTGACCAAAATGGAGACCTTTGCCACGTAAAGAGGGCTTGAGAATGGGCACGACATCCGAGGGACTGCTTATCAGCGAGCCGAGGGAGGAGAGTGACTAACTGATCCGTCGTCAAGAATGAGATAACAGTTCCGTCAGGGTAAAAACGCAAGAAACGATGGTATGTGACTGGGCACGGTCAGTGGGCACCATCTCGAACGACATACTTGTATGAGTAACCTAAGGCGCTGATCAGCAGCGCCGCACGGTCGTCACTCACTGCCACCCATTCGTCTCCTGCTCCGGGCCGACTGACCTCATTAGCTTCTGCCTCGGTATGCCCGACCTACACATAATGGCATACGGCGATGTAACACCCATCCATTCTTATCCTTTCCTCTTCTAGCATCACGGTTCTCCATTCCCCAGCATGACGCTCGCTCAGTTCCGCCAAGATGTCCTCCTGAGTTCGACCTCTCGCCCATGTTGTGGGAATCACACCTGGCGGTTTGTAGATGGACTTGACGAGCGATTTCCATACTTCTGACCTGGCCGTCAACCACCTAGCTTTCCATGAGGCGGCGCCAAATCGTTCAAGGGACAGTACGTCGAGATGAGCAAAGACGAGTTCGAGTAGCTCGGGAGGCAGAGACTCGATGGGGATCGGCAGATTCTCTTCGGATGGGAGAAATGTCGCCGAAGAGGCTTCGGGGCGAGAGTTGAAGATGGTAGTAAGGGGTGAATCGGATATCCGGTGTGACTGCTTTGATTCGTAATCGGGTGCGAATTGAAGATGTCTTTGGAAAGAATAGGGAGCTTCGCGCGGTGCCATGGAGGATACCACATCCATCGACGTGGGCGTCGGATCTTCTTCCTGGGCAATTTTCAGGCGTGATCGAGCGTAGAGTTTATCCACAGAGTCTATGACTATCAGTTAGTGAGCCATAGCCCATCACTCACCATTCAGCTTGAACGCTCGGCGGTAGAGTAGCAGCGCCTCATTTAGCTGACCACTTTGCTCCTGCTCCACAGCCCTCGCGTAGATTTCGACGGCGTCTTCTGCTCGCTTTGCTCGAATTGGACTGACTCGAGGTTGAATGAGAATCTTGGACGAGCTCGCCACTTGTTTCAACGCCTCTTTATGAGTATCTTCATCAGGCGGCATGGCTCTCCATTGGGCCCGAGGGGATGTACTCGGCCCGGCTGATGAAACAGGTCGCTTGGTCACCTCGTTGGACTTCCACCTGACAGGTCCAACAGAGACACCTTGCTTCTTTGCTTGGACCTCTGCTTGCCATTCTTTCCTAAATCGGTCGAGCTCGCTTGGTCCATCGCCGGCAGTCGAGACTCGAGGCTCAGTCCCAAGGTCGAGGGAGATCACTCCATCTTCGTCCGTACTTAGGACCGGATGACTCGGTCCAAGGCCTCCGAGAGACAGGTCTGCTAAAGACTCGTCAATCTCGTCGGCTGGATCTCGAGACATGGTCGTCTACAGCCCTATGAGTCCATGCAAACGTTGAGTGGTCATCACTATCATCATCATCGTGACCGCGAGCCGCACGATTCCTTCGGAGATCGACCAGATCTCCGAGCCTATTCACTCGAAGAGCTTATTAGTGTAGTTATGAGTGTAGTGACTCTATGCCTTGTTGCGTGTCTTCATGTCAGAGACCGCTCGAGCTGCAAGATGCATACGCAGACACACAGCTCAACATGACTTGTTCAATCGGATTCACTCGATCGCTTCAGATCAGTCCTTTGTCAAAGAGGTAGCAGACCATTTTCAGCGATTCCCAGTGATACGTGAGTAATGCCAATCAGCCCAGACATTGACAGCTCATCTAGCCAATCAGCGATGTGGGAACTGGTACTGTGATCCATCGACTAGCTCTGATATCTATGCATACTTTAAAAGCACAGACGGACACACCTTGGTGAGCTGAGCGGTCGCATATCTGGACTCATGACAGAAATGGGATTTCAATTTAAGGAGGTCGAACCTTCCGTTTGCAGGGCACATACGGAATGCAGGAGGGTGGGTGTATTCAGTGGATCTCAGGACTGAAATTCAGGATCATTCTTGTCGATTCGACTCGTAGAGGCAAAGTATGTCATGTCATGATCTGATCGCCCCCAACTGACCAGTAATCAGAGAATGCCAGATGCGTTGTCCAAGACTGTACCCGCGTGGTGCACCGTGATCAACCGAGCCATTGCGTCAAAGTACGGCACGCCCTTGGAGCCGTCTCTTTTCCTCCCTCCAGCCATAGTATCAGCCTCTGAAAAGAGCCAGATCGAAGCGCTCATACCAACATGGGTAGAATCATTACTGGTGAGTCGGACGATGCGAGCTTCATGCTCACTTGGTCAGAGCTCATCCCTGACTCTGCCTGCACTCGATGAACCACTACGACCATTCTTCATACATCCATCTACGACCACGCTACCTGTCATTCCGCGTGATGCTGCGTATCTTCCGGTTATTTGCCTTTCTGCATCTCGATGGGTCGGATCGCATTCGGATGACATCCCAACATTTACCAGGATAGGTAAAGAAACGGTAGGATTCGAGTACGTTCCTGGAGCGGGAGACGATGATGAGCTATGGGCCAGAGGTCTCACGCCGAAGTTGTTCCACGAGCATCGGAACACACTGCTCAAGACGCCAAGGGATGAACTCTGTGGTGTGGTAGAGGAGCTGGTGATGGGCAAGCTTGTGGCAAGTACAGTCGACATCAACTTGTGCGAGAGCAGTCGATCGAGTATGATACTGGGATACCCTGCACCAGATTCACGGCTCGCGCTGGACCTCGGTCTTCCGCTGTGCAACTCCCAGTGGGAGTCACCAATGACAGAGGCGATCACAATATACGTTGTCCAGGTGGACAGGCTACCGAAGGAAATAGCCACTGTAGCTTCTCTCGACTCGTCAGGTCACAATCGCCTGGTGATCTTGTCTAATCCTCGTGGAGACGGCAAACGGTACCTTGAATCAATGTCAGCAGCCCTTGAAGCCATCCAGGGTCTGTTAGAGTGGCAACCGGTCATCATAGCACCCGGACACCAAACCCATATCGACGTCGCTGTAGCCTTTGCCGGCGATCAACGTCATGCAGACTCCTCCCAATCCACTTGGACACCGGTCAAAGATGAATGGATCTCTTCTCGCAAAGTCATTTTACCCCTTATCGTGGCGCTCGCATGCCGATTGGATCAGCGAAAGACCGATGAAGTAATCAATAAAGATACCATCGCGAGCCATGTACAGCGTTTGGTGACCTTGTGGCCTGATAGTAACCCTCCTCGAGCTGCGTTGAAGAGAGTCAATGAGGTATTGATGAGTGATCCGAGGTGAATATTGTATATTGTACGGCAATGCATGGGTGTGTTTGATAACCGGGTTTCTTCGAATTTGAGACCGTTTCTGCATCATTTCGACCTGTTGAAGTATACAGCGTTCGTCGTGGGCTACATGCATCAGATTCCAGCATAGACGCTCATCGACAGGTCAGCACCATGTCAGCTATTCAGCGATTCATCTCAAAGTGAGCATGTTTTTCAAGCCCTGTGTAGCTTGACTCACCTTTTTATAGCCCAGCAAATCATGACCTCTTGGCTATTCTCAAAGGCGCGAGAAATGGTCTCGTCTACGGGGTCAAGATACGTGAGCGAGGGTCACGAGGGAAAGGCTCGATCAGGCTGACGTCGATGCTAGGCTTCCCGCATGCTCTTGTGATGACTCTACTTTTCTCAAACAAATCGTACGTCGTAGTAGGCCGCCTTGCTTTCAGTCTCGGAGACCGCCCCATCACAACCTTCACTGGACCGCCCCCAACCCGCCTAGTGTCAAGCCGCTTTCTAGGCGCAGACCTCCACGGATCGCTGACGTTCTCTCAATTTACTGCAGATGGCCAGCCAAGATCCGCAATATATTCACTGCGACCCGCACCCATGCCCTGAACTTGGCAAAATTCGTAACGATTTACAAAGTCTTGCTACTGCTCCAGAAGAAGTTCAACGGTGGAAAGGAGCGAAATCTAGATACGTTCATAGCGGGTGGTCTAGGAGGATGGTGGGTATTTGGAGAGAGAACAGCGGTGAGTGAACGAGCCCAGCGAAACGCTCGGCCAGCTTGTTCGCACCAAGACTAGATCCTGATATCTCTACGCCAGATTAACGAACAGATCGTCCTCTACGTCATGTCTCGAGTGTTCCTCTCCTTCCTCCCACGTCTCTACAAAACTACGTCCACACCTCCTTCTTACCCTACTCAACCGCTGTACCCGCTGCCATCACTCACTTCGCCTGAAGGTAATCCCAGACCCATCCCACCTGCGCCGTTACCTTTCGCACTGGTCTCCGCACTCAGCTGGGCAGGGGTCATGTACATGTTTAGACATCGTGGAGAGAGGTTACAACCGGGAATGAGCAATTCCATGCGTGAGTGATATGTCGAGAGCGCAAGGTGTGACGTGTCCCTGATGGATGTTCCAGGGTATCTCTATCACGACTCGGAAGCCTGGTACGATCTGCGTACATTGCTCTGGCATAACAAGTAAAAAATCAGCCACTTATGGCTGATGGACCGTACACGTATCGTCGTCAATTCATGCGATCAGCACTTGCTATGTTGTAGTACAACTGTATCCTATGCAGGGTATCTTTTTATGATTCTCTTCAATTGACTAGATCTGGATGAGACCTCGTGAACCCTCGAACAGCATCTAAGGGATCAGCGTCATCGACTCAAACAACTTACGATCCACGTCTGTGAGACTTGCATCCTTCTTATCAAGGGATAAAAAGACCGTCTTCTTCGTCGTCTCTTCTCCCTTGTCGAATCGTTTCAGTGACACAAATTCTTTCGACGTCTTGGCGGAGATCTCCTCGATTGTGGGCTCGAAATTTGACCAGTCTTCCAGCTTCAGCAGAACATTCTCAGAGGATGTCGGTAGACCAGGAGTCGATGACGAGATGGACTCTGGTCCTGCGTATAACCAAGGAGTATCAAAATGGGACGAGTCAGCTGCACCTCCTCCAGACACTCCGGATCTAGCCAGATCTCCCAGGCTGGCGTAGAAGGTCGAGACTGCTTCGCTAGAGATTGATGGGGACTCGTCCGGCGACGTCAGGGCGAACAGTAGGATACCGTCACGGATAATCCACCATACAGTCTGACGACAATGATTCTTCGAAGTCGGATCTGCCCCGGCTCGTTCTTCGGTAGTCAAATCTAAATATACCGATCTAAACTCCCAACCCAGGTCAATCTCATGGGTTGACGCGGCTTCGAGATCTGGTAATAGGTCTGGTCGAGGACGAACTTCCAGACTAGCCCGAATGGGCGTCTCTATCGGGCTCAAGCTAGAGGACTCAGAGTCCTTCGGATCCGGGGCATCCGCACGAGGCGGTTCGTCGAATGTTGACGCACGCGAGGAGCTAGACGTGACGACGCTGGTTTTTGCGCCGGCTTTCGTCGTTTCTGTCGCATGCTCTTGTCCGCCTCCGAAGCGGAACAGGCTGCCCATATCCAAGCTCGGGGCGACCTTCAAGCTACCGACTGCATCCGTCAACCCGGCGAGACCCATAAATCCCCACTTGTCAGCTGTTCTATCAATCTCGCCAGATGACCCTGGAGGACCTTCGGAACGAGAAACACTGCGTAAAGATGACCTCGATGGCGAATCAGTATCCAAAGGCTTGGACGGCGAAGCAGTCAATCTTGATGGGGTAGTGGATCTTGAACCTCCCAGACCTGGGACCCAGGATAAAGTCCCCAAGCCTGACCAGCTAGACTTCCGATCGCCGACGGTCTTGATAGACGCTGGAGAAGACGGTATGGACCTTGTATGAGGATTCGATAGAGACATGGAGAGGATCTTGATGAGGTAGCGTAAGAGGGTTCCAGGACATGACTCGAGAGTGCATGTGCCCAAAGTAGATATGATGCCAAGGTTGGTGAGAGGGAGAGCAGAGGTGTTGGAGAGTGCCAAAAGGGCTCGTTGGATCTTTTGTGGCTGTGGTAGGCATTCGATCCCGGGCAGAGCTCGAGACAGGGGGTGCGAAGGTGAGACGTACGAAGCTTCATATTCGAATGTGAACGATGTCCAGAACTTTTCGAATGCGGAAGAGGATGTCGAGTCGGTCTCATATGTGCCATATAAGAGCTGTAAGGTGTGAGCAAGGATCACAACGCAAGAACAATCAAATCTCACCTCATACTCTGCAAAACCTCGCTTGAGACCTTGAAGGAGAAGCCGATCAGATAGTCCTTGAGCAGTCGGAGCAGGTTCATAGGTTTCCGACCCGGGTTTGGGATCATTCTTGGCAGCTTTGCTGGTCTCAAAGGAGACCCGAGTGGCCAGAGTAATGTTCTGCGAATTACAGTCAGCCGAACAACCAGCTAAACCATGTGTTCCTGACCTACAGCGTAGATGTAAATTTGCGGTTTCGGCGTGTAGACTATCATGCGGGATCGATGGGACCGAAAAGACCAAAAGTCACTCTCGTCTGGATCTTTCACGCCCGTCGCCATCCTGAGAAAAGAGGCGCATCATCAGGGGGCGAGTTCGACGGCTATCAAGCTTCGCTCACTCGGTGAACCCCATCAAACCTCTTACGAGCCCAATCTGCTTGAGCATCGTATCTCGACTGACGGATCCAGATTTGGCAGTGTAGAACAGGATCTGAGAGGCTTCCCGTAGATCATCTTGCAGCTCGATCTCTCTCGCGCTAGGCTGCTGATCATCGTGATCCGTCCCATCGCCTAGGTCGACTTGCCGTTCCTTGCCCTTGCCTTTATCCACCTTTTCTGACTTTGGCTTCTGATCGGCCTTGGATGGATCAAATATGGCGAAATGTGCCAATGATGGAGGTCTGGGTGGAGCCGGTGGAGGAACCATTCTGAAATGCAGGGGCTATACCTCCCCCCAGTAACAAGCCTAGACACGCTGTCACCTGTTGCTCAATGCTCATCTGCTCACCTGCCAAACGAGCGAGCTAGGGGACCTTTGATACTGAGGCGCGCGGAATCAAAATTTCCGGAATCGCGCCGGAATCTCCGATGACGCTTCTTAGACATCGAGTCGTGTTCAGATGTCAGTGGACGACAATATACATTCAACGAGCTCGGACGACTGGAGTTTGACCTATCTCATTGTGCCGCTCGATAAATCATCAGAGTTTGATCCGTCATGTCTGGCCCCACCGCCAAAAAGCTGTACCTCACACGGCACGCTCAAGCCGAGCACAAGTGAGTTTTATGCGCTGACTTGGAACGCTTGGAGAACTGAGGCTGACCGGGAGAAACAGCGTGGATGAAGACTGGAGCAGTGAGTCCTCGTTTCTAGCCCTCGATACACTTGCATCCCCTGAGCGCATCATGCCCGGCAGTCTGGAGAAAATGGCGGCAGTCACGGAAGGTCAGACGTCGAAGCACGTTTATCGCTTGATCGGATGGGCAGATTATGAGGTCTGACTGATGTCTTTGCCTAGTTGCCGACGCGCCTCTGACTCCACTTGGCCAAAATCAGTCTAAACGACTCAATGAGCTCTCGCAGGGCACCATACAGAAGACTGCCGACTTGCTCGTCTCTTCGCCCGTGAGATTGACGCAATGCTCAGAAAGCGACTGCATCACTGAATTCCTCACCGGCAGATGCGCAGACCGCTCGAGACATTACTTCTTGGCTACCCAGAACTCAAAACCCGTTTAGAAGCGGAAGGCAAGCCGGTCATCATCTTGGACATACTTCAAGAGGTCAACGCGTGGGTTCCGCCCAAACATCGACCTCGCTGAGACTTTCTATCACAGTTACCCATGTGATACTCCATCTCATCCCATATCTGCCATCACCGAATGGAGAGACGGACTCTTGTCCGGCTTTGACTTCTCATCCATCTCCCCAGATTACGCTAGCAAGAAGGGCATTTTTGACCCGGAGAGAGTCGTCGAGCGAGCTCGTGAGGTCAGACGGTGGTTGAGGGATAGACCAGAGCAGGACATTGTCGGTGAGTCCGAGACTGTGCCAAGACTGAGCGCTTACGCTCTGACAGTTGTTGCACATGGTGATATCCTCCGAAACATTGCAGATGGTAAACGGTCTGGAAGAGTGAGTCTCAACTCTCGTGCCATTCACGGCGCACTGACACTCCTCTGCTCCACCTAGCCCTGGGCCAATGCCGAAGTCAAAGTGTTCACCTTTGTTTCTGAATCCGATGAGGACGCTTCGCTTGTTGAGATTGGCGAAGTCGCGCCTGTGAATGCCTCCGAAGATCCGACTAGTAGCGGAGTGGCATGAGGTGCCCATGTCTTGACCGAGCCCAGCGGAAGCTTTAGCTCCCAGGGAGTGACGTTAGAACGGGCCGGGAGAGGAAGCCAAAAATGATACCATACATGCATGAGGTGATCGAATCCTAGATCCCACGAGCGGAAGGACCCTGAAGCGTGACTGGGCAAACGATGACTGCGGGACAGATCTGGTTTGCCTATCCCATGATTTCAAAACTCGATGGGAATTGAATCTGCCGAAAGACGTGTTCAGGGGATCGACTAGCTAAGCAGCAAAGTTGGACTGAACAGGCGGTCACAGAGGCTGAACGCTGCTGACTATAGCGTGCGTGTGGATCGGCGAATTAAAATATTGTGAATGGATAGGATCTACGTCATACAAAACCCCGTTATAACCGGACAATGCCATGCTCGCAATGTGGCTATTTTTGGAGCATTCAAGCGTAACCGGGCTTGCGGTGATCTCCATTACCTTTTTGTCTCTCAGGCGTCGTGCCGTTGCCCAGTGAGACGACGAGGGGGGCGTGGTAGCATACCAGATAGCCCACGGGGATATGCGTGACTAAAAGTGTCCGACGTACTTGGCTTCCTCGTTTTGAGAGAGAGACAGCGCGAGCGGAAAGAGAATCATTTTTCCCTTCAGCTAATGCACTTTGTTACAAACCTGCGGCGGGCGGGGTTCGAGTAAAGTTGCGCAGCTTTGCCTCTTCTGCCTGGACCCCCCTCCCCCTTCTCCCCGCACATTCCCCCCTCACACCCCGAAGTGTAATAATTATACAAACGTGTACATAATGCTAAGCGCAAACGCCATGACGTGACAGGTCAATGATTCAATGGACAAGTCAAGTCAGGTACCAGGACAACTTTCCAAGTCCTCGTGCATTCACCGTGACGTCGTTGAGGGCACGTTGGTTTGGAGCAAGCCCAGCCTATATATAGGAGGGCACTTCTGACGTCTCTCGTCCTCTTCTCTCCCTTACACATCCACTACTCACTTGCCACTCAAACCAAAGTTTGTACCACTACAACACAACAACCACATCATCATGGGTGTGAGTCCGGCTCACCCAACACACGTGCGACGAGACTGATTTACCTCTCCACTATAGCTCATGGACAAAGTCAAGCAGGGTGCGGAGCAGGTCATGAACAAGGTATGTGGCAGCATACTGCAGGAAGCTTCGCCGCCTCACCCCGTTAACTCTCCATACGACAGCACAACAACAACCAAGAAGGCCAATTTGACCAGTCAGGAAACCAGGGAGGATTCGGCGGCAACAACAACGACTCATACGGTCAAGGAGGCAATCAAGGAGGCTTTGGAGGCAACAACAACGACTCTTACGGACAGGGAGGTAACCAAGGAGGCTTTGGAGGCAACAATGACTCTTCCTTCGGTTCCGGAGGAGGCAACCAGGCGGGATTCGGAGGAAACGACAACAGTAATTCGTTCGGGTCTGGTAACGACAACTCTTTCGGATCCGGAGGCAACTCTGGCTTTGACTCTAGCAACCAATCTGGAGCTGGAGGATACGGAGGACAAGGACAAGACTCGTCCTTTGGTGCTGGAAACCAAGCAAGTGGATTCGACTCTTCCAACCAGGGCGGATTCGGTGGTAACCAGGACAGCTCCTTCGGTGGTAACCAAGGTGGTGACAACTTTGGATCCAACCAGGACAGCTCGTTCGGAGGTCAACAGGACAACTCGTTTGGAGGCCAGCAAGGCAACTCGTTTGGCGGAAACCAAGGCGGTGACAACTTCAACTCTAACCAGGACAACAATTACTAGTGTGCGTGATCGAGAGTCGTTTACGGTTCGGAAATTTGAGACGATCAGGTCGAACGAGAGGCGTTCAGCAGCAATGATATATGAAGGAGTATGTAACTGAATGAATGAATGAATGAATGATTGTGAAAGGGGTCCCAGGATATGGTCGTGCGCAAAGTAAAGCTGCAGTTACGACTAGAGAAATGATTGAAGACACTTCCAAAGCTGTCTGCTGCCTCCAATGTGCCTCCTTATGCACTCGAAGCTTTGACAAGGCCTTCTGTCTGACTCGAGTAGCCCAGCTTGGAGGTTCAAATAATGCTTGGACTTGAACGCGATGAAACAAACAGGACCAAAGGTATGAAAATAGGCGTGAAAATATAGGCGCCTTACTTCGACCTATGAGATTTTGTTGATCCATGTTGAATCCCTCGTTCATACCATCATATCACAACGATGAACGTCAACTTTAGAGATGCGCCGCCGACAATTCTGCACGTAGATGAGCAGGTCATTCGAGCAGGTAAAGGTATCTCAGACCTTTTTCCCAGTCCGTCAGTCGTAAGTCCTAACAGTCGCGCCCCCCCCCATGCTCACTTTTGTCAGACTATTCAAGCGCGTTACGCTGTTCCGCGGTCACACGGCAATGGCGATGTCAGTATGACAGATGGCCAGGGCGAAGGTTCTTCATCTTCTGCAAACTGGATCGTGGGACAGGGACTCGACGCGGCACAGTCAGAGCTCAGCTTTGAGGAGAAATGGGAAGTTAGATGGCCTTTCCGGTCTTCCAAACGGGCAGAAGATTGGGTCGGAAGAGAGTATATCTTGTAGGTACTCGACGGTCCTTTCAAGCTGACAGTGAGACAACACGTATTCACTCTTTTGGACATCAAAGTCTCCGCGAACCCTTCTCCACTCATGCTCATTCCTCCTTCCGATCTGTCTCTTGATGCCTCGGCACTCTACACTCAGCTAGCATTCGAAGAGCTTAATGTTCCTGGCTTGACAATCCTCTCTCTCCCGCTCGCATCCCTCTACGCACTCGGTGCACTTTCAGGCATCATCATACATATCGGTGCTGAGCAGAGCAATGTCTCGATAGTCACAGAGTCCATCGTCAGAGACGAGTGCACGACACGTATACCTATCGGTCTGACTCACTGTTTGGCGCATTTGGAACGACTGCTTTTGATCGATTTCGCGTTGGACAAGGAGCTCAGAATGGCGCGTGGGTCAGGAGATAGCGAGCCTTGGTCTGCGGGCGAGAAGGAACGCCTGGTCAAGGAGGTCATAACAGTTCTGTGGATGGAAAACGCGTCAGAGATTGAAGCCCCCACCTCGACTGGCGAGGTGATGCACAAAGTCCGAGAAGAAGCAGAGACCGACGATACATTTGACGTGGCAAAGAAGTAGGCGCCGAAGTTTGGCTCTGGGCTGACTCCTATAGACTCGTTGGAGATGCTGCACCGGCCCCTCAGCCAAAGAAGAAGGCTCCAGCTCCGACCGCAGGCGCTACCGATACCATCTCTATATCGATTCCGTCTTTCGCTGAGAAGACCATCACTATTGGACCGATAAGACACAAACTCTGTGAACCACTGTTGCGCGGTATCAATGGTCAAGAGAGCCTGTGGGAAGCTGTTGGGAGGGCTGTCGAGAGCCCAGGATTGATTCCTGCCGAGCGGATGGCGATTTGGGATGGGATCGGTGTGGTCGGCGAGATGGCCAAAATCAAGTGTCAGTGGGATCCCATCACTGCCAACATGGCTCTCTCTTCTGACCTGATCCTCAGCATTCGCACCGGCATTCGTGACCTATCTCTCACCGCTCCTGCTCTCCTCGGCGGAGATCCCATCGGATGTCCAGCCGGCCAAGGCGAGATTGTTGTCGATCCCGTGAGTTCATTTTAGGGAAGACTATGCTGACCGATAGCGACTACTTTGCCAATTTCAAAGGCAACAGTACAGATATGGCACCCTTCTTAGGCGGATCCATGGTCGCCAAGGTGAGTTTCATCCAGTTGGGCTCTCCGCTGAACCCCGCCCAGTATGCCTTTTCAGATTATGCCGGAAAGCACTGTATCACCAAAGTGGACTACAATGCAAAGGGTCCAGCTGCTATATATACTGCGGGCATCGGAGAAGAGCGGTAATGCATATACTATAGTGGTCTCAGTCGTATTCCAAATGCTGCAGAGACGTTCAGACGAGCAGCTGAAACATGGAGGATGTACGGGCATGTTTCAACCAAAATGATTATTCCGAAAATCCCAACGTTGTACATTATCCTAGCATACCCAACATGACAGCTGCGGTACTCATCCCCAGTCCACCAAGCACATCGCTCTTGACGGCTTTCATCACCCGTCATCAACATCTGCTGGCCTTGGAGCGAGCAGCGGAAGAGGAGCAGACTCGACTATTGAATTCGAACTGTAGTCCAAAGCTCCTGGAACAACGAGGTTTAGCCTTGGGCAGTCTCGGTGTAGCCAGTATCAGCGTGGGCCTCGGGGGGAAACAGTGAGAGTAGTGTGTCAAACTATCCAGCTGACTTGAGCTAGTCTCGTTGAGCTTTGCAGACCGCTGGCTTACCACACAGATGTCAACCTACCGCCTCACACTTTCAGGTGGGTACTGAGGTCTCCAGGACTGACTGGTCCGTAGAAACGGTGACCCCGTCCGGATTGAAACACATGTATCGAATCAAGGTAAAGGCAAGAAGAAGAAAGAAGAGGATGAAGACCAAGCTGTCGAGGGCATAGTCTACCGAGTCAGTCATGGAGCCGTTGCTCAATTCTGAAACCCCAAACAGGTATCACAGGAGAAGATTGTAGTCGCTGTGGATGGAGCGAAAGAGGTCGATCTTCCTGAACGTCTGAGACTGTGAGTGATCAGATCTTCCGCCTTCCTTCTTGGTCTAATGATGGTCAGGTTGAAGCTCGCCAATACAGTCACATTCGATAGGTGATTTCTCCTCAACAGGGGCTTCGCTGAGCCGATTTTAGGATGGACAAGACTATGCTGCGTTTGTCCAAAGCCATCATTCCTGATTCTTCGGTGCCCACGCCCGATACTCCAAATCTCTCCTTGATCGAGGTTTTACTCGGTATCGAAACGCCAAGATGGCTCAACTCGGTCCCTGAAACAATATCTTCCAAGGAAGCTGGCTCGCCATCGAACGATGTACAATGGCTCGGTACTGCTCTCAACGATAGTCAGAAAGAGGCGATTGAGTTTTGCCTCAAGGCGCAAGATCTGGCTTGTATCCACGGACCGCCAGGCGTAAGCGTCCGTCCCCGACTTTATCCTGATCGTCTTTTAGACTGGCAAGACGCATACGCTCATTGAACTCATATGTCAATTGCTCCTCCGACCGGCCGCTTCCAACACCCTTCAACCCCCTCGTATCCTGGTCACAACACCGTCCAACTTGGCTCTTGATAACCTCTTGCTCAGGCTACACGCTTTGTCAAAGACAGAGCCGTACGCCTCAATCTTCCCCTCTGGGTCTATCTTACGCCTCGGTCATCCGACGCGCGTGCACAAGGATCTGATCCGCGAGACGCTCGATTGGCGTTCTGTGAATGGAGATGAGGGTCAGCTGGTGGATGATGTGGGCAAAGACATACAGGGTCACTTGGGCGACTTGGCAAAGAAGAAGGGTGAGAAGGGGAGCGTGAAGGGAAAGGAGAGAGGGAAGAAATGGGAGGAAGTGAGGATACTTCGGAAAGAGTGAGCTAGTCAATCGACTACGCTTCAGCTGATCCTGAATAGATATCGACAGCGAGAAGCGAAAGTAGTCACGAACGTCGTGAAGGCCGCTAAAGTGGGTGGATGATCTAGACAATTCGCTCATCATTTCCAGGTGGTCCTCGCTACGTGCCACAGTGCCGGCTCTAGACAACTGAGCAACATGATGTTCGATGTCTGTATCGTTGACGAAGCCACTCAAGCCGTAGAGGCTGTCTGCTGGGTCCCGATTCTCAAATCGAAGAAACTTATCCTAGCTGGTGATCCGCAGCAGGTGAGAAATTCGACATGACTTGCCTGACTTTCAGCTCCCTCCGACCATCATGAGCAAAGCGGATGCCGTCAAATCGGCCTACAAGGATAAAACCGCAGAACCATCGATGGAGGGTCTGTCTTTGGACACCTCAGGGAATCGGCAGGACCCAGTGTCAGGAGAAGAGGTTACCAATGATTATCCGGGCAAAACAAAAGTTACATCGCTCATACCTCCACGCACTCTCGAAACAACTCTCTTCCAGCGCTTAGAATCTATCTACGGACCTGGCATCAAGCGTGTTCTGCAAGTCCAGTACCGGTGCGTCCCATGGCTTTTGCTCGTAGGGACTTACCTCGCGACTGTAGTATGAACGCTTCGATCGCCTCCTTCCCATCGGCAACGCTGTACGAAAACAACCTCGTCTCCGCGCCTTCCGTCGCTTCTCACCGTCTCCTCGACCTCCCTTCAATCCTGGATAGGACTAACGAGGATGCCAAGGAGACGCTGGAACCGCCAGTCGTCTTTTTTGATACCGCCGGATGTGAATTCTACGAGCGGAGTGAGGGAGAGGAAGGGGACAAGAGTACAGGCGAGGGGAGCAAGAGCAATGAGAACGAAGCGGAGATAGTTGTCAAGTGGGCTCGAAAGTTGGTGAGTGTCAGGAAGGCAATCCCTTGCGAAGGCCTGTTCACCTTCAGATCGACCTCGGCGTCACGCCTTCTGAGATCGCTGTCGTCACTCCATATCAAGCTCAAGTATCTCTGATCTCTTCTCTGCTGCACGGAGACTTTCCGGATATGACCATTGGCTCGGTTGATGGCTTACAAGGCCAAGAGCGAGAGTTAAGTCCGTCTACGGCTGGCCTTTCAGACAGCCTCTGACCTGTACAGGCTATCATCCTCACGTTAGTTCGTTCGAACAACACCGGTCAGGTTGGTTTCCTTTCAGAATACCGGCGCTTGAATGTGGCCATGACAAGAGCAAAGAGGCAGCTCGTGAGTATCAAATACCCCATACTCGTACTTAGGTTTCAGTGCGTCGTTGGCGACTCGTCGACAGTGGGCAAAGGCAGCAAGTATCTCAAAAACTGGATGGATTGGCTGGAAAACAACGCCGATGTGCGGTATGCTGGCGATGAGACGATATGATGTTTTGGTGCCAGGGTGAATTGCACTCGCAAGCGCATTCTGGGATCATCGTAAGAGCAACTCGTGCATCTATTACGGGACTACGCGGGACTCCGAAAGGGTCACGCGGTGACAATCACTGTCTTCCCATTACGGCCTCTCCCAAAACCTGCGAATAAAGGGCGAAGGAATCCTGACTGTTGTAGTCACTTGATTTGGTAAAGTCAAACAAGGTCAGCCAGCTTCGGTCAAAGCGATGCTCTGTCGGCAATCCGATAAGAATAGTCTTGGTCTTGCTCAAAGCGTCAAGCATCTCTGGATATCCGTCCTTCATCCATTGACTCTCGGCAGTTTCTTTCGCTTCCTCCCAATCTTCGTCTCCTGCTGTAGTGCCATCGACGAGATCTTGAAGGTATGCTGCCATTCTGAAAGCTGTACCCGAACACATGGGCGAGAAGAATGGCACGTTCGTGTCAATGTCTTGTTCCTTGTCTTCCTCGTCGAAAGCCTTCTCACTGAAAGCCACCTTGACATTTGAGATGACTTCTGTCTGACAGTCTTTCGAGAAGGAGAGCACTTTGTGCATGTGACAATCGCACGTATGATCACAGAGGTCCTCAAGCGATGTAAAGGCTTTGATACCTGCTGTCTTGGTACATGCCGAGCAGGATTGACAATCGAGTTCAAAACGCTCTTCGGGGGTCATCTCATCCGACATGGTGAATAAGGTTTTGTGCTGCGGGCTCGTCTCGGAGACTGGTCGTGGAAAGGTTTTATCGCTGTCTCTGGTGGAGGCGCAGAACGTTATATGAGGTATTGGAGTAGAAGAGACTGTGCATTAGAAGACCATGCCCGTATTTGTCTTCGTCGAGACGTTTCCTTCAAGTCACCAAGACTCCTTTGGAGGTCACAAACATGAAAGGGAAGTCAGTGCGGAGATCGTCAAACTGTCAAATAGGTCCCTGCATCGCATCGCATCGCATCGTATCGTATCGCATCGCCAGGCGACAGGTTGTCGACGTGAAGACCCTTCAGTTGGCCATCAATCCAATCAAGAAGTAAAAGGGCGGGGATGGGTGTGTCCAAATGTTACAGTGAAGATGATCAGCAAGACAATGATGGCATGAAATGACATAGTGATCCACAAGGTTGAGCAGAAGCCCCCTCCCCCCCCCCCCCCCCCCCTTTCTCCCCCAGCGCTCGCGCCTTCTCTCTTTCTACACCTCTTTGATGATTCGAATGACGGCTGAAAGACCTTTGAAAGCTCCTTTCTCGGTCAAGCCATAATCTTCCAGCGTCTTTCCTGCCCCATCCTTCCATTTACCGTCTTTCCAATCGACGAGACCGTACTGTAGCGTATTCTGGTTGGAAATGAGAGTGTCCATCATCTCGGCGCAAATTTGCTAAACACCCGTCAGAAAGATTCTAAAGTGGCAAGGCAGAGCGTTTTTGGCTCACTTTGGAATCGAGCATGATGTTGACCTCTTGGGAATGGAACCAGCTTTGCGAATCTAACATGGCTCAGTGATATCCTTGGAATCTTTGCTCACCTTGATTGCCATTCCCCAAGATAACCACCTGGTCATCGTACGCGGCGAATTTGATGTGACAATTTCGTTGCTTCACGACGGCGTTGAGGGGCCGAACTTGGTCTTTTCCAGTGTACCAGTACACTTTGAGATTCTCCGCTTTGCCTTCCTTGTTCAGAGCTTTGTACAATCGATCGACGACTTCTTCGTTCGTTCCACCCTGGAATGGGATGCTTTCGCCCTTGTCGTTGAAACCTGCAACGTCAGCTTGAGCCTTTGACTGTGGAACTCACCAAGATCAAGAAGCAGGACCACTTCGACACCTCTACGACAGGCTTGCTTGACGCCACGTACAATCGGCCTGGCGTTAAGCGTAGGGCTTTGACTGAGTGAGATGTAGGTGAGTATATCGTCTCGCCAGCAGCCATGACGTACATGAAAATCTTCTTCTTGGCGTACCGCATACCAGCGAGCCATGCAGCATTTTGAGGGTTTCTAATATCTGTCACAAGTCAGTGTAACTCAAAAGTTCAAGGTCTCACCATGGTGTCCTGGGACTGTGAAATGTCAGCTCGATCAAGCCTAGACACACGGTCCACTCACATCCATGTGGTTTCCGACAACACATGGCCACGGGGAACGGGTCATGAGGGGCGTGGACGACATGCGGTCTAAAATTATCCAACTCGTCTGAATCCTCGACCGTCGCCCAAGCTTCGCTGAGAACACCAGCAGCATCTGGTCAATTAGCGCTGTGTGCAAGACTGGCATCTGTCTGGCTCACTGAATTTCTTGGACAGTTTGAACATGCGTCGACTGCCGGTACCTTCTGGTTGTGCGTCTGTACTTGTTCGCCTCAGTGTATCGGGCCGAACCGGAACATCCCTCTCCCCCGTTGGGGTATCCACGACATCTAGCGGCACAGATTCCGTCTGGATAGTGTTCGCTGGACCCTTGTTACCGGGAATTTGGGCGGTAGGTGGTAAAGGCTGACCGATCTGATTTGTCGGTACACCGGCAGGCATGGGACCATTCATATCAGGTACGTCTTCATCCCCGCCATCACCGATCGGCATGCGCAGCGCTGAGTGTGTGGGTGTCTTGAGTATGGGATCCGGCAGATCCTTGTGACGTGGTCTTGGAGACGGTTGGGCTGAACCGACAGGGGAGTCGTAGATAGCGTGATTTTCTGCTGCGCCATTAGCCAGTTTGGTGTCAAGGAAGATAATATGTGGCTTCGGCTTGTCAAGATGCTCATCGGGTTGAGGGAAGACCAGTGGCGACGAACCCGGATCGGTAACGGCCGGTGGCATGGTTTTCGACTTTGGAGGCAGATCAGAAGTCAGGGTAGGTGTAGATGGCGCTTCGGACGGGTCGACATGGGCACCGATAGCAGTATTCCGTGCGGTGATCTCGGCAGTCTGATGATCACTAAAGTCTGGGACAGGGTCAGCCATCGTTGCTCTTGGTACACTTACGACCAGCTTTGAGGGTAGTATCCGTGGCACTCTGTCTCCTACTTGGAGCTCGGCTTGGTCCTCGAGAATTGCTCCTTGATCCTGCTCTACTGGCTGATCGACTGGCACCTCCCATCGCATTGGCCATACCTGTAGCCCAACGTTCTCTGAACTCTCGCAATTCGTGCATGGCCGTTTGGGCTCTGGCGTTGAGGTCCTCGCCAGGTTTCCAATCGGCCAAGCTCTGTCTCTGTTTCTCCATGGCTTGTCGGACAGCGTCTCGGAACCTCTCACGACCAGTCTCTTCACGTCCTGACTTTTCCTCGTCCAGAGCCAGCGTCTGTCTGCGGAGCAAGAGTCGAGCAGCCTTGGCAGCTTTGAGAATCTCGATATCATCAAAGTAGGGATTGTGATCGGCAAAGAGGTAGTGAACCTTTCCTTGGCTATCTCGCGGTGGCTGAAACGGTGTCGACATGCATGGCAGTGGCGGGTCCAGCTTGTTGTACCAAGAGTGAAGGGCGATTTCGTAAAAGGCATCTACGACCGGTCCCTCGAGGTGCGTCATAAGCTCCAGGTTGGGTCGATCTAGCAGGGTAAGCTGGGCAAGAATATCCTGCCTCACCTTGAATGTTGTTGCTGTTCAGCAGGGCAACCTTTCGGTCGACGATCAAGAATTTGGCATGGAACGTGCCCAGCAGGACTTTGTGAAAATTCTGATATTGTCAACGAACAACTTGCGCTGATCGACCCACAATGATCTCCAGATGCAGACCCTGTACCTCTTCCTTTGTCGGCAAATGTAATGGGGCCCATTTTTGAGGATCGACTGGGGCATGCGAATTCCAAAGCTGCTCCCAAGACCCTCTGTCATACATGATTTTCACAACCACTTTAGGACGGCCCTGTTTCACGACGAGGTCAGAGAGTTCTCGGAGGCAGCCTGAGATGGTAGTGACAGAGTTGGATGGTCTAAGTTATGTGAGCCAAGGTCAAAGGGGGGGACGATCAGCTCACTGCCAATAATTGGTAGCCAGGAACACCTCCTTTTCCGCCCTGATGATGACGTCTCGGTAATGCTGCATGATATCGGGGATGAGTGAAATGATAGAGATGGGCATGGTGGTTGTTGAACCGAGAAGGTCTGGCGGCACAAGTCCCGAGAGAGGGTCTCTTTCCAGAGTAGGGAGAAGGGACAGATACATCTGCTAGGTTAGTCTTGTCCTGATAAGAGGTCCGCCTACCTTCCAGAACAATTCGCTGACTTCTACACCTTCCCCCGGCTCGCCTTGCAACTTCCAACCGGCTTTCTTCCTCAACGCTTCGCCCTCGGCTGTCCACCTGGCCATTTCCTTCTGCGTCATACCTGAAATGACACTATGCTTGACTTTGAAACGCTTGATGAGTCTCATGATGGGATTGGCTTTGGGGAAAAGCGTGTCAATCGCTTGTCCTACCGAGTGGTCAGGGTGTTGCTGGAGGTGATGCGACAAGAGTGTACGGGAAGGCGTAGAGGGCCCAGCAACGGGTGTCGTGTCTTGAGGCTGAGATGGTTGAGGATAGGCGATACGAGTAGGACTGGCGGTATCTGGAGTGGTAGGACTAGACTGCGTCGGCAATGGTGCAGGGGCTGTCATCGCCTTGACCCTGTCTGGCTCCCTTGGAGCAGCACTGGGAGATTGATCCATATCGTGGTCGAGTATGATGGGTGCAGGAGATGCAGATAGACGTGGAGATGATTTTGGAGAAGGTCTCGGCGATGCTGAGCGTCGAGGTGAGGAGGATGGACCCGCATGGGTCGCATTTTCCTGTGCCATGTCTGAGCTTGGCATCATTTCCGAGACAAAGATGAGAGCAATCGGTGTGCTATTGGAATGCGATGATGGGGAAGATGTCGGTTGCTGAAAAGGCTGTGGACGAGTGCTGGCAGGGCGTGTAGAGTTGAGAGCACGAGTCAGTGGATGATCGTCTGAGGTATTATGATTGATGCGCAGCTGGAGGAGGAAGGCTGTCTATTATTGGCTATTACCGCTGTGACGCAGCGGGAATGTCTGGTTGAAAGGATCTGATCATGCCAAGGATATCAGCCGCCACGAACGCCGCAGAAGGACAGGTTGAATGGGTCTCTAAGAGTCTCCAAGATCTATCTGTGAAGCTGTCAACGTCTTGGTCGCGATCAGATATGGTGTATATATCACCATCTTCGTCGCATTTCAAGATGACGCAAGTAGTAAGGTCCCAACTATGATGAGCATGACGTGGCAGCCGAGCCCTATATTGATAAGAATACTTCCGCTCGCTGCACCCTCCACCGGCCCGGCTACATCTCCGGATGTTCGGACAACAGCGACGGATCGACGGAGCTCCTTTTGTCCATCTCCTCCAGATTACATGTCTAGAGTAGCATTGAACAGGCTCAGTCATTGCATACGATCAACCACATACCGAGACGCATACATCCTTAGAATCACCCGTCGATCACTGTCTATCACCATGTCTGCTCAACAGGAATTTCATCAAGCGCCTCACAAGCTCCTCGTGTGAGTTTCAAAAACCTCCGTGTGACATGTTTGTTCACTCAACCACCTATGTGTGTGCAGTATCCCAGGACCTATAGAATTCTCTGATCCTGTACTCGCTGCGAATGCTACACCGGGAACATCCCATGTATCACCTGCCTTCGCTCCGATCTTTGGGGACTGCTTGAGAATGTTGAAGCAGGTCTTGTACGCTGAGAAGGAGGGAAATCAACCTTTTCTCATCGCTGGAAGTGGAACCATGGGATGGGATCAAGTCGCAGCGAATTTGATGGAGCAAGGTGACGAGGCGGTGAGGTTTGAGGAGTGCCATGTGCGATGCATCAATTGATAGAGGAAACTAGGTGGTCCTCAACACTGGATACTTCGGAGCCGCATTTGCTGATTGGTGCGTCTTGGGTTTGCATGGGTCGAGTATCGCTGACATGTACCCAGTCTTGAGGCATACGGTGCCAAAGTCACCAAAGTGACAGCAGAGGTCGGCGGAGTGCCAAGGTCCGTCTCCTTGGTCTGTCGCCTGCCTCGCTGACCGATTCAGTGACGAGCAAATCGTCAAGGCCTTAGAATCCAAGCCAAAACTATTGACTATCACTCATGGTAAGCTACCGTTGAGGAACCTCGTCTGACCCACGTCAGTCGACACTTCCACTGGTGTTCTCTCTCCAGCTGCTCACATTACCTCGCTTGTTCAGAAACACTCTCCTTCAACGTTGATCGCTCTCGACGCAGTCTGCGCCGTCGCGTCTGAAGAGATCAGGTTTGACGATTGGGGTCTCGACGTCGTCATCTCGGCCACTCAAAAAGGTCTCGGAGCGCCTCCAGGTCTCAGTGTATTGATGGCTTCCAAGCGTGCCATGGAGGTGAGCTATAGTAACATGGAACATGCTCACCAGATCAGACGTTCCATAGCCGAAAGCAACCCGTCCTTGGATACTATCTCAACTGGAAGGTCAGTCCTGCCTCTGCTGCCTGCCTACAGCGCTGAATTAATCTAGAACTGGATCCCAATCATGCAAGGTTACGAGGCAGGCACCCCGAAATACTTTGCGACGCGTGGGTTTCACCTGAGCCACACTCTCTGACGTTCTTTCAGCCCCCGTCCAACTCATCTACGCCCTACACACCTCCCTTAAATCCATCACTTCAGGTCCTTCGTCTCTTGAAGAACGATTCGAGCAGCACAAACAGGCTTCAGCATATGTCAAGGACTCACTGGCAAAACTTGGGTTCGGATTCGTCCCGCTCGATCGAAAGATCGCCGCGAACGGGATGACAGCAGTCAAATATCCTAAAGGGTTCGCAGCGGCGGACATCTTGCCAAAGCTTGCCGAGTGAGCTAAAATCTCTCGAGTTTCTCGGCAAGCTCTCGCTGACAAGTGCTCTCCAGGAAAGATATCGTGGTGGCTGCTGGACTCCACAAGGCCATCGCTTCTGAATACTTCCGGATCGGGCACATGGGCATCACCGTGACTGATAAAGGTCGTGGAGATCTCGACAAGATCTTGAACGGAATTCAAGAGGTGCTCAAAGAGAGTGGAAAATCTGTCAGCTCGGCGTGAGTGTCGGTAAGTCGGGGGGTCTGGAGACAATGCCTTAGACTGACTTGAGTCTTCAGGCCCAGTCCAAAATTATAGAATCGCAAGTCGATGATGCATGTCGTCTTTGAGAAATTTTCCTACCTACTGGAGACTGGTCCTGCTGATGTATATACAAAGACCCAGCAGACCGTTTGCACCGTGTGCCTAACGCTCCATAGCTAGAACCTCACTTCGGCTCACATCTTCGGCATCGATTGGGCCGACTTCAACGCCAGCGCGCACCAGGAATTCTCGATCTTTTCTGCTCTGCCCAAGTATCTCAGCAAGTTGACGGCGATCTTGCAAGATTTTCCACTCCAGGTCCCGATAGACCTTCACTCGACGCAGGGCCTCAGAGGTCTCCTTCAAGTCGGCAGCTGGAAATCGTCCGTTTGGCAAAACTGCAGCGCGTGAAATGAGGTCCGGATCGTCCTCGAACGGTGTGTAGTCGAATTGCTGGAAGTACTCGTAATCCTCGTCCGTCCGGCTGTGCTCATGAAAGAAGCGCAGGGCCTTGTCTGAGAGTCTTCCGTCCATCACCAGGAACGCGTTTGGGGCACAAAGATTGGCGACATGCGCTGTCAGGGTCAATTGTTCGGGCGTTGTCAATTCGTGATGGTGATTCAGAGTCAAGGACCTCAACCTTCCCTTGAGTAGCGCTGTGGATGCTTTGAAAGCGGATGCGAAGGTTCCCGCCTGAACAAAACCATTAAGCTCGAGGCATTCAAGGCTCGGTGAATGGCGACTGACAGAGTCCAATAAGTCCAATACGTGGAAGACAGCCGACCAATCCAGTTCGATGCTGGAGGTCCCGTTGTCCAGCGCAAGACTCATCTCCGTCAAAAATCCCCCACATTTTGGTATGAAGGCCGACCAGCTCGCCGAAGACCAGTCAAAGGAGATGCCCAGACATCTGATTCCAATCAACGCAGCAGTGTCGATATTTTTTGGGAGCCAGTCGGGCGGTGAAGCGGCATGAGAGGTCAGAATGACGTTTGCGAGACTGTCGAGCGTGGTTTCTGGCTTGGTCGTTGGCTGATTGACTTCTCCCTGAGCGAATTCACCGACGATTGACTCGATCACAGCGAGATTATGACCTGAAGATGTCAAAGCCTTGAGTTCTGCGACATCCTCGACAAAGTAGTCGTACCGCGGCCAGACGATCCACTTCATTTTGCGACCCTCTTCCATGAACCAATGCGGCTGGTCCAAGTGATTGAGAGAGACGGAATCCCTGAAATCTCGCTTGATGACGACAGGTGAAGAGGTTGTCAAGTGGGAAGCGACCAATCGCCTGCCGTATACTCACTCCAGATTGGGATAGCAAGTCATGAATTGCTCCAATTTCGTCGTGATGACACTCTCCGAATCATCGTCGATGGGGACTTCTGTCACTTCGCGTACGAAGTCACAGATCTGATTCGATGGAGATTCGAATGGAGTCTCCTCCAGCGGTTCGTCCTTGCGCCAGCGGATGGTGGTATATCGCAGCCTCGCAATGATCCGCCAAGCAGCTTGCGAAGTCAAAGTGAGATGATTGATTGCCTCTGTGTCTCTCTCCAAGTCCAGCTGGTGAATGATCGTGGTGAGCAGTATCGGCATTGTCATGTACTCGACTAGAGGCTGAAGGGTGATGGGAAGATGGTGGTGGTGGTGGCTCTAAGCGATGGAGTGGTTTCGACATAGTGGACGGGCTGAACGCTCGACGTCGCGAAACGGGCGTGTAAGATCCTGCCGACGATGACCGTGGTCACTTGGAAGGAAGGTGGGGATGAGATTCAATGGTGAGTTGTGTGAAGGTTGAGTAGATTACATCGTCCAGGACGAGAGACAGGAATCTGAAACGCAAGGGGGGGGGGGGGGGGGAGGTTGAGTGGAATGTGGCAGCGCTGTGGCGGTCAATTCTGCCAAACTGGTCTCAAAGCGAGGGCGAGGCTCAAGTAAGGACACCAAAGGGCTAGAGTGTGACCTGTGTAGGTATTGAGCGCTCCGCATTGCCCTGAGCAAGGCCATCCAGCATTTCCTATATCGTACGCTATGAGAGGGGTGAGTGACTCTCACCCAAGGCGAGGGTGCCACACCCATGACGGGTGTCATTTTTGATTCCGCTAATGCAGATTGTCGATTAGAGAATTTTACTAATATCTCCCCGCGCGATTAATTCCTCAGCCATCTCTGTGCCAAATATCGAAATGTTGGTGTAGCATGGCCCAATCCTCGTTTCGAATGACGACGACAGAGCAGCCGCTCATCGACGAGGCAGCGAGTGATGGTCAGCGAGGACGTCTAGAGGAGGCTTAAGGAAGAGGTCATACAGTTAGTCGACAAACGCTTATGGTCCTAGGTCGATCGTAGGACCGGAGACTTTCCCGTACCTTACCTCTCAGGCGCCCGTACTCTCTCTCTCTCTCTCCATCTTCCACCATGTCACGCCCACCACTGCAACCACGGACATCGTCCTCTTCTTATCCTCGAGCTTCGCTCCCTCGTATGATCTTCTCACCGTTCATTCGCCTCTTTCGTCGTATAGCTCCGTCTGGTCTTCCAACTGCTCTCCCATCCATCTCGACACCCTTAGGTCCACCTTCCAGCCAAACGTCAAACTCCGTCCCTCTCCTCCTTCTCGTCACTTCGGCTCTCCAACGTCTGGATCTATCGACAGACCCAAGAAAGACGATACGGAAGATCTCCAAAGCCGATTTGACGCTCCCTCGACTCTTACCGTACATCTTCTTCGGCCTCGATGCCCTTTATTGTCTGTACATTATGCGGGTATCGATCCTCCTCAAACTCGCCATACCGACTCTCTACGCCCTTGCCATCTTACTGCCCTTCTCCTCTCAGCTCATATGGCCAGCTACACCCGTCTTGACCTGGGCATTGACATTTTTCACGGCGAGATTCATCCCTTCTTCCCATCGTCCAGAGATCCACGTCGCTCTCTTGCCTGCACTCGAAAGCGTCTTATACGGCGCCAATATTTCCGATCTTCAAACGAGGTATACAAACTCTTTCATGGATGTCATGGCTTGGATTCCTTATGGCGTTCTTCATTTCAGCTTGCCAATCATTGTCGCTTTGATTCTATGGGCAGTCGGACCGAAAGGCGCTCCTCAATACTGGGGCAAAGCATTTGGATGGATGAACCTCGTCGGGGTCTTGACTCAGATCTTGATCCCGTGTGCCGCCCCGTGTAAGTGTTGAAAATATATTTTACCTGTGAGGCTCGCTGACATCCCACGCTAGGGTACGAGATCATTCACGGCCTGACCCCTGCCAATTACGCCATGCCCGGTTCACCCGGTGGACTCTTACGTATCGATCGAGTTCTCCATACCTCGACCTATACCAATGCTTTCGGAGCTGCTCCGTTGGTCTTTGGAGCTTTTCCTTCTCTCCATTCCGGCTGTGCAGTCATGGAAGCTCTGTTCATGTCCCACTTTTTCCCTCGATTCAAGCCCGTCTACTGGGGTTATGTTGGTGTGCTGTGGTGGGCGACCATGTACCTCTCACATCACTACCTCATCGACTTGACAGCTGGAGCATGCCTTAGTGTGATCGTCTTCTACATCACGATGCCGCCTCAATTCAAGGATGTCGATCAGATCATTTGGTCCAGAGAACAAGGAGGCGCAGGAGTACCCATGTTCCAAGCTACGACTGGTCCAGATGCTGGACCTCTGGCAGTAGGTGGATCTAGTGGTCTGGAAGGGATGCAACATCGGGACGAGAGGCAGACAGCCAGTTTCGAAGCGAGATTGGAGAGGATAGAGAGGCATGAGGGTGGAGATGATAATGATGATGAAGGGGAGGAGGCGACGGAACGAGGTGATGGCGTTGAACCTGACGAGGAAGCTAGAGTGGAAGGAAAGGCTCAAGAAGGCGGTTCGGGCCATCCTGCGAGAGTGAAGCGAAATGTCAGTTGGGGCGAGACCAAAGTTTTGGGAGAAGAAGCTGGTCGTCGGAAGAATGAGAATGCAAGTGACGGAGTGTAGCGATGGTACGACATCGTATCAGTGTCAGAAAGGAAATGCAAGTATACTGAACGGCTGTATAATGCATGGGTGCGGACAACATGTCCCGCTAGTACAAGGAGTCATCCTCAAAGTCAAAGGACAATCCACTACTTGGCATTCTGCCGTATCCAGCTTTGGATGGCGAGTTGTTCCACACACTGATGATACCCATGGATCGAGCTCGACGGACCAGTTTACCGACTTGCTTTTGAGATTTCTTGGACAGCTGCGTTTCAGATCTTGGCGAGCGGGTCAGCGTGAATCCTCCATCTCCTGTCTCGCGCAGTCCTGGCCAAATGGCCGAACTGATCGCACTCACCTCGGTTTGATTCTGCCCATTGGATCCAAGAAGGCTTGAATCAATCTCGCATTGTACGTATGTTCTAATGGATGGGAGTTTGCCAATATGAATGGATCCCGTTGTCTTGCTTTGCCTTCTTGAGGTCCAAACAGAGGTGGTTTTCGTCTCGGTCGAAAGCTCCCAGGGAAAAGTCTCTCTCGTGTCAATTCGGACGGCGAGATGGTCTATCAAAGGAGGAGGGAAAGATCTCGAAATGAGCACAAGAACTGGCTGTACATCTGGGAGCATGGGGATGGACTCACCGCTCCAGGATGAAAGTTTGTCCTTCTTCCATCCGCTGCCGCACCCATATCTTTCAACATTGCCTCTGTCTGAGTCTGCGGTGTAGATCCATCTGAACGACAATCAATGACATGCAACTGGATGAATTCCAATTAAGACTCACTGGAAGACGACGAAGATGCAGCTTGAGAACCGAGAATGTTCGCTAATGATCCAGCAAATGATTCAAAGCCATTTGGCGGAGGCCGAGATGGGATGGAAGTCGATGAGAATGTCCTCAAACCTCCGATCATCATGACCGAGGAGAATGAGGAGCCTGATGCAGCTGACATGGCAGTGAGAGAGCTATAGGCTCTCGGTATGAGTCGTTGAGACATGGTTGGCCTTTGTTGGCTCAGCAGAGGCACAAAGTGACCAAAGAGCTTGAACAGTTGTTGTAGAATCGACTGCACCGGCAAGATGAACGATTTTGGACGGAAGCAAAATCTCATTTTGGTGGCGGAGAGTTCATTTGGAGCCGCTGGTGGTGGTGGTGGTGGTGGTGGTGGTGGTGGTGGTGGTGGTGGTGGTGGTGATGGTGGTGATCAGCAAGCAGTGAGTGGCAGGGCGAGGCGAGCGCAGATCAACCATGGAGGCGTGTCTCCTGCTCGCCGTTATGGCATATGGACCCGGGGGCAGACTTCTCACAAGATCTTCACTGCTACCAGCATCCGTTGAAAGGTCCGAAGCAGCGGAATCAAAGTGAGCAGTGCTTGAACGACCTGCCCTCCAGCATTCGCATAGCTGTACCTGACCTATAGAATCAAGGCATGAAGAAGGTCTGAGGATTTGCATCAGTATTGGACTCAAGACGCTTCAGATTGATCTCCCCACTTGTTGTCGAAAACCTCCCTCCCTGCCTCCCGCTCACTCACGGTTGCCGATACGAACGGTCCCAAGTGGTGAATGATTTATATTCTGACACCGTATTTCAAGGATGCTCCATATCATTCCAACCTCCTGTCATTTCTCAATTCGATACATTCTCTCCTCTCTCTCTCTCTCTTTCTGCAATCACACAGCCCACTGATCGCCTTCCATGACGTGCAGAGGGGATGCCAGACTTGACCCCTTCCGCTTAGGCCCTTAGGCGCCTTAGTCCCGGCTGACTGACTCCTAGCCATGAGCCACTGCTGACGTCTAGCAAAACCAGCTCTCAACTTCAAAGTCTTATCCTCACTCCCCTTGTGATGCCCTCTAAGTCGCACTCCTACTCCGTCCTCTCCCATTCGCACGATGTCACATCGGGACCTTCCACACAACTCCCCACCAACCTCCCCGCCTACAGACTCCAACACGACTCTGGTCCTCGCCACTACGACACCACCTCACCTCTGTCCTGAGACACCGTCTTCTTCGCAAGCTTCGGCTCCCATCGTCACACCAGAAAGCCTGCAGGAGGATCATCCCACGTCGACATCACCTCCTGTGACACCCGATTCGCTGAGTGGCCTCCAGGATCATTCCACCATCACCATCACCACCACCACTCCAGTCGTCGTTCCCTCCTACAAGCGATCTCTCATTCTATCAGGAACCATGGGATCGGCCGTCTCCACTTGTCGTTCTACTCTTATCGAGTCGACAACAGAACAAGATTCGATCTCCATGCCGCCAGCAGTCCCTGACCTATTCGTCACCCCGCCTTCTCCCAATCTCGCGGACACCTCTGATGATCGCTCACCCATTTCTGCCGATCATTTGGCCCCTCCTGAGCTCGTGCCATGTCAAGGCGATGAAGATCCACAAGAGGAGATTCTGGACCAACGACATCAGAAAGACCATCTTGACGACGCCACCTCGCCTGCTTCGCCACCCTCTGCATCATCTTCATCCTCCACGGAAGAGGAAGAGCCAGTGGAGGATCGAACGGATCGCTCCCCACCAAGATCTGTCACTCAACATTCGAGAAAACGTCCAAGATCGTCTGAAGACGAGATTGAAGAAGCTCAGGACACGTCACCTGCGCGCAGAGACAGCAGTCTGGACCTGTTTATCGAGGGTATTTTGAACAAAAGTCCCAATGGAGATAAAAGTCATCGTCCGGCATCCTCTGGTCCCGCTTCATCATCTCTGTCAAGACTGAAACGTCATGCATCAAGTCATAGCAGTCAACACGGTACAGGCTCCTTGTCTCGACCCTCCAAACCTGCCAAGCGGCAACATCCAGATTCCGTCCGGCGTGCGATGAAAGGCCGGCGGACTGCAGGCAATCCCGCCTGTCCTTCATCTGAAGGATCCTCCTCCAGATCCTGGTCTCTCGCCTCTTCCACTCGATTACAAAAAGTTACGACGGGTCTCAAGGATCTCCACATGAGCACAGGGTCCTCAAAGGCGAGCATCGCTGCGGGGCACGCCAACAAGACAAAGACCTCCTCGCCCAAATCTCCCGGTAAAATGCCATTCAGTTCGGTCCTGGAAGAAGGCAAGCTTCGCACTCGTCCGGGCCAGCGGAAGATCTGGTCAGCCAACGGAAACACCATCAAAGCTGGCCACACGATCGCCGCACTGTCCCCATCACATCCGATCCTTCACACAAGACTGATCGAGACTCACTGTTCTGGATGTTTGCTTGACCCAAAGACAAAGGCGGAGCTGGACCACACCGACCCTCAGTATGTGGCGAATCGATTTCTCAAATGCGGACGATGTGCGCGAGTATGGTGGTGCTCGTTGGTGGGGGCTTTTGAAAAAGGTGATTGTCGCTGACGTTCTAGAAATGCTATGCCCGCCATGGTCATGCGCACTTTGATGAATGCCGGGCGCTGAGTGTTGTTAGACGGGTACCTTCTGCCGAAGTGAGACTACTGGCCAGGGCCTGCATCATGAAGGCTGAGGGAAAGGTGTGCTAGACCGCGAGCGCACGCTGACAGTCTTCAGGCTCGTCCTGAGGTCCTATGTCAGTGCTTCTGTCTCGAGCCTTCCACCGTCATTGACACGATCCAGTAATGCCAATCTCACACCATGAAATGAGCCAACTTGGTCCTATCCTCAGGGATCTGACTACCTTCTTGGGAAGCGTCCACAAAGACACAAGAGGGTATCAGCACTTGGACTATACGGAGTATGGTTGCGCGACTGCCGTCGAGTTCTTCGACTTTGTTCGAACAGTGAGCATTCTGGTGATTGGCAATCAATAGGGTTGGTGACCTCGACGGCCGCTAGGTGCGACAACATATCGTCCCTATGACGGACGCGTTTGCAGCACCACTTGGAGTTTGTTTGGCTCCGACCATTTCAACATTTGGACATTCCTGTCGACCGAACGCTCAACTCTGCTGGCCTTATGGACCTCATGGATCAAAGCCTCTCAGGGTCATTGCGATCGATGAGATCGAGCCAGAGAAAGAGGTGAGCGAGCCGTCAAAGGCTCTTCGACGCGACTCACAGTCGACAGATACTTCTCGCTCATGTCGACCTCGCCATTCCCATACATCGTCGGACAGGGTACCTTTCCGCGAAGGGGTTCAATCACAACAACTGTCATTGGTGTCTCCAGGAGAGGAGGGAGAAAGTTGATATCCGATGGGCAGCCAAACATCACTACTGCGATGGCTTGGTCAGGCTCACCGGTGAATTTATCGTCATGTGACATACCTGACTTCTATACAGATGACGAGCCGAATGGCGAAAGTGGCAGATTGGCGGGGCCTTGCACATCATGCGATTCTCGTACATCCGATTATGGCCTGGACACGTATGAAGAAGTAGTGACGTTTCTACAAAAACACTTGGAGGCGTACTCACAGGGCGCTTGGCTCACTACGGAAGACGAAAGCGATCAGTGTGAGTTGCCTGAGTTTGACGAACAGATGCTGACCACGGGCTCAGCGATAAAAGCCGAGATCTCATTTCTGGAGACCACACTCCAGAGTCTTGCAAGTGGTTATCCTTCGACTGTGACTCCTGTTCATACCCTTCGACACCGTCTTGCCAACATACACCTCCAAGACGAGGATACGACCATTAACAGGCTCACTCGTTCGGTGGATCTCTTTGAGATGACTTACCTCGCTCTGCTTTCAATCTACAATGCACAGCCTCGCCATATTACATTGAGCTGCCTCGTCAAGCAGATCGAAGCGCACCTCAAGATTATTCACCTTCGATCGCAAAGCGATGAATGGCAAACAATCAAGATGAATCGTGAACGAGAGATGAATGGGTGAGAAGTCACCCATCCATACCTTTGGGCGTTGACTCTGTGTTCATTCTGACAATTGCACAGCGGGGATGCCATTGAGAGGATCACTGATGCAGTGGTTGAAACGCACCTGGCTCGAGCTCGAACGTTACTGGATGATGCTCAAACAGAAGCATTCATGGTCTTTGGAGTCTGTGGTGGTCAGATGATCAAGTCGTTGAACAGGCTGGAGAGGCGTTTAGACAAGCGGACGGCGTGGTATGCGGAATATAATAGAGATTCAGAACATGGCTCCAACGGGTGGAGACAAGATGACGAGGAGGATAAGTCAGAGGATGACGCAGTGGACGCCATCAAGGCGGCATTGGCCAATAGCACGATGGACAGGACCCTTCACAGGACACCTTACGAAGACGAATCGAGTAAAGAGAATCGACATGGACGGCGGAGAGTCAGTTTCACGAACAAGGCTTCAAAGCATCGCAAGGATAACGGACTGCACGAGCGCGAGGAGAACAAGTAGACTGTTGTTGTATATGATTTGCTCTTAGTCCACATTAGACAAGATTTGTATTATAGTCACATGTCATCGTTCGCATGCCAAACAGAGCTGATAGCTGGACTATGCGCCATCTGGTGCACTGACATGGGTTTGGCTGTTGTCAAGTGATGGATCAATGGTCCCGCTGAGTCCTAGTCCCAACACTGTATCATCAGTCTCGGTGATCGAGGTCTTCCAGCTCACAAGTATCAGAGAACTCGGCTGACTCTGAGCCAAGCAGATCCGCCAGAAGCGAAGCTGTCGATAAGGGAGGCGAATCTTGTCTTTAAGTGCCTGAAGGCACTTCTGCATCGTTTTCCCTCTGCTCAAGACTCTGACGAATGTATCGTACGCCTGTCCAGTAGATCTCGACCTTGCCCAACATGGCCAAGGTCTTTTGAAAGTCTTGTCGAGCGGCTCGAATCATGTGTTCTTTCCCCACAGAAGTGCATTCTGGATCCTCATATCGCCTAGCCTGGAGCACTAAAGGTGAAAGAAAGTCTCAACGTATGCGAGAGGCGGTTGAGAGGGGGGAGGCGTCCTGACTTACGAAATGTTCTCGCAGCTAGGTAGAGGGGGTAATTTATCCATGGTTGAGTTACAGCTCGATTATCGATCTGAAGAACATGTCGATCAGCTACGGCTTTTGGCGGTCTCCTGTAGGAGGGGAAGGGGGGGTGGACCCTACGATTTCAGCAAACGCAACGATGTCCATAATGGATTTAGCAGAGCTGACTGCCAGTTCTCGTCCCGCATCATCCATCTTGGCGTGTCTACTCAGATCCGAGGAAGACAGTAAAGGCAGAGGTAGATATGATAATAGAACCAGGCTATCTGCTCAGTGCATACTCGGGAGGCTGAGCACTTACGCATGAAACCATGTCTGGGCCATCGTTAGCGCACAAAAGCTGACGAAGGCTCTTCGACCCACATGTAATAGCACAAATGCGCCACCCTGACCTGCATTGGCAAAAGATTGGAAAGTCAGCGTACTGAACTTGAGATCCTCCGGCAACGTGGAATAGAATGCCGTCAAATCATTCTGGAGTTGCGCCAATTCTTTATCCGCTTGATCTAGGGATACGTTGACGAGGATGTGAGCGATTTGATCGACGTAGACGAATATCTGAGTAACGTGCTCGAACGGATCAGGGAGATGTTGCCCCGTATGGGTCATAACGCTCGGTAGGTTTGGAACAGTCCATTTCCGGTCCTGAAACATGCCTCGGCGACCGGCTATGGCAGGATTCGCGAGCTCAGCTGGGCGATAACAAAAAGATTGGCTTGACCCACTACCGATAGTCATGATGGAGTCCATGACTCTCAGACAACAATGCCGACGCCTTGAGCTGGCCATATCACGATCGTGTACGGTCGTACCCGAGATCAAAGCTCCCCCTTCCTTGCCGATCGTTTCGAGACCTGAGAATGAGTCCGAGGTGTACACCAGTTGCTCACCTAGATCTTGTCCCATCCGAAAAGCCATGCCAGAGTACCTAGTGAGAATGAGCTTGCAGACATCTCTTGTCACTAACATCCAAAGTCCCTGAAACATGAGCCATAGACACACAAGAGCCCGCTCACCCCATCACGATCGCCTCCGAACTCGTACCAGCTCAAGAGGATCAAACTGTCCATCAGGTCCGTGGTGGAGATTGCCAGATCTCTTGATACTAGGGACTTGGCCTTTTCTGCCCAGGCTCTTGACCCCTCCCGCAGAGCATTGTCCGCGTTGTTCTCGAACATCGGGGAAAACCTTGCGGCGAGTGCACAGACAATGTTAGTCAATGCTGGCGATAGAGAGTACCGTGACGGGTCATCGATGTCCGCTCGCAGATTTATGAAGGAGAAAAAGTAGTTGAAGTGGGAGATAAAGAGGGGAATGAGATGGTTCATGGCTTCGTTACTCTGACGTGTGAGCGAAAGACCGTTGAGGGTGTAGCTCACGGGGTGATCTTCATACGGAGCAGGTGAAAAGGTAGCAAAGACGGGCGGGGTGGCGGGGATATCTTGCAACGGAGAGGGTGCGCGTGAGATGACGCTGGTGACTTGTTTGTACCCAGGTAAAATGGCTGTCGGACCACTGAGAGATGAGCTGATGTCATGCCCGGCGATGCTCACAAGAATCTGATGTATAAGAATAAGCATGAATGACAACGATACTTCGCCGCCTTTGATAACTCACCTAAAGAAAGGCACCTGCAACCGCTTCAACCTTGACACCTGCCTCCGAAGGGTCATTACTGGATCAGACGTGAGGAATTGCCCATTCAAGCCATTTGGAATGACTGATTGATCAGAAGGAGGTGACGGTCCGAATGCCATGGCCGAGCTATCCGCACCTCCAAGCTGTTCCAACCAGGCTTTGGGCGTAGACAGGTTGACGAAAGCGAATGGGTCTTCAACCTGCGAACCATTATTGCCGATATTGCCCAAGCCAAGTAAGAGATTGAAGATATCATCGTTCCTCCGTACAGCAGTCGGTTGAGCAAGCAGCTGAGAGGATTGTCCAGTATCTAAGAACGGCTCGTCAAAGGACATACCGGACTCCCGACGAGAATCGTCCGCCGTTGTGGATGGGGTGTCCTGGACCTGACTCGGAGCAGATGATCCAGCAGGTATCGGAGGCCGCTCCTCATGACTCGTAGAGGCTCTTCGAGGCCTAGTGAAGAATTCCCGCCTCTTCTTCGGCACTCTAGCCAAGTAGACACAGGTTCGAACCTTTTTCTGACAATTCTGACAAGTAGGCTTTTCTCCTGAACAGCGGATTTTCCGATCTCGACAAGCTTTGCATGCTGCTGCGGCACGTCCAGAGCTTTCAGCATGACTTGAAGACGCTAGACTTGAAGACGCTATTGGCCCAAGTTCAGCGGAGTCGCCATCAAAGTGTGGCGAGGCCGATGCCATACCGATCATTGATTAGATCTAGAAAAGGGGGATCTCCAGTTCATCAACATCAATCATGTGCAATGATGGAAATGATGCTTGGCGAGCACGTGACCGCGACGAGTGGCAACTAGCAGCCTTGCGATTCGTCATACTCAGTGTTATATGCATGCTGTGAGGTCTGCTGCTCCTTCTCACATGCTTTGAGAGTCTAAGAGACCTATCTTTATACATCACCACATAAAACACCCACTTGAATATCAGATCCTCCCCATAGAACATGGACCGGATTGCTCATCCGGGGCCACATGTGTCCCAGGTGACTTTGGGGAATTCTTGTCTGAAATGATCCCGCTCACACAGCACGCTAGCTCCTCGTCTCACCAGTCATGCCATCAACAAAATCGGCTCGGACTAATGTGTGGAGGCTTCCACAACCGTACCATACATCCGCCTCGACGCATCCGTCGCAAAGATGGCGGATGATCGGGGGTTTCGGAGTATAAACCGGCTCGACCCCACCTCACGTGTCGATCGGGCCGAATCAGAGCTTAATTGAAGTGGTACGGCCGAAGGATTCACCAGGACATCCTCTACATCCATAACTTTCCATTCCCGACAACAATCGACAGAGACAATCGTCGACCACATCCACAATCGGCTAACGCTCTCGATAGATCTCAAACGATGACACTGAATGAAGCGCAGCTCAAGAATGGCATAGTCCCGACGAAGCCTGATGTGACGGCCGTGAGTGGATCCGACGTCATGAGGCCTAACGTCATGCTCATTATGTCTAGGTCAAAGACGAGCAACTTGTCCTTAACACCATCAGATGTCTTGCGGCGGACCTCTGTCAGCAGTACAAAGGCGGTCACCCAGGGACAGTCATGGGAGCAGCGGCGATCGGCGTGGCACTGTGGAAGCATGAGATGAGGTACAACCCCTTGAACCCAGATTGGTTCAACAGAGATCGTAAGGTGATCCTCGAGGGACCGACTGACTCACGAAAGGATTCGTCCTTTCTGCTGGTCATGCCTGTCTGTTACAGTATATTTTTCTCCACTTCTCCGGATACGAAGCATGGACCATGGAACAGATCAAAAAGTATCATTCTCCCGCCACCTCGGGATCTATGGCTGCTGGACATCCGGAGATCGAGTATCCTGGTGGGTCGAGAGACAGCATAGGATGCATGAAAAAGGCTCACACTTGGCAGGTATCGAAGTGACCACTGGACCGCTTGGTCAGGGTATAGCCAACGCCGTTGGTCTGGCGATCGCTTCGAAGCAGCTCGCCGCCACATACAACAAGCCAGAGATAAAGATCATCGATAACAAAATCTGGTGCTTTACTGGAGATGGCTGCTTGCAAGAAGGTGTCGGGCAGGAAGGTAAGCGATTGGATGTCTCTCTGTATCTGATGTTGCTTAAGCCATCTCCCTTGCCGGACATTTGGGATTGGACAATCTCATCCTCGTCTATGACAACAATAGAGTCACGGTCGACGGCTCCATCGACAACTGCTTCACAGAGGACACCTCTGCCAAGCTCTCGGCTCAAGGATGGAACATCGTAGAAGTGTACGAGGGCTCGAACAACGTGAGTCTTCTGCGGGGGCCCGTATCTGACATGTACCCAAAGGTCCCAGCAATCCTCAAAGGATTCGACGAAGCTCGCATTCCCAATGGCAAACCTACGTTGGTCAACATTCGCACCATTATCGGCTACACATCCCGCAAGGCTAATACTGGTCCTGCCCATGGTCAAGCTCTCGGTCCCGAAGAAGTCGAGTACGTCAAACAGAGCCTGGGTTTCGACACCAGCAAGACATTTCACGTCGATCAGAAAGTATATGACTACTTCAAAGAATGTCGAGAAAAGGGAGCAAAGGCAGAGACAGAATGGAACACGCTCTTTGACAGATACGGCAAGGCGCATCCCGAAGCTTCCGCAGAGCTCAAAGCTCGTATGGAAGGGCGTTTCTCAGGGAACGAAGATTGGACCAGGCTCCTCCCTTCCAAAGATGCTCTACCATCAGCCGAGCAACCGACCAGAAAATCCAGTGGGATTGCGGTCCAAGCCCTGGCCTCTCGCTTCAATTCGTTTGTGGCGGGGTCGGCGGACTTGCTCGAATCGACCTTTGTCAACTTTCCAGGTCAAGTCGAATTCCAAAAGGTGAGCGGTGACGCGCGGCGCGATCCATGCTGATGGCTCCAAGCCGGAGTCTGGCCTTGGAAATTACACTGGACGTCAGATCAGATATGGGATTCGAGAATTTGCCATGGTGGCCATTGGCAACGGAATGGCAGCGTACCAGAAGGGCATGTTCCTACCGTGAGGCATGTGTTCAAGTGGCCTAGCTGAGATCCAGGATCATGTCAACGTTCTTCATGTTCTGGATCTATGCTGCGCCAGCTGCCCGGATGGCAGCGCTTCAAGGCCTGCGATTCATCGGAATAGCTACACATGACTCTATAGGCATTGGCGAGGATGGTAAGTTAAGTCGAACTAATTAATATACTTACGTATGAAGGACCCACGCACCAACCGATCGCATTGGCTGCCTTCTACCGTGCTTTGCCCAATATCAATCTCATTCGACCAGCCGATGCAGAAGAATGTATGGGGGCTTGGCTGCTTGCCTTGAGCGAAGGCGAGAAAGATACCCCTAGTATCTTTACACTCTCACGCCAGCCTGTACCTCTGCTGGACGGATCGGATCGGGATCAAGTCTTCAAAGGAGCTTACAAAGTCTTCGGAGAAGAAGAGAGTGATCTCACCATCATCGCTACTGGAGCGGAAGTCACTCGAGCTATTGAAGTAGCCAAACTCCTCGGTGATAGACGCAAGATCAGGGTTGTGTCTATGCCCTCTCAACGACACTTTGACCGTCAGTCAACGACTTATCGCGAATCGGTACTCCGGTCTTCCAGATCCCTCGTGTTAGCTATCGAAGCTTGGGCGTCGTACGGTTGGGCGAGGTACGCTCATGCCTCTGTATCCATGCACACATTCGTGAGTAGAAGACATTCAGCGGTAGCGCTTTTCCTTAGCTGAACCTTTGATTTTAGGGTCACTCGGCCCCTCAGCAGCAACTGTACGACATGTTCGGCTTCAACCCAAAGGATATGGCTGAGCGAATCGGAGCTTGGGCGGGCAAATGGGAGAAAGAGGGTCGTTTGCCTGGTCTGGGAGAGTTTGAGGAGCTGTCTTTGGGTCTCAGGCACTAGTGCATATTCATGTAGTATGAGGAATGCAGCGTTCATATCTTCTGTGACACCTGGATAGAACTTCGTCCAGTATGAGCCATGACACCAGGATCAGAGTGCTGTTTTAAGATCCAAAGAACCGATGCATGAGACTAATATGCAGTATGACCTCCGTCGATGACCAAATCCGCCCCAGTCATGAAGCTGGAGGCGGGAGACAACAAAAACAACACTGGACCTCTGTACTCGTCTGGGGTAGAGAGACGACATAGCATGCTCCCTCTCAACCATTCCTCTTCGAGATCTGGGCGCTGTTCCAGAAGCTGGGCGGTCATGGCCGTTTTGATGTATCCTGGCGAGAGAGTCTATACAGAATTCGATCAGGCCTGAAAGGCAGCAGCGAAGGACTTACGTTGACTCGGATACCATGAGGTCCCCATTCCGCAGCGGCACTTCGAGCCATTTGCAACAGAGCAGACTTGGAGGTGTTGTACGCCAGACACGTAAGCCCTGTCAGGAGAGTCAATTCGAGTCATTCTAAGTAAGCCTCGGCTCACCCTTGTTGGCAATGGATCCCGACATTGAGGCTGTGATGGCGATGCTCCCTTTAATACCTCTTTGAACCATCTCCCTAGCGGCAGCTTGGATCGTCAAGAATGTACCTGGAAGTCGTATCAGCCATGTCAAGTCGAAGACGGGCATGCTCACCGGTCACGTTAACTTCCATGATTCTTCTGAAATCGTTGGCTTTGTATTCGAGAGACGGGACCATCTGTTGAATCCCAGCAGCGCCAAAGAACGCAGAGATAGGGACCGGAGAGCTGGCATACAAACCACCGACAACTCGTTGAACGGCCTGTTCGTCCGTAATGTCCAGTTGATGATACTCGATTGAACCCCCATGCTCTCGGGCGGTCTTTTCAGCCATGTGCCACTCGTCTCCCACGGGCTGAGGGAGAATATCCAGACAGTAGACATTCAGCGAACCAGCTTCTAGCAAAGATGTGGCGATGCACAATCCCAGACCCCTCGCACCACCTGTGACAATGACGCCAGTCTGTCTGAGCGAGAAGAGGCCAAGCGTGCTCTTTGATGCGAGTGATTTGGCTACTTCCTCATGAGTCTTGGAACATGGAGGGCATCACTCACTTGAACCACTCGGCTTGGCTCCTAAGGCGAGGTCAACAGCTTGAGCGCCATTCTCGATCGGTACGGTGCCGTGAGAGGTGGGAGCTGTTCCTTGGATGGCCATGTTGATGTGTACTCGGGTGGTGGAGAGGGGCCAGTGGGATAGAGCTACGAGCCTTTTGACCACCGAAATTGCTTTGCCATCCTCCGAGCCATAAGGATAGCATCTATTATCGGGCCGAAGCTTTCTGTGCCCTCGGGCCTATCTCTGCTTTGAATGCCGGTTCCGTGACTTACGCAAGTCCGCCCGCCCAATAATACCGAAATTCTCTTGGCTTTCATCACCAACGGTTGAGACGACGGCCGAGAGTGAAAATGGGTCATATATAAGATGAGGTTCGGCAAGCCTGCAGCTACTCTTGACCATGTCCCCCTCAAAGCGGAGCACCCACGTTTCTACATTCTGAGACCCCCTCATCCCTCTAAATTATTGAAATTTGAAACCACATTCCACCATGACCTTTCTTCGTGGCAAAATCTTGAATTGGGCGATCACCGCATGGTATGTCACCTTGTGTGTGTCCTTTGGATCCTGCTGATCTTCGCCGTAGTGCTGGCTCAGCCTTTCTGCTATTTGGTTACGGTGGGTGGGAGGATCTGAAACGACTGTCGTGCTGATTCAGTGCAGACCAGGGCGTCATGTCTGGCTTGCTCACAGGCTCAGCCTTCACTTCGCAGTTTCCCGAAATAGGTGAGTGTGACATGATGGCAAGGTCAGCTGAATTTGGGGCCGCAGATACAACGGAGGGTGCGAACGGATCAGCGTCCCTTCAAGGAACTGTGGTTGCCATTTATGAGATAGGCTGCCTGTTCGGATCCATCTTCACCTTCTTCTTTGGTGAAAGGTTCGGAAGACGTCGAACGATCATGCTTGGTTGCGCCGTTCTGTGTATCGGCGCGGCATTACAAGTCGCGTCTTTTGGTATCCCTCAGCTGATCGTTGGACGAATCGTCACGGGATTGGGTAACGGCATGAACACGTCAACCGTCCCTGTGTGGCATAGTGAGACGACCCAGCCGCACAACCGAGGTCGTGCTCTGGCCATTGAGCTAGCCATCAATATCTTTGGAGTCGTACGTTGGGCTTATTCTCCCAGCTGGGACGTGACTGATGGCGTGTTCGTCTAGATGACGGCCTATTGGGTCGACTACGGCTTTAGTTTTGTTCAGAATCCATCTCAGTTTCGTGCCCCGCTCGCCCTTCAAATAATCTTTGCCCTAGTCACCATCCTGCTTATCCAGTTCTTACCTGAATCTCCAAGGTGGCTTTTAAAGCATGGACGAGCGGACCAAGCGAAAGATGTCCTGGATCGGTTATCTGTCCTTGAGGGATCAGATCGGGCTGAGCGACTCGAAGCTGAGCTGGCAAGCATTCAACATGCTTTGGCAGAGGAGGAAGCCGCCACTCTCAAAGACAAGAATGGGAATCCCGTTTCTGCCATTAGAGCATGCTTCACCAATGGTAAAGAGAGGTACTTTCACCGAGTCATGTTAGGTGTTGGATCTCAGTTTATGCAGCAACTTTGTGGTATCAATCTGTGAGTTGAACCTCCGACGAGCTTGTTTACTCGCTGACATTCCTCTCAGGATTACCTACTGCAAGTTTACTTCCCCGACACAGATGTCAAAGCTGACACTGCTTAGATGCGCCTGTCATCTTTGAGCAGTCCGTCGGTTTATCCCATCACGTCTCACTCTTGTTATCTGGCTTCAACGGAATCGCGTACTTCTTCTCTTCCCTGATTCCTATTTCGCTCATCGACCGTATCGGAAGGGTGAGTGGTCAGACAGACTTGAGGACGCTAACCTCGCTCAGCGAAAGTTGATGCTGTTCGCCGCGGCCGGACAATGCGCTTGTATGGCGATCTTGGCTGGAACAACTTCTGTAACACACAAAGCTACCGGTATTGTCGCTGCCACGATGCTCTTCCTCTTCAAGTGAGTACAGCATGGTAATGGAAAGCCGTTTCTGATCCTCATCAGTTTCTTCTTCGCCGTTGGACTCTTGGCGATTCCATGGTTGCTACCAGCAGAATATGCCCCGTTGCCTATTAGAGCCTCAGCAGCAGCTCTTGCCTCGGCATCCAATTGGATCGTGAGTGGGCTTTGGAGCTCGTCCTCCTGCGCCACTCCAACTGATCCTCGTCTCAGTTCACTTTCCTGGTCGTTGAGATCACGCCTGTGTCTATCAAGAACATTGGTCACAACACTTACATCTATTTTTGCGTCTTCAACTTTTGCTTCTTACCACTTATTTATTGCTTTTACCCCGAAACTGCCAATTTATCCTTGGAGCAGATCGACTTGCTGTTCACAGGGGATAAAGTCTACCTTCATCTACCATCAGTGAGTATGGCGGTACTTCTCATACCTTGCACAACATTGCTAAATGCAGCTTTTTAGGGTCTCGCTCATACAAGTACCGTCTCTGACTCTGAACATGGGACACTTACTCCGGTTGGGCCAACGGAGCTCAGGGACAAGGACGTCTCGGTTCGTACCGAAGCAGAAAAGAAGGAATGAAAATATTCAGAGGGAGTCTTTCGACGAACATGGCAGAGACCACCATGCTTCTGAGAAATATGTAGTGTACCTAAAGTGTCCAATGTCATGCATAGGGCTTGACGTCTTGAGGTAAGCCCTTCTCTAGTGCCATGCAAGTTTTGCCACTTGGGAAATCTATTTTTCGCCACTTCTCGGGAGTGGAGCAAACGTCATTTCAATGTGGAAAAATGGAACCTGCTGCTGCTGCAGCTGGGAGGAAGGAGGGGATCTGGCAAAGTGTTCAGGCATTCATGGGCGCAAAAGGCTTTTGTCAACATGGTCAACGTCAGAGTGGTACTCGCAGGTCATCATCAACGGTGGACATCTTCGCTTTGACCGTAAGCTATCATATCTGAACGTCCCAAACTCGTCGGGATTCTCGGCTATCGACACACTCCATTCACCGACCGAGACATTTTGAGTAGCGAGTTCCATTCTCTCTTTTTTGGGCTCATCCACCAAGTTGGACATCTGCAGCGGACTCGTCTGGCCTGTTGCAAACAAGCAGCATCGTCATCTGGCTGAGTGTCACCTCTACCTGGTGTGGCGCCCTCACTCTGGTCGAAGCCTCCACCAACGCTGATAAGACATCTTTGGCCAGCGGAGGCAGATCAATAACGGCGGAACTAGGTCCTCACATCACAACAAGCATCATCAGAGACCTCTAGTGGTCAGTCCCTCAAGATGCGCACGAAGCCCGCGTTGGCGGGCTCGGGCCGTAAACGAGCTAGCAATGCTGCAGACAGGCTTTCCACGTCGTCAGCACCGCTATCTCCGATTGGTCAACCAGCAACGAGGAGGTCCAGCAGGAGCAGCGTTGATAAGGGCAAGCAAAAGGCCGCGCAGGCTCCACCACATGAGACGGCTGGACGACATGTGCAGGATGCGTTCGAGATTGTAGTCCTTGGAGCTGGCGGCGGACCGTTAGAGACTGACGTCTCAGGGTGAGCTTCCCATTCCCCACAAGCTATATTGACTTTCAGCTACATGCTCAAACCCGCTCACAAGGGATGGGAAGAAGGATTTGTGGCACTGGAGGGAGGTGAGCATTGGTTGTGCAAGTCAAACATCCAATCTGATGTGTACCCGTAGGATCTGGTCTTGGTGCCTTGACGGAACTCATTGATCGCCATGGGTCATCATCCCTCTTTCCGTCGACCCATTTCCCGCCGACGCATCACACCGCTCTGCTCAAGGCTGCCTACATCTTTTCTTACCTATCGTGAGCTACTATGAGCAGAACTGAGGACACTTTGGCTGACCGCGAGTCCAGATGCTACCTCATCACTCATGCACATCTAGACCATGTCCAATCTCTCATCCTCTTCTCCGGCTCGATGCCACCACGAGGTCAACCACCAGATGCGAGCATTCTCTCACCTCCGCTAACCTCTAAAGCACATTCCTCGGATGACGATGCGTCCTCAGACAAGGACGATGCGACACCGGCACCCTCTCGCATGCCAGTCCGAGTTTTGGGCGCAAAACCGACTTTGGATCGGTTGAGCCTGGCTTATGGTGGCGAGCTATGGCCCGAGATCGCAGACTGGGAAAAGTCACATGGTGGATCGGCATCCAGGCTGGAAGCTAGACGAGGATCACTTGGAAGCTACTCGGATGGACCATTGCATCCTGAATCTCATGGGAGCGAGATGATCCTTGTGCCGTAAGTCTTTGTGTTTGGCCATTTGAATTCCCATTAAACCTTGCCTAGACTACCTGGCAACGATGAGCCCGTCAAAGTGTCCCCCTCACTCCCGTTATCTGTCCGACAGTTTGAAGTCTCGCACGGATCAACGTCCAAGGGAGCTTACGAGTCGACAGCTTTGTTCATCAGATTGACAGATCATACCGTGGACGATGCAATGACACACCTAGGTCATGGCTTCGATGCGCGGTCAGACTCCAGCAAAGAACCAGAGCTGCTTTTCTTTGGTGATGTCGAGAGCTCATATCGTTCTCCTGGATCTGAAGACCAAGACACTGCCGCTCGAGATCGGGCGGAACAATGCAATGGTGTTATTTGGGCGGAAGCGGCCGATTTGTGGGCTCAAGGCAGGCTGTCGGGCATCTTCGTGGGTGATAAAGACAGAACCAAGCTGATCCTTGGCAGATTGAATGCTCTTATGACAATGACAGATCTGCCGATCTTATGTTCGGCCACATGCACCCCTATGGATTGATGCATGAACTGTCTATCCTTGCCGCAAAAGTCACGCCCAGCCGGTAAGTCTTGTTTGGGGTGGTGAGAGCTCATGCCACTAGCGATCGACCCCTGGCTGGTCTCAAAATATACATAACTCACATCAAAGCCTATCTCTTACCTCACCCGTCTGGACAGACTGCGAGCGAGAGGATCATGTCACAACTCGATGCTTTGGAAAAGGAGCGAAATCTTGGTGTAGATTTCGTGGAAGTCAAACGCGGTATGAGGATAGGTGAGTCCAGCATCGGCATCGTCAGGATTCTCACTGACAAGAGTGACAGTGTTGTAAGATCTCACCATGTTGTACTACCCAATGCATAAGAGAGATGATGTCGGATGATAGACCCATTGTAGTAGATGCAAGTCTTCAGCCACAAATGACGGAGGAAATTCCGAAAGTCAATGTCTGCAAAGGTTGTATCCGTAACCTCGTCTGGCAAACAACCATAGGCTCCAGCAGCGAGAGACCAGAGGAGCACCATGGCGTCTACGTCGTCTCGACCCATCGTTATACATACGACACCACCTTTGCAGCCTCTGCCTGCATCAGATGCCCAATCAATCTATTACATCGCTCTTTTCCAGCTGGCCTGCCCGGGACGATGGGCTGCAACCGTAGCGGACTGGGCAGACAACGGTGGTGGGTTGTGCTCAGTGCGAGGACACTGGTCTTTGACTGACGTATTCAGGCGCTCTACCATACATAACGCACCTCGATCACTTGATTCAGCCTCATCACCTCTTTTCCTTACCTAACTTCACTCATCCTGATGAGCATCTCTCCTCAACACAAAGGGCAGAAGCGGAATGTTGGACAGCATTCATTCACGGCAAGGTGACGGATCTCGTCGTGAGCTCTTGTACCTAATTGCGAATTCTGACGATCAGCATCACTCGCTGTACTCCCTCCCTCACAATTACTCAGCTTCGGTTGGCAAGGCACACCTTTCCAACCTCACATTTCCGACATCCCAATATATTCCCCAGAGGCTGAGAGGGATGCACAAGGCCAGATTACAACATGTTGGGCTATGGGGTCTCGGAGGGATGAATGAGAGTGCGTCCAAGAGACGCGTATCCGGGCGTAAATGAGTCATCACTGCTGATTCGCCTCAGATGACCTCGCTGTAGAAGATCAGAAACGGTTGGAGAATCTATATGTTACAGCTCCTGGAGGCACAGTCGCACCGCGAGCTTGGAACGGATGGAAGTCGGGTCGCGAGTTTGAAGATCGTCGTAGGAAAGTTGGAGAGAATGAGGTGAATCAAAGACCACCTGAGAAGCATAAGCTGACCATATGAGACAGCTTCGTAACATTCTACGGAACGCCATGGACCCGCTGAAGCGATTGTTGGGAAATAAGCCCTACTTCTACGGTGAAAGGTGAGACTGTCCACCTTTTGACTCAATGTTCAAAGCTGAGGAAAGACGTCTCTCAGGCCCTGCAGCATCGATCTCTGGCTCTTTGCAAATTTGTCCCTCATCATCACCACTTCCTTGCCCAACCCTATCTTTGCCGACCTCCTACGTGCGGAGTACTCAGGCCTGATCCATCATCACGACAGACTTCTTCAGCTCTTGTTCCCTGTGACCTCGGAATCCAGATCATCGAATTACGTTTCCAGCTGGAACCAGACACCGACAATCACGTCAAGCACGCCTAAACTCTCCCTGTGGCAGACTATCCAAGCTTCGTTGACATGGTCCTCTAGCCCTGCTGAAGCGAGTCCCACTTCGTCACGAACGGAAAAAAAGAAGCTGAACAAGTCGGAAAGAGATTTTAGAAGGGCCAGATGGCTGTGGTATGCTGGAGCGCTCGGTAGTATGGTCGTCTACCTGTTTGCGAGCGGCTTAATACAGATCGAGTATGTGGGAAAAGAGGAGGAAGACTCGATGGAGGAAATAGAAGATGAAGAGGAAGAGCTGTCGGATGATGATGAGGAGCTCGTGCTGGATCCCGAGGAGGAAGAGGACATCATTATTGTCGTCGAGCCTGAAGAAGAGTTAGAGTCTGCAGATGTCGAACCTGACCAGGAGGGGCCCAATCCTGCTCCGAATGAAGAAGGGCTGGAAGATATAGCAGAAGAAGTAGCTGAGGATATTGAGAATCCCTATAATGACAGAGAGGATTGATGCATCCTGCCGATCTTCCTTCTCTTGCCAGCGACGTGTATAGTTCCATTCACTGGTCCCAACGAAGCCATCACCAGCAGCTCGACCTTCGCCCCCAGCCCAGTGCCACTTTGGACCTTTTCCTCAATATTGCCGCCACCATCCAATTCGCTTTGAACTGATCACCTTCATTGTTTGACTATCAAGGGACCTGTATAGATTGACAACCTGGCATTTCGGGACGTCAAGCAGTTGTTGAGGTCCAAATAGGTCGTGTTCAAGATGGGGCGAATGGCGGAAGCGCAGCGCAGGCTGCTAGAGGTGAGCTGAATTTCCCTGATTCTCTACTCCTTCGCAAACTTCGGAGAGAAGGGCGCCTGCATGAGTGTAAAGCGTGTACACCTCACCTCATGGCCCATGCTGATGAGGTTACTCAGCAAATGATGGGTCCTGAGGCAATGGGATACGTTGTTGTCAACCTGGATTGGTGGGACGAAAAGGTCTGCAGAAATTTCTTATTTGGAACCTGCCCGCATCTCATCTTCGGTAACACTGTGAGTTGTCTGTATGTATCTCACTCTGGGCTAAACGAATCCAGCGTATGGATCTCGGACCGTGTCCCAAGACTCATTCCGATCGCATTCTGAAGCAATTCCAAGAGCACATGGCGGCGCACCCTAACGACCCGCGAATCGCTGCGTTCAGGCAAGAACACGAAAACACGATCCACGGCTTCATCGAAGATTGCGACAGGCGTATCAGAGCGAGTCAGAGAAAGTTGGAAAAGACGCCAGAGGAGAACAGAAAAACCATTGATCTGGTAAACTTGTCCTCGGGCAGTATGATCCCATGCTGATAAATCTCCCTCTCAGATGAAGGAAATCGGTGAAATTGAGCTGTCCATTCAAGGCGGTACGGAGGAAATTGAGGCCTTAGGAGAGGCTGGTAAAGTCGAAGAGTCCATGGAGAAGCTTGCTGCGGTCGACGCGCTGAAGAACCTCAAGGCGGACAAGGAGAAGGAGTTGCAGGATTTGAACGAGACAGCAGGTGCCTCAGGTCACCAAAAGCTGCGAGTGTGCGAGACTTGTGTATGTGGGACCTTTCTTCAGCATTTTCAATCGCGCTGACCGCATCTAGGGTGCCATGTTGTCCATGTTGGATAGTGATAAGCGTCTCGCAGATCATTTCGGTGGAAAGGTAAGCTCGATTTGTCCCCTTGCTTTGCTCATACCTCGCAGTTGCATTTGGGCTATAACGAGCTGCGTCTCTTGCTGGCCAAATTTGCCGAAGACCGAATGACAGGTCGAACGGCTTCCAATGCACCTGCGGCACCTACGTCTGCTCCTCCAGCCAACGCACCCGCCGGTCCAGCAGGACCTCGTCCGAATCCACCCCTCTTCGCTCCCTCCGGTCCCTCTGGACCAAGAGGCTCCCGGCCTGACGGCCCGGGAAGCTCACCGGCTCCTCATACACCTCACGACGGACCTCGAGTGCCCCCATCTGACGAAATGCCAGCTGTTGGGCACGGCGACAAGGTCAAAAGAGAGGCTGGAGAGCTTGTGGAGGATATCAAGGAGTCTAGATCTAGACGCGATAGCGATGCGTCAGGGATGGACAGGGACAGATACCGTGAGAGGGAAAGGAGTGACCGAGACAGAGAGAGAGACAGAGACAGAGAGAGGGACAGAGATAGGGAGAAGGACAGAGATAGATACAAGGAACGAGGAGATGGAGAGAGGGACAGGCATCGCGATGAGCGGTATGACAAATACGATCGGGACAGGTGAGGAGAAGCTCAGGGTGCGCCTCCTGCTGATCAAGCCTCAGTCGAAGCAGTCGCTACGACGATCGAGACCGCCGGGACAGAGATAGGGACAGGAACTACGAGTGGGTCGTCTGCTTGCCAGACATCATGTTGTGCTTATCGTTCTCAGTGATGATCGTAGGAGGGAGAGAGAAAGGTCAAGATCACCGCCTAAGAGACGCCTCGTGTAGACTGAAGTCCATTCATGTACCGACTTCACATGTATGCGTGGACGACGAATCTCGTTCACAGTCTCTGCATTCATGCGGGTCACTGTATCTCTACCGGAACTCCTAAGCTCTGTCGGTTCAGAGGCTGTAAAGCCCGCAGGCGTGATCAAGTCTCGGGATTTTTACTCGCCAGGCAGCTGACTGCCGGTGCCAGTACTCAGATCCGGAGCATCAGTACTCGCCGGGTCATCACCACCAGCATTGCTATCGCTTGCCTTCCCAAGAGCCCCAATCTCAGCACACCGGAACCACGTGACTGGCAAGCTGTTGAACTCTTGCCAGACCGGACCAGAATCTTTGGTTCCAAACACCAGCTTGAGTTTGGAACCGAAGCCCGAACCGGAGGAGGTACGAGAATGGGTAGCGGACGTCACCCCGACGCCGTCTTGTTGATCGTGAACTCCTTTAGTAAGCGATAGCCAAGCCGAGTCGAATGCCACCTTCGAATTCTGTTTGGCTTGAGATGAGGTTGGCAGTCCTTTAGGCTCTTGCCTCGTCAACTCTTCATCCCAGACCCGTTTGCTATCCAAGTATTGTGATACTGGAGTAGAAGTACCCGCCTTCCAGGCGGAACCTTTCAAAGTGATCTCCTTCTTTGTGGGATCAGCTCGGGTACTGACGAAGGTGACTTGAGGGGTGAAAGAGGTTAGTTTCTCTCGGCCATGGTGACCTCTGACCTTGTGTTCGATTAACCAGTGAATCGAGTCGGCCTCGTACGTCTTGTTTTCAATGATGTCGTTGTAATATTGGGTGTTGCTCATCGCTTCATACGCCTGATCTCGTGCCAAATTGAAGCTTACGGCGCGAGGACCGTCGTGAGCATCTTCAACGAGTGACCCAACGGAGAGATTCCAGGCTGTATCGAATGCGGTTCTGGCTGGCATTACCTGGTCTACCTTCTGTTCGTGGTTGGCATGTCAGCAGACGTACAGCTAGCCATACAGAGTCGGCGGCAGCAGCCGAACTCACCTCTAGCTCCTCTCCCATGCGAGCAAGTTGCGCAGTCATGATGTCTTGTGTTTGGTTGACACGACGAGTCGTTGAAGGAAGAAGCTTGGTTGCAAGAGCGTTGTAGCCCGATGGATATATATATAATAAGCATCACTCCAATCCTAATTTCGAGGATTGCGAGACTCGCTTCTTCAATCTTCTTGGTTCCAGGCGAAGATCGCTGCAATTGATTGACTGACCAATCTATATCAAAGGCTGGGACGCCTCACAGAGGTGAAATTGATCACGTCCTTTCTTCACTTAGAGATAGGAGCAGTTCATACGATGGGGGAATCTTCATGCAAATATTCAATCATTGACAATTTAGGCCAATCTCGCATTGATCAAGGCGTTCATACTGTACAGACCTGAGTTGAACAATGACCGCCTCGCGTCCGCCCAACTCAGACGCACTGACAATTTGCAAGTCGGTCAGGACGTCATGCATGCCACATCGCCAAGATCCTCATCAGTGCAGGCCTGCGTCCCGGGTGCAATGTTCATGCAGTCGCAAACATTGCTTCGAGACCCCCTGGATCCTTCACACTGCAAAGTCGGTCGGTGTGGCACTTTGGGTGCCACTGTTCCAAGACTCGCCGAGAACCTCCTGAGGAGTCTGCGCTGCCTGTGCCTTCGTCCAACCATTGTCACCACCAGCAGCACTAGTTCTTGAAGAGTCAACACGACGATCATTCTCACCATCGTCATCAGCATCAATATCGGAATAGTCACCATCTTGAGTAACATTCTTTCTAGAGTCTCGTGACCAAACGGTCGGTTCACTTTTAAACGTACGCCAGCCATCATCATAGTTGTTACGAGCCGGCGTGCGAAAAGATAGGTAGAGATGAGAGACAACGTCTGGCACGTCGGTTTCGCAGTCGTGAACGGCGGCTATCTTGTGTTGCGTGATCGAGTCTGGACCTATCTCTTTAGACTTCGATAGCGCCGAATCCCAGGCTGATTCAAAGGCAGTTTTAGCAGCTCGCGACTGGATCTCTGACGAAGAGCCTTCGTGAGAATGGGTCTGCGACCAACTGCCTTCCCAGACATGAACGCTGTTTAGCCAGACGGCCAACGGGGATTGATCCACCAAGACCCAGGAGGGAGAAACTCCTGACATCATCGTCTCATGTTGTCCCTTGTGACTACTTTGGAGCACAGCTCGCGATTTCATTGCTGAACATTTGGTACTGGCGGTATCTAACTGAGTCTCGTGTTGGAACGACCAAAGGCTGCAGTCTGCTTTGTAAGTCTCATCTTGGATCAATCTGACGTATTCTTCGTTTTTCAGAAATTGGGCGTATAGATCGTCCCTGGCCAAGGCTGCACTGTAGCCTTCATAATCATCACGCGTTGCAAGGCGGCCCAGTGATTCATTCCATGCCTGCGTGAACTTGGAAAGCGCTTGAGCACGGCGATCGGCCCTCTATGCTCGTATGAGTAGTGTAATCGAACATCATCCGTAGCATTTTCGCTCACTCGCAAAGCCTCTTGATCCTGGTATGACATGATCGGCATGTGTATTGTACGCTGTCTGTTCTGCAAGCAGGCAGGCGGTTGGTGCTATGCGGTGAAATGTAGAGAAGGATCAGTCCTCTCTTTCCGGATGTATCTATAGACTTGGGCAGTGCGCCTCCTTTACTGATTCCCAGTTGGGGAGAAAGATTTTCAGCAAACTGTGTCAAACTGGATTGATGAGGTCGCTCCTTTCGTCCAGGGGAAGGAAAGGCGAGTGATGTATGAGGATCACAAAAGTGCGAGTCGTATTCAGCCGGATGAAAATGGTCTCGTACTTGGTCTTTGAAACTATCATTGCATCGGGATGTACAGTACAGTATGTACCGAGCGCCGTACCTCTAGCTAGCTAGGTCCTTATTAATCATATCCTCGAGGGGGAGGTCCGAGAAGCTCATCAATGTCGGAACCGTCATAGACATCCATTTGAGGGATTCTTTCCCTCAAGACCAGCGTCTTTACGGGGACGGATTTATGATAAAGCCGCAGCGTTACAGCACCGGCTACCTCCCCTGAGCTGCCATTTGGCTCGGTCCGAAATATGACTAGGGGTTCAGAGCAGTTCCATTGCGATGGGTTCTGAGACAAATCCTTGAATCGTTCGCTGTCCAGTATCTGAACCCAGAGTTCTTCGGCCCTGCTTTTGCTTTCTTGGAGACTACAGCCCTGCCCCTTAAGCCTGAGACCTTCCTGCTGATACTGTGTATCATGCTGGGTCATGAAGGCCGTGTGAATAGTCGTCTTGAGGTTGTCGAACTCGTCCACAGAATGGGCGGGTTTACTCAGTCTAGTCAGGGTGTCAAGCATCGTCGCCTGGACAACATTGTTGCCACTCGCTGTATTTTCCACTTCTTCATCGGATACGGCCAATCCGTTAGGATCAGTTTCAGTGTCAAGGATCATTTCATTGTTACTTCCTGTCTGACTCAGGTTCGACATCGTGTATGTGAGGTCAGCTTGCCCTGTAAAATCGACTAATCGCAGGGCGTGTTGTAAGTATTCAAATGTAAGGGACGACCGGCATAGCTGTGGAGCGATGATCGCGCAGCTGAATGTCGAGCAACATGCATCCTTTGAGGTTCCTCAGCGATCTTGGATGACAAAGGACCGTACCGCCTACCTCTCACCAACCGGCCACCTAAGCACGAATCGCCACGTACAGTAGTACACACGTGCTCCTTTAGCTTGAGCAACTACACTGGAATCCAAGCATCTCCTTCTTCCCGACTCCACACAGTTCTGCTCGCTTCACGCCCTCCTCCGAGCAAGTATCGTCCCATTCCTCGAATGGATTTGTCGCGAGCTGTTGAGCATTAGCACTGCTGTTGGTTCCAGAACTCACATCCAGAACCCTAGCAAGAGATTTACGGGCCGAGACAAGATCCTCAAGTCCAGCTTTCTCAATATCGCTTATGACCTCTTCGAGTACCCATTGTCGAAGGACGAATCGGGGATTGACCTTTTTCATCGCTTTCTCTCGAAGCTGCTGCCATGAGGCGTTCGTCTCTGGGGTATTCGGATCATTTTCATGGTTTTGCGACCATGCTTGGACCTCGGCATCGGCGAGAACGCGAGTGGTGTACACGTCGAGCCAAGGTCTGAGGGCCTTTTGGGCAGATTCAGTCGAATCTTGAGGCAGGGTTGGACCGCTGAGCTCCAACCATCGTGTCAGGAAGCTCTTGACGTAGGCCTCGTTGCTATTCTGAGAGACAAGGAAAGAGCATAAATGGCGGAATGATGTGTGAAAGTCCAACGAATGGGCGTGTAGGAGAACGAGAAAGTCGGCAATGATGTCTCGATCATCGGACGGTTGATAGGTTCTCAGACCGAATCGCTGAGACAAAGTCAGTATAGAGGCAATATTGATGCTCACCTTCAGCCATCCTTGGCGCTCAGTGTCTTTCACGGTGGTCCGGTAGTTCTCTTTCCAAGATGACATTACTTCTTCCGCCGCTTCGGTCCAATCTTTGACATCCTCCTTCGTCTTTCCTTCCGACCACCCTGCCTGAGCTTGCCCATGCTCCTTCTCATACCCTATCAACGGGGAGATTGCGGAGACAAACTTGTCGAGGTCGAAAAGAACCCGTTCAGGTTGACGTTTGTAAGAGTACAGTCCGGTTGGATCAGAGTGATCTGACTAAATCAGCTGAATCTTGCGTGTGACGACTCACTGCAGATATGACCCTCGTCCCAGATGTCCATGAAAGCGTATGGACCATAGTCAATTGTAAGTCCCATAATGGAGATGTTATCGCTGTTCAAAACCCCGTGCATGAATCCGTACACCTGAGGCAGGTCAGTCTCTCGCCTTTCGGACCGCGTGGAAAGTGCCAACCTGCCATTGCGCGACCATCTCCGCATTCCGCTTAATGACGTCTCCTACCCAATCGACCGTCGACTTGCCTTCGAAGCCCATTATATACTTGCACCACTCGGTGAGATCTCTCAGGCTTTCAAGATTGCCTTGTCCATCCAGTGGTCCATCTCCCTCTTCGCTTTCATCCTGCCATCCTCCACCCAGAAAGATATGCCGTAGGTTATGCGCCGCTGGTCCAGGTTTCAGAGCTTCAAAGTGGCCTAAGCGGATAAATGTAGGCGCCAGACGAGCCAACAATGATGGAGGCTCTGGACCATATTCACGGATGACAGGCAAGTCTGGCGTCGTCATCAAAGCGAGAGATCTCGTCGTGGGTATACCCAGAGCCGCAATGGCTTCACAGCCGAGATACTCTCTCACGCCTGATCGCATGACCGCCAGGCCGTCTGCTTGGCGTGAGAAAGGTGTTCGACCACCGCCTTTCAACTGGACCTCTTGTCGGCCTCCGTGTTCCGACTCCGTCTCGAACAGAGAGATTGCCCGTCCATCGCCAAGCTGACCGGCCCATTGACCGAACTGATGACCACAATACCGGGTGGACCAAGGGCCGTAGTCAGAGCTCGGCGGTCCCTTGTCCTCGTCTTCGTCCTGTGCTGGCTCCTTGCCTTTCCTGGACACGAGAACCTGTCGACCCGAGATGACATCAGCGAGGGCCTTTCGACAACTGCCTTCCGCTGTAGATTCGTCCATCGGCTCTGCACCGTCATTGCAGACCTCAGAAGCATCTCCAACGTCTAAATGTGGCAAAGAGTCCCTGAGAGCCATTGGCGATACTCCTATCAGGTGGCCTTCGAGCTTGGCCCGATGCTTCGACGTTCGCAATTGCAAACCATTCCTTGAGCTCTCGCCACTGCTCTGCCATGATGAGTCCTCCACGTCCCAGCGACGCAAGACGTCTTCGACGTCGACTTGTTCTCCCGCATCGACATTCACACCCATCTCCTCCACTTCTGACTTTGTAATTCGCAACGGCCATGCTGTCCACATGGGGTAGACTCTCGCCCATATTCCAGGTGTCGAGGCTGCAAACGTGGTGGATCGACGCTGTGCAGAAGGCTTGTCGTCTAGTTTTAATCGGGGCAAGCTCGACTGAAGCGTCCTTCTGGGCAGAGGAAGCTGATGAATTGGTGCTTTGTCAGTCATCCTGAGCAGGATGACTGTTGATCTCATCAGCTGTGATTGGTAGGATGTCAGGTCATTCACTGGAGGTGGATCGTCATCGATATTTTGGGATAAAATGTGAATTAAAAATGCTTATCTGATAGTAAAAATATTAGAAATTTATTACGTTATCCGATCGAGACGATTATTGATTTCTTTGAAGATTTTTTATCTTTTGGTGGAACAGCAGCGACCACGAGCAAGTTGATCGCGACGAGCCACTCACAATCATGTCAGTCACAGTGACAGCCGACCAATTGGCAGCTCTGAGAGCAATCCTGCTCAACTCGTCCGGAAAGACACCTCTGCATGAGCGATTCAGAGCCCTGTTCATGCTCAAAGCCGTAGGTAATGATCAAGTCGTCAACATCATCTCAGAGGGTGAGTGTGAAAGCAAGGCAGCTTCGTACCTGACGCGCGCGTGCAGGCTTTGAGGACGACTCGTCACTCATGAAGCATGAGCTGGCCTATGTCCTTGGACAATTGTCCAATCCTTTGGCTATCCCCAAACTCGAAGAAGTCCTCGTCAACGACAAACAACAACACTGCTCCATGGTCAGGCATGAAGCTGCTGAAGCTCTCGGAGCATTAAGCTCGGAAAGTAGCTTGCCATTGCTGAGAAAGTATCTGGATGATCCGAATCGTGAAGTCAGAGAGACTTGCGAAGTGGCCATTGGTAAAATCCAGTTTGATCACGGTGCAGAGGGAAAGGAGAGGATGAAGAAGTGAGTTCAGAGCACTCTAATTTCGCGCTGACCTAGTCTCCAGTCCTGACTTTCCCACCATTGATCCTGCTCCATCATCCTCTCGCGAAGATATTCCAGCACTCCGCGCCGCCCTCTTGGACACTTCTCGTCCTCTGTTCGAGCGATATCGAGCAATGTTCGCCTTGCGAGATTTTGGAGCGGCTTCCAAAGACGCAGTTTTGAGCCTGGCTGAGGGTTTTGGGGATTCATCCGCCTTATTCCGGTGAGATTTACCGTGCGAACCCTGAACAACAGCTCACATACCTCAGACACGAGATTGCATATGTCTTTGGACAGCTCTGTTCACCTCACTCCATCCCTTCCCTACTGTCACGATTGGAGGACGCACAAGAGGATCCAATGGTCAGACACGAAGCTGCAGAGGCGCTCGGAGGGATCGCATCGGACGGAATAGAGGGTGAACTCAATTTTTTTTTTGGTCTTCTTGTGCTCAGCTGACACCCGTTCAGGTGACGAGGAAGCCAGTCGGGTCTTACCGCCAGGAGGTGTCTTGCAAATCCTCAGAGAATGGGCAATCAAGGAAGGCGCTCCTCAGGTGGTCAAGGAGAGCTGTCAAATTGCCATTGACATGTGGGAGGTGGGCAGCGGACACCATAGTTGTAGGAAGAATACCATGCTGACCCTTGCACGACAGTATGAGAACTCTCAAGACCAATTCAACCCTTTGGATACTTTGGTCTCCAAAGCTCATACTACCGGTATGGAGCGTTCAGCTGCCTCTGCTGTCGCTGCTGTTGCGCCGTAAACTATTGGCATTCGTTCATACACAGCATTTTTCCACATACACATCGCATCTGTTGAGACCGTCCATAGTTGTATATATTCTACTTCATGCAGATGTGAAGAACCAGAACAAGCGGTATCCCGTCAGTGCATGCCGCATCAGATCTATAATGCTATGCTATGGGTCACGACTATCCACTCAAAGAGGAGATCTCTGTTGACAAATCCTTCAAGCGCTTCTCGCCTATGCTGGTCGCTCTTTCCTTGACAAGCTTTTGACCCCTCTGAACGGCACCTATCTGAAGACTACCCGCTACCGACGGAGCGCATAGCTGAAAAAAGTCAGCAGTCTTCAGCCTACAGAATGCCACAGTGACTGACCATATTGCCCAGTGCTACCGATGCCCGGTAAACCGTTTCGGCGTCCTCGCTCTCGTGTTCCAGGACCTGTTTTTCCATCAGCCAAGAACTGGGTCAGAGCAAAGACTCACAAATGTTATCAGTTCCAGTAAAGCACCCGCTTGAAGCGCTGGAAATCCTCCTTTGACAGCCATGGAGGAGTATCTTGAGGTACATCAGCTCTTCTCGCTCCGATCAAGTCGATCAACTTACGAAAGAAGTACAGTCACGAATGGCAACTTTCGTGCTCCAAGGTCATCCCACTTCCTTTCTCTCAGAGCCACTAGGACCTGCTCCGCGGATTGCCCCATCGTCCGACGTCCATTCGCCGTCAGGAACATGTTGACGAGAGCTCGCAAAGCCAACAAGGTATTTGTTTCGCGGGACTTTGATGCGGACCACGGTGAAGACCAATCGCAACTTTCGAGAAGCTTTGAAGGGGCGGTTGAGCAAGTGCCAAACGCAGGCGAGAGCGCTGCGAGACATCGCGCGATATCGATGACTGAGAGGAAGTCAATCTTGTCTATTTTTGACTGAACAACATACGTGGAAAGCGCTTATCCTCTGGCCATCTGCTGACGAGATCCAAATATCGTTCGGAGGAGAATGTCTCTCCTGCGCTGGACTTGTCGGGGTTTGGCAGCGCGACTGTGGGTTGGGACAAGAATGCAAAGATCTCTACGAGATTCTTCTCATCTTCCGCAGGTATCGCTTGTTCGGGCTGCAGAACATTCAGCTGATCGGCCTTGAATAGAGGAGGACCTGCTCACTGATCCCGCTTTGAGTTCATCGTTCAACTGAGAGATCTTCGTTCTCGCTGCGTTGACATTTATCTGCTTGAAAGAGAGGTACGCGGTCACTGGTAGAGCACCCTTTGGTTTTGAGGCAGAGGTTGACGAAGGAGCACTGGAGTATGATGAGGATCCTGCGGCGGTCAGAGAAAGACTGGGCAAAATCAATTCACCGGTGAATGGATCGGCATTGCCCGAGCTCGATCCACCCTGAGAGCTACTCCCAGTGTACCTCGCAGCACCCGTGTATGGATCTACATAGCTCGTTGCGTCACCCTGGCCCAGTTGGACACCACCTGTGTTCTTCTCGATGAATTGGACAACTTGGTCGACGTAGGAATTGGGCAGATCATTTTTCTCCAGGAATTTTTGTGCGGCGACCCAGGGGTTCTCTATAGTCGCATGAGTCACGACCAGCTACAAAGATGTGACTTACCGGAGATATTGTATGGGAGCTTTAACGGCGGCATGCCCTCCGAAACATCTACGTCAAAGACGTAATCGTACTCCACTCCGTTGAACAGCTGCTTCCGACCTGATCCGATCGCATCGACCACCGTTCCGACTTTTTGCCAAGATTTTGATGCCATTGACCACTGCTCAAGTGAGCTGAATGAATCGGATTGAGAGCTCACTGAGTAAGCCTCGACACTTCCTTCGTTCTTCAACATCAAGACCTGACCCTCCTTCTTGCCTTCCCTGCCGAGTGCTTCAAGTCCTGGCAAATCGGCCTGCTTGACATCACCAACTTGGCTCCTGATCCGACTGTCAGCGCTCAAATACCGATGCTTAAGGAACTGACTTGTCAAGAGCCCTCGAGCTGATCTCTTGATTCCAGCGTTCTCTGACTGATTCAGGTGCCATGAGGTCAGCGCTCCGGGTGAAGAATCGAATCTGAGCATCTTGCGAGGACGACACGATGTAATGAGAGGAGCCAGACGCTGAAGGGACGATGGATGAGGACCAGAGAGAGTTTGAGGTGTGGGGCAGGGTTTGGATCAGCTCGGTATCTTGATGACTATCAGCTGAGTACATCTGGAAGTTCTCAATGGACTGACTTGACCACACTCGTAAGGTGCCATCCTCTCCTGAAGATACTGCTCCTGAGCCATCCGGAAACGTATTGACGGAGTAAACGAATGAAGTATGACCGGAAAGTGACCGAAGCGGGGATGGCTTGTCGAACGAATATACGTTTACGAGACTTCGGAGACTTCAGCGCTGGTTACCCTTCCCATTCTTCACCTATCATTGGCACAGCTCCAGAAGCCCTTCGTATCCGAAGTCAAGCTCAACCCTCGAACAGGTTGGCTATGACCTGTGTACTCCTGGAGCACGGTAGAACTGCCGGAAGCAATGTCGATCGAGTGCAGGAAGATCTTGTTGTCCGCGGCGGCTAACATCGTGTGAGCTTTCTGCGCTTCAGAGACGAGATACTCACCCGTCAGAAGCCTGTCCTCGCCGACGAATCGCACAGCCCAAACGGCTTGTTGATGAGCTTCTAGACGGAGTACGACTTTGAAATCCTTCCAGACCAGCACTGTCCTGCGTGTAAGTCAGAGCTTGTCGATCGCCTTTGCTCACTTATCCCAGCTGCCTGAAGCTATCAGTCCCCCTTTGCTCGTATCTATACAACAGAGGTTCTGCTTGTGTTCGACAAGGGTATGATATGGGTCTGGGCCAGGACCGTTGGTCGATTGAGGTGGAGCGGTAGCGGAGGGAAGGACAAAAGTAGACAAGACACCTGATGATGAGCCGACAAGAAGATATGCTAGGTGTCGACCGGGTTCATCAGCACATTGGCTCGCTCGTCACTGAACGTTGAAGCCCGCTGACTCACCCTCTCCATTCCACCTGGTCATACCAACACAACTGACAAACCTCTTCTCTGGACCTTCTACTCTAAGCTTCACATCCCATTCCGAGCCTTCTCCGTCCCTTCCTGATGGGCCCCAGACGATTGCGGAGCCGTCTCTCGAAGCAGACAGCAAGAGTGGAATATGAGGTGAGGGTGAACAGAGATTTCGGACATCGGATGCGTGCCCATGAAGCGTGAAAGCGAGCTGATACTGAGGAGCTGACATGACGAGTGACTATTGTTGAGCCTCTCTGTGCACCTTTATCCCTGCCTCGTAGACTTTCCAGCGATTCGAGCTCGACGTTGGACATCACGACCAGTGCCGAGCTGCGATGGACGAGAACCAAGTTGGATCCCGTGGTCTTCTTACGTCATCATCTTTCTGTCGCCCGATAGAGCGGACATTGCGAACGACGACGTTGACAACGGAACAACAACAAACGACGACGAGAACGAGGACGAGGACCATAGCGATAGATAGGAGGACAGAAGTACTTTTGACGTTGGAAGGGGGGCTATGGGGCTCTTGCGTCATTGGATATTGATTGGCCGCATCTCAGAACAGGCAGATTTGAACGCATCTCTCTGAATCTCTCGTTGATTGTTGGAGTGCGGGATGTCTGGGCTGTTGACACCGCAGGCTTTGGCAACGGGTGAGAGAGCAAAGTGGACTCACCTTTCTTTGAGCTAGACTCTGATGTGCTCAGCTGGTCCGCTTGTCCTTGAGACCTTCTTCAAACACTATCTCTTTCGTAATCACTTGAAAGATGAAGGTGAAGCTCGAGAGGATCTCATGTACGATGAGGGTAGGTCGGGCGAGCAATGTGAACAGGGAATAGAGAAGCTCATGCTAGAATTCAGCTTTCGTACTTATGAAAGTGAGCTGCTCTATGATGAATGGTCAGGAGCTGATGTAACAGACGTTCATGGAAATAGCGACCAAGTGAGAGATAAGACTGGCATGTTGGACTCATTGTGACAAGGTACCCGCTGGCCGCTCTTCAACACTTTGGACTCGTCCGTACACCAGCACCACCGTGGGTCGGACTACACCGAGTCGTTATCAAGCATCATACCCTCGATATGGCAGCCGAGTACCTTATCGAAGCATTTGGAGGTAAAGAAATGGCCTACAAGATCGCAGGCGGCAGCAAGTGGTGGCAGGTCAGAGCAGGACCAGGTGTGGAGGCCGAATGGATCATCACGAAGAAAGATTGGAAAGACTATCAGGCTCGAGAGAGGGATTGGAAGACAAAAGCGGAAAGCGAGCAGATTGGACTGATGCAAGATGGAGGTCTGGACAAGGATGGTGAATGTGGGTGTTGAAGGCTCGAGAAAGGATACGGCTCATAATTTATTAGTCCGCAAAGAAATGGACGAGTTGAGGTGTATGCTGTACAGTGAGTATAACCACACACAGCTGTCCACTGCTGACAGTTCTAGTCCACGGAGGAGCGTGAGTAGTTTTTCGTTTCGCTCGCCAACAATCTCAGATACTACTGGGGATCCATCAATACACATCGATATACCATCTGGCGCTATGCTAGGAAGATGCACGGACGCTGCTTCGCGGTCAATTATAGAAGTGAGTCGATATGTCTTGTAGGATTGTCTTGACAGTGTGCAGAGGCACCTCAATACCCATTCCCTTGTGCGATCCAAGATTGCCTCGCAGCGTACCTGTATCTCGTCAAACCACCGCCCGGGGCAAAACATCGACCAGTCAGCCCAAAGAACATAGTTGTCGCCGGTGACTCTGCTGGCGGAGGCTTAGTCCTCGCATTGCTCCAAATTCTGCGGGATACGGAGGGCCTTGATCTGCCCGCTGGTGCAGTCATGATCAGTCCTGTAAGCTCTCTAGACGAAACAAGAGATTGATGAATAGTGGTCCGATTTGACTCATAGCTTCCCTAGTATTCTACAGAACACCGCCACAGTGAGCTACTGAACATGATCAGCTTTTCGACTGATGTGGACAGGACATTGTTCCCCCGTATGGGTTCTTACATGTGAGTCTCCAAGCAAGACGTGACGCCTGAGCTCTCAGAAACCGTCCTCGTTGTGGCCGTCGCCGCCGCCCGACTTGACTGACGAAATTCAATCTCGACTGCGCACACGTGTCAAGGAGGGGATTCAAAAGACACGAGAGACCATGCGCGAGCGCCGAGATACCATCACCGCTAGGTTCACTGGTGCAGACGAATCCTCTGCGGGCCTGGAAGCTCCCTTGTCGGCGCCGGACGATCCTTTGACTGCACCCGCTCCCAAGGATATAGACAAGTCCGATTTGACCAATCCACCAATCGATTCCATCTCGCCAGATTCAGATTCTCTTCAAGATACCCAGACCAAAGTAAACAAATCGAGTCCTGGTAGTGCGAAAGATTCGACCGGTCCCGATGACACGATGCACCCGCTGACTGAGCGAGGAGTAGACGGTCATCCACAACCTCGTGGCGAACCTCGTATCAATCCAAGTCGAAGCAATCCTGGTCTCTTATTCAATCAATTGCACGAAAGACGACCGGGCGATACGTCAGCCGCCAATACAACTCTAGCTCAATGTGATATACCGCTGAGATTGTATACAGAGGACGAGGACATAGAGATCAATACTCAATGCCAGATTTACGCCACAAACGCTCAGCTTTGCCATCCTTGGGTCTCTCCGGTTCTTGGGTATCTTGGTGGGTTGCCGCCACTGTTCATCTGTGCAGGACAGAACGAGGTTCTCAGGGATGAAATCGTATACGTGTGAGTCGATAATAAACATTCTGTGCCTAGTCTGACGGGCTCGCAGAGCTCACAAAGCTGCACATCCATTCGACCACCCAATAAGAGACGACGTCAAGGCCCTCTGCCCATCGCTCAATGGCATAGAGAAGCGCTATGGACCGACCTATGTCCACCTGCAAGTGTACGATGGTGAGTTGAGTGGTAAGATTGCCCCGCTCAATGCAATCAGGCTGCTGTCATGATCTCGCCTTGTTCTCCATGACAAAACCAGCCCGAGGGCTATTCCGAGCCATTGCATCCTTCGCCCGATATGTCACACCTCAAGCTCCTGGATCTTTGGCGATCTCGCGGACGTCTGACATTCCAGTTGCGGAGAGCCGCCGTGCCTCGTCAAGTGATTACTCGACGAAGGCTGCTGAGTGCGATCTCAGGACACAGTCAAAGTTCATCGAGGAGACCTCGAACCAAGGACCAGAAACGGACCGAATCCTAACAGAGGCATTGACGGAGAAGCCTGATTCAGGGTTATCTTCCCCGATTCACAGTTCTGCGAAGTCTTTGGCCAGATTACCCATGACCGAGGTCCAGAGTACCCAGTCGTCGCAAGCAAGCGGCTACGAGACTCCCTTCAATACATCCTCAAGACCTTATACCGTCCCGTTGCCGCGAACTGCGCCAGCTCCAGATCGAGGAGTTTCCGGAGACGATGCTGGACCCAGATTTGGCGACGAAGAGGACGACCTCGCCAATCGAGATAGTCGAGCGGCTCCGGGTACAGCGGGATACTCGGGAGTGTATCGGGGCCAAGATGTAAGCCCCTTGCTCTCTGCTCTCTGCTGATTTCACTAGGCATTCACCAACTACATGATCCGCGAGCGGGTAGCGGTCGATGGCAAATGCCGCCCCCTCGAGCCTGAATCCAAATTGGCCGCCATGACCATGCCTCGAGATGAGATTGGATGTATCAAGGAGGGCGCTGCTTTGCGATATCTCAATGGTCAAGCACTGTGGGATAAGAAATTCAAACACGCCATCAAGACTGTTCAACGACATCGCAAAAAGAATTTGAAGCAGGCGAGGGAGAAGGATAGCAAAAAGATTCGCGACATGTGGGCTGAACGAGCAAAAGAGGCCAGGGCAAAGCACTTGCATGCTCCTTCTGACTCTCAATCATCAACGCGAACCAGCTCAGATATGGAGACGGATGGCTGGGAAACAAATGATGAGTCTGCATTGCCAGAACGACACCATCGTCATCAATTTGGACACGCGGATAAAGCTTTGAACATTCCTGAAAACATGTTAGACAAGAGTTGGAGTTGGAAGTGGGCTTTAGAGGACGAAGCTCCGCCTCCGAGTGCAGTCGTCAGCCGGCGGGACTTTGTGAGCTGGTTGACATTGCTCACTCGCTGACCATGTCACAGGGAGAAGCACGTCGATTGGCCCTTATGGCAGATAGGATGGACTCGGAGCATGCGTCGCCCGTCCATGGCCTGTCCATTTGGGTCGGGCTCGCTGCGTTCTTCTCCAGTTCTTCGGATCGTAGTCGAGCACATGAAGCACTACAAGGTGCGCACGATGCCAAAAAGGCCGAGAAAGAGGCGAAGCGGAATCAAGGATCGGCATCGGATCAAGGGCACGGAGACGGGTCAAAGAGTCACGGTGTGACGGGCGGGATGAAGCGACTGGGCAAGGCATTAGGTATCAAATCGGCAAAGCATGAGTAGGGCGTTCAGGACATGGAAGCTTGTATGTACCGCTACTGAAACACTCGACACCGTATCATAACATCTCCCATCTCGCAACAGGGCTTTCATTAAGTCGCTACAGATACCTGCGATCGTTCTCATTTCTTCTTCTTGTCACCATCGCCCTCCTTGATGTATCGCTTTGGAACTCCCTTGTCGACCAAGGCATCGGTCACGATCTTGGTTTGAGTACCTTGGACCATGATCTCTCTCAGGTTCAACTTTGGCGAAGCCCCTTGCAGCGGTTGGACTGCAGGCTACGATTAGCTGCTGTTTGATCGCTTGAGACGGCAAAGTCCAACGTACTTGCTGTACTTCCCGCGCAAAGCTTTTTGAGCTCTTCCGCAAAGTCTTCCAAATCTATTCCAAACGTCTCGAGACCGCTGATGAGGGTGACAGTCTTTCGTCCTTGTCTAGTCTTGACGCTGATCAGAACGGGCTGCATGGCGCCTTTCCTGTGACACTCTGCCTTAGCATCAAGACAGATAGCGAAGGCCTTTTGACTCACTTGACGACTCCATCGATGGAGACGGACCACGAGACTCCAGATCGCAATCTTCTGATCACTTCTTCTCGGACGAGTCTTGATTCGGAAGACCCCATTTTGACTCCAATCGCCTTTGCCAAGCTGTCATCCAGAACAATCATACGGCGATCCGATGGATCGGACAAGCTGTTACGATTTACGTAGTCCTCAAAGCTGGCTTTAAGCTGCGAGGACGGCTGCAATGTCGTAGTCCTAGGGCGTTATCAGCCCAGAACAGGGATATTCCGACCAACGCACTCAACACCAGCCGCTTCCCAAAACGCTATCCCGGAGCCTGATGGTCTCCAGAGTTCTTCGATGTGTCTCGATTTTCCTTTACTTCCAGATGCCTCTGCGCCTGTGGCTTCTGCTGCTTCTCGGGTTGCCTTTTTGGTCGCTCTCGCTTCCTCTTCAGACACAGTGAGGAACGGCTTATGAGTCTGCAGAGCCATGTGCTTGGCATCGTACCTACGATCTTGTCAATCTCTCACAGGATAATGAACCCACCCTTGGACGACAATTTCGCCTTTTGACTCCTTCATCTTGATCACACCATCCTTACTGATCTCCTTCATCCATTTGGTCAACTTTTTCCATTCACTCTTTCCAATTACGACTTCATCCCGCTGTGCTTTTGGTATGTATGCAGGTCTGTTTGGGAAAATATGCGCAGAGTAGAGGGTAGATGCAGGCATAGGGAAAGATAGTGATTCGGATGTTGAGAGAGTCTGATATAGAGCTTGATTCAGCAGGGTTGAAATGTCGGAGGGAGAGAGATCTGCCGGCGTGACAGGCGCCGCAGAGTCGTCAATCCTGAGGTCTTTCATTTCCACTATAGATTCAGATACAGGTATTGGGTTCTCTGACAGTCCAGAATCTTCGGATGCCGGCGGTGGCGCGAGTCCAGGAGACGGAACGGGTAGTGTGAACGTGAGAAGTGTAGGTTTTGACCCCATCTGCCATAGACTGCAAAGGCATTCAGTGTGATTCTTGAGGATAGAAAGACTTCAACTCGCTGGTCATTGATCATGTAGAGGACATCGCAAAACTTGCCCTCTTCCACCTCTCTCCCCTCTGAGCGGTTCCTCTTCCGCCTTTCCACTGCCCCTCGGATGCCACCTTGAGCAACGACGATCCCGGCACCAACGTACCGAACTTCGGAACCATTGTTGTCCGAAGCCACGAACGCAACGACACCGCCTTCGGGAACGTCGGGGATGAGGTGAAGATTGTTGAGATTGCGCACAGCGGGCAAGAAGAGCGGCGCACCGGTAAATAATGGTGGTGGCAGGGGATGATATATCTGTATGGTGGGCAGGGGAGGTCGCGGCAGCGACAGGGACAGCAGACAGACTACCGAGAGTCAGCTGAGACCTCTCATAACTCAGCTTACGCGTCGGGATGTACGTTGACGACGATCTTCCTATCGTCATCCAAAGCGGGTCACCAGATGGCGAGTAGTACAGCGTCTGCCCGGAGTCAGCTGGCAAGGGACCGCAGCGAGAGGACAGGACAAGACAGGACATACCCCTTGAATCTCGGCAGATGTCTCAAACGTACCCAACCTTACACCTTCAGGTACAATGAGTCTGCCGATCTCCTTATCCACAGCTATGGCATCCTCGTCCTGCTGCTCCTTTGCCTCCCCTCTGCCGCTTGACAATAGCAGTGGGTACTGAGCAAAGATGGCATTGATCAGCTGCCGCCTGGCTGATGATCTAATAGGCGTCGCATTGGACTGATGGGCCAAAGGTTTCTTGAACATGTCCAAGGGATCATATCGAGGTGTCGTTGCCGGTCGAGGTCAAAAGGTCAATGGAAAACGACGTCCCCAAATGTCATCTGGAATCAAACCCGAAACGTCAATCGAAGAGTTCCTTCGTGGCGGGTCATAAGTGTGGCGGGGCATACATGGTACTACTGTACGATGATAGGTCTACAATACTGTTCAAGCTTTCTCCGATGCCGCCGCAGAGACCAGAAGCCCTTCCATCTCTTCTGATGCTGTCTCTTTCACGTCGTTCACCTCGTCACTGAAGATCTCATGTCAACTATGGAACCGACCATAGAATCAATGACTCACATCTCGTTGACCATGATCGCCGACGTCTTGGTGAAATTGACGGATAGGTAAACAAGGGAGATTGTGAGTGTAGCGACGATAGCAGTGGACCAGCTGAATTGGAATCAGAATCAGAATCAGCAGCTCTAGAGGCTCACCCGATACGTAATGCATGATTACAGGTGCCACCTTCTTGCAAAGCGGTGACGGCAATCAGAGAGCCGATGAAAACCTCGACTAGGTCAGCTCTTTGCAAGGGGACTGTGATGTCCAGGAGAAGTGTCGAACCACTCACTAAAGATGCAGTTCCAGCAATAGCAGCAAGCAGTATGGAGAACAAGATCCACGGTCTGTAGTGCTTGAGCTCTGCGGGCTTTGCCCACCTCTCCTCATGTGCGAGGTTGAACAGATGTACTAAGATGCAAGAGAAGATGGAAAGCATGCCCACTGCCGAGTTCAGCTCGTTCTGAACATGGCAAACGGCTCACAGATCTGGCTGGTTGGCTTGATACAACCCAGCAGAACCCTGAGAAGTCGTATCAGCATTTCATTCGTTCTGACCCACTGAATGCTCTGACTCACACTCCGTTTGTGCTCATACCAATATCCGTACAGTTCAGCTCAGTTCCGGCTATCCAACAGTGACCCGAAGCCGTCACTTTGACAGTCTGGTGACAGAACTCATAAGACTGCAAGATCTCGTACCATCTCGGCCGTGTTTGTCCCGTCCAAAACGCAGTCATGCTACACAAGACACCGAGTAGAGCAGAGAGGTGGACTGCGGTGATCATCCTTAATCGATCTGTAGTCGATGCAATATACGAGCTGGATCAATTGATTGCACGTCGACGGAGAGAACATACGTGAATCTGGGACAAGATGGAAATGATCTGCGTCAATTGAGCCTCGCGGACTTCCAGGGGAACCGCAAAGGATGGACAGTGGACGTTGAATAAAAGGAAAGCCTCAAAGGGGCCGAATAGAGCGGGAAGATCACATACATGGGGGTATCTGAAGGTGATGGACAGATGAATTTGTAGAGGATGCAAGTGAATGACTCGCAAGGGATGGTGATCAATTGGCAAGGAGCATTCGTTACTGACGCCCTTCAGTCCAGCGCTTTCTCAACGTGTGCGCTGCCATCTTTGGTCTTCTATCTCGTGTGAAGACTCCCTTCTTGTTCCCATCCACTCTGATGATACCGGGACCAGTTTGGAAATCGGCAAAGTTCCAGACGTGCTCCCCAACGATAGCTTCGATCTTGTCAAAGACTCGATGACTCATTGTCAAAAGGTCGGATTGGTACTCTTCTGACCAGGGCAGACCTTCCATTGCGTGAAGACCTGCCATGGTATCCGCACCATACTCCATGATCAAGAGGGGGCATTTGAATCTGCTCTGCCAGCCCTGCAGATCCTTTTCGAGCGCGATTTCTGCCGATGCGAGGTCAGCGTTGTTTTGATACCATCCATAGTATCTGTTGATGCTTCGAAAGGGGTAAGCCAGGATACACTTAATAATGGAGCCCACTCTCACCCGATGAAGTCGAACAAGTCTCCGATCCTGTCCTTGTCCCATGGCGACGTCAGACAATTAGCATATGTCAAAGGTCGAGTAGGGTCAAGCTGTCTTGCGACTTTGACGAGAGGTTCAAAGTATTCCCTCGCTCCATCTTCATCGGATCCACACTCATTGGTGATGGACCAAGCGATGACACACGGATGATTTTTGTCTCGCTGTATAAGCTCTCTGATGGCTGACTCGTGAGCCTTCTGCGTATTGTCGTTTGCAAACTCCTTTGAGAATGTTGGCTTTCTCCCAGCTCCAAAGAGACCTCCGACAATGTTGAGGTTGAGTCCCACAGCTGGCGTCTCATCGATCACTAGAAACCCTTGTCGATCGGCATAATCCATCACATCCTCTGCGTAAGGGTAGTGAGATGTTCGGAACGAATTGGCGCCACACCATTTCATGAGCTCAAAGTCGTGTACCATCCAGGCGTCATTGTGCCCTTTGGCTTGAATAGGGATATCCTCGTGACGACCAAATCCTTTGAATTGGAATGGCTTGCCGTTGATCAATATCTGTAGACCTTTCACCTCGACTGTACGAATCCCAACGGATAGAGTGTATTCGTCCACTATGGTTGAGCCGTCCAGCAGCCGAACTCGAAGGGTGTACAGGTATGGTGTTCCAGGACCCCAGAGATTGGCATCGGAGACCTTGAGCTCTCCTTTGAGGCCTTTCCCAGACGCTACAGCCTTGTGGTCGACGTCTAGCAGCTCGACCTGGACAGTTTTTGCATCTCCATGCGTTGCCACATCGTAGATGACTGTCCCTGTCGAGCCCTCAAGACCAGTAATGAGGGTGATGTCTTCGACCCGAGTCTTTGGGACTGAGCATAACCTGACCGATCTTGACAGACCAGAGTAGTTGAAGAAGTCGTGATAATACGTTTGAGATGGTTTGCCATTGCCAGTCGTGATGACCTTGCCCGGTGGGATGGTCTCGTTGGTTAAAGTGTTGTCAACAGACACGGTGATTCGGAATGATCTGCCTGGATATACTTTGCCGGATATATCCGCTTGAAACGGGGTATATCCGCCTACATGCGAAGTGACATGTTCATCGTCAATGTAGACCTCGGCAGCATGAGTAGCAGCATCGAATCGGAGGATGGTGTCGTCTTGATCCCAGCCTCGAGGGAGATGGCAGATACGCTGGTACCAGACTTTACCGACGTGATTGCGAAGAGATGGATTGACGAAAATGTCATTGTAAGATGCTGGGACTGGACATTCCATAGATCCAGGTAAAGTCGTCTTCCAAGGTTCGTGTAGATCCTCGCTGTCCGGGACGAACCGCCATAGACCGTCGAGGAGGATATTAGTGCGAGTAGAACTGTCAACAGGCTTGGGCATTGCGGAGAAGACGGCAGGTATGAGGTGGAATGGCTGAAAGTAGAATAGGATATAGATAGGTTTAAATAGGTATCTGAACGCCAAGGTTCATGACTACTCGGTCCGATAGCCGGTACCAAGTGGCACGGCGATTGACGACCAGTGGACGTTCAAGAAGCAGATCTGAACGCAGCTCGAAGGCAGTAGGTACCTCGTCTCAGCGAACGAGGCAGAAGAATCATCGAGACATCTTCTATCCATACGATTGCCTCACTGCGTACGATGCCACACAAATGCCGTCTTTGGTGACGTCTACAAAACAAGGTGTCCCACCTGGTCCATATGCAAATCTTATACAGTACATACGATATCCTACTTGAGTTCCGCGTGCTCAGTCTCTGCCTTTTCCTTCTCCTCGTAAGCGACCTCGCCGTGTGAGATACCGTGAGTCTCTCGGTGGATGGCGAATTGCTCATCGATGGAGACCTTTGTGAATTTACGGGCAGGGACCTTGTTGGCAAACAAGATGTCGAGTTCGGCGAATGAGAATCCTCCAGTCTCGGGCATTCGGAAGAAACACCAAATGAAACAGAGGATACCAGTTCCCATCCAGAAGAATCCAGCTTTAGCTCCCCAGATGTTGGTGGTGTAAGGGTTGATAGAGTTGACAACGATACCGTTGACGACGTAGACAAATCGGCCCATCACGATGGATCGTGCACGGAGTCGAGAAGCTGGCAATTCACCAACGATAGTGTAGCAGACGGGTCCGAGCGAGAAGTGGAAAGCAAAATTGATCCAGGTCATGAATGCTCCAGCGGCGTAACTGGTTGTCTTGGCCTTCTTAGTGACTCCGAGAGCTCCAATGATCAAGTTGGCAACGATGATGGATACAATACCCCAGTTGTAGATGGGTCGACGACCAAAGTATCGAAGGAGGACCCAGGAGACGGCAACACCAACCACGGACAAGGCTTGGATGATCATGCTGCGGGCAAGTCAGCAAATGGGTCATCGTCAAGGCTGCGGCTACTAACTTGAAGTTGAAGGCGAATTCAGGAGTCATTCCGGCGTTCTCGAAGAATTGGACGTTAAGACCTGACGCGAACGTCAACAGAGATTCCCAAGATCTTTCCTCGGTCTGTAACTCACCGGTGATGGCATTTCCGTTCCAGAGCTGAGCGATCCAGACTCCGAGTTGGATCTCCGTTCGTCGAAGGTTGGTTCCCTTGAATAAGTCGGCGAATTTTCCTGAAGCCTTTTCGGCTCGGTCGAGAGCGTCGGTGTGCTTCATGTATTCGACGTATCCATCAATTTCGCCTTCGGCGTAGAATCCAGGTCGAGCGGATCGTCGAACGACTTCCTTCGCCTCTTCGTAACGACCCTTACGGACGAGCCACCAAGGAGACTCAGGCGCCATCCAAATGGTCAAAGCGAGAGGGACGGGCCACTGGTCAATCATGTCAGCAAGCGCGCATGGTCAGGTCTGGAGACTCACGATCCACTGAACGGCCCATGGAGTTCGCCACGCCCAGTCACCAGTGTAGTGAATGGTAGCTCGAGTGACACCACTGGCCAGGAATCGACCACCTCCCCAACCCATGGATGCCCAGGCGGCAAGGTATCCTCGCATGTTGATTGGGCAGATTTCAGCGGCATAGGCGGTGGTAAGGGTTTCTGCAACAGGGATCAGAAGCGATCTCCAATCGCAGCCAGTCAACACTCACGGAACATTCCCCAAGGGATACCCATGAAGAATTCGGCGACGTAAAGCATGGCAATGTTTTGGCAAAAGACAGCGAGGAAAATGGTGGCGATCATGAAGAGCATTCCACCAAGGAAAGTCTTTTTAGAACCGATCCATTCTTGGCAGATACCGGTGATAACGAGACCGATGAGCTGACCACAGGTAGAGGTGTTGCCAATACCGACTTGGGTCTCGTTGGTGATCTTCAATTTTCCATCGACCATGGTTCCAAAGACCGCTTTGAACTGTGGCAGACCGTAGTAGGATCCGAGACTGCAGGAGGAAACGATCAGCACGTGCGTCGAAGAATTGAGCTGCTGCGGTGGCGACTCACATGGAAGTGTCATAACCTTCCATCCACAAGGCCATGGAGATGAACAAACTCCAGGCCGCCGCCCGCCAATGGTTCCTCCATGCCGTGCCGAAGTTCTCCTCCTTCTGACGGGCAATGACTTGGTGGCCAATTCTGAGCAATTCTTGATCAAGATTGGAGTCTTCAATCTTTTGCTTGGTGGTCATGCCAATGTGATCACCGGCATGCACTTCGTGCTCTTCGGAGTCGTGGAGACCCATGTTGGAGAGGGAATTTAGTGTGAGATGAGAGATTGAGAACAGGTAGCGGGGGGAAGAGAAATCTGAGTCAGGGGGAAGAGCTTTTATAAATTGTTCGACGCCATCTTCCCCGCGTCGAACTTGTCGGTCCGACCTCACCGGATTCGCCCCGGGGGGCAATAAACCGATTTACAGTCAGGTTCAAGAGAAGAAGGGGGGAGGAGGGCGAAAATGGTACCGGTGTACCGGTGTGGGCGTGGGTGAGAGTGGGGTGCTGAAAATAGAAACAAGCCAAGGCGAACGAGAAGAGGGACCCCTCCGATTTTGATTAGACTCGTCCGTCGACTTCCCAACTCAGGCGAGGGAGCTGAGAAGCAAAAAGTGGCACACACTATCCCCCCTCTGCCCTGGTCACGGCGTAAAAATACTGACCTGATCTCATGGCGAGCAGCAGAGGAGAGATCCGGCCCTTACCCCGGATTCGAAATTGTTTTTACGAGTAACGAAGGGAGGGGGGCAGCAGCAGCAGCAGTTCAGACTCTCGCAAGAATGATTATACCGAAGGTCCCTGAAAACTTTCACACGACGTGGAGAGATTCGAATGGAATACGTACGCTGATCGGCCTGACCGGACCGCCGCCAGACAGCGGCTCGCCATAACATTGTTGCGACACGTAACAACGTGTAAGTTATCCGTTCTTGACGGGCCGCTAGAATTCCGAAGGGATATTATGTCAAGTCCGTGTTCGGAGCAACCAACGTCGATCGAGAATGGGGGCACAAAGTGGGATGACGAAGGCGTCAGTGAGGGGTCATCCCATCGTCGTTGCTCCAGGAGGAATGGACCACCCCTCCCCTTCTTTTAACATGGAGAAGGAAAATTCCACAACTATCAATGCACAAAAGTTTATAGATCTCAAGATGCCCCTGTGGCGCCAATCGGTGATTGACCGACCACAAATAGCTTTTCGGCTGGCCTGCTCGCAAGGCGTAGGTAGAGTTTGGTGAACAGTCCAGCGATCACCAAACTATCAGCAACTGTCGAACCTGCAAGATAGCATATATCGGACAGGTGGATCGCCTGTGTGGGTAATGTGAGCCATGCATCAGCGTCCACTGGTGACTACCCACCGAAATGTAAATTACGTAATATGAGCCCCCCACCGCAAGACGCCCTTGACCGCTTGAAAAATGTTCGTCGAGTCAACTGTTATTACTGATGCCTTGTACACCATTGAGCTGCTGAATGAGAGCTTCGGCCATACTACGCAGCATGATGACGCGGACAAAGAGCTATGCAGAGGCTATATCTCTACTGAATACGTGTCAATCCAATGCGGCAGCGTGAGCTTACTCGATATGGAGAAATCACAAGCGACTCACACTCATCTCCTGACTCCAGAATCGAGGCTGTCCGCAAGTCTGGAGGCAGATTACAGGAACTGGGTATCCCAGAGATGCTAGACTACCTTAGAAGGATAGGCTACAAGGTGAACAAAACGTCATGTGGTACCGCTGAAGAGCTAGCCGGATGATTTGAACGCTCTGAACGTCATTCATGTCACCGGGACCAAGGGGAAAGGGTCGACATCAGCCTTCGCGGAACGTATCGTCAGATCACACTTGCCATCAAGCAGCAAAGTTGGGCTCTACACCTCGCCTCATCTTTGTGCTGTTCGGGAGAGGATACGGATCAACGGAGAACCATTGTCGGAAGAAGTATTTGCCAAATACTTTTTCGAAGTCTGGGAACGATTAGAGAATGACCCAAAGGTGAGAGCGAGCATTCGAAGTGGAATCGAGTGGACATTAAACTGACTCGAGTCCTACTCGCACAGACTCTGACTCCCACTACACCCGTCTTCCCTATCTATTTTCGACTCCTCACCCTGCTCGCTTTCCACACCTTTTTATCCCTCGGAGTCGACGCCACCGTTCTAGAGGTCGGAATAGGTGGCACGTACGATTCTACCAACATCGTCCCGAAACCCATCACGACCGGGGTCTCGTCTCTTGGCATGGACCATACTGCCATATTAGGCAACACGATAGAAGAGATTGCAAGGAATAAAGCTGGGATCTATAAACTTGGCGTTCCGGCCTTATCTGTCCCTCAGGATCGCGCCGGACAGGTCTTGGAGAATTATGCCAACGAGATTCATGCCCCGTTCCAGGTGGTTCCCATAATTCCAGAGACGTCCCTAGGTATCCGGGGTGATCATCAACGGATAAACGCCTCCCTCGCAGTAGGTTTGGCCAAATCTTTCCTCGCCAGTCCTCAGGGTGGTAACCAAACATTCTCCGAAATCCTCCCTGAATCCTTTGTGAAACCATTGGCGGAGACCAAATGGCCAGGAAGGTGTCAACGCGTACCAAGGGGAAAAGTCACTTGGCTACTAGACGGTGCCCACACGACAGAGTCGCTGACATCGTGTGGTGAATGGGCTTGGAGCGAAGCGAAACCGACAGCATTGATATTCAACTGTTCAGGAGGTCGTGCGAGTGATCAACTCCTGGGATCCCTGTTGCAAGCTGGAGCTAGCAAGTGTGGTCAATCGAAAGAAGAATTAGGTTCGACTTTGGACACGGTCATCTTTTGTACCAATGTCACATACACGTCTGGCGCGTTCAAAGGCGGTGAGTCGGCCCTCTTCCTGTCTAATTTGAGCTGAGCCCCCACTGCAGACCTCACTTCCAACGCGATCGATCCCAACGATCTCTCCCAGCTGGCTACTCAACACGCCTTGCGTGATGCCTGGCTCGCTTTGAACCCTTGTTTCCCGCCCGAACAGGTACATGTCGTTGCATCGATAGAGCATGCCGTCAACATCATCAACTCCCAGAATAAGGCAGAAGTCCTTGTGGCAGGCAGTCTTCACCTCGTTGGAGGCGTCATGGAGGTTGCAGGGCTTCAAGATGCCCTTGGGATGAACTAGGTCCGCACCTGATACATCATAGAACCAACAGGATGCGCTCTCTATGCCACATTGTGATGCTACATATAGGTCGACGAGGCCGTCTATACCTCGACCATTCCAGTCACCGCGCCGTACATGAATAGATCCACTGCGCCACGGAAATGCTCCTCTGCCCATGGCCGGAAATCAAGCAGCATGCGTGACGCAGGCATGTTTGGCCCGAGATCCGCAGCCGTTTGAGGGACCATCTGCTTCATGTCTGCGACCTGTCAGCTCGAGATCATCGACATCGAGAAAGACTGACCTATGCCCGTCCATTCAAATTTGATCTTATCCCCCTTTCGCGCCCTGATATCGAGTTCAAGGTCTACCGTTGGCGTATCGACAGACGTGGCGATCTTCAAGTGATGCCGACGGTTCCCGGTTGGTGGTTCGAACTTGTAAGACCAGTCGACGACCTCAGCTTCGAAGGCTAATGTAGGCCAAACGATTCCTGTCTGCATCTCTATCAGAGTAGCACACAAACAGCAGACTTACAAAGTCCAAATGGATAAGGAGTCGCCTGACTCCACCGATATGGTCTAGCTCCTTGACGTCTATGCTTGGCTTTGGCCAGTCGAACGGTACCGCCGGCAAATCGAATTTGTACGTCTCCAGGAAACTTGATACTGGATACAAGACGTCCCAATCGGTATCATTCTTGGTGATGGTAGTAGCCTTGATTTGAGATCCAGGCGCACCATAGCGACTGTGGAGGCTCTGAACGAAATCGAGTCGAGGTCCGCGATCCATGAATCCAACGTGGCAAGTGTGCTCTCCGCTCGTGTGCTGTAACGAGTCAGCTACTTTGTCACTCTGGCTACTACTCACGTTGTACACATATTGCGTCGCCGTACGCTTCGGGTGCATGTAATCATATGTTCTCCACCATCTTCCAGCGAAGAACCCCATGGCGAGGAGTGTTGTAATGCCGAGTGCTTTAAGCGTTCTCAACTGTTGTGGACGAGACAATCGATGGAAAATGGGACTAATGATGGGGTAAAAGAGCGGAACGGTAGTCGAACAGATAGTGGCGACAATGTACTCTGCCGGAGCATCCTTCCCAATGCGCCCGGTGAGCGGGACGAACGTATCTAGGACCGTGGTAAGACCCTCGACACCCAAGATCATGCAAAGGAACAGCGTCGGGGCATACGCTTCAAACAGGCCCAGAAGCGAGTCACGAGAAGAACGACGAGTGTAAAAGGTGTTGGTGAAAAGACCTATAAGGAGGACTCCAGAGAGAACGGCAAACACGTAGGCCGATCGGATCTGGATCGACTGTAAGATGAGCATGGTCCAGGTGTTGACCATGAGATTAGCGAGGTAGTACAGGCGATCCAGATCGGCAGGGCGATCCGGCACAAGAAATTTGTTGAGCATGTATTGGCTTCCCAGGTAGCCTGACAAGAGTCAGAGGTGCCGTGCTTGCTCTAATTCTCACCGAATAATGCCGGTGGGACGTACAAGAAGAGACAGATGTGCTCGTGTTTGAACCTATAATCAGTAGTGCCTGCGATGCTCACTCTCACCATGACAGGCCATGGCCTCTAGAGGACATGATATACGCTATCGTATTTGCAGAGATGGCTGAGAACACCAGAGCCAGCGGTGTCCCGACCAACGCTGCGACCACAGGTTTCCATGCTCGAAAGTTGACAGAAGAGAGCGTCATAACAGTTGCGAGGGAAGCGATAAAGCCAATGTAAACTGGTGTAGCAGTTTCCATGGACCAAGATTGAAAGATCTTGTCGTACATGGTCAAATACACCATGGAGGGAGGTGACCATTCTTCCGAATGTAAAATGGGGGAAGCGGGTGAAGTGAGGTATTCGACAGCCGTCATGACATTTTCAGAGAAATGCTGAGCTGATCCACGCTCAATGTGCACCAATAGGTCTTTCTGGGTATGATAGAAGTAGCTAAGAAGGGGTCAACAGCGTATCTGGATGAGGAAAATCACCTGTGCCCGATGATGGCCATATCCAGACCCGAGATGTTGAGGTAACGCTCAAATTGACCAAAGTCTGTATCAGAGAGGAGGATCCCACTGGCGAAAATATCTGCCGCGATGACACTTCCTCGAGGGTAAGGGAATTTGGAGAAGACGTCGATCATTTCCTTGCTGGTAGCTTGAAAAACGAGAGCTCCGCCTGTCGATCCCGCAGCTGTGACGGCTCAGCCTTGAATCACCTGTTAAAAGTCTCACCCTCAAGGTTGATCATGGTTCGAATCCTGCGGAGCATTAGTGCGATCTACAGGTCGGGTATGGAGTGCTCACTCTTTCGCCGTTTCATGTTGTGTGGCGTACAGATGGGATCCATCTTGGAGGGTTTCTGAACGTTAGCCATCGTTCAATTCGTCGCCTCACCCTCAGCACCGTTCCAGACTGGTCTTTCGTCAGCAAGAGAACTAGAGCGCAAGTCAGACGTACCAAATAATAAGGAGTTATCAAACGGCCGTTTCCGATCAATCACTACTCTTGCAATGTCAAGCATGACCCCGACACCCATCGCATCGCTGATGGGGTGAGCGTCAAGTACCAGCCGGGAGGTACACCAACTCACTCTGCAGCTCCTTTGGAAGGCAGAGTTGAATCTATGTGAGAAGCAAGTAAGATGCCGTCCTTTTCGACTCGTCTTCCAGAGGTTGGATGCTTGGCTCGGATCTCAAGGATAACATTGCGGACGCCAGTGTACACTTTCAGAATGTCGTGGTCTAATATGTTGAACCTGTACAGACATCAGCTTGCCAGAACCAAACAAGTCAACAGATGCTCGCACATATGAAAGCCTGATCCTTCCTGAATATACACTTTGCAATCCAATACTCCATCTGCTTTGCACCTATCCTCCAATAACCTGACTTGATCAATCACATATTGTTCGCCTCTGCGAGCCTGTTCAAGCCCGACTATCCGGTATCCAATATTCTCCAAAGCGGCGATATGGGACAGAACGATCTCTTCCGAAGGTCTCGGGACGTCCAGAAAGTCTCTGAGAATGGGTCTGTGAGCCGGTCTCCCGATGGTGCAGAAGATGTCGACGTAGGCTCAACGGCCCAGAACTCACACTGGGCCCAGTGGCTCGGGCAGCTTGTAGTGTGCCCTGTAGAGGTACCAAGGGAGAGCCGTCAAGAGGAAGATGAATATTCTCGTGGTCAATGATGTCCTGTAATCTTGTCCTGCGTAGACTCCTTCATCTTCCTTTGGATCACTCGAAGCAGAAGTGGATGTTACGTTGACCTTGATGGCCGAGTCATTGCCGCCAGATGGCTTGACTCTTCTGCTCATGCTTTAAGCGAGAAGCTGAGCTCGACCCCCGTGCTCTTCGACCCTCTGAGATGTGATGGAATGGTGTTGGTGGTGGTGGTGGTGGTGAACAGAGGACCAGACGAATAAACCCAGAAACTGGACGACGATGACGACAACGACGAGGGCGGGATGGATCACCGTGAAATCCGAAATTTTTGGATGCAACTCAATCTCATTCGACCATTCAAGCTACATGAACACTGGGCATGGACTAAAGACAGCTATCAAGGTAATCCAGAGTGTCTTCAGGTCTTCAAAGGATTCATCCATGTCCACTGCGTACGCTCATTTGTCTCGCGAAGAGCTAGAGACTCGACTGGCATCTTATGAAGCCTCTTCTCAATCGATTGCCTCCTCATCCAAGCTTCCTCTGGCCAATGCAAGGGCAAGCAAAGTCAAGAAGACCAAGAGGGCATTCAACTTTTCCACTTATCCTACGAGGCATATAGCCCTGCTTATAGCGTATGAGGGATGGACGTTCTCCGGCTTGGCCATACAACCGCTTGTGGAAGCTACCAGTCCGACGGTCGAGGGAGAGCTATTGAAAGCTTTAGAAAGGGCCAAATTGATCGAGGCGGGCAAAGGCTGGGAAGGCTGTGGGTTCTCAAGATGTGGTCGCACGGATAAAGGAGTCAGCGGAGCTGGTCAAGTGGTCAATCTATGGGTCAGGTCCATGAAGTCGAAAGATCATGTCAGAGGTCCGGAAGGATCATGGAAGGAGCCATCGGAGATTTTACCGCCAAGAGTCAAGTTGGAGAATCAAGATGCTTCAGAGCAGGAGAACTCACCACCACAATCAATTCGGGAGGCCAAGGAATCATTTCCAGCTCCTGAAATGTTCTACCCCAAGATCCTTAATGCCCATCTCCCACCATCTATCCGTGTGCTTGCTTGGTCACCTGTCAATCCAACCTTTGACTCGCGATTCTCCTGTAAGAACAGACACTACAAGTACGCCTTTCACCTCGTGCCTTCTCCTGGATCCATTCCTCTCGACCTCGAAGCCATGCGTCAAGGTGCAAAGAGATTGATTGGCGAACATGATTTCCGAAACTTTTGTAAACTGGATGGGTCGAAACAGATTGAAAATCATCGTCGACGAGTTCTCAAAGCGTGGTTCGATGAACCTCTAGCGTCGAAAGATGGGGACCCTTCCTCCAGTGGCATGGTGATGTTCAACCTTGTCGGTACGGCTTTTCTGTGGCATCAAGTAAGACATATTATGGCCGTCTTGTTCCTCATTGGCTCGAGATTGGAGTATCCAAGCGTCGTCACCGAATTGTTGGATATTGACAAGTACCCTCGTCGACCACTATATCTCATGGCTGATGCTCTACCATTACGACTACATGAATGCGGGTATGAGCCAGGTGATCTAGATTGGCGAGTTGGAAGCTATGACGGCCTGACATCCGAAATGCAAGGAGATGCGCGAGCGATAGAGCTCGAAGCAAGAGGGAAACTTGCAGGACAGCTGGAGAACGCAAGGCAAGAAGCAGAAATCCGGACTTGGCAGACTAGCAGTGCGCTAGGGAGGATGACAGAGTTGTTCGGGGCCATGAGGACGGAACTACCGCCCGCTGCTCATCCCATGGGTGGAGGAGACATCAGAGCGGGAGACAAGTATGTCTCTATTGACAAGCTCAGTCTGGGCGAGACGGTAGAAGTGGTGAACCAGACATGGAGGGAAGGCAGGGGCAAGGTGAGACAGCTCCAAAGGGACGCAAGAGCAGTCGCGGACGCAAACGGTCAGAGTGAGGCAAACGTTTCCTAATGTACACCTCGTCTTTGCATACTTTGTACATTGGTTCGTCCCTTCACAGGTTCGTCCTTTCACATGCCCATCATCCTCAAACGGTCAGGATGCACACCTGGATTACCCGCTGGAGGAGGACCAGATTGAGGAGTAAAATTACCGGAGCCTTGAGGTGCGCCACCATTTGCCGGTGGACCAGCTGAGAATGGAGGCATTTGACCCATTGGCGGTGGCATGCCCATAGGTGGACCTGACATGTTTTGAGGCGGTGGGAAAGGTGGCATAGATCCAGCAGCGCCATTGGGTGGGAAAGGTGGTCTGAAAGGGGGAACAGATTGTGCAGGGTATCCACCGCCACCAGGTGGAGGTGGTGCGTTACCAGGGAACGGTGGAAAGTCTAGCGAAAGGATTCCAAACCATCAGCAAGGCGTGTATATGTCGGGATCTCCGGAAACGACCCACTCATAGGCGGAGCAGCCATGGGATTCATGAACCCAGCTCCGATTCTCATACTTGGAGCAGCCATCATTTGAGCTCTACCTCCTCCTTCATGCGATAGAACAATTTGATCAATGATATTTTGAGCCTTGTCGTGCCCCAGTCCAGCGAAATAATCACGAACGTTGGAAACGTGATTACGTCCAGTATTGTGTGCTTTCCGAGCGTTCATCGAGTCGTGTGTGCTGATAGAGACGGTCAGCTACAAGTAGGCGTCGAGAGGCGCCAAGTATGGCGGGAAAAGGAAATGATTCAAATCGTCTCAAAGCAAGACTTACAGGTAGCTGCGAGGCAGGTTGGTCAGTTCAAAATCATTCTTCACCACCATGATGCTTCACTTACATGTCACAATAAGTATAGGATGATAATCCGTGCCGCAGAGAAAAAGGGGCAATAGGGGAACAGAGGTCAGCCAAAGTTCACAGTATCAAGCAAGAGCAGAGGACTTATTCGCAGTAGTATTTACCCATCTTGGATAACTCGGCTGAGGAGCCTTCCCGTGATCGAAATAAGGGCGGGGGCGGTTTCGAAGGCTTATAGACGGGTGGCTGCTGTACAGGCTCTCAAGTACGATGAGATAGTTCTGGAGGACAGAAGATATCAAGTAACTGGAGGAAGCTCGAGGCTCGCCCGCAACCTTTTCGGAAAGACCTGTATTACGTAATGCATCCACATTACATGTATACACACCCTCGATATGGGCTCATCCACTGGTCATAAATTATGCTACAGGGCTCGTCTAGAATCTCATTTGACAGGTTACAACGGGTCATATCTGGTCATCATCATCCATGTTCAGTGTCACTCGTCGCCTTCTATCTGGCCATCTGCTCAGATCGTCATCAGTTCGGGTCACAGGACATTCACAACATACCTTGTCAAAGTCCTTAGGCACTTCCCATCCCTACCATGTCTTAGCTGATCAGGCTCTCTTAAATCAACTCACGTGTACCCCTGCCACCCGCTTGAATGCTTGAATCGCCTCCTGCAGGTGATACGGTCGATCCCAATGATACGGGTCAAGCCTCGCAGGAGGCGCTGAGGGCAGCGATGAGCGTCTCTAACTGGAGGATGGTTAGCTCACAAGCTTCGGTCATATTCGCCTGTGCGATAAGTCAGCCATCGTATAGATTCACAGGCTCACCATGATATCCCTGACGACCGCCTCGATGCAAAAGGCGGGATTCCAACCGGTTCCCTGCAGTGTCAGATTGCAGATCCCTTTTGAGCACGCACAGTTAGGATTTCATGACAGATAGATCCACCACTGACCTTGATAAGCAATGGACGCGACACTGACTCACGCAGTAATGTGTCCACCACCTCCCGAGGCGAAAGGCAAGCATCTTGGCTGTAGAAGCCTCATAAAGGGCGGAGAGTGTGGGAAGCTAGCCGGAAATCGAAGCTCCGCGCTGGACCTCAGTGCTTTTTCCCTCGTGCCCACTCACATCATCGACTTGACACCCTTGATCTCCATGTCGCTCTTTAGATTCGAGGCTGGAAAGTCAAACAGCTCGACAGTCCAGCAGTACAAGCTATCAGTGTCGGGGTCAATATAGAGCGGAAGCTGATCTTCCTCTTGCGCTCTGATGACCGCTTTGAGTTCCCTTTGAACGGCTTTACTGGCAATGACAGAGGTCGACGAAAGGTGGAGGCATCTGTTCGAACCTATCGAAACGACTCCTGGGCGACGGGATAAATCGAGGAGGTGATGGGTTGAACTTTGCATCCTGCTCGTCGTCCGGTTGAGTATCGATAAATGCCATTTTGCTGTACTTGTCCGGCATCGCCTATCGCTGATGAGTTGCGAAAGCGTTCTCACACGTACCACTTCGAGCGGCTGACTGGAGAACGAAGGCTTCATGTGAGGTGGAATGCGAGGATCGTGCTGAAAGAGTCTCTTTGTAGTTGGTATCGCTGGGATGGGGATGCCTTGACCCTCTACAAGGAGTAGGAAAGGTTTGATCTGCTTGACCTTGTTGACAACGTAGTGCGGGTTGCAACAGACGAATGTCTCCGGCACATTTACTAGGAACTGATCAGAAGTGGCCACAGAAATTTCAGTACCCGACCTACCCAGCTCGACACATGCCACGGCTTTTGTGAGCACAAAATCCGCGTTTTGTCTACGAGATCCAGCAGGTTGACTGTACTGCCCTAAAGACATGCTCGCGTTGCGGGCAAAATACACGCCGTGACCGTAACTGAGCATCAGCACCATAGATGGCTTCGTCACTCACGACTAGGAATATTAGCGTCGCCACGATGTCACACTTACTCTTCCATTCGCAGTCTCTTGAAAGTCCAGACCAGTCCGAAGAATATTATGCTATCGTTCGGTGTGAGAGCCTGCAGTAGATCAATTTGCGTCCGCGATCGCTGCCTCACCGTGAAAAGCCAGGAGAGTGGGATACTGCTCTGACATTTGGTTCGACTGTTTAGCCATCTCAATCTCCGCCTTGAAATCTCGCTCTTGTTCAGGAGAACCAAGGACGAAAGCGAATTGACGAATATGGGACCCGTAGATCGACGTAGTCGCACTAGGGTAATGATTTTGGTACGCATGGATGACCCCTTCTCCAGGCATAACTTCCTTCAGATGTGCTCGACAACTTCCGACGACCCATCTTAGTACGCCGATGGCTCCCGGAGGCGCTGGTAGATCCTTGATCTTGACTCCAGAGTCAATGGCCGCTTTCATCTCGGAGACTTTGGGCAAGCATGAGATGAGAAAGGCAATAGCTCGGCGTTGATCGAGTTCGGACAGGTCGATGAGGTATTTGGGCGATTGGATGCCAAACTCTATGGGCAACTCGATACTGCATATGTATCAGCAAATCTGGGCACCGCCACGCTCACTTGAGTTCGGTGGGTAAAAACATTCTGGTCTTTGAATTGGCAGCGTCGTATGCAAATGTCAAGAGGAGATCGACGACCCCAGGATGTTCCTGAATCAAGTGCTCCATGGACGGACCGAATCTGTCATCGTCAGTGCAGATGTGATCGATGTCTCACCCCATGGTCAAGTATCGATACTCGCACAAAGGCTTGTCGCAGACATAAGGACGAAGAGCTGGAGTTGGGACCGCCAGGCCGCAATTCTGCCACTCAGCATTATTCTTTGCGAGTCCCTCCCTACCAAGCAATGTTCCCTTGCATTGACGAATCGCCTGACAATCCAGTGAAAAGCACAGAGAGCCAGATTGTCGCTGAAACCAAAGCCACAAGGGTCCGAAGGGTCTGCTCCCGTCCCAGAGGGCACTAGATCTCCGCTGAAGACTTTTCGAGACTCTTCATGATCGAAAGCTATGCGATCGCTTGTATCCCAATCGAGCAGGAAGGCCACTCGAGCTTTGTATGCCTTGGGGAACTCTTTGAAATAGTTTCGTAGACTTTCAGCAAGGTAAAATGGTGTCATACCTCCTCGTTCGTGCTGCAATGAGTTCTTGATGGTGTCTGCGGAAGGTTTGTCTGTAACTATTAGCAAGATGGCGGTGTGACAGGCTCACAATTCTTCTCGAATCCAATGAAGTACTCTATGCGATCGAGGTGAAGTGGATAGTCACAAGTTTTGACGAGGAGTGTGAATCGCTCGTCGTCATTCCACGCTCTGAGAAGACCATCGTCCCAAATTGCCAGCGTGTTCGGGTCGAGAGCCATACTCTTCAGAGGCATAGACAGGGAGAAGACCTGGCCGTCGGAGTAATCCAAATCATTGACTCACCCAGGCATCAGCTACCATGGTGAATCCGGGTCTATAGCCAAAGACTCGAGTTTGCGCAAAGTGTCTGATGGTGGTCAGCTGGGCCTTGCGGGGCGACCTCACTCTTTCAACTCTTTCCACGATGTACCTAGGTCCAACTCTCCGCCTTTTGCAATCTCGAATCCTCGACCGATGCTCAAAGACTCAGACCCCGTATTTTCCACGTCAAAATCTCCTCCGTCATCTGAATCTGATTCGACGAGTTCCCCAGCGTTCGCATCCTTGTCACCTTGAAGTGACCTGATGATCCGCTTGATCAGCGCCTCGAGGCCTAGCCCGTAGATGTTGGAAAAGTTCTCAAAAGTCTTTTTCCACGGAGGAAGACACTGAAGTCTCCGAGAAGAGTAAGAGGGTATAGGATCGAGGGTAAGACGAGAGATCTGTGATGAGCCTCTGGGATGCCAGCAACGCTCACTATTAAATACAGCTTGGATGGTCAGATCATGGAAATTTCTCTCGTCGTCTTCATACTTTATACGTAGGTTGATGGAGTCATCCGCATCACCAGATCCGATGCCTGATACGTGATGGTAAGCTGGGACACGCGGTGGCGAGCATGACCCCATGTACTCACTCTTGATCCAACACCACATTCCAGCGTACCCCTGAATGCGGTGATCTTTCCAGGTCGTATTCAAGTGCTGCAAATCGCTTTTCCATCCTTTCCTACCCGAAACAATGACAGAGGTCTCGATGGAAACGGGTGTAATCAGACGAGTCGAATGAGGCGATTCCGCCTTGTCGGCTAAACAGATATCAGAATCGGCATCATCACCCATCAGCTCCTCGTCAGAGGACTCGACGTAGATGAGAGCAGCTCGAGTGCCTGTCGGAAATCTCTCAGTAGGTGATATGGAGCATGCTCGCTCACCTCGACCCCTCGCTATGGCGGCCTTGCCCTTGCCCTTGGACGTGATGGTATTACTCGTCCCTGTTTGACCCCTGGTTCGCTTCCATGGTGTAGGAGCCACCTCTTCCACCGACGTCTGCCGCTGTTGCAGCATGGCGAGGTGTTGTGAGATATGCCACTAGGAGAGCCTCATAGATGGCGCCTCTGACCACGACATTCGACGAGGTGTATCTCTCTCTCTGAGCTCGCTATCGACAAAGATGTCAAGAAATGAAAATGTAAATGAACATTCCACAGATTATGCAACCGGTTGACCGGCAAACTCGCCTCGTGTTTCAGAGTTTGTATTACGTAAACGTCCGGACCACGGGGGGGTTCATTTTCAACACGGGTCTGCTGCTGCAACGTTTGACCGACCACATTACCAAACAGCGACCAGAAGAGGGTTTGAAGCAGCAACGACGCTCGTCAATATGGTCCTGGATACTGTTCAAGTCAAGTCTCACTCCCATGCTCACCCCTCGTTCCACATTCTGGGGCAAGAAATTGGTAATGTTTGCTACTTGGACTCATTTTCCTGACGTTTTCTCAAAGTTGTCGACTTGCCCATCCCTGCGCTTGTCCTCGCGTTTCTCGGCGCTGGAGTAGCATTTCGATACTTGATCTCGTTTTTGAGGTTGATTCTGGAGCTCACGATCATCCCCGGGACCAACGTGAGCGATGAACTTCCTTGAAGCGGGGCTGACTGGTCAGATCAAATCGTACAAATCAAAGACTGGCTCATATGCCCTGGTCACAGGATGTACCAGTGGTATCGGGCTCGAATTTGCCAAGCAGTTCGCTGGGAAAGGGTACAACCTCATTCTTCTGGGACGAAGGCAGACGGCGCTTGATGATTTGGTTAAAGAAATCAGTGAGTGTGACCCAAAGGGGGGAGGGGGGTTGCGCGACTCCGGCTCATCTTCAGGCGGGAAATACAAGGTTGACTGCAAGACTGTCATGGTGGATCTTGGCGACGCCTCATCGCGGGCCAAAGGGTTCGCACAGGTTGAAAAGCTCGCCCAGGAGCTAGACGTGGCGGTGTTGGGTGAGTCCGTGAGAATGAGAGGTCGGATCTAAGTGGATCAGTCAACAATGCTGGCGTGTCACATGAAGTTTGCGTGATATTCAATGAGACGCCTCATGAGGAGATTGATGCGATTGTTCAAACGGTGAGATGGCTTTGCATTCATATCTCGTCTGATACCTCCAGAACATTCTCGGTACGCTTCACCTCACGCGGACTGTCCTGCCATACCTCGTTGCACGGTCGAAAAAGGGTTCAAAATCTTTGATTCTCAACGTCGGATCACTGGATGGTCGAATCCCTGCAGCGCTCCTGGCAGCGTACTCATGCACGAAAGGAGGTCTTCAAACTTGGACCAAGGCTCTGGCGTGGGAATTGCGAGGAACAGGTGTTCAAGCGTTGATGGTCCAGCCCGCTTTCGTCGTGAGTCTGTGCGCCATCGTACCTTTACTGACATTGAAAAGATCTCCAACATGTCCAAGATTCGTCGTGCTTCTCTCACTGTGCCTACTGCCAAAGCTTGGGTCAAATCATGTCTCTCTTCCATCGGTTCTGCTGGCGGAGCGCAAGGCAGAGCATACGAAATGACACCTTACTGGAGTCACGCAATCATGGACTACGCCGCCGGATTCTTTGGATACCCTTCAGAGATGATTGGCATGTGGGTAGTCGACTACATGCACAAGGACATCAGGAAACGCTGGTTGAGGAAGAAGGCTCGGGAGAGCAAGAAGAGCGAGTAGAAACAAAGAAAGAGATGCACTCGTACAACATGGTTCTAAAATGCATAGTTTGCCTTCTATTCCGTCGTCTAATCTACATCATCAGAGATCCCTTCGGCGTCGTGAAATTCGCCTTCCTCCTCCTCCTCCTCCTCCTTATCATCCTCATCGTCCTTCTTACCCGTCGCTTGCTTACCTATGTCCTTCACGGCAAGCACGGACCCGCCCTTTGCTTCAAGATTCTCAATCGCCTCTTCATCCACAATCTCAAAACTGATGCTGAACAACATGCCTTCTGAGCTGACGGGACTCTTCCCTGACGGCGTACGTTTACGACAGACGTAAATGACAGGTTGACCGTCCCAATATTGCAATAGGGGGATCTGCATACTGATGGGATGTGGGAGGTTGAGCGAGAGTTTGGAGAAGTCTGTTTTGGGGTGTGAGTTTCGCATTGCAAGGATCTCAACTGTTCTTCTGACACCGCTTGACTCACCAACGAGGCCGTTAGAAAACTCCATGCCGACTTCTGTACCCTTTGTCAAGACGATCCGCTCTCTTCTCTCCTGCGAGCTGAACCATTTCTGTCTCTCTAATCGATCTTGAGGTTTATCCTCCTCCTTCTCGGCAAACTCTTCATCGTGCGATTGGAAATACTTCCAAGAATCTTCATGGAGGACCACATCCTGATTTTTGGAGCTCTGCTGTCCGCCGCCTGATGAGAGAGACAGGACAGACATGCAGGATAAGACGGGTGACATGGCCCATGGTTTATCAGCGTATACATCGTGGATGAGCGTAGGGTCGATGTATCTGTTGCATCGACGGAGGCACGGGGGTTTCAGCGAGTATCCGTTCACGCCATCCATCCTAAGTGACCCCAACTCACGATGTGAACCGCATAGCGACGCTCGTACCCCATGGTAAGTGATCCTTGATTGGCCTCTCAAAGACATTGCCAAAGAGTAAGTCATCCCCGTTCAGATCTTCATTGAATGTGCCTATTCATGCCAGATCAGCTACACCTCAGCCCAGATCTGCCCTTCACTCACCCCGTATACTGATCGCATACGTCAAGTCCCTCTTCTCTCCTCGCTCTTTGTAATGACCAAAGTATAGCTCCTCATCATCCCCTTCGTCTCCGTTGAACCCTTTGATCCAGACTCTCACCTCGCCCTCGAAGCCTGGCGTCTTGATGTGAGTGGACTTGGCAGTGTTGACCTGGATAGAGCGTGTAGGAGGGTAAGATGAGCCATCAGAGACGGTTATATGCAGCTTAGGAGCCATCCTCTTGGGATATGATATATGGATGTTTGAAAGAGATGAGAACGTCGAGACCGTTCTGGCGACCAGAAATGACGTCATCCAAACAACTCTGTATACATGCACTATCGCCTATCACGTGTATCTCTGTCTCTCTTGTATAGCATCCAGCCGCCAGTGACCAGACCAGCTTCCTCATACAGCTCAACATCAACAGCTCATACCGTGATACTGTCCCTCCTCCTCCTCCTCCTCCTCTCTCCTACTCTTCACACTGTGCCCATCTACACTCTCCAATTGCTTTAAATACGCTTCCAACTCCCATTCTTCGGTAGCCACATGACTGTTCTCAGTGTCCATATCATCCTCGTTGACCTCTCGTAAATCGACCTGATCAAATCGGCTCCGCCAGTCCCTCCCTAGACCAGCTTCGAACCTCTTTCGCCAGCAGTCCACATCGAAACTCGCGAGGGAAATGGCGCTGCTTCGAAATGTATCGTTGAACGATTGATCCGGAGAGGCGGAAAAGTCGGGTACAGTCTTACGAGGCTTGACTCTGAGGGGTGGAGTATTGCCAAACGTACCAAACGTACCTGCTACGGAGCCCAGTGAGAATTGAGAAGAGACAGACGGATTGATACTGTGCGACGAGGCGCAAGCTGTGGCTGCACTAGACTGGGCGATCTCGGCCATGTTGACATGGACCGGTGCAAAAGGCGAGCGCCGACCGACGCTGGAACATGTCGTGGGGGCCGTGCCGCTTACTTCACTCGGAAGCTCTGGCGATGGCTTGCGTTTTAGTTTGAGAACCTTTGGTGAATCCTTTGGTGCAGGGAGACCATTTGAGCCAATCTTCATCCTAGCAGGACTGCCTACTCCAGGCGTTGTGGACTGCTTGGTTTTGAGCTGTGTCTTTCCGCTGGAAGGAGGGCTCCTCAAACCGAGGTTGATCCTCTGTTGTCGAGGCAAGAGGTCGATCAATCGCTGGGGTGGTTTTGAGGCACTGGATTCAGCCATGAGAGCAGCTTTCGCGGTCAGTGGCGTTGAGAAGGAGATGATCTCGATAGCTTCGTTGTCATTCGGCTCTACATGCTCGGCAGTGGCATTAGGCGTATCGATGAAGACGGATGGGTTGTCGAAGATTGAGTCGAGAGACGTGTCGATGGACAGTGATGGCAACGGAGGGAAATCGGAGGGCAAGTCATCATCGTCTTTGGGTGTACCTGGCGCCTTTCTAGGCTGATCCTTGAGGAACAAGGAGGGCGATGTAGAAGCCTGGAGACGGGGAGCGCCTATCGAAGTCTTTGGGGTCCGTCTGCCTTTTGGCGTGACAGGTGGCAAGCACCCTTCACCATGGTACCCCTCTTTCCATCGTGGTGGAAGAGGTGGAGGGCTGCCGCAGTCGAACATAGGTCCACCAGAATGGACAAAAGGATGTGTCGAGCCCGATCGGGTAGAGCGTAGTGTGCCTGTGGACGTCTTGCGAGAGAGGACAGAGCGTAAAGAGGAGAACGAGGATTTACGGGGGGGCACACGGTCCACTGGAGGTTGAGGCAAACCACAGGAAGGGAAAGTATCCTCTGGAGATGTCCTGAGAGTTAGCAAGTACAGAGTATATCACTCTTACGTCTTCTTCTTCTTTCTTGGCGTCAGACCTAAGCTTTTCGCTATCCCCTGCAACATCCGTCGACTCCGCGTAGGTGTCAAAGTAGGTAGAGTATCCGGAACGGGCGGTACATCGTCCATGTCCATCCTTTCTGATTCGTCACTTTGTCGCAGACTCTTCAAACTCTTCTTGCTCTTGATGGATCGGAGAGTCGTGTTGGACTTGACAGATCGTAGTGTGATTCTTGATCTTGAACTCTCGCATGACTTGCGAGGTCTCCAGAACCCTCCTCCATTCTCATCTGATGCACAAGTGCTTCGTATCGACTCTTCCGAAGAGGAGGACCAACGACTCGCATCGACCTCGTCTTCTTCACCCGACACCCCTTTCCTCGGCGTGCCCATCGCCATGACTTTTAACGACCTCATGACGTTGTCAAGCGCTCGCTCAACGCCTCCATCACAGCCTTTGAGTTTGACTTTTCTTGGTGAAACGGAAGATGAGGTCGTGTGGATAATGGATGAACGCTTCCTAGGGGATTTGCCAGGTGAGACGTTGTACCCCGATCCATAAGCGTCGAAAGCTCGTTTGACAGGCGAATAGTCATCACCTGACCGCTCGGGAGATAGCTCAACACCAGGGTGGAATGGACCTCGAATGCTTTTTGGCGGGGAGGGAAAAGATGACAAGGTTGGCGAAGGGCCATCTTGATCGATGTAAGGCTGTTTGAGGAACCCAGATGCGAACTGTGAGGCCAAGATCAGTCGTTGGCGGATCCCATTCACTAGGCACTCACAAGAGCAGAGTATCCATCACTCGGTGCCAGACTCGAGTCACTCAGCCTTTGTCCGTCCTGCTCTGGTTCGGCTGGACAGGGCGAGCTGGACGAAGGTGGGAAAGGCAATGTGAGAGTCTTCGCTGGAGATCGCTTGTGTCGTATAGAGACCATGGTGAGGAGAAGCTGTGGATCACGGTCGATGCACAGAGCTATAGAGGTCAGTAATGGTCAGAGTCAACAGTCATATTCGACGATATCACTTCAAACATGGGTCCATTTTAATCATAGAATCATGTCAATCAACCAACGCTGCATTGGTGAGTAGGGGGGAATCCAGGCCATGACTGTGTACATGGGGCTCTCCCGCTGAGCGAGTGTGCATGTTGCTCAAATGATGCTTGTGTATTGTCTTCACGTTAGTGTCGATACGTTAGTGTCGATGATGTTGGAGCGTGATCATGTCCGCTGTAGGCGTAGTGCCGCTCATAGCCATCCGTAGCCGACGACCGAAGATCTCACTGAATCTGATTTTGACTTCTTCCACACACACAGTCTCCTCGATGGCAGACCTATCTACAACCCTCCCACTGATACCTGAGTCAGTACACAGAGCGCATGAGAAGATCAAACCGTACATACACCACACCCCCGTCTTGACTTCTCGATCGATCAATCAGATCGCTTCTAGCTCAAAAGACCATGCTGGACCCAGATTCAACATCTATTTCAAGTGTGAAAACTTGCAGCGGATCGGGGCGTTCAAAGCGAGAGGAGCTTTCCATGCTATCCTACATCTGATCGATGAATTGGGTATCGAGCAAGTCAGGCGTCGAGGTGTCGTCACTCATTCTTCAGGTAAAAAAAACAAAGACTCAAGAGGTCCCCCCTCTCAAAGCAAGCGCTCGCTCATCTTACTCTTCCAGGAAACCATGCTCAAGCACTGGCGCTCGCTGCGTCAGAGTTTCAGATCCCAGCACATATCGTCATGCCTACCATCTCGACGCCGTCAAAGATAGCAGGTACCCAAGCGTACACTTCCCACATCTACTTTTCCGGTTCCACAAGTCAAGAACGAGAAGCTGTGGTGGAGGGCGTCATCCGAAAGACGGGAGCCATCCTCGTACCGCCTTACGACCATCCAGATATCATGTTAGGGCAAGGCACATCCGCTCTGGAGCTATACGAGCAGTATTCAGGTGGGAAAGACCAGGGACTCGATGCTGTTCTCGTACCGTGTGGTGGAGGTGGTCAACTATCCGGGATAGCGACGTTTTTCGCCGACAAGCCGACCTTGGTGTTTGGCTGTGAGCCGTCTTATCAAGGTGGAAATGATGCGGAACGAGGGCTCTCAGCAGATCCACCTGAACGAATTGAATCAGTCAAAACGTTGACCATCGCAGATGGATTACGGACACCGCTTGGCGTACATCCATGGGCAGTCTTGACCAGCAGTACAGAAACCAAGGGCAAGCTAGTCGAGCGCGTGTTCAGTGCTTCTGAAGACGAGATCAAACAGGCTTTACGATTGGTCTGTGAACGACTCAAAGTCTTTGTCGAACCTTCCGCCGTGGTACCTCTTGCAGTAGTGCTGTACAATCAAGATTTCAGGCGCTTTGCGGCGGAAAGACAGCATGGAGAAGTTTGGGAAATAGGAATCATCCTATCGGGTGGCAATACCACTATTGACGCTATAGTGGGCATGTTCGGGAGGGACAAAACGGAGAATGCGGAAAGGGCGGAAGGCAAGGTGGGACTGGACGGTACGAGGGATATCGAGAACGTAGCGGGGTAGACAGACCAAGCTCAAGGCGACCGAAGGTGCAGGTGCATGCCCATTATCGACTTGTCGGGAAGCACACACGCGCCATGGCCAGAAGCTTACATGGGTTCTAGAATGAGGCTCAAAGGAGCCAGATATGAAGACCAAAAAAGCTGACAAGGGCGACCAAAAAGAAAAAAAAAGCAATGTGGAGGAACCGCGACTCGAACGCGGGGCGGTTCAAGATCTCAACGCAGGCCATCAGGGCCACGTGCGAATGAACAGTGTTACCTCTACACCATACCCCCAGACACTAACCGCAAGAACACGGAAGCAAAACAACAGCGATGAGTGAACCTGCAGTATATGAATGGGCACAAAGCTCTGCGCCTCACCTTTCCATGGAGGATCTCATTGTCCAGGTGCTCTCCCTCGACTTGCCTTAAGTGGAGGGGAACCTTGAAGTTTCATCGGACAGGACAGCGATGTTCAGCCTCTCTATGTCCTTGATGGTGATGTTCATGTCAGGGTCTGTGTGGCGCGTTCTGTGACTCGCACGTTCGGCTTGGAAGTGTCGATGTCCCATCCCGCCTCTTTGCTGCGAATACTCAATGACAGCAATGTACCTTGACAGGGCACGGTCGCAGAGCTGTCTCATTGCCTCAGCTACTACGGGATCTTGGATGTTGTTACGAGCGCAATGATACATCGATATGTCTAGAGTGCCACGCCGTCCATGCCACACCTCTTTCCGATATTATTCCGAATGTGACTCGGTCGACAGAGTTGGTACTTGGTACGATGTTGTCTTTGATCTACTGTTCCTCTGTGCGTCCCACTCCCGCTTCTCGCTTCTCTTCGTGCATAACATCTCCTCTTCGCACAGTCCATCAACATGTCCACATAACAGTGCCTTTCCTTCCGCAGAACCACCTGCCTTTGGTGGTTCAGGGCCTCTCTCAAAGCCATTCCTTCTGGATATCATGGCGATGAGCGATGAGTTGGTATCTGCCCATCGGTACTTCAAACTGACATGACACCCAGGTCGTTCCTGCCTCAAATCGTCGGGCTGTTCTACGCGACCTTTGACCCCAAGCTTGGCCCCACTGTCCTATACCAAGTGCCGGAAAATCTCATCACCTCCAGCTCCCGAAGTGACGAAGTACGTTCACGATCAGTGTCGAGGACACGTATAGAGGACGAAACGCTTCAACCGAATCGAGGACGTGAAGTCAGTCGTGGGCGGACGTTCGAACGGACATCTACATGGTCCACAACGGGTTCAGCGAGGTCAGGCGGTGGAGGAGGAGGAGGAGGAGGAGGGGCAGGAGACCATCGATCTGTCAGTCCAACTGGACCTACCTTGCTGGATTTCGGAACAATATCAGATTACGTGATACCTAAAAAGAGTCTCTATGGACGGTTGGTCGTCGCTCTGACTACAGGTGGTGGCGGAGGAGGTGGTGGTGGGATGGACGATGAACGGGCCGAATATCGGATCATGGGGTTTCCGAGCTTGTTGACGGGTGAAGGCGGACGATACTCGCGAAACGAATACATGTGGAATCTATGTTTCGTTTTCCACGGGAGTAGTAGCTTGGAAGCATTTGAACCAGTTGTCAGAAAGTGTGGGAGGATACTGAAGAGTGCAGAGGTGAGTGTCAGCGAGCTCTGAGAGATGCGAAGGGGGATTCATCCATTTTCTGGCAGTAGGAGTGCAGCCTGACTCGCTAATACTCTTCATTCAGCTTGACTCGTCCTATCTGTCTTCGCCTGAACCCTATCACACTCCACTCTCTGCCGTTCTGGAACAGCTTTTCGAGGACCTCAACTCGTACTCTGAAACGTCTATTCCTCTGGACGGTTTCAACTCTTTAGAACTCAAACTTTTTCCCTACTTTCGTAAGCCTATAATGGGTCTAATGCTCCACTCACGCGAATCCCAGCGAACCCGCCAGACTGCAGCGACTGGCACGTCCCAATACCCCTGGTCAATCTTGACGCGTTCAGAGACGACAATTGGGACATCACTGCCTCTCGCGTAGCTGAGCATATCGATGGAGTAAACCATGTCAAACGAATTGCAGAGCTAGCCGATGCGGATATCGCCTTGACTCGAGAGACACTCCGGCACATGTTGTGAGTCATATTTGAGAACCAGCTCTGGCTGAACTCATATTCCCTTCCAGGTTCTACCAAGTGGTCATGATGATTGACATTTTCCAATACTCCAACATGTACACTTTGAAACCCTCCATCGCTCGATTAGGTTCTGACGAATCAGTCACGAGCGAATGTGCAGCGTACGTCACTCGCCCAGGGTACTCTCGTCAACCTTGGCCGACTCTCTTACGTCTCTACTCTCATCTCGTCCCTGGTCTGACGATTCACGAATGGATCGAAAAGTATCATACTCAAGCTCTTGGTATCGACCCTAGACGATTTGTGTCTTTTGGAATCATCAAAGGCTTCCTCCGTCGTGTACATCGTTGGCCTGTTCTGATGGAGAAATCTACCCTTTTGTCTGGAGATGGAGAGCCTAGACGACGGGTCGAGTTCGACAAGGTCCCACGGATCGAATCGTCGCTTTCGACTCGATCGACCAAACTTGATGCGACAGCTCGATCAGGCGGTGAGAGTACATTTACTCTTCGATCCATGGAATCTAATCAATCCCTCGGTGTCTCTCCTTCGAGGACCCCATCAACACTTACCAAATCACCTTCTCGTCGTGGTCATCAACCGAATTTCACCAACGTCAAAGACTCGTTCCCGTCCGTCCATTCAGCAGGAGAAGCCAGTATACCTTCCAAGAAATCTGGAGGGGTCATGAAGACTGGAGCGATGAAGTTGAAGGAAAGACAAGATAAATTGATGGAGGAGGATCTGATAGGCATGTTAGATGGAAGTCATCACACGGATGAAATCCAGGTCAGGTTTGGTCTCAGTTGGAAAGAGTTGGACAAGGTAATCCGGGGGAGCGATAGAGGAGCAAAGGATGGTGTCGTAGTTGTCTATCGCTAGCGCTGAATATCGATCTTGATCTGTGTCGTCGTATCTACCATACCTGTACAGACCTGTTCTCCGCTGCCACGGACTCGCTCCTATTATTCGGCGTTCGCCGACGATGACGCACCATACATATCCCGATCGACACCAGAAGCCTGTCATCCATGTCCTTGGTTTCTAAACCAAACCCCTCCTTCACATCTCATGTCAATCACTCGAACAGCGACGAGATCAGCCAGACCACTTCAACTTTTCTACACGCCTCTACGAACACAGAGCTTCAACATGTCGAGCACCACCGCAGGACAGGATACTCCCACTTTTGGGCTCAAAGAGCGACAACCTTCGACTGAGGAGAAGCAGTTGATCGACGATGTCTTGCAGTTGTGTGAGTGACCAGTCGGGGCGAACATCTAGCATCGGGACCAGCGAGGTAGTAAGGATCTATTGAGGGTTCTGAATTAGGCACTCCCTTGAATCTCTATATCTTGATCATTCCTATCGGACATACCTTGCTGACATGTTACTGGTAGACAAGCTCAACCCCATCTCGTCAGCTTATGCGAGGTACGCTGAGAATGCAAAGTTTCACGATCCCATCGGAATCGCTGAAGGCTTGAACTCGATCGTAAGTGTGTATCTGTTCATGTTAGGTACGTGAGCTGACAAGGAGCGGCCCGCAGAAAGCCCAATTCAACAGTAGGTCGACGGTGTCTCGTACAATGTCATCCCTCCATTCTGATACATGCGCCACCCCTTCCAGGCATGCCATCCATCTTCTCCAAGTCTGAAGTCAAAGGTATGAAAGTATTGGAGAATCCCGAAGTCGTGAGATTCTCCCCCTGTCTCGAATTGTCTCGGATCACGCTTGACATATTTGTCCCAGAAACCACCTTCTGTCCAATTCGCCCTGTCTCAGCTTTACACCTTTAAAGCTGGCAACATGGACAAACTCGTCAATTCCAAGATCACCCTTCACGTCGACCCATCGACTAACCAGATCACCCAGTGCGTTAAGCTGTCTTTTCTAGTTCGGACTTTCCCCGCTGACCACCATGGTTTCCCCCTTTAACCTTTAGACACGACGAAGAATGGGATGGCAAGCCCAACTCGACCGGAGAAGATGGCTTCTTTGGCAAGCTCAACGAGATGCGAAAGAAGTTCACTGCCAACACTGTCGAGAAGATGGCTGATACTAGGCCAAAGGATCAGCAGAATTAGCTTGGTATTCACCAAAGTTTGACAGGACAGATGTTGATTACCAGTGACAATGTAGCGAATGCATGTAGCGTATCCTGAATGTCTTCGCCAGTCTGCTGCTGTTTTACGTCTACGAAATCTACTGGTTGGTCCAGGATGGCTTTCGCTTTTCTGCAAAGGCTCCCATACCTGAAGACAGTCAGTTTTCGCTCGCGCAGCAGTACACTTGCCTTCCTTCTGATCCGCAGTTGCAAAGAGTGAATGGAACAGTTTTCGTTCATATCGCAGTCCTTGGTCCAGGGGGAGCTCGAGCGCTGAAGTGCGGGGGATGAGCGAATCGCCAGGGAGTGGCAAAGGTAGGTAAGTATGTGCTCACCCTCATTGACAGCTTCTTTGCCTGCTTGAACAGCCACAGCGCCGAACCCTGCGATCGTCTCTCCGACCTTGACAGCTTCATCTACCACGTTCTCGCCTTCACCGACGACTCGAGAGACCAGTCCCCATTCGCCAGCAGTCGTTCCGTTGATCTTTCGACCGGTGAGAACCATGTCCATGGCTCGGGCTTTGCCTGAGAGAGAATGCATGAGCGTGGACGCCAGACAGGGTCAAAAACCACCACCGAGACATACCGATCAGATGAGTCAATCGCTGTGTTCCTCCTGCTCCCGGGATGATACCGAGGGTGATTTCGGGTTGGGAGAACGTGGCGTTCGGTGTGCAGAGAAGGATATCACAGAGCATGGCGAGTTCACATCCACCACCGAGCTGATAGCACCGGGAGATCAGTATGTGCCACCTCTGTAGAGCGATCAGAGACCCACAGCGTAACCAGAGACAGCTCCGATGATGGGTTTTCGAATACTGGACATTTTGGTCCATGATCCAAGGAAGTTTGTCTTGTATACCTCGGCATCTGAGCGAAGCAGCGTCAGTTGAAAACCAATTTCACCCTGCTGGGCTTTGTAATTCCCGTCCTGTCCTTGTACGGGGCAAGAAGGCAAGGACAGTCACCACGCACATTGCTTATCCTTCATCTCCTTGATATCTGCTCCAGCCGCAAAGGCTTTTTCTCCTCCAGTAAGGACGATGGCCTTGACACTCTCATCCTCGTCCGCCTTCTCAAGCTCCTCGTTCAATTGCTCGAATAGTGGGCTTGACAAGGCGTTGAGAGCCTTGGGTCGGTTCAATGTAAGGATGGCGACGGAGTTGTTAGGTGAACGTGACGTCAAGACGAGTCTGTCGGAAGCGCTGGTAGACATGTTAGCTGCTCGGAGATAGATTGTGGTGGTCGTCCGGATGAAGGAAGCAGACTTTGATCTTAGGAGAGTACTGCTAGCGGTGGTGAGCATGACTGTGTGTGTGTGTAGCTCCAAGCGTGCTGTGTTGAGTCGTTGCAAGACTCTGTAAGTCCGAGGAGTTTGACGATACAAAAAGAATAGGAGTTGGGAGTTCGAGAGATTCGGCCGGAACATGGTGATAACCGGTCTCGTTCATTGTGGCACACACACCCACAGAGAGTCGACAGCAGACCTTTGTACAGACGAAGACACAAGTCCATCATGGAGTCATGGTATCGCGGAGCAGCTGCTTGACTCCTTGGACCCCTGAGAGATACATGATTGACTCGGGTTGGGACGAGTATCCCCCTCCGCCATTACAGCTGCTGGTCCTCAATAGTTACGACACTGACTCGACGTTACATTTTATACATGCATGCATGCATGCATGCATGCCATCTCCCAGCACGACTACATACCCCTATCACTCTCCGTGTCTACTTCTTCAAGGCCGACATCATGCGTTCAACATCGTCAAGGAGATCAAGTTTATGCCTATCGTCCATGGTCTGATAATCTCGCTCACTCAGAAATTGCCACATCATGTCCCTTTCGAACTTTTGAGTCCAGTTGCTCAGTTTATTCAAGACGCTCTCATTGTTCCGTCCATCTGTTCATTGGCCAGCTTTTGACAGTCAAGCTATACGAGAGGAATCACTACGGAAGTCGCTTTTCCGCACGGCCAAGGAGAACCACTTCGAAGAGGCTCGGAGTTATCGTCACTCCTCCAAGACCCATTGTTCAACGCAGAGATTACGCGACTCGTCCTACACGTACGGATTTTGCAGGTCCCCGAAAGAGATTATTGCCTGAGGCGCTGTACGAAGGCTAGAGGAGCAGGACTAGTCGCATATTCACAATGCGATTCTACGAGAAGAAGTACCCGGATCAGGATGAGTTGGTTGTCGTTCAGGTCGTCAGTATAGAGGAGATGGGAGCATATGTCAAATTGGTAAGTCGACGAAAGACAGAAGGCACAGAGCAGGATGACCTTGTGAGGATCACCCAAGCGAGGCAAGAGATCCATCCAGTGCAGATCGCTTTGTTGGAAGTCTTCCATTCATGTCTTATCTGCTCTCCACCGCCATCGTTCTACTCTAGATCCCCGGCTGACAACATACCTCGCTCAGCTCGAATACGACAATATCGAAGGAATGATCTTGCTATCTGAGCTCTCACGAAGACGTATACGTTCAGTCCAGAAGCTTATCAGAGTCGGAAGAAATGAAGTCGTCATGGTGATGCGTCTGGATCCAGACAAGGGTGAGTATGGCCCGAAGGCGAGCGGTTGGCGTCATCCCTTTTTCTTTGGCCGCCTCAGTGGGTGCGTACTTAGCTAATGCCTGAACGACGCAGGCTATATCGATCTTTCTAAAAGACGAGTCTCAGCAGAAGAAGTGGTCAAATGCGAAGAGCAATTCGAAAAGGGAAAGACTGTCAATTCAATCTTGTCCCAAGTGGCCAAGAAAGTCAATGTGGATGTGGAGGAATTGTATGAAAAGATCGCATGGCCATTGCATAGGCAATACGGTCATTCATACGAGGCGTTCAAGGTATCCATAAGGTGAGTCAGAACCCTCACAACGATTGAATCGCCATCCAACTTGTCAATCTCATTGGCTATTGGCATACTCTGTCGTTTCCTTCCTTCCTTCCTTCCTCGCTCGCTCGCTCGCATGCTAACGCTTACTCGCTCTTTTCTCTCTATATCATAGCGAGCCCGAAGTCTTCAGTTCCCTCTCCATCTCTCCCGAAATCCTCGCCGATCTCAAATCTACCATTGCTCGTCGGTTGACACCTAAACCCGTCAAAGTTAGGGCGGATGTCGAGGTCAAATGTTTCGCTTATTCCGGTATCGAAGCTATTCGTAAAGCGCTCAAAGCTGGAGAATCTGAATCGACAGAAGAGATCAAGATCAGCATCAGACTCGTTGCCCCTCCTTTGTACGTCATGACCACCACGTCGACGGAAAAAGTGATCGCGATGGACGTCATGGAAAAGGCTGTCAAGAGGATCGGAGAGGTCATCGAACAGGAAGGAGGAGATATCACTATCAAAATGGCGGTGAGTGATTGAGTCTTTCAGATTTTGGGGAACGTGCAATCGAGAGTTTTGACTGGCTGACACCGCTCTTCGACTTTAGCCCAAAATCGTCAGTGAATCCGAGGATGCAGAGCTCAAAGCTCTCATGGATAAATTCGGAGCTGCCAATATCCAGGGTGCTGGTGATGATGATTCAGAGGACAGTCTAGATGATTAGAGGGACGTGCGAATAGGATGTAAGCCAAACAAAAAAGGGTTCATCAGTAGATATCACCATCGTTGATGACTGTACGAGTCTATGCATATAGCAATCTTTTGCCGCCCGAGAGGTATGAGCACGGCGAGCGCCAGCGAATACAGTTGCGACACTTCTGACCACAACACGAGGTGACTCGACTGATATGCATACAATGTGGTGTGAATTGCGCCTGAAATTCCTTGGTCGCTTGGGTCGACACTAACTAACTTGCCATCAACACGGCAGACGGTGTCAGACCATTCTCCTTCAACGTCTTGCTCATCTCGTCCCGTGAATACGTTTTCCTATGCCAATAGAGACACATCAGTATCTGTGCCCTCTCGAGCAATTTGAAGGCCATGACTCACCGTGGGAATGTCGATGCAAACGTCACGGTCGATACGTCGTAGGCCAGGTTCTCAGAGGCAACAAATTCAGCCACATCGATGAGAGCTGGATGCAAAGCGTCAGTAGAAGCTCTCCGAAACCGATGCCTCTTGGCTAGCTATACTCACTATTATCGCTTGGGAACGTCTTTGTCAACGGTTGTCCTCCGACACTGAGGCGAATCTGGTTTTATATTTCAGTATATGACATTGCAAACCGTTCAAAACTCACTTGTAGCCTCGTGTCTGGGTTATCTGAGCTCTTGACCGCCGCACTAGGTTTTGCCAATGGCTGTTGTACAGCTGGGCTGTCTGTACTGCTTTGACCAGCGCGTGCAGCTTTCTCCCTGGCTGCCTTTTCTGCTCGTTCCTTCTTGTCCGCCTGAATATGGGGTTTTATCAGTCACTAGGAACCACAACTTTCAGGTCGTGTGACTCTCACCTCTATTTGAGCTTTGATCGCCGCTCTTGCCTTCTGGTCTGCTAGTTTTTCTGCGAGAGAGGAGAAGATTTCAGAATGCTGGGTACGATAAAGTCTGAGATTTTCTCCAGACTGACCCGCTTTGCGCCTTTCTACGTCCTTGGCAATCTCCTTGACTTCGAGATCTTCCTTGATCTTGCCAAAGTCCTAGGAGCAAGATCAGCTCTGATTTGCGAAACGACATCGTTGGTCACTCACCTGTCCAGCCTTGCGTCTGATTTTCTAAGCATATACATCAGCAAGATAACGACAACGAGGACCGTGACCGCGACCGCGACCGCTAACTCCCACGGCAATCGATCACTCACCTCATTTGCTTTGGCCTCTTTTGCATCTTCTTTCGATTGAGTCGCGCGTTTCTCAGCCAATTTAGCACGCAATTCTTCAATCTTTGCCTTCTTCTCTTCGTCCGTGAGTGGTTTGATCTGTACAGCGTCGGGAAAGGCAGCATAATCAGCAGAGAGACTTCCGTCGTGGGCGCTACTATGTAGAACACATACCTCCTCGGTGGACTCTTCAAAGTTCTCGTGACCTGATTTCTCTGCGTGTAGACTTGCAGAGTTTTGTGATCGAAAGATCTTGCCGCAATCACTGCATTTGATTGACTAGAATGATTCAGTGGTCAGCGTGGAGCGATTCGCGTAGAGACATGATAGCATCTACGCCCCTGCCTCACCCTCGCGACCAAGTCCTCGCCGGACCCAGATAGACCATCTTCCTCCCCCTCTGGGCCCCCGGCTTCCGGAACGTCATTGTCCATATTGGCGAGGATATGATCCATCGCAGGCTGACCTCAACAGATCAGTCATCTATTCAGTAGTTCCCAAGCTGTCCTTCAAACTCACCTGTAACCCTGCGTTCTTCGTCGCTCGAAGAGCCCCTGTTGAAAGATTGGTCAGCCTACAACCTGGTGTGGAAAAAGGTTGCACAGAGCAAATTAGCAGCAGCCTCACAATTCACACGAGCCTCTTCGAACCCCATTTCGAGCAGCTGAGACTTGTCTCCTGCCATCTTGATGGACAATCAGGCTCTCCGCGAGCGAAACAACAGGTGATGTATGATGGGATCATACAGCTAGCTGGCCAGACCGAATCGCGCCTATCGTCATCACCGTCTTGAGACCACGTGATCAAAATGGGCGACCGCGTTGCATGCAAAATGATTTCATGAACTCGGTCTATGAACGATCCATCGTCTTGCACATGGTATTCTGGACTCGTGTAGGAGCCAGAAAAGGTAGAGTGTACTCCTGTAGTAGAAGAAACAGTCCGTTTCATCGGTCAATATCGTATTGCGCACCCAGGATGAGCACCGTGAGCCCCGCGTCAGGTCCCCTTCATCGAAGACGCAACCTAATACCCCAGTGAACAGTCCCAGAGCCTCCAGACAACGGATCAGCCCGAGAGGGTCTCCGTCTCCGGCTCAGCATCTAAACTAGTCATGCAGATCATCTTGCCTCGGTCCCTTGTTGTCGTGAGTTTTGTTCGACACCTTGTTACCCATTATATCTGACCCTCTCTTGTGTGCTCCAGGAGGACAAATGGCCGGTCGGACCTTTACTTGCTCAATCGGCTCACGCGGCAACTGCTGTCCTTCATGTCCATCGAGATCTACCCGAGGTCAGATCATACCTGTCAAACTTGGAGAACATGCGGAAGACTGTCTTGGAGGTGGGTCAACCTTCCAGGTCAAGTGGTTCATGCTTTCTCTTTCCAAGGTCAAAGACGTCGAAGCTTTACGCGGCATTTGTGCGCAGCTCGACCAAATGGACAGGAAGATCCCTTATCACCTATGGATAGAACAGCCGTACGTCCCACTCCCCATCTTTTTCCCCCTTTCTCACGATTCCTGTCTGTCAAAGCCCCGCGCCATTATCCACTAACTGACATACTGCGAAATCCTCTTACAGGGAGAATACGCCAACGGCTCTCGCTCTCGTACCTAATAACAGGCCAACCGCCTTGAAACGGATCTTAGACCACCATGGATGTGTTTTATGGAAGTAATCTCTCTCATGGAGGGACAGCATATGTCCGCGAGGGGCGATCCAGGCTTGTACCTTTTAGGGCTCAAGGCGAGAGGGAAGCGCTACGTGTTGGCGAAGGAGCGGATGACTGGTGTCGCAGTCCGCGATGCCTTCGCGACAGCGACTTCATATCCAATACGAATCCCGGAGGACAAAGACAAGTCTGGGAACGTAGGCCGTAAGTGCGTAGCGGTATACATTAATGTTGGAGCGAGACTGCACTTCTGCTTGGCGAAAGAAGGGCAGCATGCGGAGTATGTATACAATGTTCGTCTGGTTCTGAGACCATAGTGTCTCTGGAATGAGTCGAGACAGACTTGTACGGTACACGCGACCAATGTATGACATGTGACCGTTGCAGAAGTCATCTGTCCCGTATCGCCTGCCAACCGTTATCAGCTGGAGGCGCTTGCGCTTGCGGCAACCATGCTCGAGCTTGACCTTTTCGATCTGTCTTCGTAGACGATGGATGACTCTGCACATCATATTAATTCGGTGTTCGAGATACCACCCTGATTCAACACTGCTTGTATGCTCATGTGCCTCAGCTGCAGTTGGTTGCAACGCAAGCGCCTCGGTCCCCAGCTCTCATTGGCCTGGAATTAGTCGTCTTCGCCTGTTCGAGTGTTCTGCAGCATCGATGAAGGATGAGTCTCCAACTGTGACTAGATAATGCGAAGCCTTTCAGCCTCGATCGGTGCTCAGGAACAGGAGCGGCGAGCACTGAGTCATCAACTCATCATGGAGGGGTCGATTTTGATGGTCGCACGACCGGTTTAACGGAGGCACTGGTGGCGAGTGATGACTTCCCCACGTCTGCACCTACTACCAACCGAACCACTTCGGATACCGTGAGGCTTGCCCTTTCCCTTTACAGCAAGGAGCCAGGCCAGCCCCGCCTCTACTAAGACTCATTCTCATCATCTACCACGATCCTCGTCTGTTATACCTCAATAGAGCCTCACAACCGCCACATTAAAAAAATAATGTCTCGGTTGCCTTCCCCGCGGCGGGCGATGAGAGGATCTCATTCTTGTGCCGTTCGACCACTCTACCATACGACGATGAGCAGCGGTAGCGGCACACCTGTCAGGAAACCGAGGCAACATTTTACGCGATCCAGGACGGGTGAGTCTGGTTCCTCTGGGTCTCGGAGCTTCTTGGACTGACGCTCGTTTTTCAAGGTTGTTTGGCGTGTAGGAAATCCAAACACAAGTAAGCTTTCGTCGTTTGGCTCCAGGCTGATCATTCACCAGATGTGACGAGGCCAAACCTATTTGCCAACGATGTATACGATACTCCAGAACTGTGAGTCGAGCTGCCAACCTCGTCGTTGACAATGCACCTCTCAGTGTCAATACCCCAGTCATGTCAGTGTGTCAAGCTCCGCTACGCCGCCAACAAGTGGAGGAGGACCAGCTCATTTAAGCGCATTGGATATTGATATCTTTGATCTGCCACATGCTCCTACAAGCACGACGAGCGGTCCGAGTAACTCGAGCGGTGTAGCTGGCGGATCAGTTCCTGGTCCATCAACTCATGCGGGACATCACCCTCCCACAGTCACGAATATGATACCCCAAGAACTATCCCCTCCGGACCTGCTCGAGTGGGTGTACCCAGATCTTGAGGAGAGAGAATTGGTGTGTGCTGTGAAAAGTCTTTCCAGACTGATTCGATATAGATTCGTCACTTTCTTGCATTTGGTGGGCATGGCCCTGGCGAGAAGCATCACTAACCTGAAGGCACCGTCAACATGTGCGCGATTCCTCAACCTGACAAACCTATCAAATACTTTGACATTATCAACTCTATCATGAATCCTCGAGGTTCCTCCCTCGAATCTGATTCACTCCTCATTTCGATCCTATCCATTGCGGCCGTCCATCGATCTTCCATGTTCTTTCAACAGGATAAAGGATTTCTAGGCGAAGCTCCCATAGGACCTTGGGGCGCTCCTCCGTTACCGATCACTGGACCTTCGGATCATTCCATCAGTCGGTTGAGAAAGGTCGGTGAGAATACGAGTAAAATGGCTTTGGATCTATGCCGGACGGCCATGGTACTGAAACTCGAGGGGACATACTCGCCCAAAGAATTTGCCATATCCAACAAGCTTCTCACCGGCGTCATGTGTATCATTGACTCTCAGGAGATGCTCGGTGGACTTTTATGGAAGGAGGCTTTTGACGTCGGACTCGAGCTCGTCAAGATGCGTGGCGGACCGCGGACCATGTTGGAGTTGTCAGAGAGCTCTTCAGAGGAATCATTATCTACAGCTAGGTCGGTCTTAGAAAACATGGCCTACATCGACATGTGTCGGTGCATGGCATCCGGTGCTCGACCGATGGTACTGTTGGAAGCGTTTGAACCGTGGTGGTGGGTTCAAAGCTGGCTGGGCATAGATTTTGATGCGATGCGATCAGGTTCGATTTCGTCAAGGATCATCCCCCAGATAGTATGGACAGTTTTCAATATGCGTTTGGGATGGACAGAGGAATGCTGGAGCTGGTTCGTGCGATAGAGACACGATAATCTGACTGACGCTCGATCACTGCAGGCGAACCGGGTCAACCGCTTGGTCTACGAACATACGCTTCTTGCCAAAATGTCTGATCGGGGTCACCAAAACCTGCATGACCACAAGATTCAAGATATTCAGGGTGAACTCGATCTCTGGGAAGAGCGTATTCGAAAAGAGGATAAGAACGAAGAGTTTCGTCGCGTGACATATGGCAACGTCATTATGCTTCATACGCTGAGAGTGAGTGGGCTAGAGAGTGACTTTGATTGATGCCCCAGATCCTCGTCCTCATCGATCTCTTGCAATATTCTCACCTTCATGACAAGGTTCAGCATTCTGCCAAGACAGCCCTGCGATATCTCAACGATTCGAGATCCTGGTCCGTCATTAGCTTGCTGGTTCCGACGCTGATACTGGGTGAGTGAGGGCCGGTCACGAATGGATCTGACGATATAGCCGCTGTGATTGCCGATCCTGCTGGAACTGCGACTGCCAAACAGGTCATTCAAGATTTGAGATTGACCACGAGTTTTGCGTATGATGTGGAGGAGGCTTTGAACGTGTTTGAAAAGGTAAAGCGATTCGAAACGAAACCCTGGGATCACAGGCTAATTTGACAGATTGAACATGTGAAGAAGGACAGTACAGAGTGCCCGCCGTGGAGGGAGGCAATAGGGGGCATCTTGTTGTTTTGATCGAAGGAAGACGAGTTGTATTTTATGGCCGACCGAGGGCGTTGGAACATGGTTCTCATCATCATCATCCTCCATGCAGAGTCGATATGAACACCACCTCGTCTCCATCCTTCAACTCGTAATCTAGTTCCCCTTCCAGCTCCCAATCGGCATCATTGATCAGCACCAATATCCCCGGCCGGCTAATAATATGTCGATTGTCAGGGATCCTTTGCGCTTTTAGCATACGAATGACTCACACGCCATCCCCTTCGCCAAACATTTCTATTCTTTCACTGAGGAGATCGGATTTGAGGTACTTGACCAAGTATCGCATATCGACTGGCTTAGAGGGTGATGAATCGGGTACATGAGCGGGGACATGGACGACATGTCTGGCCTGTTGAGAGAATAGCAAATGTAGGCCTCCTCTGCAGGGGGAAGGATATGGGTCAGAATGACATGACGGCGATCAAGTGTGGGATACTCCTCACCCAAATTCAATCTTGATCTCAATCTCTCCTCGCTCTTTCCCCTTGACCGATGAGGGCATAGCAGCAGTGCTACTCGCTGGATCCGTATAACCCAGTCCGTTCGATGTTCCAGCCTCCATGATTAACGATAGATAGTCAGTCGCAAGCAGCAGGGAGCAGCAGCAACAGCAGCAGCCTATTGCACCCAAAATTTTGCTTCCGTGTTTCTGAGCATTTCAGACGCGTTCGCCCAAGCCAATTGTTGTTTTTTTGTTTTCCATCATCCCATCTTTGTTCGATTCATTCGACAACAACGACAACGACCTGAGACGTCCATGCTGAAGTGACTCCCATCCCATCCTCCTCCTTCCTCCTCCTCGTCATGTCCTATATCGATCCTCGAGAGCTCAATGACTTGGCTTCATTCGCCGTGAATGGCGGACTCGGAAGAGGTGTCGCGTAAGTCTGATGTGGCCCGCGCCTGCTGATGCTGATGACGATGAACGCAGGACCTCGGATTGCGTCGCCGAGTCCCCTGATCAGCTCATGTTCATCAGTGGCGATGAACTCGTGCTCCTCCGTGAACTCGATGAAGTCGACCTGGCTTCATGTGAAGGTGTCGTTGGATGGGTCAAAAAGGGTCTAGTGGCATTTGAGAGGACTTCCGCCGCAGCAGCAGGAGCAGCAGTATCAGTATCAGCATCGTCCCCAGGCGAAACGACACCTAAATCATCCCTTGAAGTGTCTCTACGTGAAGACCTACCCCGAACTATCCTCATCGCTCCATCTCCTTCACCTCCACGAGCCAGTCGACTTTTACCATCAGATCAACCGGATCATCTCGACCCGTCCCCGCCTCAGGATCTCAAACGAGTCTCCGGTCCTTTCGAATTGGAATCCCCTCAGCAGAGTCCCAACATTGACCATGATAGGTTCAGCATACAGCAAGCTGCTGCTACACTTGCAGAGGCTTCGCAACCTATGGAGACGTTGGCTCAATCGAGACCCGAATCTCAGATAGAAATCGAGGTCAATAGGGAATCAGTCTTCTCTGTCGCGAGCAGTGAAATGTACGGCGGCATTGGCGGCTTCATGATGGGTACAGGTGGCAGTGAAGATAGTCATGAGACGAATGATTTTGGTGAGAAGTGTGGAGTCGAGTTGATCTGAGCTGAGCTGATCTACTTCAGGTGTATCGCCAGTCACGACCTCGGTGGAAACACCATTCCCTGCTCACTCGGACCCTCCATCGCCAAGCGTTATCCACGCTGATCAGAGCAAACGGTCTTCGACGCCCGATGACGAAGACATGGACGATGAAGAGTGGGACATTTACGACCAATACGCGAGAGAAAGCATGTATGCGCCACTCAAACGCATGTCCCTGGCGGCGAGAAGAGCCTCCAAAAAGGCTGATGCGAGGGAATCCATGGCGGCTTTCGAGGGACTCGGAGCCGTTCACGCGGCTAGGGCCGCTTTGGAAGGAGGCAGTGTTCCCAAAGTCACTGTCGATACGAGCTTGGATCCAGTCACACCAAGACAGGCGGCGAGAAATCCCATTCCATCACCCTTGACAGGTCGATCCATCGCTACGGAACTGCGCTTGAGGATACAAAGGGAACGTGAGGCGGCCGAGAAGCAATCAGAAAAGATGGGCTCGGTGCCAGAGCCGCCGGTCCGAACGACGAGCGTCGAGGAGACCCAGTCCAGCCCTGCTGAAGAATCCCTGCCCTCACCACCGCAGACCAACGATGTACCTCCACCATTCTCTCCCGTCGACCCGATTGGCTTACAGACGGAAGCACCCGTTCAGTCCGAGGCCGATACCTTTATGCCAACCGAAGAATCCGTCGTCCTGGACACACCTGCCGCTCCTGAGATCGTCACGTTCACTGGTCCTTCCCCGGGCGATTCGCCCGCCCCGGAACCCATGAACATACCCGAACCTCTACTCGCTTCTCCCATGCTTCTTCAATCTCCACAGCTCGACTCCAAACCCAAACTGGAAGCTCCAGCTGATATCGTCCTTCCCGATAATGTCTTGCTGGCCCCACGTCCTCCTAGATCCGCCTCACCGCGTCTCGCTGGCCCTCCAAACCATACTCCCACGTACATTAGTAAACATATCCATGCGCCATGGACACCAGACACCCCAGCCTCGCCTCACTCTATAACCGCCACGCGGCAGGCTGTGGAAGCTGCGAAAGAGGGGAAGCGTGCTCGAGGTCTGACTCTTGTTGGTCGGATCGATGCGGATCTCCGAGGCGCCAAGGGCCCAGTCCCAATTACATTCGTCGTCGGTGAGCCAGACGATCAGATACGGTCTCCTCTGGGTCTAGGTTTGCCGCCTGTAAACAACGGTCGGACGTCTCCTGTCACGCCTGAACAGCGCTCTCGCTCTCCACTGTTTGGAGGCGCTCCTCCGCCACCTCCCATGCCCGACGATATCAAGGACATCCGGCTCGCCCCATCCCGTTTCCCAACTCCTAAACGCAGCTTCACCAGTCCAATTGCCCCTGAACCCGAGGTCGTCGCAGAAGTCGATGCTGCAGCGGGCCCACGACCTGGGTTTATCGCTGCGCGTCCTCGGTCACGATCTTTCTCCGTCGCCATGGCCAAAGCTGTGGGTCGACCAAAGAAGGAGACACCCCCTGCGATCCATACAGATGTCATGCCTGTCTTGCCAACGACCAACTCGCCCTCTTCACCGGGCACATCCAAATTGCGGCTCCTTGGTACTGGTCGTAAATCACCCAAAGCCTCGTCTCCTAATACCCCGGTCTCTGGTACGGTTTCACATCACTCCACGCCAGGAGGTATGGAGATGCGTCCGCCGTCAGGTCGATCGTCTTCCTTCTCCTTCGCCTCAAAGACCTCCAAGACACCTCGCAAAGCATCCAGAGCGCTCCCCAGTCCGGTCAGTCACAAAGACTTTGAGGATACAGTCAATGCTGGCGGGATGGACTTTGAATTGGTGCAACCGAGAAAGCCATTCCCCTTATCCCCGACGACCGTGAACACGCTCGGCATCACCACGCCAAAGTCTGAGGAAATGGACAAGGCGACGTTGGCCAGTGCGTCATCCGTCGGTAGCTTATCTACCCGCGTGGCTTTACCTGAGACCGACGAATGGGGATTCATCAAGGGAAAGATGGTGACGCCCGAAATCTTCCAATCGAGATCAGCGCCTGTGGATCATCGAGCGGCAGAGGCGAGATGGTTAGCTGTGATCGGCTCAACGGTGCCGTCTGGAGGACCTTCCAAAAAAGTCAAGAAGTACGTTTCGGAGGGCGGCGTGCCCGGGTCGCTGCGTGGCAAAGTGTGGTCTTGGTTCCTCAATGCGTTGTCAACAGGCATGTATGACAAGATGGTCTCTGAGGGCAGACGGACGAGCAGTGATCAGCAGATTGAGCGAGATATTGCCCGGTGAGTGAGGTGGTGAGAGCCAAAGCTGATCAGCAGGATATGGTCTGATCATTCCTTGTTTTGCAACTCGTCGCTGCCTGGTTTCGTGGATCTTCAATCTGTCCTCAGGGCTCATCTTGCAGCGTCTGGATCAACATACAGCACGCCGATGTGTCATTTGGCAGGGACGATGCTTATTCATTCCGTGGCGGAAGACGCATTCTCGCTGCTTGGCGGACTCATGGAGAATGTATTGAGAGAGTACTACAGTACGGGAATCAATATTGACGCGGGCGTCTTTGATGTCGTGTTGAGGGGTAGTGAGAAGGACTTAGCGGCAATGTTCAAGCAAGTCGGATTGAAATGTGAGTGGTTTGTTTGATCAGTGTTGCGGCGACGGTAAGCTCACCTCGCTCTGTCAGCTGGCGAGTTTCTGGAAACCTGGTATAAGCAATTATTCATCCGATGCTTGCCTTGGCCGACAGCTCTGAGAGTCATTGACGTGGTGGTCGCGGAGGGTGAGTGCATGGCGAGGTGGACAGCGCTGACATCTTCAAGGCCCGCGATTCCTCCTCATTGCCTCATTGACCATTTTGACTCTATCCAGAGACAGGCTACTCGCTTTACCTCACACCAAGTCTGCCATCCTCGAATACCTTGAACATCTACCTCAGGACAGTTTACTATTACCTGAGAACTTTATGAAGGCCACTGAGCGAGTCAAATTCAAGGATGATGATTGGAAGAGGTTGAGGGTGGGCGTGGAGAAGGAGCTATAGTCCCATGTATGGCATGCATCCCCCAATCATCATCATCATCATCATTCTATATTGGTTGTTTGCCACTCACCCCAACAATTGGATCCCGAGACACGTGCTTAATTGTACGAGTTATTTTGATCCATTTCCTTCTTTCTATCTTTTTTTTGGGCAGCGAACCTCTTCTGACCTTTGGTTATCGACGCATTTCATGGCCATGTAGGCATCGTTGTGCTCGGCCTGCGAGATGACTCCCTACCCTCCTCTCACCTCTGTACCCCGGCATATCACCCTAGATGATCCGTCTGATGCTGGACCTTCGACCCCGACTCGAGCCATTACCAGCCCCAAAGGGACAACTATCCTGGACCCGCCTCGACCTTCACCTATTCTCGCAGCGACGGCTCTGGCTCAGCCTCCGACGCTAGCACCTCAGTACGCAGAAGACTTTACCCCTCTCAAGCTTAGACGGAAACGGTACCATGCGCCGCCAGCGGGACCTGTACATGGGGATTATACGGTCGGGACGTCAACGGAAGGATACTACACGGCAGAAGGAGATCTGTACCGTGGAGCTGTACGAAACCCCATCATACCTGCGCAGACGATCGAAGAGGACGCAGTGACATTGGGTAGTTCGACTTCCAGCTCAAGTAGCTGGTCATGGGCCAGTGGTATCTCTGCGGGAAGACGTGCCAAAGCGGTGATTGATCGTGTGGGTGAAGCGTTTCGGAGACGCGGGAGTGGGTCTTCGAGCGATAGTTCGGACGATGGACGATTGAGACGGACTGTGACGATGAGAAGGAGTCTGACAATGAGTCGAACGAAATCGCGTTCGAGACGATTGAGCAGGACAGGGACCATCGACAGTGTGGATGGACCGAGGAGACCACCTCAAATCAGGAGACGAGAATTCACGTTGCTCTTGCCTTCTGATCCGATCCAGGGATCAGAACCTTCAGGATCAAGAGCGGATACGCCAAGACCGTCCATCTCATCTAAAGATGCCTCTGAACGCGTCATCACGACCCCTTCGCTGCCCGTGGTATTGGATCATCTTCGATCTATTCGAGCCGTCAATCAACTGTCGAAAGCCCGTCGTCCCAAATTTCGTCAAGCCGCGACGTTTGTCAATCCCCCTGTACCTAGGATACCAAGGGGTCGTTCGAGACTACAAGTGCTGAGGGATCAATCGATGCCAGAATTGCCTCGACGACCCAAGAGCGTGTCTGATATCATCGGCATGAGCAGCTCGACGACCAGCTTGACGGGCTTGTCCACACCTGAGCCCGAAAAGAAAGGGTGTTGGTGGTTGGACGTGGCGTGTCCTACCTGGGACGATCTGAGGGATCTGGGCGAAGTGAGTGGCGACCGTTCGAAGAATCCGCTGATATCTTCCAGGTTCTCGGTCTTCACCCATTGACTCTGGAGGATATCCTTCAACAAGATCCAAGAGAGAAACTCGACACGTTTGATTCGCTAGGATACTACTTTCTCGTCGTTCGAGCTCTAGATGAGCAGTATTTCAAGTACACCCCTGGGACGTTAGACGCCGATTCGCTTGGCAAGACGGTTGAGGACATGCAGCTTGAGGCGCAGAAAGAGGGTCTAGGGCCACCGCAGCTCGGTGGTAGTAGACGTCGGAGATGGATGCGCCCGGGGAAAAAGGAGGACGAGAGGGAAAAGGTCGAGATCATCGAGGATCATCCTGGAAAAGAGGGATTGGAAGGAGTCGGAGTCGGTGCACATAATGTCTACTTGATCGTCTTCAGTGACGGTATCATCAGTGTAAGTTGAACATGGTGCGCGCACTCTGCTCACATCGACAAGTTTCACTTTGACGACATCTCAAAGCACACCAAACGTGTCCTCGGCCGGGTCCTCTCCAATGCCTCGGCTCAAGCACCGGGCAGCGATTGGATAGCTCATGGAATACTGGACAGCATTGTCGATCAGTTCCTCCCTCTGGCAAGATACGTCGACAACGAAGTAGACGACTTGGATAGCTTGACAATCGATCCAACGTCTGATCCGAAATCTTTCTTGCCGAGACTGCCACCTGTCATCCCTCGATCTTCAGAGACGCTGAACGACCTCGACGAAAAGGAATACGATGAAAAGACAGGGATCAAAATATCGTATCCACCCGCTAGGTCGTATTTGCCCAGTCTTCCTCACTGGTCACTACGCGTTCCGCTCCCTCTCATCTACCTCAAGTTGTTTTTCCTGCCTGTAGTCGACGCCGTCCCAAGAGCCAAGCCAGTGGATGTCAGAGTCGTCGAGCGAGTGGACATTTTAAACAGAATCACCGACACGCGAAAGCTCGTCACGGGTCTGACCCGCACACTGGGGCAAAAGCATATTGTCGTGTCAAAGCTGCGTAAGAGAGCGGTGGAGATCGGAGACGGTGTCGAAGCGTACATTGGGGACGTGGAGGGTGGGTTCAACCCTCTAGTTCAGTCTTAGTATGTGCTCATCTCCCTCCGGCTCAGACCATATCTTGTTGCTTCAAAACTCTCTCTTCCACGCTGAATATATCCTCGCCGGTGCCCAACCAGCTTACATGGCGTATCTGAGTGTGGCTTCAAAGATTGCACGAGGTGAAACAGATGATGGGGTACTTGGATTGTCGGTCGTGGCGATCGGAATCCTATTGCCAATGCTGGTGATTGGTGAGGGCTTCGATGAATCAAGTCGAAATCTTCCTGGTGCTAATTTTCATCAATTCTATTTTCAGGGTGCTGTTCTATGAACGTATCTTTACCGCATAACGGCGAGTACCAAGGTGTCCTGAACAATCATATTGAACCAAATGGAGGAATCGCTCCGTTCAACTATTTTTACGGAGTCTGTTCAGCGGTCGTACTGCTCTCCTGCGTCGTGGTGATATTGATCCGATATTGGAGATGGCAAGCGAGAGTGAAGCGAGCCCACATGCGGGGAGCGGACCTGCCTCCTACCTGGCGAGGATTCTGGGGCTGGGAGTAGGAAAGCCGGGGTTGTCGATTCATGGTTCCACATACTTTACACAAACCTTTCATGAGCATGTCTGCTCCGTCATATCATGATATCGAGCACAAGGTGGGCGTGTGCACCCGACGCATGTCACCATATATGCATGGTTTCTTGGGACAAGTTGGGCGACCTAATCGCTTCGAATCTGCCACAGTTTCAGGTGGTTGTTTCAGATTTGCGCTTCCGCTGCCCCCATAATGATACTTTACTTTTGATTTCATCCCTAGTGCTATACATTTCTATCGACTGGCCATAGCCAACAACTCTTCAAAGTTCTCTTTACCTTGTGCCATACAGAGCGCCTGGAACGCTGACCCGTCACGTTGTATCAGGTTCAGAGGCGAGTCGTATTCCAAAACTTGACCCTTGTTCAATACCAACACCCTGTCGTACTGCATAATAGTCGCCAGTCGGTGAGCAATGGTGATGATGGTGGTGTCTGCAAAGCTCTCTTTCAACGTCTTGGTGATCTGCTCATCCATCTCAAAGTCGACCGACGACGTCGCTGAGAAACCATGTGTGAGTCAGAACACTCACTCACAAAGCTCTCTATGGCTCACCCTCGTCCATGACTAACACGCGTGACTGCTTAAGCAACGCTCTGGCCAAGCACAAGAGCTGTCGTTGACCTTGAGAAAAATTGTCTCCACCGACAGCTACAAACGAGTCGAGATTGGCGAAAGGATTTGTCTTGACGTCTGTCGGCGTGATGATCTCGGGCAAAAGGTGGACCCGTTGAAGGGCTTTGTAGATTTCCGCGTCGTCTGCATCTAAGTGGAGAAGCACTAGATTGCCGCTTACCCTTCTCTCCAGTGATATCTATCGCATCGCGAAGCGTTCCTGAGCACAGTGACCCATCCTGGGCAACCATGTTGAGACTCTTTCGAAGATGATGAAGTTCAAGCGTGCGAATGTCTGTGGAATCTCAGTGCGTGCCGCCGCCCTATCACCTTGCTTGGCTCACCTGTCCCATCCACCTCTATTCTCCCCTCACAAGGCTCAACAGCTCGAAACAAGGTCAATGCGAGTGTACTTTTCCCGGAACCTGTGGCACCGACTATGCCGACTCGCATCGCGGGCTAGGTGTGAGCATATCTACCCCGAAATCAAGCACCCACCTCCACCTTGAAGGATACTTTGTGTAGTACCTCTGGTAGGTCATCGGCGTATTTCACGCTGACATTCTTGAACTCTACACTGCCGCGCGTCGGCCACTGTTTCTCGGGAATATCTCCCTCGAAGCTCTCCTGCTCTGGCATCTCAATGTACCGGTTGATACGTTCAGCCGATACAAAGGTTTGCTCCAAATTCGATATTTGCTCGAGGAGCCCAAACAAACCACCGCTGGCAGACTGGGCAAATGTAAGAACGAGACCCACTTGGGCGCCAGTCAATCCTTTGTGGACCATCAGGAACGCAGCCGCGGCCACAAAGATGCACGCAATGGCGCGGATACTCGACCGAACAAAGTTGAACACTTTGAATGAATAGTGAGCATGCCCCTAACGCAACGGCAACGCACCTTGCCAGTCTGCACACCAAGCCTGACGATCTCGATTGAACAAGGTCTGCATGGACGCAATCATGAATTGGTGGGAACCAAACCTGCACGTCAGAGCGAATCCCGGAGCTCTGGACCCACGCTCGGATCATGACAATCTCCTCTGAGACGTCATTATAGAGCGTGATCAATGGACTGTCGGCGATCGATGTGAGTCGTCTGAGATCCGCACGGAGCTTTGATAGGCTAACACGTCAGCACAGCCGCAGCGTTTCAACTCACCGGCTGCTGATCCACTGGAGGGGCAGAGCAAACGCTATGGCGATCGCGATCAAGGGCTGTCAAAGTCAGCTCACCTCGCACCTGAGGACTCACTGGTGTCTCGATACACGTGACGATGAATGCCAATCCGACAGACAAAGCAGCCGCCAGGGCTCTTCCAAAAGCGTCTGCTACCTGAGCGTCGACACGGTATTGGTCTTGGCTGAAAATGTTGACGATTCTTCCCGTCGGTGTCGACTCAAAGAAAGTCAGTGGCGCCTGAATGATCCTTTGAAGGAGTTTAGCGTGGATGACCTTGCTGCCTCGGGAGTAGAAACCGATACTCCCGAATCCGTACAGCCATACCCATCGGAAAGCACCAGTGGCAATCGTGATACTGATGAGGCCGAACCAGCCCCGTAGATACTTGTTCAAGTGCGCAGGATCAGGATCAGAGGACCAACCACGCATGAACCACGGCTTGACGACATCGAATAATGCTGTCAGACCGTATAAAAGGGCGATTCCGATCCAATAGCCCCAACCTCCTGCGGCACCAAGGATCAACCTGTAGTGCGACCTGTCGACTCGACCCTCTGACGCGTGCTCGGTGGTGTATATCTGGCGACTGGTTTTTTCTGCAGGTTTCTTCACTAGCTCATCCCCCGGCACAGGTTCCTTGGCCCGCGTTGCATCGACTGCTGGTTCATCAATGTGATGTTCCTCTTCCAAAGCTTGGAGGTTGTGAACTTCGGCGTTGTACGCTTGGCATGCTTGTTCCACGCGACCTTCGTTCAGCGTCACGATATAGTCGGCTCCGGGTAGACACAGCGCCACATGATGCGTCACGAAAACGACGGTCCTGTTCTTCAACAGCGATCCGGTCAAGCACTCGTTGAAGATGAAGTGGGCAGTATGTGCGTCGACGGCCGAGAGAATGTCGTCCATATAGACGGTGTTTGCCCTTGAGTATAGACACCTCGCAAGATTGACGCGAGCTCGTTGCCCTCCACTCAATGTTACCCCGTGATCGCCTACTTCTGTAAGGTCACCCGATTCCATGAGCGCAAGGTCGCTCTGCAAAGAAGCCTGCCTCAACGCCTCAACGTATCGGGCTCGCCACATGGGTTGACCAAACAAGATATTATCTTGGATCGTCCCGTGGCGAATGTATGCCTGTTGGGGGGCATACGCCACGCTGTTGTCGAGCCAAGTGTCGAGATTCCATTTGGACCCCAGAGCAGAACCGTTGAGCGGCGTTGCTGAAGGCAAGGAGGTGGGTGCAGCAATGCTTCCGGATTCGATGACTGCCTCGCCGAGGAGAGATCGGAGCTGAGGTCAGTGTAGTCTAGTTGATGCACTCACTAAGAGTGTCTTTCCCGATCCCAGCGGACCACAGATAAGGGTAAACTTTCCCCGAGGGATCCGCACGTCCACATCACGCAGCTTGAACAGCTTGGCGCGATCGATCTCGGCATCGAGACTTGTCGGCCAGGTGATGGTGGCATGGGAGAACACGAGTGCGTCGGACTCTTCGTCACCCAAAGGTTCGATGTCCGGCGCATTCAGGAATCGGCAAATTCGATCAATGGCCACCAAGGCCTCAAAGAAACCTTGCATTGTATTGGGTACCGACTGCAGGGCACCTGCACGTCAGCTTTGAACATCATGAAACACCCACTCTTGACGCGATTGAAGACTGTCTGTGTCAGATACGACCACATCGTGTGACTCACTGTTGATCGCCACAAAAGCAGTGCCCGGATGTAGAGTGTGGCCAAAAAACTTGGTGTAAGCTAGGAACGTGAACGCTATCGCAGCTGAAGGAAGCTGATCTGCGAGAATGTTGAACAGGGTACCGAGCGTAAATCGCCATCGCTGAGCAGTCGTTTCGGTCGCCCGGAGCGCTTCGATGCGGCGTTGAAAATACGATTCAAAGCCGTTCAACTTGGACTATCAGCGTGCTCCAAGACAGACGCATCAACTCACCTTGATTACCCTCACCCCGTTCAAATACTCTCGAATCGCACTGATCCTCGCGTCTCTCGCTTGCGCCCACGCCTTGTCGGTCCTATAACAGGCTCGAGAAACGTAAAAGGAGAGCGGAGAGCTGAGAGGGACGACGGCAATACCGACGAGCGAAGAAACGCCGAGCATCCCATAAAGGACGTACACACCAAAAACGACTGCTCATTGGCGGGCGCCACACAAAGGCTTGCTCACGAGATATCGTCGCGTTGGACACTGCCCAAATTCTTGTCGCTAAACCTCCAATTTGGGAGGAGTCGATGGTCAACAAGTTGACGACTTGTGTCTTGCCCTTGCGGACGTCCCTGTCCCCCTCTTTCAGGTTGTGCGCCTCTTTCGACTTGGAATCACTACATCGTAGGATCTTGTCGAAGAGCTAGACATCAGCGTGGAAAGGGGAAAGGATGATTCACCAGAGACGCCATGGTGAATCGAACTGGGTTATGCAAGAGAAAGTTTTCTCGGGTCCACGAGTACGCTTGGAGGAAGCCTCGAAGCATCAGCGCGGCTCGGCTCGGCGAAAGCCTCACATTCAGATGTCTGACTGAGGAATAGGGCCCAGCACATCAGATAGGGGTAAGCCTTGGTTTTGCGTGTCGGGTCGTCCATCGAATTGATGATTTCATACAAAGAGACGGCCTGAAGAAAGCCCAGGACAACGACGAGGGATTCAAACAAGAGGGCTATATCGTCAGGTTGGGGTGCTCTTCAATAATGTTTCTCACTGATTGTCACGGTCAAACCTCTCCCACCCCAGACCAATTTGATCAGCTGCCATCGGGTGATTTTGTCGTCTCCGGTTGGCAAAGCGATACGCCCAGGTGCCCTCGATATGATTCGCTCTGCCCCATCGTTTCGAATCCGTTGTTCGATTTGAGGCAGATCAGACATCAACAACCTCGATTTAGTGATCGATGTCTTTGCCAGAGGATAACAATAAGCCATGAAGCAAAAGCTCAACATGCAGGAATGTGAATAATCCAAGACGTTGCTATGCTCTTCAGCAGCCTTTCTCCGAGCTTCGATATCGTCCACCTGAGCCGGTGTCAATGCCTTGTCGTACACTTTAGCATCGTCCTTCTCGGCGTTGACGCCAAAGCCAGTGCCGAGTGCCATGGGAGTGTACTGCATCCTCGGACCTCGGCGCATGCTCCCAGAGATGAGCAGAGTGAGGACGAGGATGACATTGCGAAGGAGGGAGAGTGTCAAATAAGGTGCTTTGGGTAGTAGAGGCGGGTAAAAGTTGGGAGCGGGCAAGTGGGTGAAGACAATGTAGAGTATATGCGGGGAGGCATGGAGCAAGATGAGGAGGGAGACGAAAAGAAATGTGACTGTACAGAAGGATCGATGGAATCTGGTGTGTTTGATCGGCTGCCATGGTGTTCTTGAGAGCTTCAAGGGAAAGATCAAGGAGCAAGCATACAAGGCGATCAAGCAAGTCTATGTACAGAGACGTTAGCCAAGGATCTAACCCTGAAACTCACGATTATGGCCGCTCCGACCACATTGCAGTATCTCTCTTGCACATGCGCCAATCGCTCATACCTCGTCCAATGTTCAGACTCTTCCGGCATCAATACCACTTGAGCAATCTCGAGTCCCAAGTCGATCGACAGGGCCGGTCCGAGGAACCCTTTGAGTTTCCTGACATTGTGCAAAAAGGAAGATATCGAGACGGGAATGTCTTGATTGATCTCGGACAATTCATCTCGATGACCACCATCATCGGGACTGGGAAGTAGTGTAGACGTCGATGATAAGGATGAGCGAGACATGATTGAGGGATCGGTGTGAGGTTCAGACGGAAATGTGATCTTGGATCATATATCCATCCCCCTATCCATCGGTCGAAGCGATTGATTGTCTTCTGATCCTTTGTCAAGAGGTAGCACAGTCACTGATCTGATCCTTTGTTCGACGGATCGACGACTCAATTGATTGACCCCTCCAGCAGACTGTGTAGCCGCGATGCGTTTAGAGGTCGAGGTCATCCGCAAAGTAGTTGTCCCTCCCTCATCTCAAATGTCATCATCATCATATCGACTTGAACTTTTACGCCCCACTTTAACCTCCACTTTCCCCCCCCCCCCCCCCCCACTCCACACTTCGGTCCGGTCCGGCGATCCGCCAGACCGGGGAAAGGATATGGCCGATACAATGGGTTGCATTGGAGTTCTATACCAAGAGCAGACTGCCCAATGTCGCTTGTGTCCCTGCAATCTCCAATGCCTGCATCACTTCTAAGCGTCTCCTCGCTTCTCTCAACCAATCAGCTGCTAATTGAGCAGGCCATCCTTTCAATGAGTTGATCTCTCTCGCTGCTCCGTCCAGATCTTTTTCACCAAGACACCATTCGGCACGAGCCAAAACGGCAGTAACATCATCTCCAGCGACCAGTCCGGCCTGATGACGGAACATGATCTTGCTGATGGTCGCAGAGGCCAGGTGCGAAGCCACGGTCGCGTGTTCTGGAGCGGGTACCAGACTCGCACTTTGCACCCGAGGTGCGACCGAATTGCTGAACCAGCTGCACAGGGAGGCAAACGATTTGACACCGGTCTGAGCGATTCCACTGGACTCGAGAGCATCGAGGGTGGTCGCTGTCAGCGAGTCGGTTGTGGATAACGACTTGAGTGCCCTCAATTCAGTGTCAAATGCGGCGTCTCCCGAATCGGCCTTGGCTTGAACAGCGCGGAGAGCAGACCAGACTTTGTGCAATCGTACATTATCGTCAAGGGTCGCGGAATTGTCCAGAGTGATCCGCTCCAGATGCTTGAGCGAGGTCGTGAGATTGTCGAGCTTCGCCAAACGACCACCACGCTCAGTCTCCACTTGGGACTTGATCGACCTCAGCCACCGTCGCTGGAGCTCAATGCCCTGAGATACCACCTCTTCACGGAGTCTGATGAGAGTCAGTCACGTCACACGGATGATCTCACCTCTGTTCGATGCCCTGCCTCTGTTGCTCCAACTCAGACTCAAGCGCACCACGCCATTCGTCGACCATCTTTCGTCGCTCAGCGTCCCAAGTCTGCTTCAATCCCTGCTCGCCCTGGGCTCGCTCCTCATCCTTGGTTCGTAAAACATTCTGAAACTCTTCTGCCTTTTCAGCGAGCGTCTTCTCAAGTCGCTGTTTTTCCTCCTTTTTCACGTCGTCCAATCGCTTGGTCAACGCTGCCAAATCGTCTTGCGCCTTGATCAAGATGCCGTTGGGGTCGCTCGAAGTCGGTGTAGACAAGGACTGAGTGAGTGAGTCGATAGTCGATGCGAGTTGGGTGATGACGGGTTCAGACTCGGCGAATTCCTTGACTTTGGGTACGAGCAACGGAAGCGTCTCTTTGACAGTGTCCTGAGGATTTTTTGGCGCAGGTGGTGGAGCAATGTAGTAACCCGGGGGCGGTTCAAAGCCTAGAGGCAGGGCTGGACCAGTGTATCGCTCCTTGCCCTCGTGAGGCGACTTTTTCGGCACAGCCCGTGGATCGAGATCTCGGGGTCGTTGAGCGTCCAAGTATCCTCTTGGCTTTGGCTCGACGGCCTCCTTGACTCGATGAGCTACATCTTCCACTTTGTCCTCGCTTCGCGACAGGGCATTTTCAGCCTCCCTGACCATTCCCTCAACACCATCTGAAAAGTTGAACGGGACCTGAGACGTCGCCTCGACCACCTTCTCCTTGGCCACTGTAGCGAGCGCCACAGCTTTATCTGCTGTCTGTCGAGTAGCTTCCACTGCTCGGTCTGTCAGGCTCGCAGCTTTGTCCTCGGCTCGGTCAGCGGCGTGTTTGGCCACATCCTGAGCTTTGGAAGCCTCCGTCTTGGTCCGATCGACAGCATTGGAAGCGACAGACTTGGCCTTGTCGACGGCCTGAGAGGCTTTTGAGCTGGCTTGATGGGCCAACTCGGAGGCCTTGTCGGCCACTTCGGACGCCTTGGCACGGGCACTGGATAAGGTTGACTGAGATTTACTCTCGGCCTCCTTGGCCGCGGCTTTGGCCTTGCTCTCGAGATCCCTCATGCCACTTCTGACGTCCTTCTCCACCTCTCTCGCTCTTGAAGCCACTCGTTCCTGGGTGGAATATGGCTTCTTGTCCTCTCCAGTGATCTTTTGCCAACCCTCGACGGCCTTCTTACTGACCGTTCCGAACCCAAAGTGATCCCAACCATTGTCGTCGGCGTACTCTGCAACAGCCTCTCCACCAGGTACATTGGTCACGAAAAAGTCGCGATACGTTTCATTCTGTGTCGAGAGCCAACCGGATACAGGATAAAATGTCAAGAGTCCGAGGGTGGTGAGGATGAAGAAGCGGCGGAAGAAGCGTCTCGGAGGTGGCGGAGGTGGCGGAGGAGGTGGTGGTGGAGGGGGAAGTCGTGTAGCAAGAGGAGGAGGTGTAGGAGGAGTCACTGGGATAGGTCCAGGTCTAGGGATGGTCGTATTGGCATTGAGAGCCGGAGCAGCCGGTGGGACAGTGACGACTGGTGTGACGACGATGGGCGGCGGTTTCGTCGCGAGCAACTGCGGATCAGCAGAGAGCTCTCAGTCTCCTACTCACCCTGCGTTGCCTGATGACAACCTGCCCTGCCCTACGGGCTATACGCAGCTGGGACACCATGAGTTGGGGTCTGGTGGTTTACCAAAATGTCATCATAGAGCAGCCCCTCGAGTCCATTGGCTGCTGCTATCAGTGATCTCGGCGTTATCTTTTATATTTCCAGGGTGAGATCGAGGATGTGGCACTTTGTGGCCAAGGAGGGGGGTCGCGTCTTTTCTACTGTTGACATTTTTATAACATCGCGCGTAATTGAACATTGGGACTTACTTACCTTGACGTTCAATGCTGCGGCGACCTACATCTAGAACGTCCAGCACAACTCACTACTCGAGCGATGGGATGGCCCCGTCTAGTCTGACCAGTGGAACGAGTGGGACTTCCAGAACGAGTTTGACCAGTTGGATGGATAGGACAGAATTGGCCGAGAGAGAGGATGACAAGGAAGAGCTGTTAATTGATATGAGCGATGATGCGCCAGTGGAACGGGTGGAACGGGTGGAACAGCCATCGCCAGCGGAGAAGCTCAAGCTGCTGTTGAGGCAGATGGATGCGGAAATCAGGGAGACGGGACCGGCAAATCAAAGTGGTCCGAGTCGGACAGCGTCTGGATGGAGAGAGAAGAGGATGAATGGGGATGAAGCGCGAGAGGAGGAGGAGGAGGAGGAGGACGATAGTCCTCCGACACCGCCGAGGCGGATCCCAAGTACGAGAATGTCTCAACGTAGGTTCAGATGCCGTGGCGTTGCTGAAAGTCTTCCACCAGACGTACCCTCTCGGGCTGCCGTCCTTCGAGCCAGTAAATATCCTCAGGAGCCGCGTCAAAGTACATCCCGCTCTCCGGAGCCTTCTCATCCCACACCTCTTGAGACCTATATCGCCCGGACATCCTCTCGCTCGTCCCTCGATCAATCAGTCTCCTCCACCTCCTCTCGCAAAGGCAAGGAGAGGGCACATGATTCGCCTAAAAGTTTGACACCTGCCAGGAGTCGAGTTGCATCTGGTCGTACACCGCGACGCTGGGACGTAGAGCTGGCGCCTCCTGCGGACGAATTTGCAGAGTACGCCGAGGACCTCGAAGTGAGAGGTCACGTCGAGCTCGATCTGGAGGAGGAAAGTGGAGATCCACCACCATGGGAGAGCGAGACAAGCGGTGACGAGCGGGAAGAATGGAAACCACCACCACCACCACCAGCAACAGAAATTCCCAGACCGAGCCCCGATCGTACACCTCTGCGCAGAGTGCCACACGCCAGCCCCAATCGTTGGCGGGACACCTCTCTGCCTGCTTTACCACAACCGAGTGACCTTGAGACGGACGAGGAGCAGGAGCTGGTGTCGAGACGGACCAACATGTTCAGATCGCCAAAAACGGTCCGACCTCTGAATCGCTTTGCTCATCTGTCAAAGGGTTCGGCAGCGGAAGAGTCTTTCAGGCCGACACCGCATCCGCCGGGACGATTCACGCCTCGAAATGAGCTGGTCGAGACTGTCGAAGACGTCTCGGTCCACCGCATCAAGCTGTCTCCGGCAAAGTCTAAACCCCTACCTCCCCTACCTCGGTCTCAAACCTTTGCTCAAGCTCAAGAGGCTCTGCGTCAGGCATCTCAGGCATCTGACGTTGCTCGATTACGGGTCGAGTCGGCACAACGACAATGGCTTGACGCGCTCGCGACGGCTCAAAAGGTCGGCGATGGCGCTCTGATCATGGCGAAAAAGGGCTGGACTTGGAGTTCTTGGGCATGGTGGGTCAGTATAGAGGTACTGCTGGTCTGGGGAGTGTTCAGGTGAGTAATTTGACCTGGCCAGTCAGTGCTGACAAGCAGAGTGACCCTGGACTATGCTCAATCGACGGCTTTCCTTGCTTCTATCGATCCGTTCTCTCCTCTCCTGTCGCCGACCCGGCATTTGGCCATGGCTGTGCCGAACCCGTCGAGTTTGTCGATATTCGCGGTGCCTCATCGCGGTTCTGCCAATTTTTTCGATCTTGTCGAGAGAGCCCATGTGTGGAAATTCTTGCATACTTGGGACAGTGCTACGTTAGGCGATGAGGTGAGGATGCTAGGCGGAGTACCGACGTAGAAAATTATCAAGTATAGTACGTGTGTGTTCATTTTATTTCTTGCATGCCCCTTCCCCATAATTGTGCTCCACAACTGTTCGGGGTCGCTTGATTCGGGTTAATTAACACGTTCGGACTAATAATGTTACGCCACGGACGTCAAGGTCTACAAATAGCCCACCTGTTGGATAGATTCAAACTTCGTTCGCATTCTCTTGCATCAGATCACCATGAAGCAGGACAAGGAATTTGGCGAGACCAAGCACGACGAGCAGACGTTGAGACATTCTCACGATGAGGACATCTCAGAGTTTATACGCCGTGAGTGCCACGCCAGAGTGTGTGTGTGGTCTGTTGACTTTTTCCAAGCTGAGCCCAAGTACGTTCATTATATACCTGGAGGTTATCATCCATCGAGATGTCTCAAGCTGTCTGGTCGACCCATGATGTACGCCATCTTGCTCCTCGCAGGCATCTCTATCATGTTCTTTGGGCAAGTCGGGACTGATGTGTAATGTGGCTCATTTCACAGGTACGACGCCTCAGTCATGAGTCAAGTCAACACGAACAAGGATTATCTCCGTTTGATGGGCGCTGCCGGTGGTTCTGACAGAGACTCTGCTGCCGTTGGCGGTATCGTCTCAGTTTGGTATGCCGGCTTCGCCATTGGTGCCCTCCTTGTCGGAGCATATGCAGACAAGGTCGGTCGACTCAAGACGATACAGATTGGATGCGTGTGGGCTGCGATAGGAGGAGCGTTGCAAGCCTCAGCTCAAAACATCACATGGATGATGTTCGCAAGAGTCATCGGTGGCATCGGATGTGGCCATCTTAACACGGTGGTCCCCATTTGGACATCCGAGCTGGCCGATCCGCACCTCCGAGGCGCGTTCGTCGCGGTGGAATTTACGCTTGCCATCCTTGGATCCACCTTGTACGTCGAAACAAGGTCTGATCAGGAGCTGACTCCAGGGCATATTGGATCGAATATGCTTGTACTCGGACTCGCACAGAGGCATTCTCTTGGCGATTTCCGCTGGCTTTTCAGATCGTCTACCTCGTGATCATTCTCACCGTGTCCTCGTTCTATCCCGAGTCACCACGATTCTTGGCCAAGACTGGACGACTGGATGAAGCGCGAGACCTCTTGACTCGTTGTCGGATCGACCCGGACCCTATCAAGATTGAACAGGAGATGCAAGGGATCAAGTCGACCATCAGAGCCGAAGCGACCGGCACGGCGCACAGCTACTTCTCCATGCTCTTCAAACGAGACAAGTTTCACACTCGACGACGTATCATCCTTGGTGGAGGTATCCAAGTGTTGCAAAAGCTTACCGGTATAGACTTTATCGCTGCGTACTCGCCTGAAATGTTTGCACTGTCAGGATACTCGGCCAATAAGTCGACATTACTGGCTGGAGGCAACTTTTTCAGTTACACCGCTTCCCTCGCCCTTGCCATCTATCTCTCGGATAGAGTGGGTCGTCGAAAACTCATGTTGTCGGGCTCGACCATGATGGGAGTGGTCCTCATTATTGGTGGCGTGTTGGCCTCATTGATTCAGAAGGACCATGCGCCGGACAAGATTCCACAATACGGAGCTGGCGTCGCAGCCATCCTCTACCTCTATACTGCGATTTACGGAAGTACATGGTTGACGACGTGCTGGGTGTACCCTACGGAAGTGTTCCCGCTCGCCACGCGTGCCAAGGGGACTGCCCTAGCGACCGTGGCGTTCTCCCTGGCCGGAGGGACAATCAATGAGATCATACCTTACCTCATCACGGCAGTAGGCTTCTGGGTGTTTATCATCTTTGCTCTGCTCAACTTTCTCATGTGTGTGCCTATCTGGTTGTTCTATATTGAAACAGCCAATCGGGACCTCGAAGACATGGATCTGCTGTTCTCGAGTGACAGTCCGCTGGCGAGTCGAGCAGAAAAGGATTTCGCGAGACTGCGTGGAGAAAGTACAAAGGCAAGGCGGGACATTTCAGCGTGATGGCTATACTGGAGTCCGTCCTGTAGAGATCAATTGTATGTATGCAATCTTCCTTCGGTGCAGAGGCGGACACGCCGCTACGGAAAGTGGGGCAAAGTGGAGGTGACCTCCACCGAAGGATCCAAAATCAGCCGAAGTGTTACTTGTTGCTATTCATCTTCCTCCTCTCATTCACTCTCTCACACACTCACAAATGTCTCCCTCTGTCCAGACGATCCGCTGGGGAATCATCTCCACAGGAGGTATCTCCACTGCCTTCTCGAGAGATCTGCTCGTGAATCCCGCCACGCGAGATGCCAACGACATCGAACATCGCATCACGGCCATTGGCTCGCGAACCAAAGAATCTGCTCAAGCGTTCCTTGACAAGTTGAACGACTTGCCCCAGGACGAAGCCTGTCGATGGGGTGTCGATCACGGCAAACTCAAGGACTGTAAAGCTTATGGATCGTACCAAGAAGTATACGACGATCCAAATGTCGACTGTTTGTATATTGGTACCCCGCACAACTTTCACTATGAGAACACCAAGGGCGGTCTGCAAGGCGGCAAGCACGTCTTGTGTGAAAAGCCCTTCACCTTTGATCTCAAAGAGTTGGACGAGCTGATCGCGCTCGCCAAGGAGAAGAAGAGGTTTTTGATGGAGTGGGTACAATTTCTTAGGAAGGGTTTTTTTTGTTGACGTCTCAGAGCCGTATGGACCCGATTCCAACCCATCGCTTACGAGGTTCAACAAATCGTCCACTCGGGCAAACTTGGCAAGGTCAAGCGATTCTCAGCAGACTTTTCGACCGACATGAAGCCAGATAGTGAGTCGGGGTTTTTTTCTTGACATGGACTGACGGCAGACTTTCCACTGTCGCATCGAATCATCGCGCCCGAGCTCGCGGGAGGCGGAATTCTCGATCTGTGAGTCACTACCAAAGAAAGGTGTAATTGACGCCACAGTGGCCCGTATCCATCGGTCTGGACCATGATGGTGCTTTACCATCACCCGGACAACAAGAAAACCCCGCCCAAATTGCTTCAATCGCGACAGACACTATACCACCGAACCAACGTGGACGAGCAAACCACCTTGACTCTAGGATTCGAAGCGCTCAATGTCGAAGCGGACCTCAGAACCAGCTTCACATGCCAGGGTCTAGCAGGCAACTGCGTGGCGGTTCAGTGCGAAGAAGGAGATCTGATCATTGATTGTGGGTCTCTTTTTAGTAGCCATCTTCGCTAACACCACCCAGTCCCGCCTTACAAACCTACAACGTACCATGTCGTTCCTCATGCCGATGTCGGCAAGATTAAAGAGGCCAAGACGTACCATGCGAAGACGCATCCGGGTGGCGCGATGCACTACGAGGCGGATGAAGTGGCGCGTTGTGTGCGGGACGGCAAGTTGGAGTCGGAGCGAATGCCATGGGAGGAGAGCAGGATTGTGCAGAGCTGGTTTGATGATGTGAGACGGGCCGGAAACACGGTGTTGAAGGACAGGCATGGCAAGGCGGGCTAGTGAGGATCGAGGAATAAGACTGCGTAAACTTTAGTGAATGAAAGAGTTGGAATGTCTTATGGTCTCAGGGGGTATCCTTCCAAGGATGTTCTGCTATCAGTATGCGTATGGTTAATACTTGTCATGTCTGGTAATACAAACTGCTTTCTACACCATCGGTCCTCTTTCTACACCCATCGGTCCTCGTTCTACACCCATCGATCCTCTTTCTATACCCAACGGTCCTCTTTCCGCCTGCCCTTGAGCGGCGCATCCTCTGATGTCTGTCCCGGCGCACCCCATTCTGGCATTCCCTCCGGTCGAGGGACTCGCACATTCTCAAAGTCGTCTTGAGATACTGGGACCATGGACAACCTTTTCTTCTTCCGTTTAGACTGCGATGCCGATGGTGGACCAGGATCATCCTGCTCGGGATTTGCGGACAGAGCGTCAGCATCGAGTTGAGCAACATCTCCTGGATTGCTTAATCTCTGTGCGAGTCAGTGAGAGGGGGGTTGGGAATGATCTAGCCACAGGACGTACAAAGTACTCTTCCCTCAGATCAACCTTCTTCCTCTTCCCAGTCAGACCCAGATCATCGTCAAACGAGAGCTGCTTGTGTTTCGTGTTGTGCAGGTCATATCGGGTCTGAGTAAACGTGGTCATGACGAATGATGAACCGACAGTGAGGACGAGGAATGGGATGCCAAAGAGGAGAAACGGTTTCGCTCTAATCTTAGTGAGGATAGGAGAAGGTTTGAGTGGTTTCCGGGAGAACGTAGACATGGTGATGATGGGGTCATCTGGACGTGAGTGAAGAGATCATGGAGAGATGGGTTGGGGATGTTGGAAATTTTTGGCGATTTCATTCGATTATTATTATTTACGGAGAGGTGTTCGACCGAGTGAGCTTCAGGTGATCATGACGAGGGAAGGGAGGGCGGTCACGACTGGATACTGATCAATGGCTGAAGACGTGAGCTGAGTCATCCTCTAGCCTATACGCCGCCCCTTCACATTCGCTGGATTGCATGACATACACCCTCCTGTCCCCCGGCCCACCGTCGCGCCAAGGGATGATATACCTCGCCGGTTGAAACCGACCGCCCTTGGGTTCAAATGTCTCTCGATGCAATGTTCCAGCCTGCTCATTCCTGATTCATCAGAGTCACTAGCACTCAGAAGAAGAAGACTAGTCCCTCATCATTCGATGCTCACTCAGTTGTCGACACCGTGAACGATGATTGAGCGCTCGTAGATCTCCAGGGCCCTAGACGTCACCAAATTGCTCGCCAAGACTATCCTCCACACCGCTTTGGCTATATCATATCCCCAACTCAATGCTTTACATCTTGACAACCAGGAGCATTTCTGTGGTTCAGAACGTCTTTCCAGTTCATCGCCTGGACAACGTGTGATCATACCTCGCTCGGCCTGGCGACGTTTGACTAACAAATCCCCGGTCGTTCAGTCCTTTGTCCCACCTCGGTAAAGACCCTTTCAGAGCGCTGCATTGGCTATCTATCTACTCATACCATGTCCGGTGGTCAGTATAGAGGAGGGATGGGATGGTTCATGCTCTACTTTTTGGCATTGGGCATACTTGTACAAGGTGAGTAGATGAGCTAAGGCATGATGGGCTCACGCATCGCCAAGGCCGTTCACCACCCTCTCCACCACTTAAAAGGCTCGTTGTCCCAGCCTCTTCGTCCTTGGAGATTTTACCCAGACATGGACAGCTCGCCACTCGATCGTACATCCAGCCTCACCCATCTTCTCTCCTTCACAGCGACACAGTCTTCCTCACTATAGATCTGCCTTCTCTGCTTCCACACCCTGCACACCTTTTGCTACGTCCCACGGAACACCTCTTCCATCCCGATGCCAAGATCACCTTTCAGTCGGGCGAATCGCTTCCACTGGTGCCCGCAGACTACAGACTCTACTCTGGTCCTATTATTTCACCACGATGGGCATCACGGATAAAGTGGGAGGAGATGGCTGGTATGCGCGACTCTCAATCCGAAGCTCTGGCCACCATTGGCAGTGCGAGTATCATGATTCATCACCATGGGGACGGGAATCCGATATACGAGGGCAGCTTTACGATGAACGGCGTCTCTCATCACATTCTTACCAAGTCGCACTACGACAAGGTCCGGACAGACGATGATGTCGAAGCGGACCTTGGACATATGGTCGTTTTCAGAGATCAAGACATGTATCACGGGAACGACACGGTCGGATGCTCCCACGACCATCAACTTGCCAACTTGTTCAAGCGAGATGACATTGCTGGGGGCATGGGCGGGGGCAACAACTATATCAACTCCATCGGCAACAGGGCTGGGTGTCCGAATCAACAGAGACTGCTCTACATGGGCGTCGCGGTCGATTGCAACTATGTGACGACTTACGGCAACGAGGCGGACGCCAGGGTCCAGGTCTTGAACAACTGGAACCAAGCCTCTGCACTGTACAAGTCGACATTCAATGTCTCCCTCGGGATCGTCGAGTTGATCGTTCAAAATCAATCCTGCGGCACGACGCCACCATCGGACGCGCAATGGGACGTGTCGTGCGACGCGGGTATCACCATGGACCAGCGGCTGAGTCTCTTCAGTCAGTGGAGAGGATTCAGATCTGAGGATGGAATCGGTCTGTGGCATCTGATGAGCGCGTGTCCAACGGTGAGGGAACACTGAGGGAACGACGCTAATGTCAGGACACTGAAGTAGGGGTCGCCTGGCTCGGAACGCTGTGTCAGACCACGTCAAACCAACAGGGCAGCTCGTTCGTCTCTGGCACCGGCATGTCGACGGCGGCAAAGACAGAATGGACTTTGATCTCGCACGAAATCGGTCATGGGTGGGTGGACCGTCAAAAGGCCCTGGCTGACGCTCAGCTTTGGAGCTATCCACGACTGTACCAACGGGTGCTCGCTGTCTAGTCCATGTTGCCCATTTTCGTCCAATACGTGCGACGCAGGAGGGACGTTCATCATGAATCCCACGACTGCGGCGTCTGAACAGACCTTCTCTCAATGTACCGTGGGCAACATTTGCTCTGGCCTCGGATCCAATACCGTCTCGTCCAGCTGTCTCGCTACCCCAGGGGAGAACCAGCGTACGATCATCTCGCTCCAACAATGCGGCAATGGGATTGTGGATCCGGGCGAGGATTGTGACCCAGGCAGCGGAAGCAACTCGTCCTGCTGCGACGCGTCAAGTGAGTGAGAACCCATGGTCGTAGTTGACAACGACAGCCTGCAAATTCGTTTCTGGTGCCGTGTGCGATCCCGCCAACTCGGCCTGCTGCACCTCTACATGCCAATTTGCATCCGCTGGGACCGTCTGCCGACCTGCCGTCGATGCCACCTGCGACATTGCAGAGACATGTACAGGCAACAACGCGACGTGCCCTCCAGACGTCACTGAACCCGATGGCAAGGAGTGCGGCAGGGATGGCTTGGCCTGTGCCGCTGGTCAATGCACGAGTCTCGATTTACAATGTCAGCGCGCAGGCACAAGCATGAACTTGACCCAAGCGTGTGGGCAGAGGAATGATCGAAGCTGTGTCATCAGCTGTAGGGATCCGACGAGATCGTAAGTGGAAAAAGGTGAACTGGCTGACCGCAGGAATCAATGCATCGTCATGCAAACCGCCTTGCTGGATGGTTCGCCCTGTGGTGAGTGATCAACATGCGAGCTGTCTGACGGTAAGGCTATGGGGGACACTGCTACAACGCCGAATGTCAGACGGGATCCTGGCAGTCGGTAGCTGGATCGTGGTATAGGGAGAACCTGCAGATTTCGATTCCCGTGACGGTGGTGGTTGGCCTCATTGTGAGTAGACGGGTGTGGGTACAATTCGTCGCTGATGGTCTGGTCCGCTCCACTCCACTCCACTCGGCTCCCCCAGGTCCTCGCTATCCTCTTCGCCATCATCCGCTGCATGCTGAGGAGCTGTAGCAGGCGCCGCTCACCCCAACCCCTCCCACCTCAACGCGCCTCGATGCGTCAAAGCGTCTACGCGCCGACTTCTGGCCCTTTCTCAAGTCAAGAACCCCTCGCTCCCACTCGTCACAGTGGCCACTTTCCCCCTCCGCCTCAGCATCCTTCCCAATGGCAGCGACCTCCATCCAATCATTATGGAATATCGCAGCCGCCACCATCATCACCGCCACAAAGATACTCCGGTCAAAGCACGTGGGTGGATCCAAGCTCCTATAATGGACCTCATTACGGAGTCAACGAAGCATATGGTCGATAGAACAGTTGTAGCAACAAGAATGTTATTGTCATGACGCCAGCTTGGCAGTAGGATGGCTCCCGGACCGTGAGATCCGATGATCAGGTACTTCATTACTTGTAGGGAAAGAGAGAGAGAGTACCTTGATCGTGAAATTGCACCGGTTCGGTGCAATTCATTCGACCGTCCTTGGCACCTTTTTTACTGTACTCTTTTTCGCCACTTTGGCTTGGCTGGCGGGTGTGTGGCATTTGTGACCCGGTACTCGACCCGGACCGCTGGACCGGTTGGGAAGGCGCTTTATAGGGGTTCAGCGCTGCTTGGCAAGGGGGGGAGGGGGAGGGGGCTTTGTATGCATAGACGTCTTGGCTACTGGTCTGGGTCTCATGATATGCCAATGGGGGGTCATCTACCCCGTGGTGCCGATATCGGACGTGTGGGATGATGAGGTAGGCGATTCTTGGCACGAGAATGGTATATAACATGGAGGGTGAATGGAGATGAATGGACAAGAGAGAACCATCACCCATTCACCATGTCGCGATCCGAGAAGCACGATGCAGAGGAACGATCCGTTCAAACTCCTCCTGAACTTGAAATCAAAGAAGAGATTCAACACAGCGATGAGAAGAGTGGCGACGCGTTTCACACCACTCTCATCGAGGAGGCCCTCCAGCTCAGAGATGAAGAGGCCAAGCTAGGATTGCTCAAGATGGCATCCCTTTACCGATATGGATTGATCTGGGGAATGGGTCTGAGTTTGGCCTTGGTGATGGAGGGAATGGACACGTGAGCAGTGGTGGCCGGGCGCGCGGGGTCGAGCAAGATGCTGACAAGTGGCAGCGCCATGATCAACAACTTGTTCGGTCTGGCAGCTTTCAAGCAATACTTTGTAGGTCTGAGGCTCTGCCAATTGTTCGCTAATCTCTCTAGGGACATCAAGATGCAGACGGAAACTTCTTCATACCCTCAGACTGGCAAGCCGGTATCAACAACGCGAGTGCCGGTGGACAGGTCATTGGGTTGCTCCTCAATGGATGGGCTCAGGCCCGATTCGGATACAGACGCGTGTACATGGCTGGGATGGTGGCCATGGCTGGGACTAGTGAGTCTGCTGAATCTGATCGCTTGCTCATGGTCAGTCTTCATTCTCTTCTTTGCCCAGAGTCTCCCTATGCTTCTCGTCGGTAACTTGCTATGTGGCATCCCATGGGGCGTGTGAGTCGTCATCTTCCCTTTCAAGGGCTAATGTTCAGCTTTCAAGTCATCACCACCGCGTATGCGAGTGAAGTGGTCCCTCCGGCACTACGAGGGCTCCTGACCACATTCGTCAGGTGGGTTTTGACGTGTTTGTGGGATCGAAGCGAAGCTGACAGACTCAAAGCATGTGCTGGGGAGTGGGTGGATTTCTCGCCGCCGGTATCCTGCGTGGCTCTTTAAACATTCCAGGAAACAACGGGTGGCGGATCCCTTACGCGTTGCAGTGGATTTGGCCTGTGCCCCTGTTCTTCTTCGCCTACTTTGCTCCAGAGAGTGAGTTGGCAGGTGTACATACGTACTTTTCGGTTCGGTTCGGTACTGACCTGTGTTGACAGGTCCCTTTTACCTCGTCAGAAAGGGTCGAGAGGACGAAGCCCGGGATGTCCTTCGACGACTCGCCAAAAAAGGCCACCGAACCGAACGCATGATTGACGCGCAGATCGAGATCATGAAGCATGCCAACGAGATGGAAAAGGTGCTCGCCGCCAACGTCTCGTATCGGGACTGTTTCAGGGGAACGAACGCCAAGAGGACGATTGTGGCACTCATGGCCTGGCTGATCCAGGTTCGTCAAGAAGGGGTCTGTTCACGGAGCAGGAGCTGACATACGGTCCAGGTGTGCAATGGAGAGGGCTTGGCCAGCTACGCTGTTATATTGCAAGTCTTGATTCTCGATTCCTTGACTTGACTAACTCTGAGCAGCTTGCAGAACGCTGGAATGTCAGCTACAAAAGCCTTTTCCTTCAACATGTAAGCCATTGGAACGCACCGAGTTTACTGATCCTATCAGGGGAATTCAAGCCACAAATCTGGTCACTACTGGCGCTTGCATGTACTGTGAGTCTCAGACGTGAGACTGTAAGACTGAAAAGCAGACATCGGAAAGATCGGACGACGTACCCTGTATTTGACAGGTATCGGTGCGATGGGTGGCCTCATGCTTGTCACCGGCATCGTTGGATTCATCCCAACCAATAACACTGCAATCGGAATCGCCATCCTTCTCATCTTTGTCAGGATCTGTTTCAAGATGTCATTGGGTCCTTGTTGCTGTGAGTATTTACATATCCGCTGATCATCACTGACACCTTCATTTAGACACCATTGTGGCGGAAACTCCTTCCACGCGAGTTCGAGGACAAACCATGGTCATCGGTCGAGCTGGATATGTCATCGGCGGCATTGTCATGAACCAACTCACTCCACGAATGCTCAACAAGGACGCGTGGGACTGGGGGGCGAGATCGTGAGTTTTTTTTTCTTCAACATTCAGTTCACTGTTCAGCGACCGGTCCAACCCTTCTGGAAGGTTCTGTTTGCTGACCAGGCCACCCATCGCAGAGGTCTCTTCTTCCTCGGATTCGACATTCTCTTCTTCATCTACCTATTCTTCTACCTCCCTGAGACGAGGAACAGGACTACGGCCGAGATCGACTTGCTGTACAAAAAGCACGTCCCGGCAAGGCAGTTTAAGAAATACGAGATTGATCGTGAGTTGGGGGGCAGTGTGGGATCTTTTGGCTCGTGACTGATCGCTCTCAGCCTACGAGCTTGCACACGCTACCGGTGCGGACGAATTGGCCGTCGCTCCAACCTCTGAGATCACCCAGAGACGAAGACAGCCGGAAGAGTAGATCGGTGCCACGGTTCCAAGTGTCAGGTTGCTTATGTAATATGTTTTGTGTGGAAAGTATGCATCGTCTGCGAGGCACCTTGTGACAGGAGTGCAGCTTGATGTATGCAAATGTTAGCAGAGCTCTCAGCTCTCTTGATCTCAGCTCTCCGCTCTCTTTCCCCTCACGACCCACAGCGGATCTCTCCATCCAGACCCATCGGTCAGTGTGACCACCTCGATTCGTTCGTACCCCGCAAAGTGAAGATAGTCTCCGACCATCTCTAGCCTCTCCGACTCGCTCACACGTAGCCAGCGCCCGACGACTTTGGTTGGGAAGCATCGATTACTGATGACGAGGTGAACTTGACCACCTGGGACGAGTCGATCGCGGATCGATTCGAGGACCTTGACGGGTTGAGTGAGGTAATCAATAGATACGACGCAGGTCGCGGCGTCGAGAGGGTCCGTCATGGGGATCGCCGGCTCCGCATTCAGGTCTTGAACTATACGCGTGGATAGGACAGGATTGCGATCTAATTCTACCTGACTCATCCCCATGCCCACCACGTGAAGGCTGCCGGATTTGGCTGCAACTTCGAGATCCGGTGGGAAGTGACTGACCCAACTGGAGCAAAAGTCGAGTATACGGCCCTTGCGAGGTAAGACAGCGTCATAGTATTGACTCAATGTGTGGATCGCCTGATCGTCTATGTGCGTGCATAATCTTGGGTTGCTATAGAATTCACCATCTGGGAACTCGTCCATGCGTTGAAAATCGGCAGCAGTATAGGGCCAATTCTCATGCCGAGGGATATAGTCTCGTATAGCCCATTGTGTGGTTGTAGACATCTTGGCGAGAGAGCCGTGGGCCACTAGCAGACATCGAAGATATCTCGACATGAGGTAGAGTACATGTGGACAGGAGAATATGACGATCGGTCAGTGACGAGTCTATCACGTGACCTTGGACTCGATTATATATACTCTCCTCTGTGATTGTTGTTCTAGACTTATCACCCCTGATAGATAGATATATATGAGCGATCACGACCTGGACCCAGACCTGAGTGATGTATTCAGGAGTCTGTATGGCGGAGAAGACTGGGCATTCGACGATGACGAGCCGTCGGAAGCGCTGGTGCCCGATGTCGAGGTGGTGGAGAGGGATCTCGAGTTGACGGACCAACGGTATACAAGGGCAAGTCATGCTCATAGCGTTGCGCTGATAGTGTCAGGAGTACTTTCGGTCTAACCTTGACTCGCTATTGGACCATCGGACTGGCTCAACCTCACGTATATACCCGGCTGTGCGCACCTTCAACACCATCGTCAGCTCAACGGAGCCTATCCCTTCGGGCCCATCGGGCTGCTATGCTCCGTACTCTCATCTTTCGCTCCTGAACCGACTGCAGACCTACACGACATCCACGTTCTCGACTCATCCTCCACCCCTCTCACCCGTTACGCTCGCTCTTCACGGATGGAGGAATGACGGACGTGAGACGCTCACATGCGATGCCTGTCAAGGCAGTTGGAATCTGCTCGCCCTCGAGGAGATCAGGGATGGGAACGTCAGGGCAGAGGTAGCGAGACGGCTCGGCAAAGGACTACAGACTCGTCACTTGCCTTCTTGTCCTTGGCGAGCAAAGAGGACGCCCGGTGAGTCTCGATGCAGGGATTATATGGCTGATGTACAGACGATGTCTACGCAACGATCCGTACGAGTCTACATCCCTTGGCTTTGCAAAGCCTAGCCGCGTTGGTCAATTCACTTGAGCCAAATGTGCCCCCTGGTCTACGATACATCTCACCTCTCGTGAGCGTCCTCGAAAGAGCTTGTCGGCTAACATTAGTCCCCGACCCAGGTATCCACACTCGCCACACGTCTTGCTAAAGACGCTGCAAACGCAGAGATCGTCTCTGTGCTCGCCTTTTTCGCCTGGTATCCGTACTCTCCAACGGAGTCGATTATCGCTCGCACCACCACCACCGATGTCCTCTGCTGCAGATTATGTCGTCGGCGCGTGGGGTTATGGCAATATGCTGACGGCAATGTCTTTGATGTGCGGGATGAGCACCTCGGGTGGTGTCCCATTCGAGCAGACGATTGGTGGTCCAATTCGGAGCTGCTGAAGGAGAAGAAGCGGACTTGGGATACAGCGTGGGAGAAAGACTGGGTAAAAGTCAGCGATCAGTTGGTAGAGAGGCCTTGGCGGAAGCGGCGGAAATAGGACGCTGTAGATGCATGAAGCGAGGCCGATGTGTGCAGCTGGCTGGGGGGGGGGGGGGGGGGGGGCATGGGGGGAGATTTGACCCTATGTTGATTTTGCCGATAATCCGCATTCACCATTCAAACCTCAACTTTGATGTCATTCGACGCATTCGAAGCTCGCCTCCAGTTCCTCCAGCTGCTACGCAAGCTCAATGCATCCAGCCAGTCGATTCAAAAGGTAGTCAGCTTCGCCGTGAAGAATGGAGCGAGGTGTGGGGACGACTTGTGGGAGTGCATCCTGGACGAAAGTGCAAAGGTGTGGGCTCTCAAAAGTTTGAAAATGGTTTCTGACACACACTGAGGGCTCTCTCAATACGCGCATAAACATCCTCTACTTTTTGGACTCGCTCTTGGATACCTCGCTTGCTTTAGGACCCCCTGATGCACCTTATGCGTCGCTCATCGCTCGAAACCTTGGGAAAATCGTCTCTCGTGTCGTCCCGGAAACTCGCGAGGGAGTGCTTAATGCCAAAGCGGCGAGACAGATCCTGGAGAGTTGGAGGACGAGACGGCTGCTAGAGTCCGGAACGATAGATGAAGCGGTGCAGATGCTGGAGACGCGGAAACCGACGACGACGTGAGTGAAAGGCATTTTTAGGACAGCACTGACATCAGTGAAATCACCAAGCGGTCTCGAGACGATGCGTTTTCGCGGTCGGACATCCTCAGACGAATGGAGGAAGACAGGGAGAGAGTGAGTTCAGCTCGAGACTCCTCCACTGACATGCAAAGCACAAGCGACTCCGTGAACGTATATGGATTCTCCCTATTCCTCCTCTTGCCAAACCGCCCAGCGCTTCGCCGTCTGCATCATCCCCCTTTACCCCCGCCTCCCCATCCACGTCCCAACCCGCTGACCTCGTCAAAGCCGTCGTAGAGCAAAAGATGCTGCCCCCGCCGAAACCAGATCGTAGAGTCGAGTCCGCTCTCGAAGTGGAGTTTGAGCAGACGTGGGATGGCGTCAGTGATCTAGACGAAGGGGATTTTGACGCGATGAGAGGGTGAGTGAGTTCGACCCGACTGTACTGATGCCAGCGACGCCGCCATACTGGCTGTAGAATCCTAGTTGTATTCTCCATGCATTGCCATGCACTACTGGAGCAGCTCTTTGATCCGGTCTATGCCTTTTCTCCTCGCCTCGGTCACCTCTTGGGTGAAAGCCTCGAGGTCACCCCCCAGATCGAGTTTGGGCCAAGCAATCTCCTTGAGCGAGTCGAGCTCGGGCAGCCTTGCCTTCACTTTGGTCTCAAATTCTTTCTCAAACGCCTGGATGTCCTTGACCAGGGCAGATACCTTTGGCTTCTTCGCCCTCTCAAGTCTCTTCCGTATGCGCCGGAGGAGAACCCTCAACTACAGGTCAGCGGGGAAGGATTCTTGACTCACCTCGACGAGGAGGTAAAAGGTATACAGGCGGTCCCAAGCCGATCCATCGTGTGTCATCTCTGCGAGATCTTTTCATCAGCTAGCCCTAACCCACCATCTCACCTAGCGAGATGTTCTCTCCTGTATCCTCAGAGCTTGAGAGCACAGAGTAGGCCTTGGCCAGCCAAGCGAATCCAATCTCCATGACCACTCGCTCAGAGGGCAGCACCTGCCAGTCAGATCAGCAGTAGCTCGTCACACTCACCCCTGACAGATCATTCGGTGGCATCTCCCTGGGGACCTGGGTCGACCGCTCGAGCACATCAAGTCGCAATAGCAATCCTCCCCACGCCTTGATCCACTTTGGACCAGGCTCATCGCCCAGTTGCATCGCCTTCCTCAAACTCCCTCGCCGAGGCCCAAGCTCCGGGACGAGACTCCAATCCCTCGTATCGACTAGGTCCTCGCCGAGTCCATTCACCGCATCCCTCAGCGTATCAGCGACGAGGGGTTCTCCAGTGACCAAGGCCATTCGGGACCTCTCCACAGACATGACACATCGGGACATTGATCTGCCAAGTGTCGACATGACATAGTTGATGCCTGGGATCTTGGAGTAGGATTCGTGCTGGAGGGCTTGTTTGATGTATTCGGCCATCTGCCTGTCAGCGCATATCGACATTGTCGCTTACATCTGTCGACACTCGGCGATACATCTTCCTCGACTTTTCCTCATAGCTCGACCACCCTTGAGTCGTCCCGTTGACATATGATTCGATTCCAGCACGTTCATGAGAGAAGTGGGCAAGGTTGTCCAGCTGAATCTCGCTCCATTCCTTGGCGGCTGCAACGGTCGCCTCGTGAATGCTCGCCCCGAGCAGGCGCAGGAGACGACCGAGGATCAGCAGAGCCGACTTGCAGGCCGGACTGTGATTGAGGATATGCCGGGTGAGGAGTGTGGCACGGAGGAGGGGAGTGTCGTTGGAGGTGTCCTTGCTCCAGTGGACAATGAGGAGGTGGACCAGTGCCAGGCCAACATCGTCGCATGGCTGGATGTCGGTCTTGGGGAGATTTCGGCCTGGGTTTCAGCGCGTCCTTGGCGAGGGCTCACCATACTGCAGACCCTCGGCGTATAGCGCAGTCAAGCTGTCGAAATGCGATTCTGTATGCCATTCTGCTGGTCTGACGCGAAGCAGCAAGAGCTCCCTGTTGACGACTCGACGATACTCAGCCAGCGAGGTCTTCAAGGTCAGTGTGAAAAATACGAGCAAGCCCTCACATGGCCAGAATCCAACTTCTCAAGCATGATCACGAGCGCCTCGCGCTTTGTCTCGTTCCTCTCCCCTACGATGCCTTCCAGTTCCGACACGACGGATCCCTTGGCTCCCCATTGGCTCCAGTACGCCTCGACCTTGGTCTGCCAATCGACCTCTTCCCCGAGCTCTAGCAGGGCGAGCGCAGGGGCTCGCTCCTTGGCTCCGATATCTGCGTGAACAGCTTCCAGGGCGGCAACGGTGAGAGCTGTGTTGTCCAGGTATTTGGTTGCGAGGATGAGGTGTCGATAAAAGGCATAATTGCGTTGGCTGTAATGTAGTAGTAAGTGCGAGTCTTCCTGAGCCTTCTCACCATTCCGTGTCCTTGAGTTTCGCCTTGGCCCATTCCCACTCTTCTCTCCAGGCTGCCCTGACCTCCTCACCATCTCCCATCCGCCGCAGAATCTCCTTGACCCCTTCCATCCTGTACCACATTCTCGCCAGATTTCCATCCGAACCGACCGTCTGAGCGAGCTTTAAAGCTTCCGAGAGATTGCCTAAAGTCAGCAAAACCCCCCTTCACGGTTGACCCACCTGCACCAATCATGATCTGCAGATGGAGCCACAGAGAATCCGCCGAGTCGCAGACTCGCCTAGCCAGACTGAGCAACGTCGAGGATACTCTCAAGTCGCCAGCGTTGGACGTGGTAAATGTATCCTGGGACGATGGTCCGTCGGTATACTGTCATCAGCTCTTGAAGCGATCGCCTGATCTCACCCTGATCCACTCTGCCCATGCTGCGACTCTAGCCCAAACTGGCGCTTTGAGCTTGTTGAACATTTTCCGACTACTCTCTACCATGGCCGGCTTGTCCCACGCCCCCGCAGCATGCAGAAACACCTGCTCGCCAATCTCTGCACTGTCTGGCGATCTCTTCCAGAGATCCTGGTACAGCTGCAACGAGAGATCCCCTAAAAAGGGGGGGATCAGCACTGAAAAACCCGCGTTTGACAACCCACGCCTTCCAATGTTCCGGAATGTCATCGCGACCCACCACATTCCCCTCGAGCTCAACTCGCCAGTCTTCTTCACATCTTCCCATGCCTCCAGAATAGCCGACTCTGAAGCATCCACTCGCTCAAGCAGGACCATGCGGAGAATGCGAGCTGGTTGAGAGCCCCCATGCTTTTTCAAATGTCGCTCGACTTGAGAGGATGCTGATTTAAGGCGGCCGTTGGAGATGTCATCTGGGCGGGGCGTGTGAGCTAGCGTAGAGTGACAGCATCCTCACCGTAGGCAGGGGAGAGCTTGCGCTCATCTGCTGCCCAGCGACTGTCTGCCATAAGAGCCTTACGATCAAGGTATACAATGATGCTAATAAGGAGAACCGGCGTTCGGGAAATCCAACTAAAATAATTCATGGAGAACAATATCACCAAGGGTACCTGGAGATCATGAAGTTGAGGCTGAGTCGTGGCGAAGGAGCTCGCGCCCTGGACTACAGGCATCCCATCCGCTTCATCCCCATGCCCTTTCCTGCAGCGTCTGAGATCAACCCCCGCCATTCGCTGAGCTACGACCCGAGGCGGACGGGGGGATGTGGCGCCTCCGACGCCAGCTCTGTAATTGGCGTGACCTCAGTAGCGAGGCGCTTGATGACTCACCCACCTAGGGCCACCCGCTCTGCCGCGAGGTAGCTGGCGAAGGTTGGCTTCGGCTGCAGTCTTCACCGCGAACACTTTCATATTCGGGAAAGTCTCCCGAATTTATAACCAGCACATGGATGCGCAAGAGCACTCAATCGGTCGGACGAGTCGTTGGAGCATCCTCATTGGCACTCTGATCTTGAACGAGATGACCACCTCGGAGAGTACCACAGTCGTCTTGACGATGATTCCGTATTCGAGTCGCAAGGTGTCGACGATGTAGGCTTCATCGATGGGGGATCCGATGAAGAAGAAAAAGACACTTTGTGGCGGTGGGTGAGGTTCGGGAGCTGGGAAGGTCCTCGTTCGTGGTCTAGTTGAGCCTTACAGAGCTCAAGACTGGCTCGTAGAACTCTATCCAGTGCAGAAGTGATGTTTGGGATGATGTTGACTTTCAAAGTCAGAGATCGGAGGTCGAACCATTACATGGGACATCTTCCCTCTTGAACCCCCGCTGGAACCATCCATTTCACCGATCTTCAGTTGAACTTTATATATTATCTATCAGCCATGTTTCCAACCAATTGAAGCACGGTCGGCTAGCTCAGCTGGTTAGAGCATCGTACTAATATGGTGATCACAAACCACATTAGCCATGCGGAGGTCATGAGTTCGATCCTCATGCTGATCAACTTTTTTTCCTTTTTGCGGATTGGTTGGTGGGGAGTCTGAGAGACCTCCAGGATGACCTTCGGGAGTCATTTACAGGAGTTTTTGGGCTTCAGAAAACCTTCAGTATAGAAAACTACGCTCTGAGTCCAGTCCCAAGTCTCCAAAACCCGTCTAGTGTGTCCCGTGAGGGGGTGTACAAGGGGTCTGTTCCACCCTGTCTAGTGTCCCCATGTACCTCAGGCAGCTTTCCAATGCCATACCCATTCAAAAATGCATTGTGTCATGGATACATGGCGAGCACACAGGTCAGTCACCGCGCCTCACACCCAAAGGTCTCTCCATGACATGCATTGGTGGGCTGTTGGTACGCTAGAGCACAAGTGGGCCCTGCCACATATCGCGGATGGAAGAGGGAAGTATCTCCGGATGATCATCGAGACATGATGGTCAGCGTGGCTGAAATGGACGGACCAATGCCGAGGCGTAGTGCGTGGGACAGGATCAGACCCAGGGAAGGGGGAGGTAGATCGAGATTCAGCGAGGAGGAGCAACATCGGAAGTGATCTCGCCATCTTCCATCCCACCCCCCGGCTAATCATGTGCCCCCCTCCCTCTCCCCCGCGGCTCCCGGCGGCAATTCAAAATTCGGACCATCCCCATGGTGTGAATCCCCGGGGGGGGGGGGGGGGGGGGTATTCACCCCTGACTCTTCCATTCTCCGAAACCACCTCATCATGTCACTCACACTGTACGAATTGACGACTCGGCCTGGCGAGACGGTCAGTTTCTCCCCCGCTGTATGGATCACCAAGCTTGATTTAGCGTGAGGGCCCCTCTAGGTCAGAACATCACGCTGAAACCCCCCTTCTCAGTCTCCTTGGGATCGAACACGAACGCAAACCCATCACGTTTAGTCAAATCCGGAGTGAGCTCGTCAAGTCTACTGGGAACGACAAGGTCACTGTCCCTACCATTCATGATGATGGATCGTATGTGACCGATTCGTGGGCGATTGCAGAGCGGATCGACCGGGACCACAAACTGTTTGGCTCACCAGCCGGTAAACGATACGCTAAATTTGTCGATCTATCCAAAGGTGCCATTGCGAGGTCGCTTGTGCCGCTCGTCATGCCAAAGGTGAGCGCGCGATCATGTGGATCTTCAAAGCTCACGAGGGGTGGTGGGGTTTGAAGATCTACGATGCCATCGATAAAGACTCTCAGATCTACTTTCGAGACACCAAGGTTGGACCCGAAACACTCGATGCGTGGAAGGCGACGACAGCGTCGCAACATGCCGACATCTGTGCGTCGATTCGAAAACTCTTGCAACCTTTTGAAAGCGTGTTAGGCACCGGCGATTGGCTCTCGGATCAGGTCAGTCACGCCGACTTTAGCCTCTTTGGCATCTACGCCTGGTCTAGAATGGCCCCGGACGTCGTGCGCGACGTGTGGGAGCATGAATCCCTTCCCAACATTCAGAAATGGATCAAACGGTTGATGGACTCTGGCTTGGTCAGGAAACAAGATCTACCCTAGATACATTCGTATGAATCATAAGTAAGGACTACAAAATACCACTGTCTCGGAGTGCATTTTGCAAAATGGTCTCTTTGACGGCGGCGAAAACGAGGCGGATCTAGGGTGTGTCAGGGACTGTGGTGTTTGACTGGGGACAACTCACGTTTGAAGTGTCGGTCGCTTGGGTGAGGTGAGGGTAAATGCTGAGTCGGGCTCGGTTGGTTTGAGTGAATCGCCAGAGGATGTATTTGGCGGCTTTATTGATGTCTGCACCGCCTGCAAGCGAGCACAAGGGAGTCAGCGGGTGCGACGAGGGCAGTGGTGGATCTCGACGCTAAACCGCGCTGCGTCTGCCGTAACTCACCGGTATACTCTGGAAAGTACTGGACAAGCGGCACTTTTGGCAGTTTTTGCTTGAACACGTCAATCTTGTTCAAGAAAAGGATTACCGAGGTTCTCAAGAACCATCGCGAGTTGATGACGGATTCAAACAGGACGAGAGATTCCTGCATCCGGTTCTGAAACTCTCAGCCATTGATCAAAAGCACACACGGCTCACCTGGCCATTCTCCTCAAGCAGGACCTGATCGTACTCGCTCAAAGCGACGCAAAAGATGATACTGGTGACGGCTTCGAAGCCTTTGAGGGTGGTCAGCTCGTCAAATTTAGGTTTTCGGCTCAGACTCACAATGTATCCACTTTTTCCTCTCACTCCTCTGCCCACCCACATCGAACATGTGAATGCTCAATTGTCCCATGTTGAACCTCGTCTCACTGATACCCGTCGTCTTTGTTCTCGCTCGTAGGACATCCGCCTCGTCAGGGACGTAATCGGGGGATCCAATCTTGCGCAGGTTGGCAAAGAAATACGTCGCAGAGTCCATGAGGTAGAATTCGGAGGACCTGTCCATGACAGAGGGAATGACGGGATCGTGCCATAGTGACTCGATGGCAGTGATAATGTCAGATGACACGGTCGCAAGGGGATCAGCCTCGAGTCGGTACTCGAGGATCCTGTCGGCGAATACCTAGTTATTAGGGGACGATTTGAACGTTGTTACTCACCCTGTTGCTCGGCTCCTCTGGGTCCACACCGAGTTTGCGCATAGCCATGATAAGGGCTTGGGCGCATTCTAGGACGTTCTTGTGGCTATAGAAGGTGTCAGAGGAGTCGCCAGCACGAGAGCGTGGAGGTGGCAGGGGTTCGGGGGAGATCTACGCCTGCCGACGAGGACCCGACTTGCCGAATCCACGCGCAAGCCGACATCCTAAAGTGCGCCCACTCGATCCACTCACATCGTCATCCTATACGTCAACAGCTCATCCTTCGAATACCCATTCTGATGTATAATCTTCATCTGCTTGACGATGGTTGATTTTCCCGATTCTCCAGAGCCTGAAGAGGGTTGTCATGAGCCTTGCTCGTCAGGCTTATCTCGCCCAGACCCACCTAGCAGCAATATCTTGCACTCCTTCTTGAATTTTTTCATGTCATCCTCCAGTTGCCTGTCAATCACATTTGACCTATCCTTCACTGCCGTCGGAGGAGCATCTGCCAAAGCCTGATTCAAGCCCTGAGCAGATGATGGGGAAGTCGGTGATGCGTCTGAAGCGGGAACGATAGAAGTGGATGGAGCAGCGGTGGAAGGTGGGGCATTGGTCGAGGTCGCAGGGTTGGCGTTTGATTTTGGTTCGGACACGGGTCTCGATGTGTTCGGTTTCTCCTCTGATGGAGAAGACATGCACGAACCCATCGCTGCCAGATTTATCGCCTCGGTCTCCAGTGGATGTCGAGCAGGAAGGTGTGTTTCCAAGCTAGAAGCCCCTTTGTGGGGACAGAATCGACGCGTCTAAGGGAGGAGAAAGATGGAGATTGAAGAGACAGAGAGAATCCACGCTCCTTTGAACCCCAGCCGTCGAAGGTGGGGGGGGGGGGGGGATTTCTCCCTCCTGTGTCCCCTTGGGTCCAGTGTCAAGTTTGTGAATTCAAATAGTCAAAGTCATGGCTTCCCCCGTCGGTGGTGGCCGTGTTGGTGATCGCTGCAGGTGTCTTCGTCGTCGTCGTTGTCGTTGCCTTCGTCGTCGGCGTCACAGAGAGAGAGCTAGACGAATGAACGAATGAGCGAATGAACCATGTGAGTCTCTTCCTTTTTTTCAAATCCCCCAGGGCGCCCTCTTTCCAAGCCTCTTTTTTCTCTTTTTTCTGTTTTTTTTTCTTTTCCACTTGACAAGCCAATTCATTTCTGTCTGCTCACTGCTGGCTGCAGTCCTGCTGCTGCTGCTGGCTGCTGCTGCTGCTGCTGCTGCTGCTGCTGCTCATATGCATCATACGCCACATTCTGGACCGCCCTCTCGATCCAGTCATGACCGCAATTAAGCTCTCAGCATCTCTTCCCTCGGTCATGGAATTGGCGGACATTGGCCGAGGGTCGGATGTGCCGCTTAGGCTGAGTCAGACCGGGTTCACAGGCAGCGGTGAGGCGTATGTTGAGTTCAGGCGGGCGGGGGCGGGGACTAGTTGGAATACAAGAGGGGGGAGAGGATAGTGGTGTATGCAAGAGAATACAATTTGCACGAGAATGGTGGTGGTCTATACAGGGCTCAGCCTGATGGCCTGAGGTGGACATTGACGATATCAACTCGTGAAGCCAAGACTGTCCCGTCCCACTCGTCTTGCGCCTGGCGAATGCAGCATGGAGCGTGGGCGGCGTTGGACGGTGACGATCACTCTTCTGCTGCCGCGTGTCCCAGGCACGGCCGCTCACCAGGGTTCCCTCCATAGTCAGAATGCTGGCCTGTAAAAAGACTGATTCCGATTCAGATGTGTATGTATCAATCGAGACAGCTTGATGTCTGATACGTTGATAACCCCCTGCATACTCCCATTCCTAGCTCTTGAACCATGCACTGTGAAGAGAAGTATATTGCCTACTGCTCCACCCGCTCAGTGTGGCGCCACATTCGAGGCGTCCTCGCTCAGACCTATTCGTGCAACTCGAGTCTCCAGTCTCTCTCTCCTCTTCTTCACCTCAACTCATCTTGTACGAGCAACCCGAAACACGTCCCCCGCTCCACAATGATCGACCCTATGGCGATGGACATCGATCTCTCGCTACAAGAGGTCAGTCCATGCCTTCGTGTACCTCTCTACTGAGCCCCTCAGTTGATCGAGAAACAACGTCTGGAAAGGATTTCAAAGCATCCACATCCCACCGTCCTTAGAGGTCACAAACTCCCCTTCTTGCCCTTCACGAGGGACCCAAGACTTTCTCCAAAAATCCTTGAGGATATCGCGAAACCGCTCGATGAAGTATGGTTCGATCCATCTCCGAAAGCGATGACTGACTCTCCAGCTCATCCACCGAGATCAACACCATCCCGGGTCATCCAGACACCAGCGGACAAGGTACACCGGTCGAGCTTCTCATGTACCAAATTCGCAATCTCTTCGGCAACCCGCTTCAGGGCATCCTTACCGTACCTTTCGACGACCACCCACCGCTCCTCGAGCGATGATCCATTCTCCGACCGTATTCTTTCGACCTTTCCCCTCTGACGCATCCTTCAACGAAGCGCGAGAACTTTTCGAATCGACCATCGGACCGATCCAGAGTCTCGTGAGGTATGCCGACGGGGTCAGAGTGACGTTCAAAGACGTGCAATCAGCAAGCCGAGCCATCGCGATGTGTGAGTGAGTGTGGAGAGGGGGATCAAGCTCTCATCCCTCCAGTCGACAGGAGATTTTGGAGAGACACGGGTGAGTGCGGCCGAGGGGTTAGAACTGATATGTCAGATATATGGATCAGGGTAGAGAGGGTGAGTACCGCCGATCGATACGCGGCGCGACTGGCGCGGGCGTAAGACAAGACGGCCTATATCTTCGAGTCGTCGAGATCGGAACTCGAGGGGCAGAGCAGTCCAGCTGGGCGAGGCGATGTGAGAAATCAGTGCGGAGTCGGGCTAACGCTCAGATCCTCTCGGACAACGAGTCAGAGTTCCGAGAAGGCGAGACGTATTGACTGAGAAACGTTCCTGAGATAAACCAAGGCAACTGATCAGCCGTCCATACGATATGTAGAGACATTCCAACGGGCACAGCGTCAGAGACCAAGTTTCATTCACGATACAAACCCAATCATATGTACATCAGACTCCATCACCGCCTGAGTGAATGTCAGCATTTGTTTTCGAACTGGCTTCGCCTCGCACCGCGCCAGCACCTCGCTGGCTTCGCCTCACGCTTCACACCTCGCTGGCGCTCGGTGCTCGGTGCTTCCACAACTCACCCGACTCATTCGTAAATGCCACATGTTTCTGTATATCCGCCTGCGACACTGTCGGCCTATTAACCTGTATACTCCTCTCGAAATCCTTGACCGAAAGCAATGGCTCCAGGAGCTCTTCGGAATTGACATCTGTCCAAGTCTTTTCAACCGCTCCAGCAGCTCCCGGCGAACAAGGCGTGAGCTTTTTCACAGGTCCCTCGGGCCCGTCCACCGTCACCTGCAGAGGTCAGCAGGGTAGTTAGTCAGACCCGTTGTTAAACTTGCCTCTTTGAAGTGTGTCGCCGATAGGACCTTTCTGACGGGTTGCATGAGCGCATCTCGGACGATGACGGCGATATCACTTCCAGAGTACCTGAAGAAATGGTCAGCGGAGGCGGCCACTGTGAACCCTCTCACCCATCGGTGTCCTCGGCAAGCGTCATAAAGTCTTTCGGTGACAATCCGTGAGGCGTGGTGCCGACGTTGAGCTCAAACATTCGCCGACGAGCTTGGGCATCGGGCAGGGGGATATAGATACGTTTTTCGAATCTGTCATGAGTGTCGTTCCATACGTGTGTTCTCCTCACCGTCGTTTGATTGCGGGATCCAGTTGCCATGGGATGTTGGTGGCGCCGAGAACGAGCACTCCAGTATCGTCATTTCCAACTCCGTTGATCTGAAACGACCTCAGCGGATGATTGAGGTTCGTCAACCCACCTGGACCAAGAACTCCGTCTTGATACGCCTGGACGCCTCGGACTCTCCTTCGCCTCGGGTACCGGTCAACGAGTCTATCTCATCGATGAAAATGATGGCGGGTTTTTGCTCCCGTGCCATGGTGAAGAGCTGCTTGACGAGTCTAGGGGGAAAAGTCAGTGAGTGTCTTGCCTCGAGCTTGGTGGAGGGGTGAAGAGAGTCGGGTAGACAGGGCAACAAGCTCAGACACTTGGACAACCAGAGACCGTCGATGTGCCCGCCATGCCTCGCCCCGATGCCTCGCCAGTTGCGTTGGCCTAAGCACCCTCGCCCTTCGCTCGCTCGCTCGCTCGCTCGCTCGTGACTCTCACTCACCTCTCCGATTCTCCCATCCACTTTGAAACCAGATCCGAACTCGAGACCGAAAAGAAAGTACTCTTGGCCTCCGTAGCCACAGCCTTGGCCAGGAAACTCTTTCCCGTCCCTGGTGGTCCATAGAGAAGAATTCCACGCCAAGGCGTCCGTTTCCCAGTGAACAGTTGAGGAAACTTGATAGGAAGAATGACGGCTTCTTTCAACGCTTCTTTCGCTTGGGCTAAACCGGCGACATCGTCCCATGCGACGTTCGGAGATTCAGATAGGATGGCACCTGGGGCGAGCGTGAGCATGACCGATCGAGCGAGCGAACGCGAGCGAGCGAGAGTGACCGCGGAAGCATAGGGGATTGATGGATTCGATCGGACGGGAAGAGGCGTCGTGAGAAATGGGTGGTGGACGGACACGGCGGATGGGTCCCATCTCATGACCTCACGAGTCTGACGCTCGTGACGCTCGTGACGCTCGACTCACCCTGCAGACCCTGTCTTAACTTTTTGATCTCCGGATCATCATCATCTCCCTTGACACTTGGTCCACCCGATTCGGCCCCTGCACCTGTACCACCAGCTCCCACCTTCGCTCTCGTCCTCTTTTCCTCTGACTTTGCAATGTGTTCCTTGAGCTTCTCCGCTCGATCAAGGTACTCTGTAAACTTTTTCCTGATCAACTCTTTGAGCTTGTCGTTCTTCTCATCTTAGTCGACCGTGTCAGTGGATATAGTGGTGTCACAAGGACATCGCAACAACGCACATTTCATCGCCTGAAACGGTCAGCACACGGCTCACTGGGCCTGAGCGACACTCACCATCATGAAATAGTCCAGAGCATCTTGATATTGCTTGTATGCCTCCTGTAAGAATATCAACAAACACTCGATGCGTCATCGTGTCGAAGTTCGAGACTGACCGTGTAATTCTGCTTGACATCCTCGTCGATCGCCTTTTGCACCAGCGCAATGGCTTTCTGAACAGATGAATGAGCTCTGACTTGTACTCTCATTCCCCCAACTCACGTCCAAAAAGTTCGAGTTGCTCATCGTGGTCGGTTGGTTGAAGAGGAATCAACAGTGCAAGCATGCAGCGACGGACGATTATGGGTGTTTTGGAATTGCCGGTCGGGATTCATTTCTCTCGCCTCTTTCTGTCTCTCTCTACACGCATCCTATCGTATCTTGATCACACGGGCACCAAGAGCTCTGCTTCACCACCCCCCAGCCTCCCTCTTATCGGTGGGACCATGGCGAGTGCATCAGGCTATAATCATCACCGATTCGCGAGGGCGGTGCTTAAAAAGTCGAGAAAATGGGAACCATCCCTCGTCGTTCAGCTCTATCCTCAGCATTGGAGGTTTGAAAACTCGGTGAGTGAGGGATGAGGGGGAGGGTTTGAGAGTCTTGGGCACTGGCTGATCAGAGGCGCTATCATTCGTGTGATCTCTTGCTTGCCGTGTGGATCTATCACCTTTTAATGATATGTTCGATGTACTCGGTTCTGGACCTGCCGCGCTTACTCGCTCCCTCGCTCCCTCGCTCGCTCTGCGGTCTGAACTCGTTCAGCCCATGACATTCCAATATTCTGGCCCCATGTCCCCATTCCTCCTCGCACTCCGAGCTCAAGTCATTCCTGCCGCTCTCATCCCCTTCTTATACGATATCCGACCCCCTGTATCCTTTGTCGACGGTTGCTTAGTGGTCGAAATCCAAGATTCTAGGAAAGCCCCGGAAGTCAGGAGCAGAGTCGTCATGCGACCTGCACCGGAAGCTCTGGCTCAGACTATCGACGTCATGTTGGAGAGAAAGGGGGAAGATTGGGACGAACATATGGCTCTAGAGTTGGAGTCAAGAATCATGGTGAGTCAAGCGAGCGGGCGAGCGAGCGATGCGTCTTTCCCGATTGCCCGAGGTGGGCAAGGACCTCAGGTCATCGCGGGTCAGTTTGGCCGTATGAAACATTGATTTGACCCATCCGCGTCGCTTGTCGTGACCTACGAGCGACACGGACCCGCTCGCTCACTCGCCTGAAGGCCGCCACTTCCCCACCCCTCTACCTCGGCACCTCCATCCTCTCCTCCCGCAACGCCGCGCTCGCCATGTCCCTTACCATGCCCGCCGGACCCAATCTCGCCGCCGACGGTACCTATCGCGATCCCACATTGTCCGCCTCAGGCGACGATAAATCCGAAGTCGAACGCATGCGTAAACTACTACGTGCAGGCGAACGAACTGGACCTTTTCAACCGAATTGGAACATTCTTCGCGTCAAGGAGACGCTAGAGAATCAAGAACGACAAAAAGTTCAAGCTCAGCAGGTCGCGCCGCAGCATCCTCAGACCGCTCCGACAGCACCCGCCGTCATGGCTGCTGGTGGGAGCGGGGAGGAGAAACCCAAAAAGCCAAAGAAGAAACGACCCGACGAGCTTGTCGCACCGGACGACAAGAAACCCAGCAAGAAGAAAAAAGTCGATGGCGAGGTGAAGAAGAAGGAGATACCATCGGACAAGCCAAAGCCAAAGAAGAAGACGGTCAAGAAGAAGCCCGAGGAGCAAGTGTAGCATTATCTGTAGCATTATGTGTATCATTATATGTATCATTCACGTCGTCGTTTCATCTCGAGACTGTTGTCAGCACGAGTCCAGACGCTTAGCACACCCACGTCAACAGGACCACATCGACGATCTTATCACAGGCCACGGCGTCGCTCTCGTCAGGCTCGGTACCGGAGAATCTCGCCTTGTTGATGAGATTGGCGTAAGAATTGACAAAGAGTCGGATCGCCCCACTGTCTTTGATCTCGTCTGCGGCGACGAACAGGGGATCAAGGGACAGCGGTGGGCCAGGGGTACATCGTAGGGCGTGCACTGGGATCAGCATCGTCTTGGGGACCGACTCACTCATCGTGGGCAAAGTGCCCAGTATGTAGGTACGAAAGTGTTGATTTTCCCATTTGGAGCCTTAAAAAAGTCAGCAAAGGCCCACTTACGCTTTAACTCACCTGGCCGTCCCCATCCCTCTTGTTCCCCCTTGGTCGCCTGAGAGATGTGTGCTATCACAGCGGTGCGCGAATACTGCGTCATGATGTGATCGGCCACGCGCTGAAGGGGGATTTCATCAGTAGAGAGCCCTTAATGATTGGACCCCGCACCTTTGGCACATCAATCTGCTTTGTCGGCATGTACGGTTTGGGCATGGTCCGTATGATCCTTTTGATTGATATCAGACGACTCCAGAGGTGGATGATCGCGGAGATGCCCTGGGGGGGCGGATTTGAGCAATGAAGGGCCAAGTTTTTGCCCAAACTCACCAGGGCGACATATGCCGCTACCAATATGGCGATATTCCACCGTCTCGCATCCCCCGTCTTCCATGCCTGTTCACCCAGCCCCCAAGCTGATCCCACAAGGAGTGCAGCAATGACAAGAATGAAAAAGTAAAAGGACGATTGGTACAAGATCGACTGGAGCAGTCTCACATTCGTACGCTGACGTTTCTTACGCACTGGTCGACGGGGGATCGTCGTCAGCGTACGGTTGAGTAGAATCGGATCATGTTGGGGAAACCCGCCGATATAGCCCGGATACGGCTCGCTCAGCTGGCTGGTCGTTGGCCGTAGAGGTAATGGATGGCGAGGGGGTCGTGTAACCATTGAGTGGTCAAACAGACAAACAATGTGCATTTTTACAATGTGGCACACACAACCGTCTTTAGAGGAATGATGGGCTCGACAGTCGGTCGGGTCGGCGAGGAAACGGGTGATCAGCGACGCTCAATTGCTCGTTCAGTGTGCCGGACCTGGCGTCAGCCGTGAGACCAAATACAGATGCATCATGCGTCCAATGGTATGGATCTACGTTATATGATACAACAACAACAAAGCCTCTTGCTTTTGTCATAGAATCTCGGAACTCAGACGGTGTCTTCGAGCACCAATTTCGGCATAATGTTCATCCCCATGAGCTAGTCGTCAGCGACGTCACTTTCGCAGCTCACCTCTTGGATCAATAGCTTGGCGGCGTACGGGATGGTGATATTAGCAATGGCATTCCCAGATCCACACGACTTGCACCATCCCTTGTACGCCAGCATACCGCATTTTTCACACACTTGGGTGTCAAATGCGTCAGAGGAGACCATGAGTCGTTCGAGGAGCAATTGGGTGGCCCCGTAGCCGATGAGACTGGCATCAGCAACTGGCATCTCGCCCCAGTGCTCACCAGTCCCGCTCCATTTCTCCTAGACGCAACCCTCCATCCTTTGATCGACCTTCCGTTGGCTGTCGCGTCAGACTCGCCCTTGGACCGGTGGGTCGGGCGTGCATCTTGTCTTGCACCATGTGCTTGAAAGGTCAGCAGAGTTCACGTCAAGGACCCCACCTTGAGCTTTTGGTAGTAGATCGGACCAAAGTACACGTACGCCTCCAAGGGCTGTCCGGTTATACCACTGGTGAGCATGTCCTTTCCAGCGTACGAAAAGCCGTGATCGATGAGGATCTTTGACATGTCCACGACTTTCGATCCACCAAAGGCGGTTCCGTATTGCAGCTGACCTGCAAGCACACCAGCCTTGCCCGATAACAGCTCAATCATCTTGCCGACCGTCCTTGGACTCGTCAACCCAAGCTCCAGTTTCACTTACTCACATTCGAGATGGGAAACCATGCGGGTTCATGATGATATCCGGGACAATCCCCTGATCATTGAATGGCATGTCCTGTTGTGGCACGATGAGACCGCAGACACCCTTTTGCCCATGTCGAGAGGAAAACTTGTCGCCGAGCTCGGGTCGTCGCGTCTGACGGGTGAGGATCTTGATCAACGGACCGTCTTCGCCGTCCGTCAACATGACCTTGTCGATCGCAGCGGTCTCAGGCAGCTTGTGTGAGATTGGTGTGGGCTTGTACATGCCCGATGGGTTGCCCCGAGTCTCAGTGGGCGTCTCACGGTGGACCAAGACGTGAGCTTGCTCCACGATGGCACCCGGGGCGATGATACCGTCCGCTTCGTCCACGTATTTGTACATTTCTGGGCGGGGCGGCGGCTTTGGATACGCCGTCCGCTCCGCCGTGTTGTTCGTAAAGGTCCTCAATGGAATCGTCTGCTTCTTCAACACGTGACATCGACCGAAACCACGGTCCACCGACGCCTGATTGAGAATGAGGGCGTCTTCAATGTCATAACCAGAAAACGACATGACGGCGACGGTGGCGTTTTGACCCGCCGGCAATTTGTCATAGCCCACGAGCTCGATCGTCTTGGTCTTGACCATGGGCTGTTGAGGATACGTCATGAGGTAGAGCAGCGTGTCGATACGATTGAGTTGATTATAGGCGATCGCACCGATGGCTTGTTTGCCCATGGCGCATTGATACGTGTTTCGAGGGGATTGATTGTGGTGAGGATAAGGGATGAGACCGGCGACGGCGCCAAGGATGGTGAAGGGTTCTATTTCGAGGTGGGTCGTGCCGTCCGTGATTTCCGACTCGTAACAGGCAATGTACGAGTCGTTTTCCTCATTGACGTCGAGGTATTCGACCAGGCCAGAGCGTAAAAAGTGGTCAAACGTGACTTTGCCGGCACGCAAGAGGGCCATGTGCTCGGGCGTGACGCGAGATCGGCCCTTCTCGACAATGATCATTGGTCGGCAGATCCGACCGCCATCAGAGGCCACGTAGATGACCCGCTGATGGTGGTTGATGTAGATGGAAACGAATTCCGATGTCCTTGACGCTCTACGGAGCTTACGAAAGGCCCTCACAAAGTGTCTAGACCTCCGCGTGACACCGATGAGGGTTCCGTTGACTTGGACGAGGTGGACGCCGGGTCGATACAGCTCGTCTCCCGTCACGAGGGAGATATCTTGAACACCAAGCATGAAGGCAATCTTGATGATCGGATCCTCTGGCACATCCGTCGTGATGTGTGTCATCAACGCGAGATTCTTGACCAAGCCACAAGCCTCGCCTTCCGGCGTATCCGAAGGACATAGCATTCCCCATTGACTCGGTTGCAGCGCTCGCGGTCCAGACACCTTTCGAGTCTTCTCAAATTGCGACGATATCCGCGTCATCATTCCCAGTGCGGCGATAAAGCTGAGTCGGGAGAGGACATGGGTGACTCCAGCCCGTTCGACGTGGAATCGTTTGAGCGACCAGTTACCCGTCGAGATGGATCTGACAAACGCCGCGGTGATGGGATCTCCACCTTGCCGGATCAAGCTACTGGCGTCGAACGGTCCGGCGCGAGACTTTTTCTCCAAGATCTTGTCCATCCGCTTCTTGAGCTCACTGTTGAATGTTTTGAACGAGTCTTCGAAGAGGAGCGAGAGGAGCTGGCCGGCAAGTTCGAGTCGTTTGTTTCCGACATAATCCCTGTCGTCCACCATGCTCTCATCGATCATGGCTGACAACACTCGTCTCGCCATGGTCGCAAGGTATATGCTTTTTGGTCGAAAGTTGAGGTCTCGCACGGGGACATGACCGAGGACCATGGTCGCCAATGCCTGCATGGCAACGTTCATCGGAGTCAACTTGTGATACTTGTCTTCCTTTTCCTGTGTCGGTGAGACCCTCGCAGCGATCCATTCGAGTGCCTGCCGCCGTGTAAACACCTGCAGCTTGGCTGCCTCTTCCAGACTCGTGCCAAAAGCTTCTTGAAACTTTTCATTCGACCCACAGGTGAGCTGTATAATCTCCTTATCCGAGGATATGCCCATGGCCTTGAGAGCAATGACGATGGGGATGATTTCCTTGAACGAGTTGTGGCGGAGATAAAGTCGTCTCGCCTTAGTAGTGACGTACGTCTTGACGACTCGATCGTGCGTCGATGAGGTGACCTCTGCAGTGACAGTGTCCTTTCTCGGATCCGTCATGACAATAATTCGATTCTTGCTCAACTGTTCCTGCACCAAGATGACCTTTTCCGTGCCTTTGACCACAAAGTATCCGCCTGGGTCCATCGGACATTCTCCCATCCTCGCAAGCTCCTTTTGATTCTTCCCTTTAAGATGGCACAGATCGCTTCTCAGCATGACGGGGAGGGAGCCAATGGGGACGCCGCGTTGTCGTTTGACACTGTTTTCTTGGGTATATTCGATATCCACGTAAATACGACCCGAGTACGTCGTATCGGTCAAACGGCACTCCATCGGTGTCAATCGCGAAAGCCCGGCTGGCCCGTCAGGACGTTCAGGTCGACCCACGCGAATGTCGGTGTATTTGATAAACGTCGTGTGGTCCACTTCCGACATGACTAAATTGTTCGCCGCGAGGATCGCCTTGATGTCAACGTTTACAAAATAATTGAACGAGTCGAGATGTTGTTTGACGAGCCCTTTGACCTGGAGAAAGGCAGGAAGCAGCTCCCATTTGTCCTGGGAAAATTAGCAAGAGAGGCAGAGGTCGACTCACTTGAACCGTCTTGACGCCCTTCACCAGGTCTTTGGAGGTGTAGGATGATTTCATGAGTTCAGCCCATTCCGCGCCGTAATCCACTGGGACATCCTCGATCACGGGTTTGATGTCGGCGAGAGGGTGCTTAGCGGGAGGGGGCTTGGTGCGGGACGGTCCAGCACGGGGTGGTGCGCTGCTCATGGGTTTGCGAGGTCTGGACATGGTGAGGTGAAGAGTTGAATGGTGAAATTTCTGGGAAATTTAGGAAAGTGGAGGTGGCAACCCCGTCTTTGATCCCTGGGCTGTTGTCTCTGGTCAACGTGCTTATCTGATGCATAGGAGAGCAGAGGCCTCTACGTCACGATCAATGCTACCGAGCTGCTCCTACAGCCATTCTGATGCGGACCAAACATCCCCTTCAGAGTGCGCAGCGACGTACGGAGCGAACTCCTTACGCTACCCAGTCTACTCCAAACCCCCATCAGGACGAGCCTACGCCCCCTCGATCCACTCGTTCAACAACGCCAATGCGTTCTATCATAAGCCTCGTCAACATCATATACTCACCTCTGGCTGGTCCGTGGGTACAAGATGGCCCGCGCCAAACACCTTGAGCAGCTAGATCTCAGCCAATGCCCGAAGAACACCCCTCTCACCGTCAAGTTCTCATACGTCTTGAAGATACCCGCTTCTTTCCCGTTCACTTGCCAAGACTCCCATTCAGCATCAAGGTATCCCGCCTGTCCAGTCCATGGCATTTGAGCCATCCACTTTTCCTGTGAAAGATGCGGGCATGCAGCATCCAGCGTGCCGACATACTTGTCATCATCAGGGAGAGCCCAGAACCCTCGACTCACGTTCAAAACCCTGATGCCCCGCTCAAGCAGTCCCGCCACGTACCAGTATGTCTGATGGACCTCGTCGAGAGCCCTGTAAAAGTCTTGGTTGACCAAATGACTGTTCAGTCCAAAGTGTCCCGTGGCACCGAGGAAAGCCTGGACGTCGGGAAGATTGAGGTACTTTTCCAGATCGAGCCTGGCGCGTCAAGGGTGCGTCCCACACATTGACTCACTGTCCGTCGATGCACCTATCAGCCTCCAGCTGCTCCAGAGTGCAGGTCTGGTTCAGATTGTATCTGACGTTAGTGTGACCCCTTGCCTCATTCACCTGTTCCTCTCGACAGACAGTGGCGTGAGATTCCATAGATCTCCACAATGCGCCTCCCAGAGGGTGCAAATCGCGTGGTCGACCGTTTCGAGACAGTGCTTTTTGAGCATTTGGTGGCATTTGGGAAGCTGGGATCAGGGACTGTGTACAGAACAGTCGCTCACCTGTTCGACCAGCTCAACGCAGGCTTTGATAGGCATGACAGCGTAGCCGAGGTCAATGTGCTTTGTACACATGAGCTCGTATTGTGTGTCGATGGTGGTGAAGATTGAAGTCAGGCCATTGCCAATGAGCACGCTCTGAAGATTGATCGGCTCAATGCCGTCCTTCTTGAGCTTGGCATTATTGTCAAACACCGCACTGGCAAAGAGGGGTAGGTAACGTCCCTGCTATCAGCTACATCACTCATTCCACTCACCCCATACGACTCGCCCGACATGTGAAAGGGTCGACCGTGGAGATCGAAGTATTCAAAGAACTGCCATCAGCGGGACCACGATCCCACTCACAATCTCGACAAATGCAGCCACATCAATCGCCGCCTGCTCGGTCGTGGCGACGGTCTAACATCAGCACGGCTCTACACGCGACTCACCTGTCCATAGTCCCCGTGACTGAAACCGACGCCGATCGGCTGATCGAGGAAGAAGACGTTCGCCTTCTCGTTCCAGGCGTAAGGGTTCACCACGGTGTCGTTCAATCCCGAAGGGTCCTTGTTGATACGGCAGGGCCCTATCTCATCAGCCACCTCGCGCTCTCTGACTCACCCTGCTCAAGGAACAAGCCCATGGCCGAACTCCCTCCAGGCCCGCCATTGATCCACATCACCACTGGATCGTCCTTTGGCGAGGACCTCGATTCAAAGTAATAGAAGAACAGCTCTTTACCATATCCAGAGTCAATGTATCCCGTCCACGATCTGACCTCGGGGTCACACCATGAGCCAGCAGAGTGAGCCTTGATGTGGACATTGTGCTTTGGGTGACGGGACGAGGTGAGGAGGGCGTGCCCTGTGGATGAAATCGGAGGGTCGAAAGGGTTCTGGGGGGAGGCGACAGCGGCGGCGACAAGGCCAGTGTATAGGCCAAAGAGAGCCGTGAGAGAGAGTTTCATTGTTGTTCGAGTATGGGAGAGCAACGTTGAAGGAGATCCCCGATGTCAGGCGGCTCGGACGCTTGCGATATCCCGTCGGAGATTGCCGATTTACGAGGCACATGCTCTACATATGGTTATTAGCCATGGCTCTCGGGTCGCTGGCGTCAAGTTCAGATCTAATTCAAGCCCTTTCAGCAATGGTGCCTGAAGTCACTGGTGTATTTCATTCGCCCAATGCTTCGGGCGTCTCTCAGCTGTACGACTAGATGGATCCCATGACAGCACAATCAAAGTCAATGTTCTCGACCAATTCGGCATTCATTGGCTGTTGGACAACCGCCTCGGTTGTCATATCCCATCCGCCCATCCCTGTCTGGCGGTCAATCCATCCATTGTCCGGTTGATGACCGGCCATGCAACGGTCTTGCGTGTTAGGACTGGAGGGGATGCCCTTCTGTCGGATACTTATGTGCGGGTGGCGACAAAGCCGGAGATACATAGGTAGACACATGCGAGGGCGCGAGGCACAGATTGCTGCCTGTCGGGGGATTGGATGTTCTCGTTGTCTCATTCATCGATCTGATGACGTTTTCTTGCGTCTGGCTCTCCATTCATCCGTGCCGCTGTCCCATAGCTGTCGCATCGTCGACTCTGGACAATGTATCCTCCGGGAAGTACAGATCAGAATGGAGGCACGCAAGGCACCTGGTGTTCTTACGAATAGGTGCTTCCGATTGCTGTTTCAACAACTGCCTCGAATCACGGCCCTAGCAAGTTGTGCGGGCCTTGCTCTAGTGACAGTTAAAGCTCGAGATGCGTTGGGTCACGTTTATCAAAGGCTCACCTTGTGCTTACCTGTATCCTGCCGTTGATTGTCACTGTTTCCAATGGCGTACTGGGAATGACCAACACATTGCTATCCTCTGTGATGCCTGAAACAGCATAGACCTAGTCTGTGGTCGCACTCCCTTTAGCCACATCGGTTCCATTGACTTCATCGAGCCTCGAATCGAGAGATAACTGAAGTCAGACTCTTCAACTTATATATCATGTTTCTTTCAGGGATACATCAAAGAAAAGACGGGGAAATGGTTTAGGGGTATAACGTGTCATTAGCATCTAATGCGCTCAACTCCGAGTTGACAAGGTCCGGGGTTCGATTCCCCGTTTCTCCAAGTTTTTTTGTTGCCGGTTCAAAGCTTTCCGGACCCCGATTTTTGTTGCTTTCCAGCGATAAAAATGGAGACTCATTTTTCTTTTTGGTGTCAGTATCAGATCTTGCCTCTTCGCCCGTCGTCTCGCAGCAACCACAGCTCCCCCTCCAGAGGTGGCACGGAGAGTGTTCTGGAACGTAACCATGCATTTCACTTGATACCCAGGTATCCCCGCTCTCCTCTTACGCCTTGATGTCAAACCTATCCGCATCCATGACCTTGACCCAGGCCTTGACAAAGTCCTTGATGAGCTTCTCCTGACCATCGGCACTGCCGTACACCTCCGCGATGGCTCGGAGCTCGGAGTGAGATCCAAAGATGAGGTCAACTCGGGTGGCGGTCCACTTCTTGTGTCCAGTCTTCCTGTCGACACCCTCGAATGTTTCGTGGTGCTGGTCAGTGGCCTTCCAGGCGGTGCTCATGTCGAGGAGATTGACGAAGAAGTCGTTGGTGAGCTGGCCGGGACGCTTGGTGAAGACACCGTGATGTGCGTGGGAGATACCGAGGGCTCGGAGACCGCCAACGAGAGCGGTGAGTTCAACGGGGGAGAGGTTGAGGAGGTTGGCTCGGTCGACGAGGTATTGCTCGGTCCTGACTCGGTCAGTACCGTGTCCAAAGTTTCGGAAACCGTCGGCGTGAGGTTCAAGGTAGCGGAAGGAGTGGACGTCGGTTTGTTCTTGGGTGGAGTCACCTCGTCCAGACGTGAAGGGCACGGGTACGCCGGCGGCCTTTTCGAGAGCGGCGGTACCTCCGAGGACGATGAGGTCGGCCATGGAGGCTTTGCTGCTGAGTTTTTCGTAGGCTTGGAGAACCTTGTGGAGGACATGAGGGTTGTTGGCCTTCCAGTCCTTTTGGGGGGAGAGGCGGATGCGAGCACCGTTGGCACCGCCTCGCTTGTCGCTGCCTCGGAAGGTGGAGGCAGAGGCCCAAGCGACGGAGATGAGGTCAGTGTGATCGATGCCGAGATCGAGAATCTCCTTCTTGAGCGAATCGACCTCGCTGTCGGAGAGCTTCTTGCCCTCAGGGACGGGGTCTTCCCAGATGAGCTCTTCCTTGGGGATCTCTGGGCCTAGCCATCGGGATCGCGGTCCCATGTCTCGGTGGAGAAGCTTGAACCAGGCGCGAGTGAACGCGTCAGCGAGCTGGTCGGGGTTTTCAAGGAATCGCTTGGCAATCTTTCCGTATTCGGGGTCGAAGCGGAGAGCCAAATCGGTGGTCAACATGGTCGGCTTGTGCTTCTTGTTGGAGTCGAACGCGTCTGGGATGATCTCCTCGGCGTCTTTGGCGACCCACTGATGGGCACCGGCCGGGGAAGTAGTCTTCTCCCACTCGTATTTGAACAAGTACTCGAGGTACTTGTTGCTCCATTTGGTCGGGGTGGAAGTCCAGATGACCTCGAGACCCGAGGTGATCGCGTCAGGTCCTTTTCCACTGCCGTGCTTGTTGGCCCATCCGAAGCCTTGTTGGGCGATATCGGCGCCCTCGGGTTCGGGACCCACGTTGTCGGTCGACGCGGCACCGTGAGTCTTTCCAAACGAATGACCTCCGACGATCAGCGCGAGAGTCTCCTCATCGTTCATGGCCATACGGCCGAAAGTCGTTCGAATATCTCGAGCCGAGGCAACAGGGTCGGGAACACCGTCGGGACCTTCAGGGTTGACGTAAATGAGACCCATATGTGAGGCAGCGAGGGGGTTCTCGAGATCCCTTGTGTGGATATTCTTGTGTTGCCTGGAGGGTCTCAGCGCGGAGCGACGCGCGTTAGCTCACAATTTGCTTTGATCCCCGTCCACAGTGCCTGATCCTGCAGCTCCAGGTCCGTGGTTTCCGCCCGAGTATCGAACATCGTTGCCGAGCCAGGTGTCCTCACCTCCATAGTAGGTCGAGGAGTCGGCCTCGAACACATCCTCTCGTCCTCCGGCGAATCCGAATGTGGGGAGGCCCATGGACTCTATGGCGACGTTACCTGTGAGAAGGAATAGATCCGCCCAGGAGATCTTGTCACCATACTTTTGCTTGATCGGCCAGAGCAATCGCCTGGCCTTATCCAAACTCGTGTTATCAGGCCACGAGTTGAGTGGAGCGAATCGCTGTTGACCGCTGCCTCCACCGCCTCGTCCATCCGTGACACGGTAAGTTCCGGCACTGTGCCACGCCATTCGAATGAACAATCCACCATAGTGGCCAAAGTCTGCTGGCCACCAGTCTTGAGAATCAGTCATTAACGCGGTGAGATCCTTCTTGAGACCTTGGTAATCGAGCGACTTGAATCGCTCGGCGTAGTTGCCCTCGAGTGGAATGGGGGCATTGTGAGCACGAAGAATGTCGAGCTTGAGGTTGTTGGGCCACCAATCTTTGGCTTGCTGGCCACCTCCTCCGACGTTGGCGTGTTTGATAGGACACTTGGACATGGTGAATGTGTGTGGAGATGTTGGGTAAAGTGGGCGACGATCTGGGTGAGAGAGTGAAGTGGGTGGTTATTTATTTCAAATTGCAACGTTGTTAACCGGTGGGAGTCGTCACGAGGTGGAGTTTGCCAATTATAGGACTGGGTCATTGGGCGGGGAATGTCCGGTTCGGACCCCAGCTGGGTGGGCAGACGCCGAGAGGGGGCGGCGCAAAGAAAGAGAGAGAGGGAGAGAGAGAGAGAGAGAGAGCAGAATGGCATCGAGTAGGCGCGCGGTCACTCGGCCGCAAAAGAACCGAGAGATCGAGAACATTCGAGCGGGGCGGGGCGAGGGAAGGGAGGTGTCGCTCACTTCGTGCCTAGGATCTCGCAATGATCGATCGAGGTGCTGCACGTGTGAGAAGGGGGGGTATCATTGTGGGCTCGATCTGTGAGCTCATGCCATAGTGAACCCTCCCCCTGAGCGCTCTCTGGCGACACGAATGTGGCTGGCATGCATGCATGCATGATATAGCTGAGCCCTCATTGGCCCTGGGTAGTCACCCCCTGTGCAGCTGCCTGGAACAACCACCCGCCACTTTCGGACTTAAGCCGCCACATATCACCACCCGTTATATCCGCTTCGCTAACGCCGACAGCCGCGCAGACTTTATCAGACACGTCGGGCGCTGTCTTGGTTCTCTAGATTATACTCTTGCAGGTGAGTGGACCCCCTACCATTGAAAAGGCAGCGAGAGCTTGTAGGAAGGGCCAGAGGTGCCCTCGAGGGTGTCTGAATACTTTTAGATCTCTCTCGCACCTCGCTCCGCTCGTTGCTCGTCGCTAGTTGCACCGCTGACTCGTCTCTCAGGATTTCTGTATAGTTAGTATTTATCTTTGCTAGTCTACACTAGCCACATTTTCCACATCGAGGGGATGATCCAGTACCCGCTCCGCTCTTCACAGAGACATCTTGACGTGCTCCTCGCCGTCAATCGAAGAAGCTGGCAGGGATCGTCAATCGACTCTTCACGGGTTGAGCGACGGTTTCCTGTGGGCGATGAGCGGGCTTTCTGATCGATGTAGTTTGGACGTATTGGTAGATAGGTGAGCATGCATTTTGATCATCCTCCGACCTCCTCTCTTTTTTTTGTGATGACTTGAGTGCATTTGGCTTGACGATGAGCTTGCTCGTCGCTGTTGAAAAACCCTCGCTACCTTAAACTTTTATCTCTGATCACATCGCCGTCATCCATTCTTCCTCTGGACCTCGCTGACGACAACTAGATGCATCACATTGCCGCGACTATACCAAGAGGTACCCACACGCTCATGATCCCGACCCATGTGAGGTTGCCCAGGGTCTCCCATTCGCGTCGCAAATCTGATCCGAGAAGAGCCGGATTTAAGCCTACCATGATCCATCGGACCCATCGCCACGGTGCAAGGTGTCCCGAGGTGATGAATGCCAGTGCAATGGCTTGAGGAAAGTTGACCATCGCGAGGGTGGGTATGAGTGCCCCAAAGAAGAGGTGACACAGGGAGAGGAAGGATCGTCGCGCGGTGCCTTGAGGCTTGGGCGCGGCGACGGCGAGAAAGGTGACCAGGGGGGATTGCACGACCCATCCTAGTATCGTAATAGCAACCACTGGGGTGGTCCAGATTAAGCCCTGGACTGGGTCCGGACAGTCAAAACCGCCCAGCGTCACACTCGCTCCGAGCAATATCGCGGCCGGGAGGTAGTGGCCAACAGGGATGAATTTGCCAGACCTCGGGATGAGGTAAAAGAAGTAGGATGCGTGAAGGCGCTCGAGGAGGTTGTTGAATGATCGCAGAGTTGATTCGATCGTCTTACCCAGGGTGTAGAACCCGTGTGGGCCTGTTGCGTTGGGACAGTACAGGGTGATGGCGTCGATCCGGTGTCTAGGGTCAGTCAGGCCAATTCCACTGGGCTTACTTGGCAAGGACGCCGTGCGCTCCACTGGCCCGTCCAAAGGCGCTGTATGCCGCGTGATTGAGGAGGTGTCGAGCCGCGCCAATGTACCCTTGCTCTTCAATGTCGTGCATCCTCGTCGTGACGCCGCCAGACCACCGCGCAATCTGAGCGACCGAGTTGATCACATCCTGATTCGGCAACCTCCCATTTAGTCCCTCTACCGATCAGCGAGTCCCGTCGTCATTGCACGCACCGTAGAACAACCCGATGTGCTCGAACGAATGACCTGGGTAGTCGACGTTCAATGCCGTCCAGATGACCCCATTGAATCGATCATAGTATTCCTGCATGAATCCTTCGAGACCGTCGAGGTAGCCCTCGCCAACGACGAGGACGAGGTCGTTTGCCCAGTAGTTTTGGCCTGGTGTGAGCGACGACGTGTTCTCACTCACCCCTGAGAAAGTCTGCCAGAGCCAGCAGTATGGCCACACCCCGGAGATTTGGCTTACTCTCCCGGGACATCCAATTGGCGCTAACCAGGATAACTTCCAAACCGTTTGATCTAGGCGGTTGCACATGGGCATATGTCGAGGTGGACGTGTTCGATGCATCATGTCCGGATGCTGAGAATGCCCGTTGTAGATAGTCGGAGCGTCTTGCGTAAGCGATGACCAGGCGTCGACTCACTCTGCCTGAGTCGAATTGACCATCTGCTCCAGCTCGTCAAGGTAGCGATCTGCCCTGTGCACGTTGGACCAGTCCCAATATGTATTGACCTATATAAGCGAAACTCTACACTGACCCACTTGGTTCGGCTGAAGGGCGTGCTCGTCGACATAGGTGCCCCTCCATAATGCCTCAAGTGGGAGGGCCAGAATCCATACCACCCCGATACCAAAGAGCAGTGCCCTCGGGAGTCAGCCCGGCGACCCTTTTGCTCAGACTCACCTGATCCCACCCAGATGCCTGTTGATCCACCTCACCACTCTACGCCTCCTCCTTATCGTCTTCGCTATCGCCACATGCTCTCTCGTGTAGTTCACCTCTCGACGATCCGGTGATGGTCCTCGCTGTCGAAACATGGTATGACATTGAGAGATATTATTATTGTTTCATCGCGTCGCCGGGTTTCAACATAATTTCAACCCAAACCTCCCCAATGGCTCCCAAAAAGGCCAAACGGGGGGAATGGTCATGGGTGGATGGGGTCAAGCGAGTGGAAGATATCACAGAGGAGCATAGGAGGAGGGCTGCAGGTCTGGACGTGCACTCAGAGTGTGGTAAAAAGTGCAATTCGGTGGGATGTGTCCAGCGTCTTGCCGAGGAGGTGAGCTTCCAATGGTTGATCAAAGCTGAGACCAGGCTCTCGTCACGAAAGCGACCTATCTCGAGCAGCTGGAGCTCCCGACGCTCCGCGATGGACCTGCTGGGCTGCTAAACCTCGGTGCAACGTGCTATGTGAGTTGCCTCTGAAATGGTATCTTGACCCAGGCCAATGCCTTTCTTCAAGTGTGGTACTACAACCCCGCCCTACGCGATGCCGTGTACCGAGCGGACACACAGGTGAGGCTCGGTACGCGTCCCGCTGACGGGCAGTTTGGTACCCCTCTGTTCCACCTTGGCGCCATTTTTGCGTCGCTCGACCTGTCGGATCGACCCGTCATCGACCCGACGCCTCTGCTCGACGTCCTCGAGTTGAACAAGAGTGACCAGCAGGATGCCGCAGAGTGAATCGATGTGATCACCAAAAGCTGACCCCTCAGATTCGCCAAGCTCTTTCAATCTCTCATCGCCTCAGCATTCGAACGTCAACCTGACCCCGCTATCAAAACCGTCATGACCGACCTTTTCCAAGGACAACTCGAGTCTACCACCCAGTGCCTCACCTGCAGCACTGTGCGCCGAAAGCAAGATCCCTTTCTGGAGCTCGATGTCCATCTCATAGTGAGCGATCATTTGGCTCTGCTGACGACAAGAACAACGCCACGGTGGAAGAATGCCTCGAGGCGCAGTCTCGACCTGAACGACTCGACGGAGACAACAAATACGCCTGTCAGGTCTGTAGATCACCACAACCCGCCCTCCGTTCTCTCGCCCCGAACGTCCTCCCGCCGATCCTCAATCTCTCCCTCATGCGATTCATCTATGCAACGAGCGGCCGAGTCAAGAGCAAAGCGGTGATCAAGTTTCGCAAGCATCTTGTGATCCAAGGACAGGCGTACGATCTCAGGGCAGTATTGACCCACCTCGGTACGAGCGTGAGTCAGCCCTTTCTACGCCTCTGATGCCAGGCACACCATGGTCACTTTGTCTGCGACGTGTACGATCAATCTTCCGACACTTGGCTCCACTGTAACGATCAGATCGTTCACTCTGCGGACCGCAAGAAACGACGCCGGGTCGATTCCCCAGAAGTCGACGTCACCTCGTCCAAGGACGCCTACATGTTGGTCTACTACCGCTCAGCCTATCCTCCCCCATGTCAACCCTCTCGACCTCTCCTCGACCTTGTCGAAGCGGACAATCTTTTCCTGCAGGACGAGCTGCGCGAGTATGCGAGGATGAAGAAAGTGCTCAGTGATGAGTTTGTTCACCTCGACGGGGCCAAGAGACACGTCATGGAATCCCTTTCCGGCCGAGACCGTCTCGTGCCTCGATCTCAGCTCATCAAATGGTTTTCCGGGACCAAGCTCGACGATCTGTTCTTCACTTGGGACTTTGACTCGATCACTTGCATGCACAAGGCTATTGATCCCAACGAGACGTCTCAAGCTAAGCTAATCTCCCAAGACGCTTACGACAAGCTCTCCATCTACACGCCTCTTCCTGACCTCGCCCTGTGCTCCATCTGCATCGACGCCGAGTATCACCGCCTTGTCACGCTATCCAATCACACCAGCTGCGTCCAGGAGCTCGCTCAACTGGAGCCTGGCCCATTCCTCGTGTCCAAACGATGGCTCGACCTCTGGCGAAAAGGCCAAGCGCAAGGTGGCCCCACCGATGACATCTTCTGCGAACATCACGCCCGATGGGACGAGGTCAAAGTGGTTCGACTCTCCCCCGAGGCGATCGCCCTGTTGCAATCAGTCCATGGCGACTTTGAGGTGTTTGACGAAGACACTCCGAAGTGTCCGATTTGTGCCGCGCAGCACGACATTGCACGCCAAGCGGACGATATGCGTTTCGCCTTGGCCAAGGAGGAGCGACATTGGAAGAAGATGCTGAGCAGGTCCCCTGCCCCGTTCGGTGTGGATCACTACCTCTTACCGCAGCAATTCGTCGACAAGTGGCTGGCGTGGATCAGAGAAGCGGGTGAGCGCCCCGTCCTCGACATGGAGCTCTGTCCCCATGGTCTGCTGGACTGGGACCCAATGGTACAGCGGTGCTCCTACATTGAGGAACCAGGATGGAAGCAAATCAACGAAAGGTGAGCACGTTGTGGGACACGCTCACCCCAGGTATGGTCCAGTGACACCAATCGTCATTCGTTTTGGTCCCAACCCTTTGCCTGGCAAACGCACTCAAGTCGTGAATGTCCTACCCGGCGTCTGTGACGACTGTCGCGTCGCCAAGTGAGTCGAGATGTGGACTCAGCTGACCTCTAGGGCCCGCAATTTCGACACCACCACCATCCACATTGTCAGAGCCGAACCATCCGCCAAGGTCATCAGCGAAAAGCGAGCAAGCCGATCCAGAGCGTCGGAATTCTCCATCGAGGTCACGAAAGCGACCACCGTCAAGGACATCAAGCTTGAGGTGGGTTTGAACGGATTCGAACCCGCTGACACCCAAGATTTGCTCGCTCTACAGTCTCAGTCCTATTTCTCAAAAACTCCTTTACGGCTCCCTCGAGCTCGACAGTGCAGATACCGTCGAGTCCCTCGGTATCATGGCGGATGACCGCTTGACCTTGCACGTCATTCAAGAGATTCACGACATTGACGACATAGAACTCCCTAGAGAAGGTTTCGGAGGTACAGCCCTTCTTGGGTCCAGGTCGTGCCCCAGTTGTACATTTATCAACACGCCTCTTGCCCTCCAATGCGACATGTGTGGGGGGCAGATGCCGTAAAGTGTAGCATATAGCATTCATGTATACGGCGACTCTATCGTCCCTGGCCCAGCTGCCTCTCCAATGCCGAGCTCGGATGCTCGTCCACATCCGCTCCGACGTTTGGGTCATCAGAATACGCTGGTCCAATCCCCGCACCAGGCTGTTGAGATGCCGCGGGGACAGGAGGGAGTTCGTGACTGACGTCAGCTCGCCCCGGCCGCGCCAGACTCACGTTCTAGGAGGCGCAGGGGCCGATTGCTGTCTGACAAGGTATCTAAAGCTCCGGACCTCGTCCACGATCAGATCCCTCATCCCATGGGTCGATTCCTCCCGCTCAAAAGAAAAGTCAAAAGGTACCTCGCACAACGGCTCATCGGCAGGGTCGTGCCACACCGAGAGACTGGAGTCAGCCATGTCGGCTATGTGGACCCACTATGGATGTTCGAGGGCCTCTTGACAACCGATTCGCTTGGCCGGGTCAAAGGTGAGCAGCTTTGTGAGCAGGTCGAGAGCGAGGGGCTGTGCGTTGGGGTACAACACCTTGAACTGGACTCGAGCTTTGATGGGAAGAGAACGAATGTAGCTAGAGTCAGCGGAGTACGACTCGGTACTCACTCTTGTGCCCGCGGCGAGCCAACCCGCCTTAACGTGTCCTCCGTAGGCGTCCCAAGCAAATTCAAGATCTTGTTCAGTTGATCGACATAATCTTCACCCTTGAATATCGGCTTGCCGCCTAGCAGTTCCGCCAGGATACACCCGACGGACCACATATCGACTAAACGTTAGTCAAGTTCGACTTGTTTGACGTACTGCTCGATGTCTATCGTCAGCCAAGCCTCGACCCTTCTTCACTCACATAGTTGGCAAAACTCAGCATAATCTCTGGCGCTCTGTACCACCTAGTCGCGACGTCTGTTATCAGCTTTGTCGCACGTCTCCTCACATTCCGTCATGAACCCTGCCTGTCCCTGATCCGTCTGCACAGCTCCAGGCTGGAACCCTCGTGCCAGACCAAAGTCGCAGATCTTGAGCTCACAATCCGCGTTGACGAGCAGATTGCCAGGTTTGAGATCTCGGTGTAGAACATTCGCAGAGTGGATATACTGGCGTTAGCGTGCTCGTTGTTTATCTCTCACCTTGAGTCCACAAAGGGTCTGATAGAGGAATGACTGGAAGTGCGCATCGGAGAGCGGTTGACCGGAGCGGATCTACATCAGCACCGTAGCTCGACTCGCTCACAATCGCATGCAGATCCGCCTCCATCAATTCCTCATACAGGTAGACCTCGGAGAAGAGGCCAGATCCAGGTGGATCAAAGATAATATCCATGTCGTAGAGACTGGTCTCAGCTCAAGTATCGAGTCCCCTCACCAAGTGATCTGTTGTCAGCAAAGCTCCTCGCCTCACTCACATTCTTGTGCCCCCGGAAATGATGCAACAGTCGGAGCTCTCTCAAACATCGCTTCGTGAGGATCTGTCATCAGCCATGTACTACTCATGACCTTGCCTTTTTCGTAAACACATTCGTAACTTTTTTCACAGCACAAGTCTCCCCAGTATGAGCATTCCGAGCAGACGAGACGCAACTGCAGATGAGCTCAGCTCCAACGCAAGACTCACCCATAGGCTCCTTGTCCCAGCTCTTTGACAAAGGCCCACGGTTGTTGCAACACGCTGAATCAGTGATTTTACTCTGAGGGACCTCACTAGACGTTGCTCGCCGTCTGAAATAGCTGCCTGGGGGTGTTATCCATGGTAAGACGTGGTTGTAAAGGGCAGAACAAGGCAAGAAGCGATGCAACGGTGCGGTCATTGCGGACAGCAGATTAGTGCTTATGTAAGCAGAGGATCTGCCGAGATCCCGGATTTCCAGCTAATTGTGATAGCTGGACAAGTATTCAAGTCTCTGCACAAGTGCGTGAACACGGTGTACGCGATACATTGGACGGAGCTCTGCAGGCAGATCAGAATGTTATGGTAAAAGTCATGAGATCAATCCGATGGGATGGATGGAGTAGAATCATCGTCATTGGTGTTGGGAAACGAGAATATCAACCCGGACAGTGTGAGTTATATACGTTGCAATTCCCTGCTATCATGAGCGGTTCTGTGGCGCAGTTGGTAGCGCGCCGTCTTAACAGTACACCTGTTTAACCTCCGGCGAAGGTCTCCGGTTCGATCCCGGACGGAATCATTTTTTTTTTGGCCTCTGGGCATCCCTGTGACTTTCCTGGAGGTCCGGGGAGGTCCGGGGAGTCTTTTTGGATGGACCTCAGGAAGTCTTTCCAAGGTCAGGAAGTGTTTGAAGTCATTTTTCGAATATATCGGAAGTCAAGACGCGTCTATGCATGTCAGAGTCTCTCGCATGCTTCTGCCGCCCTCTAGACATCCTTGACCCCTTCGCAAGGCCATGCATCGATGAAGAATTCTAAGCTTTGAGTTGTTCCATCCGATGACGAGACTTCCCCAAGCAGCATTTTGCCACACGCGCACAGACCTTGTGCCACTGTTGAATAAATCTACGGACTCACGGGTCTGGCCGATCCATCTCCTCACATACGCCTCACATTCAAGTCTGTGCATCTCCTGCGTCTCCCTCGTGAGGCTATCTCGCAAAAGACGCATGCCGCGACGCCTTCCACTCTCCTAGGCGACCCTGTCGTGATGCTTCTGATAGTAAAATGGAGCTGTACTCGCTCCGTGAACCAGACTCTTGACGAAAGACACCGCAAAGTCCAGCTGCTGGACGACATGGGGCGGGTTGTCGACCTCGTCTGACCGTTGAGGATGGACCACGTTGATGAAGAGGGTACCACCCGAGGCGATAACAGGGTCGTACATGAAGCGCATGTCGATGCTGACTTGTTGTCTTCTGGTCGGGTCGTGTTCACAGTAGGCCTTAGCGAGGGCAGGGAAAGGCTTCAAGAGGGTCTCGATGTCTCTTGAGGCTACAAATTGCTCCTCTGCCAGTCTTTGAAGCAGATGGCATATCGGTGCATCACCTCCATACTCCTCGGGGCGGAGGGCAGGAGCCGTCCACGCGAAACCAACAGATTCATGGCTGCCCGCTTCTGCGACCATTTGCACGAATCGCCTCCCGTCCTCGCCAAACACCAAGCAAACGTTGTGGCGGCCCTCCCGAATCCATTCCAACTGCTGACGCACCCGCTTCGCCATGACTCCGTCAAAAATGGCCAGAGGGTAGGGTATGCTCTGAGCGTCTGAAGATAGAGGGGTGCAGTGAAGGCCACGAGATGTGAGATTGTACGAATGTTTGACAGGGAAGAGGTTGTAAGCTGCCAGGTGGAACGTCTTGCCGTCCTCATCGGGTGAAACGAAACCCTGGTCCACAAGGGTCTTTGTGGTGTAGCGAGCTTGGGTGAGGATCCTCGGCGATCCGTGGGCAGAAGCGTAGTGGAGAATGAGGTGGATCCCAGCCACGCTGGGAGCGCCATCAACAGTTTGGATCCGGGTTCTGCCCTTTCCGGGTGTCTTAAAGGCCTCGGCTCGGTAGCGGCCCTGGGTCACCAATGTCTGCTCCTGCTCTTCGATCCACTGTCTCAAGCTTGAAGCTGTCTCCTCGTCCTTCACCTTTGCCACGGCACAGGTCTGAGCGTTGACATGCCTCGCTGCGAGATCCAAAGTCTCAGCCAGACGACAATTGATCCCGTCTGGTGCGGCAACAACCAGGGAGAGAGTAAGGAAGCCATGGTAGGGTGCGAGTCACGGATCCTCAATAGCCACTCTCTTCCTGCAGCTGTGATGGATCCGAGGGGGTCAATGTTCGGATTTGTGAAGAGGTTGCAATCGTACAATGTGACACTCCTCGCATTACCAGAAGCGAGTACATCCTGCATCCCGCTTCCAAGCGAGCCTGATCACACATCCCTCCTGTCCTATTGTCCACCTCGAATTTGGCCGCCACGTTTGATCACGCCACATGCCCATCCGATAAGCGTCGGGTAACCCGACCGGTCCTCTCTTGGTGTTGACCTAGAGCATGAGAGTGACGGGGTCGTTGTACAGCATCCGCAGAATGAGTCACTACGCGTCGGTCAGCACGCCCAAAGCGGGCTCTCTCAAGGTTCCCACTGGGATCTTCATGTGAGCTCGGTGCCCTGTTCTGGACTGACACCCAAGTAACAACGAGTGGTCACCCTCCTCCTCTGGCGAGACGTTCTCTACCGTCAACCCGGCCACGAACAAGCCTCTCCTGGATATCAGTCATGCCACCAAGGATGACGTCGATCGGGCCGTCAAAGCTGCACGAAAGGCATTCGAGACGACTTGGGCGAACAACGTGACCGCGGCAGAGCGAGGCAGACGTGAGTAAGGCAAGTACACGATAAATCTGACTCTCAGTTTTGTTCAAGCTCGCGGACCTTATGGAGCGGGACACGGACAAGCTTGCAGCGGTGGAAAGGTGAGCATAGCACTGAACCCGCTAACCCCAGTCTCAACACTGGTAAAGGCGTTCGCATGGCCCGGACCGTAGATCTCGCCGACTCGATCGCCTGTCTCCGATACTATGCTGGACTCGCTGACAAGCTTCACGGGACCACCATTGACAATTATGCGAAAGAAAAGTTCATCTATACGATTCAACAACCGATTGGAGTCTGCGGGCAAATGCAAGTACTTGTCTCCCCTCCGAGCTGACGGCAGCATTCCATGGAACTATCCCATCCAAATGTGGGCATGGAAGATTGCCCCTGCCCTCGCAGCAGGCTGCTGTGTCGTCATGAAGCCATCCGAGCTCACGCCACTGACAGCGCTGATGCTCTCCGACCTCGTGGCCGAGGCTGGTTTCCCACCCGGTGTCTTTAATACTGTCCCGGGGCTCGGGGCGACGACGGGAGATGCGATAGCCAGGCATGATGACATTGACAAGGTGGCATTCACTGGATCTGTCCTGACGGGACGCAAGATCAGTATCGCTGCTGCCGAGAGCAACCTAAAAAAGGTGACTCTCGAGCTCGGAGGGAAGAGCCCTATAGTCATCTTTGACTCGGCGGACGTGGAAGAGGCAGCAGACTGGGCAGCATGTGCCATCTGGTTCAACTCGGGGCAGGACTGCTGTGCGGGCAGTAGGGTGAGTCACGCTAGAAGCTTAGCTTATGCCAGGTCTACGTGCAACAAGGCGCATATGAGGGCTTCGTCAAAGCTCTTAAGGCACGAGCCGAGGCCACTGCCATTGGTCAGGTGAGGTGTAGAAAGTGAACCATTCTGACCATCAGCCCGAGGACGAAAAGACCTCGTTCGGGCCGCTCATTTCCCAGCTCCAACGCGACAAAGTTCTCAGGTACATCGACTCGGGCAAGGCAGAAGGCGCGACGGTCGTGACCGGGGGCAGGAAATGGGCACCGGGGGGCGAAGGCTTCTGGATCGAGCCAACTATCCTCACCGACATCAAGCAGGACATGACGGTGATTCGGGAAGAGGTGAGTGAAGCGATGATGTAGCTCACAACAGATCTTTGGGCCCGTCGTATGCGTCTCTACCTTTGACGACGAGACGGAGGGCGTTGCCATGGCCAATAATACGACTTATGGTCTCGCTGCTGCAGTGTTCACCAATGACACTCGCCAAGCCACGAGAGTCAGTCGAGCGCTAAATGCCGGGACAGTCTGGATCAACGAATACATGTTGGTGGACAATGGCGCACCATTTGGTGGATTCAAGCAGAGTGGGATAGGGAGAGAACTCGGAGTGAATGGCATGGAGACGTATATGCAGGTCAAGGCGGTGCATCAGAATCTGACCCAGACGAGGTGAGCGTACATTTGAAAAGCTCTGCTGACTGTAGTCCATGGCCACTGTGATGCATTCGTATCACCTCCTGTTCTCTATCCTTGCCCATAAAACTCCACCACTCGCCGCGGCCAGCAATGCTCCCACCATGATGGTCATGGAGCGATAAGCCTGTGGCGAGTCCACGTCTCGCATGATCAGCGCGCCAGCCACTGGCGTACCTATGAGTGCTGCGATTCCCCTTGCCATGTACAGACACCCATTGACGCTTGCAAAGTGTGCCGGCCCAAAGAGTTCGACTAAGCTGGTGGGGAAGAGAGCCACATACGGACTTGCAAAGAGACCAAAGGCGATCGAGTAGGCGATGAACAGCACGCGACTGGGTACAACGTCAATGTCAAGGGTGGAAGGCAGCCACAGGCCAAAGGTGATTGCCGTAGAGATCAGTGTCGTGACGAAGAGCGAGTTGAGGCGACCCCATTTGTCCGCTACGAACCCCACGCCAATCTTGCCAATGGCATTGCAGGCATTGGTGATGGCGATAAAGCTGGCTCCTGTCGTGGCACTGTATCCCAAAGTTCTCGCGTAGGCGGAGAAGAAAAAGATTGGCGTATAGTACGCTGCACCTTGACACGACGCGCTGAACAGCTGAGCGGTAAACTTGCGCGAGTTGGCTACTTGCCAGTCGAGCAGAGGAATGTTCAGGATCTTTGCAGCGAGTGACATGTTCCGTCGTTCTTGATCGATCCGACGCTGAGACGCAGAGTCCCATCGCAACAGAGTCGCAGGGAGGACGATCATCCCAGCGGTAACTGCCCCTGCGATCCGGAGCGTCATTCGGAACCCATATCGTTGGTTGAGGGCCTGAATCACAGGGGTCCACGCGACGCCTCCGACGCCAGTCCCTGAGAGGATGATCCCCATGGCTAGACCGCGGCGGGGCCCATACCATGTCGGAGCGACCGTCACGGCTGGCATGTTGGACAGGCACGTCCCGATACCAAGCATCATACCTTGGGTCAGGATGAATTGCCAGAGCTTTGTGGAGTAGCTCGCTAGAATGCACCCCAGGAGAAACATGAGTCCACCCAGGGAGCTCACTGCTGTCGGCGAGAAGCGCTTAGCCCAAGCCGTGGCGAAGGGTGCAAAGACGCTCTGGAAGGAGACACCAAGGGTGCCCACAAGATCGATCATGGCGGGTGACGCGCCGCTGAAAGGGTTGCCTGGCTCATGTGACATGGTCTGGTAGAGATCTTGAAAGACCCCAAAGGAGAAGAGAGTCCCGCATGTGGTGAAGATGAGGAGGAAGGAGGATATGCAAATGATCACGGCTCGGCTGTGTGTCAGCGTTCAACGGGAGGAGAGAACCCCACAAGTCAGAGTCAACGATTCGGTCTTCTGGTTCGAGTTCCGACTCGCTTGGTCGCGTTACATCCAGAGGGCGTAAAGGGATCTGGTTCATTGTGTTGAGCGATCAAACTGTATGAATACATCGAGTCAGACAGTTGGGTTGGCAGAATTCGACTCGCAAAGACTCGTCACAATTTTCATGCCGATCATCAACAACCTAATCCCTATGGAGTCCAATCTTTCCGGTGCGTCTCAGTCCCAAACCTCCCCACAATGCACAGGCCAGCATCATCCCAAACATGGTCCAAAAGCTGGCCCTATAACTTGACATGAGAGCCGCCGGATCTCCTTCCCGTTCCCGTTCCGCTTTGACGAGCATTGAGACGATCTGCATGATGCTCAGACCGAGGGCATTCCCAAACTGGGCGACCATATTGAATACCGCCCCGCCCAGCGCTTGCTTGTCTTCGGGGAAGATTTCCGAGATGACGACCAGTCCGACGGTGAACAAAGCGTCACAGCTGACAGGTTGCAAGAGCTGAGCGATGAATGCATTGCCCCAGTAAGTCCGTTGCGGGTGTATCACCGCCATAAGCAGCGGGGCAATGGCACAGAGCACCGATGACAATGTGACGATCCAGATGGGTGGGATGCGATCAACCATGAAGCCAATGGTGAGGTTGAGCATGGCGCCGACGATCATGCTTGGGAGGATACGCAGTGAAGTCTGAAGCGGGCTGAGGTGCTGGATTTCTTGAAAGCTTTTCGTCAGCGGTGTATGCGAGGACTCTCTTACAATAAGCTCGCAAACAGTTCCAACGAGTTGAGCACAGCAAAGGAGAGTACTATCGTCCCGCATATCGTAGTGAACGTAAGGTTCTTCCAGAACGAATTGGGGATCAAAGCTGGTCTGCCTCGTTGGACCTGATGATGCACCCATGTGAGGAAGAGCGGGAGTGATACGACGGCAAGACACAGCAAAGCAATGCTTTCGGGTCTTTTGATCTGCGTCACATCGGTACTGAGGGTTCTTCCACCGTCAGATGTGTCTGCTGCGGCTCGACTCACGCCAGGAGATACGAGAGCATGCTCATGAATGCCGATGCGAGGAGAGCGCCGACCCAGTCGACATGCTGTTGAAGACGTTTGAAAGTCACCCGCCACGGGTCCCTCTGTACTGGCCTGGGTAGGGCCCAGAATCCAACTGCGCAGAACACCAACATGATGGATCCAAAGAGATACCAACCCGCTCGCCATCCCGTTGTATCAATCATGATGCCGCCTACGACCAAGCCAAATGAGAAGCCTAACGGTGCGCTGAGGCCGAAACACGAGTAGGCAATGTTTCGACTTCGACCTCGAGGAAGGACCGACGAGATGATGCCCACAGAGGCTGCCGAGTGCATCGCTGCACCTATACCAGAGATGGCTCTCACAGTCACCAGCTGGGTCCCGTTCTCCACCCCGCCCGCGGCAAGCACGAAAATGGCCATGAGGACGCAACCGGCTCGGTCCACCAGGGTCGGGCCAAGGACATCCGCCATAGATCCAGAGAGAAGAATGGTAGAAGCCGATGCGAGACTCGTCACGCTCGTGGGCCAGAATGCTAGCGCAGAGGGGATTTTCAGCTGACTCGTCATGATGGGCAAGCCCACGATGGTCAGCCCATTCCCTGCGGAGAAGAGAAAGATGATGCCGGAGAGCTGAGCGACGATGAAGACCTTGTGGAAGGATGAGAGCTCAGAGTGAGGCGTCGAAGAGACATTCTGTAGTGGAGGCGTCACATCCTGGAGCGAGGTACGACGAGATCTGTCCACGAGCTCGTGAACCTCATGAATCTCAGTGGACATGGTAGAACAATCTATGTTCTGTCAAGCAACTTTTCGGCTTTTCCGCTCATCTCCTCTTTCCCCTCCAGAACGCTATCAACTCGGCCTTCTCCACCCATCCCAGACGCACACGCCTGATTTTGCCCGTCTCCGCCAGGACAATCTCGATGGCTTCTCTCCATGCACCTCGACCATATTTCAGAGATGGTCCCTGACCCAATGCAAGCACCTCCGAAGGGAGGAAGGATGGAGACGAGGGAGAGGCAGAGGGATGAAGAGTTCTCACGAGGAGAGACCGAGAAGGGAATGGACTGGGCGTGAAGAGGAGGGAAGTCAAGAGGTGATAGAGGGGTTGCGGGAGGGAACATGTGGCAGTAGGAGCGAATGTCGTCGGGGCAGAGTGCCTGAAGTGAGATCGGCTCTTAATGGAGACTCACTTGAACGCTTTGACATAGACTTGACCCGGTTGGTCCCCGCCAATGTCTTCATCGTCCAAAACATCTACACCAAACCATAGGACGGCTCTTCCGTTGCCCGTCGTGCCCTCGGGGAACATAGCTACGGGTCGACGCTCTGTCCGTCTGGCATCGCGCAAAGTCTTGTACATGCCAGGAGGGGGGGTCGCAGCGGTCGGCGGGACATCGCCGGTGCGCCGAAGCAGTTCAAAGAGAGATACTGGGAGGTATCCTAAACAAGGCGGATGAGTCCGGATCAATGTAGTCGCGATATTGGCAGAGCCCGTTCCTGTGGACCGACCAAACTTGGTCTCCGCTTGGGTAGCGGGCGGGAAAACGGGCAGTAGGAAGGTAGGGTTGTATCTGTCGTCAGCTGAAGAAAACACGATGTCTCACCTGAATGCAAGGTATAGCACTTCTACGTAGGATGTCCAATTAGACAAGATAAGATCACCCTGTCGAGGTGACTGGTTCACGATTTGGGTCACCCCTTTGAGTCTGGCATCAGCCTAGGAACCAGATTTCGCTCCCACCCTCGTTTGGATGACACCATCTCCGTATCTATCCACCAGTAACCCATGAGACCGAGAGCGAGACGGCATAGTATTGCAGTGAGAATGTTGGAGGCAGCGTGAAATAGAGGCGGTATGGGGACCTGGGCATCAGCACATGGTGTACGCGTCCATCTCACCAGCACGAGGCATACCCCTTCAACCAGCAAAAGGTACAGTAGGGCCACTGCACCAAGCAGTATGGCTCTAGTCAACGCATGAACGCAGCTGGAAAGGTTGAGCAGGAGAGCCAGAGGTGAACCGGAGGAAGGAGGAACCGGCGGTAGGAATGGCTAGACATCAGCGAGGAACACTGCCTTCTCCTCACCTGAATGCCCGTTGAGGCGTCCTACATCTCAGCTCGGCCCACAATCGTCTCACTCACCCTCCACTTTGAGTACTTCTCCATGGTCGTTGGTCACTATCACCATAGCCCTCGTCGTCGTCACCACCACCGGCAGTCACTTCGTTGATACGCCACGTGACATTCGTTTACCTAATCTTCTCTTGCCTGGGCCTGCATTGATCCCATGTTGCCTCGACTCGATCTCTTTTGATCTTCAGACCCACATTGAACCCAACATGGGCTACACTCTGCTCATAGACAACTACGACTCGTTCACTTGGAACATTTACTCTGACCTCGCAACGCTAGGAGGAAATCCATTGGTCAGACGAAATGACAAAATCACCATCGAAGAAGTCGAGGTAGGGGTTTCCAGCGAAGAGCTAGTACTGACCACACCCAAGGCAATGTACAATGCAGGAGACCTCGACCGTATATGTATTTCGCCTGGACCTGGTCATCCCAAGACAGACTCTGGAATCAGTCGAGAAGTCATCACCTGGGGTATGGGCAAAGTTCCAATATTAGGCGTCTGCATGGGTCTAGAGTGTCTAGTGGATGTCCTCGGTGGAGAGGTGAGTGCGCACTTCCTTAGCATGCGCTGACGACAGATCGCCTATGCGGGCGAGATCAAGCATGGTAAGACGTCACTCGTCGAGCACGATGCGCTCGGCATATTCCATTCGCTCCCCCCGCTTCTCGCCTCCACTCGCTATCATTCTCTTTCCGCCTCCATCCTCAGTCTGCCCAAAGAACTCCAAGTCAGCGCCACGACAAAGGAGTCAGGTGTCATCATGGGTGTTCGTCATCGTACATACTGTGTCGAAGCCGTTCAATATCATCCCGAATCGTGCATGTCCGAAGGCGGTCGAGGTCTCGCTGCCAATTTCCTGAAAATGAAAGGTGGGACCTGGAGCGAGAATGCCTGGTGTGGAGTAGAGGCGGCACCCAAGGGATCGGCAACGGCCCTTGTGAATGGATCAGCATCCTCGCCTTCCGCTCCTCGTGTGCCGACGATTCTGGAGAATATTCGAGCGCAACGACTCGTCGACGTCGAACAAAGCCAATCGGCCCCTGCCACTACCCCTGCCATCCTCTCCACCTCGCTTTCTCTGCACACTGCTCCATCTCAAATCAACCTCATCGCTCGCCTCACCTCCACCCCTCATACCGCCATCATGGCAGAGATCAAACGTGCATCACCCTCCAAAGGTGATATCGCCATCTCCACCAACGCTCCAGAACAGGCCATCAAGTACGCTCTCGCAGGCGCTTCAGTGATCTCTGTGCTCACCGAGCCAAAATGGTTCAAGGGGAGCTTGAGCGACATGCTATCCGTCCGACAAGCACTGGAATCGTTGCCCAATCGACCGGCTGTCCTACGCAAAGACTTTATCCTCTCCACCTATATGATCGACGAGGCCAGACTTCACGGAGCAGACACCGTCCTCCTCATCGTTGCCATGCTTGATCGGCCGTTACTCGAAAAGCTTTACAGATATTCGCTCTCTCTCGGAATGGAACCTCTCGTCGAGGTCAACAATCCCGATGAATTACAGACAGCCCTGGAGATCGGGGCCAAGGTGATCGGGGTGAACAATCGAAATTTGCACGATTTCAACGTCGACATGTCGACCACCTCCAGGGTCAACGCGGCTCTTCAGGGGCGCGACGTGATCCTCTGCGCCTTGTCAGGGATCTCAAGCCCCGAAGACGTGCAAAAGTACGTGAAGGAAGGTGTCAAAGCTGTCCTCGTCGGCGAATCCCTAATGCGAGCACCTGATCCATTCACTTTTCTCCGTTCATTGATCAGTCTGCCACCCCTCAAGCCAGTCGTCATTCGCCCACTGGTGAAAATTTGTGGGTGTCGGTCGGTTGCTGATGCCAAAGTGGCATTGGCCGCCGGAGCAGACATGATTGGAGTGATCCTCGTTCCTGGGACCAAGCGTCAGGTGACGCACAGCGTCGCCGGGGAGATTTCTCGAGTGGTTCGGTCATCCTCACGTGCCAGTACCTCCACCGTCGATCCCTCGCAGCCCTGGTTCACCTTTCACGCCTCTCACCTCGCCTCTCGCCGCAGACCCCAATTGGTCGGTGTGTTCCGCAACCAGCCGCTGCCAGAGATCCTGGATGCCGTCGACACCATCGGCCTCGACATGGTCCAGCTGCATGGTGACGAACCACAGTCGTGGGCACGGTTCATTCCTGTTCCAGTGATCAAAGTGTTCCGCGTCGATCACCAGGGCAAGATTTCTGGAGGCGAGGTCGATCGACCGGGACTGAACCAATTTGCCCTGCTCGATGCCGGTGATGCAAGTGGGGGAGGAGGAGGCGAGGGGAAGACATTTGACTGGAGCACGGCCAAGTCAATCGTCCAAAGCGGTCAGGTCGGGAGTGGAGGGAGGTACCCACTCCCAGTCATTCTAGCGGGTGGATTGACACCGGAAAACGTGGTCAGGGCGCTGGAAGAAGTCCCTGGTGTATTGGCTGTCGACGTCAGTAGTGGGACCGACTCGTCAGATGGTTGCGGCAAGGATCCGAGCAGGGTCAAGGCGTTCATAGATGCTGTACGAGCTACAGGATGATGCATTATGATACATGGGTCAATGTAGGGCATGCTGGAGAAGGGTAATGATGATTGAATCTGGATTGGTCTCTTTGAGCCTTTCGAGAGTGTCGGGGGAAACGAGCCAAGCCTCTGCTCCTGGGTACTGCCCAAGCATAATGCCGACCAGAGCGAGTTTGATGACTGCCATTCGATTATCTTGATCTGGTCTCGGAGGGAGAAGCAGAAGATCGCCCAGGAGAAACGTGACAGTTGGCGGGGCGAGAGCTCCAAAGCTGTAATCAAAGTCATCCGTTGATCCCCGCAGCTTTCTCGACCTGGCGCGAGAGATACGACAACCGGCGAGCTCTTCGAGCGCGATGGTGTAGATATGTGCGAGGACGTAGTGCGGAGTTCGGGGCTGAAGAATGGACAAGAACATCGAAATATGCTCAGGGCCCAGGGCGGATCGGAAGAGAGGTAGGAAGGTGAGCGACAGGGAAGGCGGATGGAACCGAGGTGGTGAGACTGTAGTCGCATTGATAAGCTAAAAAGTCAGTGATGAACGGAATATGAATCGTACCAAGGCGAACATCCTCGCGGCCAGCTCTATCCGTCTCATCTGACTCAGACTAGCACCAGATTCCTCGAATGCACACCTGGTAATATCGACTATAGATGAGGCATTGTCTTTGGCCAAGTCGGGTGATGGACCCCCAAGTTGCGCCACAAACAGAGCGGAAAAGGCTTATCGTGAGCTCAATCCACACGCAGAACTCACAATCCTCAGACTCTGCCTGATCCTTCTCCCATAGCTCGACACACCACCCTATCAGTTCCCAAGCGGTATCGCTGACCACCTTGTCTTCCTCCTCAACAGACACCCAAAACAGATCCCAGACGCCCGCTCGACAACGCTTCAATAGCTTCATCGTCTGGCGCTCCATCTGTATGCCCGTATCGACGTGCCAGTTTGCATATACCGGTACCTGGGATCCATAGGATGGTACAGGGGAAGCCACCGACAGGGTTACAGGCGAGTGACATGCTAATAGTCGTTTGAGGAGGAATAACGGGCTCGGCTTGAGTGGCGCGGCAGGAGGGAAGAGCGAGAGGTAGAATAAGAATTGGATATGTCGGCTATCATGTCAGCTTGCGACGTGATTGGTCACCCACATTGAAGGTACACTCGCTGCGTTGACATAGTCCCCCAAATTGGACATGAATAGTTCGACTGGGATGTTCAGCAGCAGACCTAGCATTCGGACCCACTGTCATTCTCCTCGAGTGGAGCTGCGATGATATCTTGAACATGAGTGGGATGTGTCAGCGGAACACTCTTCTTATTGATCCCCTCCGCCATGGCTCGATGCTACATGATAGTTGTCGTCTTCATCATCATCTTCATCATCATCATCATCATCTTGTTCAGTCCCATCCATAAAGTCATTCGCGTTCCACAGGTGCCACACTGTCGGCGTTTCGGCTTTATAATCTGGTCAGCGCGTGGCACGGCTGGTGGGTGGTGGACGTCACTGCTCTCTCCTCTCACCTTACCATATACTCCCCCAGCTCCCTGCTCTTGACACCATGTCAGACGATCCAATGGCAGATTTCCTGGCGAGGGAGAAGGCAGCGCTCGGTGAGACTGTCCTCCTGTGATTCATGAGCGAGCTGACGACATATCTCAGGAGACGACGCTGAGCTCTTCGCAACAGGTTCAGCACCGACAGCACCGTCAGGCGTAGATCTGACAAGTATGAGTGAGCAGACTTCGTGCACTGGGCGCGTTGCGAGAGGCTGAACTTTGTGCTCTGCTCCAGGCTCACCTGTCAACACTCAGCCTCCAGCCAAATCACCCTCACCTCGACCTTCGGGAATGGACGCCTTCCCCTCACTTGATTCACCAGGAATCAACGGGTCAGAGTTCAGAGTCACTGGGGTCGCGGGCACAGGCCAAGATGAGGAAATGGAGAAGTTCACGAGTGCCTTTCCGGATCTGTCGGATGAGGTCAGGGCAGAAGCGGTGAGTGTACAAGTCATGGGCGAGTCCGAGTGAGGCGAGAGTTGGCAGACCTGAGGGCCCCCCGCCAGGCGGTGTCCACCTCGAGCGTCTGAGATGGACGACGGGCATTCTTTTGCGTAGCAAGGCGTGATGACTGCATATACGTTAATCCTGCTGTCGAGCTCGCCTTGGGACCCCAACTCGTGGCCTTCGCTGACTTGTCCCAGCCTCCCAAACCCGTCTTCAATGCTCTCGCTGCTCAACCTTACGGATCTTCACCTTATGCCAATACCGCGCCTCCAAAGAGCTCCACCTCCATCCTTCCTCCACCGCCTCTACAAAACACCCTGCCGGAAGCCCAAGAAGACACTGAGCCAATCAAGGGTGAGTAAGCGCGGCGATGGATCCAGCTCACCCCCGGCAGAGTGGCGCGCACGTCAAGCTGAAGAGATCAAACGTCGGGACGAGAATGATCGTAAAGCTCGTGATGAGATGAAGAACAAGGCGGAGAAGAGCATCGATGCGTTTTATGAGGAGTACAATAAGCTCAAGGAGAAGAACATCAGGGAGAACAAGTGAGTTAATGTTGATTTAAATTTGGCGCTGACGCGACCGTAGGGAGAACGAAGCTGCATTCTTGGAAAAGTTGAGAGACGGTACCGCGAAAGGATCTGCATGGGAGCGAGTGACAGAACTCATTTCTTTGGAGAATTCTCGTGAGTGCGCCGACACCTAGGCGTCCATCTCTTCCTTGGTGGAGAGCTAACTCTCTGCAGAATCAAAAACCATTAGACCGTCTGTGCCAGGTGGATCTGATCTCGCCCGTATGCGTGAGATCCTATTGGCTCTGAGACGAGAGGGTGACAAGGCGCCCGGAGCTGCCGGTTTCTAGATGAGGAGAGATGATAATAGAGCGAGGGAGGGTGGAAAAAAAGAGAGGAATGATTCCAAACTTGTTGTATCGAGACACCACCGCACAGGGGGGCTGGGCAGGAACACGGAGGAGCGGGGTTGACCCGCAGCCCCGTCGAGTGGACGACCAGTCTCGCCGCCGTAGCGCTTCAATGACTTACGAGATAGTCTTGTCGGTGAAAAACGTTATGTACACGACGTTGATGAACATGTGCATAAGCCGGGACTTCATGGTGCAATGATCTCTGGCGAACTGACTGACTCTTGTGCTTCGATCGAGAAGTAGGAGAAGATGAGGTGAATGGAGAGATGCATGGCAGTCGTGAGGAATTCGTAGCATCATGAGGTCATGCTGTGTCGTGCGGGCATTAAGAAAGCACTTCATCACCAGAACCACTTCTGGTATGCCCTGTATTCTGTCAGCTTGACTGCCAGCCGATCAACTCACGCAGGCATCCCAGAGATGCAGTCTTCACCGGCCGCCAAAGATTGCTCAAACTCCTTCCTAACGCTCATGAACAATCGCATGGCCGCGCGAGCATCTTCCACCTGGGAACGAGCAAGAAAGCATCAGCTATTGCATCTGATGCGCAATACGGCCGTCTCACAGGACAGTGAATGTCCTTTTGGATTTCCTCCCCGAAAGCCTTCAAGTAGAGTTTCTTTAACCCTGGGTACTCGCCTTCTCTTTCAACGCCGATGGACTTTCGAAGAGGATAGTAGAGGCATGTGTCGCGGACGTCTTCGTACGGATGACGATGTTGTACCCACTGCGAGTCAAGCGTCAACAAGTCAGAGCTCAAGCTTAGTCAACAATAATCTTCACTGAAAGATCGTTGAACACTGCGTGTCCGACTAAGATCTTGTCCTTTAGTATCTCCTTGATCTTGGCTTGGACCTCCTGAAAGCGAGGCGCTGGATCCCTCAGTATGATCCACATCTCCTGAAAACGCACCATCGTCCAAGTCTCCAGGTTTGATACCATGGACTGCTCGACCATCACATCAGGACCTCTTCGCTTTGGATACGCGAGAGCCAATGGCCATCCACTGACCGCGTGTGATCCAGTCTGTGACGTTCCTTCGATCTACAAATACGTATGACTGGTATATCTCAGTACCAAAGTGGTCAACCATCCCGACTCTAAAGAGTGTATGAGCGACAAGAGCCATGTACCTGAGCCTCGGTTGGACCATACTTTGCAAGGACATGACCCGCGCGAGTACGGACTGTCTCGCAGTCTGGCGAGAGATAAGTTTGCACCCGCTCGCTTTCTACCTTACCCATGGCTATGTATCTGTCCAAAGAAGGGATTGTCATGCTGGCTCAAGGTGAGAGTACAATCCGACAACATCTTCATCGTCCAAAAGCTATAACATTTCAACCCAGAACAATGTCCGATCGTCGGACAAACTGACGCCATAGATTCAAGCCAGTCAAGCCACTCCTTCATTCGTACTCGGCCTTCTGGACGTCCTTGAGCACCTCGAGATGGCCCCAAAGTCCACAGAGAAGGCTCCTGAATCGACTGGATCGACGAGAAGATCCACTCGTTTGACCAAGTCAGCATCGAAAGACGAGTCCAAAAAGGTCAGAGTGACGCGTCAATTTCGGTGCTGCCCTGACACGTTGTCCAGAGATCCAACGACGACGAGGCATCGAGCAAGACCACAACGGAACCCGAGAAGAAGAAAGCTAAACCCGCTACAGAAGTGGAAAAGGAAGCTGAAGCTCCCAAAGATGCAAAACCTACTACTGGCGGAACAGGAACCCTCAAGCTCGGAGATACGCTGCCAAGTATAAAGCTGCAGACGAATGAGGACAAAGAGATGGATGTCAGTGAACTGGTAGGAGAAAAGGGCGTCGTGTTCTTCTTGTATCCCAAGGTAGGTTCTGATCGAAGATTTCACAGCTGAGCAACGCAAGGCGGACACGCCTGGATGCACCAACCAAGCGTGTGGGTACAGAGATATACACTCGGAGATCGCGAAACTAGGGTACGATGTCTACGGTTTGTCCAAGGACAAACCAGCGGCTCAACAAAGGGTGGGTCGGAGCTGGCTATCAAGTCTTGACGAATGCAGTGGAAAGACAAAAAGGAGCTCAATTACAACCTGCTCTGTGACCCTCAGTCCAAGTTGATCAAGCGGTGAGATGAGCAGTGCGATCTCAGAATCGCGACTGACGTGCTTCGCCAGGCTCGGCGCATTCCTTGCTCCTGACAAGTGGGTCCAAATGACTACTACTTGACATGTCCAAGCTGATGCCCTTCCCTCGCCAGGACCAAGCGAAGCCATTTCATCTTTGAAAAGGGCTCAGGCAAGTTGATCGATGCACAGATCGGTGTCAAGCCTGCCGACGAGTAAGTCGGCAGCAAGGTCTGATCTGATGCCAGCTCTCGGAACACGCTCGACTTCCTCAAGAAGCACCACAAATAGGAGATTTGATCAGCGGATATCAAGGAAGGCTCTATGGAAGCAATGCATCGTATCTTGAGAGATATAGTCTCTCTAACATAGCCCACTCAGTCCGGGTCGTTGGGCTCAGGCAGTCTCCTGATTCACAATTGGGACCTTGACAATGTCCACCTTTTCCGCTCCGATCGGTAACTCTGCACCGTGTCCCTTTGTCAACCAATACAATTGGGGATGACCGTGTGGTCCATCAAGGACGATCCAGCCCGACCATCCACCCGAGGAGTCAGGTGGACTCGTCCACTGTAGTGTCTCCTCGCCTTCCTCTCCCTCCCACTCCAATCCAGGATCTCCGCGAGTCTCAAACATCTCCACAGGATGATGCGACGTATCTGTCCCGGCTGCTTGAGCGACGAACCCCCAATATCTCCCTTTATCGCTCTCCCTCCAGGACGTGGCGACCTGCTGTCCCTCGCTCGTCAGGTGGAATCGGAGAAACTTTGGTGGGTTCGGGGATAATACAACGGCTGGAATCCCACCGCCATGCCATCTTAGATAGAGGTCTGTAAAGCGTGCATTAGGCGTTGTGGGTCGGAATCTGAGCCAATACAGTTGGTCAGACGGTGGGACATCCATAGCGATGATCAGGTGATGGTCACAGTCGGGATGTCGAGGATCTGGGTCAAAGTGTCACATCTTGTCAAACTTCGGTTCAACTGGAATCTTCAAATGACCCGATAGCGCGGCACGGCGTATCGTCATTCCACGTCTTACTTCAGTGATCGTCTATGTGTTAGAGATCATTGTCAGGTCTCACAGAGTTCAACCCAGCACAATAGACTCCGTGGACTCGTAGCGGACGGAGCGTAAGGATTCCACCTGACATCAGAAGCCGAATTACCACCATTCTCCACGAGGAGGTATTCTGACTCGAGATTCACCTCACCTTGGTCACCCGTCCCAAGGATATCAGTATCAGGGATCGCAAACGTCTGATCAGCGACGAATGAACCGCGAAGACTACTCTTGGCTGTCTGAATGGGCAGGTGGTATCGTTGGATTGGTCGAGAAGCTGGGTTCGACGGATGACGAGATGCACATCGCATTGGAGTGTCTCGACCTCGTTGCCGATACCGATCCACAGGGACTAGCGGAGCTACTCGCAAGCGATCAAGCGTGCAACATTCTCCAGACAATGGACACGGTCGCCGCCAGATCGATGCTGGGGAAAGTGTACATGGCAGATCGCACTCAATCCCCCTTGACATTGCCTGACGAGAAAACTCGGCTGCACGCCTGGGCACACTTCCACTCCGACCCCTCTCTCCTCGTTCATCTCTTGGTGCCTACTACAGCCGAGCTATTGGCAGTATCACCTGGTCAATCAACCAGCAACATCGATCGCCTGCTAAATCTGGCCAGCCAAATCAGTACGAAGCGAGATACGAACTCTTCGCGTCATTCTGAGATGATCCTTGACATTCTTTCTGATCCGCCAAAAGATCCTCTTACACAGCTTGCTCTCGCACGCAGACTCCCAGAACTATATGTACGGTCTCGACTTCAAGGGACGACACGGAGACTCAATCTCGATGCCTGCTGTGCCAGACGTATCGTTAAGACTTTGTTCGCCCTTTCAACAGAGATCATCGATGGAAGAGAGTGCTGGAGCATAGCCAGAAACCTCGCGGGACCGTACCTTGAGTATCTGGATACGAATGATCCGCTTGCTCAAGCATTCAGCCCTGAGACTGTCCCTTCTGTCGATCGGAAGCTCTTTATACCTGGAACCTCTACGTCTCAGGCCACGACGCTCACATCTTCCGAGCTCATTTCTCTGCTCGCACCAGAGCTATACACGACACTCCAGACAAGTCGAGTTCCTCCTCTCGGGATCCCTGCTGGGTCCATCCTTACAAGCTACAACACCCAACCTCAGGCATCGGCATCAGCTTCCGCCTTTGGAGGCAAGGTTTACTCATTACATGAGTTTAGACGTGAGAGGGATGCTGGCGGGTTAGGAGGAAGCGGTCTTGGCGTAGGCGCTTGGGTGAGACCCGCCAGCCGACACGTTGATGATTTTGGGGGAAGTTGAAGTAGACACCGTCCTCAACGGCTCGCACGTTCCCTCTCTGGACCAGCTTGTCATCGTGACGAGGGATCAACGGTCGACAGAGTTGACAAGGGGCTGACAGTGAGATACCGGCCATTCCGGTCAGGTCTTTTCTCGCATACCCTTCCACATATAGGATATCTGGCTGTACAGGACTATCAAGAGCTATATAGACTTCCTCTGGTCACCTTGTCCGCCCTCCATCCCATACGCCATGCATACCTTATGCCAGACAAGCGTGCACCCATATAGCTCCATAGACACTCGCCCGCCACGTGATCCCTCTGTGCGGATTTGCAATTGATCAAGTGCCTTTCCAAAATCATAACAACCTCCATTCACAAGACACTGTTCACCCCTATACATCCCTTGCTCGACCACTGCGAGGGGTGAGGGCTCGACGATTATAGCTGTACAACTGCTCGCTTCTCCGACCACAATTCTGTAGAAACCCAAAGAAACGCTCTATATCTGTGAACTGTTGGAATACCTCCCCCGCGCTCTCCAACTCCCCCACTCTGCGGCGCCCCTTCTTATTAGACACTAAGCAAGGTCATCAACATCATCATCATGAATCCAAGGAGGAGTAGTATACCGAGATATAATGATGATGACGACGACGATGATGATGACGAGGAGGAGGAGGAAGAGGAAGACGACAGTCTAGACGAGGGCCAGTTCCCTACGGGGAATAGTGCCCCGAGGAATGGTGCAAGTCGAGGGGCTAGAGCAGGAGCCGGAGCATCGGGCAGGGCTAGTAAACGCAAATCCAATGGATCTGCCGGTCAATTCAAGTGTGACCATCCGAGGTGTGGAAAGACGTTTACGAGAAAAGTGAGTGGGCTGATACGAATTTTTACTGAGTCACAACAGGATCACCTCCTGCGACACGCCGCAAATCGTGAGTAAATTGCCATTCCTCGAGCTCATTGAACCAGACACCAACACGAACTATCCGTGTCCGACTTGTGGACGAGGCTTCAAGCGACTCGACCTGTTGCACCGTCATGAAAAGCGAAACATCTGTGGAGACGAAGCCAGTGCGACATCGAAGCGCCGTCGAACCAGTATGACAATGAGTGATAATGAAGATGAAGATGAATCACCACCCCCTTCGATACCATCGATGCGAAACGATTCCCTCTCGTTTGCTCCTCTTCCCACTCTGTCCCTGAACAAGAGTCCCATGCGAATATCGGGTCTCAATCTCGGTCCCTTGTCAGCGGGATCGACCACCTCGTTCGGACAACTTACTCCAATGTCTGTCCAAGCTACCACTCTGCCTCTCTCTGCCTCTTCTCAAACCATCGATCCTCACGCGCCCCATATCTCCAGCAACACTCTTCATTCTGAATTGGATCTCGATCCACAACCTTCTGTCCCATTCCCGACCTTGCCGGATTTCGAAGTCTCCACTTCGTCTTCCCATCCACAAGATTGGGGTCTCAACATCTGGCAACCTGATCCTTGGGATGCACTGCTGCACGACACGCTCGCACCACCCTTCAACGAACCGGCCCTGACGCTGGATCTCCCCTGGAACGTGTCAACACCGAGGATGCAGGAATCGGCCGAGAGAGGAGGAGAAAGCCTAGCGTCTGCAGCGCTGATAGCCAAATTACAACTCGCGATCCCGGAACTCGACGTCAACTTGTCCTTCTTGTCCGACGCATTATCCCATTACTGGTCGCATGTCTCGCCAACATTTCCGTTCATCCATAAAGGCACGTTTGACATCAACAACGCTCCTGCAGAGTTGGTCGCCATGATGGCGATCACGGGTTCGATCCATCTCCCGGCAGCCTCTCGGCCCGATTTACGCAAAGTCGTCCAGAGGATCCGGGGAAGCTTGGTTCAGGATTGTGGACTGGAAATGCCAGTCTCGACGCTCCAAGCCTTCTGTCTATGCCATGTGCACGATACCTGGAACGGGACGAACGAGAGTCTGTTTGTTGCTCAATGCATGTGGCCAGTGATGGTCGCGCACAGTCGGAAAAAGGGGATCGGTGTCGTCGGTCCGATAGAAAACGAAGTGCAGGAAGAGCAAGCGTGGGCAGCCTGGGCAAAGGACGAGGGTGAGTAGAAGGTCGGTGACTTCGCACTGATTGTCATAGAACGTCGACGAGCGGCATTTTGTGTCCTTCTCATCGACACTCAGCTCTCTGCCTTTTGGAACCAGCACTGCTCCCGTCAACTGTCCATCTTTGCCCACAACATCGCCCTCCCTTGTCCTCGAAACCAGTGGGATGCCCCGACAGCAAGCGAGTGGTTCCGATTAAGGGAAGCCTCCATGCCAAGTCCTTCGACAGCCGCGCGAAACTCGTCCAGAAAAGCAAAGACTGGCTACATGCCGGGTCTGAACCCCGAATTCCAGGTCTCACAAGTCTCAGAAGGATACAGCAGTAGTGTCATGAGTGCTTTGGCAGGAGAGAGTGCTCTACTCGACTTTCCAGTCGACATGGAGCATGCGTTGAGTGTGGAGATGGTCTTGATCGGATTGATGGCTGTAGCATGGGATTGTCGGACGCGAGGGGGGATGGGCATCAGGTTCAGGGAAGGAACAAAGCAATGGCGAACCATCGTATTAGCCGGTGAGTCGATAAGAGGTGGCCACTGCTGAATTTCTCCAGCTGTGATCAACCTCCGGGCAGTATGGGAAATGGGAGTCGCTCATCTTCCGCCTTCCATCGAGAGTCGGGACTTGCGAGACTCTTTTGCCATCTCTGTCATCTCAGTTCTGAGCGACATGTGAGTAGAGCAGCAGACGAAACAGCCTTGCTGACCTGCTCAGACCCATGCTCCAGGTCGCAGCAGGCGCTACATCTGTATGCGGGTCTACCATCGGACCTCGTCAATTCAAAGATGCTCAGCGTCGTCTTCGTATCTGGGGGAAAACAGAAGACGCATGGACATGCCTATGGCAAAGCGCTCGATATCTTCGTCAAGCGCTTTTCACCGATTGGGGTATTTACTCGCCATGGGCGGTCTACATGACTGTCTTGGTTCACTGGGCTTACGCTTGGACCCTGCCCAACTCGCCTCCTATCATGATGCCTACTTCCCCAACGTCTGGGTTTGAGCCTTCAGCCAGTGCGAACCAACATCAAGCGACAGTCCTGCTGGATCATATCCTCACTTCGGCGACTCGGCTGGATAATCTCGACTTGGGTATAGCAGAGCTCATCAGCTGTACGGCTGAAAAGCTGGGAGCCATGGGCGATATTGAAAGGGAGAATTCCGCGCTGTTATGGCGCTTGATGGGAACGAATGGGATGAGTCAAGCGAGGCGGAGGTCTAGAGTGTGGGATGGATTGATATGATCTAGAGGCGATCGACGGACAATCAGCAAAGAGCTTGGTTGAGCATGCAATGTTGTAGATCGTGAGAGACCGGTCGTGCTGAGTATTCGCAGGTGTCATACCGTTTATCATGCTATTAACAAGACGAGGTCTGCGGTATCGCCCTCCCGCATCAGTTCGGCAAGTGAACCGAATCTTGCCGATAGCCTCGGGATCTGCGTTCACGTGCAGGTCGACCACATGAGAGTGTTGTCGCAGAGTTTGCCGTATCATCATGTCCGACGGCATGGTGGGGAGGGTGTCTGGCCCGCTTCCCCAAAGGCGCCCTCAGCAGCTTCTGATTGTCCATTCGCCGACCTGTCCACTGAGACTGCGACCGGATGAGATCTTGCTGGTAAGGGAGGTTTTCCCCACTTGATTCCCTCCCCACCCCCACTCTTTTGATCCATTCACGGATGAGTATCGTCCAAAATATGTATCCGTAGACACCCATGGCGTTCCCAGCGATCTATCATTCTGAGCATCCCTTATAGCCTGTGTTCATCAAATTGTCAAGCATACACCATTCTGCAGCGAGGCTCCCTCCTCAGCTATCGCCACACTGTTTTTCCCTATCGACTAGCACGAAGCATCCCCAGCACGCCCCGCTGAATCACTCAACCAGAAGCTTTCCCGAATTCCCCCGACTTTGACCCGTCGAGCTTGACAAGAGGCTCTGCCAAGGGTGATACCGTATCAACGGCCACTCGTAGCTGAGTGACGTCTCGCTGGCTCTCCTACCCAGTCATCAGCCCCTCCGGACACACATCCAGCCTGAGCCTTCTTTATCAGATAACAGTTCCTTTGTGTCAGTGGTCTTGGAGCGGAAACACGCAACCCAGGTCACAAGTGGGGGACGTCTCTCGCATCACGAATCATCACAGACCATGTCCTCGCCACACAGTGCACCTCCTGACCTTCTGTTCCTCTCGCCGACTGTCATCTCTGGAGAAGAAGATGCAGAACCATACACTGCCGACGTTTTGCTCTCTGACGGTCTGATCAAAGCTATCGGCACACTGGATGGTTCGACACCCCAGAACATTCAGCGTATAGACGGAAGAGGATGTATACTGTGTCCTGGGTTCGTCGACCTCCACGCTCATTCAGATCTGTATCTTTTGACAGAGCCTGCACACGAGGCAAAGATCTCACAGGGATGTACGGTAAGTCGAACTCATACTCCAGAGGATACAGAGCTGACTCGACCCCGTCATTGTCCTGTCCCCGTTCTGTCATATCGTTCTACTACCCTCAGACCGAAGTCGTTGGCCAGGATGGGCTATCCTACGTCCCTGTCCGAAACGCCAAACAGTCCCGTGCGATCCGAGATCAGATAGCGGGCTGGAATGGGAACCCGACAGATGAGGAGTGTTCAACGGGTGGAAGATTGGAAGGAGTGGGCATGTTCGAATGGGGAGGCGTGAAGGACTACTTGGATTGTTTAGAGAAGAATAGAACAGCAACCAACGTGGCGTTCCTGGTACCTCAGGTAAGTTACAAGTTCTCAGCAGATGGGCTCAAGCGCACAGGGGAATCTTCGATTACTAGCTTGTGGACCTTATGATACCGTTGCTTCAACCTCTGAGATCCAAGATCAAGTGGACCTTCTACGTGTCGCCATGAGCGAAGGAGCGGTCGGCATGTCAAGGTGAGAAAAGATTGACCTCACGAGCCGAGCAGCCGAGCTGACGCGGGATGAGTAGTGGCCTGACATACACGCCTGGAATGTACGCCTCCAATTCTGAGCTGGCTGTACTATGCAAAGTGCTGGGAGAGGAATACCCTGGAGCATTTTATGCGCCACATCACCGATCATACGGCAAGCGAGCGATCGAATCGTACGGAGAAATGCTTGATCTGGCGAAAGAGACGGGATGTCCAGTCCGTGAGTGGACACAGATCGTACTGTGTCTCATTCCACAGACTTGACTCATGCCACACTCAACTTCTCCGAGAACAAGGGTCGAGCGCCAGAGCTCGTCAGGATGATTGATGAGACTCGATCCTCAGGAGCGGATATAAGTCTCGATACTGTGAGTCGCGAGCGACCTGGAAAACCCATGTCCTGACGGCTGCTTCCAGTACCCTTACCTTCCTGGATGTACCACGCTCGCGTCTCTTCTCCCATCGTGGGCTAGCTCTGGTGGTCCCAGCGATACACTGGCTCGATTAGGCGACCCCGAGATAAGGTCAAAGATTCAACACGCCGTCGAGGTCAAGGGTTGTGATGGCGGACACGGAATCCCGACAAACTGGGACGAGATACAAGTGCGTGGAGGGCAATCGTGTCACACTGATATAGCACAGATCGGCAGCACTTCCCATCCCGACCTTGCGAGCTACTCTGGGAGGCTGCTTGGACCTCTAGCTAAGGAGCTCGAGGCCCAACCAATCGACCTCTTCTTTGACATCTTAGTCAAGGATCGACTGGCGACTTCCGTCATCATGCACATTGGGAACGAGGAGAATGTCAGAGTCATGATGCAGCATGAGACGCATTGTTCAGGAAGTGATGCCATACTGCACGGGAAGAGTCTACATCCGAGAGCATACGGGACGTTTCCAAGGTTCATCGGTGAGTTCATACCCTAACTCAGGAGAGAATACATCGGTAAGACTCCCGCTTACGACACACCCTCCTCTCTCTTAGCCCATTATGCCCGGGATCTCGGACTGATCCCCGTACCCGACATGATCTCCCATTTGACCTCTCGACCCGCGAAGCGCCTAGGCATCTATCCCCATCGTGGATGTATCGCCAAGGGCTCAGCGGCCGATATCGTCCTCTTTGATCCCAAGACCATCCAAGACATGTCGACTTACGAAGCACCCAAGACGGTCGCGCAAGGGATCCGCTGGGTCATCGTCAACGGTCACGTGGCGATGGAAGAGGGTGCATTGACAGGGCGGCGAGGAGGAAAGACCATCAGGCGACGGGCCGATGGTTCTGTCGGAACGGCCTTGGAGGTGAAGATGAGTCATGCCTCCTCGGTAAATGGAGACAGCGATGTGGCGCCACGTTCAAAGGAACCCCTGGTCAACGGCAACCAACACCTAAGCATCACGGCGTAGCCTGTGCCCGGACTTCAGTTGTATCATACTCAGAGGGCTCATGTATGCAATACATAGGTATCCTCTAGAACCTACGAAGGCTCGGAGACGTCGCGGCCCTTTTCTTTTTCCTCTCTGACCGATGTCGGCGAATTGCGTCGCCGAAGATGGGGGGTTGTCCAAAATAATACATAATTCACAGAGCATACCATAAAGGGTCAGTCACCTGGATTGGGTCGATCACCAGCTGGTCTCTGTCATCGTCCACCGCTTTGGCTTAATCGTGACAACAAGACCTCTGGTGGTCCGATCCGCATCATCACTTTCGGGGCTCGACTTTCGATACCTGGTTTCGGGACGAATCCCCCACCTTAACATCTGGATATAGACCGGCTCTTTGGGCCTGAAAGTATTCGAGATTCGCTTCGTCGACATTCTTTCACCTTGGCGCATTATTCAGCAGTCTTGACTGCCGATTGGTGGGACCTCGAACGAGCTGGCCGTCGCTCTTGGTGATCTGGTTCGTTTTGCTTTATCACTGCGTATTCTATTGTACAGAGGAGCCTATCGCGCTATCGGCCGAATTCCTGACTGACCTTCCACCACGCCACTGCCCTCTGTGGAAGGCCAATTCCTTGAGTCTAATCGCACTCACCACCATGTCCCTCTCCTCGCAACGTCTCGCTCGCTCTCTCACGTCGCTATCGCCACCTCCCAGTGCTCGGCTCGTGTCGTCCCTCGCCCCTCCTTATGCTCATTCGACGACGGAACCTAGCGCGTCCCTCCTTCCCCCTTACTCTCACAAAGTCGATAGTGATTCGACTCATGCTCCTTCGACATCCCTCTCCGCTCATCATCGTTTCTTTCTCCAACGAGCTTCAATTCCACCTACTGGCGCCTCAAAAGTATCGCTTCATCCCAGAATCCAATCGCTCCTCTTGAGCGACGTGGGTCGAAATGAATTGACGGATCTATGGAAGGCCACTGTCCTGAATCTCGAATCCAGTCGATCAAGGGGCATCCAAGTCCCTCAAGTATCCTTTATCTCCCTCTCACAGCAGGTCAAAGAGGAGTCGTTGGTCCGGACATTCCTCGAGACTGGCGTATTGGTTGTCAGAGATGTGGTGAGGGATGAAGATGTTCATACGTGGACAGAGCAGTTAAGCGAGGCTCTCAAGGAGAGACAGGGGAGAAGTGAGTGGACTGGATGTGCTCCATTGAGCAGGACTGAACCTCGTAGTGACATTCTGGGACAAATCTCTGCTCTCGGCTCGATCTCATCCGTCGGTGCTGTCTGCCAATGCCCAGATGATGTCGGCTGTCAGCGGAACAGAGACTGAACCCTACATTCTCGCCTCTGCAGCTAGGGAGGGCATCGGACAGTCACAGACTTCGATCGATGTGCGTGAGCCATGGAAAGTAGAAGCCACAAAGGTCAGTCCAGAACGCTATACAACTTCATTCATGCCTCTGACAATCGTCTCAGTCTGCACTCCCTTCGACACCACTCAGCGCCCAGCTTGCCCTGACTCGATCTTCCGACTCGGTCTCGACCGTCCTACCGTCCATCTCAGCGGCCATCTACGCGACTCTGAGACCTCTGTTCGTACCGCGACGATCTCTCCTCTCATTCTATGACAAGTCAGCGTATCTCGATCCGGCCAACTGGACGCTATCGACCACATCTTCGGCCGAATCCTCAGACACATCTCTCCCTCATCTGATCGACAGCGCGGTACCCATGCCTCAATTGGAGCCTGGTGATATCTTGTATCACCACACTGGACTTCCTGTGCACACATCGTTTTCGCAGGTGTTCCTGCCTATTTCTCCCCTGCCCCGAGACGTCAATACAGAATACGTAGCGCATCAGCTTGAGGCGTTTGAACGTGGTCTCCCGCCTCCTGGACAGCAGGCACAGGATCTGGTCGAACTCGAGATGGAGGGTTCGAGGAGAGATATCAAGACAGGCGGAGGACGAACCGCCATGGGCTACGATTAACGGCTGGCTTTGCGACATTCGTTCTTGGCTCATTCATTCTTGGCGTCACCTTTGTCCTTTGAGATCTTGTGCCGTTGCGTTGACCTGTAGACCATAGAACAGTATACATTTGACCCGCTTTGATTGTAATCTTTCGCCTTCTTGTAAATACCTTTTGTCGTCCATGTTATTACAGTATTTCGGGTGAGCAGACGTCACAGACCTCAAAATAACTCTCAGGGCCAACCAAAACTGGGCTGGACCGAGAGGACGAGTGCTGGGCCTCAAATGTTGACGACGTGGTCAAAGGTGATGAGGTGAACAGAGGAACATGCATCATAGACGTGATAGATAAGAAGCCTTGAGCGTGTCCTCGCCATTGCTTGAGACCCTCGTTCGTCCCCCAAAACCATCCTTGTGCTTGCCATCGTCGACCATTTTTGAAAAGTTGGAGCCAAATTTTTTCCCTAAAATCGACTCACAAAAGACATCGGCCATCTCCTTGTCACCTTCAACAACAACAACAACAATACCGATATTCTCCTCCTGCTGTCACTTTCGAAGCATAAGGGAATAACTCTCCACTTCTAGGCCAAATTCGTCTCGGTGCTCTTTAGCTCGAAGACCGTTTGTGATTGCCCCGTGCTTCATCATCGGCCAAGACTATCACCAAGGGTCTTTTTCCATATTAAACCATTTTCCCGACGGTCGTTGCATTCCACACTCATTCCGCATCCTATCGTTCACCAAGGGATCCTCATCACTCGATTGCAGTCTCATACGTCTAGCTTGAGGGGGCAATTGGCCATCTGTCTCTGAAGCCCAGGATGGGCTTTTTCAACTTTCTCCCATGCTGTGGACCGAGGAAGAAGGAGCGGCAGGATAGTTCATCGGTGAGTGCGAAAAGCGGGTTCGGGCAGGAGTGTATAAGAGAGTCCTGATGCTTCGTCACTGCGAGCGGCGTCTTGCTTCGAGTACACCTTTCTGCTCGATCCTGCCTCTCCCTATAACCCTACCAAAGCTTACTCCCATCACTTCAGACCAACGAATCCACCTCACTCCTTCCACCCGCTCGCGAAGCCTCCATTCTCTCCGATGGAACACACAATGGTCAAGGTCCAGGCATGTATGGGTCACTTGAACCTACACCACTGAACGGTCTGACGGGTGAACAACGAGCGAGGATAGAAGAGATTGGCAGAGAGGCCACCAAGTGAGTCTTTGAGCTAGGCGGAAAAAAATTAAACCATCGATCTGTGCTGATCGTATTCCCTCGACCCAGTCAAATGCTACACATCACTGCTCTTCCCCCTCGCCATCCATCTGGTCAATCTCGTCATACATCCACTACCACACCGGGAGGTACAGCCTCTGATCCGTTCGACAACTCCACTGCCCCTTCTTCCCGATCCACGTCTCGCCCACCCTCCCCTTCACCTGTCCGTACCAAAGAAGACTCGGGTATGCTACGGACATCGACTTTAGAATCGGAAGAAGGAGGTGGAGGTCATACAGCCGCTGGTGTGGTGATGGCTGAGGACGGGGTCCAAGTCATCAGGAAGAGCCTTTTCGGTCCCGGTGGTCCTGGACTTGCACCCGGGAGGGATGCCAGTCGGCGGACGAGCGGAAGAGGGAGAGGGGGCAAGGGTGGTAAACCGAAGCCAAAGGCAAAATGAGGGCAGCATTGGCGCGAGTGTCAGCAGCCTGACACTTGAGAACTCTGTAGACACATGTTGTACATGTAGCCATTATCAACATCATGCACATCTTCATGGACAAGATCAGACGACCCTGACCTAACCACCATTCTAAAGACCAAGATGCGTTTCAAGTGCGATGCATCCGAGTTTGTCGCCTTTCCTGGCACCATTCGCCTGATCGCTCTGGCCATCCCTTCCACCTTGTTCACTTCAGATGCGTATTGACTCTGAGAAAGCACCTTCAGCGTTCTCGCAGACACCCCCACTCACCCGTCTTGACGACTTTTTGGAGATCCTGCTCCACTCCCCACACATGCGCTCGCATGTCCAGCAGCTCAAGGTGTAGTCCGTCCTGTTCATCCTGCATCAGACCAGCTTCTTCTCCTCGTCCTCTGAAGAGACCCACATAGACCTTTTTCATCTCTCCTCTGACTTTGACCACATCGTCTCTCTGAGCCATCGACGATTTCAAACTCGCTACCTCTTTTTCAACCTGTTGCAGCCGGTCCAGATGGGATGTTATCTGTAGGAGACGAGATCAGCGATCCGACGCCCCCAAACCAATTCACCTTGCCTGTGCTCTGTTGCAGCTCGTCTATACTCGCTATAAGGAGTCCCGAAGCGACTTCTCGTTCTTGATTCAGATAGTAGAGGGCTAGCGAGCCGGCTAGTGAGAAGCCAAAGAGCTGGAATGGAAGTATCAGGAGGAAACGTTCAAGGATCCTGTCCTGATCCGACGTTCAACTCACGAAGCCTAGGATTCTGAGGACGGCTCAGCGGATCATGTTCAGCGCAAAACCCATTTCACTCACCCTCCTCTGAGTTGCGAAGAAAGACCACATCAGTCAAGAGCTCTTTGCATCTCAGAACACTCCACCTCCCGCTCACCTGAATCCACCTCTTCGTGGAGGAGGTAATGATCCGACCGTTCCGACTGCTGGCGTCACGACCTCCTGGCGTGGGACAGGTGAGCTGGAGAGTGCTCTGCGAGCAGCCATTGACGCTCGCAGCATATGAGCTGGGGGGGCTGGTGACCTGAGCAGGGACATGCTTGTGGTGACCTAGAGCCTGGCTCCAGAGGATTCAGAAATGGAGGTGGGTAAAGAGAGGTCAAGAAAATAATGTTCGCTGGCCGCTGAATTTCGAAATGCCAGTCGAACCTCGTCTGTCTGGGTGCAATGACGATCGTAAGCCTAATGGTCACGAGATAGACGACGCGATGCTTGAGCCCGTCGCGGACATGCTTCTTGAACCGACTGTCAGGTCCCATTCATTGTCTGCAGTCCGATCCTGGATCATCACATGCGCATCCCTTTCGCAGAAGAGGCTCGAGAGCATCCATCCCTTCATCAACGCGTTGACTCTATGATCACATCTTGACATGTAGCCCATCTTGACAACGTACATGAGACGGCTGATTGTCGCAGCTTCCTAGGAATGATCATGGACCAGACGCCTAGCTCCACAGGCTCATCATCATTTCTCTCACCCCTGACACTTACCGAATCTCATCCATCGACTGTACCTGCAAACTCAGCGACCATCACGACACCCAGCACGAACAGACCATTCTACCCCTTACATTCATTCGGCAGCCATGAAGATCCTCGTCAAGTGCAGCTCTGCTATGATGCCGGTCAAGCGTACCCTCCATCACAGCAAGAATTTCACACTCTTCTAGCTAGTCATGGTCTCCCACATAGCGCTGCAGCCATGAGCGAACATTCGACTCCCTTCACCGGTCCAGCAGATGTCCTCACGACGCCTACACAAGAGATTCTGGCCAGTCGGTATCTCGTCTCGCCCATCGATACCGTCTACTCCGCCCATACTTCAGGAGACGATCCAGCTTGGCCGACCTCGTCAGCAGCCCAGACCACTCCGACGCATCCTCCCCAACGAGGATCAAGTACACCTCAGAAAGAAGCGTTGGACCAGTCTGTATGCCGATTCCCTCAAAAGTCCAAGTCTGGCCACACCATTATCCCATTTGAACCCGAAGGACGGATCACCAGACAGCGAGCAGCCGCAGCGGCAGCAGCGTCTCAGACAGACTATACGAACACGCCAGACCTTGACCCAATCTTCAAGCTCCCCGCTCGACCCAAATCCGTACAACCTAGACTCGCTTTGGAACCTCTCAGGGATACACCGCCGCCTCAGCCTTTCACTTCCATTGAAGCTCCTGGGCCTCGTTCGAGGATCCCGTTCAACCCTCTCTTCCTGCAATATTCGACAGCGGGAGAAGACTACCGACCGAAAGCGTCTGCAGCAGACGCAAAGCTACATGCAAGAGATATCTGGTCGAAAGGAGGACAGCTTGCCAGAATCGGCTATAGGTGAGTCAGACGTCGAAAGAATCACAACAGCCATATCCTTCCTTTGTCGAGAGGAAGGTATATAAAGGCTGCCCATCCTGTCCTCATCTAAATCCCTGCCCCTGTTGGAATCTGCTGATATGGAGTACCTCGTTCTCTCCCCTTTGCCAACTGCGCGACCTATGCCTGTGACATCCGCCCTGCCTCCCAGTGCTCCTGTCTCTGCGACCGTCACTCCGGGAGATCATGCTCACATGGCATGTGTACAAGCGTTGCTCGAGTTCAGTATCGCTGTCAGGAGTCTCTCAGTGCGTGCATCAAGGTCTCCGCAGTGGAGTGATCTAATCGTCTTCAGGGGGCCGCATACGACGAGTGGACAGCCTTCACCGCGGACCAATTCCAGCCTGGCTCCAGGTTCATTCTGTCTATGCCGACAAGCTCGAGCATCTCTCTCTACGGTAAGCCCAAAGCTCTAGCGCCGAAGCTCAGTCGTACCAGACATCGACACAGCGTACTTGCCTCAACTGTTCACCACCATCGATCCTCTTTCTACTCGTCTCGATATTACCGCTTTCCATGTGGACACTTCCAGAAGCAACATCCCTTCCCTGCGTTCCTGTACATTGCAGTTCGATGCCGATTGGATCTGGGTTCATCAGGACCATACCATCGTATGGAATTGTCGTATCCAGTCGGACTGGACCGTGAAACCAGGCGAGCTGCCGAGGATGACATGCCTCGAGGTGATTGTCGACTCGTTCAGCGGCACGGGCAATTCAGAAAGGGATCAGGGAATGCCAAGATGCGCCATACTGGTCTTACAGGTGGGACTGAGGTGTCGTTGTCGGACGCTGATCTCTCTAGCTCGCTGAGAAGATGGAGGCTCTTACCGGGTTCATGACGCTTGTCGAGGCAAATCATGTCACTCCGCACGGCAAGTTGGAGGATATGGAACTCATCAGCTGACTCGGTCTTTAGACATTGCGAAACGAATGTCGAACAGTTCGCCCCGTTGACTCTCACCTCAGTATGGGAACATCAGAAACTTGACAAGACAGGTGTAGCATAATGAGATCTTCTACATTGAAATGAATTGTTGTACATATGGCCACATTCGTCAACTATCACGAGCCCCTGACCTTTCTGGAGGGCCTTTCCATTCTGAATTGTCACTTGCTTCCTTGCCCTATCACCGTCAAAGCACTGAGTATACACTCCTTCGTCTCTGCCGTCGTGTGAAGACCATCGACATCACGTTCAGACACCCATTTCCAAGCTTGATGCTCGATAGGATCGAGCCGGATCAGAGTCCGCATTGATTCTCCCTCCATATGTGAACCTTGGACACTTTGAACCCCCCTCGTGCCCTCCAGACCCTGCACGTCGACCCAAAACACGAACTGCTTGCTCACTCCTCCGCCTGACAGGTGGTATTCCAAGCCTTTGAGTTCCCTCTTGATTCCGGTTACCCTTAGCCCTGTCTTTTCCCTCGTTCCCCTCACCACAGTCTCCAGCAACGTTTGGTCGACACCAAACTCTGCATGTTCTCCTGGGAGCTCCCAGTTATTCGCAAAAGCTGCATCATGAGCCGAGCGCTGGACCACGAGGAGCCGAGACACGAAGGGTGTCGTTGCACTTGATCCAGGACCTTCATTCGATGTCCCCGGGAGGTAAGGCTCGGATATGACCACGCTCGCACGTATCCTCTTGCCTTGATTGCTCGATAGCTTTGTAAACTTGGATAGAGGGATACAGAACCGCGCGAGAGAACGATGAAAGGTGAAGGGCGGGTTGCGGAACTGGATCTTGGGATAGTGATTGGGATCAGACTCGATAGACTCAGGCATACAGGGCAGCGAACGAGTGAGTTGCAATCCTGCAGGACTCTGTTTCGAAGACAAGTTGTGGCGATATCAGACCGCTCAGCTCCGGCGCAGACAGTACTGGAGACTGAGAGATCAAAGGAGAGTAGTGCAAAAATGTGAAAGAGGACAACCAGTAACGTTGGCGCAAATCGTCGACTGTACTGGATGCATACTACTATTACCATCCCTTCCACGGGACCCAGACATCCACGACGGTCTCTCCACCATCCTCCACAACATAGATCCAAGGATGACCGGCACAGACCAAGCACGCGTGTTGAGGAACAATCCTGACCACGTCCCCGACATTCAATTGGCCAGGTTGCTCGCTCGTGTCTCCGACTTTACTGCTCTTGGGTCTATGGGTCAACGTGCCGTGCTCTTGGCTGATCCGACCAAGGTCCCAAGCGGTGGCATGTGGAGGGGAAATGACATGACCAAAACCCTCAAATGGACCTGTATCTTTTGATACAGCCAGGGCACCGCAATCACACATGGCTTCATTTCGATGGGGATAAAGCGAAACCACTCGAGCGATAACTGTCAGAGCGAGGTCGGTAGGCGCAACGAGGGACGTAGCGTATTGCTGAAGATCGCAGACGCAATAGTTGCCCGCGTGCCTGATCAAATGCCTCAACACGATCCTGGACCAAGGCCAACTCACAACTCTAAAGCGCCTTCTAGACCCTGCATCGCTTGATGGGTCTCTTGCACAGCTGCGTGGGCCGTTGGCGTAGCTCCTACAGAGAGGATCCAATCGCCTTTCGCACCGAGCGACCGCGCCACTTGTGCAGCCGAGTTGACGCATTCGATTTCGCCTTTGAAGTAATCGGAAGCGTTGTCAAGTGACTTGGACGCGTAAGATTGGCCAAAGTCTGAGGTCGTGTCAGTCGACACTTCGATAAGACAACCTCACGAGAGTAGAAGCCAAAGATAGATACAGCTGAGCATGCCAAAACTGCTTCGACGAGCTCTTTCATCTGTTGACTTTGGGGAGGGAGACCAGCACGCCTGCGTAAGTGGGCATAGTTTCAGCGGTTGTGTAAAAAATGAAGCATGTTGAACGCACTTGCCACCTCCATCCACTTTGATGAACACCGACCACGGCTTATTCCTGCCAAACCTCTCTGAAAACCTCTGTATAGCCTCTACTTGAGCCGGATGATCGATCATGAGCCGAACGATAGCCTTGTTACCAACTTTCTCCTGGACATCGTTCAGGTCCTCAAGCTTATCTTCGCCGATCGGCAGAGAATAGAGAATCTGAAGAGGGTCAGTCGTGTAACTTGCTGCATCAGACTCACGTCATCGACTAGACCATCGTGCACCACACCAGATGCCACGACCTGCCAGACCTCTGGCATCGTAGAGCATACCAAGGCTCTGACCCCTCCTCCCGCTTGGACCTGGAGTCTGACTCCCTCGGATGTCTTGTGAGCTGGGCGCGAGCTCAGTTATATGAGATTCAAGAAGGCCATGCTCACTCTTCACATGAGCTCGAAATCTCAAGTCTCTCCTCTTTGCTTCGCTAGTAACCCGTTCGCAATTCTGTTTGAACTTTGTCCTGTCCAAGATCAAAGCTGGTGTACGGAGCGATGAAATGTCTCTACCGACAAATTCATCTTGCAATGCTTTCTTATCGGGAAGAGTGAGGAGGGATAATGGTGTGAATGTTGAGGCGATGGATTTGGACTTGGACATGACGAGGCCGGTTCGGGTGGTGGTATCTCAAAGAGGACGACCAACGATAATGGACCGAGAACGTATTCCCCACTTTGACTTCCCCACTCTCTGGGAGCGTCTCGAGTGGACATGATAAGGTCGGCCTGTGGCTCGAGACTGTGGGCAGTCATAGTGACTGGGCTCATAGGCGTCTTGGGGGGTAAATGGGGGGGGGGGAACATGACCTCGTAACCTTTGCCTTTTGCAGCTCTCGGTCAAGATATCCTCATCTCGACGCAGTCCCATCGAGCTTTGAGGAGCAAACTAACGATAGGTCGTCTACCTGACCATCTACGCTGACGAGTCACTCTCGGCAGTCATGATTATACATGTCATCCAGCCCGCCCCGCCATGCCTTTCGATCTAGACAGAATGACGGAATGATTGACCACAATTCCCCCGCCCGCCCTCTTCCTCTTGGCGCATGACATGAACGGTCAAAGCTGACCTATGACCGTCAATCGACACACGCGTCATCAAGCGAACCTCCAAGTGCTGACTGTCCTCCTTCCAAGATCACATATAAAGAGTATCCATTCCCATCCTCTCTCTCTCGCCCTCTTCCACCCATCTTATGTACCCCAAACGCATCCGCTCATTCGCCCGACTCACTCAAATTTCGATCAGATACAGATCCAACATGGCGACCAACCCATCTCACTCCGCCAACGCTTCTCACGCCGTTGACCCTCAGCACGAGTCAAAGGTTCCCTATGGCGTCCAGAACGCAGCTCCCAAGGGACTCGAAGAGGCTCTCCCCGACAGTGTAAGTTGATCGCCGGATCATTGGCATGTGGCTGATCATAACATAACGTCAGGTCCACAACACCGATCCTACCAAGGACAACAAGAACATCTCTCATGCCACTGGACCCTCGAAAGTTCCCGGAGCTATCCAGAAGGCTGCTCCAGAGGGACTCGAGCGAGCCCTCCCTGAGTCTATCCACCCTACCAATAAATGTGAGTGTCCCTGCGCCTTCACCGGGAGAGGTGTTGACTGTCTTCCACAGGAGGTAGTCAAAGCCATATGACTGCGTGAGGACGTAGGCTATAGACTATACATTCATGTATTGATGCAGAAACAAAGTCTCTCGGGCCACAATCCCAGTCTGGCTGGGTGGCGCTCGGAGCACTCGTCAGCTACACAGCTAAGCCAAGCTTTCATTCCGGCGCATCAATCGCATATACTCGTCGAGACTTCGCCCGCAAGGATTGTACTGTCGCTGCAATCTTCGGCATGAAGTCATGAAAGCCTATATGACTCCAGAATCATTCGATAATCCTCAGCTTGCGTGTCGATATCTTTCAGCTTTCTGCATCTCATGCATGTGGGACAGACGATTATCAAGATGCAGATAGACAGGCATGTGGGATCAAGGTCCAGCCCAGTCCTCACACTGTCAACCCAGTCCCTCTACTGACAATCTATACTTCCCGAGTCGGTGATCTCGCACTTATTCGGGCATTCAGTGATCGTGACCCATTCTTTGAGACAATCAGCGTCGTTCTTCGTTTAATACATACCTGGCGCCTCGAGCGTTTCGTAATTGCACACTTGAAGCGTCCCCGAGTTGCATTGCCACAGTCCAAAGGTACATGTCTCTGTATTTGACGAGGCGGATGGAGACGGTTGAGCTGCGTAGGAGATTCGAGAGGGCCCCGATGAGGAAGAAGATGATGAGGGGACTGATTCGGCGCTGCTAGTGGGGATCGCGTTGTAGATGTTGTTGTCTATTGGCGCAACACTGAAAGCAGCAGAGCTAGCAGGGGCAGGGGCGACCGAGGCTGCTGAGCTAGCGGGCGACGAAGAAACGGATGCAGAGCCTGAGGCAGCCGATTCTCCAGAGTCTGAATCTGAACCGGCAGATCCCATTCCTGTCCAATTCATGATGTTTTTGTCCAGAACTTTGACGGTCAAACCTTCCGGGTTGTTACCGGCGCAAGTGCCGCCTTTGATCGTGGTGAATGCGAGGGCTGAAGAATTGTCAGATAAGACGAGGCAGTCCACCCACCCGACAGATCAATGATAGAGGCCGAGGAGCATGCAGCGCAGGCGTCCCAGATGAAAAATGGTCCATCAGGGATGAAGATCTGCTCGCCGTTCGAGTCAAAGATCTCCACTCTGGCGGGAGATCAGCACGCCGTGTGTGGATCGAACTCACTCTTTCCCACACCATTCAGCAGGGTTGGCCGTTACCATGTTTCCGTTCATCGCTGCAAACGTCAGTGCCAAAGATGGCGTCGTCTTCGACTCACCGACGATCGAGTTTGACCCAATATCTGCGAGAGTGGCAGTTCCCTGCCCCTCGCAAAAGGGAATACCGTTGTTAATGCCACTCGTCTCTGCCCAATCTGGTGTGAACGGGTCCCCAGCGGCCAGATCACCACACAGCTTGTTGGTCAAGTCATAGTATCTGCATCGCAGTCAGCACGGCCAGGTAGTCTCGATCTCAACACTCACACAGTGCCTTTGGCATTGTCAAGCTCGTACAAGACGTCCGCAGCCACGAGCTGGCTCCCGAGGACCAATGTCAGGGTGGTGTAAAGGAGACCTGAGAGCATTTTGAGAGTGAATCGATGATAGATCTGAGGATTGCAATGTGCTCGCCAGGAGCAATGGTTGATGAGACTGAAAATTTGCTGTAGTGACCGTGATATCGAACGAATGACAGAGACACGCGAAGGATGAAGAGACGGTCGGGCCGAAGAGGCTCTGCTGAATCGGTCACGTCAAACGAGAAAGGGTGAGGTCGGTAAAAAGGCCAAAGGAGTGTCGTGAGAGATGTCAAACGTCAAAAGACTAAGGATCCAGTCCTAGTCTGAGGAGGAGCTAACTAGATAGATCAACACAAAGAACAAGAGTCGACGAGAAGAGGAATCAACATGAACCATGAGTCCAAGTCGTCGTCCTTTTCACTTTGTGCGACGCGACTTTTTATTTTTTTGGGTTCCTCCAAGTGATTTTTGAAACGATCGCGATTTTAAAGGTGGCGTATAGTGGCGTGTGGCGACCGGCAGATTGGATTCATTCATTCATTTCATTCAACAGGAAGCTAGACGATAGACACTGTCTGATCTCATGGCCAGCCCAAGTCCCAGCCCAGACTCGGCACATAGAGACTGCTTCATGGTGCTCCTCAAGGGGACTGCATGGACGAGAGGGGTAGACAGGGCGAGGGTCAAACTGGGAGTATCGAAATCAGGGTCCAATCGGCCAAGGGCTTGAACAATCAAGGGGTCCAGTCGCCGAATCGATGAGGCGTGACGGTGGTGAGAACTTCGGATTGGCCTGACTCTTTCTTCTCTCTGTAGGCTGCGTCTAGATCGTGTTGTCGAGAGAGGTCCCGATGCGTCCTCAGGAAACGGCTGGTGACTTCCACTCGTTGCAATCACTTTTTGTGGGCCTGTCTCGTTCGCCGTTTCGGAGTCTAAAGCCGTGTGAAACGTATCGGACTCTTCAGGCGTCTCATATCCTGTGATGACTCCGGACTTCTGCTTGACCAGGACCCATCTGCCCCTCTCTCTACGGGTAAAATCCCTCACCGGTCTGCCCAGTCTCCTCTCCATCGCTTTCCAGACTTCGTCAGCCTCATCGCGTCCCAAGGAATCTGGATCTGGCTGCCACTCTAATCGCTCGCTAGTGTGCAGGATCTCATGTTGGTCGCTTGCTGTATTGGCCCAGTCAGAGCTTTCAACATCAGGTTTCAGAAGCTCTCCTTCGAACCTGCGGAATCGAATATCGGTGCACTCGTCTTCAAAGTCATGTCCACCAGAGCCATTGGGCTGATCGAAAGCTCCGCCAAAAGACCGGAGCCGTGCTGGGTAGCTCGAAGAGGGAGCCGGTGGAGTCGAGGCGAAGGGCAGACGAATGGACTCCAATGGAAAGGCCGACTGCACCGCTGACGGCCATGGACAGATCGAACTGTCGTCTTGCCTACGCTCGCCGTGTTCTGATGTCGGACCTTTGTTCCTGGCACGAGATGCATCCGTTCTCAGGCGGCCACGTACATCGGTCTCCTCTCGAGAGACTGGGTCTGGTATACGTGAGTGGGCCATGATCGGACCACGTCGGCACTGCGAAAAATCGTTCTCCGGATCGGAGACCTGGTTTGAAAACCATCGTTCATCGTATCCCAACGGTCCATCCCTCAATTGATACTTTGACACCTTGCGACGTCACTACTGTGCCATCAACTCACCCACTCACCCCTTTCAATCGACCGGACCACGCCTCCTTGGGCGATAGAAAGCCGACACGAACAGGCCCGCGACGCCTACCTTTGTCACCCTGTCCAGCAGTCGACCAGCAAAAGCTGTCCAGGAGACAGGAGGGAGGCGTGTCCATCGTCATCCTCGTGTGAGATCGCGTCCTGCGCGGTATGAATGCATGCGAACATAACATCGATGAGAAAGCATGAAATATACAAGGTGAAACCTGCCCAGCCCTCTCTTTGGCACATGCATGACTTTGCGTGTCGGGCACCAAATCTGAGACATACTCGTCTCGTTGATTGGACGCGGACAACCCCTACGGTTCTCCTCAAAGCTGGTGACACCCGTAGACTGAAGGCAATTGAGGGGCCCCGATGTGAACTTCTGTGCCCCGCGCCTACTAACGTAAGGACTGTGTGCCTTATGGTGACATCCTTATTCGATCCAGATCTCTAGCTTGCCCTCTGCGCGCCCTTTCGAATGCACCCTGTGATATCAGAAACGTCCCTTCCGCCTTGACCCACCTTGCCACATCCACCGCAGCCTCGTAATCCCCTTCATCTTGCATAGTGACCATGTCCCCGTCCTCATCTTTGAACTTCACCACCATGTCTTGAGCCCGCTCGGGAAACTTCACTGCCAGAGCAGCGACGAAATCGTCATACGTATCTTCTGGGACCATTGACATGCCTCGAGTCGACTTGCCCACGTGAACCTGAACGTCAGTATAAAAGTCACTTATAAACTCACCTTGACTCTAATCTTGATCATGCCACCAACACCGTCGCTCTCGCTAGGATCATCATCGTATCTCGACACGCTGATATAGCTACCAGCACGACTTGGCCAACGCTTCAGACCTCCAACGGGAACACCTGACGCAAAGCTAGAGGGAGGAGCCCTAGACGCCGGAGGCCGCTTTGAATCTGAAGCTGCGGGACTCTGCCCAAGCGGCGTCTGCTTCCTCCAAGTTTCCACTGGATACCGCTTTGCTCCTCCGATTGGAGGTAAGTCTGGTGGCATTTCATCGTCTGCGTTGGCCGACTGATAGTATTCGTCGTACATCTGGGTGAGTCGCAAGGCGTTCTTATCATCCTCAGGCGTCTGTATCAGAGGGTCCTCCTCGATCTCCAGTCTCAGCCTGGGCTTTGGAACACGGGTTTCGATTTGAGGAGCTGGTGTTACAAGTCGATTGGGCCGAAGACCGTCAGCTGTGAGTCCGCTATGTGAATCCTGTCGTGCTTGGGGGGCAACTGACAAAGGGGAGGTCGGGGACGGTCGAAAAGGTATCGAGCTGATGGAGTGACTCCGCAGGGTAGATCGCTGAGGCCGACTGTCCAATGCAGGGATCGCTGCGTCTGAGCTGCTGCGTGACATACGAGACGCCAATGGGGGTGTTTGCTTGGTTGCTGTTGTGGGGCTGACCGTAGCGGGTCGCGAGAGGGGATGGGAGGGGTCCAACGGCGCGCCCGTTGGTGTCTGACCGCGCTGCAGACGGGTGATTCCTGTGAACGTCGTATATGCTTCTTTGATATCAGACGCGGCGACGAGTACCTAGATCTCAGCGCTGGAATGATGCGGTACAACTCACAGCTTTGCCCATATAGTCTCTCGCTGCCAAGTTCTTCAGTTTGGCAGGAGCAGGTCGAAAGAGAATGCCAACCTACTGGTCAGGTCATAGCTAGAGGTTCGACTCACTGGCACAGAGAACACGTTGTAGTCCCTTCCTTGGTCCCGGATAGCATCGTCGATCACTCCATGATCTGGACTTTGTTTCATTGTCTGAGCTTCCCGTAGATCTTGCATTCCAGCGGCGGTCTTTCCAAGGTAGATCTTGACAAGCCCGCAGTTGAACAGGACTTCGGCACTGGAAGGATCAGCTGACGTCGTGGGGACCAACCTCACGCATAGAGTCGGAAATTGAGACCAAGTTGTTCATAGTTACTGGGCGGATGAGCGTAATCTTGCGATGTAGACGCCCACTCACATTGTCTGGTTGCCCCGAAGGTACAAGAACGCATCTTGAAAGTCCTTTAGAGCTTGCTCATATCTCCCCAGCATCTGTCATGGTCAGCGTGCAACTAGTTTTACGCCCTCACAAAGTTACTGACTCCCTTCTGATGATATCCTACTGTCAGGAATCCATCTAGGGAGACGGCCTCTGCAAACTTTTCCAAAGCAGCTTCATGCCTTCCGAGAGTCGCAAGAATGATCCCAATGTTCCAGCAGATCTTTGACGTATCCGCGATCTGGTTGAAGAAGTTTATCGACTTGACAAAATCCTCCTCATCGTAGGCTTCTAAGGCAGACGACCAGATCTCGAGCTCGGCTTTGAGCGACATGATGGGGATGAGCAAGAGGTCGATGCCAGCTCGATCGATATTTGCTCGCGTAGAGGAGCCGATCTCTGCGCGCGGTTCATCTCGAAGGTGAGAGATGCATTTGTCAAGACCAGGCTAGCGGCTGACCTCTTACTGTCTCCAGGACACGATGGCGGGATGTATGAAGTGAGATGGTGAAGACACGCTGGGTCGCTGAGAGCGTAGAGGACCTGTTGGCAGGAAGGAAAGGTGGTCACCAAGTGATCAAGCCCAGATAGTCATGGCAACAAGGCCGGGAACGTTGAAACTGTTGCAAAGATTGGATTGAAAGGGAACAGATGAAGTTTCATCGTCATCCTTCCAGCAAATGAACCCGATGTCATACGTATGCATATACTACTCACTCCACTTTCCAGTCTCACTGTTGACCACCTCTGGCTCTTCTCCACCCCTGATGATCGCCCATACTACCTCTTCGTCTCCGTCGTTGACCTCTTGATGATCCACTCCGGCGGGGATCAAAGCCCAATCCCCAGTCTTCATCTCGCAACGCTTCTTCCCGCCTTCTGAGAGGATAGCTCCGTGGCCCGATATCGCGTAGATAATGGTATCTTGAGAACCATGGTGATGGATACCAGAGGCAGTATGAGGTTTGGCAGTCATCACTGAGCGTCAGGGGTCATCAAGGGTAAGATGACCTGCCTGAGGAACACATCTGCGAGGACAACTTGACAATGGCGTTCGATCGCGACATGCCGGGAGTCTGGCCGCCAGACATCTGGAGGCTGCTACCGGAAACATGATGCACAGGGCGCATGGTGACCTTGGAAAAAAGTTAAGAGAACAAAGCTACGTTCCTATATATACTGCGACTATTCTAAGAACTAGAGGCGGCCTTGTTTGACGCGGCCGCCGCGTCATTACGGATCCTAACAATGTCTTCTCGATTCAAATGCTGGCGCAAAGTCAGCAGAGCCGATCATGCGAACCCACCTTTGTATCACACAGGCCTCTGAAGATTGAACCAGGTGTATCGAACAAGGCCAACGGCGTGTCAAACTGAACGTCAGTGTCTGCCACAAGGCCAAGCTTCTCACTTCTGCAATGCTTCCGCTGTCCATGACCAGGATTCTATCGTAGTATGCCACAGTCTGCAGTCGATGTGCGATGGAAATGAGCTAAAGCGTGAGCAAGCGTAACGATATACGACTTACGGTAACGGTCGAGAGCTCAGTTTGAATGATACGTTGAATCACAGCATCGGTCTCGGGATCGACCGAGGATGTCGCCTCGTCCAACAAAAGCACTTGAGAGTTTCGGACCAAGGCACGGATGAGAGCCACTGCTTATCAGCAATGGCTATTTGGATCACTTACATAGCTGCCTTTCGCCTGCGCTGAAGTTGCTGCCTTCATTCAGAACCACTGACTCCAGCTTGAACTTGTCCTTGAAACTCTTAGATCCGCCCGAATTGATGTGAATGAGGTTGACAAAGCGGTCCAAAGCCTCGTCGGTGTGCTTGTGTTCGGGATCGATATTGTCCCTAACGGTTCCGGCAAACAGGAAGGCATCCTGAGGGATGATTCCTAAGCGAGATCGGACCTGTTCTCAGTCAGCGCCGCTGTAATCATCCACTCACAGTATCCAGGCCGACCGTTCTAAGATTCACTCCGTCCACTTTGATCTCTCCGCCGCTTAATTCGACGCTCCGGAACAACGCTTGAGCGATACTACTCTTGCCAGCGCCTGTACGGCCAATGATCCCAACCTTTTCTCCCGCCTTGATGGTGAAGCTGAGGTCTTTGAGGACCAAGGGAAGGCCCTCACGGTAGCGGAGTTGGACTTTGTCAAATTCTACGAGACCGTGAAGAGGCCACTCCTCTGGTTTCGGGTCGGTCTCTAGGGACGGGGCAGCCTCGACTTCAAGGTCGTTATAGTACTGGACACGCTCGACGTTGTTCTGAAAAGGTGTCAGAAGAGTACATCTAACCAGACTTGCCATTTCCTGCTCCATCTGAGCGAATAGCGAGACCAATTGAGAGAAGACTGGGAGATCAGCGAGAGTTGTCCAAAAGGTCACCTACCGGATGCAGCTTGTAGAGAGTAGGTCAAGACAACCCCAAACTTGGATGGGCTGACCTGATCTCTGAAGAGGGCTCCAAAGATGGAAATCAAGAGGACCAGCGTGAAACTCATCAGATCCAGGCGCATTCCTAGCCATCTTTGAATGGTGATTGTCACGATGTATGCCTGACATTCGTGATTGATCGAGGCCTGCATCCGTTTGGTGAATGGCAGTTGCTGGGCAAAAGCACGAATGACGGCCATGCCTGCCAATTGCTCGCCAAAGGAACCATAGATTGAACTTCTCAGAATGGAGTCGACTCGCTTGACCTCTCGTGAAGACATGCGGTAGTAAGAGGCGGCAATGTACTGCCCGGTCAGGTCTGTCTTCATCGCGCACTTACATAGAGGAAGCATAATGGAATGAAGGCGAAACCTAACCAGGGGAAGGAATAGATCACGAGTGCAAATGTGCCGACCACGGAGAGTGCGTTACTGTGATTTAGCATCTGAGCGGGACACAAGACCTACGTCAAGAGCTGATTCCACACCTGAGCAAGACGGTCGTCGAGCATTTCGATATCCTTCGAGAGTCGATTGATGATTCGTCCGGTCTATCTTGTTCAGTCAAAGACGACAAATCCACACTCACGGGTGTCCTATCGTGCCAACCCACTGGACTTCTCATGACGGCTTTCCATGCACCGTTGAACAATAGGAAAGAGGCTCGAATACCGGCAAGAATCATGGTGTATGTTGCAAGCCACTGCACGTCAGCATTAGGCACCCTCACTTGACCAACTGTAAAAATGGCAACCGCGAGACCGAGACCTGTACACATCAGACACTTTCCCTCATGAAGGCGACTCACAGGCATAGACTGCCATGTAATCGCCTTGGGCAAAAGAATGGATTTCGTCTCCACTCCAGAACCCGAGGAACAACGAGTTTGCCACGTTTGCTGCCTGAGTGACGCACAGGAACACAGCACAGAGACCGACCCAGCGCCATCCTCCCATCGCAGATCCATACTTGGAGTACACTCGCCAGGAGACTGCACCATACTCTCGCTCCTCATCCAACAACAACTTGCCTCCACCTTCCTTGGGCTTCTCTGTCTTCTCGAGTTCCTTCTCTTCAGCGGCCTCGGTATGTGTGCCCGTAGATCCGAACTCCTCCATCAAAGTGCGGAAGACACCCTCTTGATCACGCAATTCGTCATATCGCCCCTGCTGGATGATGCGTCCCTCGTTGTTGTCGTTTCTGTCCATGACGATGACGAGGTCGGCGAGAGGTAGAACGTCGAGGTGGTGAGTCACGAGGACTCGAGTCTTCTTCGCTAGGGGACCATCGAGGATACACTTGTGTAGCAGATGATGACCAACGTGAGCGTCCACGGCCGACAATGGGTCATCGAGCAGAACGACTTCGCTCTTCACATCATACGCCGCACGCGCGAGGCAAATTCGCTGTCGCTGACCACCTGAGAGAGTGATTCCTCGCTCTCCGATCCTTGTCTGATCACCATCAGCCCACATGCTAATATCTGGAGCCAAGGCGCAGGCCTCGACGACTTCGTCGACCCTGTCCGAATCGACATCTTCGGGTTTCGACGCAAAGGTGATGTTGTCTCGAATGGTGCCAGACTGGACCCAGGCCTGTTGCGGTACATAACTGACGGGTCCTCCGAAAACGACTTCGCCTTGCACTTGCCGCATCTCGTTGATCAGCGCAGAGAGAAGGGAAGTCTTGCCGGTTCCTACTCGTCCGACGATGCACACAAGCGCGCCTGACAATTCAGCACGAGTCACGCCTGCTCGCTCACCTCTGGGGACACGAAGGGAAATGTCTCGCAAGGAGAATGGTGTTCCTTCCTCAGGTTTGGGTTTCTCGGGCTCAGGCGGCGGCAAACCCTTTTGCTTGCGATCTCGGGCTTCTTTTTTCAGCTTTTTAGCATTCTTCTTCTCAGCGCTCGCCCGCGCCCGGTTCCGACCACCAAAGAAACCACCTCCTGTAGTGTTGTTTGATGGTAGGACAGAATCGAATTGGAACGATCCCGTAGCGGTGATAGCGTGCGGGGCATCAGGCTTGATGGTAATCTCTTTTGGCAATTCATCGGCCTGGCGAGTCAGCTGGGCTGCCTTCTCACGCAACCCACCCTCAGTGCCTCTCCGATTCGGCCAACGGCTACAGCTGCATCGGAAACGGCTGTGAACGCCATAGGGAGGAAGGAGATGGGTTGTCTAAGGACGTTGAAGTATTGCAGACCCGAGAACACGACGGCAGCGGTAAGCCTATGCCCTGCAGCGTCAGCGGAGTCCTGGCAGAATTACTCACCGCTCAAGCCATAGGTAACATATGTCACTGGAGGGTCAATCAACGTTTGCACAAGTCACTCACAGACTGCAGCAAGAATTGGGATGAAAGACATCGTCGAAGTCATGGTAGCACGATTGATACCGTTCTTTCTCAATTTCGCGAGCTCTTGACGTCGATATTGCGAGACCTTTTCGCCGAAAAAGTTCTCATAGGCGTACAGCTTGACCGCCCGAATGTTGTTGATGATCTTTCGTCAGCTAATATTCAACTTTCAACTCACTTCACCGAGCAATCTAACACGCTTGTCGACAATTTGCATCTGAGCGTGACGGTATGTGATCATTCGGATAAACATGCGGCCTACGTGTCAGGAAATGATGATGTCTAAATGCGTACCTTGGATGGGCGAAGCGCAAACCAATACAGCCAAACCGACCAGAGCGGAATAACCCAAAGTGTAGATGAGAAGACCCATTCCAATCAGGATTTGCAAGGGCTGGACTGTCAAGTTGACAGTCATGGGAGCGGCGAAGTCGAGGAAAGAGGCATCCGCCGAGACCATGGTGACCAGTCGTCCGTTAGGGAATTCTATACGGGACTTGTTGGAGAAGCGCATAGACTTGCGACCGATCAAGTCAATCAAGGCGGCTCGAGTGGAAAATCCAATGACGGAACCTCGCTGCTGTGACTGGTAGACTGCGACTGATCCTCCAAGCTCCATAACGAAAAGGGCAAAGGCCAGACCAATGCCGTATCCGACAGATTTGGGGCGGGGGAAGCCTGTCGTGTCGCCCCGTTGTTCGGCCTTATGATACGCGTTAGCGATCTCGAGCTGTTCGATCATTTGTCGCGTGATGAGAGGGGCAGTGACTCGAAGAAGGGCTGGTTCACTGTCAGTGGACTCGCATATAAATGCAACTCACATCCGAGAGCATAGAAGAGATTGGCCAGGTACCACTCGAAGCGGACCGTAGTGTAGATTGCCCTGACCAGACTCATGTCGTAGACTATGCCATCCTCTACCGCCATCTTGCCCGCCGCGATCTTTTTGGCCTTGCGGGAACCATACTTCTTGACCAGCTCTGGGTCTGCTGCGGGTTTTGTTTTCGGATCTCCTCCTGTCTTGACTTCTGACTCCTTGGATGCTGGCTCCTGACGTGTGACGCTCGAGGATTCCGAAGGGAGTGTGACGATTTCAGGCAGTTGTCCAGTGGTAGCATCCTTCATTCCTACTCCCGGGGCCATATCAGACAGAATTTCAGCGACAGCTTCTTCTTCCTCGCCTGCACCCCTATCACCCCTATCAGCCAGTTCCACATCGTACGACTTTTCATCATAATCCGTGGTCTTTTCGTTGAGCCTGATGTCGCTGGGGCGGAATTTTGCCAGCCGCCTGGACGGTGGCAGTCGTTGATTATAGTTGGCTTCCAGGATATCGGCTATCTGCGAAAGACGTCAGTCAGAGTGGGGGTATGCCAAAGATGACCTACATTCTGGCATTGAAGCTCCTCGGGGAGTGTCCAGAGGTCTGAAGGCATGAGCGTACGATCGATCGACGTTGACTCACCGTCCGCTTGAATAGGTCTCGAGTAACCGACCTTCATGATAGGCGCAATCCATTGAAACACTGCTTTCGAAAAGATATTTGCGGTATACATGGGCAACACCTGGCCCTCAAACGCAGCCTCTGGGGCCGGTTTGGGATGATAAAAGGGGATCGGCATGATGGCTCAGCGTATCTACTGCCGTCCACGCTGGTCTGTGAGATGCCTATTGCAGCGTACGATGACGGGAACTCGTACGCTCTCAGACCCGAGATAAGGTCAAAATGATGAAAGAATCCTCAGCAGAAGGACATTGTTCCATATTTAGGCATCAGCTTAGGCCAAATCCGATGGGCCGCGTAATAAAATCGGAAACTTCGCCGATGGCCGATGCCACGTGGGCGTCTCTGCGTACGTAACTTTCTCGATACACTCGTCGTGATCTTCTGGTGATTTTCATGTGGCTGCTGCAGCATCATTGACATGAGTGTCAACCAGCAGACACAGAAGAAGAGACGCAACACTGTGAGTGAGTGAGATTAGCGTTCATAGTCTCACATACTGGTAGAGAGCATGTGATCGGTGTCACAAAGCGAGTATCAAGGTGAGTAACAGCGCATGCGCTCCGCACTGATTCACGGCAGTGCTCCCCTGATGTCAGTGGAGATTCGTGCAGCTCATGCGCTGCGTTCGGTTGTCATTGTACATATGATCGACCCCGTAAGCGGCGTGGCGTGAGCTCTGATTGTGACCCAATGCTCACAAACAGCCCCCGCCCAAGATCTCCCACCCTGCGGCACTCTCTCCTGAAAAGGCAAGATGGTCCCATCAACCAGTGGCTAGCCATTCGACCATTGTAGCGCTGTGCCAGGTCTTCCATCATGTCTGCTATCCAATGTGAGACACGAAGGCTCACCACTGCTCATGACTAGCTTTCCGTATTTCCACTGGCCTTCCTTTGCTGCCCTTGTGGATTCTCGCGAGTATGACCATCACCAGTCCTTCTTCACTCTCGTCATGGCTGTTTGCGCAGATGCTTCCGCCCGCGTCCACGACGGCGCACAGATCCCTCCTACTACCCTTCTAAACAAACGAGAGCTGTATCCGCCGTCAGAGCTATTCTACCACACATGCCTCGACTCAATGCAGGACATGACCGACTTTGATTTTCACGTCATGCGAGCGGAAGCCATCTTGGGACTTCTCTGTCTTCAATACAATGATCTCAGAGGGACGTATCGACACATCCACCGGTATCTCGGTATGTCAGCCGAGATCGGGTTTCACAACGAAGCAAGATGGCCGTCTGATTTAGACTGCATTGCGCGAGAGGAGAGGAGGCGCTTGGTGAGCTCAGCCCTATGACCCTCAATTCACGCCCAGTTCTGGCAGCAGTATCAGCTCGACGTCTACTTGGCTGTCACTTTTGGATCTGCCGTTCGCCATCGTGAAGCCCAATTCAATGTCCGTTATCCAACGGAAGTGGTCGACGATGAAGATATCTCAGCAGACGGTGTTGTCGTTCGAACAGATCAGCCGTCATTTCTGCGTGGATGGAACTTTGTGGTCGATCTCTATCGAATCTTGGAGCATGTCAATGACCGTGTCCGAGATCAGAGGCCTTTGGCGCCCACGGATCCTGAGTTTGCGGTCAGCACTTTGTTCGCTAAAGACTCGCACCAAACGCCGAGTACCGGTGATATTTTCGACATGATTCAGCGACTGTACGATGCGCTTCCAAACGCCTTCAAGGAGACGAAGGAGATGATCGGAGATCCTAAAGCGGATAGGTTCGCCTTCCAAGGTGAAAGCCGCAATGATTTCATCGCTGAATCTCAGCTGCAAATATTGTGATCTCAATGACGACTGTCAAGATGGCTCTGGTGGGCTCGGAGGAGCAGAGCGTCCCACAGAGGTGTGCAATCGCTAGCGAGCTCTTGTCATCCCTCTCCACCATTCCAGCATCCTACATTCGGTCGTCATCCACTGCAATGGTAAGGAGCCAGTCTAGACCTGATGCTAAGTCTTAGCTCCATCATTTGGCAGGCGTGGGCCACCTTCTTGGCTCGGTCATTCAGCGCCCCATATCACAGTGGAAGTATTTGCAGGTCAGATCTGTACTGCTGGCCATGGCGGACCTCATCAGTACGCTTGAGTCCGGGTATATCCATCCCAGGGACATCGCGGGGAAAGTGCGCACCCATGTGCAGAGAATTGATCGCTACATGGAAGAGGCGCTCATGGAAACTGGGAAGGTAAGCGGATGACTGATCAAGCTGAACGATTCAGGATCCTCTGTCTCAGCCCCTCTTGTCCATCATCAGACGCTCCCCTGGCCCTGTCAGTGAGACAGCCTTGCCACGTGCTCTCACGCCGGACGAACCGCTGTTCTCATTGCCCAATGACATTTTTGGTGAATGGCCCTTCACCCTTTTCCAAGGAGATGCCTTTGATTTCCTCAGTCTCGATGGGGACTAGTGCATGTGTCCGGGTGAAATGAATACAACGACAGATTCTCTTGCAGCATGATCACTACCACGTGGATCCGATGTGAGAAATTCACTTTGAACGCGTCAACTCTTATTCCGCTCGTACCCCATTCGACCATGTCTATCCACTTCGAGTCTGTAATCCCTGTTCTCCGTATCTTTGATGAGGTCAAAGCCGCGGAGTTCTACCAAGGCTTCCTGGGCTTCAAATGTGATTGGACACATCGTTTCGAGGAAGGATTTCCCTTGTACCAGCAAGTTTCGCGAGATGGACTAGTTCTCCATCTGAGCGAGCATCACGGTGATGGGGGTCCAGCGATCCACGTGCGAGTCATGATGACAGGAGTAGATCATTTCCACAAAGAGGTGTCATCAAAGCAGTACAAGTACTTGCGCCCCGGATGTGACAAAAGCGAGGTCACCGGAATGCTGGAAATGAAAGTGACGGATCCGTTTGGCAATCGTTTGACGTTTTGTCAGCGAGAGGAGGGAAAGCAATGAAAGAGGTGACACGAGTGGGATGATTTCGTCGGTGAGTAACCCATAGCATAATGATCTGACCATCTCACCCATCAAAGCATCGCCTGTTACTGGATGTCGTCTCCAATCTCGCTGCATCTGTTCGTCGTTTGTCTGGCTCTTTTATATAACGGAACGGCTCCCTTCCTCGGGCGTGCAACATCGTACGGCTCGCCTGGACCCGAGAGCCGACTTGCGTATAACGTCTCTAAATTGAACCGTTTGGCGAAGAAGAATACACCCAACAGCCCTGTGACAGAGTAAAAGCGATGAACATCCCTACAGCTCTTGTCGCAGGCGTCCAGGAGATCTATATGGCAAACCGTCCGCTCGTATCGTTACTAGTATTGTGGAGGGGAGGCGCATGCAAACATTCTAGATTGAGGGACCACCGATGTCATCAGGCTCATGTGACGCCCTGACGAATGAAGTGTGACAGACCCTTGAAGTATTGCTACTCAGAGTGCGCAAGGTTCTGTAAGTACACAGAAGGTGTTGCTCCCACTTGGTGAAAGCCCAGCACCAGCACGGTGCGTTCCTCATGCCACAAGGCTCGATCGGCTATCCGGCCCAGAGACAGAGTCAGGCAGGTACCGCAGGACGCCCCTGCTGGATGCCTGTATTCAACGTCTTTCGCCAAGGTAAGAGGAATGAGAGTTTCAAATGCGACTAGCCGAGATAACTGGCGGCGGACAACCAAATGATGCAAGTCTTCAGCGTATTCGTCCCTCGCTGCTCAGTCGTCTCCAGTGATGCATGTCACGGCCGAGTCCCCCGCGGCGACTTGATCCCTGCACAGTAGACAACCATTATAGGTGGATCAGACCCTCACCTGACATGCGTCTCGTTGCTGGATATACGAGATGACCTTTGCCGCCTGCAAAAGCAACGAGTCACTCAGGGTTCTACGACCGCTCAATATTCAGTCAGACCTAGTCCACCGTACTTCAGAACAATGCTCTAGGCAATGCGGGCAATGCCGTGCGTCCCCGCCTCGAAAACTGGGAGGTCTGAGGAATAATCAATCTCGGCTCACCGTGACTGTCACACGTGGTCATCGGGTTTCGGATTAAAGCAACGTGGGGATGATCTTTGCCCCACAAGGGAAGGGAGTCGGGTATCTCCGAGATCACCGCCACATCTACATGGACTCGCAACCTGCATAGAGGAGCAAATGTCACTACATACGTATACAATCACTTTATTCGGTCGCCATACAGCTCCAGTGGGTTTCCCACCTGTAAAGTACGAAGATCTCAGAGCGTACCCGTCTTCGCCTGTCCCTCTGCCACCTTTTCAGGATTGTTGGTCGCCTTGCCAACCATCTTGTCGAGCCCACCAGAGATCTTCTGTCCCATTGTGGGCTCGCCCTTTGCCATCCTGTCCTCTTCGTGGTCTTTGTGAACATGCCCCGCCATGCCGCCAATTGCCGCATCCCGCACAGTACTAGGGCCTGATCAGTATATCTGGGCGAACGCTCTACTCACTGCCCGTGGTGACCTTCGTGACCTACAATGCCTCCAATGACGGCATCACGGCCGGTGCTGAAGAGACATCAGTGTGCCCTCTGTCGTGGATATAGTTGTCTGTCAACACTCACTGTCCATGAACGGGCTGTTGAGACATATTCGAGTCAATGAGGGAAGATGTAGTAATGGGCTGATCACTAGAGTAGGTACTTAGGGAATCATAGTGGAAAAGAACGCGCAAGGACGCTTCATTTATATCCTCGACGAGACCAATTGTTGTGCCACGGCCATTGACGTCAGGTAATAAAATTGTACCTCAAATTTATAAATACGCCTCCACGGAATGGTCTGTTGGTACCTGTGACATTTGAGAGTTGCATGAAAGTTCTGACGTCAAGCAACTGCGCCGAAGTCAGGTCCATGCCTGAGATTCCATGTATCGCACACTGACATTCTCCGCAGGTGAATGCTAGTGACATCATATGCACACTCGTAATGGTCGGTCGGGTCTTAGCTCTTAACTCTCATCAAGAACCAATTTTTGACGTCAAAGGTACCATGGTGTACGCAGCAGCCACGATGTCTGCCTGTATCTGGTCTGCAACCTCGTCTGAGGGACAGCCAGAAACCATGACACCATCGTAGTTTGTGCCGACTTCATTGTCGCTGTTGTCTCCGCGAATTCCGAGGATACTCGCGCGCCGTCTCTGCATAGGCTAATATCCGTCGGGCCGCGTGCCCTGGAAGAAAGTGACAAGAGGGCCTTCTTGAGGATTCTCTCCCCTGATAGCCCATAGCCTCCAAAAGACCGGTGGAAAAGGAATGAGTGATGGTGGAATTGTTTTGATTCTCAGATGCGGGCGTCTTGAAAGCTTCAAGCGTATGGCCAGCAAAAATCCCGGCCTCGAGCTCCGACGAAATTTAGAGCCCACTTCCTGCTCTGTGCGTGGTGCTGATTATAGTCCCAAACCTCAAAGCTTCCGTTGTTCCACCCCCATCGCCTCCATGCTGGTTTCGGCATTGCCGTAATCCTAGCACAGATACCGCCGTAATGGGTGGCCTCTACGACAAAGCACATGCCTTCAGAGTCGTTTCCCATGCAACACCTGGCGTCTTGTCGTTTCGGTAGCCATAAACTTGTTGGTGTATACACCATAGGCTCGGTGCCCATCGAAAAGGACCGGATCGGCTGTAGCGCTTGCAGCACGATCATGACCACCCGGCTCAAGTCCGGATACCTCAGCGCCTGGAAGGAGAGGAATCAAGGGTTGACCATGTCCTGACTGATCATAGATGGTAGTGATGATGGACGCGCTGAGCAGACAGAACACATCTTGCGTATTGACCCTTGCAACCTGACCTAGCCCAGTCCGAGTCACGCCCACCGTTTGATCTTCCGCACTGAGCTTGACTTGACACAATAGACTGTCATAATCACCGTAGAGCGATCATCGTGCTGAGGGTAGCGACGCATGGTGTGCTGTGAGTAGCGTAGAGGTCACAGGGCACAGCCGCAGCGCGAGAGAGGTTAGCACGGCCAAGGCGACCCAGATGGACCAGAGGCTATGGTCATGACCCGGAGTCATATCCTTGATGGATCTTTGTGTCAGGCTGATTCCCTTTCCGAGTGGCTTTTCCGATCGCAGATCTGAATAATCTCCCGTCGGATTTCAATATTCTTGCATGCCCCGTGGGTGTACCATCCGATAATCTTCCCGGGGCTCCCGCGCCGTAGAGGGGATCCCAGCAGGGATTTATGATCATCTGCGCTGTGGCGTTGACACTTTTGGACGGCACCTTGATAATCCCAATCGCAACACTGATCGACTTCTAACAATGGTGCCGCTGATTACCGGGTGCTCCGATCGGATTATGCAATCCAACCTGAAACGCAGCATCAGGTAAACAATAGTCTTCTAAAACTTCATCACCTACTCGAATCTGCTCCATGCAGTCGCCGTCCACCTTGCTCTTGCATACCCATCAATACGTCTTCCGTCCAATGCCCTCGCCTCGGAAACGATCGAAGCAGATTTATGAGAGCTTTTCCATATCATTAGAAGATATTAAGCGAGCGGCTGATTTATGAGGGTATCGGCAATCAGATTCGGGTGGCGCATGGATGATCAAAAATTATTGCGGGTTGATGAAAATAGATCCGGAACAATATGAGACAGTCGGTAGACAGAAGACGATGCTGATACCCGCTCTCCATGTGTCGTCCGAGTAGCTTAGGACTTCTTTTGTGGCCAGTAGATCCATGGCTGGCTCAACATTGATCCACAACATGAGCCTCCGATCGAAGCCTCCGATCCGATCCTACGTCTGGAGAAGTCATTTGAGTGGACGATGCTGGAGTACCTCCGTGGCGGGGACTTTGATCGATGATGGATTTGCTCGCCGTCCGCGAGGCTGATGGGACCACGTTCAGCAATTGGCTCGTCTGGCAGACCTACCAGCACCACTTTCTGGTCACGTCCCTGTGTCGCTGGTGGGAGCTCGCACGAGCGATGTGGAGGGGGTCTCAGGTCGCCGTGTCGGAGGTGTTGCGGCTTGGCGAGAAGATACTGATCAATGCTGAGGATCGCAGCTGAATGCCCTGCCATCGGCGAAATCAGTCGATCTCAGGCACAAAGGCCAAACCCAGACGAAACCATCATTCGCACCGAGGGGCCTATTGTAGAGCTCAATCTGAGCAAGCTGTAAGATGATCGAATCATTCGTTGTCCCCAGGATAGTCGATCTACTGCATATGGGGCTGGGAAATAAGAGCGAACGGGGAAATGATGCATGAGACATGGATTGGCGATTAGCGCTGGTATCACATCGTCCAACGTCATGATTTCGCAACCCATGCAGCTGTATCATTCAGTATATGCTCGTGTCTTTGTCGTCCTGTACAGGTAAAGACCGTCCAGATGACTACCTCTGGTATCACTGGGATGTACCTGATGCGATAGCGAGCGCCGCAAGACAGCGCCTAAGTTACGGATTCAAATCTGTATGAACCCTTTGTGCCCATCAATGCGACAAGCTGTCTATTTGATATGGGGGCCCGGTGGCTTGTACGTTTCCATTGTTTCTTGCTGATTATCGGACACGGAATCAGGCAGCGGAAAGATTCACGATATCAACGGACTGCGAATTAGGCACGGATTTGACCGATCTGATCAGATCACACACTGATCTGGTACATTTTGTTGGAGTACTTCTTGATTTTCTGCCGCCCTGTGAAAACGATACGATTCCGCCACTGCTTGTATTAGGCCCCAAAGTGGTGTCCCTCAAGGAACCCTGAATCACCTGTGCGCCGCTCTACAGGGGAGGGGAGAACTGGAAGAATTGAAAGAGGCGGAGAGAAAACAGGCTAATATAGGATCTGTAGATTTTCAAAAATGAGCATAATTTCTCGAACTGGCTGTGTTCTGCTCGAGACAGGGCGGCAACCTCAAACACATATAGACCCCCTGCTGATGTCCAGGTATCGTCTCTTCTCGATGCAAACTCATCACCAGCTGGTCGATCCAACAGTAATTGATCATGGCAGCTCCAGTCGGTACCCACACCGTTAACTCGGCTATCGCGGTCCCTCCTATCATTGACGATGACCTCGACGAGAAGAACGACTCCACCCAACACCACGACCACCATCACGGGATCGATGTGGATGGTGCCGCGGTCAGCGCTCTGCCCGACGCCGGCATGTCTGCTGGTCTTGGAGTCATTGAGCAACGACGGGCCATTCCTCTCTCGGGAAAGCGAAAGCCCACCACCAAATGGGAGTACTGGACATACATCGGGTTTTACATGTTCCAGAACACGTGTCGTCAGTCGTTAATACAGACAGCTTGATGTGATCGCTTACCGCAACCAATCAGCTCTCGGATCTCAGGTTCAAGCCATTCGACAGTTGACTTTGACCGCCTCGCATCCCTCTGGATTCATGGAGTTTGCAGGCAAAACCGTCCCTAGTGAGGCCAATTTCTCGGCGAGAGGTTCAGCCCATATTGATCCTTTTCACAGTCAACACTGCCATTCTCGACATCAACGGAGCTTTGAGCGCGGCAGGTCTTGCTGTGATGTTCATTCTAGGACCTTACGCCGACTATGGTTCATGGAAACCATGGATCTTGATCGGTGAGTAGGACGGTGCACTCCGGGCGGATCAAATGCTCAAAAGCCTTCTCAAGTTGCAATCATCGTCACTTGGGGCTGCTGTTTTGGAGCCTTGGCTATCAAGCATGTCGACCAATGGGCTGCTGCCAATGTCATCTGGGCGATTGGTGGACTCTGTGAGTCGCTTGGAAGTTAGCGGAAACTCATGTTTAGCCACCACCGTTGTTGCCATCTTCTACCAGGCTACTTTCCCCGGTCTCGCTCGTGATCTTCCCAAAGTCATTCAATCGGAAGAAGATGTCTTGAACGGTCTCAAAACCCCCGAAGAGCACGAAAAGCTCGATTCCATGGAACGAGCTCAGCTTTACAACTATTGTAACATATTCGGATCCGTCATGGGAATGGTTATGTACGGCGTGGCTATTGGTTTGGCCAAGGCCATCCAGGGCACTGGCAGCATTGAGGATGTTATCAAGGCAGATCACTGGCTGATCGTCTTCTACACTCCTCTCTCCATGATCTTCGGTCTTCCTTATCTCTTTGCCATGCAATGGCGACCTGGCTCCGCCATCCCTCATGGTGTTTCTGCGTGGACTACTGGACCCCGACAAGTCGTGTACGCCGTCAAGTCTCTCGGTAGACTGAAGCAATGTCTCTTGTACCTCATTGCATACGTCTTCTTGTTTGAATGTGAGTTATTCGTGAGTCGAATGGTTGACTGACAACTCCAGCCATCGGAGCCTTCCTCAGTGTCTACTTCATCTTGTTGTTCGAGTGCGTTTCGAGATTTCTTTGACCATGACATGTCTGACTCGTCTACCAGAACCATCCACTACTCCCCCGAGCTTCAAATTGCCTACAACATGGTCGGAGATGTCTGCGGAGGTCTCGGTGTCATTGGTACTCAGCTCGTTCACAAGAAGTTCGACTTCCAGATCAAATGGATCATGTTCTTCGGAACCCTCACCAGTAATTTCCCGAACCTGTGGGGTGCCCTTGGCTCGTTTACCTCGAAGATTGGTTTCAAACACCCCTGGGAGTTCTGGTTCTTCCAGGCTTGGAACGCTTTCACCGCTTGCTGTGGTATCTACAACGTCACTATGATTTCCGAGGTTGCCCCGGCCAGTAAATTGTTCATGTTCTACTCCTTATTCAAGACTGTGGTCGGATCCACCGGATTCTCGGGTCCCTTCATCGTCGCCGGAATTATTGACCGATCTCCAAAGAACCCCAACGTAGCCTTCTGGTTCCTCTTCGCGATCGGTATCCTTGCCACCATCTTCCTGTACTTTGTCGACGTGAAGAAGGCCAAGATTGATTGCGCCTTGTGTAAGTCATTCATGCAGTGCCTCGGAAATTACGGCTGACAACGACCGCAGGGGCCGAAAGGGAGGCTCAAGAGCGATACTCGGACGAGCAACGTCTCGAAGGCCAGCTCAACCGGGAGACTGAGAAGCATGTCGAGGGAGCAGCTTAAAGCTCGCAATGGCTTCCTGTACTTGATATCTGAGCTAGGCAACATATGTCAAGTGCAATGCATGTAGTGATCTGATTCCATCCTGAGCTCTAATCCAACCCCAAGCTCTGCAAAATCAGCACAGAGAGCGTCACCAGTGAGGAGGAGTGCGACTCCTTGGGAATGGTCATAATTTCTGTACTATTAAGGTCTACACGCAGTCACAAAATTCATGCATGATCCGGAAACAGATCAACAGAAGGTGATAACGATCTGTGAGATGTGAGCACAGCCTCTGCGCGGCTTCTCTAAGACACTCACACCAACATTGTCAGCAGTGCACTCGAAGGGTGTGGCGACGGGCTCGTCTGCTGGAAAGGCTCCCGGACAATCACTCGGTGTATTCCCACTGCATGGTCCAGGAACATAAGGCGACACCTGACAACCATCCAGCGCGAAGTCCATCTCGTACTTACTGTAAATAGTCAGCTTTGGAGTAGAGCTTTCAACTTGCTATTCATGCATCTGGACCTCGCTCTCTTGGACGTCATAAGCTGCTGCATTGCTTGCCTGATCGTTTTGGGAAGTAGGATTTTGAAGGGAGAACTCGACAACTCCACAGTTTTGGCCGTAGTCCTCGCATCCATACGCATCACTGACCCAAGCAATACCGCCCAGCGCGGGACCTTGGATGATGTTGGTGTCCCCTGTGTATGGTCCACTCCCTTCCAATCGGAATGTGGCTGTGCCTTTGCCGCAATTGTTGACTAGCTTTTCGGTAAATCAGTACACAGACCGCGTTATCCGCCGACTGGCTCACCTGTACCGTGTGTGATTCAGATGTGCGAGGAGTGGGACTGGCTCGGGTGGCCAGAAAGGCTCCCAGGAGAATGCTTGAAATGACAATGGACCACATCGCAAGGGGTGAATTGGCTGAGTTCTGCGTCGCTGAGCCACTTGACACGCCAGAACGTGAGGAGTCTTGGAGTTATTATATCCAGTGGTCTCAATACAGGAAACCCAGAGCCCGAGGCGAAGTGCCGCTCGTGCTAATAGCTATTTTTGAGAGCACGACGGTCCGCATGCCCGGCTCTTCACGAAGAGGGTGCGTTCAAAGAACGGCTGCGGACATTCGCTTCGGTCCTACCAGTCGTTATTGAAGTGATATAAATAGTCCGTGACATGGTAGCCAGTGCGTCAACCAGTCTGCATGTGGATACGAAGCTTGCGTATGGACCAGGTGGATGACGCTTGCTCATTTATATAGAAGACTTTTGCATTAAACTCGCCGCTAATCCCCGCCGGGATTACAGTGATTTTCTCATATTTCAGGATCTCGCGGGCGTCGTTTTCGTCGTCTCCGTCCAACAGATGTGGAGCTGTCGGGCATAGATCCAACTTCAAGACTCGGACGAGCCCCGTAGCATGCAGCCCATGTCTATGCTGTGGCCACGCTAACTGATGCAATGTGTCATATGGGCTTCCGCTGGATAGTGATGACCATATTGACCTTGTCTGACTCGCAGATCTTGAGCACAATTTGATCCCGTCCGGACTCTTCTTGCACATGCAAGTTCTTTGACACGAAAGTCGGTCTCCTCATTTCCACGTCTAATATCTGGCACACGTCAACCTTGTCGACCAGGGAGATCGCCCTAGCACTGAGAAGACTAGCGTGAACGACTTTGTATCGGAATCCTAGTAGTCTGGCCCCAAGCTTGCTGATATGGATAGGATTGTAGTCCTTGCAAAGCTGTGCCCACCGTAGCGGCTCGTCAGACGAGATGCGAAAGGTGAGAGAGGGTGTCGCCTCGACCAGCGGAGATGGCCATTCTTCCGTCTTGCTCGAAGCTGGATAGTTCCCGCGCTTGTGATCTCGTTGTGCCGAGTCGAGCTCCTTGCCATGATTTGCGAACTGCAGCATTGTGTATATTTGACGTGAAAGCAGATGGTAGTCTCGTCCGTACACCTCAACGGTGATGTCGTATTCCCAGCCGCGGCGTACTGTCCTCCATTCGGGCGACAAGGTTGCCCGAAGACTAAGGTCATTGCCCTTCAGTGCCCAAGTGAGGTCGGCGACGCATCGAGCCATGTCAAACACTTCGAAGCGGTTCCGTACATTGACGTTGCCAATAGGATCCACCGGACACAGTCTGCTAACTAGCAACAGTACCAGGGTTGGTGTACAGACAGTCCAGAGAAGCGCATGCACGTGAAGGGGCTCCCGCAGGATCGCGTGGCCAAGGTTCTGCCCTGTGGATGAGGGCTCAAGGCGAGAGCATGAGTCGGCCAGTCCAGCATGGGTAGCATATTTGTCTATATCGGCTTGGACCAAACGGAATGGCACTGATACTGACACATTGGATCTGCTGATCGATCTTTTGCGTAAACGAGTTGGTAAGAGACGTGTTATCCGATTATAGAGACTGCAGATAAGGAGGTACGACAGTAATACAGATATGGTGAGGCCATCCAGGTCTCGAGGATAGAACTCGAGGACATGTTCTGAACGCTTGACAAACAGGGGGCGCAACCGAGCCCATTTGCGAGGTTTCATTCCCGCGACATGCGAAGAGAAATTGCAAGAGTGGGAAATAATGCGCGCCGGTGGGGCTAAAATTGAACGAAAAAAATAAAGAGCGGTCTACGAGAAATGGGCGCCGTGTGTGCGGATCAGTCGAGATCAGTGATCATTTTCCTGTGATCTATGGTGCGGAGCTCAACATTCGGCATGATCCTTTGGAGTGGGCCGCAAAATGTATCTGACAGGTTTATTGCCCCGTTTGCTCCAACCTGAAAAGAGACATTTGTTTCGCGCTCTCCAGATGAATCTCTTTACCCTACAGGTCATCCCGGCAGCGCCCTATCCGTGGCCTAAGCACCCACCATGAAGTATCGGTTTTCTCTTCATTGCTGTCTCCTCTACAGGTCTCGACAACTACCGCTACGATTCTACCCCGACCCTTCTTTCCCCCGCGTCGTCCAGATCTTCGTGGCGTGCCTCTCTGCGGACATGTAGTATTGCAAGCGCCAAAAGGAAGGGTGGAACAATCTGATCACAGAAGGAAGGATAGCACTCTGTTTCTGCCGAACTGCGGAATGGAACGCAATCCGCAGACTTCACTCGGTCTACGGGCCTTCATCGAGTAGGACTCGGCCGAAGGTCGGATCCTTTTCCCCCCCAAAAGCGGCAAATTTCGAACAAGATGCGCGGGAGGAGAAGAAGCGTCTGAAGAGCAAAATTTAGAACTGTACGTCATCTCGAGGGCAATTTCGCCTGGTCGACTTTTGGATCGTTTCCCCTTCATTCCTCGACGCCACCTCTGCAGCCGAATCACGATGAACAACAAGGAAAAGACAGGCGATCAGCACGTTCATCTCTACGGCGCAGAGACCTATCCTGAGGATGGAGCCAATAGAGACATCGTTCCCCTAGAAGGCAGCCTTCACCGAGGATTGAAACCTCGTCACGTGTCGGTGAGCCAACAAGATTCGCCTGAGAACGTTTCCTCATCTCCCCAAAGTTGATCGCTATCGGCGGAGTCATCGGTACGGGACTTTTCATAGGTACAGGTACTGCCTTGTCCAATGGAGGGCCAGTCGGACTCTGGCTGGGCTTCAGTTTGTTTGGCGTCCTGACTTTCTTGTGAGTCACAAAGTCAGACCGCATTGAATGAAAACAGCATGATGCTGGGCCTCGGCGAAATGTGTGCGTGAGTGGCGAATACAAATCCATCTCTCACAGACAGCTATCTGCCCATTACCGGTGGTCAGCTCACCTACGCGGGCCGCTTCTTCGATCCGGCCCTGGGCTTTGCTCTGACCTGGAGTACTGTAGGTGTTCTGGGTCAGGAACTGGGTTGACTGAACTTAGACTATCCATTGGGCTCTGACTTGTGCCTCCGAGTATGTACCATTTCACAGACGCTCTGATTGACTGGGACCTTTTAGACTCTCCGCGGTCGCCGTACTCGTCAATTACTGGCTACCAGTCGAGAAGGTCAATAACGCGGCCTGGATAGCCATCAGCTATGCCGTCATTGTAGTGCTTAATCTGACAACGTCGGGAGTGTATGGAGAGACTGAGTTCATCTTCAGTTCGATCAAGGTCCTGACCATTGTGGGGCTCATCAGTGAGCTCGGTGACCTCGTTTGAGAGCTAAGCGGCAGTTCTTGGAGTCTGCATCGATTGTGGCGCAGGTCCCACGGGTCATTACATCGGCTTTCACTTCTGGAAAGACCCGGTTTGTCCACTGATATTGCTACTGGTTTAGGACGCTAAAAGCGCAGCAGGGTCCTTTTGCGCAATATCTCGGTATACCGGGTACGACTGGCCGCTTCCTTGGCTTCTGGGCTGTGTTCATCCAGGCAGCATTTTCGCAAGTTCGGTTTGTGGGCATGACCTGACTCTACTCAGATACGGAGGCGTAGAGTTCTTTGCTATCAGTGCAGCCGAATCTGCTAATCCGCGACTTTCCATTCCGAGGGCAATGAAGCAGATCTACGTCCGAATTGGAGTCTTCTACATCCTTGGTTCGTCTCGTCCATCGACACGGCGCTCACAATCAAATAGGCACTATCATTCTGTCGTTGCTCGTCCCTTACACCAACAATCGTCTCGGGACTGCAAGCAATGCCGCGGCCTCTCCTTGGGTCATCGCCATCCAGCTCTCCGGTATCAAGGCATTACCTCACATAATCAGTAAGCTATCACTGCCCGAAAATGTCTGAGCCTCGCAGATGCCTGTCTGATTACCTCTGCTTGGTCTGCTGCGAACGCCGATTTGTACATCTCGTCAAGATGTTTGTACAACATGGCTCACAAAGGTCTTGTGCCCAAAGTCTTCCTTCGCACCCATAGATGTAAGTCGGCTTCGAGAGCCTGATGATGATTGTCTCAAGATGGAACTCCTTATGTGGCTGTTTTGACAATGGGACTCATACCTCTACTCGCTTTTATGACCGTCAGTACCGGTGCAGCCGAAGTCTTCGGATGGTTTGTCAACCTTGTACGTGATGGTACTATTACTTGGACGGTGCTAATGAGTATGCCAGGTCTCTGTGATGGGATTGTGCGAGTGGACTGCTATCTGCGTGTCCTACCTCGGATTTCGACGCGCTTGGGCAGCCCAGGGGTTCAATCGTGACAGTCTTCCCTACAAGCACCGCTTGGCACTGCCAGGCGCGTACATATGCTGCGCATTCTTCCCTCGTGAGCATCATTTATGACCTGTCTGCTGACTATCACCTAGTCATCATCTTCTTCTCTGCATGGCAGGTGTTCCGACACACCGGAAGAGACTTTGATCGTGCCGCTTTCGTCACGAGTGAGTACTGAGGACGTAAGACATCTCACAGTTACTACTCAGACTACTTACCTGCGTTTTGGTTTCTCGTTATGTACAGTGGTTACAAACTGTATGCCCGGACCCGCGTCATTGCCCCTACCGAGGTCGATCGTGAGTGTGGGTATCTGACAAGACTGAGCGTCTAGTTGTCAGCAACCTCGCTGAGATCGAGGCGACCATCGAGGAGCGCCCCGATTCAACAACTTTTTCTGGCAAGCTCCGTACATGGTTCTTTTAGGAAGATCCCGTAAAACTCTTAGCGCTGGGACTCTGTCCTGATAGCAGACCAGCGTCTGCTCATTCGTTGTGATCTGATGAATGCTATCATGCCTTGTTTCTGACCAGACCCCGTCTGCTGATCAAGGGACGGAGACGAGGATGCCAGGCTGGTTGCTGAGGGTCCTTGCTTCGGCTGAAATGGCTCTCTCACTAAAGTACCTGATGAAAAGCTCAACAGTGTCGATTGGTAGATTTCTCTGAAGCGAAACGTTCCCTATGATTCGTTATATCTTGTCCTCATTTTTGACACCACTCCGCGCCGACGCTCAGGTGACATCTTCGCCACACAGTCTTCAAGCACCAAGCAATGATCATGCTGCCCCAAGGGCTCCCATCCAGTTATCCGAATGCTTCAAGCCTTCCGCTCTCGCTTAATATCCCGCACCCTCCAATCTATTCATAAGCTGAAATACCGAAGCTTAAGATCTCGTGTCTTCTTCGGTTCGACGCTCGAAAACGTTTCGGCGACAGCGGCAGACCCCGGATCCGGGCCTGATTCGAAACACTATCCTCGAACCATTCAGCCTGAAAAGGTGGAGGGTAGGCACCATACGGTGCGTTCGTATGGTGGCGATGCCAAAGAAAAAAACCCGCCCGCGGACCTGGAATTGTGCGGCTTCGTAGCCGAGATCACCGCAAAAAGACCATCTAGACAGGCTTCAGACCCAGATCTTGGAATGTCGTGAATTCAGGCTGATATGTAAACACGAAAATGGTTTAAGGTATAATATGACAGGCGTGTAGCTGGAGACAGACAGTTTCTTGCACTCCATTGTCTACGCAATGATATCCTCCATTAAGGCACTCTTGCTTTTGACGGCTTCGGTCTCAGCTGCGCCTGCAGCTAGGAATCTCTTGACTCCAAAATTGGTGAAAACCCCGGAATTGAAAGGTGTCGCGCTCGACCCGAATCTGATCCGAGATTCGTGCATCTCAACATACGAGTTGATTGATGGAAGAGTGGTGGGTCTACACCGCAGGCGACAACACACAATTACGATCTGACTTGTGTCTAGTTGTGGCTCTGCCGAGATACCATCATCTTGAAGAATCAATCAATACCCTACTATTTTGAACACGGCCAGCTTTTCGGAGGTGGCGCCGCTGGTCTAGTCTCATCCAGTGCAAGCTGGAGTGATCAAGGCCTATTGGGTCCCGATTTCGTGCAACCTCCACCACAACAGGGCCAGAAGGATGTCACTTCTCTGTACCCTGCCCAACTGACTCAATACGGAGGATCCAGTATCTACGACCAGGATCTTGCCTATGTCCCCTATCAACCAGACGAGTGCGACGGTATACCGGCTGGCACCTCCGGGGGAAATTGCAATGACGGCACGAGATATGCACTGTGGCCTGACTCTCCGCCAGTAGTCACCAACACCGCCCTGGACGGTACAGTCACCATGCACCTCTATCTCAGGGTCCCTCACACTGGTTTTCTCCGCATCGTCGACTTTTACCCACCGTGCTCCCTGTTTAAGTTGACGTATACGCCAAACACGGACAAGACTGTTCTGCCCTCGATCTCATTGGTCGCCCAGGACTTCTTCCCGAGGTACGTTTTCAACTATGGAGATTTCGCGCACGCGAAAGACCCCCTTGGTCAGACCCTCTATCTCTGGGCTCAGAGCTTCCAGGGTAACTACGGACTGGCGCGCGTCCCGGTCAATGCGGTTGAGGATCTCAGCCAGTACGAATACTACTACAGTAACGGCACTGGATGGTCCAGCGTGCAGCCCAATGTCAATCAGACCGAGGCCTACGTCGACATCGGTGGTCTTGGCGCCAGTGGACAAGCGACGATCTACTGGAATCCATTCTTTGGACAGTATGTGGCCTTTGGCCAGCTTGAGGGTGAATTTGTAGCCAATCTCTACATGTCCTTGGCATCCAACCCCGAAGGACCTTGGTCAGACGCAACGCTCGTCTACTCTTTTCCCACTGGCCCGTCCGGCAACGGCTACACTCTTGCAGCTCATCCTGAAATGAGTTTGCTCCCGAACGAGATCTACATCTCCTACACCGGTTCAAGTGACTATAATAACAACACCAACGACCAGGTGTACAACACCCCAATATACAAGCTCACGTTCGGACTGGGTCTCTGAGGAAGCGCTCTTGGAAAGAGGATCCTGCAAATATTCATAGTCGGCGGCGATATACACGAATGATGCATCGGAGCTTGGTCAACCTTTTCGTTGTGAATCGAATCTCGATGCCCTGGAGCAAGTGAAATCGGCGTCAGACGGTCATTGCTGTCCGTGCCATGAACCTTGTCGCGACCGTCGGAAAGCTCCGGCAATGTTGTTAGCTCATCATTGCCGGAGCTGGAGCAGCTCTCCAGCGCCTCATCGGCCGACAGTATTGACCTTGTAATGACAATCGAATCATTGTCGAGAACTTAGCGCGGTGCCTGGACAAAGTCGGCGATTCCCGAGCTATAAATAACATATATCACGCTAATTTTTGGTTCCGAGGGAGATTCGTACGTGCCGAAATGAGTACATGGGCGCGCAAAATGCTACAGTGCGCACCCACATATAGCACCCACATATACAGCGTGGGTGCGCACTGTAGGATTTTGGGACGCCCGAATATCATACTGAAGCAATTTTATGGTGCCCCGTGGCGGCAGACAGACGACATCGGGGACCATGCGGTATTTGAAGTTGCCTTAAGTGCTCCGGATATCTCGGAGCTCTTGGCAATCCATATATAACCTGGCATCTGCTACACTTGGAGTGTCATACACACCCCAGTTGTCATGCTATTCTCTGCTGCTTTTCCTCTCCTCGCTGCTATAGCCGTCTCTGCTTCCCCTGTCCCAGAGACAAAACGTGGTGTGTACACTCTTCGAGAAGGCAAACCACGATTGAGCATCGAGCAACGCGCCGCTCTCTCGGGGCAGTCGCTCCGGTCCATCATCGCTACCGACACAGCCAATGTTATTGCCAAGTATGAGCACAACAAGCAGCTGGCTCAAGCTGCCCAAGAGGGCGGATCCCTCGACAAGCGAGCATCTGCAACCATTTCACTCACGGATGTCAACTCTGAAGGTGTAGATGAGCTGTGAGTCGACGATAGGATTCAAGCTGAACGTGAAGGTATTACGGAACCCTGAACATGGGAACGCCGTCTCAAGCGATCACCTTCGATTTTGACACGTGAGTAGAGCATCAAGGGAGTCTCCTGATCGTCAGTGGCTCGAGCGATCTCTGGGTCCCCACACAGAACTCGAATGGGAGAAATGACGGTACCCATTTCAACACTGCCAAGTCCTCTACATACCGAAATACGGGACAATCTTTTTCCGATCAATGTAAGCGAAGCACATGCGCATGGCTGACCGATGAGACGGATCAGGAAGCTGTAGTGGCACCCTTGCCACAGATACGGTGTCTTTTGGCAGCCTGAAAGTGTCTACTCAATACTTTGGGGCAGTCACCAAAGTCTCGACGGACTTTGATAACACGCCAGCGACTGGCCTCTGTGGTCTCGCGTATCAGTCCATTGCTTCTACCGGACACGCGCCTTTGCCAATGAATTTGTACAACACTGGCAAAATCTCGACACCTGAGTTCGGATTCCGGATCACTGCCGATACGTCCAGTGGAGCCGAACTCACCTTGGGGGGCATCGCCTCTGATTATGCCTCTGCGGCTTTCAAGTCCACACCAGTGACTTCACAGACTTACGTGAGACCCTTTGACTCGAAATTTGCTGACGCCTAGTATGAAGTAAACACCAATGGAATTACGGTGGGAGGCTCTGTCGTGTCTGGGTCTTTCCCTGCTGCCATTGACACCGGGACAACGGTGAGGCGACAAATTAAGGGTGACCGCTCATCATTAGCTCATTTACGTACCGACGAGCGCTGCATCCGCCTTCTGGAATGCTATACCTGGTACCAGCTCGAACGACGACGGGTCCTATAACTATCCATGCAGCTACAGCGGAACCGTTGGCTTCAGCTTTCCCAATATCGGCAATCTCAATTTCAACCTCAACGATCTCTACGCTGGAAACAATGGCGACGGAACTTGTGTCGGAGCCGTACTAGGCCAAGACATCCAGGACGTCAATGGCAACAACTTTGCTATTATCGGGGATGTCTTTATCAAGAGCTATTACACCGTGTTCAAGTGAGTCAAACCGAAAGACTCCCTCTAATTCTACCAGCTTTGGGAGCAACTATGTCGCTTTCAGCCCTGCTCATGGCTCGACATAGTGATATTGATCGGCTTCAATCGGCAATGCGAAGGTGGCTCAGCGGAGAGGATTGTCAGAAGAATAGCAAAGTCAGTACATATGTGGAATTCAGATGAAAGCGCATTACGTGCATCGTGCAGGTCATGTCACAGGGACTTGGCGGGCAGAATTCGACCGATACAGGGCCCAAAGCCGACGCGCGCTCCAGAAGCTCCAGCGGCGCCGTTTAAGATCACTTCATCGTGATCCTCCAAGAACGTGCGCGAGACCGAGCCCAGCCGCATTTCCTCTTTCCCGTTAAGTGTCATCTCAAGCAAGCTGCCGAGACTATCCTTTTCTTTACCAGAGATGGTGCCACTGCCAAATAAGTCGCCAGTTTTTAGGGGACAGCCTGTTATCGTGTGATGCGCAATCATCTGCTCGAATGAAAAGCAGAGATGAAGCGCGTTCGATCGACTAAGTCGATGGGTTTCACCACTGATACGGAGATCGACGGTAAGATCAATGTCGTAAGCGCCATTGCAGTCCTGCGTCAGGTAGGGAAGTAGTCCGGTCGGCGCGTCTGGCGCCTTCACGCGGAATGGTTCCATGGCATCTGCCAACACGACCCAAGGCGTGATAGTTGTTGCAAAGTTCTTTGAATTGAACGGCCCAAGTGGCACATATTCCCAAGCCTGGATGTCTCGAGCTGACCAATCATTCATAAGGACGAATCCAAAGATATGATCGGAAGCTTTTTGTATGGGTATAGGAGCTCCTTGTGGGTTTGGCGTACAGATGAAGGCTGCTATCTCCAGCTCCATATCCAACTTGCGGCATGGCGACAATATGGGTGCGGGACCAGGGCAAATCTGTCCGTTTGGTCGGTACACTGGCTGGCCAGATATCTGCACTGAAGACGCACGGCCGTGATACCCGACGGGAAGATGGAGATAATTCGGCTGGAGAGCGTTCTCCGGGCCACGGAACAACACGCCCACATTGTAAGCATGATTGCGGCCGGCGTAAAAGTCGGTGTAGTCTCCTATCACCATTGGTAGATGCATCTGGACCTTGTCAAGGTCGTAGATGGCATCTTGGCGCAGTTCCTCGTTGTCTCGCAGGACGGGATTGTCCGCTAGCAGTAGATTCCGGACGAAGAGACGGTAGCTTTGATTAAAGGGGCGACCTAAAGCTGCGAAGGCGTTCAAGCTGGTAGAATCAAAAACACTGGCGTGATCACTCAGGCGTCCTTGGAAAACCCCATGACGATGAAGTGCGCTGAGATCAATAACGTGTCGACCCACTGCAACGCCGGCGCGTATGTATGGCTTTTCCTTGGTCGAGAAGACACCAAAAGGCAGATTGTCCAGCGAGAAGGGGCTCTCACTGTCAATGTGTAGGAATGACATGTTAGATACAGAGCGAAGCAGCGGGGATGAGGTCCGGCCGGAGCCACCAGTTAACAACCGGATCCGAAAGTATGGGTACCCGACCAAATAAAAGTATTTCTTTCCCGCTAAATAATGTCTCTTGCTTCGTCCAACATTCATCATGTTATCCGAGCGTGACAATAGTATACTTGTCAAGATCTTTGACCCCGAAGCTCAGCCAGAGTCCAGCGCCCGAATCTCAGCGAATGCTGTCCCCCTGCCTGGTATACCGATTGATCTGTTCGGCGAACTGGCGACTAGGGAACGAAGGACACTCCAGCCGTTAAATCAAGACTTCCCCACCCCTGAACGAATTCATCAGGCAATTAAGGAGCTGTCCAGCATCATCAAAAGTCACCCACTATATGCTTCAGCCTACGTGAACCGGGCACAGGCTCGCCGACTACAGATCCAGTACGACGAACTGTTCTCCCCCGACGCTGAATCCATGATGGTGGACATTTTCGCCGACTTGGATCGAGCCGTCGATCTAGCTGCGCCGCTTCGGTCTCTCGATCAGATCAGCGCGCATCAAGGCAATCTCTTGGCAGCAGCCCATACCCACAAAGGCTTGCTGCTGTTGCGGGCAGCAGATATTACCCGAGGCGGTGCTCCCGCTCACGGGCTCCCTCCCGCCTTAGCCAATATGGATGCAGATGTTCTGGAAGAGGCGGCGAGCCACGAGCTTGCGTCTGGCGGTCGATACGGCAATACGATGGCGCAGCAATTAGCTGTCAAGACAAATCCCTATGCCAAGCTGTGCGGAAGCATTGTTAGGGAGGCACAGAGGAAGGAGATCTTGGAAACAATGAGACCGCATACATTCGAGTGCGTTCTAGTGTTACCACGCTGTTTAGCTGATCGGGTCAGATAGATGACTCATGCTTGAAATTGGCCCGAAGTGGCTCCCAGCTCTCCGCATTGTAATCCTCCTGCACCTTCTGGCAGGTCTCTAAACCCCAGGTTGAGACTCCCACCATCAGACAGCTATACGTCAGCCGTGGCCTTGACTTACACGTACCTCTCAAACATGAACGCCATGCTCTTTGACCCGACCTTCTGCGGGGAAAGGACCGCATTTGTGGCCCCCTGGTGTGTCTTGGCATCGGGACCGTGTGCGCTCATGATATTGTGCAGACTTGCCCCAGCAGGGCGAAAGCCTCCACCAATCTTGGCGTCATAATCTCCGGCGATCAAGCCCATGAACTCGGACATGCTATTGCGGTGATAATATGGAGGCCTGAACGTATCCTCTGCAACGAGCCAACGGGGTGGAAAGATGACAAAATCGGCCAAAGCCGTGCCAGGCGTATCGGATGGCGCGGATAGAACGGTGAATATCGATGGATCTGGATGATCGTAGGAGATGGAGCCGACAGTGTTAAAACGTCCAAGATCGTATTTATATGGGCAGTAGTTACCGTGCCATGCCACGACATCGAACGGCGAATGCGTTTGAGACGCTGTGAAGAGCTGGTTGGCAAATTTGGCGACCACTGTCCAGCTGCTAGTATCCTCTTCGTACTTTGCAGTCGGTGCTTGAAAGTCCCTTGCATTCGCAAGGCCATTCGAGCCTATAGGCCCCAATTCAGGTAATTGGAAGTGACCTTTGTAGATCTCGCATATGTAACCCCTGATTGGCCCGTCGGCCAAACATACCCGATATCTGATCCCTCTCGGAATGACGCAAATCTCGTTGGCCCGCACTCGGATCATTCCCATCTCCGTCTGAATGTCCAAGACACCATGCTGCGGAACGATCAGAAAATCCCCATCTGCCGAGTAGAATGCCTCTTTGCCCATATCACGACCGGCGGCGAAGACGTAAATGGCGAGACCATTGCGCATAGCCGGTTCTCCTGCACCGGCCACTAAATGAAGACCTTCGACCCAGTCGGCCTGCTCGTCAAAGTCGAATGGGTCCCACCTCAATTGATTCGGAATCTGACGTAGGTTGGTCCCCGCTGTTCGTACATTCTCTCTTGGCTGGAATTCGGAGTGAGCAGCAGAGGGTAAGATACGATACAGCCAGGATTGCTGGTTCAGATGTCTAGGTGCAGTGAAAGCTGTCCCCGAAAGCTTTTCGGCGTACAGACCGAAAGCAGGGCGCTGCGGGGAATTTTGACCGACGGGAAGAGCACCAGTGATCGATTCGGTCCTCTTTGTGAGCAAAGAACATCACGACAACTCACTCATGGTAGTCTCCAAAGCCATTCTGATATGCGAAAGGATCAGAGATCTTAAAGTCTGATACTGGCATAGCGAATGGTTCGGATGGTAAGCCAAATGGTCGACCGGCAAACGACCCTACAGCCGGTCCGGAGCTTTCCTCCTTTCGCGTTCGGATCTTGGTCGTCTCACATCGCCGTGTTCACTAAATAGCGGGCGGTGACGTTTACAACGAGCAACCATACAGCATGTCTCCCATCGCTGTTCCATCGTCTGGCAGTCGCCCCGTGTCAGTTGAGAGCATCGCCTCTTACCGAGCCTACGATTATGTGCATTGGTATGTCGGCAATGCAAAGCAAGCCGCCGCTTTCTACGCGACACACTTTGGCTTTGAGCGGATTGCGTACCGTGGACTAGAGACTGGAAGCCGTGCCACTGCTTCGCATGTGGTACGCAATGGCCAGGTCACTTTTGTCTTTACCTCTCCACTGCGCGGATTGAAAGACCTCGACAAGTATAGTGAGGAGGACCGCACGATTTTGGAGGAGATCCATGACCATCTGGAGAAGCACGGAGATGCCGTGAGAGGTGAGAGTGCGGTCAAGGCTATTCTAATGATGTAGATGTCGCTTTCGAAGTCGACGATGTGCAAGCTTTGTATGACGCTGCGATAGCAGCCGGCGCCAAGTCGGTCTCGCCCCCCAAAACATTGTCGGATAAATCTGGAGACGTTCAGGTTGCCACACTTCAGACGTATGGAGAGACGGTCCACACTTTGGTTCAACGGAAAAGTTACCGCGGAGCGTTCCTGCCTGGATTCAGATCAGAGACAGGAACCCACCCTGCCAACGCTGTCCTGCCCCCCATTCACCTCCAAGCCGTGGATCATTGTGTCGGCAACCAGGACTGGAATGAGATGGAAGCCATCTGCGACTATTACGAGAAAGCTCTAGGATTCCACCGCTTCTGGTCAGTCGACGACAAAGACATCTGTACGGACTTCTCAGCGCTCAAGTCTATCGTCATGGCCTCGCCGAACGATGTGGTCAAGATGCCTATCAATGAGCCCGCCAAAGGCAAGAAACAGTCCCAGATTGAAGAGTATATCGACTTTTACGGTGGAGCGGGTGTTCAGCATATTGCTCTCAGAACGGACAACATCATCCGCGAAATCACGAATCTAAGGGCGCGAGGTGTTGAGTTCATCAAAGTACCAGAGACGTATTACGTGACGATGCGCAAACGATTATCGGCCAGTGGACTGAAGTTGAATGAAGATTTCGACGTCTTGCAGAGTTTGGACATCCTGATTGACTTTGATGAGGGGGGCTATCTTCTGCAGTTGTTCACAAAGGTGAGGATTCCTAGTAATGCGAAACTAATGATACAGCATCTCATGGACCGTCCAACCGTCTTCATCGAGATCATTCAACGGAACAACTTTTCCGGTTTTGGAGCCGGAAACTTTAAATCCTTGTTCGAGGCCATTGAGCGGGAGCAAGCTCTGAGGGGAAATCTTGTATAAAAAACTCTTGCATGCTCCGGCCGAATCAAAATATTGACGAGATGTCTTGAAAGGCCATCAGTTTCTCCTGGTGTACTCGTAGTCATGCCATACATTGAAGATATCATCATGCCCCCGGCTATGGCCAGCGCTCGTGACCAGTGGGACATTAGAGCCTCCTCATTATTGTCTAAGAACCCGATACGAGCCACGCTGGCGGCCGTCACAGGTACGCCGCCAGACAGTGATCAGCCAGTCATAAATCTCGCATTGGGTGACCCAACTTCTTCCAATTTATACCCTCCACCGCCGTCAACCATCTCTGCAATCACCAGAGTCGTTCAGACCTCTTCGTCGAACGGCTACCTACACGGATCTGGTAGCCTTGAAGCTCGACAAGCTGTGTGCGAGTATCACGCGAAGTGGGACAAAGTGGACTACTCCCCCAGTGCGGTCATTCTGGTGAGAGTGGAACAACAGTTTTTTTGCTGACTGAAGACACATGGTGCTAGTCATGCCCTTGACATGATCTTCAACGTTGTGGTACCTCCTAGTACCTCGACATATCGACCAAATCTGCTTATACCCCGTCCGGGATTCGCTCTGTATCGCACCCAGCTTCAAAGCCTCGGTGTGGAGATACGCGAGTACGAGTGTCTACCCGACCGTGACTGGGAAATCAATTTGATCGATCTGGCCCGATGTTGTGACGAGAACACGGTCGGCATACTGGTGGTGAGTGCAGTAGTCTCGCCTCGTCTCACCTTTAGACCAATCCGAGTAATCCATGCGGGAGTAACTTCAGTCGATCACATTTGCAAGACATCATCCATGTTGCCGAACGAGCCAAGGTGCCAATCATAGCAGATGAGATATACGCTCATATGGTGAGGCTACAGACTTAACGCGCTGACTGTCAGACGTGGGACTCAGACTTTGTGCCCATGGCTCGATTGTCCTCGTCTGTGCCAATTTTCACACTCTCCGGGTTGTCGAAGAGGTTCCTCCTTCCAGGATGGCGGTTCGGATGGGTTGTGGTTCATGATCCCGCCGGCCTAGCTACAGCGGTCACGGATGGTTTGCACATGCTCGCCAACCGGATACTTGGGCCCAATAGCTTGGTGCAAGCCGCTCTCCCGGAGATATTAGAGACCCCAGGCGATTGGTTCGAGGGTTTGACGAGTATCCTGGCGGTGAGTGTCTAATATTCTGTGCCGCTGACTGGTTAGCGCAACGCGAAGATAACCCACGAAGGCATCAACGGCATTTACGGCCTGGTCGCTTCTGCTCCACGCGGTGCCATGTACCTTCTAATAGGCATATCTTCGGCTTTTAATCTGGATGACATAGAATTCAGTCGACTGCTGTACAAGGAGCAGGCCTTGTTTGTACTTCCCGGCAGCTGCTTCGGGGCGGCAGGTTACTTTCGAATATCTCTCGCAAGTACTGCTGATGCTTTGGACGAGGCTGTGAGGAGGATAGGGGTGTTTTCAAGCATACATTGTCTTCCCGCCTGATTCGGTGGCCACCTGCAGCAGAACATGTATTGAATTCCGGTGGGATCAAGAGGGAGAGTAGTGTCGCTCAAAAGGGCCTTGTATCGACACGAGCTCTTCTGAGACCCGGGTTGTATGTGCTGTCGACCGTTGCCGTTATTCAGGGCGGTGGCGCTGCAAGCTCTAACTCGGTTCGGCAAATGAATCGATAATATATTGACAATTTGGTGAGACTTTTCCCTGGTCAAGATGAATATTCAAGACTTCCCGCCAACCACGGATCTATTCCGGCCCTGCACGGACATGTGTGGCGCATTCGGCTGTTCCGGGGTCTTTTCTGATGGTACGCAGCTCAAAAAACAATCGGCTCATCCCGCGGACGACATGTATTGTGTAAAGTGTCTAACAAATGTACAATTGGAACGTTGAAGCTATTCGCGGACGATTGACATGTGCGACTTCGTCCTGCCTTTAGAACACGCAAACAATACGGGAGATAAAATTCCAAAAGAGAGAAATTGTTGCGAATCCCCCAAATCAAGGTACGGCCGGCGGCCGAGTCAAGCATACCGCGGAGGTCCCGGTTTTCCCCCCATTGGCTCACATACCTCTCTCGCGAAACTTTTCTGGAACTCGGGCCTCACGGCGCGCCATGCCGGCCCTGAAAGATGTGAACATGGCGACCCTGATTGGCGGCGTTTCAGGTGGCGTACCGGTCCTTCCCGAGCTTTGTCTCATTGAAGGCCTCTCGATGCCGCGGCCTCTGAACCTCATGAAGTGTTGAACTTGAGATATAATTACCCTCTCAGCTCATACACGGGACGCCCACTGCGGTGTCTCTTGTCGGGAACCCATACCCGGACCTCCACTATCTCAAATTTATTCAGACACGGCTCTGACAGAGATGCCTCGCCTGCATATATAAACCGTCCGCAGATAAAGAATCGTTACCATACAGCCGAGTATCAGTCAAGACAATGTTGGCCGTCCTTGCTGTCTTCCTGCTGGCCCTAACGCATATCGGTGCATATCCCACGGCTAATTTGCCACGAGACCATCCCTTGGTGAAGAAACTTCTTGCCAGCCAGGCCAAGCGACAGGCGCCGGCGCCTAGTGGACTGCCTAGCGATGAGCCAACGACCCTCTACCCAGGATGCAACCCCTTAAATGACGCTGACCTTCTCGATATCGATTTCGCCACCCTTGGCGCGGTAATGACAGCAATCTATGAGGAAACAATAAACCTCGGATATCCATCCGGTCAACAACCGTTCAACTGCATCGTGAACCAGCAAGGGGAATGCCAAGCGGGTTCCGATACTGTTGAAGTAGCCATTCAAGTGAGTGATGAGACAGACGGCGAGGCGCAGTCCCATTCCTGAGCTGTGTCCAGAGCAATTGCATTGGGAAAGGTAGAGGTTCCGCGGATTCAAACTGCAATATTGTGGTAAGTAGGCTATGTCCCGACTTTCTCGGTCTGACAATCGCACAGTACTATGTACCCACAGATGAGGAAAATGATTACATGACGGAGTATTATCCGAATCTCTTCAATCAGGAAGCCGCCTGGCTATATGCTTGCCTCGGAAAACCATCGACCGCAAGCACCAATTTTGACGATGTAGGCAATTGTCAAGTCACGCAGCAAAATCTTACAGGGTCAATCTACGGGGCAACAGCTTCCATCACGACCACTCTGGAACGAGACGTCTCTGTAGATCTCACCGCAGAGGAATCGATCACTCAATCCGTCACTGCTGGTATCTCTTACACAATTAGTGACTCGGTCGGAATCCCCGACGGGGATTCAGCGTCAGAATCCCTCACAGTCAATCTACAATACACCTACACGTCGGAAGAGGACAAAACTGTATCAGTCACAACCGATAATTCGCAGACTATCGCTGTCACCATCAATCCCACATCTGGTCAGAGCTGTGACCTCCTCGTCTCCCAAAGGACCTGTCAGGCCCAGGTCACGAGCACAGTACCTGTAGTGTTCCGAGGATTCCTCGCGTCCTACGTCGATGGATTCAACGGCGATCTACCCCTTTTTGCTTGCGAAGGAAATGGAGACACTCAGCCTCATCAGACATGTAGCAACTCGCTCGCGATTTGCAATGGCAACAAAGCAGGAACGTGCCACTCGAAACCGTCCCTCCGTATCTGGGACATGCAAGATCTCGTGATCGCCGGCGGAACCAATCCAAACATTACCAATGTCGCTTCTGGCAGCATAACGGCTACGGGCAATTATGTGATCGACTGCACCCAAGGCGATGCCACTGGGTCGCCCAACAGCGGCTACACCCCAACTTTGACCTGCCCCTCCAGTTTGGGTATCAAACAAGAAGCCTGCAGCGCTCCGGTGCCCAATTACATCACCTCTGGTGGCGTGACAAGTGACTACCAGCAGTGGGCTGGCCGCGGTTTGTCATACTCCCAGTATCCAGCTCCGGGATCCAACTTTACCTACGGCACAACGCAAGTGACGTTTTCAGTATCTGGACCCGGAATCGAGACTGTCACATGCAGTGCGCCCTACACCGTCACTCCTCCCTGGTACGCCGAGTTCACTCCACAATTACAGACCCTCGAATACTCTTCAGACGGTTCGCCTGTCGTCGGATACTACCTTGCTGAATATATTCCAACTTGCGGACCTCAACAAGCTGGAGTCTGCGTAGTCAAACAGGTCACTTCTGCTCAAACCCAAGGGTTCAGCTGGAAAGATACCTCGCCCAATCCGTACAACCCTCAAACCTCTCTCCTGTTTGAGACGACAGCTGCCAACTGGCCATCCACAGACACTCTCACATTTACACTACAGTGCTCGGACTCGTACGGCAATGACGGAGGTGCAGAATTCACCCAAAATGCAGTGGCTATCATTAAAGCGACTGACACCATCCCTGGAGCCACTACCACCTTGACCGAACATACTCGGTTCGTTGATGATTATACTACAACATTTACCGCGCATACCAGCACATTCACACCCCTCACTACGACCCTCATCCCCACCAGCACGCTGTACACATCCACGTACTATGTGGCGACCACTACGGACTATCAGTTCAACAATTTCTTCAATCCCACCACGGTGACATCTACATCAACAGTGTACCAGACTTCAACACTGAATTATCGCAACACCGTGACGGCCTCGGGTAAAGCCGCAACTTTGACGGTGACACCCACATCGACGACCACCGAAATCATCACACAGACTGGATCAACCTCTACGGTGACAGTTACCGGCTCCGCCAGCACGGTCACAGCTTCACAGTGTAGCTCGGCTTTGCAGAAGCGACAGTTCCCCACCTTTACTCCTGGCGTCGGCACAACTACCTCAGCTGACCCACAGATCACTTTCACCGTCACAGATGCTACAGACACCTTTGTCACCTCTATTGCTTCGACTAAAACCAACACCGACTCCACAGATACGGCTCACACCGTGATTCCAACCCAAACCGTCACCGTGGATGTGGTGATGTATGAAGTCTTGACGGCAACCTCTACATATTATTACTTCTTGCCAACCACTACCGTGTTCGTGACCGACACTTTGACGACTCGACTTTACGGAACAACTACCATTGGAGGAGCACCAGTGACTGTCACAACTACCGGCCAAGCCACAACGCTGACTGCAACGTCAACCGAGATACAAAGCCCTGCGAGTGTCGTGACGGTCACTGCGACGCCAAGTATGATTACGGTTACCCCCACGTGCCCCGTGGCGTCGACTTCCACACCGGCATCATCTTCTCAGTCAAGCATTTCTCAATCTAGTAGTCCTCAGTCGAGCACTTCTCAAATGTCAACTTCGGAGTCGGTCACCTCCAAGGCATCCATCTCGCTCTCTACCACTTCCCAATCTACCACTCAAAGTTCGTCGACCAAGAGAAGCCAAAGCAGCTCGACTAAAAAGAGCCACTCCTCATCCAAATCTGCGTCGTCGAATGCTCCTACAACGTCCACCATGGCCTCAGTGTCTGTCACACCCTCATTGTCGACATCCAGTATGCCTTACTCAACCTCTGGCGCTCCGGCGAGCAGCACCTCCTCGAGTGGTGGTGGCAGTGGTGGTGGCAGTGGTGGCGGCGGTGGTGGCGGCAGTGGTGGCGGCGGCGGAAGCTCGGGTGGTGGTGGATGCCCGTGGTGGTGGCCGTTATGCTGGTAGTGGATGGAGGTCACAATCTCAGTATTTTGAACTATAATAGGCTTTTGTTGATCCTCTTCTTTTTCTTTACCTCTTTTATTTAGGGCGACTGAGGCTCGAGTGCATGCCTAACGGGCGTTTTCCTACCGTCCTTCTTTGCATCGCCGAGATTTTTCGAGAAGCCCCTGTACTTTATCACCCCGAGCTTCACCCCTAGACTGTGACCTTTCTCAGTATGACATTGACTGATATCCCAGGCATCGCACAATGCCCGTGAAAGAATTTACGGCGGATTCTGGCAGACTTCATCATCCATTGTGCCTGCACACTCGATGGATACTTCAAGTCTCTGAGCCAGATTCCATGCACGGGGGGAAGGGCCAGGCTTCGATCGCGAATTATCCCCAAAGGGGGCCCACCCGCGGGGTTCATAAACATTTTCTCACGTAATCCCACGTCTCATATATAGATCGCTTGCCACAAAGAGGGCGTCAGCCAGTGAGATTTTCCGGATGAGAGTTTTCAATAGAGGCAAGTACCATGCTCAGATCCGCTGAGTTTCTGCGGTATCTACAAGTAAAAGACGTCCGATACATCTTCTTGCTGAAGGAACACCCCGCTTACCTGAGCATGTACAGCTTGCCAAGATGGAGTCGCGGGGCTGCAGACTGTCCGTCCTGTGCTTGGCAGGTGTCGAATGCCAATGCATTCTCAACGACCATTCTTACATATACTCTCTGAGCATACATCGGGTTCCGGACATACGCTCATGGCGACTAAGACTGTGTCATGTCAGTCCTGAGCAGATCACCGAGCTACATTTTCTCCACGCACTTTCCTCAAGATGCTCTAGCAATAGTAAACAGGTGCGCTATAGTGTCCACGTGGGTAGTTTCCACAACATCGATGTCGGCAACTCCTCCTGTTTCTACTCCAAAGACTCGAAGCCGCATCCTGCCACCTGACGGGAAATCAAGTAGCCCATTGGGGTTGGAACTCGAAACAACCCCAGTGACTGTGAATTTTGCCGCATACCCGCCATTCCCCAGGTCGGTACGTGAGTACGTGAGTCGCCTCGGATTTTGCGCATCATCTCCTTGATCCATTGTAGCCTTCCCAGGATCCGTGGCATGAAGTGCTAGAGGATCCTTACTCCATTCGAACTCGGTCGTATACAGCAGAGCGCCACTGACAGTCCCCACACGGATGTTGACGTCAACGCTGACCAGTTTCAATCTCGAACCAGCCGTTTTGTTTTTAACGATGACTTCGAGGCAACCGTGGGGGGACATTTTCGCCTCAACATGCGTCTGTCCATCTGGCTGTTGTTGCCACGTCGAAAGGAGTGGGGTCAAATTGTGGCGTATGAACTTGCTGGCTGGCGAGTCCTCGTCCGTCGAGTGTTTCGGCGCCGAGTCAGAGTGTACAAAAGCCACTGCGATCATCAAAACGAGCCCGATAGCCGCAAAGACCTCTCCAACGATGGGCACCCAAGACGTCAGAGCGGCAATCGTCTCATCCGCGATCTCGAAGCCTGTCAAGAGCCCCAACTGGACAAAGCCAGCTAGTCCGCCATTAACGACCACCTCGTCGGTGATTGCGGCGATACCGTTCAGGATTACGGCCGTAGTGTTCAGACCTCTTTGAGTCTGATTCATCGTATCCCACTCCTTCGCCAGAGAGACCGATGTCGTGATGACCAAGGCGATATTGAGACAAAATAATCCGGCTTTGACCTTGACTTTGCTGAGTGAAAAGTTACGGACTGCAAGCACTTCATCGCTCAACTTCGGTCCAGCGATAGATTCAAGTTTTGCCCGATCTACCACATCCTGCAGGGTCGCCTTGGAGTCACAGATTGAAGCATAGCCGTCTCCGTACTGTTGGCGGAACCAAGCATCCAAGGGAGCTACGTCTGAAGGATTGGTCTCGAGTTTCTCACTCAATGTCGTCAGCTCGATCTCCTCGTCCTCTGTGGAGACCAATAGCAGCTTGGGTATTTGACTCTGGAGCCATTTGATGAGAGCCTTCTCCTCGCTCTGCAGATCATGAAGTGCAGCCGATTCGATTCCATCCGCAGCTTCGGCGGAAACATTGACCACTCCCTCTGTATCAGCGGGAATGCCGAACTCCACCAGCTCTAAATCGTTTCCATAGACCTCCTCGAGCCCACCTTGGGTCCAATACTTTGTGAGCTCAGCTTGATTATTGTAAGACCGGATTGAGGCTTTGATCCGGGCCCAATCATCTACCCGCTTGAAGTCTCCCCAGAGCTCGTCGAACTCTTGCCCCCATTGGAGTGTGTGGAGCAGGGCCGACACTGTCCGAATACCGATGATCGTTTTGCGCTCTGGCGTGGAGGTGCCCCAATTTCTGAAGAGACTGACGGCATCGGCGACAAAGAAGGCCATCTGTGAAGAGTCAGACGATGAGATACACAGGGGGAAAAACGTACAAATGCTGCTCCGACCAGAGATTTTCCCGCCAAGACTTTCAATCCTATCCTCCGCCTACCCATATGCGTCCACGCAACCTCGAAAAAAGCTAGTCCGGTATCCCAACCATTCTCGACATCTTCCAGGGCTTCGTCCTTCTTGTCGTCACCTTCGCCTCCGTCGTCGCCCTCTCCACCATTGCCGCCATCCCCGCCATCCCCGCCACCATCGCTACCACCGCCCCCGTCGTTCATTCGTAGACTCGACGCTTCGAATTCTACAGATAAAGCGCTTGGTGTGCTATTCTTTTTCTGACCAAGGTTGGTCGCCATACGCACGCTCTCAGCCAGCGATTTCCACACACCTTGGGAGATCGTGGCATTGACAAGGGCATCCGCGCGCTGCTTGGCGCTTGCCGTTCCGTTAAGATTATTGTCGGCCTCCATCTGCTGAACACACTTTGTGAGATCCACTTTCATGTCTTGGGACAGACGGAATGCGTGAACACGGGCTTTCTCCACACTATTCAGGGCAGCCTGGTCATCGGCGAGAATTGCGAACACCAAGTGACCAAAGTACTCGGAGAACCATGCCTCCGCCTTCGTTGCAGCTTCCTCGGTACGGAACAAGGGCCGACTGGCCAAGACGTCATTCAATGATCCCATCAGTGAGGCCTTCATCTGTAACCTTGTATGACGACCCTCTACGTCAAAGAAAGCCGCCAAAGAGGACATCTTGTTGAAGTAATCGACCTTGTTTCCCGATGTTTTGGCCATCCGAAGCATTCGCTCGCACCGAACATCTGCTTGAGTTGTCGCAATTCTGTTTGCCCAACTTTGAGGTTCATTTGCGTAATCGACCAACTTGGGGAGCACCTCGTACATGCTCTGATGCATCGCCACGTTGTGGAGTGTCGAATAGTGACGAGTGGCTGCCAAGGTGGAAGTACCCTCCCGTCAGGACTTCGAAAAGCGGTCGACTCACTCGACCCGCAAACCAATACCGAATCTTTTTCTTCTCATCCTCCAAGAGCTTGTTCTGGAGTTTGGCGTCTCTTGCGATGTAATTGGCGATGAAAGCCGGTGCGTATGTATCCTTGATCCAAGACTTCACTCCGTCATCCAAATCTGAACCAAGTCTTGCGTGCAGATCGGTGGGCTTGGGAGCCTTTAGTAGGTCCTCTCGATGGCGCTGGTCCATGTGATAGAGCATGGTATCGTAGAGAAGCTTTTGGCACATCTTTTGCAGCTACCAAGTCAGTTACTAGGAGAACTTGTCACCGACCTTAGCATCTGTCCAGCCCTCCATGAGCAAGAGGGATTGAACCGACTGCGAGTGAAGCTTGACCGGGTTGCGGGACGCGCTTGCTGCCAGACGCGCAATATTTGGCTGTCGGGGGACGAGCCTGAATGCGTGCCTATGGTAAAGGCAAGTCAGTCACCTTGTAGATCCGCATGCATACTGTCTCACCTTACACCAATGGACCCGCTGCGCGTGTTGTCGTATTCATAGAGAGACCCGCATATGTTGCCTCCCACGGTGGTGAAAACCATTTCTTTGAATAGGAGTGGCAGACAAATGTCAGATCTCAGCTTCTGCTTGAACGTCAAGGCTGAGCCCCGAGGAGCCTTCCCTTGATCTGAGAGTTGGATGATGATGGATACAGCCTCAATAGAGACGTAGTGAGCCTGATGAGGACCATTGATGTGCTGGGGCTTGTGGTCCGGGTTCAGCACGCTAGAGTACAAGTTTGGAACCGTTGGCCTGCTTCCTGTATCGTTTTTGACAAGATATGCCTTGACGCATTCCCACAGGTCGTCAAGCAATTGAAGCTGAACACACGGCGCATTGATGCCGCTTGGACCTCCGATGTTGATCGTATCGTACCGTAGACCGCCAAAGTTCAGAGGGTTTTGGTAAGGATAGGTAGGCCGATCGCCTTTGCCCGACCAGGCGGCGGTGTCAACCCACAACACGTAGTCTGTGTCGTGTAACATTCCTGGCAGACCTGTAGCACCCAAGTCTGAGTTTCTCGAGGACGTTGAAAGGATCATTTCAAAAAGTTCTCGCCTAAGTATACGTGCCTTTTGTCACAAAGTGAAAAGCGGGATGCCAAGAGCCAGGGGCACGTCAAAAATAGAATTCAAGCCAGGCACGAGACTAGCGCGTGCCTGAGTAGCGCCACAAGCCACCACCGTGCCATGGCGTGGGCCAACTGTCGAGGCGGTCTCAGAGCTAGACTGGAATGTGCGCATGAACGTTGTACAGAGAGTGGGAATTCGTGAGGCGGGATTCTAGCACGTTGGGGCACATACGTGAGCAGCTGTCTCCACAGAAAGGCGGAGGCGCTGTGGTGTAACACGCCATAAAATTAAGTTTCACCGATTGTCGGCTGATGTGACATGGGCTGTCTACGCTGTGTGGCTTTGCCCTATTCCCCTTCACAGAATCACATATCCGTCAAAAATCACAATGCAGTGGGGTGATATAGTTTCGCTTGTGTTTTAACCCTGACAAGCGAGTCGAGTCTCTGCAGGAGTGGAAACAGCAAAAGGCTATAAGAAGAAAGCTACTTCTCCGGTGAGATGTCTACCCCATTTCAACATGACTCTGGGCGTCCCTTGCGGGACTATTGTCGCTTATTGCGGTGAAAAGAGCTCAGTGCCATCTAATTGGTCTGTCTGCGATGGCACGAGCTATCAGAGGGACAAATTCCCTGCGCTTTACGCCATGATTGGTACAGCCAATGGAAGCGACGGTGGCAGCTTTCGGATCCCTGATCTGGCTGGTCGGTTTCTGAGAGGTAAGCGACCCGAGGTGGCCTCTTCGCTACATACTGACCTCGTACAGGATGGGGCATGGACAATGGTGGTAAGAAAGATTTTGCACCATACGAGGTCAATCCAATTTTTCGGGCACTGTTTGGCTCGCAGATCATTGCTGGTGAGGCACATCGCCCTGCGGCGCCACGCGGGTTGAACTGAAGAACCGCAAAATCAGGTCCGCCGCAGCCATTGACACCCGGAGCGACCTTTGACTCTCGGACTGGCTACCCCAGGGCCGGACTTCGAATGAAATTGAGCCAGCTTCCGAAGGAGAACCAGTATCACAACACTGGGAAAGGGAATGGAGATCAGCTCTGCGGTGGGATCAGCTGAAGTAGAATGAAGCTCATGGTTTCAGATATTACGGATGATTCCACCCTATTCACTGGCACTGAAGGGGACGCCGAGACCCGTCCAGATAACGTTTACATGTATTACATCATCAAGATCCAGGACGGTGATACCGATACGATGACTCCGGCTGACCTACCCGCTGGGGCTATCTTCCCTTTCGCCGGAGGGGAGACGTGCGGGCCAGCGCTAGAGTCGAACAGTGGCAACGCTTTCATCTTGTGTGATGGTGGTAATGTGGATGCCACGGCGGCTGCAGACCTGCAGGGTCCTGTCGGTAACCGCTTCGCCGCCGTCAACGATGCAGATACCAAGTTCACGCCCCCAGACCTGGTCAATTGGTTCATCCGCGGGATAGACGAGACCTCTCTGAGAGACAAGGAAGCGAAAAGTCGTATCAGAGCCCCAGATGGCTCCGACCAAGGTCGAGGGACTACTCAGAAATGGGCTACCAAATTCACCAAGCCCTTTGCTGTCGTGGCTCACTTGCAGACCAAGAAAGAGGCATCATCGGGAGGAATCAATGAAGCCGGATGGAACTGCCTCAAGGCTGATGGCTGGGTGACGGAGGCTTTCATGGAGGGCGGGGATGATGAAACACGACCCGACAACAAAGCGGTGCGGTTCTATTTGAACCCAGACGCACCTACGAAGGAGGTCACCCCTACCATTCCTATAGGCGGAATCATTGCTCTACCTGGTATGGTTATCATGCGAGCAATGAGACGCTGACACCGCACCAGGGGATCCAGATCTCGGATCATCGTCTATCTTCAAGGACTTTGGCAACGCTTACCTGCCTTGTGACGGCTCGGAACGCTCCTCCGCCGATTTCAAAGCCCTGTCAGCCCTGATAAAGTCGATTTGGGGTGATGCCTCGGGGGATGACAAATTTCGCCTGCCAGATCTCCGTGGACAATACCTGCGGGGAGCGGGGAAGTCCCAGAGACAGACTGGCTCGGCTCAGGTCTGGTCTACGGGTCTGCCGTCGAAAACAAAACGTAATATGAACGTGAACGCCATCTCATATCCAACAGCCATGTGTACAGTCGGATCGGCCATGGGATGGGGCTTTCGCAATACTGCGTACGAGTACCTCAGCGCTGGTACGGTAGATATTAGCTTCGATGATGATGGAGAGACAGCGCCAGCTTGCGTGGTGGTGAAATTTTATGTGCGAGCCGTTTGATGGAATGACAGCTCGTAATGCATGCGCACACTGTGATTTAAACCGTCATAGCACATATCATGCGATCCATGCTGTTGTGGAGATGGCGGGCATGACCGAGGCTGGCTGGACACTGTCAGGAAAACATATGAATATATATGATCTAGGGATGAACGTGATCGACATGGGTTGATGGTTCTTCTATCTTTTCATCTGCCTGTCGCGCGACTTGTCGAGAGCAGGCACTGGCTTAAAAAGTCCCCACTCCTTGACCTAAGGCATGACACCCTGCCGTACCTGACTGACTCTATGCAGCCTGTCAATGCAGGTGGCGTCCCAAATAGGCGTTTTGTTAGCCTGGGCAAAAAAACTACAATATATAGCGAGACGCCGGAAAAATCCAGGGACGGCGAATTTTCGTTTAGCTCCACCCTTTGTTCCAGCGGGTCTAGTCAGGCCAAACTCAATGGTGATCGTGTAGCTCTGGCCATTCTGATTCGTTTCTAAGCTAGACTCAAGCCTGACATCAGCATAAGTCAAGCCCCGTGACACGATGGAATCTTCCATTCCCTTGACTGAGCTACCCCGCTGGATGAAATGGCTGCTCAATCAGAGACCCGATCTGGCGGGAATCCCTATCACCGCTCTCATCGTTCCCGGAACACACGACACGGCCACGTATGGCGAGGGAACGTCTCCAACCAAGCTCGGACGTTTCAACTGGCAGTGCCAGAATCTCAACATCTACCAGCAAGCGCAGATCGGTGTCCGATATTTCGATCTGCGATTCCTTGCAGATGATCGAGACTCTGCATTTCCCTACTGGCCGCACCATGGCGATGCAGTCAGAACCGGAGACCTTCTGGCACCGGCACTGGGCGGTGACATCAGTCAGACGACCATCGTTGGCCAGATAACCCGTTTCCTGGCGGAAAACCCTGACGAGATCATCATCCTGTCCTGCGATGTCCAGCCTGCGGACAATATACATTGGCCAAGGGCACTCTGTGACGCGCTCGGAGGAACAGGTCGGCTCGTTGAATCCCCAGACTGGGCAACAGCTACCGACAACCCTTACCCACCAGTCAGGGCGGCTGTCCCGACTATTGGCGGCGTTTTGAAGACCACCGGACGTGTCATCCTTTCTGGCTCAGTTGATCTCCGGATGTTCTCCGACCATGACGAGCGACGACTTGTTGAGCGGTATGTCTGGCAATCTCCCGGTGCCGCCATTTTTTCTTCTCTCTATGATGAGCCGATCTGGAAGAGCAATCAGCCGGTAAATATCCAGACTGCAATCGAGAATTGGATCCATGCCAATGATACCGCAATCAGTCACCGAGCCCACTTCTACAACGCTCAGTGCCAGCTTACCCCGTCGGCGAACAACTTTTGGGATGTCCTCAAAGGCTTGACAGACAAGAGTATGTCCATAAGCCCCGCCAAGCTGGCACCAGGGATGAACTCATATCTGAGGGAGAAGGTGTGTACGTCCGATCTCTGGATCAAGAAAGCCAGCATCATGACAATCGACTTTGCGGATGCAGAGACGTGCACCGCGATCGTCAACATGAACCTTGCGAGGTTTAGCGGTTCATAGTGATAGACTGGCGCTGGAGGGGACATGCCGTGAAGGGTTAGGGGGTTAGGGGGTTAGGGGGTTAGGGGTTAGGGGGTTAGGGGGTTAGGGGGTTAGGGGGTTAGGGGGTTAGGGGGTTAGGGGGTTAGGGGGTTAGGGGGTTAGGGGGTTAGGGGG